AGGAGGAGGAGGAGGAGGAGGAGGAGGAGGAGGAGGAGGAGGAGGAAGGTGGAAATTCTCCGGTTAGACAAGTATTGGAGACTGTGGATGAGGACCAGGAAGCCAGATTGCAGATGTTGATGGAGATGGCAGAGGAAATTAGAAGAGAGATTGATGGAGGTTTGGAGGATGTGAGGGCGCAGCATTGGCCTCCGCCTCCGAGTCCTTCAAGCTCTTCGGGTTCCTCTAGGTCTTCATCTTCATCTTGGCGGTCGACTTCGAGCTCAAGCTCCTCGACCTCACTCGATTCTGATTCTTATTTTGATTCTGACTCTGATTCTAATTCTGATTCTAACTCTGACTCTGACTCTGAATCTGATTCTGATTCCGATTCCGATTCCGATTCCGATTCCGATTCCGATTCCGATTCCGATTCCGATTCAAACGGTCCTGGTCACGATGGTCCTGGTCCTGGTCCTGACGGTCCTGGTCCTAGTCCTGGCTCTGGTTTTGGTCCGAGTTCATTGTTTTCACCCCCCGACCAGAAATCTGGGCACGAGACTGCCCCCAATCCAAATTCGGGTTTGTGTTCGTGCTCAGGGCACTCATCAAATCTAGAAGAGCTAGAATCGGAATCAGATTGGTCACAGTTATCAGAGTCGTATTGGGCAGATCAATCAGAGTCTGAAGAGTATTCGACACACGGTTCTGAAGACTTCGATGATATCAATAACGACTCAGATCTTGATATCGATTCAGTCTCTACATCTGAACCGGAAGATAACCTTTTATACATGCACTCTTCCAGCCTGGGCTCTTACTTCTCCATTATACGCCCAGGCAAGAGAGCTTGCAAAAGAATCCTCCTAGATTCGCGTCTATCCAATCCAGAGCTAATGACCTGCAGATCTCTGGGATGCAGTCAATCTTACAGCTTTGGTCGGGAGCTAATGAAGCACCAACGTATGAAGCATCATTTGTTCTGCCATCTTTGCCGTGAATTCTTCGACACTTATGAATCATTCATGGAACATATTTTCTATGAGACTCATGATGCTCGTATGCAATACACTAAGGACAACCTCGGCTCCCCTAGCTTTTCTTCCGGAAATGAGGAAACTAATAAAGATAACGACGACGAGGACGACTACAGCGACAATCTTTATTATTGTCCTTACGAGGGCTGCCAAGTCAGGTTTGGATTCAAGTTTATTGACCATCTCGCCGCTCACAGGCGAAGACAGGAGCATTGGTATTGTCAAGCCTGCGAGTTATTCTTCAACAGCGATGAAGAATGGAATATGCATAATTTGCTAAACAAAAGGGATCCATCGACTGAACTCGATAAGCTTCATCGAGATACCGGAAGCAAGGTGAATGTCACTTTTGTATCTGCATCTCAAGAACCCCCTCCTTTCAATTCTACCCCCGGTTCAGAATCGACAGAAGAGTCAAGTCATCCGGCTTCTTCGAGTATACCCACCCAACAATCAAATGCATCTATTCTCAGTCAAAGAACTAGCCGCCAATCCCATATTCCGCCATCAAATTTAGCAAGAGGAGATGAAGCCAATTATACCACTGCCCCTGCCCCTAGCATGGCATCTTCAGATGTACCTGAACTCAGCAGATCAACAGAATTTTCTGGAGGTGAATCTCCAGCTGAAACTCTAGTCTGCTCAACTGACGATGAAGATACATTATATGATCCTTACACCCCATATGTCAGCAGAACTGGGAGCCCTACCACTGAATCCAACAGCAGCAACGACCATGATAGCGATTCTGAAGATCCCCACTTCTCTAACAATCCAATTACAAGATCAAATTCCGAACCCCTCAACCCACCCAGTTCGGGAGACGGAGACAAAGAAGCCCGTCCCAAAAAATTTAAATGCAGACACTGCCTTGCCATGTTCCCCAATGGGAAAACTTTATTCGTCCACCTCGCGGCTACCAGACACTTCTTTTCATCCCAATACACTTCTTCACCAGGTCGTGTAGAGAACGAGAGTTTATTCCGAACAAACTGGGATGCAACTCCTTTCTTATGTCGCCCCTGTGGAACGCGGTTTATCAATGTAGAAGATCTGGAAGAGCATTTTTTTAATCTTCATGCTAACCGTAATTTCGCATGGATGTGGAACTACTGTGCTTGTGGAAAGTTCTTCGAAAACCGATGGCATGATGTACTTCATCATTTGGACAGCGGGTTATGTGAAAGTGGGATTGGAGCTGGGTGGATAGATAGGATGGTTGAAAAGGGAGTCATCAACACTGAATGGAAAAATTACTTCTTGGAGACACTTGAGAAACAAGAACAGGAAGGGACGGAAGTGGAAACCAATCCATTCTCACACAAGTCTTCGAACAACTGCCAATGGACTGAAGATGCTGAAGACAAAAACACTGACGGGGCCTCAACCTCCTCGCTCAGCTCATCCTCATTTATAAACTTCGACTCCTCTTCAAACGGTAACTACACCGGCAGCGACAGCGTCAAAAGCAGTTCAGGAGTCTCCGGCTCCGACGAACGGGAATCAGATCCGGGCTCGGAGAAAGGGAATGCAAACCGCTCTTGCACAGATACTTCGAGGGATCGAACGCAAGATGACCCAAATGAGACGTGGTATTTCGTGAACTATGATCAAAGCGCTCATGGGACAGTCGTCCGGATACAGAGTGCGAGCGACGGGGATGCTAATGAAGAGGATCATGAGGAGAATCATGACTTAAATGAGATTGATCACTTGGTAAATGCGGCCAAAGATCTTTTCGGATCTCTGAAACAAAGATTGACCCGTAGGGTGAGATGAGAATCTCGATGTAAGTTATCATACACAAATTTGGTGGTCGGTTGGGTGTATAATTATTGTTTTTGAGTTTGCAATTGTGGTTTACAATTTTTTTTTTTACGATCGATACTAATATTCACGATAGTGATATCTTTGAATGATAATGTTTAGACTTAATGTTTAGACTTACTGTTTAAATATAATGTTTAAAGATAATGTTTAAGGGTAATGTTTAAGGGTAATGTTTAAGGATAATGTTTAAGGATAATGTTTAGAAGTCAGGTATCTAACGTTTAGTAGTCGAGATCTTGTTCTACAGCTATAGATCTAGAATAGTACAAAATGCAAATTTTGTCAAAAATTAATGGATTCCCGTGATGTGCTAGAACTAGGAGCTTAAAATTCCCGTTCTTTGTACATAATAGTACTATTCTTGATTATAGTATAATCGACTAGGCAATAACAGCAAGCACTTTTTCTTATAATTATGATGCTACCTAGTTGATAAGCTCGAGAATAAAACTTCCCCAATAATATCCTTTCTCACAGCAGCTCTAAATTACCGTATAACGATAACAAGTTTAAAACCCTTATTTACCTTTCCGAGTTTACTAATTTCTAGACCACACTGAGTAATGAAAGGGTGCGGGGTTTCTATTGTAACTTCTTCTCCCTTTCCGCCTCAACCTTCTCAATCTGTTCCAACGCCGCATCAATCTTCTTCCATGGCCAAGAAAATCTTGGATACAAAAATGGTCGCAAGTCGTACCGATTATCATCTGGAGAGTACTGTTCTGCGTGATACGAAGGCGTGAGGGTAGTTTGTTTGTGTCGGTTGATAGAGTAGTAATAAAAAAAGTTCTTGGTTTTCGTCGCGATCTGTTCAAATTATAATCATTAGTCTACTGGATAAAATAAGATAACATAGTCATAAAAGACTTACCTCTGCTGGCGTCAATCTTGGATACCAAACATGTAATAACTTCGTAAACATCGCATAAGGTCCACACTTCTCCACCTTCCTCAGTCTACCAAAAACGCTAAGTTCGTCATATGTCATTCCCATATCCGCCTCATCACTCTGTACATATTCCTGGGTAATAGGTTCCAACTCCGCGGTCGGCGTAGCTGTCAAAAACTCATGAAGTATAGGTATCTCATACTGATCTCTAGCGTACGCAATAAACCTCTTCAGATCCGTTTTTGAAATTCCACCGATGGGGTTAATATCTGCACTTGAACAATCGTATTTGGTGAGGTAACCGCGAAGACATTCATCCACATTCGCACTTCCTAGGACCAAAAGCCCGCCTTCGAAGCCGCGGACCCATGGGAGGAGTTGAGCGAAGAGATAGGCGATGACCATACGAAGTCGGGCTTGGATGTTTTGTAGGGCCAAGTTTTCGGTTTTTGTACCACCGTGGACGAAGAATCTAGGTTTTTTGTTGGTGACGAAAGTAAACAGTTCCCTAACTGCGGTGACGAGGGTGTCCATGTTTAGATCAACGTGGTAGGCACCAATCGCCTCTGCGAACTCCTTCGCACGGGATCGAGTTTCATTGCTAGAGTTTTCAGTCCCCATGAAACAAGTGTGGAAGATACGGTTGGCAAGTTCTTGTGGAGTCGTCGGAACGAATGAAGGGTCTTTTGTGATCTTTTGAACGTCAGAGATGACTTGCTTGTCGTTTCTTTCGATGGCTTCGATAACCAATCGGCACATGGAGTGAACAATTGTAGCAGTTGCACAGCTATCAATACCACCGCTGAGCGGGAGAAAGAATCCAGCCGTTCCCGATCGCCGCAGGTAATCCCAAAGCCAACATGCTGGCCCAAGTGCAATTTCTTCCTCTGGTGTATGGTATCGAACCGGAATCTCAGGCGACGGTTTGACAGCCGGATGAATATACTCTCCACCCTTCGACAATGCCTTCGTCGCTTCGACTCTTGTGTAAGTTTTACTGTTGTTAACGGCTTGTAGCCCCCTTGATGGAGCAAACCTAAAGCTTCGAACTTCCTCAAGATCGACAGTAGCGGTAACCACTTCCACATCATTCAATGAAAACTGCGTTCCCTGTGCCACGACTTTTCCATTGATGATGATCATAGCGCAACCATCGTAGTATAGCCGGTCACCATCGCATCCCTGCTGGTTGGAATAGAGATATATCCCACCATGTTGCAAGGTCGCATTCCGTATCAATTCAATTCGAGTATGCAACTTCCTAAGCTCGTGATGACTCCCGCTGGAATTCGTTACAACCTCAACACCGTCAAGTCCCATCGGAATATGTGGACTATCAGGTGTAAACAATTCCTCACACGTCTCGGCTCCGATACAACTATCGGGTGTGGAGATAACGGCATCTCCGAATAAAACTTGAGACTGTCCTGTGATTTCCGTGATCATTCGTGGGAGGTAGTAGTTTTCTGTGTGGCGTGGGCGGGACCATGGTGTGAAGTATCGCATCTCACGGTAGTTTCCATCATTGGCGAGCCAGATCTTGGGACGAATAAGGAGTATTTTACGGTTCAGAGCGATGACACGGCAGTTGTAGCGGACGTTCTTATGGGCTACTGGCCTGTGATCCTCAAAATTAGGACTTTTATATAGTCAGTGGAGAGGGACTGAGAGGCGGCATACATTCCAATATCGAGGATGATATCTTGACACTCCTCGTTGTTTAGAATTCTAGCGAACATCTCCCACGAGTGGAGATAGGTATCGCCTAATCCCAATTAGCCCATGGCATCGAGAAAATACCCCCAGGACAATATATCATACCTTCAAGGAAGTGATCTAGACATCCATAGCCACTTCAAACACAAAATCACAACAGTCACCAACTGTGCCTTGCCTGCAAGAGCGGGATATATGAAGATATAAGCCAATTGACATACGTTATCTCCAACTCAGGGCCGACACGAAGTGAAGCTCCAGCAGCCTTAGCAAGGCGAATACTCTCGATGATACGTTCGGCATTGCCCTCAAAATCTAGGGCCCACTGGTTTAGCGAACTATATCAGAGCGTGGGATATCGGTACCGATTAGCAACGTTGGATTTTCTAAGCTACGAAGGTCACATAGAAGGGAATGCATACCAAGTCGCAAGGGTCGTTAGATGACCCATATCGTATCACTATTGATGGATATTCGAATTTAATAGCTAGATTCCAGGTATGATGTTTGGGTAGCGTTCACGGGCTAGCTATGACTGTATCGATAAAGCTTTTGATAGGTAATGGCGGGGACCTATAGTCCGGCTAGTTGCTGGCGGGGTGGGGATTACCAGATGAGGTTTAGTCCCAAGCCTGCCATCGGCGTCGGCATAAGCGAGCCCGCCTTCTCATGCACCCTCCCCAAACCCCCCTGAACATCCACCCACCCCAATTCATCACTATCACGTAAACATGCCAACCACCATCGCTGCCCTACCCACCGAACTCCACGAGCAAATTCTCCACCATATCCCCTGGCATGATCACTTCCTTGCCGCCAGTGTTCTCCCAGTCTGGGCTTCTCTCTTACAAACCACGCCGTTCCGTCAAAAGCGTCATTACGATGACCTTCGAAACCTCTGGCATTTTACACCGTCAAGCTGCGTTTCCGGGTTTATCTTCAACCAGACGGCCCCAAAACGTCGGGGATTGAAGGATGTGGCTTCAAAGCTACATTTACATGCTTTACTCGACAGAGGTGCACTAGAAGTCAGCATGGAGAGAAACGGCATGCCAAAGATAGTTATGAATATCCCAAAGCCCGAGCAAACATGGTCGGACCAGCTGCCTCAAAAGGAAAACGGAGAGGGGAACAAAGAAGATTCAAGGCCAGGGGAGGATTCGAATTCATTGCACTCCGACTTCTCATCATCCGATGACCCCGAGCTCTCCGTTACATCCTACAATATCACATCTTCACCTTTACTCCTCTCGGACACGGTGGTCTATACCATAGGTCCTAACAAGGACTATCCGGTATTCGACGACCGTTTCGCACCACAACCGCATAGTTCAGAAATCTACGGGAATACAATAGTACTTTTCGAAGTACCGTTGGACTATCCATCCTTGTTAGGTAACGAGAAGCCTCAAAGCTTGATGGGGATAATAGAGGATGTTGTAATTTATATGAATGGTTGTTTTGAAACTGAAAGGAATGCGGAATGGATGAGGGCAGTTTTTGCGGGGTTTGGGAAGACACATCATACGGATGAGGTGCATTTTGAAATACGATATGGAAAGTAGAAGATATGCTTACTACCTTCTATATACTTATCTATGCTTGTTATGAGGTAGGTTAGAAGTTTATGGTATCGGGTTTTAGCGTAAGGACTGCGTAGCATGGTTTGATATAGATAGGTAAATATTTCTTAGATAGATAGTATGAAAATTGGGTAAGCTATATACAAGATCTTGCTTTTAGATCGATGGTAGTGAAAATAAATGAAATTTAAGTACATGAAGCTTCGTCTCGGAATACAACTATAACCCGTCGTTATAAAAAAGAAATCCTTTAACGCCTGCTAGCCTCCTTTTATAAGGAACCCCCCATAACTCACTCATAAAACTTCAATTCCATCTGAAGGGAAGACTAGTCCATTCTTCTCTCCGCACCACCTTCAAATAGCGCCGCATACTCCAACAATAGCCGGTAGGTATATATTGTCATATCGATCGGCCTCAAGGACTTCTTCGCCCACTCCTTCCCTCCCATCGCAATTTGCTCACCATACCCTAACCCCTTCGCATCGTGGGCAAAGTAGTCGAGCGCACTCTCCAACTCTTCCATGCCCAAGCTAACAGGGACATAATGCACCCAAGGTACCAGTCTATCATCGTGCCACTGTTCAAACATAGTCTGTTTGAAGACTAGGCAGTTGCTGAGTAGCAATCGATAGTACCTTCCCGAATATCCGTTCCCATCCAAATCCATGGCGAACTTGTATTCGAATCCTGTAGTCGGTGGGTCGATAGGTACCAACCCTACTAACTCCTCAAGCTTCTCACAGTACCCATCACACTGGACATACTTCGAAAATCCGATATTGAACATTGAGCTATCCCTAAACTTTTCGACAAAGCGAACACGATGGTTCCTTTTCCATGATGTTTCTTTGAACCACGACCCGGTCGACCAGCCCTTCCAGTACATTTGCGACTTCTTGGCGGTATAGTTTGTGCTATCGACGGTTTTAGTGTCACCGATGTAATGCCAGTCCACGTAGTCGAGGCCGGGCGTTAGCAAATCGGCCATGGTGCTCATACTAGTTGTGCTGAAAAATGGGATAACATTCCTCGTCGCTCTAAAGTTTGATGGAGAGTTGAAGAAGCCGTGCTGATTCCATGCTTCCGGATGTGTACAGATATCTAATGCCTCCTTAGGGTCTTCGACATATTTAACTTTTGTAGTTGTATCCCTCTTCGCCTTCTTTTGAGAAGAAAAGTGACACTTTCCGGAAAGTATCTCCCAAGCATCTTTCGATGCATAGTCTTCCATTGTAACTTTATTGCTATCGCGAAGGTGATCGTACCCGACAATTCGTGGTTCGTCCAGCCAGTTTAGAAGAATATCCATATCAGGAAGTTGGTCGACGATATCTTCAACGCTATTTTTGTATTGTTCCCCACAATCCACAAATTTTCCATCACGGATCTTCACGGTTTCGAATGCATCGGCACTTTCCTGCCAAGCTTTCATCCGACGAGTAAGATCGAACGAAGAAATTGAACGGAACGGAGCAATCCGTTCTTCAATCATGTCGTAGTCATCGATAACGGTAGAATTGTGCGCCAAAGCGTAACGAACCCATTTCGAAAATCCAGATGGCGGGTCGCGTTGATATCGTTTCTTGTAAGCTTTGATCGCCTCTTCGGGTGTTTTCGACTGGCGATTCAGGAAATTCTGGTGTTTGCGATAGTTTTGTAAGATGAGTTTTTCAATTGGGTGAGATGCCTTGACAGTATTTGAGATGTATGCTGCCTCCGACGAGAGAACTTGGAAAAGATATGAGCGAATGTGAAGGAATATCCCTACGATAAGGCAGATGAGAAGAAAGGAGCGGAGAGAATAAGGTTTTGAAATCCGGTAGGGAACCATGAAGGCGGTTTTGGGGTTGATCATCATTCTTTCTCCTTCTTTCTTTCCTTCCAAGCGCTTAACGAGTCGCTATAGCTGAAGCGGAATGGATTTACGATCACCCAGGGATTTGTCCCAGTCCCGTGGTTGACAAAGCGAGAGAAAGAGAGATAGGGGAAGCTGCGTCGATGATCAAGAGCCAGGCTATATGTAAATATCCTCAAGAGGGTTATTTCGACCGGAGTCGAGACATTAAAATGCCCGAACAAATCGAGGAAGCTAGCTAATAGGGGACCAGGGAGGGGAGAAGGAAGAAGGGAGCAGGATAGCGGGCGGGTGTCAGCCCATTATAAGCAAAATACTCGAAGATAATCACCAGTGCACATCTGCACTGCGCATGCATCAATTTAAACCAACCGCTTCTTAGGTGCGATCATGAACGGGAACTAACTACACAGTAAGGACCCTCCTCAGCATTGCATCTGCTCACTAGCTAACCCACAATCAAATTCATTCGGTAGGCCGGCCGGGCTGGTTGCAATTGCTCCACCCGTGCAGAATGGTCTTGAGCCAGGGGTAATTCCACCAGGTTGTGGGCCGGCACTAGTCTAACCTCTAATTGCTAGCTAACGAGCTGAACCTGATCTTATACAAAAGCGAAGAAGACCGGGCTAACTCGTGCTGCGTGGCGCGGAAAGGACGGGAATCGATGCCTGTGAACACCTTCCTCAGGGACCGCGCCAAGCAGTCGGTTTCGGTCAGTCGATTGTAAGCGTGCAGACATGCATACATGGTCCGGCCGGCTTCATGGAGAAGGTGAGCAAACCCAACATCAATATTAATACCGATATCTATACGGGTATAGATAACTACCCCGAATCATATTATACAAGATCTAGTCGCTAGCCAATATTGATACTTGATTCAGTAGGTAATTCATTCCATAACTCTCGAAGCGCAGTAGCTTACCCCGATCCAAGCAAATAGTTGACATTTGTTGCATCTTGCATGTCAAAATGTTGCAACTTGACCGCATTCTCGAGTTCTCAGGTAGAAAAGCAATTCCGTGGCTCTCCGGCGCCAAAGCAATATACTGTGTCGTATATTCTCGGTTGGTTATCGACCGGATCAGAGGGGTCCCCTGCTCACGCATCCATAACGACATCAAGAGGGCCCGGGTATTATCTGAAACAATAACATTTCTGCTAACCTACTCTTAGCTCTGAGCCGTAGTTAAATACTATAGAATGGCGGCGAGAATTTATCGCGAGTTCAAATGGAATTCTGCATCATCGGTCAGGTGGTGATGTCTATCGGGGCCGAAATTATATGATTAACTCCGATTTTAAAGGTGAATTACTTAGTAAGTCAGTGTTCACATCAAATTATAGTCACGATCATGATCTATTTAACATACCAGTTCCCTGACCGCCAAGTTATGCAAGGTTGACTGAGCTATGGTTACGACTTTAAGATCGAGAGAATTCAAGAATGCGGCTCGCCAAGAATCACGACAAGCTCCTCAGCCTAAATGAACTGCAACAGGTCTCCAGGTCTTTCAACATGTCCGCGTGTCCTCTCCAGGACCAGGTCGCTTTAGCTTCTCATAATATCTTACTACTATACTCGTACAGTGGTAGGGAAAAAAAAAAAGATAGGATGAATATTGTTTTACCAATCCCTGTTCCAAGTTCCACCACCCAACCTTTCTAGAAGGCCATGACCACCCCACTACTAGCAATCACTTACCTTACTTAGTCTTCTCGCCACAATAATCATATGTGAAGGGAAACACATGATGGCTACGAAAGTTAAGAGGTAAAAGAATAAGAATGCGTTAATTCATCGTGGAATGTTCCGTTGCATTTTCGCTTGGCGTTTCGATGGTATACTGGGGTAAGCGAATGGGTTCAGGCACTACGGACCGGAAAATAAACGGAGCAGCAAGACCTTGAAGCATATTCGAAAGCGTACATATTCGGTGGTGTATAATGATTAAGCATTATTGGTCGGATTTCCAGCCGGGCTTTGCAAATTTGTCTTAAAATGTTATTTTATTGGTGACTGCGAAGAATATAGTCGAGTTCGTGATCAGTTGACTTTGGTGGACATATTATCGAATCTATCGACATGGGAATTTGGAAATATATCCAAGCAATCCGGGCAGGATAACTCGGTACTTAAAAGTATTCTGGGAAATACTCAACGAGACCAGAAATACTCAACTCTCAGTAACGATTGCAAGATGGAATAAACTTTTGTTCCTGTTCTTGTGCTACAGAGCAGTGAACGGCTATAATAAGTCGCTCTCGCCCGGTAGTTTCCATATGACCCATACCCCCGTCAACCTTACTTAACCCCCACAATCACCAGATTCCTGGGGCTAATCCCGTATTCAAATGCCGCTTCAACTTTCACAATCCTGCATTTGCCACTCTCCCTCAAATAAGACCAGCGGTCGACAACCACTAAGCTCTCCACACACCCCGCACAAAACGCCATCAATGTCCACATAATGCTCAATTCCTTGAGTCCCTTCTCATATCGTCGTTCATAACTTTCCACCTCCTCTCTTCCAATATTATCCAAACCTGCTTCCTTAATCTTCACTTTAACGCCTTCACCAACACTACTTCCCACATCCCCACTTGCAGCATTCAATATCTTTCTCACAGCTGAGGTTACGTATTCGTAAAATCCCATATAAGCGGCCTTTCTTAGGCTCCCTACAATCAATGGCTCTGTCGCACTTAGCACGCCCTTTTCGAAAAATATACGCTGTAACAACGCTCTATAGAAGTGACGTTTAAAGAAGTCGGAGCTAGTAGCTTGTGTCCAGTTTCGAGGTGCTTGGACGGCCATCATCCTTGCTGTGATATTGAGTGTTATGGATTGTGAAGATAGGCGGGTGGAGAGCGGAAAGTGATGGTTAAGACAGTTAGAGGGAATGGGCGTATTTTCTGCTGGAATGTATTTTTGATAGGGTGGCTTGTAAGTTGGGCCAGTACGTTCGGTCATTAAGTTGTAGCAGCAGCCTAGTGGTATAAATCCCTTAGCCATACACTACATTTACAATCTACTCAAAACGTGGTGGAGAGAAAACATACCGACAACAGCGACGGCCTTGACTTCATCGTTTGCGATTAAAGCATTGAGGGCGTGATGAATAAGGTTCCCACAAGAATGAAGTGATATGATCATAAGTCCTGGGTTCTCAGTCTTATTTTCATCTTCAGACTGTTCAAGGGCTTCTAAAATTTCTTTCATACTCTCATCTTTGATTATATGTTGAACGTATTTAATCGAACCCTTTTTAGCTTCAGCGCCGTTTAGGCTCTCCTTAAGAGTCCTCCCCTGCGATCTTGCCGTTAATCCAACTCTTTCATCTAGGAGCTTCCCAGCTTCTATATTACTCGCTTTGGATTCAACGGCTACGAGGTCGAGGTTATGTGGCGGTGAGGCTAGGATCCTGGAGAGATAAGACTGCCCTGACCCAAAGTCTACAAGGTGGGTAATTGAGTCGCCAGTAGAATCTGTGGCCACAGAAGCAAGGAGCGTAGATAAATAGCGGGCGAAATGTTCTACCTACTGAATGATATACCCGGCGTTAGCTCTGCTCACCAAAATCATAAACTGGTAAGAAGATCAATACAGTAGAGGGACAGACCTCATGTAGTTTTTTATTGTTCATTCCCTGAGCTAGTTTCCTCTGTCTATTTAATTTATGTTGATCCTCAATTTCACCAAGATTGTTGACGACCTCTCGTAGTAACTCGTGCCTCTGGACATTTTCTGCAAATTCGTAAAGCGAATCCGGGATTCCTTCTGGATGAACAGTTGATAAGTCTGTTCGAAAGAGAATTTCGAGTATTTCATCAATTGATTTGGTTTCGAAGTAATCTCGCCAGGATTCTGGGAGTATTGAATCATAGAGTGGAGGCGACGAGGTGAAGAAGTCGAGTATGTGCACCCCGCCTACGAGTTGATAGAAGAGAGGGGTGGATGATGTGAAGTTTAGGAGGGATGTGATGTAGGCATCGGCTGAAGCGAAGGATTCATGGTGCGGTAGTGTGGATTCCATGTTATCGGAGTATCATATTAGTTCCCCTTATTTACAATATGAATTGTAGATACGGTTGAAATTGAGATTGAACTGTGAAGTTGAATTTGAAGTTGAAGTTGAAGCTGAAATCTCAAATTTCGTTGTGCAGTTGCATTTAAGCTTGTTCTTGGCAGCCGTCGCAAACGTCGCGTCTTCCCAGCCGGCTTTGGCTTGACATCCATCTCAACCTTCTACCTCAACCTCATCAACCTCAACCAACCACCATCACCACATCGTCACCCAACCTCAATCAAAGTACACCAACTCCCCCCAGTCCAGGCCCCCCAAAAACCTTGTCGCTGTCATTCATTGGGTACTATTACCTGCCTCTCTCTCTCTCTTCCTGTCCGAGTCCAGCAGCTTCTGTCGCTGGTTTGGATTGATCGAGAAGCGTGGTCTTTGGGTTGAGGGACACATATAGACCCTCTTTGAGAAGAGTTTGAACATCTAGCTCAGCAATGTCTACCATTACAAGCGGCGCCCTTCAGTCGGGCTACCCGTAAGAATACCTCCACTTCATTTCATTCCATCTGATCTGATCTCATCGGTTCTCCCCATCAACCTGCCTACTGCACTATTTTTACCTGCCCACAATGACACGATCATCCAAGCCATTAGGTCAAGCTAACGCCTTTTCTAGTCCTATCATTCCTCCAGACTTCTCTGCCAATCAACCAAAGACTATTCGTCTATACCCACTTTCGAACTATACCTTCGGAACCAAGGAAAATCAACCAGAAGAAGACCCTTCGGTCCTCGCCCGTCTCCAACGCCTTCAAGAGCACTACGAGAAACATGGCATGCGAAGAACATGTGAGGGAATTCTGGTTTGCCATGAACACTGCCATCCGCATATTCTAATGCTGCAGATTGCGAATGCTTTCTTCAAGCTGTAGGTTTCTCCCATTTTGCTTTACAGGGAGTTTAGCTGGGCTAATTAATGGATAGACCCGGCGACTACCTCCAACCCGAAGAGGACGAAATCTCCGGATTCAAGGCCCGTCTTAACGAACGACTAGCCCCAGTTGGAAACCAATTCTCGGGCGAAGGCGTAAACGACGAATGGGAAATCGGTGACACGCTTGCCCAATGGTGGCGTCCTAACTTCGAGACTTTCCTTTACCCGTTCATTCCTGCCCACGTCACAAGGCCTAAGGAGGTTAAGAAGCTTTACTTTATCCATCTGCCGAGGAGTAGTACGTTAAATTTCACCAGCCCCACTAAATTATCGGCCGTACGGCTTACTAATTTTTCTGTTTTACGTCTGTTTAGAAGTTTTGAGTGTTCCAAAGAACATGAAACTCCTCGCTGTACCGCTCTTTGAACTTTATGACAACACCGCGCGCTATGGCCCTCAACTATCAGCCATTCCGCATTTGCTCTCCCGCTATAACTTTGAATTCGTTGATGAAAATGGTAAAGTCATTGCCATCACGCCAGGGAGTACGAACGGAAACCCATCAACAAAAGTTCTAGCAGGTGGCAGTGGAGCCAACGGAGAAGCTGCCGACGAAAGCATGAAAGTTGAGGAAGATGGCGTCGCAGGCGATTTATAGAGTGGATCTGCCTGGGTTGGCCATGGGGGAGAGGGATGGCATCACGGGATAGGGGGTAGTGGCGGTAATAGGAGTGATAATAAGTGGGCAGGGCCAGTGTTTGTCAATGAACGACCAAAGAAGCGAAGAAAAGCTGGGAAGCCGCCGACAAAACCTGAAGAGGATGGGTGTGAATGGGAGGAAGTGGAATTCGACACTCCGGACATCATGGAGATGAAAAATGAGTAGGATACACATATGAGGCGACAGCAGGCGCAATGCAAAGGCCGGGGGTTAAAATAAAAACCATTCCTCTTGGGTATGAGGGCCTCTAATCCCCTTTGCCTCCCCTCCCTTTTTGGCTACCTCGCTCCACTACAGGAGCTGGTGTTCATTGTATCTTTTCATCCGACTGTCACCACTGTTCCTGCTGCATTGCCTTTGACTGTTCACCTTCTTAAATTTTTCTTGTGTTTTCTTACTCTCTGTCATTCGTGATTCTTATTAGTATTGATCGGTTATGGGATTATGTTTCCTTTCTACAGATGATATATTTATTCCTTCTCTTGTCTCTTTCCGCAGGTCTCTTCTGCTTTACGTGACCTAGCATGTTATCGGCACGGTGTAATCTGCTTCAACGACATGAATGTGTATTCTACTACTTACCTACCTATCCACCCACCATGAGAGAATTCTAACTCGAACCCCTACTGCGTAAATGGCCTGTTTGAGACAGTGGTGGATTGTGCCAGTGGCAATCAGGTTTCTCGCGCTTAATACGAGATACCGACAACGACTGGGATAGAGGGTATACATCAGACGAGGTCTATGGGCATTAACCAACAAACCAACCGACTAACAGTAACAATAATATATCGTCCTAAATATCCAGCCTCTTACTTTGTCCCGTATGTATCATTTACGAGGGGTCAGAAGAAGAAAGTACTGTGAGTATTTGGTGTATTTGTGACCTGGCCTGGTAGCCCAAGTGGGACAAAGCTACGACAGCAGCTTGCGTACCAGTGCCAGCTTGCGTATGTCATCGATTCTCTCTCAACAAAAAAACAAAGAGACGAAGGCGTAAGCTTTTCATAACGTGATTTGAACCTGTATATATATCGACCCCCTTTGCCGGTACCGTAAAATAGGGCAGAGCAGAGTCGAATAAGTCACAAGAGAGTCGCAGCTGTCAGCCAGGAAACAGTTTGCCAGCTGGGATCTGCCCGCCAAGACCGGAGCGAGACAGCTAACAACACCACCACCACGTAACAGCTTGCTTCCTCGTTCAGACCATACCATACCATACCTCTTACATTCAGCAGTCGACGACATCCCCTTTTGGAGTAAAGCCTGGAAAGGGGTTGGCCTCTTTGTCTCTTATAACCTTTCTCCTCATCTCATCTTCATCTTCATCCCACATCGCTGCTATACCATCGAGCCTGTTCGGCTGTACCACCTGTCAAAATGTCGCAGGGCTACTCGTTTGTCTCCCCCATGCTCCCTTGCTTGAGACTATCAATAGAGGGATAGCTAAATGATATGGTTTTGTCAACAGGCAAAGCGTCAACGACCCACAGCTTATCACTACCGTTAACAAGCTTCAAGATGTCTTTGCGACGGTTGGAGTACGTCCTACAACCACCCTTCTTTACGATGCCTAGTAGCTTTGTTCGGAGCTTTAGCTTCTCTAGACCTCGTGGAGCTGATAAGAGACGCTTCTTTTTTCTTTTAGGTCCAAAACCCGATAGACTTGCCACAGATTGTTGTCGTCGGATCTCAATCGTCAGGAAAGAGTTCCGTATTAGAAAATATTGTCGGAAGAGATTTGTAGGTTACATAACGCCAGAGAGTTTACTGGTGAGCTTGCGAGGCGAATGCTGGGCTGACGTTGCGATGTTGGAACACAGTCTTCCAAGAGGTACTGGTATCGTCACCAGACGGCCGTTGGTACGTTACTACTTCCTACTACGAATATTTTCCATTATCCCATAAAGGACTCTCTGAGCTTACGATACCCTCTCATCTGTCTCTAGGTCCTCCAACTGATCAACCGTGCTGCCGGTACCAATAACCCCTCTGCCAACGGCGACTCCAATGATAACGGCCTCAAGGGCAGCACAGACTCCGCCGCTAACCTCGATGAGTGGGGCGAGTTCCTTCACATTCCCGGCCAAAAGTATTACGACTTCAACAAGATCCGTGATGAAATTGTTAAGGAAACCGAAGCTAAAACTGGTCGTAATGCCGGTATCTCGCCTGCACCCATCGGGTTGAGGATATACTCTCCCAACGTTCTTACTTTGACACTAGTCGACTTGCCTGGTTTGACAAAGGTGCCAGTTGGAGATCAGCCAAAAGATATTGAGAAGCAGATCAAGGACATGGTGTTGAAGCAGATCAGCAAGCCGAATGCGATTATTCTGGCAGTTACAGCGGCGAACACCGATTTGGCAAACTCCGATGGTTTGAAGTTGGCAAGAGAAGTTGACCCTGAGGGTATGTATTCTATTCGCATGCTCAAGAGTTGAGGGTTGTGTGCTAATATGGGATTAGGTCAACGTACTATTGGTGTTCTCACCAAGATCGATCTTATGGACGATGGAACCGACGTTGTCGATATTCTCGCCGGCAGAATCATTCCTCTACGTCTTGGATACGTACCAGTTGTTAACCGTGGCCAACGTGATATCGAGAATAAGAAACCGATTCAAGCGGCTCTTGAGTACGAGAAGAACTTTTTCGAAAACCACAAGTCGTACAGGAACAAAGCTCTCTATTGCGGTACCCCATACTTGGCACGGAAACTCAACTTGATTCTCATGATGCACATCAAGCAAACACTTCCTGAGATCAAGAACAGAATTTCCGCATCTTTGCAAAAGTACGCTACCGAACTTCAAGGTCTTGGCGACTCTATTCTTGGTAACAGCTCGAATATACTTCTCAATATTATAACGGAATTCTGTAACGAATACCGGACAGTTCTTGACGGTAACAACCAGGAGTTAACTTCGATGGAGTTGTCCGGTGGTGCCCGTATCAGCTTTGTGTTCCATGAGGTTTATGCCAATGGTGTTAAAGCTGTTGATCCGTTTGACCAGGTGAAGGATGTCGATATCCGAACAATTTTGTACAACTCGTCTGGTTCGAGTCCTGCACTGTTTGTGGGAACTACAGCGTTCGAGTTGATCGTTAAGCAGCAAATTAAGAGGTTGGAAGAGCCTAGTGTTAAGTGTATCAACCTTGTCTATGATGAGTTGATCAGGATTTTGAACCAGTTGCTTCAAAAGCAGGTATGTTAGACCCTCTATCCTCAATTTTATCGGGTTTTAGCTAATAAAGTCGGTATAGCTATTCCGACGGTACCCTATGCTTAAGGAGAAGTTCAGCATGGTTGTTATCACATTTTTCAAGAAGGCCATGGCCCCAACCAACAAGCTTGTCGTCGACCTTGTCTCCATGGAAAGCTGCTACATCAATACTGGTCACCCCGACTTCCTCAACGGTCACCGAGCTATGGCAATCGTCAATGAGAAGCACAACTCCGCCAAACCAGTCCAAGTTGACCCTAAAACTGGGAAACCATTGCCGCGCACAGAATCTCCGGCACCAAGTCTGGACTCTCAGGAGAATACTGGATTCTTTGGCAGTTTCTTTGCAAGCAAGAACAAGAAGAAGATGGCAGCTATGGAGCCACCGCCACCAACTTTGAAGGCCTCGGGAACTCTTAGTGAACGAGAAGGAATTGAAGTTGAGGTTATTAGTATGTTACCACCATTAATCTGAATATCTGGTCGCTTTTTTAGGGATCGAGGCGCTAACCACTTTGATACTTTTTTCTTATAGAGCTGCTCATCCAGTCTTACTATAATATCGTGAAGCGAACAGTTATTGATATGGTCCCCAAAGCTATCATGTTGAATCTTGTCCAGTAAGTCGACGCCTGTGTTTCCAACCAGCTATCATTGTTTTCGGAATACTAACCGCGGTATCATTTATAGATTGACAAAAGACGAGATGCAACGAGAACTTCTCGAGAACTTGTATAAACTAGACAGCGTGGATGATTTGTTGAGGGAGTCTGATTACACAGTCAGACGGAGGAAGGAGTGCCAGCAGATGGTGGAGTCGTTGACCAAGGCGCAGGAGATTGTCAACACCGTCGGCTAGAGGCTGCGGGATCTGGAGACTGATTTGAGGTGGTTGATGTAGTCACAACTTTTTTCTTTTATTTGGTTGCATTGGCTTAGATAGGACGATGACGATAGCGATGGCCGCGGCGGATGGTGTAATGATGCTATATTATTCTTTACTCCCCTCTTTCTTTCCTCTATGACCCTACGATTCTGGATACCGTTTCTCTTCCCTTCAACTTCTTTCTTCACCCTCCTCTTTTTCTTTTGTCTTCCTTTGTTAACTTTATAAAGCTCTGCAGTTCTTCCCTCTTCTCTTCTTTCGCATCTTTTCTTGTTTTCTGTTGGAGGATGCTTGATTTCTTTGCTGGCCTTTCTGTCTGATGGCTCGAGATGATTTGACGTTAGTAGAACGATTCTTCTTATTTGCGAAACTCCTATATAAATCTTTTTTAGACCGATCATTTCGTCTGTAGGATTTTAAGTAATATACGTAATGTTAGAAGCGGCCCATGGGTAGAGGCCTAGAGGCGTGAGCTTCACACCTGGCGTTGGCGTTGGATTGTCGGTGTGCCGGCGCAGACTCTGATTGGCTGCCGCGTCCTCCACCAACCAACAACTTAATTCTTTCTCCACGCGTAGATTGAAGAGCTTCACGAAACAGCTTCAACCATCCCGGTCTTCTATCCGATATACCCTAATACCCCATCTACCAGCTTCTCGAGTACCTACTCAGGTGCTTTTCCACTAGAAGCACTCAAATACTCGAGAACTCGCCATTGACTCCTCCACATACGACTTCAACTAGTTTCCAGTTGTTGCTAGCTTTGATAGCAGCAATTACCCCCACACATACCGCCCACCATGGCCATGGACAGAGCATCCGTCTACTCTTTCCCCGTACTACAATCCGAGTATGATGAATCGCATGAATCAAATACACAGATTGAACGACAATTCGCGCAGTTCATTCTCACGTTTAAGCTTGGAAATAGTTTTATTTATCGGTATGGGGATTATTCTTCTTGTTGATCCTGCACGTGGGATTTTATGTTTCTATATACGTGGGAGATTTCTTTGCTAATTTATGGAATTTTGGGAATTTTGGTGGGGGATAGAGATCAACTTCAAGAAAATGTCTTGATCAAACGGTTCTGTCTAGACGTTGATGTTGCTCATCTTATTAGTTTTAGTGAAGAGTTGGCTGATGCTCTGGCTACCGAACCGGCTGAGAAGTTACCTCTTGTATGGATACCACTGGCTCTTTCCCTCCTTCTTAACATCTTATGTGGTTTTTAAGTCTAACTAGGTCCGTATATCTATAGTTCGAAGCAGCGGCAAAAGAATGCGCAAAAAGAATCCTGATCCCTACCCAGTCGGCTTCAAAAGATTCACCCGACATCCCGGAAATTCAAGTTACCCTCTCCTCATCTACAAACGAAACAAAGATCCGTGATCTTACCGCCAATAGTGTTTCTAAGCTCGTTAGAGTTCCTGGAATCATCATCGGCGCCTCGACGCTCTCATCTAAGGCTACAAGTTTAAGAATTCAGTGCCGTGGTTGCAATACCACCACATCCGTTCCTATCAATAGTGGATTTTCGGGGGTTACGTTACCACGAGTTTGCAATGCACCAAAGGAAGAAGGAAGCGAGAAGTGCCCTCTCGATCCATATTTTATTCTGCATGAGCAGTGTAGATTTATCGATCAGCAGGTTTTGAAGCTCCAGGAGGCGCCGGATCAGGTCCCTGTTGGAGAGCTACCTCGACATGTTCTGTTATCTGCGGACCGATATCTTACGAACCGAGTTATTCCTGGATCGAGATGTAAGGTTGTGGGTATTTTTTCGATCTATCAGAATAAGGGGAGCAAAGGTCCCTCTGCGGCTGTAGCTATCAGGACACCTTATTTGAGGGTTGTGGGGATTGAAGCCGACGTTGATCATACAACTAAGGGATCAGCGATATTTAGTGAAGAGGAAGAACAAGAGTTTTTGGAGATGTCGAGGAATCCGAATCTTTACGAGGTGTTTGCAAATTCGATTGCGCCGTCGATTTATGGAAATCCAGATATTAAGAAAGCTATTGTTTGTCTTCTAATGGGAGGTTCGAAGAAGATCTTACCGGATGGGATGAAGTTGAGAGGTGATATCAATGTATTGCTGCTTGGTGATCCTGGAACGGCAAAATCGCAGTTGTTGAAGTTTGTGGAGAAGGTTTCACCGATTGCTATATACACCAGTGGAAAGGGATCTTCGGCTGCTGGTCTTACGGCGTCGGTGCAGAGGGATGCGCAGTCGAGGGAGTTCTATTTGGAAGGTGGTGCTATGGTTCTTGGTGATGGTGGGGTGGTTTGTATTGATGAATTCGACAAGATGAGGGACGAAGATCGTGTTGCTATTCACGAAGCTATGGAGCAGCAGACTATCTCTATTGCAAAGGCTGGTATTACAACAATCCTTAATGCTAGGACGTCGGTTTTGGCTGCGGCGAATCCGATTTTTGGACGATACGATGATATGAAGAGCGCTGGTGACAATATCGATTTTCAGACTACAATCTTGTCGAGATTCGATATGATTTTTATTGTGAAGGATGAGCATGATACAGAAAAGGATAGGACAATGGCGAGACATGTTATTGGAATCCATATGAATAGAGATAGAGAGCCGAGGGATGTGGCTGGGGAGATTCCGATTGATAAGATGAAGAGGTATATTACTTATTGCAAGACGTGAGTATCCCTCTCTTTCCTTCATCATTCTACCGGAGAATGTGGTTCAATGGTTAACATGGACTGGTTTTTAGACGATGTGCGCCGACATTATCACAGGAAGCGGCAGAACGGTTATCATCACACTTCGTATCTATTCGCAAACAAGTCCATAAATCCGAACTGGATTCCAACGAACGATCTTCAATCCCAATTACAGTCCGACAATTGGAAGCTATAATCCGTATCACAGAGTCTCTCGCAAAACTCACTTTATCATCGGTAGCAACGGAAGCGCACGTTGAAGAAGCCATACGACTATTTATGGCCTCGACGATGAATGCGGTTAGTCAAGGAAGTACTCTAAGTGAAGATGTACTAAAACAGGCCGGGAAGATTGAAGACGAGTTGAGGAAGAGGTTGCCGATTGGATGGACAACAAGTGTAGCGACTTTGAGGAAGGAGATGGTGACTAGACGGGAGTATACGGTTGCGGCTTTGGATAGGGCGCTACAAGTTATGAGTCGGAGAGAGGCGATACAGTTTAAGAACCAGGGCGCGCAGATTGTGAGGATTGGAGTGTAGTTCTATAGTATACCCTTCACATACTTAGTCCTGGATGAGGATATTTACCTTCCTCCTTCCTAAGTCCTTTGTTAGATAGCCTTTGATTCTTCATACATACTAATATAGTGGTATCGTCAATAGATACTGTGGATACTAGTTGTTCTGATGAATTTTGTTTTACCCAAGAAAGTGCTTGGTGCTGTCACGTGACATTATCTTCTTGAAGCTGGCTGTCCTTTGCCGCGATCCGTCGCCGCGCAATTGCTCGCCCACCGCGAATTATCTCGTCGAGACTTACGTATACATGTTCAGTTTCCCACTTTCATATTTAAACACCAGTCCGACAATCCGAATGCCAGCAATGGGTACTCTGATCCTTTCATGATCGATAAAATCATAAGAGACACATATATCACGTTTCCCATAGCTGCCTCGAAGCTCTCGGACCAGTACTAGCGCAGCCATGGCTACCAAAGACGATACCACCCCGCGTCCATCAATGGACTCCTTCGCAGCTCCCAGATCACCTACTTTCTCCGCCTTCTCGTTTACCGAAACTTCATCTGGCCTTCCCCGTGGGAGGAGAGGGTCTGCAGCTTCATCCGTATTCTCGCTCAACTCTGTTTCGGATCATCGGTCGTCAACTGCTGCTGTTAGGGATATAAAGAATCATGGTAGCATCCATTCTTACCCTATGCCTTTTTTATGACAACATATGCTAGTATGATGGTGGGTTTTGAAGACTAATCCTTATACCTTCCTGTAAATAGCTATCGCTACTCTTCTCGACAATACCACGACCCGCTCCAACATTCCCAAACCAACAACCCGCGACATCCCACCAGTAGTACTCACAAACATCACCAAAGTAGCTTATACCGAATTCTCCCAGTATCTCTCTATAGCACCCGAATACGAAAGATATAAGCGAGCGAAAGAACATGAATGGGAGGAGGCTGTTCGGCGACCTAGGACACCCGATACACCTGTTACCGAAGATCCGTTTAAAACCCTTGTGAGGAGTCCAGACAGCAGGAAGACTTCCTTGGTGCCCTCCACACCACCAATTGGACGGCCTGGATCTAGTGACGGTGGGGCCAGTGGAAGGAAGTCGAGCTTGAGGAAACAGAGCGTGGCTATACCTCCTTTAAATACAGTACCGCAGATATATTTTGACGAAAACTTTCATCTCGAGAATCCCAGGACGTTCGATGTGGTCAGCGAACGTAGTCATGTTATCCAATCACCGATCCAAGAGAATGGTATCGACGGAGGAGGAGGGCATTTCGCAGTCGGGAGGAAAGCGTTGGCTACCAATGCCATTTTACAGGAAAAGCTAAGTTGGTATATGGATATCGTGGAAGTGCATCTGATTAAGGAGATTTCTTCGGCATCATCCGGGTTCTTTGCCGCTCTTGGAGATCTAAGAGAGTTACACGCCGAGGCTGATGCATCGGTTCGGAAGATTCAGTCGTTGAGAGCGGAATTGGACAGATTGGACAGGGATCAAGCGCTCGCCGGGCTTGAAGTCGTTAGACTACGAAGAAGGAAGGCGAACGTCCAGAAACTGGTCCATTCGGTCGAACAGATTGCGCATACTATCAAGAAATTGAGCGAGGCGGAGGAATGTCTAGAGAAAAACGACATTGTGGCCGCGATGGACACTATTGATGCTACAGAGTCGCTTTTGGAAGGCCGCTCGGCATGTGGCCTTGCGACTCCTATAATTGACCTTCGCCCTGTCAAGGCAGTCTCAGCTATCCAAGTTGACCTTACAAATCTTCGTGCTCGATGCGGAAAGGCTCTGGAAACCCGTTTCGTTGATACGCTTCTAGCAGACCTTCGAAAACATGCGGAAACTGTACCGCCGTCGGATACATTACTCAGATTCTTTCAGGCATACCAGAGACAACAGAGTCGGTCGGCACTTAGGGCCGACGCCATGCCATCCCCTCGGCCGGTATCGATGGATTATTCGCAGCTACCGGACTCCTTGAGGTCATTATTGCTCGACCATCTCGACGGCCTACGACGTGCGAACCACGTTGAAAAGGCTGTACAGGCATACCGTGAGGCAGTACTTAAGGAGACTAAAGCCATCATTCGCCGAAATATGCCTAGCGACGATGATGCAGCCAGTAACCTTAGTGGTGCAAGTCGTGCGGCGGGTATGGGTCGTACAGCGGCCGAAAAGTCATCAAGTCTTGCGAAAGCCCTCAGAGCACTGGGCCCCCGAGAAGCCGAAGATTTGCTTGTGAGAATTTATACTGCTATCAGCGAGACATTGAGGCGACTTGGTACCCAACAGAAGTTATTGTTGGATGTTACGAGCGGGATTGACAGTATTCTATCTCCCAGAAACTTCTCAACTTCACCTAATGGGGTGGGGAGTCCGCCGCCTACAACGGAGAGTAATATGGACTCGTTTTATTCGGTTTATTCTATGGATATCTCCGAACTTATAAATGCAGCTATCGATGCGGCGCAGATTCAGATGGTCAAGGTGTTGAAAGTTAGGAACGACCAAACTGCGCGGTTGCCACTAGGGGACTTTTTAAGATATTTCATGTTGAACAAGTTGTTTTCGGCGGAATGCGAGGGGCTGTCTGGTAGGATTACGACGAACCTCCAGGGTGTGATTGGAAGCCAGATTAAGGATTTTATCACCGCTTTCCATTCTGAGAGTATCACACAACTTGCCACGACTATTGAAAAGGATCAATGGGAAGCAAAAGATTTTAAACCCTCCGCAAAAGCTAGCCTTGAGAGGGTTCTAGAAGCTGCTACCAAAGATGCGGAGATGTGGCTTGCTTGGGGGAGGGTATATGAGGATCCACCAGTCCAGGAGGAAAATGTAGACGATCAGTTGCCGACTGGTAAGATTAGGACGGCGACGATTGATGAGCAGAGATTTATCTTACCGGAAAGTGGATTGGTGGTGCTACGATTATTGGAAGGGTATGAATGTTTGATGGCTATGATTCCTGTTAGTGTGGCAGATGTCGCGACTAGTTTGATCGAATTTTTGAAGGTACGATATCTTAGTCTCTTTTCCCTTTTATCTTTGGCCCTAGCTATGTGGTTCCGATACTAATTATCTGGGGGATAGTTATTTAACTCCCGAGTCTGCCAAGTCATCCTCGGAGCCGGTGCGACAAAATCAGCTGGCTTGAAACATATCACCACAAAACACCTAGCATTAGCATCACAGGCTCTATCAATCGTTATCGCCGTAGTCCCCTACCTCCGCGAAGCTATCCGTCGCCACCTAGGCCCCGCATCCTCAGGCGGCACCATCCTCCCGGAATTCGACAAACTAAAACGTATCTTCCAAGAACATCAATCAGAAATCCATAGCAAATTGATCAGTATCATGTCGGATAGATTGATGGCCCATGTTAGGAATATAAGACAGAATATCGATTGGGACGGCCCCGGCGGTGTTGAAGGGAAGGTTAGTTTGTATATGGAGACGTTGGTGAAGGAGACTACGACGTTGAATAAAGTGCTTAGTAAGCACTTGAGTGAAGAAGTGCTTGGGAGTATCATGGGACCGGTTTTTGCGGTTTATAAGAAGAGACTTGGGGAGGCTTATGCGGTTGTACCGGTAAAGACGGAAGTTGGGAGAGGAAGGTATGGTTTTTTTCCCTCTTATTTTTACTTTCCCTTAATATTGTGATGTGAAAGGTGGTGCTAATGGATTTCACGTTCTTGGATAGGATGCTACGGGATGCACAGTTCTTTAAAGATAGGATGGCAAAGCTGGAAGGTGGAGCTGAAGCAGGAGAAGATATTTTGAAAGTTGTAACGGAGAAGAATATCTCCGGGGCAACATCCTCCAATGCCGTAGCTGAAACGCCGAGGAATAGTATTGCGATTGCAACAGGGGCAAATTTAGCTTCTTCCTCTTCTTCCGCTACTGCTAATGGAGATAAAACCTCTGCTAGTACAGAAGGGAAAAAGGATACTGCTGATGCTACTGCTGATGCGGCGGGAGAACCGGCTGGTGCAACAGAAAAGAACGGAGATAAGAAGGCGTAGTGGGCTTCTACTCTTTTATTTTTGAGGGATGTTGCTGATGAAGTTGGAGATGGGGTTGAGGAAGTTGTGGAGAGGTTGAACTTGGATTGATATTTTTCCTCCGATCATTTGGCCCATTGATGGGGGTATCGATTATTTTAGCATGCTTCGATACCATGATGATATGTAATTTTTCTTCCCTTGTTAGATGTCATTGCATTTTGGGCGGGCGCCGTTGGGAGTGTACAGGCGTTCAGATTCTATTTTTTTTTAATGTTTATTGTTGTCTCAATGTTTATTGATACACATATCTTATTGGTACATATATTGGGGTTTTGGTTTTGAAGCCAATGGTTTTCTGGTTTTTCCTTTTGTTTTCTTTTGATGAAGGATATATTTCAGCTTAAGTGCTTAGGTAAGGAAGTAGTTAATGAAGCTTTGAATCACGCTACGATATCGCCCGATCTCGTGAAGCATCTTTCGACATAAAACATGCCTACATCCGCATGCGCGATTTCGTTTATCGAAATCAACTGAAACTATAGCTACCAACCTACTAGCTACTTTGACTAATCCAAAAAAAAAAAGAAGAAGACGAACTAGAAGAAGAAACTGTGAGCTAGTTTTCGGAGTAGCCTATGAATAATTTTAATGTTATACTTAACCGGTATGGTAGCTTGCACGTTAGTTTATGATCTCATCAATCGAATTTTCCAGAGATTTAGGACCTGCCCTGGGATGTATTGAAGACAACGCAAATATGTGAAAATAATGCAACAGTAGGCCTCGATAGCCAGCTGGAATCCCGGCGTATTTCCAAAAGATGTAGTTTGTAAAGGTCCGTGGCTATAAGGCTAGGTATAGGATGCAGGTTATAAGCCCTGACTTCCAAATATCTAACAAGGAGTGGCCTTGCCATTTTTGTGGAGTTTAATACATAAAGTATACATACATCCTATGAGCTAGGAAAGCTGTCAAATCAAGTGACGCATCTGGCGGCGCATAAGTGGGGGTGAATTACCGCCCTTGTAAAGGATTTGGCCATAACATAACAGTATATACATGCATACATGCAGCAATAAACTGTCAACTTGGCACCTATCGAGGTGCGACGCGGAATTCCGGAATCAAAGAGACCAACCGGAATTTCGTGTTTGGAGGCAGCTATGGCTCCTCAGCTAGCCTCCCAGTCCTTAATAAATAATGCACTTATATATACCCAGTTTTAATATAAATCTAAAGAAAAGAAGAAGAAAAAATGCCAACCCTTCAAACCCTCCCTCTCGAGCTACACGAAAAGATTTCATCTTATCTCATCCCAAGGGACATCGGATCTCTAGCACTATCCTGCAAACCCCTCTTCCACTATCTCGGACCCGATAATAGGTTATTATGGCACCACCTTCTTGCGCGTGGGGCGGCCGCCGGTCTGAAAAGTTATCCCGCGGGGTATCATAAACTACTCGCGGAGGCACACGCAGCATCGTATAAAGTCTTCGACGACAGTGGGGCTAGAGATTATTGGTCCGAAGCTTGTTGTATATTTTCTGGGAATATGGCTGAGGGGTGTAGGCTTTGTTTGGCGATTTCGATGAGAGGTTCGGATAGGGAGATTACGCATCCGACTAAGAAGGGAGTACGGGTGACGAAGAAATATTGTAAAAGATGCGCTGTTGATTGGTTTGTTCGTAAGTTTTCTTTTCTATAATCACCCTTCCTTTCCCAATTAATCGATAAGGTAGCGTTTCCTTAACAGATGTTTTTTTTCCCCTTCTTCTGACTCTTTGGGTGATTTCTACCTTTTCACAGAGGTTCGAAAGTTCAAATCTCGATATCCGGAGATTAAACTACCAGTTACTTCGACTCTTCCAGGATTTGGAACGTCTAGCCACGGTGTTGTCGCAATATGGATAGCGATAAGACATATCGAGGATCAAAGCCGAGGTGTGCCCTACGAAATCGCTCGTACGCCATCAAATCGGTTCATCGCGAGTTGGGTACATCAGGGAAGGCCTAGGACTGAAGCCATACAGCTCGATGAAGCCGTGAAGTTCGTCGTTGAGATTTATAAAAGGGAGTATAAGCATATACAGATCATAATCTCGGACAAGAAGTTATATGCCGTTTTTACGAACTGTTTGGAACTGGAGAATTTTTGTCCTAGTATCGCTGAGGTGTTTTGCTTTGAGCAGTCTGGTTTTGGCGCTGTTATTGTTGAGATTTCAAAGATGCTAGGCGCTGGTGATGATAATGATTCTAGAAAGGCTGCAGAAGAATTGGCAACTAATATCGCTATTGAAAGAATACTCTCAAAGATGTTTTGCAAGCCAGACGATTTCCATCCGGAACGCTTGTCCGCTCCGAACTGCATTCTTTTGGCAATGGAGATGTCGTCTGCGTTGGAAAACAAAGCGTTATCATGGCTCCTCAAGTTTTCTTGTTTATATTCTCCACCATACAAGGTTAATGACGACGAAGAAGGGGGTGATGACGGCGAATATGACGGCGATGATGAAAAAGCTGTGTGTTATTGGTGTTTAAGAGAGGCCAAAGGGGGGAAAAGAGAGACAAACAGTTCCTTTAAATTTATGAAGGATGATTTAGGGGGGGTTAATTCCATTTCTTGTGACTGGATTGTTACGCATGTGATGACCGCACACAGGGAGATGTTATGGGTTAGACCGAAGGGGAGGATGCACGAGTTACAAATATGCGCAGGGCAACTTACGGAGGAATCGGAAAGCGAGGTGGAAGAGCTTTTAGGGACGAAGTTTAATTTCGAGAACGAGGAGTTAGAAGATATTCCTGCGGAGTCAGTGGGACACGATGGAGAGTTTTTGACGGAATCAACGTACTTTGTTATGTAGTTTAATGTCCCTATGTACTTAACTACCTATATACTTAAGTTGGTATTCATCTGTCGACAAATTCGAACCCGATAATACTCTTACGAAGTTATTAGTTATCACGATGTCACTGGAAGGTCATTAATAATATTCCCATGATCATAAAGATGCACAAACTTAAGGCGAAGAAAATCAACATACCAACGGGATCGCTTATAGACAGTCTCGTAACCAAAATGCAGCTTATAGGCAGGAGTCTTCAAGACTTTATAATACAAAATACGGCTGACAAAAGGAATAATTATATATATTTATTTTTGACGTCTAAGCCAGCCAGAACAACTCAGACCATTTGTTGCATTTTTTTGGCCCGCCTAAGCTACCATATATTACCATACGCGTATACACTGGAATACAAGCACCCGAACTAATCTATACCATTCTCAAATACCTCTATTATATCCGCTAACATTCCGATATATCTAGATCTCATGGGATATCAACGAGCTTTTTCTAAAAAGATTTATGACGATAGGATATAAAAAACCACCTCCAGCTTTGCTAAGATATTAATATGGTGATTCTAGCACCCCGGCGAAAGTTATGGACAGAAGCGTCACCAGCAGCCATGCGTCCGTCTTCATCCAGCCGCGCCAAGAATGTATCCACCAAACTAGTTCCCAGCTGGGACCTATGAAATATCACCATAACCGAATGAAACACCCGAGCCGCAAGTGCAAAGTGCAAGTTGCATGCGATTGTATAAATACCTAACTAACTGCATCGATCTATAAAGTTGTCGTGAAAGAACCAATTTAAACGGTCTCAAGGTTCCATCAGATCAGATCGAACGAACTCGAAAGCCTGCATTCCCCCCCCAAAGGAAAAAATAGTCTGAACCATGACAATCTTCTTAACCCTGCCATTCGAGATTCTCGAATTAATCAATACCTACCTCTGCCCCCGTGATATAGCCTCCCTCTCTCTCACCTGCAAAACTTTCAAAGACCGTCTCGGTTCCGGTAATCAATACCTCTGGTATCGAATTCTTCGACAAACACTGACGGTGCCCAAACCCGGCCGTGTTATCTCCCCAAAAATTGTTAGGCGGATACCGAATTTTCAAGAGTTTAAAGAAGATGTGAAATATTGGACTGAGGCTTCTGATTTATTCGCTGGGAGGAAATTGTATGGTTGTCGGTATTGTTTGGAAGCTGATCCTCTGCATCGGAAGGATGGGGAGCGGTCTTTTGCTTTTAAGTCTAAGGGAGCCGTGTTTGGGGGGGATACGATACAGCAGTTTTGTGCGAACTGTCGTCGGGATTGGTTTACCGGTAAGTTACTTTTATATATATATATATATTGTTAAGAAGGTATATACTTAAGTATATACCTATATTAGCAAGATTTATATTATATTTAAAATTTGCTAGATTGATATGAAATATTCGAGATACTTTTGCTAATGCATCTTTTGACATCTACAAGATCTCAAAACCTTCACCTCTGGCTTCCCAGAATACACCCCACTTCCAAAATCAATATACCACCCAGTCTACGGAGAATCCTTCATCCAAATCCCCTCTCTCATAAAATACATAGAATCCAAAGGGACCCCATATAAAACCATCACAGATCACTCATTCAGATTCAAAGCAAGATGGTCGGCTAGGCGCGACGAAGAAGAGGCAGAATACATAGACCAAGCCCTCCGCCTCCTCAGAGACTCATATAGCCGGGATTATCGTCACCTCCACATCGTTCTACCCCCAAACGGGTATTACAACTTACTCACATTCACCCTCTACAGGGAGGTTTTATACCATGAGTCGGGACACCCGACTGACCTTGTTGTCTTCTCGAAGAAGATGAAAAATCACATCATGGCATTCATACCGATCCTCAAAGCCAAAGATGAAATAAATACTGAAGCCACGGATCTTGTTGTAACAATCAATCGAGAGCTCTTCGGTGATCCTAACGATTTCAACATGATGAGTTTAACATACCCGGACAGCGTCACTATTCTAAAACTTCTAGAACCCCTAACCAACCCCGGACAACCCTTCAACTGGATCCTCTTATACTCAAAAGCATACTTCGACAGCACAGCAAACGACGTCCGCTGCTACTGGTGTCTCCGCTCAAACGGCGGTAAAGACGCAGAAACGAATAGATTCCGTTACCGTTCCTTCATTAGCAAAGATCCACAACACGTCCCTTGGATTACTTCGCATATAATATCACACCATTCGGATGTTATGTGGACTCGACCGAAGAATAATTGGGTTCATAAGAATTTGAGTTTTCATAGTAGTCGTTTTGGAAGGAGTCATGTGATTGTGTATTTGGATGGACTTCGCTTACCGGCTGCGGAGTGGGAGAAGTTGAAGGTTAGGCCGGATTTTGAGAATGAGGCGCTTGAGAGGATTTCGGTGAATTTTCCGGGTTGGTGTGAAGGGGGGATTACACCGTCGGAATACTTTATGATGTAGGTGGAAAGGATATATCGATATGTTGTTATTGTAATTTGATAGCAAGTCTCTAGTTATCGGGCATTCGGCCTGGTCTGGTCAGTTATCCTACTACATGGTGCTATCACATGTTCTTCACCAGGCGAAATATATATATATCGAATATCTATATCAGCGTTCTTCTTAAAAACACCCAAGGAAAAAAGTGATAACTCAGAAAACTCCAGAACTTAAGCAGAGCAGGCAAAAAAACTACAAAACGAAACGAATGCATACGAACGAGTGGCTATGTCGTGGACGAGAATAACTTCTAAGCACGAAAGAACTGCAGGCAAAAAATACGAAGAAGCAGAGCATACGTTCAGAAGACAATTGTTAATAATATAAGGGGAGGGGAGGTATTCCCCATCCCCGCGTGCATAGTAGGTATACAAAAAAAAAAAAAAAAAGGAAAAGAAAGAAAGGCATTTTAAACAACAGCAATGGGGATACCACTTGTGGTATCCCCAGCCCAGATAAGCTGGGCGGGCAGTAACATGGGCCCGTATGAACAAAGGAAATATAAACCTCCCCCGTCCACCTCCTCCTACCCCCACCACGGCCAAAGCTATAGGATCCCCGTGACCGGATCCCATTGCTTGGCCCCCCAAGTCCCACACAGAGCCACCACCAACACCAGACACACCATGACTTGCTCATCGTTAGTGATGTATAGATGAGCAAAAGTCATGGTGGTCCCCGCAACCACCTCACCAACCGTGGAATGCCTCCCTAAAGAAGCCCCCTGCAGCATCCTTCTTGACGGTAGAAGGAGCCTGACCAGCCGCATTTGGATTTGTGGCCGGTTGTGATGCAGAAACGCCCTTGCTGCCGTTAAGAGCCGCTCCAGCACTCTGGGAGCTGCTCGAAGAAGAAAGTTGAGGGTTGCTAGAATGGCCCTCACCATTTTGTAGATTGGACGGGGTGGCATCTCCGTTCGTTAGGTGGCTGGCTGCTTTGCCCTTTTCGGAGAGCTTTGCTGCAATCTCGTGAGGTTGAGATGCAAATAAACCGATTTGACGGTAATGTGGAGTTGAATATGGGGATGAAGTAGCCGACCTGCTAGACGAAGCCGTAGCAAGAGTCGGAACTACTTCGGCGCTTGGGTTTCTGATTAGAGGTATAACAGGTGGAGGAGTAGGAACTCGAGCACCGAACGTTGGAAGGGGTCCCTTTGTGAGCTGTTCGTACTCGGACTGTCGCTGAGCCCGGGTCTGGGCCCTTTTGCTGGCTGGTAGCTCTGGTTGAGGTTGTCCACGAACAGTAGCTGAAATCTGATCTGGAAGTTGTTTGGCTCTGCGAAGAACTAGTTTCTTCAATCCATGGGTGCTGCTCCTGACAGCTCTGGAGATGGAGCGGAAAAGCTGCTTCAAGCCCATACTTGTAATTCCGGTACCGTGACTGAGCGCCATAGCTCCTGCAGAAGTACGTCTCTGATCAGCAACACGGCCAAATAATTGTAAAGGACATCCCCATCGCCAATCAAACCACCTTAGCTCTCTTATTTAACTATGGGACAAAGCTTACCTTCGACTGGATGCTCATGCGTGCCGCGGAGTCTTCGATTCTCGAAATCTCGTTTCAAATCTCTATAATATGTTGCATCATTCCTCGCATCTACTCCATCAACCATTGGAGCTACTTGAGGTTCTTGAAATCGGTTGGCACTGATGGCACTGATAGGAGTCGACGACGTCTGAACTGTACTGTCGGTCTCCTGACGCCCGATACCAACAACTGGAGCCTGCTTTGCAGCATGGTTGGAATGGGAACGGATCTTATTGAGAATGGACCGAAGGCCATTCTTCTTTCCTCCCTTTCCATTTTGGCTATTTGGTGTCTGTATAGTTATGTTCGATCCGACTGCCGGGGAGACAGAAGAAGCAGTCTCAGGCCTCGCGAGCTCTATCGAATCCATTGGAGGAACAGGAACAGGAGGAGCGGGAGGAGGAGCACCAATCGACTGGACGGGGGTTTTGGCAGCGATAGGATGAGAAGTGACATCCGGATGACGACTTTCCAGACTCTTGCGAATCGAAGCTCGATCGGAACATTGGGAATTACGCTTATGTGCTTCCTCAAGGGCATGGACAGCAGCAGGGACGCGGCCCGGAGATTGTTGACGAGATTCCATTTGCTCAACACCAAGGCTAGAGCTGCCGGATGGGAGAGAGTTTAGAAAATACTCTAGATGCTCTGTCTTTGGCTTATTCAGGTTGTTAGGGGATCTGGAACTGGCTGCACGTCGAGTGGAAGCAGAAGCAAGCTGTGTTGGCTCAGGTTGGGGAGAAGCAGCAGCAGCAGCATTTGTGGTAGCAACTTCAACGAGAGCTGGTTGTTCTGAGGAAGAAAGTGGAGTTTTGCCCTTATCTAGCTTTTGGGCGACTTCTTCGGCCTCCGGTGGCTGAGGAGAAGTGGCAGCAGTGCTGGGTCCATCCATTTCGGTTGATGATGGAATACTATCAATAGTATGATGTCGAGCTCTTTTGTGAGGAAGATCCCCGGGGCTATCTGGTGAGTGTAGGGTCTCGGAGAAAACCTGGGAATCTAGCGAGGCTGATGCTAAAATTGGATCCAGAACCGGCGTGATAGAAAGGCGTTTTATAGGAACTGGCGAAAGTGTGGGTAGCTCTCGTTTCTCTGATAGGAGAGAAGGGGGAGGAGTTAAGGAAGAGGAAGAGGAAGATGGAGGGGAGGAGGAGGAAGATGGAGGTTGATTTGGGTGAGCTATTAGATCGAGGGTTATCTCTGCAGAGTCTGTCATCTTCCCAGTCTTCAAACAGTCAGCAACTTCCGGCCTGATTTCACCCCAATGCGTTGGGCTGGTTTCCTTTTGAACAGTATTATATCTTTTATACAATATACCGACATCAATTCTGGCAGTTCAAGGTAATATTCTATTTTTTTTATTCAACATTGTCCCGCTAGGACGGCCCATGCTACGCTATATACAGGTTCCTCAGATCCCCCTCAAGAGCGCTTGGATTCGAGGCTAACTGGCCTGCAGCCATTGCAAGTAGCTTCGAAGCCGTAGAGCTGTCTATGACGAAATGGCGTAGAGCTAGATAGTTGGGTTAAGAGGCGGATATGTCACATGTCCACGAGATTAGCCTTCCCTTTCCTTTCCTTCATAAAGTTTATATTGATATTCACAACTACTTTTATATAGGTAGTATGAGTTTATATTACATCTATGCTTAGATATCTCGGGGGTTCATCTCCTGGTGTTTTGTGATTAGTATGTATACATCTATAACATTAACAAATACTAAGTACTTAAGTATCTAATTATCTGTAGATCTATCTATGAACCATTAGGTCATCTTCACCTTCTAAAAGCCATTGCTTGATTCTAAGACCCATGGGAAGTATACCTATATCGACTTACTTAATTAAGCATAATATTATATAATTAGCATATAAACTATGCCCAAGCGAGGCAGTTTCAACGTCAAAATCCATCTCAAATTCAAAGCTAAATTGAGTCTGTTTTTCGTCTGATCAGCTGCATCTGCACCTCGAATTGCGTTGCTCTGTTGCATTCTGATCAGGCAATTTAGCGACATTTTGAATCGAATCCATCAGAATTAATTTGAATTGATGACATCGATTTAAAGAAGGAGGACTGGGAGAGTCGGTTTCGGGCTTATGCGGTGTTTGTCCAGTGCTTGTTTTGACGTCGTTATCCAGATTGTCCCAGTATCATCAGAGTCATCATTACATTATCGCGGGTATATGCAGATATGAGCCGATATATTGCCCTTTTGGCAGGACCGACATATATATCCCATGTCAATGCGATGTATGTATATCGATAGCTAGTAAGTGCTGTGCCCCTTGAGTGCATTTTGAAGCCGCAATTACTCGTATTCATATATACGAGAGCTCCCGTCGGCAGGTCTATGGATATTATGATTCGAGGAACGTACGAGCGTGACTCCGCGACTTACATGGATCCACGATCTTCGCGTGACGTGTTCGTGGAATATTACTGGCCCTTTTTGCCTACATACTACCTAATGTGTATGAAATATTATATTCGAAATGCATTAATGCTCAGAAGAACGTAGACAGGACACATACTATGTAGCTCCGCGAGCCGTCATGGTAATAGAAGTTTTGTCAGCCAATGTGGAGTCGAATTTTGACTTTTTGCCATGTTTCGAGTTCCTCAGTCCAACGCAATCTCCTTTTCTCTGCATCCCTGCTTTAACCAACTAGTAATTCATCCCTGCACGCCGACTCGACCGTACTGCTGCTCCCGGTTAGTTACCCCAGAGCAGAGGCCTTTCCAACCCGGTCCTAGTTGGTTGTTTTTAGCTAATCGATCAAGAGATACAATCACAGGCTTGGTCCGAGATGTCTCGCAACTGCCATATCGGTTCAGATATGTAAGCCCTTGTACGACCTTCCTTTCCATCGAAATATCATCAGGTCCGACTGACTTCGTATGCAAAGGAAACACTCAACTCTAAACAATAAACAATTACATTACGTATCATTATATGCGTATATATATCCTCTGTTATGAGATATGGAAACGAAACCGTTTTGCATCCGGTGATTTTGAAGACATAATGCAGTGCTAGGCCTAGACAAGTGCAAGATCTTCACGGCAAGAGGCCTGGTCGCGGTTCGCATTCGCAGGTGTGGGGACCTGCTAATCGAAAGGATTGTCAGGTACTCAGGTACCAATCCACACTGGCACTAAACAGGAAAAGTCTCGCTCCTAAATTGGCCCCCCGGGGTTCAAAAAAGTCGCTGAACTCGAATTCATGTCAGGTTTCGAGCGAACGCCGCCCAGGGCGTAAGAAAAGGGGTGCAAAAATGATATTTCGGCGCTTCTTTCCCACACGAATCCTCGACAAGACTCACGATGTCCTTCTTGTATCGGGGACCATGCAGCGCTAGAATTCTAGCCCTATCGGATAATAAATTATGTGGCGGCCTAAGCTGGCTTTTGGTGGGATTTTCAACTTTGCCAGCCGCAATTGCAAAGGAGATTTGTATGTGTACTTTCCATATCGTTTCCCATAATATATTATATTATCCCTCTCCTCCCCCATGATATTCTATCCCTTCCCTTCCTCTTGTCCACCCACCCCGCCGATGTATCCCATCGATCTTTGAATGACTCTATCCAAAAGGTCATTCGTCCATTCTTTTGTGACAACATATTCTTCTTTACATTCATTCGAAGGAATTGGTTTCGAACGTTTCTCAATTTTAGCAGGGAACTTTTATATTCCAAGCTGAGAGGGGTTGAACTTTTTATAAGTCCTTAATCTAATATATATTCATTCCCATTCTTCCTCGATCTATCTTATATATTGACCGCACCGGTTCTATACACTCTTTTTTTTCTCTATAAGATCCCCAAGCAAAAGTATACTAAGAAAGAAAAAAACATGCAGCAACTTAATATCCTTCTATCAACATTCCTCGTCTTTTTATTGGCAATCGCTGGGGTCAATAGCTATGCTATTGATTCCAATCACCGCCACGAGTTCGTGAAACGTTATGTCCCTGATCGTGTCGCCCCACGTCAAGCTGCGTCTGCGTCTCCGTCTCCAACACCGCGCCAGCCTGGAACGGTCGCCAACTGCTTGAAATGGCGTTACACCCAGATGTCAGGCACCGTTGCCGATACTTGTGATAACATTGTGACTCGCTTCAAGTCTATCGGTCTTACTAAGGCGAATTTGATCAAGTGGAACCCTGCATTGAAGAATGATTGTTCAGGGTTCCAGCTCAGGTACTACCTCTGTGTTCAGGCCGGACCGGCGCCTACAACCACGACTACTGCCAAAACCACTACGACGACCACTGCCGAGACTACGTCTCCAACACCGCGCCAGCCTGGAACAGTCGCCAACTGCTTGAAATGGCGTTACACCCAGATGTCAGGCACCGTTGCTGACACTTGTGATAACATTGTGACTCGCTTCAAGTCTATCGGTCTTACTAAGGCGAATTTGATCAAGTGGAACCCTGCATTGAAGAATGATTGTTCAGGGTTTCAGCTCAGGTACTACCTTTGTGTTCAGGCCGGACCAGCGCCTACAACCACGAAGACTACAGCGCCTACAACAACCACCAAGTCTACCACTAAGAGCACGACGACAAGCTCGAAGACTACCACCAAGAGCACTACAACCAGCTCAAAGACTACCACGACAAGCCCAAAGACTACCACAACCTCAAGTTCCAAGACTACAACGTCTTCCACTTCGACCACCCGTGCTTTGCCAGCTGCCACTCAAAGCGGTCAAACTGAAAGATGTATCAACTGGCGCTATGTCAAACCGGAAGATACTTGCGAGAACATCGTTGAACGCTACAAGAATACTGTAGATAAACTCACCCTTCCAACCCTCCTACAATGGAATCCAGCCTTGAAGGATGACTGCTCCGGCCTTACTGTTGGGTACTGGGTCTGCGTCCGAGTCGAACCATACTGGATCGATTCCATCAAACACCAAGGAAAAACTCCATACGCTGAGAGCGGATACCAAGTCTACCGTAACGTCAAGGACTTCGGTGCCAAAGGTGACGGTGTTACAGATGATACAGCTGCAATCCAAAATGCTATCGCAAGCGGTAACAGATGCGGTTTGGGTTGTGATTCTTCTACCACAAAGCCCGCTTTGGTCTTCTTCCCCCCCGGAACATACATTGTCTCCCGCGCCATCATCACTTATTACCAAACCCACATGATCGGTGATCCATTCGATCTTCCAAGAATCAAGGCTGCCCCATGGTTTGAAGGTTACGCTGTCATTGAGGGTAATCCTTACTATGCCCCGGATAAGAACTGGCATGGACCTACAAACAACTTCTACAAAGTTGTCCGTAACTTCATCATTGATACCACCGCTATGGCACCTGATGCATACGGCACTGGTATCCATTGGCAAGTCGCCCAGGCCACCAGCTTGACCAACATCATCTTCTACTCCAACCCCGCACCAGGAACTAGACACCAAGGTCTCTATATCGAAAACGGTTCCGGCGGATACATGTCCAACCTTGTCTTCAACGGTGGTAAATTCGGTGCATGGATCGGTAACCAACAATTCACTCTCCGAAACTTCACCTTCAACAACTGCGACACCGGTATCTTCCTCGTCTGGGGTTGGGTTTGGCATCTCAAGTCCATGACCTTCAATAATAACCGCGTGGGTATCGACATGACAGCTAAGAACAACACCGGCGTCCTCCAAGTCGGCTCCGTCGTCCTCTCCGACTCTAACTTCAACAACGTTGAAATCGCTATCGCATCCGACAAGTCCGTCGGTGAAACTCCAAAGTCCATCAACACCCTTGCCATTGACAACATCAGCATCAACAACTGCCCCGTCATTGTCGGCGTCTCAGGATCCACTCCAAAACTCGCAGGAACATCTGGCACAATGACCGTCACCTCATGGGTCCAAGGCCGTAGATACACCCAATCCGCTCAAAATGGTCAAGACCTCGTAGGTCCAAACACCGGCTTTGTTCGCCCTGCCGGTCTCCTCGACTCCAACGGCAAGATCCTCGAACGCAGCAAGCCAAACTATGAAACTTACAACATTTCTCAAATCCTCTCCGTCCGTGACTTAGGCGTAAAAGGTGATGGCACAACCGACGACACCGCAGCCCTCCAAGCAGCAATCAACAAAGCCGCCGCAGAATCCAAAGTCTTATACATTGACTACGGCGTCTACGTCGTCACTAACACCATCACTGTCCCATCGAACTCTAGAATCATGGGTGAAACATGGCCTGTAATCCTCGCTTCTGGCAGCGCTTTCTCAAACATGGCAAGTCCAAGGGTAGTAGTCCAATTCGGTAGCGCCGGAGAAACCGGTTTCATCGAAGGGACAAACTTCATCGTCGCCACCCGTGGTCCAATGGCCGGTGCGATCTTGATGCAATGGAACCTAGCTTCAACCGGTGAAGTCTCAGGTCTTTACGACGTCCACGCCCGTGTAGGTGGCTTCGCAGGTTCAAACCTTGACGCAAACACTTGTCTCAAAACCCCAGGTTCCACCGCCATCAAAACAAGTTGCGTAGGAGCATACATGCTCATGCACATCTCCAAAACCGCCAGCCGTGTCGTTTTTGAAAACACCTGGTGGTGGACCGCAGATCACGATCTAGACCTCCCCGCGCACGATCAAATCACCGTCTTCGTCGGTCGTGGAGTATTGATCGAATCCACCCAACCCATCTGGCTTTACGGTACCGCATCGGAACATAACGTTCTCTACCAATACCAACTTACAAACGCAGCGAACGTTTACATGGGTATGATCCAAACCGAGACTCCATACTACCAATCAAACCCAGTTGCTCCAGCCCCATTCACCGTCAACTCCGCCTGGAACGATCCGGACTACAACAGCATCTGCACTAGTCTCGGAGGTGCATCAACCTGCAAGAAGAGCTATGGCTTAAGAACTCAAAACTCGAGTAACATCCTTATCTATGGCGCCGGTCTGTACAGTTTCTTCGAGAATTATAACCAAGGTAAGTCTCAGTCTTAATTTAACCTCTTCAATTTTTTTTTTTAAACCAAATGATTTGCGTTGCTAACGTTGTATTTCTTTCTCTCTTTTTAGCCTGCTTGAGCAACGAGTCTTGCCAGAAGTACATGATCTCCTTCGAGAACACGAGTAACATCAGACTCTACGCCCTAACGACCAAAGGAAGCGAGACCTTGTTGACAGTTAATAACGCTTGGAGCGTACCATGGACCCCTAATGCGAACATATTCGGAGCAACAATTGGATTGTACCAAAATCCAGCTTAAAGGCTACCTCAAAAAAATACGTTAATTGATCATGACGAAGGAAGGAAGGTATAACTGAATTCGAAAAGAGGAGGGTAATGTTTAAATAGGTATATATTATATATTTTTATTATCTTTATTATTACATATATTTGTAGTACATTAGCTATACAAGCGATTTCTTTTGTATAACCATCTTTTTTTTTAAAAAAAAAAGGATTCTTAAGAGTGGAGACGTTCTCAGAGAGTAACTATGCATTACATTTCTAACTAACCCTAGAGTATTGATTACGTGAGTCCTATCTAAATAATAAGTGAAAAAGAGAAACAATAAACAACTTTTATCTGCGGGGAGGTAAAACAAAAAAGCATAAGGACCGGTAGCATCGCACAGTTAAACAACCATTTGCGAAGCACTTAAACACCCCCCAAAAACGCCAGCAGAAAAATATAAACGAAACCGGCGAAGAACAAATCAAAAAAAAGAAAAAAGGCGAAGAAAATAAAGAATCGCCTCACAATACAATCAATGCTCACGTCCACATCTATCCTTTTCCTTTTTTCCATTCCCTTACAAATAAGGCATCCACAGGTGATCGGTTTGTGCCAAATTGGCCGGATTCACAGCTTTGCTTATCAAGTCAATAACAGTCTGGTTCGCCGGAATCATCGCCGTATTATTGGCACAAAGGGCCGCAGTCCTTCGAGTGATGATAGTACTGTTGACTTCCACCTTTTCACGAATCTTCTGATCACCAGACATCCCACGGTGTTGCTGCGTAAACCAGAATATCATTTCGTCTCGCACGAAGAGGGAGAGGTATTGTTCCAATTCGAATTGCTGTAAACCGCCGTTGTTAGCCAAAGCCCCTGTGAAGCTTTCATTACCAAAGGATTCGCGATTTCTTACCTCAGGCTCGGTCAAACATCGCGCGATAGCCATAATAGCACACGAGTAGATACCCTCGACCGCAATAGGTCCCATAAGTGTATGCAAGTTCGGAGTCAAACGGAAAGGTACAGGTTCGTTGTTGTGGAAATAAGCGTTACTAGCCGCCATTGCCGGAATCAACTCTGTACCCCATATATTACCCGTCGCCTTTGCGATAAACATCTTGTGTGGGAACCGATTGTTCATATTCATAACGTAGGTCATGAAGGTAAGAGCAGCAAATTGGTAAGAGAATTGACGGCGGAAGATCCAGAAGTCGTCGAAGGATGTATAAGATGCTTGCATGTACTGGATAGGAGAGTTAGCCAACTGGTGCAATGAAAGCCCCGGGGGAATAAAGCCTTACATCTTGAACAACAGTATTGGGCACCATATTTTCTTGAATAGCGCTCAAAACCTCCATCTTGAGATTCTGAACCTCAGGACCACTCATCTTCTTATTAACATTAGTCCTCAAGCTCTTCATCGCATAGATAAGCGGCTCATCCTTGCTGATATTGGTCTTGCGACAGTAGTCCTCGTAGATACCCTGGAGAGAAATATAAGAAGCATCGTCTTGCACAATTCTGATATGAGGCGCAAGCGGCACCATAAGTGGAAGATGGAAGCCCAAGTTCCTTCTTCTGGCCTCCTTGCGTTTAGCAAGAATACTAAAATAGTAAACCATTAGCACGTTCTCTCAAAAATCTGAGCAACCTAGGTATCACTAACCCATTAAAGATCCGGAACAATTGTGCAACCCTCTCTTCACGTCTACAATGACGTTGAGCCGGGTGCTGCACTGCGAAAGCATGCACGCTACCATCATGGCCCCTCATCTTCAACCTTCGATGGCAGATACCATATCCACGAACAACGTCCACACGCGGCAAGAACCTCTCAATGCGTACAAAGTCCTTGTTGTGATCCCTATGCAACAGATATTGCCCAGGAACTTCGACCTCCTCGAACTTCTGGAACCTGAAGTCGCTAAGATGCGGGGAGAATGACTCAAGACTGGCATGAGCAGGTCGTCGATCAAGTTTCTCTTCGAACCTATCTCTCCACCTCCTGAGTTTCTGGATATAGCTTTGGAGGTTCGGTTTCTCATGCACAAACTCGGCTTCAAAGGCAACACGGATATGAGCTGGAAGAATTGTCTCCGCAAATCGTGTGATATTAGCCTCAGTCGCAGGTGGCAACTTAGTATCCTCAGGAGAAGCGAGAGGAATACGTCCAACGAACTAGTAAAATGGAAAAGCATCTCATTAGCAACTTAATCTCCGAAAAATTTGTGACAATGTTAAGAAAACATACCTGTAACCCATCATTCAGCAAAGCTACAATCAAGCGATAGGCATCCTCATCAGGCGGGCATTTGAAGTACTTGTGAATTTGATCACCCATGGTCTCCATTGATAGAGCGAGCAGCGGGAACGCCGATTTCAGAACCGACATGATCTCGTCTGCGTGTTCCCACGGATTCTTCTTAGCAGGTGCGGGGCTCTGAGGAGCTGAAGAGTTTGCAGCTCCATTAGCAACAGCTGCGGGCACAGCCGCTGTCCCATTCGGTTGACTTGGGGTTTCAGGTCGAGCACCGGCCGAAGAATCAGGTCGTGGAGGACTAGCAGCACTTCCGGCAGCAGCGGCAGCAGCTACACCATTAGGAGGTGATCCCTGGTTAGGTTTCGCTTTTGCTTGCTGCGCAGTCTGTTGCTTCTTGATGACGCTGTAATCTTCTCTCGAGGTTCTAAGCAAGAAGTACAATGCTTGTGGGAAATTCTTTGCGATCTTGAGTAATATTCCCTTTGCGATCTTGGCTTCTTTGTGAGATAGCGACGAGAGCAGTTGTGGAATATACGTAATCCAATACCACACCGGCATCTCGCCCTTGTAGGCTTCAAACGCGGCGGAAATACTACCGCTCCCATCATCGAGACTGAGCAACCAAAGGACTCTGCTGAGTAACTTGCGAGCTTTCCCACTTTTATACAACCCAGCGGCTTCAAGATAGCAACTAACCGCATTACCGGCTGGTTGTAGATCCGCAGGGTTCTCTTTGAAGAGCATATCACTGTAAAAGCCCCACTCAGCCCAAGCCTTTGGCAGCTTGAGATCATAAAACAGCGCAGTTCCAAAGGCTTCGTTCGCATCGTCTTTCTTCTGCAGCTTCGCCTGGAACATACCCTTGAGCGTAAAGAACTCTGCCTTCTGCTGCCCAACGAAATAATTGAGATTGGTATTGTTAATAACCTCAAGTCCATTGTTCAGTTCGGCTGGGTTCTGGTAATGACATTTCGCTTGTTCTCGGAGTTTGAGGAAGGCCTCTTGAATCTCGATGTTAGGTAGCGTGTAGATCTTACTCAGTTGCGCGATACAGACATCGGCTAGCTGATGTTTCCGAGCGACATGTGCGAAACGGTTGATGATCCATGCGGTCTCGTGATACCCGCGGTACGCATACGAGTTCGAGTTGTTATTCCCGCTACCCGACGGCACCAACGGAATATATGTCTTATTGATAGATGAGAAGACATGTTGTCGCCAGGTAACCAGATCATGCCAGGCATTGATATCATCCCAAACGTTCGGCAATCGGTCTCTCCAAGTTCCAAGATTTTGCTTAAGCTCTTGAGACTTAGTGTCCAGATTTGCAGCCGTTGTGTTAGCGAGGCTACCATACATGACACTAGCATCATGGAGCTCGACAATCTGCTGGAACGTTTGGAGGAGTGGGATATGCGCTGCAGTGATCTTTTTGGGAAGATTATGCCACTTTCTCAAACTCAACTGTATGGCCTCGTCACAGATCCTTAAGAAATCGCTATTGCTCTCGTTTTTGCTATAAACTTTTTGAAGTGCCATGAATGCAAGGAAGAAGTACCGTCGCGGCGTCGGAGAATCCATCAAACTCTTGATAGTCGTATCGACGGCCTCGCTGCTCTGGCCACCCCAATCATCCAACAGCCTCCAAGCGCACTCGAGAAGGAGATCGTTGTAATTCTCATGTTTCGCGAAGTCGCTAAGTATCTCCCATTGCTGAAGTTTCTGGGCACACAGAATCCAATGATCCTCCCAAAGCATATACTCTGCCTGTGAAAACGGAAGAACGCCCGTGCGAGCCTTGATCTGGGCCTGTTCGTATGCATGCTGTGCTTTGTCCCACATTCCATTCTGCTCGAAGGACAAGGCAACGTTGGTCTCAAGGTACTGACACCTCCGCCTCCATAAGCCGTAGAACATATCCTCCTCTTGAATGCCAGCATAGATCTCCGCCAGGGCGTCAAGGTTACTTTCCTTGATAGTTGGGTTTTCATATGGTGGCTTGTTCGCGGAATCTTCCAAAATGTGCAAAGCCGAGTACCAGGCATTGAATGACTTGCTGATATATTTAATAAGATGAGGTGGTAGCACGATTCTCGGGTTCGCTTTTTCGATACCAGCTAGCAAACTCTGGATGACGTTCGGTCGCTTGTCCATTTGTCGGTGGTGACACTCCTTCGAAAGTAGAGTAATCATATTTCTAGAAAGATCATTCCGGTCTTCTTGTCCAATTGCAGCCCAACAAAGTGGGAAGAGTGTAATCCAGATATTGTGTGCGACATCTGAAGAGAGATGCTGGAGCTGCGCCATGGGTTCGAAAACATCGTTTGCTTTGACATCCCCAAGGCTTGCCACGAACCGACGATGTCTGACCATGAAGTCTTCATACTGATCATCCAGCATCATTCCGGACATATCGCGCTTCTTATCAACGGCAAAGACAGAAGAAGCAGAAGGCAACTTAAAGTCCTCCGAATGCAACTCCAACCGCCTCTCCCGGTCCACACAACCAAGTAGCAAATGAGTAACTTGACTTAGCCAATAGGAGTCCTGTAGCGTCTCCCAATTTTGAGTCCCCAAAAGATAAGAAATCCGAGGATTGATCGTCCGCGACAAACTTTCAGTGAAAATCTTTAAGAACCGATTCCGCATTGTCACATCCTGCGCCCGACATCCAATCAAGAAGGCATGCTCAAGCCGAACTGTAAGCTCCGTGCGGGTGATCTCCGAGTGCTCATAGATACTAATTACAAGCTCAAGGAACTTGTTGCACAATGTGGGATCCGGTCGACCTTCGAACGACATCATCTTGCTAAGAACTGCAGTCTTCTCTTTCAACGTCGGGAAACTCTCAGTAGATCGGAAGACCCAATTCTCAACCACTCCCAGGATCTTCAAACACAACTCGTTGTTATTTGACTTCTCAACCAACTGCGCCAGGACACTCAAGAAAGGGCGACGTTGATCCTGGAGCGAAGAAATCCTTGCCGACGCGATATCAATCACGTTCGAAATCAACTTGAGCGCCGTGTCTGGATCTAATGGAGGTGGTGGAGGCTGGGCATCAGGAGCAGGTGGTTGTGGAGCCGATGTATTCCCGGCAATATGGTCCCTCGCCAGCCGCTGGAACGCCCTCATCAATGCTGGAATATGCGTATCAACAGCGTCCGGTCTTTTCTTGGCGAGTATCCACAAGATGTTAACACTGGGAATAACGCTGGCAACAATTGTCTCCTGCACAATCTGAGTCAGTAACTTGACAAACTGGCTTCCTGTCGATTCTGTCATCTCCTCATCCTCGTCATCCTCCTGCTCTTGTGGTATGACCTCCAAAATCCTCAACACCACGTCCTGCAATGCCTCTTGGATCTCCACATTATCACACCTCAAACTCTTCTCCAAGATCTTCTGCAATGTTGTGATTCTCTCTTTACCTGCACGGTCTGATCCAAGCAGCCATTCGTTCGACTTGGCCTGAACAATAACCTTGAGAACCTGCAGCATATTCACAAATACATGAGCATTATCATTCTTCAGCTCGGCCTGCATCAACTGCACCTCGGCCTGCTTCTGATACAAATCCACATCAACGTCACCCCAATACTTCGGCTGCAACAGGTTGCTGAGCAACTTCAGTGATCTTTCACAAAGTTCATTCGAATTCCACTTCTCAGGACATTGCGAAATAAACGATATAAGATGTTTTAGAACCGACTGGCGATACTGAGTTTGGAGCACTACATTGACTTTCTCCCCACCACTTGAGCTCGGTGGAGCGCTAGGCGATGATCTTCCCATCTCATCCGGTAGCTTCTTCTTTTTCATCTGTGGAGAATCCATTATTGTCACCTCCACCGGATTATCGATCGCTTGTTGTTCCCACTTCCATATCAACTCGACCAAGTCAATAGAAAGCGTCTTATGCTCTACCGACGGGTTCTGAACATGGAACACAAGCTTTTGCAACGCTGACACCATGCCCATGAAGAAGTGTTCTCGAGATTCGTAGAATAGGCTGGCATGGCGGACGATAAATTGGAATATATTGATAAGTTGAGGTTGGTTGTGCGACTCTTCGATTAAGATTCTTCTTGGCCACTTCGCCCAGATCGGGAAACCCTTTGAATCTTGACCTGGTGGAATCCTCTTCGGCAATACCGGTGCAATGAGATCCAACGCTTGTCGTACCAACGTCCGTCCCTCGGGTTGATGAGCTTTCAAGAGTGCCACGTAAATTTGGGTCACGATTTTCGATGGGGTCTCAAAGTGCGCGATAAAGAATGCAATGAGAACGTACGCGGCCTGTTTGTTAATGATATCTTCAAGCTTGATGAAGTTCCAACCGAATTTGATCACATCCTTCCTAGCATCCGCAATAATAGAGTGGTGGTGCTTAATCAGTAATGCCGACATTTGCAGAACCTCCATTCTCGAACGATCGAGACCGTTTTGTCCATCATCTAGATCCCCAAGGTTCGTCTTCCAGATTTTATGATGTACAGCACCGACTAGCTGCGAATCTACCAACTTTGGCGTATCTGGATCGATGTTGCGGCGTTGGATATCCATCAACAGAATAGGATTGACTAGATTCTTGAAAGCGTAAGTCTTGAGCATTTGGTTCTGCGAGGTATCTTGGTACAGATCCAAACACTTGAAGATAACACTCTTCCAGTATTCAATAGACTTGCTGCAAATGATGTGCTCGTAGATGAAGTGGTCAAGCAAATAATTCGGTTTCAATCCTCCGGAGCTAGTCGCCTTGATGACTTGGAACAAGAACGCCAGATCGTTAGGCTTCTGGACAAGGTATTTGGTAAAAACCGCAATAAGGGTGGTGGAGGACTGGTCAACGCTCAAGCACAGGGAAGGCGGCTTCAATTCTCCGTTAACAGCTTTAGTATAGACGTCTGACCCGACAACCAAAAGTTTATTCAACAGGTCCTTCTGATCGACCAACCAGTCAGATTTGTGTTCACAAACGGCACCAATAGCCTCGATGGCATTGAAGATAGCCGTAGTCTTCGGCTCTCCTTCCGCTTGATTGTCAAAAGAGGCCTTAACCAGATCACCAACGTTCGCAATTAAATGATCACGAAGGGCACCGCTAGATTCATCTGCCAAGAGTTGTGCGAACAAGCGTCCGTACTTTATGACTGATAGTTTCTGAAGCATGTACTTCCACGTATCTTCGGCATACCGGTTCACAAACTTGAGAAGCGGGGGACGGAACGGCGAAATCTGTGTACGTCGAAGGCTTTCCTCAAGTCCCAGCACCGTCTGTACCATCTTATCCAAGAATTGACTTGCTGCTGGGGGTAACAAGTGGAATATATTCAAGATCGAGGCAATGATCTTGATGTTGCTGTTCTGCTCAAGGAGCTTAAAGCTGGTTTGGTGAATGCTATTAGGTTCGGCAAATTGATTAAGGTGGTCGAACAGACGTGAGCCAATCTCGACTTTAAAGTAATTGGTTAGTAGTTCGAGCAACCTTGCCAAACCCTCCAAACCAGCCACCGATAATCTCTTGTGATCGGATAGGTTCATGAGGATAGGACGAAGGCCATTCTGGAGAAGCTCCTTAGGCAACTTATGCGTATGAGTGAGAACACCCTTAAGCCCATCGTTCGCAGCCTCAACCACTTCCGGGGATTTAGCATAAAGACTCTTGAAGAACACAGCAATGATCCTCGCCTTGGTTTGCTGTTGCTGCGGAGTATTGAACTCTGGGTAGCCAATCGCCATCGAAAGCAGACGAATACACCCAACTCTGAGATTCATCACAGCTTCCATGGTCCGATATTCACTAGCCTTCTGAGTACCCAGTGTCTCGTCATCTGCATCAGCTAGCGCCAGCGCCTCACCAAGCAACCGAATCATCTCATGGTCAATTTCCAAAAAGTTGTTCTGAAGCTTAAGACAAAACGTAATAGCGTCAATGTATCCAATTTGACTAGCAAACGGGAGAGCTCTAAGCGGTTTACCGAAGATTGGTCCGAGCAAGCGATCTTTGACCGGCGCGATCATCTCGTGAATTTCAACCTTCAACAGCTTTGACAGTGTTTCCAACGACTGTTGTGCCGACTGACGGACATGTTTGTTGCAATTTGACAGTTCGTAGACGATGTGAGCACAGAGGTTGAAGAGCTTGGAACTGGGCTTGATGTCCTCTGCCTTCGCAGTCTTGTTACATTCATGAAGCACAAGATCCAATGTAACTGCCGCATCCTCTCTTGTTGTCGCCGGAAGATCCTGTGGCATGTCCTTAATCACATAGAGCAACGAACGAACCCAATCCAGCTGTCGCTCGACCAGGAACGCTTCACCCAGGGAAACACGGGTAATCAAAGCCTTGATACCAAGACACCCTCCAGCCTTCGAGAACCACTCTTCAGCGTAGCAGTTATGACAGAACCTTTTAGACATAGCCGAGAACAATGGCAACTTTCCAATATGGTCCACACTGCCAAAGATCGTGGCGCCAGCTTCAGCAACAACACGAATTCCCTCCATCGCAGCTTCACGAACCTCGGGAACTTCTGATCCTAGACAATCCGAAAGTGCGTCGGCAAGAACATTAGTATCCAGAGTGAGTGGTCCTTCACCACCTTCGACGCTGAATGGCTGTTTAGAGTACCGATGCGAAGCGATTGCATTCCCAACGTCGAGAACCGTAAGATGTCTGCAAGTATCGGCGAACAGTTCCATAGCATCGTCTTTTATCTCTTCGACTGCCGCGGCATATAAACAAGCTTTAATCAACGATCTAAGTTGTTCATCTTGCTCATGCTTTTTGTGAACAGGCTTATCTCGATCACTTCCCAAATCCTGAGGACTCGAAATCTCAACCGTATCATTAGCAAGATCGTTCGCATTCATTCGCACAATTTGCATAAAGTCATCCGGGAGAGTATCTTGGCCGATAAACAATTTGAGAGAAGACGAAAGTAGTTTGAATGCCTGCTGTCGATGGAACATGTTTGCTTTCGAGTCCTTCAGGGTCCTGATCGCAAGATCTGTAGAAACCATAAAGGGATACGGCCGTTCCCCAGGTGCGCCATGCAATTTCATATTGACACTACAATCATCATCTGAAAAGCCACGATACTCCAGATTTGGTGGATGGGTAAGGAACTTCCTATTCCTCCCGCCGAGCTTGCCGAGGATACGCATAGTAGTGTGACTCTGCTGATGGCTGTAGGGTAAAGGTTTGAGATGGTTCCACAGCGCAACCATAAGATCATCAATAACAGGTGCCATGATAGGGTCCAGGTAGTCTGCGGTGAGATTATCAACACACAGCTCCAGTGTCCGTAGACCTTGGGTAACAAGATCTAGCCCCGCACTCAAGGCAACAACAAGAGGTTTCATGAGATAAGATAGGTGTGGTAGAAGGTTGCTGAGCCGTGCCGGTACTGTAAGGCAAAGCTCAACGTAAAGATCGCGCTCTTTGGTGTCTCTGGCGGAATGTAGCTTGGTATTAAGAACCTGTAACAGGACTTCTAACAGTGGCAAAATCTCCTTGTACAAAACTTCGAATCTCCCACCGCCAATTGACCTAAACAGAGACCGTAAAAGGTAAAAATAGTTTACCGGCTCTTCGGCTGTTGTCGAAAGATTGATCGCTTGGGTAATGATTTTGCTGACATGTGGGAGAAGGACCGGCTCATTATGCGCTGAGAAAAGCGTAACTGCCATAAAGGATAGCTTAAATAGTCGTAATAATATCGATGCCTTCATAACATCCTTTGTGCCAACTTCTTCGATCTTACTCATGAGGAACTGCAATAGCATCCCGCAGAATGCAGGTGATGTTGCCTCGCTAGCTAAGAAAAACTGGGGAATATGGAGCAACGGATAATGCTCAAACATCATTTCGTATAATCTCGGAATCTCGGAATGGAAGACTTCGTGGAAAGTTGCTGGGTCGATACAATGGAACACCGTGGCGAAGGTCTCGAGGAGGTCCTTTTCCTCTTTGTTCGATGGCACAAGGATAGACTGCATGAACTCCAGGGGTGTAGAGAATGTCTGCTCGTTCGACTTGTCGGTCTCGGAATGATAGTATCTGAAAACATAAGCTCCCTCTCGGAAAAGCTTAGTAATGATCTTGACTTCCTCTGCATTGAAACCGAAGGCTACTTCTTGCCAGTTAGAAGGATTATTGGCTGGGTCGCCGATAGTCTGGGGTGGATTGCACGCCCTAAGCGCTGACAGCATATTTTTCAGGCCGTTCATGAGGTTCTTGAACAAGAATTTGTTATCTAGCAACATATTAGCATTACTCTCACACAGCTACGCCTTAGAATCCAGCTTACCATCTACAGGCTTCTGCCCTCTGTCCCTATTGGAGAGCTTGATAGGAGTAACCTGGAAGATATCAATTTCATCGTATTCCTCAAGCTCTGGCTTATCGATGTCCATGGCGTCGTCGTTGGCTTCCTGTAGCGGCTTGCTCTGCTTGACAGCATTCTCATACTGCCTATTCATTGCAGCAAACTTATCGGCAATGGCATCCAGAATCATTAACAAGAAGTGGCGAGCTGTAGTTGATCAACGGTTAGTACGCTTTGCACTAGTTTGTACTCAGTGGACTATATTGTTACCTTCTTGCTTATCCGGTATCTGCTTCGCAATGCAATCCGCTAGGTTGAGTAGCAACTTAGCACTCATGGTCTGGAAACTGGTCCCGGGGAAACTATCGTGTAGGTTTTTCGTATAGACAATCACTGTCCGCCGAATCTGAGAACTATTAAGGGACTCTCGGACGTGATGTATTAAATCCGCCAGCATGCTATAGGCTAGTGGTCTACATTTCCATAAATCAGTTAAAAACTCCAGTTTTAACCCTTTTAAATGAAAACACTCACCTCATAGTCTCATAAACCGTCAACCCGTCTCCAATTAGCACCCTCTCGTCGAGAAGCTCGTCAATTTTTGTCAAAAAGACCTTCCGGAAATTAAAATTAATAATATGCCGGGTGGCAACTAGCAATTCCTTACGAGCACTCGACTTCTCCCTTGGACAATCTTTCAGCAATCGCACCACAATCTCTGGTAACGTTGTCAAAAAGTCCGCCAGCTCCTTTGAGTACCCTCGTAGCACATATGCCAAAAACGACATAGTCTTGACCTGTGCTGTGATGAAATCTCCAAAGGCCGCTTTGTTACGAATTCCAGCACAAGGCCCACTCAGCACCTGTCCTTCCTGGGCCGCAGTTCTGTGGGCGTCGGCTTGCGGCTGGGCTTGTAGCATGATCATTTCGCGGATAAGCGGGACAAAAAGCTTGATATTTTTGGGGACAAGGTGCTTATGAGCTTGGAAAAGCGAAACAACAATGATAGGGCACTCAGCAAGGACCTTGAAGCTCTGCATGCCTTTTACAAGGTTCTTATTCGCAGGGGCATCGTCACCACCCATCATCGGAGAGCCGGGTTTGGGGGATTGCATCGCATTCGCTGGCTAACCATAATCCATATCTATTAGTAATGCGATCCCTAGCATCAAAGTTAGCGAAAGAGGGCACCCACTGTCGATGGCATAGGTGTGGCTCCAAACACCGGCGTGTCAAAGGTATCCTTAACCGCCTGCGGCATCTTTCCGAACATCTCTTGTATTAAATCCAAATACGGCTGCACCTGGTCGGCGAGGGTCTTTTGGTAATTTCGCTGAAAGTCCATTATAATCTTCATACAAAGAACCGCGTTTTCTTCATTCTCAACCCGAACAAGATTCATCATAACCTTCATCAGTTCGACGGCATGGGGTTCTAACGCATCGGCGGGGTTGAAAGGGAGACGATGGATGATATCCAGTATGCAATTCCGTAATTTCTATATTAATTAAGAAGGAAGGAGGTTAGAACCAAGTGAATTAAAACAAGTGCACGCGACCAGGCATGGGTAGTGGAGCGGGAACATACATGTTCATTGGAAGTACTTAAGAACGACGGCGGACCCCTCAGCAGCTGATGGAAAACAGGCATGAGCTTTGCCAATGTATTACTATAATCATGCTGATGTAAAACTTCCAACTGATCCTTCAATTCCGATGCAATCATGAACTTTTGGCGAGTATCTACTCAAATTTCAATCGAGCTTTGATCAGTCACTTTCTTTCTTCTTTCATTCCTTTTTCCCCTCTCATCCAATAAAATAAGGCGGGGCAGAAGAACTCCCGTCCTCCGAAATAATCAGAGCCTTACCAATCTTATCATCCGCCAGCCTCGTCGAGAACAACTCGACGGACGGTGGAGCCGCCATTCTGGTAGATTTCTTGGTGTCCGTAGACGTTGAAGAGTCTAATCAGCCCAGTCCTCTTCGAATGACTCCTCCTATCCTTCAACTCTACTCAAGAAAGGCTGGTCCTATAACGACGTGTCGATCATCGAAATTCCTATTTGGTAGTCGTAAAATCCCCTAAAAGTGAGGGGTGCGAAGCAGCGTGAAGCTAGGTCGGACAGGATTCAGGGCGAGTTTGAAGCGACAGTTGCCTTGACCAATGTGGATGACGAAAAAGACGACAGCAAAAAACGCCCCGGATGAAATATCGTAAACTTGCCCCTCGGCCTTCGGAATGGTACGGCGATCGGGATTATGTATTCCGAGAAATGAACGTGTGAAGTGGTGGGATGGTACTTTCGATGGTCTCCGTATGTATGCAGGGTGCTTTTTTCGATGGACCAAACACGCGCAAATGCAGCAGCACTAAAAAGTTTAGGGTATTCTAGAACACGAAAAGAAATTATCAAAATCGCTTTTTTTTTATTATCTTCTCAATCCTCTCTCTGAGTATTTTTGTGATTTAAAAAGGCTCCTATAAGGCGCACCAGAGGAAAAAAACAAATGAACGGTGAATACAGAAGGTCGGAATAGATTCTGTATCGTTCTGCGGACCGATGACGAGAAGGAAGTAAGGCTGCTTGAGTTCAAGCGAAGTTGAGTTGAGTTGAGTTGTGGTAGTAGAGAGAAAAAGTCGGGCTCAAGTTTGGGGGCATTACGCTCGCCGCGACTGGCTTTCGCCAAGACCAATATCCCTGCTCAGGCCGATTTTGAGCCTCCGTTGTTGATTGGCCGGGTGCAGGACAGATCGCTCGAAACGTCTATAGCCACAGACAGACATACTTCCTATGTATAGTATGTATTCTACAGAGCAACATACACGAGGCATACACGAGGCGACGGCAGGTATCATCAATCACCTCATTAATGCATTGGGTTTGATTTAAATAAGTACTTTAGGGCCCGTCATATAGGGCACCAATTAATTAATTTCAAATTAATTTTAATAGGGATAGGAAAGTAACGTGAGATATCGAGATCGAACTCGATCGAATGAAAGGAAAGGAAGGAAGGAAATAAAGGAAAAGACAGAGAGAAAGAAAAAGAAAAAAAATTATATACAGAAGAACTGAAGATGCTTTATATTCTTTTGTATCATGCATCAATGCATCCAAGCAGCTTCAGAAGAAAAAAAGTCTCGAGCTTCAATCGATCGGACGGACAAACGAAAACCCCATGTTAAAACGCCTCAAAAAGGATATGGGATATAGGATATAAGGAGCAAAAGGAAAATGATAATTATCACAAAAGAAAACAAAGGGAATATGAATGAAGATGACACTTCATATAAAAAAGAATCGAAGAGAACAAAGGGAAAGAGAGAAAGGAAAAGAAAAAGAAAATTAGCAAACCTCCCTGTACATTGCCGCCTTCTTGTAAGACGGCCCTCCCTCCTTGACCCTCTCATGCTGCTCCAGTAGACTGCCCGGCACAAAATTGCTGTTCAATGCCATGTTCAACAATGGCTTTGTGTTCCCGTGTCTTCCCGTTGCAACGCCATGGCCTTCTGTGGTATGTGAAGGTACCGATGCTAGCAACCCATTCATCTCAAATGCAGGGTCGACGTCAAATCGTTTCTTCGAAGATGTGGGAGTGAGCCCGTTGTTTTCAAACATAGGTTCAGTTGGCACATCAAATCGTTTTTTCGAAGATGTGGGAGTGAGCCCGTTGTTTTCAAACATAGGCTCAGTTGGCACCTCGAATCGTTTCTTCGAAGTTGTAGCCTTTAATGTCGCGCTACGTGCCCTCCCTGTTCGATGGGGTTCCTTGCCAGGTCCCATCCTTGTAGAGATACTTCGGCTGATAACGTTGATAGCGTTGGGGTTAACCGGTTCCGTTGCATGACTGATAAGCGGCCCAGCAGTTCTATCAACCTCCACACCGTGACCCGTAATCTTCTTCTTATACTTATACTTTTCTTCTTCTTCGGCATCAAAGTTGAGCAAAGTTTTGTGCTGCGGTCCAGTCGGTGAGATATGCTGGGGCATTCCAGCGGGATTTAGTCCATGCGATGTCTGGATCTTCGCCGGGGGGCTTGTAGTCTGGTCACGGTAGAAAGCCGTATCATTGTCCTTTCTCTGGCCTTGTCGTCCTCTCTCTTCAGCACGTTCTCGGATCGGTGTCTTCGGAGGCATTGACATGTTGTTGTATTCATCATGCCGATTTCCTGCCTTCTGGATAAGCGTTCCCTTCCTCTCTAACGGCAGTGGCTTCGACTCGATCGGTGCCATATTTCGTATTTCAACCTTCTTATCATACGCTTTGCCCAGAAGTCCACCAGGCAAGAAGTCGTCGTTTCCTTCGCCACCTTTTGACGAAGGAGCTCTGTCATTCACTCCCTGGTAGGCCGACGGATTCATCGCCCCAGCCACAAGACCCCTTGGTGAAACCAACCCAGGGCTCTTCAACGCATCACTGCCCTTCTGCGTCAATTTGCTCTCGGTAAGCAGTCTCGCAAGCTTTGTTTCCGATGCCTCGGGGCTTGAAACACTTTCCTGTTCCAGCTTCGCAGCGAGCTGGGATTCTGCTGCAGCTTTGGATTTCTCTTTTGAATGATACATATACGCTCTCCAATCATTCAACGTCTTGACCCACTCAAAGTACTGCTCCTGTGAGTCCGTAGCGAAAAAGTAAAAGAACCGGGACTGGTCGATAAACATCTGTTTTGAAGCTAACGCCTTCATGATGATAATATACTGACACTTCGAAGGGACATCAAAATGCCTCTTCTTCCCATACTGCCCAACAGTATACACACCATACTCCATAATATTACACACATGAGAGCTCTTCTCGCTCTTCGCTCGGCTACTCATCCTCGACATTGTAAGTTTCGCATCATCAAGGCAGAAATATCTTTTCGATTTAATTTTCGAGTTCGCATCTTCTCCCTTTGCGTAGTAGAAGTTCCCGAGTATTCGGGCAGGGTGTGCCCTTCCCGTGGCAGGTGTGGCTCTTAGGTTTTGGGATTTAATAACATCGACATCCAGGTATAGAGTCGCTTCCTCCTTTCGACATTCCATTGCATCGACGACGGTGGATACTATTTCCGATTCGTGGAGTGCACGTTCGAAGCCAAATCCGGGTAACCGCTCGATGATGATAGCAGCCCCTCTCAGCGTCATAGCGTCCTTTTTGCAGGCCCAGTCGAGTAATTCGCCAACAGTAGTATCACGTTTGAAGCTGAACTGCTGCCGACTCTTCTTCGATAAGACAACCATAACTTTCTATCGCAGAGGTTAGCCCCGAACTTGACATTAAGTTCCACTGATTTGGAAAGAATACATACCGCCAGTGTATTAGGATCGACCTTCTCCGGTGTGTGAGTAGATCTCGAAGCATGGGGAAGGACCTTAGCAGCATCAAAACCTTCACTCGAAGTACTGGTACTATCCGATCCCGAAGTCTTCGGTCCCGATCCAAGCGACTCATCACTCGTCTGTTTACTAGGTATCGGTTGCAACTGCGTCACATATTGTCTATAGACATCTAGCGGAATAGGGTCGTGTGTTAACTTTGTCGCCGGCGCCGTCATCGGAGGTCTTCCCAGGCCTGCGCCTGCAGATTGTGGATGCACGGAAGTAGGAGTCGTAACCGGTAGAGCAGGCATGGAATCGGTGTTTGTTTGAATCTTAGGAGGTGCTTTACGGTATCGTGATCGAGAACGAGCGATAGATTGCGAACGAGCCCTTCTTTCAGGACGACCGTCTTCAGGAGGAGCAGTGGATCCTTCCCTTGGTGTATTCGTTCCCGACGTCACAGCCGACACAACTTCCTTATTATGGTCGAATAACGGACGTTGGGCATCCATTGACGAACGACAGCTAGCGCTACCTCTCGCATGTCTCGCACGTGACCGTCTAGACCACAGTTTATCCTCGTCTTCTTCGTCATCGTCGTCCAGGAAGGTTGAAGGAATATTAGCGCCATTTGCTGTTTTATGACCTGCGCCGCTGTCTCTACGACTAACTCGAGTGGTTTGGTGAGGGAGCGGTTCGTCATCGTCGTCAAGGAAGCTCTTCGGAAGCTGCTTCCGCGACGACCTTCTGCCGTAGCGGTCTCTACTCGATCCTTCCATTATGTATGTGTCTTATATATCGTATGTCGTATATCGTACAATTACTTCTTGTATTGATTTTGCAGTCGGATGGTTCTTGTTGTTGTTGTGGTTATGCGATGTGGGTCGCTGGTGATGTAATTGGGTATAATACCAGGTACCAACAGTAATAATACTTTTCGATAATCGGTCGATGATGGTCGAATGAATCAACTGAATAGCTGAATAAATGATAAAAAAAGATGGGACGGTATGATCTGGTACGATACGATACCAAGCCTTTTGCCAACCTCAGCGCAGCGTCACAAAGCGTAATTAGATCCTCTCAGTTATTTTTGTGTCGAAGCCATTCAAGTTGTCCAAGTTTGGTCCAAGCGCTGTCCCAAAATATCCAAGAAGTCTTAATCCTGCGAGCGTCCACGGAGCCTTTTCGAAACGATCTTTCCCAATAGCTCGACTATCGGAAATCCAGTAACCAGTCCACCGGGCAAGCCACCTGTCTAGTATACTGTATGCCTGCCTGTCAAGGTTCCGTACAGCTATATGCTCTGCCGTCTGTGTATGCGAGGTCGAGGTTGAATTTAATTAATCTGACGAAATGCAATAACCACCTGCTGAAGAAAGTGTAGTAATCTTAACAACAGCTGACTGAGACTTCGAAAGGACAGAAGTAAATTAGGTGTCGTTTCAAACAATTCGAGGAAGCGTATGCGCCGGCGAATACACCTGTCGTCCGGCAATTCAGGTACTTAAGTAAGTAAGTCAAGTCAGTAAGTATAGGTACTATGTAAGTATTTCGATCCAACCTCTCGTAGTCGTAGTAGTACATACTTGCGATTCTTTCTTTCTCTCTCTCTCTGGCAGTCTTTCACTCACTCTATTTTTGCCCCCCCCTCTAAGCCAAGCAAGGAGCGAAATTGAGATCCGATCTTCTCTGTAGAACGATAGAAATGGAACGGCAGCACGAAATGATTGTCTGCCTGCTTGCCCGCCTTTCCTCCTCCTCCGTACGACTCAAATCTCCAAGAAGAATCCCACGATTTTTCCACTATTCCAATTTTATAACTTTGTGTCGTAGTAATATTAGCTGGTGGTGGTATCGAATGTTTCCTGTCCTGGTGAGGTTTCCGCCGTTTGTGTTACTCGTCGCACTCTAAACTATCTCCGGCTGGTCGTTGTGAACCCTGGATTTGTTTAAAAAAAATTGAAATCGAGATCTCGACCGCGGGGGAACTAAAACACCAACGTCCAAAGAACAAAGAACAATAGCAAAGTAGCCGAAAAGGGACGAAAAGAGAAAGAGGGCGTGTGTGAGGGTGTGTGTATTATATTATTATGTCTGTGTCTTTGTATCCGTCCAGCTGATCCAGTACGGGCACCAGTCGACAGTTAGTTCCAAATTAGAAAGGAATGCCAGAAGCTATGCAATGCAGCACCAGCGCAAAGAGGACTACCTCGAAGGGTGTGGGAAATATGAACAAGAAATAGAAAGGAAAGAAAGAAAGACCACCTTCGTTCGAAGATCAGAAAAGAAGAAAAGAATGGCGAAGAGACAGGTTCTTCGAGGAAAAGAAGAAAACATTAACTGCCAAAAGGCCGGAGCGAGAGCATTGGTGAGAGGGTTTTCCCGAACCCCCAGACTTTCCAAGATTTCCCCCCCAAATCCAATGCAAAGGACCCTTATCCTATCACAGGACGGCAAAAGAGCGACGACACTTGCGGTACAGGGATCTCGACAGCGCTGCCCGTTCTGGTGATGTGCCAGGTTTAGGCAGGTTGGTTCCTTACGTTTACTTCATCTGCCTATAAAACGGAGATGCCAACGAACCTTAACATTTCACACGCATGCGCAGTAGTATACTATACATCACTTCGCGCTTCAATTCTTGTGAAAAAAAACTCGAAGCTGGCTTTATTATTACCCAAGGGCCGCTCCTGTTCACGCAGATCCCGTTACAAAGTCCCCATCCCCGGTCAATTCTATGGCTTGTGCTAACAAACCCTACCGTAGACAGCGTTGAGGCTAATGAAAAGGAGGTAGGCGGCTGGACTCGTATACTTCAAACAGTCATTACCCGATGGTATCATATGGTGTGGCTCAAAGTCACAGTCGGCGGGATTGGAGATGCATGTCGCCTCCCCCTCGCTAGCACCATGTCTCCGATTTTCCAGAAGCTTTGAACTAACTATTAAGATCTTCTGTCGCGTGCTTTCTTCCCCTTGCGATCCATCCTCCATATTTTGTGGGGATTTCGTTCGTAACGAATCGAATGCGCCATTGCGATTTATGTCTCCGCTCGCGAGCTGATGGGGCTCTTCTTACCGCCTGATGACATCTGCAATGCAAGCTGCAGCTGAGCCAGATGGAACATTACACAGGCGATTGGTGATGCAATGACTTCATTTCTAATGCACGAAGAGGAGAAAAAAAGCAGAAACCAGAACTAGCATGTGCGCACGTCAAAGTCGGCCGACCAGTCGCAATCGTTTCAAGATCAGTCCAAAAATGAACTTTGGGGCCAATCCCGACCCTAGGCCCCTAACAGGTTCATAGCAGAACACCGTTTTGCCAGGCACAAAAAAGGAACAAAAGATGCCTTGCCTGCTGCGCCGCCAATGAGATTGGTGCGGTTCGATAGCCAATCATATGGTTGACATGCACCCCGCCGGCTAGCCTCTGTCCATCCCTTCATGCGTCTTTGGGTCGACGACGAGCACGGGTTGGGGAGACGGGTTTTGTTGGCCCAAGACCTTTGATTCGAGGTTCGCTTGAATTCACCTTGGGGTGATAGTTTTAAGTTCCATCGGGTTTCAACAATAGATGAGATATGTGGGATATAAGGCATAGGGCGACTTACCGCCTGCTGCAGCTGACTGCGCTGCATGTATGCAATGTTCATTACACTCAGGATTCCAGCTTTTTTGACAAGATACATATGTATAAGATTCTACTCTATATGTATTACAGTCAATTCTTATACGAGAACTTACTCCCCTTCGCATGCAACGTTGACATGAATGATCATATGAACAATCTATGGTATCCCAAAAGATCCCACCATCACGCCATTTCACTGCATCTTCGTCTAGTCTACTGGTATAATCCCACCAAGCCACAATATACTTCCAACATGTAACCCAGTAGTGAGAGATCAAGCCAAGGTCAAATATAAAATAATTGAATTTAACATCAAAAAATTTTATCCCGAGGCTGTTGAACAAAGTTAGACCCAACCTGACCAACTCTTAATTAATTTTCCAGGAATAAGGTAGTAGGTGTATATAATTACAAACTTCCAACAAGAAAAATTGTCTTTTCTGTCCGTTCGACGGGTTAAACCACGCCGACATCGATTATTCCATATTAAACACACACGGAATGTAGACACCCCCTAGTCCTTGTAAAGATCTTTTTTTTCCTCCCCCCGGCAAGCACCGACCGGGATATGCAAGGGGCACAAAGAAAGAACAAAAAACCTGCTGCTCGGTAAAAAGGGGCGAACCAAACTGACAAAACTGCATTTTTGGGAAGAACCTCGTTTGTCGTAGAAGCTTGTCCCTTGAGGATGGTGGTGTCATGTAGTGAGATCGAATATTTAGATCTTACTATTACTCTCCCATTGTGGGTGATTTCTGGGAGTCGGGACGACTCGACCAAAAAAGAATTAAGGTGGGGACCTTCTGTAATAGACGTTTCGGAAGCCGAGTTTGGGAAAGAAATTTCTTTATTTCTAAATTCAAGATCGAAATGATCTTTTGTTAGAATTGGGTAAAATATGAAGTTTAGGAATTCGGTCAGACATTCGTTTCTTCATGCAATATTATATCGACAATGCATGCACAAGAAAGAAAAGCTTAGGTGTTTAACGCAAAGGGAAAATAGTATACAATCTAAGACTTATTCATATGATCAATTTTTCGAATTCAACGGCTGCATTGTTAATTTTCCCCTCGATTACCACCGGTTATCGGCACTTTTTTCTTGCTTGGTATACTCCGTATTAGTATGACATCTACGGATACTACTACTACTATCAACTGAAGCACGTTTCGCCTTGTTCTTGGCCCAAGGAACAGGAAGTTTGAGATACGCGAATATAATACATTCAGGGCATACGTTTCGTGACCCGTATTGAAGGAGTATATATTTGGATGATCCCACCCATTTGAATTTATATATATCTACATAAAATTAGAAGGGGATTCTGTTTCCTTGGAGGAGTTTGAAACAGGCAGGATACTAGGTTACGTTTCCCGAGGTTAAATGCTATGTATAATACATAACGTAACCTTGTAAAGACCGAATTCATGGTAGGTTCACGCTTTATTTAATTTTAGAGACCAACGTTGTGACCGCGTGGTGCCAGGCGAGTAGTGTAACGTTAACCTTGGAGGATTTTCATTCGGATCCACGGATTGATCTTTTACGAGGATAGTGATTAATCGAGATCGATAATCTTACTATAGAACATGCCAACAATCGACTATGTTACGTTAGGTGGGGCTTGATGTCATGAGGCTCGATACATTTCACTAATTGATTAGCTATGAGTGTGTATAGCGCTGTAGCATCAATTGGAAGTTAGATCTATAGAAAATTATTTAAAAGTTACACGATCCAGCCAATGTCTAAAACTTGTGTATACCCCTTACCTAGTTAGTTAGATGCCCTTTTGTACTCGGAATTGGCCGTGGATGCCGAGGTATTTAGGTATTTCGGCATTCAATTTAGTAACACCTTCAAACTCGGTGTTCGATGTTGTAGCCTAGTGACTGTCGAAGGAAAAGAATAGAATTAAACCTCTCCTAGCTGTAAACACGCAATACAATGTCTTTATGAATTAGGCCCCCAGCTGGAAATATGGAGAGCCAAGAGAGAAAAAGATGTATGTAAGTACGTAAATTTTAAATTTAATAAAATAAGAATCGTCGAGAGCCATCGTTTCCCACGCGAGTTCAGAAATGAAGCTCATTGGTCGTTGGTATTCAATGGTGCTATGCACACGGATGAGTGTGGATATTGTGTATAACATGTATGGCGCACAGTTGAATCCAGCTGAATAAATCGTTATATAAAATCGTTGCGCATGAGACATGCATACGAATGGGCCTACGGCTTCGGCCCGACGGGATCGATATCGATATATAATTATTATTGAGAGGTAAATAATTTAGTAGATAATTTGAATAATCTCGAAGTTTAGGACGAGACAGGCGTGAAAATACCTGCTTTAGTCCATATGCCTATTAAAGTAAGTGCCTACTTACCTAGGATCTAGCTAATGCGGTATTAGCAAATCCGTCGAGAATGTTCCCAGAAGCGTCGAAGTATATAATAGATAAAGGTATCTAGTCAAAACGAAGCGTGGGTGGCAGAGCTAGCATCTCGCCAACAGACATGGATTCGATTCAAGACAATGGATGCTTCGAATCCCAACGCTTTTGCATGAATGCATGCCTAATGAGATATCGTCGGAATGAAATTATGTAATCAGCATTATGTAGATGTCATCGATATATCCGTAATCGAGGACTATAAGTCTAAAGGAGTAGTATACTGACCTGTACGGATTTCATGCAAATGCACTGTCTGTCAACATGTATGTAACTAGTCCAGGCTAGTGTCGCCGTTTCAGTTGGAATCTACTCTAAGTACTTAAGAGTAGTTGATGTTGAATTGAGGATGACGAGACTGGTACTTCCTGACAAGAGGTAATAAGTTCTTATTGAATTGGGCTGTCGGGTATTCGTGCCCAGCAATCGAGTCGACATCCCGATATCCTTGTCGGGGTTTTGTTTGCTGGCAATGGTCTCGCCCAGCCAACACGCTTCGACGTCGGTTCCTCACAGCTCCTCCTCACTACAGCTCACTCCAGAAAGCCTGACGAATGAAACTCTGCCAGTCGAAACACTGCTAGTAATTCTCTGACGAGTTCTTAATCCTCCAGACCCAGGAATCCGTCTTCCTGATTCTCTCTTCCTTCATCCCTTCACCAGCCTCGACACCGATCAGTGCTGTCCAGGGCCCTGGAACCTTGCACTGCCGAGACCGAGAGCAGGACAAGCTAGCTATCAGATAGCGAGCAAGCACCCGATCCACCGACTCTCACATGTGCTTTGCCTGACATCGTGGATTCAACCTTACCATTTTGATCTTCTGCACTTTTTGAACATTTTCTGACAGAGTCCGACGATTGTGCTCCATTATATCGGTTTCCAACTAAGTACTTAGCTATCGTACTTTAGTCATCGTATTTCGATATCAATCACCCGAATCGTCAGAACCGCCAAAGCAGTTCGTTCTACCGTAGGATTATCCCGGCTTCTTTCGATACCCCTCTCCTGCAGTTGGCCGTGGACGATACAAATCGCTCTTTTCGGTGATTTCTACTATAAACTGAGCCTAGCTAAGAATATTCTTGGTTCACCTTCTAGCCTGGAGAAGAACAAAAGAGAGTCAGCTGCAGGCCTACTACAAATCCTGTCCGTCATTAACGAGGAATTACGTCGCCACCTACATCCGTTGCAAACTACCATCTAACCATCAAATTCCGAGAGTCGAAGCGGGGGTTCGGTCACTTGTTTCGACTTTCACATCCAATAAGGAAGAAGATCTGGCGAGCCGACGTCCTTTCTCCGACATTTCTTTTTCGGCAGACGACGACGACAGCGATACACAAACCCTTGGCCCGTCAGGCTCTACTCCCATAGGCATCTCCGAAAGTGAGGGAGGGTCCACGGTAGAGGAGAGCTACCACACCAGCAGCCGCAGCAGCAGTCGACCGGAGTCCAGTTCTCGACCTTCCCGTCATAAACGACGGAAGATCGGGTCTCGAAGTCCCTCCGCTTCATCTCTGCTCCGGAACCAACTGCTCGGAGAGGCGGATAGTGCTCTGAAAACCAAAATGAGATTCGAGGATGATTCGGAGAACGTAAATAACGGTTCGGCCAACGGGGTTGCTCTTACCAACGGCAATAGTAGCCGGAAGGGTGGAAAAATGGTCGACAAGAATGGGGTTGGTGGCGGTCTCGGGCGGGATTATTTCGGTCATGATAGGGAAGAGGTGACGAGGTTGATCATTCAAGGTCTATATGATCTAGGGTACCGTGATTCGGCACAGAAACTGGAACAGGAGTCAACTTTCCCCTTAGAGTCGGACGATGCAGCTCACTTTCGGGATGCAGTAGAGAACGGCGACTGGAACAAAGTGGAGCAGTTACTTGGTGTTCTGGAGCTACAGGATAATGTTGATAAGAATGTGAGTTTGTAGATGGTACTCTCTACAAAGGTATGTGTTTTGCTAACAGTTTTATAGGGACTCTTATTTCTGCTACGACAACAGAAGTTTCTTGAACTTCTCGAGAGCAAACAACTTGGGCGGGCACTGCAGGTCTTACGTACAGAGCTGACACCCTTGAACTATGATATGGACCAGTTACATTTCCTGTCTAGGTATGAGTAAATATCATATCCTTTCCGGTCTTGATGTTGCTAATACGTCATGTAGCCTCATGATGCTATCGCCCGAAGATTTGCAAAGACGCGCGAACTGGGATGGAGCGAATGGAACCTCGCGAAGACGACTGTTGAATAAATTGTCGGGCGCTATATCGCCGTCAGTGATAATACCCGAACATCGACTAGCGACATTGTTACAACAAGTTAAAGATCACCAGATCTCGCGTTGCCTCTATCACAATACAGAGAACTCGCCAAGCTTATACACGGACCACGAGTGCGACAGGAGCCAGTTTCCTTCGCAGACTATGAGGATACTTGAGGACCATACAAATGAGGTGTGGACTGTGGCGTTCTCGCATAATGGGGAGCGACTAGCAACTGGTTCGAAAGATACAACGGCAATAATATATGATGTCAGCGTATGTTTGATACGGACAAAATTCCGAGGAAACATTAGTAATAAACTAACAAGAATTACAGACGTGGTCGATAGTGATGAATATGAAAGCGCATGAGGGAGGCGTTGCATATGTGTCCTGGTCACCTGATGATCAATATATTGTTACCTGTTCGAACGATCGAACCGCTAAGCTCTGGGATACAATAGTAAGCTTGACCTCTGACATAAAATTCGGGTATAATATGACACAATGCTAACGGGAATAATAGACTGGGAAGTGTATGCATACACTCACGAAACAAACTGAGCCGGTTACTTGCTGTGCCTGGGCCCCTGATGGCACGTACTTTGCTACTGGGAGCGTCGACAAATCGATTGTTCTCTGGAACCTCGCTGGGGAGGCATTGCACACCTGGCAGGGTAGCCGGATATATGACATAGTAATCACTCCGGACGGTGCCCGCCTAATAGCAATCTGCACCGAGCACAAGATTCATATTTACGACTTAACAACGCCAAAGAGGGACGAAATATGTGTCTTAAACATGAAAGCACCACTTACGAGTATATCAGTAACGAAAGACTCGAGGTTTGCGATTGTAAATATGGGGCAAGGAAGCGAGCAGATCCAAATGGTGGATTTGCAATATCACGAAGAAGTTAGAACGTTCAAAGGTCACAAACAGGGCAAATTTGTCATCAAGAGCTGTTTTGGGGGTGCAGATGAAAACTTTGTGGTTAGTGGTAGCGAAGGTAAGTATCATTGGGAACTGACCCCTTTGTAGGAATGGATTGCTGATTTGGTATAGATTGCTTGATATATGTGTGGCATAAGGATAATGGACAATTGATGGAGAGCCTCGAGGGTCATACTGGTACAGTGAACTGTGTGGCATGGAATCCTACAAACCCTCAAATGTTTGCGTCTGCGGGCGATGATAAAGTTGTGAGGATGTAAGTACCCGATCTAGTCCCCTTGTGGTATCAATGAAGCTAATTATATGGCAATATAGTTGGTCTGTTGCTAGTGACTCGCTGAAGGGAAAAGAGCGGGAAGAGATGGCGTTTTTTGACGAGATGATTGATGCATAAGCGGTATTGCTAGGTCGAATTTACATGAGACAATACAGTAAGGTTCTTTATGGCACTCTGGGGATCATGACTTCCATCAAGCATTGGATCAGCGATAGCGGATTGCTATTTGGCATCCCACCGCCCTACCTTTTCCCCTCCTTTTATTTAAGTTACTTGTATTCTTTTTCTCTGTCATTTTTTCTTTTCTTTTTCTCCCTTGGAGGGTAGGAACGCTTTCTTCTAGCCTTGGTGTTTTCTCTTGAATATTGGGGCGGTGAGTGTGATACACTCTGGTTCTTTTCATTTGCTTTGCTTTGAGGTTTGGGCGGGGTTCTGTTATAATAGCGAGAAGGTGGTAGGTGAGGGGCTGTGTCTAGAGCAAGATTGGAGGTGGTGATGGAAGAATAATCGATATTGGATAATATAATTTGGTGTAACTATAGTATTCTGTTTCCATCTACAGTCTGGGGGATGCTCATCTACGCCTTGCATAGCGAGTACGTACGAGTGCTAGCAGTGCTCCAGTTAGCTAGGCATCTGGATTCGAGATCTAAATTGGGGGGGGGTATATGGCCATATCATGTGAGACTTTTCGACTTTAAAATTGATTTTCCTATAAAAATAGAACAAAACGATATAGATTATCCTAGGGGTTGGGCTCATAACTGGGTATCTGAAATCTCGATCTCGAGATCTGGATCCCTACCCTGTTGTTGCAGACGGTGAGAATATGTGTTGTGATAAGATAACGTTAACACCTGGTGAACGCGAAAGCTAGCTAGCTCTCGGAGAAGAGGTGACGTTTGTGCTCTCCCAGATTCAACATCCCACTTTCCTGCTCCTCTTCTTCTTCCCCCCCCTGTACAGTTTCAGCGATCTGGAACTCGAATATCCTGATACCGATTTTACCCCCGCCGAAATCCGTTGAATTACGATATTGAAAGAGAAAGAGCTATAGAGGTGTTTTCTGGCGTTATTTTTACGGAATAGATACAATGGTATGGTTTCCTGTATGGTGTTGTAGAAGGAGGGAAAGAGGGCTAATAGTGTAACTTTTGATTGGGTACTTATAGTCGAAGAGAGATGCTGAGGCTTCGGAGGACCGATATGGTGAGTGTTTCTGCCGCTATTTGAAGTATTGAGAGACGGGGTTACAATTCTGACTAATGGGTGATTCTTTATGTAGGGTCCATTTACTCCATATCTGGGTATATATATTCAATATCCTTTTCCTTCCGAGATCCGTGGTCGCGATAGATGTTAATGAGGGTTTGAGGGCAGACCGGTCGTTATTGCGGAGAACATGATTGGGTGTGCTATGTACGAGCTTGTATGTCTCTCTTGAGCTCTACGATACTGGCGCTAAGCGTGCGAGATGATGGAGGCTGATATACGTTGATGGGTGGGGAATAGGTTCGAGTCGGACACGATTCTTTGATGGGTGAGGTTATTAGGATAGAGGCGGATAAGGCGACGATTCAGGTTTATGAAGAAACTGGTATGTATTCTATAGCTTTATACGAAAAGGGCACAGGTAGCTAATATCTTCCTAGCTGGTGTTACTGTCGGCGATCCCGTCCTACGAACTGGCAAGCCTCTCTCCGTCGAATTGGGTCCAGGTCTCATGGAAAACATCTACGACGGAATTCAACGCCCTCTCAAAGAAATTCAACGCGAATCGCAGGGTATTTATATCCCCCGTGGTATCGACATTACCGCGCTGGATCGTAAGAAGGATTGGGAGTTCACTCCGGGTGACAAGAAAGTCGGCGATCACATTACCGGAGGCGATATCTACGCTACTGTATTCGAGAACTCGTTGATGAATGACCATCAAATCCTTCTTCCGCCTCGGGCTAGGGGTACAATCACTTACATCGCCGAAAAGGGGAGCTATAATGTCACGGATAAGGTTTTGGAGGTGGAGTTCGATGGAAAGAAACAAAGCTTTACGATGATGCATACTTGGCCCGTGCGTGTTCCTCGACCGGTCGCTGAAAGAGAACAAGCAGATTATCCGCTTTTCACGGGACAGAGAGTTCTGGACGCGCTGTTCCCTAGTGTGCAAGGTGGTACTACGGCTATTCCTGGTGCTTTCGGGTGCGGAAAGACTGTTATTAGTCAGTCGTTAAGTAAATTTTCGAATACGGATGGTATTATCTATGTTGGTTGTGGTGAAAGAGGAAATGAGATGGCAGAAGTTTTGAAGGATTTCCCGGAGTTGTCGATCGAGATCAAAGGAAGGAGGGAGCAGATTATGAAGCGAACGACTTTGGTGGCGAATACTTCCAACATGCCTGTAGCTGCACGTGAAGCGTCGATTTATACCGGTATTACGTTGGCCGAGTATTTCCGTGATCAGGGCAAGGACATGGCCATGATTGCAGATTCGTCGTCGAGATGGGCGGAGGCTCTCAGGGAACTTTCTGGACGATTGGGAGAAATGCCTGCTGATCAGGGTTTCCCGGCGTATTTGGGAGCGAAGTTGGCTAGTTTCTACGAGAGAGCAGGAAAGGTTAGGTGTTTGGGAAGTCCCGGACGAACTGGGTCGGTTTCCATTGTTGGGGCCGTCAGTCCGCCTGGTGGTGACTTTTCTGATCCGGTTACTGCATCGACTTTGAATATCGTACAGGTCTTTTGGGGGTTGGATAAACGTCTGGCGCAGAGGAAGCGTATGTTTCTCTTTCACTCTGTTCTCTTTTCTTTGGCATAAGGATACTGACCGATGATGTAGATTTCCCGTCTGTGAATACCGGGCTGTCTTACAGCAAGTATACAAAGTCGCTGGATAAGTACTACGAGAAGAACTTCCCGGAGTTCCCCAAGTACCGTGACCAAGTCAAGAAGCTACTTTCGGACTCCGAAGATTTGGAGCAAGTCGTGCAACTTGTTGGTGCACAATCTCTCGCTGATAACGACAAGGTTACGCTTTACATTGCCACGTTGGTTAAAGAGGACTTCTTACAACAAAACGGATACTCCAAGTACGATCAATACTGCCCGATGTGGAAGAGCAACTGGATGATGAAGAACATGATGGGATTCCATGATGAGGCGCAGAAGGCAGTTGCGAGCGGGGTCTCGTGGAACAAGATTAAGGAAGCGACAGGAGATTTGCAGCATCAACTGAGGAGTATGAAGTTTGAGATTCCGGATGATGGGGAGGAGACCATTACCGCGAAGTATGAGAAATTGCATCAAGGGATTTTGGAGAAGTTTTCGGCAATTTCGGATGAGTAGGTACCTAGCTAGCTAGCTAGCTATTTGCCTAGCCTATCTACCTAGTTATCATTCCTATTAAACTGGTATATCATGCGGTTCTCTTTCTTTTATGTCCTTCGGCTTTCGATTCTTTCTTTGCAATTGGCTTTAGTCTAGTTCCATTGGCTTTGTAGTGAGCATAACTGGTCATTATATATTTATTTTATGAACCGATTCGAGCATATTTATCTATTTTAGACATTTTAATAGGTATTGCGATACTCATACGTAATCATGCCCCGAATGCATACTTACATAGAAGTACTTACTCTGATCCAGTATATAGTATACACACCATATACTAGTGCCAGATGCATCGATGCATGAATTGTGGCTGGGATGACATAGAATTCTAGAAGCACATTGCATTCGTTAATGTCAAAAAAAGATAAATTTACACCTGCAGCACCTTAGGTGTGTATGTAAAATATCTCGTAGTGGATGGATGCAGATGGCCCATCGCATTCGAATTCTTTAGCTTCTCGAAGCTGGACCGGCTTGGCTGGCGGTTGCCGCCCGGTTTTGACCAGGCTGACCTGCAATAAAAACACGGCGGGCCCTTGTCTGGGACCTGCCGGGGTGGAGTGGAAGGGTCAGGTACTTACTTACTTGGTTACTGAGATGTTTGAATGATTGTTTGGATCGCGGCGGGAAGTGCCCCTTTACTATAAGTACCAAGTGTGCACAGGATGGTACGAGATATGAGATATGAGATATGATAAGTGATATGATTGATATGATATGATATGAAGTCTGAGATAGTATAGTTATGGTATGATAGTATAGGATAGTTTAGTGGTGAGGACAGTGTTGTTGTGTGTGGTTGTTTCTCTCTCCGATTCCTTCCTCTCGTTCTCCATTCTCTTGTTCTCTCGCTCTCTTCTCGCTCCCCCTAGCAGGGTCTCTCTCATCTCCCTCCATCAAGCACGCTCTCCTCGCAATATAAATCCCATCCATCTATACATCTATCATCGCCATCTCCTATATACCTACCTACGCCTACCTTACTTCTGGCTTCAGCTTCGTATCAGCTCAAATCCACGGACTCTCTCGGTTCCAGCATCATCGGCCATTGATTGGTTGCTCGCCTGTGCTGCTTAGCTTTCCTAACTGACGCTTTGGTACTTTCTCCCTTTCCAGTCAGTCAGCCAAACCAAGCCAAACCAGCCCAGACCAGGCCAGTCAGACAGCCAACCAGCCAGCAAGGGAACAAGGGAACAAGAGAGAGAGAGAGAGAGAACTTGAAGAACAGGAGGAACAGGAATAGGAACAGCCAGCTGCTGTTGCTTGCAGGTTCGCAGAGCCAGTGAGCTTCTTACTCTTGTTATTCTGCAGACCTCCCCGCAATAGGCACAGACAGACAGAGGCAGACAGAGTATCACCTTCAACCACAGAGACAACCACCCGTCCCATCCATCCATCCCCGGGACTCCTTTCCCTCCGGAAGTTATAGGTCCCACCGGTTCATCTCGATCAATCGACCAACCCATCCGTACCTCCACAATCTCCTCCTGCATCTCGTCGACCGAGCGGTGCTCTCAATTGGGCATTCCCGCTCCTCTGGTTAGCGGTACATCTCCTGGAGGCCACCAACATCTCCGAAAGTCACCAAAACCCCCCTCATTCCCTCTCGCCCCTTTTGGAATCACGTCACACCGTACAATCCCTCGGAACGGTCGACCTGGCAATCAGCAAAAAAAGAACTAGTTACTACTCTCCTCTGCTGCTCGTCGGCTCCAACCCGTTTCGTTTATCATAACCCTATCTGGGGATTTATTCTCGACATAGTTTCGATAGACAACGGTTCCAATGCTCAACATGAACAGATTCAAGCAAAGAGTAGGCAGTCCTTCGCCACACCCACCCCTCTTCCCATCCATCTTCCAACGCTTAGTCGCGTTTCTCTACCGTTCATTTGCTTGAGCTCCTCCTTAGCATGCTTCACGACTTTTCTTCGCGAAGTCCATGTTCGGGCGAGGCTCTCCCAGCTAAATCGTATTTGTCTCAGAGCTTAAAGTGGCTGACTATTTTTGGCGCGTGTTTTCCCCACGCTTTTGGCGATATTTATAGCTTCGGGGTAAAGAGTCTAAGACCTCCTCATCTAAGAAGAAGGATTCATCAGATTCTCCGTCGAAGAAAGAAGAAAAGGCGGAGAAGAAGTCGGAGAAGAGCGTCCTCGCCTCCAATTCCTTACCACCTGCTCCAAATGTCGGTTCATCATCTGCCAACTCCCTCGGTGGGTCAGCTAACTCGTCGACCTCATCTCTCGGATCGCACACTCAGCAAAATGCTTCTCCAATGACCAACAGAATGCTAGCGCCACATGTAGTTATTAGCCCCAGTAGTGCTCCTGTAAGTGGCATCTCGATCTCGGATATGTTTAAAGGTTTTATGATGGAAAGACTTGAGTAGCTGATTCTTGGTTTTGATATAGCACCCACCCCCTCCTGGTGCTGCAGAGACAATGCCTGGTGATCTGCAACCGCCGAAGGCAGGATCTAAGGTCAACTATCCTATCGGCCTCCAGACTACCCCGAAAGACGTCACATTCCCTGAGGGTGTTAAGACACCCAAAAGGCAGCACTCTTCTCGCTTTGATGTTTCTGAGAAACGAGAGCTTGAGAAGTTACACGGATTTCACGGTATGTGTGGCTGCTATCATCAGAATCTACAGGGCGAGGATTTGCATGTTAATACCCCGCTTTAGAGGTGCCACCTGCTCGCCGACAAGAACTATTCTTGCAGAAACTAGACCAGTGTAATGTAATATTCGACTTCAACGATGCTGCCGCCGACATGAAATCAAAGGAAATCAAACGACTTGCCCTTCACGAATTACTAGATTATGTCGCCAACAACAGACAAGTTATTTCGGAACCAATGTACCCCAAGGTCGTCGAGATGTTCGCTAAGAATCTTTTCCGACCTATCCCGCCACCAGTCAATCCTGTCGGAGACGCGTTCGATCCTGAGGAAGACGAACCTGTCCTTGAAGTTGCCTGGCCACACATCCAAGTCGTCTACGAGTTTTTCCTACGCTTCATTGAAAGTCAAGACTTCAATACCAATATCGCTAAGCAATATATTGACCATGGTTTCGTCTTGCAACTCCTTGAACTGTTTGATAGCGAGGATCCTCGAGAGCGAGATTTCCTCAAGACAACCTTGCACAGGATATACGGCAAATTCTTGAATCTCAGGTCTTTTATAAGGCGATCCATTAATAATGTGTTCTTCCAGTTCGTGTACGAGACTGAGCGATTCAACGGCATAGCAGAACTGTTGGAGATTCTAGGGTCCATTATTAACGGATTTGCACTACCCCTTAAAGAGGAGCACAAGCTGTTCTTAACAAGAGTTCTTCTACCACTACACAAAGCGAAGAGCTTGAGCATGTATCACCCACAGTTGGCATATTGTATCGTTCAGTTCTTAGAGAAGGATGCCGCCCTCACAGAGGAGGTTTGTTTTTCACATTCGCTTTATGTACGGAATGACGACCTATATACTAACTCGGAGATTAGGTTGTATTGGGATTATTACGATATTGGCCTAAGGTTAACAGCACGAAGGAGGTTATGTTCCTCAACGAGGTTGAGGACATCTTCGAGGTTATGGACCCCGCCGAATTCGCTAAGGTTCAAGAGCCACTGTTCCACCAACTAGCCAAATCCGTTGCCAGCCCCCACTTCCAGGTCTGTGCTCATGACACCCTCTCTGAAGCGTAATAGAAAACTAATTCGAGCTGCAGGTCGCTGAGAGGGCACTTTACTTCTGGAATAACGAATACTTCTGCAACTTGGTCAGTGACAACGTTGAAGTCATCCTCCCGATCATGTTCGCCCCTCTTTATGAAAACTCGAAGGGTCATTGGAATAGGTATGTAATACTTTTTCTGAATATTGTGGTACATTCTAATGTTATATAGAACCATTCACGGCCTTGTTTATAACGCGATGAAGCTGTTTATGGAGATTAACCCCACCCTTTTCGATGAGTGCTCGGCAGAGTATGCTGCGCATCAAGAAGGAGCGGAGGCCCGTGCCCAGGAGCGTCAGGGACGATGGAAAGCTTTGGAAGACCATGCGAAGAAGCGCCGACCTGGTGTCCCACTCCCAAGACCTGCTTCGCCCATGGTTATCACACACGAAGACGCAAATGGGGATCTCAATGGCAATCCCAACGGGAGAGCATGGGCGCCGCATATGGTAGGTGGAGCGATCTCTGCAGGTGGAGAGATTGTTGGCTAACGGGAATTGTCCGGGTAGGGTCTCACCCATGAAGCGTAGCCCTTTGAGTGTTGACGACCACCGCCAGCTTTGTTATTTCCTTGCTGTTCTTTTTGCTCGTCCGATTGCCCGCGCTACTAGACCTGCTTCTTGCTACTTTCACGAGTGACTCTTTTCTGCGTCTCTTCCGCGATAATCCTTTCTTTTATTATGGGGACCAACATCTCAGCTATTATTGATAATGCTGTACTTGTTCTTTGTTTTGTTCTTTTCTTTTCTTCTTCTTCCTTTTCTCTCTATGCGTCCTCAATCCCACGTACCCTCTTGACTAGTCATGGAGTTCTGTTTCATAGCGACAGGCCGACATGTTACTCTTTTTTGAATGGCGACCATTCTCCTCCCCCCTCTTTCCCGCTTTCAACTCCTCCTCTTCCTCTTCCTCTTAACGATTCCTAGTCTCTTCCGGATGTTTTAGCACCTCCTGTTGCCTTCACCTTTTCCTCGTATCATCTTTTTGGTTCCTTTCTGTTGTTTATATTTCTTGGACCTTGGTTCATAACCCTGACTGAACACCTACACACACACACGCACGCACACCTCCATCTCCTTTTTGAATCTTACTATTATAACCGGTCCCTTTTCTGTGGCGAAAACAAAAAAACAAATTTATGTGTACGAATGAGCGGACTCGGATGTTAGGGAAGGGAGCAGCAGGAGGTGGAACTCTTTTTTATAGTTCTTTTTTTTCCCTTTTATTTCTTTAAAAAAAAGCGAGATGTAGTAATGAAATTAAGTGCCGTGATGTGCTCACCTTTTTTTTCTCCACCTTCTACTCCTCCTCCTCTTCTTCTCTCTCTATATATATCTCCGACTTTTATTTTTCTTCTTTACAAGGCGATTGGTTGGAGGCTACAGTATTTGCAATGGATTGGGATTTAGGAATTCGAGAGGGTCTTGCGATATATTGTTTTCTTTTTCTTTTTCTAACATGTGTGATATTGATATATATATTGATATTGATATTGATCTTGCAATATTTGACCTTTTTGTTATTTGGTAGCTTTTGGTTAATTTGCAGTGTATACATATATACTTACTTAAGTACTACTTATTTTTTACTATCTTTGGCTTAAAAGCTAGCGCCTGGATGGATTTGAGGTTGTATTTCTATGTGTTAGTATGTTTGTGTGAACTGTCGTGTAGTCGTGCGCTGGGTATTTAGTATCGTACGTATAAGTACCTATCTACATGCTTTTCTTTCTTTTTCTTTTTAAAATTTTCTTATCTCTTTTTTTTCGTCTATGAGTATCTGGTATGGGTAGGTACCTATATATATATATACCTAATCAATACGGCATTTGTAGGTGCTTTATTTTTATTTGAGGCTAAGGGTAAAGGGGAAGTATCTATACTTTGATAGTTGGTCTTGTACTTTCAAGCTATAGAGGTGGATTAGAGTTTCCTCAGCCACAAGTGGAGAAATCTGAAGTAAGCGTTATAATGAAAATTTCTCATCTCCGACTCTCACTGTTAGATCGGGGCTGTGGTTTAGTGGTATAACGTTTCTTTCGCATAGAAAAGGTCCTTGGTTCGATTCCTAGCTGCTCCACTTCTAAACATCTTTTTTGCAACTTTTCTTTTTTGTCTTTTTGGTTATTACATAGTATCTTTTGATCTGGAGGTGTGGTGATAGTGGGTGGGTCTTCAAGAGCTCCATTGACTAGCGGGGGAAGGTGGGGGGTTGATTTGATGGGGAAGGTTAGGATGAAAATATAACAATGGGTTTTGTGTTGCTTGGGCTGGTTTGTGAGTTAAAAAAAAAACATCTACATCAGGTATTTTGAAGGTGCTGTAAGCCATCAATCGGTCAATCCTCCAACTGTTTCAGCTACGAGGATAAAACATTATTACCATTGTAGTGCCATCGAAATCGACACTATCCTCAACCTTCACTGATATTTTGCAGGAAGGCGACTGGACTCGACCTTGAAACGGACTTTCAAATTCACCAGTGGTCAGTTCATATATCATCGATTTTTACCTAGCGGGTTCGAACCCGGGCTTCGTCGCTCCGAGACTTTTTTTCCCTTCTTTCTCCCAGAAACCAAAAAATCCAACGCCTGGCAACAAAAAAAAATGATATAGCGGAACTTGCCTGATCTAAATTCTAGACTGGCTCATCAAGAAAGCCCAGCTTTAATTAGCTGTTACTCGGAAAAGGGTCTTTGAAGGAACTGTGAAGCAGAAAAGAAAAAAGAAGAAGAAGAAGAAGAAGAAGAAGAAGAAAAGACAAGATGTCGAGGTCTCCGTACATCCTAGAAGACGAGTATGATCGGCCCAAGCCTCCGCCGTCCGAGGCGCCTTGGTGTGAGATTCCAGATAAACAGTTATTGGCAGTAGAGCATCCGGCTGTTATTTTGAACAATTCGGACCGGGCGGTTAGGATGTTGGGGGGTGGGAAGGCTGTTGCACAGGTTTGTTATACATCTTTATCTTCCTTTTGCACTTACTTCTGTAGTCTACTAGAAATTCTTACTCATATAAAAAAAATCGAATAGGCATTCAAACCAAATCCAGAAAATATATCGGAGCCCAATGGTCTCGAACTACGGTTTAGACCTGGAGATGCATTGGCCCCTCCGGTTCAAGGCAAACCGGCAAGGACCCGTGCCATGGTTCTCAAAATCACTGTTCCCAAGGGAAAGGGACCGAATCCTAGACCTCCTCCGGGTGAAGAACCAGATATTCCCAAGATTTTAAAAAGTTTAAATGGGAAGTTCACATCTGAAGTTGTAGGTTGGGTAGACCATACGATTCGGTTTAGGGATATGGCGGATTATCAGTGGAATACGAGAAACTCGGACTGGGCAAGGAATGTAGAGGAGAATATGATGGAGTTGGATCGTAGGTTTTTCCCAAAACTTCTCTCTTTAGATATATATTTTGGTTTCTGGTTCTTAATTGACGGCTGCATGGATTTTGAGATTAACGGGTGATTTTTGATGTTATGTATAGTGCAGGCTCTCAAACGCTTCAGAATGACCGACAAAATCACTGCTGATGCAAACGCAGAAATCATGCGTCCACCACGGTTCACTCATATAAACTACCCATTCGTCTACGGTTTCCGCCAAAACCCCGCTATAAAAGTCGACACGGATATCAACGGCGAACCAGTTTTCATCAATGCCGGAGCACGGGTCCAGACACAAACCCAATATGGCAATTGGAATTCCGATACAGTCCCTCAAGCAGGAAGATTGAAACGTCCAAAGGAGCCTGAAGTGCTTGTGGACTGCCTGAAGAAACTTGAGGAATTGTTTGAGGAGAGACCGATATGGACTAGACGCGGGTTGATGAATAATATGCCTAGTAGTTTGTGGCAGCAGTTGAAGTGGGCGTATCCGCATGTTGCGTATTATTGGAGAAGTGGGCCTTGGAGGGATACGTATGTGAAGTTTGGGGTTGATCCGAGAAAGGGTAAGGAGTTTGCGAAGTATCAGGTTGTGGCGTTTAAAGTGCATACGGTTAAGCCGAAGAAGGATTCTAGGTGAGGATTTTTTATCCGTGCTACTCTATTACTATTCTGCGAGCTCTGCTAATGAATATATAAAAATATTTTAGTCAAAATGAGGGACATTTGTTTGACGGGGAAAGTATTATTCTCGATGGAAAGATTTGGCAGTTTTGCGACTTGAAAGATCCGTTGTTGGCAGAATTGGCGGATATTGAGAAGTGTGAGGCGAGAGATGTTTGTGATGTAAGTTAATTGCCTTTTTTTCCCTCCCTCTCTATCTTACGATCTCAAAGACTAATAATTTTCAATGGACAGAATACCGACGGCTGGTTTCCTAATAATCGTCATTTCAAAATAAAGTATATTATGAGAAGAAAATTATCAGCGTTAATCGCCGGGAAGAAAATGGATGATAGAGTCTTTGAAGCGATACTGAAGGAACCGGATTCAGCGGCGCCAGGAACTTTACCGCCAAGAAAGCAGATAATGTATACCACAAGCCTGGATGGACAAGAAGGAGGAACTATTGGTGAAGGGGATAAGATGGATATAGTTGAGACGGAAGAGGGCGATGCGGAGGTTGAAGTTGATGAACTAGTGGATGAATTTGGGGAAGAGTTTGAAAGCGAAAGTGAGGGTGAAGAGGAGGAAGAAGAAGAAGAAGAAGATGATGATGATGATGAAGCAAGTGAAGATGAAGAGGATGAAAGTAGTAAAAAGGAGAAAGGGGAAACAGCAGCAAGAGATGAAAGGTTACAAAAGCTTATGGAAAGGTTTATGCAGGGTCATCAGCATGAAGGGGTGTCGAGGAAGACTGGGGATGATGATGATTTTGAACTGCTCGGAGAGAGTGATTGATGGATTGCGTGTACAGGGTACTTGGCGCAAGACTTGTAATATTTAATATTTGGCAAATGATGATTTTAATTGGTATTTAAATCACCGAGGTCAATATGCATCGTCCCAATCGAATACTTAAGTAGTTACCATAGGATAATCGAATCCAAACATATACCTTAGCTTAGCCTCGAGGGACTGATTCAAGGTAGTGTGTTGAAGATGTTGGAATATAGGATAGAGCTACAGAGCTAAAGAGCTAGTTGGCCCCAGATCTTGGTACTGTACAATCTTGCATGGGTCTTTTGCATCTCTTCTATACAGCGCTCGGATTAATGTCGGGTAGTTTGGATCTCATGATCGTATATATAGACGAGAGACGAAACGATGGGGACCAAGACAGGGTTTAGGCTGAATAATCAATTCTTGCAATGTCAATTGATATAAATTGTCGCTTTTCCCCGGGTGCATTCAATGCAATAGTATTTCTCGATATATCTCTTGTTCTGGGATTCTATAAACTTTAAATTTAATTTAAAGCCTTTGACGTCACGGCCTTTTAATTAACACTACTCAACTTCAGTATATATATACATTACTCCTTGTGTATTAACGTTGATACTTACGTGTGAACGTCTTCAAGATGTCTTCCCCATTTGAACTTAAGTGGGGTATTCTAGGTAAGCTAGGGAAAGAAACCTCCACAATTGCACAAAATCTATCGAGGGATATAACTAACGAACCTCTTCAATTAGGCTGCGGATGGATTGCATCTGGTACGAAAACCGTTGAAGAGACCCACTCCAATTTACCACATTACCAACGCATCTCTTCCGATGCACAATGATCTCTAACCAAGCTGGCCTAAGTAATTAATGCGTATCTGACATATTTTCAGTTTTCACAAAGGACCTCCTTCTCGATCCTGCAAACCGTGGCGCTGGAGATATCAAGCACACAGTAGTCGCCGCCGGAACATCTTCCTCTGTTCCCCGCGCTGAAAAGTTCCTCTCAGACTGCGGTGTCCCAGAGGGGACTGCCGCTGCCTATGGTACTTACGAATCACTTGTCAACGACCCGAACGTTGACATTATCTATGTCGCAACCCCACATTCTCACCATTTCCCACACGTCTTACTCGCACTGAACGCTGGAAAACATGTTCTTTGCGAAAAGCCGTTCACTGTCAACGCCGATCAGGCAAAGATTCTATTTGATGTTGCAAAACAGAAGAATTTGTTTATTATGGAAGCAGTATGGACTCGTTTCTTCCCTTTGAGCATCGAAGTTAGGGAACTAGTCAAGTCCGGTAAGATCGGAGAGGTCAAGCGGGTACTATCAGACCTATCACTTCTGAACGAAGTTGAAACTGCATTCCCACCGGAGAATAGGATGGTCAATATGGATCTTGCTGGTGGCGCATTGTTGGATTTGGGGGTTTATTCGCTTACCTGGGTTTTCCAAATTTTGTACCACTTGGATGAGAACCCGAAGACTCCCAAGGTGGTGAGTCATGTTCAAAAGTATGGTGGTACTGGGTGCGATGAGACTACTACCGTCGTATGTCAATTTGAAAAGTCGACGGGAATTGCGATGACGAGTTTTAGGGTTGGACAGGATGTTGATGGGGAGGGAACTGGTGGGCCTGCGATTAGGATTTATGGAACGAAGGGGGAGATTCAAGTTGCGCATCCGGCGTATAAGCCGGTGAAGTACAGGGTTATTTTGAGGAAGGAGGAAGGAGGTGCAGGGGAGTGGATTGAGAAGAAGGATGAGGGTGGGTCTATGTACTGGCAAGCCGATGGGTGTGCGAGGGCGATTAGAGATGGGAAATTGGAGTGTGAAGTCATGCCGTGGAAGGAGACGGTGTCTGTCATGGAGGTTATGGATGAGACGAGGCGGCAGGGAGATTTGAAGTATCCAGAGGCGATTGAGAGCACCGCTCATTAATTATAAGATATATATCCCCGACGAAAGGAATGTTTAGGGGGGGGGCTTATGGTAGTGTGTATACATTAGACATTTGCATTTACAAGATATTGCGAGATAGTACTAGTAGTAGATCCAAGGTATTTTATATCAACAGTAAAACCACCCAGTCCGAACGCCAATAAACTCCAAGAAACCACAATTATGGGCAAAGATGTTTAAAATCATAATACTAATAGAAGCACTAACAATAGGATGAGAACAAATATCAATATTGCAATACAGCAACTGGAGTATTTATCTAGATCATAGTGATTAGTCTTACATCAATCATGTCATAAAAACAAGATAATCAATGAATATAGCAACTTACCTTCATTAGCTCTTGCAAACTCGGTTAGATTCTTCATACCTTTCTTCAGCCTGCCATCTACCCTTTCAGCAATAGCATCTGTTTCGTCGAGTATAACGGCTTGCTCTTCAAGCTCCCGACCCATATCATTTGCTTGCATTCGTAGATTCCCCACAGTTCTATAAACACTCTCTAATTGATCATCTTGATTCCGCATTAATTCCTGTTGATGTAGATGTTCGAACTGGGTGTAAGAGTCGTCGCCCGCTCTACTTCCGTTATCGTCATCATATGAAGATACCACGGTGGTAGGTTGCCGTCCCTTTGCAGAGCCAGCCATAATCGCAGCTTCCTTCCCCAGCTCCTCCTTGATATCGCTCAACTCTCCTTCTACCTCTCGAAGCCATTTTCGACGCTTGGCGACTGCTTCGACCTCAAGTCCAAACCGATACGGATCCCGTTCGCCTTCAGATACAGCGAGGCGCAAGTCTTCGAGGTCGATTTCGAGGTCTGCTAAAGCGTCTTCGAGCTCGGAATGGGCGGAAGTGAGTTCAGGAGATGTGCGACTAGACGCCAAGGAACGGATTCGCAGGTAGGAGGAGAATAGCTGGCGGGTGGTGTGTAGAAGCGCAGTTACGTCCCTGATGGTGGTCGAGATATCGCATTAGTAGGGGTTGTATGGAGAGGCATTTAGCTGCCTAGGAACATGGAACAGGACACACACTGCTGGACTTGGATGAAAGGGTCGTCGCCGTTCATTGTGAGAGGGTGTAGCTAACCGCTGCCCGCTGCTCCGGTGATGTTGATATCAATCGGGCTGTAGCTGCCGCAGAGCCTGCCCGTAGATGTAGAAAGTTGGCTGGCGATATGATGGTGTTCTGTTGCAAGAGGATGTTGTCGCTGTGTGGTCTCGTAACGGTTTGAACTCGGTGATGACGTTGGTTGTTGCCCGGTTGTTGTGCGTTTGTTTATTCTGCTTTGTGTGCAACGCGCAGCTGGAAAAACATTCAACGTCGACAGCTTCCAAGCTCCAAAGACACCAAACCAACCTGCCCTCCTCGTCCTCGTCACCTCCATCCACATTCAACCTCCACCCCACATCATCATCGCCATCATCGCCATCACGTCACCAACCTCAATCAAGCATAGCCAAGCTTGTATTAACCTTAGTATCATCATAAACTACCGTTGTTATTAAAACGACAGCTCTTACCAAGCTCTCACGATAGTTTCGTCAGCTCGTAAGCGTCGTGCAAGCGGCCGCAGGCAACCAGCTGCCTCAGCTCGCAGAAAGCCAGTCTCGAAGAAGAAAGTTGACACCGAGCCTACCGAGGACCTTGATATTCTTTCTGAGTCCGAAATCGAAATCAATCCTGACAAACAAACCTCCAAGTCATCAACCATCAAGACACCTCGTCGTCGACTTGCTGCTTCAACCGAAGACGATACTCGAGAAGAAGACGAACCTTCCCCACACGGAGATCCTGTCAAGAAAGAGTCACCCATCGCTCTAACGACTCCTCACCCTAGATACTTCCTTCGTGGCAGAGGTGGACCTCAATTGACTCCTGTTGTGTTGAAAGCACCAAAACCTGTATTCAAAAATCCCGAACTAGAACACGAGGACGAGCAAATCGAAGATTCTGAAGACGAAGAAGATATAGAAGACCTCGAAGACGAGGAGATTGAAGATTTTGAAGACAAACAGATTGAAGGCCTTGAAGACGAGCAAATTGAAGACCTTGAAGACGAGGAGATCGAGCACCTCACCACCATATCAACCAATTTCACAGAAAAATTCGGTGATTTACTCGGCATCGCGGTTACGATAGCGTCGGAATCCGAACCCGAGTTTCATCCTACCGAGCCAGGGAAGAAGGACGAGTCTACCCTGGCCGCTGAGAAAGTAGTTATGGAGAAGTTTCTCCGTGAATGGCGTCAAGACGCGGTCAATAAACACCAATACGACTCAGCAATTTTCATAGGTGATAAGCTGCTCGCGTTGACCAGTTGAGTATTCCCTGCAGTCCCTCGATTCATGCTAGCTTCTAGAAATATAGCTAGTGGGCAATTGAGCTGAGCTCTGGCTAACTTGGTAACCTCGCAAAGATGACCCCAACGACGCTTTCTTCTTGGCTCAGATTCATTTCTCCACTGGCCAATATACCCGAGCCCAGGCCTTTCTTGATGGCACTGGTTTGATTCAAAAATCCGCACCATGCAAATATCTCTACGCTCTCTCTCAGATCAAACAGAACAAATACGAAGAAGCGCTCCAGACACTTGGTGATGAGAGCCCCATCGTCTCGAACCCTCATAATCTTAGGAAGCGTGGGACATCTCGAGCTAATGAGGAGAAATATGAAGCTGCCATGTGTTATCTTCGTGGGGTGATTTACACGAAGCAAGGTGCCTACGACAAAGCTAAGGAAGCTTACAAAACTGCTGTCAAGATTGACGTCAGGTGCTTTGAAGCCTTCGACACACTGATGCGCAACAACCTCCTCAGCCCCGAGGAGGAATGGGAATTCATTTCAGAGATCGACTTTGACTCGATGGCTGCCAGCGTCGGTGGAGCACAGGGAGAAGCCACAACTCAATTCTTGAAAGCATTGTACACCACTCGACTGAGCAAGTATAGAAACAGCTCGAAATTCGATGATGCCATCGCGTTGCTTTCAACTCAGTATCCGCTCGCAGACAACCACGATATTGTTCTCGCCAAGGCCGAGCTACTCTACACCCAGTGCCGCTTTGAAGAATCGCTCAAGCTTGTCAAGGAACTTCTGGTGAAGGACAAATACAACTTCAAACTCTACCCGGTCTACATAGCATGTCTTTTCGAATTGGGAAAGAAGAATGAGTTGTTCCTCATGTCTCATGACCTTGCTGACAACCATCGCGAAGAACCTGTTACTTATGTCGCTATTGGTGCATACTACATGCTTATCGATCGATTGGCTGAAGCTCGTAGGTTCTTTTCCAAGGCCTCTGTCATGGACCCTTCGTTTGGACCAGCATGGATTGGGTTCGCCCATACTTTCGCCGCCGAGGGAGAACACGATCAAGCGATTTCTGCGTATTCTGCCGCCGCTAAGCTATTCCAGGGGACCCATCTCCCTCAGATGTTTCTTGGGATGCAACATCTTCAGCTCAACAATATCACGCTCGCGGATGAATACCTTCAGATTGCTTGGGGCCTTTGCAAGACCGACCCCTTGCTCATGAACGAGCTTGGCGTTGTCTTCTACCACAATGAGCATCTCCACGAAGCCGTCAAGATGTTCCTGAACGGGATCAAGCTCGCCGACGAGATCGGAGGCGATCCAAAGACATACGTCCAGTTCCGCACGAATTTGGGACATGCCTACCGACGGCTTGGAAGGTATGGTGAAGCCATCGAAGAGTTCACCCATGCGATCCGGATCGGTGGAAACGAGGCCAACATCCGCTGCTCGATGGGCCTCTGCTGTCTGATGGAGGGCAAAACGAGGGATGCCATCGGGCATCTCCACGAGGTTTGTCTCAGCATTTCTCATAAAGGTAGATAAGGAAACTAACTGAACTTTGATAGGCGCTCTCCCTCGTCCCACAGGATCCCGTTGCGACGGAGCTTCTAGAGCAAGCTCTGTTGAAGTCGGCCGACGAGCCTTTCGAGCCGACATACTACCTCCCAGATGGCAGTGCCATCGTCCCTACCGACAGGGACTTTGACAAGTTGCTTGGGGAGGACAAGATCCAGCGGTCGTTGCCCAGCGACCCTGGTTCGTCGGCGCAAGCCAATTCTGGGCGTATCGCCGGGACTGTCCGGCGAGGAAGGGTTGGGGGTGCTCGGGGGTCCCGCCGGGGGGAACCAGACCCGAGCGTTATGGATGTTAGTGATTCCGAATTTTAAACGTCGGTCGTCTGGGGCTGCTATTTGGAATCTCTGACATCTATTTCGTTCTGGTTTGTGTTTCTTTCCTTGGGGCCCCCTTGCACATTTTTTGTTTTTTTGTTTTTTTGTTTATTGTTAGCGGGGGGCATTTTTATTATTGTTATGGCGTTGTACATAAGAAAAAAGCATGGAGGCGTTCTGGGGGGGTGTTCTGCTTTTTTCTTCCTTGTTAAATCATGATATCAATACAAGGAGGTTTTGTGCGTGCATCATTACTGCTTCTTACCATTGCGTTAGCGATGGATTAGGGGGAGTATTCTAGTGAATATCGTACGGTAAATTGAAGTAGGGGAAGTTAGACCCGAGTGACTGTAAACTCTTAAATCATACAGTGTCCCCTAAACCCCTAGGTATATATGGCCGAAGCATATATATCTACATTGGCTGTGGTGGTAGTGAGCAGAGCTAGGGTGATTGATAACAACCAAATATCATTGAATGGATTATATCTAGGGAATGATCCGGAAAGGATCGATATTATATATACAGAAGAAAAGATCCCATACGCCAATATGTATAAGTAGTATTTAAGTACGCATCGTACAGAACCTCTCTAGTAAATGCATGTCTCTAGCTCTACTGTTGCTTCGCCGCCTTTGCATCTAATCTTCTTCTTTTCAAGAAATTCCCCAATAACCTCCAGGCGATCACCACTGCAGTCGCAGGCCAGAAAGTCTGCATGATAAAAGTCCATATCCAAGGTCTCCGTCTCTTATACCTCCCCACGAACAATCCGATTTCCTTCTTCAGTTCCTCTTCACTATCGTTGTTCCAGATGACCACATCAGCGAAGCCAATCTTCTTGTCCAAGGGCATCTGACTGGCTATCCGTTTCTCTCCGTCATCTCTTGTTAAGAAAGCATCTCGTTTTAATAGTCTTTCCAACTGTAGTTCCGGTTCCAATCCTACCAATAACGATACACCACAGTAGACATCCAATCTACTTTCAAAAAGTAAGGGGATATCTAACACGACAGCCCAATGTCCACGTAACCAATAATAAACAATCCCTCTAAATATCGCCCAACGTACAGCGGGGTGTACGATCCCATTGAGAATTTTAATATCTCTTTTATTCGCTTCGGAGGTACCGAATACCCTTCGACCGAGGACTTTTCGGTTTATACTGGGCCCCAGGGGGGAAGGGTTTGGATCCGTTTCAGGGTCGTGGAGGAGACCCGGGGTGGTGGAGAGGAAGTTTTTGAGGATCTTGCGGTAGGCGGGGGTTCCTGGGAGGATTACGGAGTGGGCGAGGGAGTCGGCGTCGATTACGGGGAGGGAGTGGGGTTCTGAGGAGAAGATGTTGGAGACTGTGGATTTGCCAGTGGCGATGCCGCCGGTTAGGCCTATTAGGAGCATGGTGGTTCCTGTTACTCCTGCTTTCTTCGTCTTTCTATTTAATTATATTAATCTTGTATTTTTTTTCTTGGAGGGTTTAGTCTAGTAGGATTGTAATAATGCTGGGAGGGTGTTAATATTGAGGTTATTGAGATTATGGATGGTGGATGGTGGATGGTATCGGAGCATGAAGATGGAGATATCGGCATGACAGGGGGAAAGATGATATTTGGCAATGACATACACATGTGTTTAAGTTTATAGCGAATTGTCGCAGCAAAACAGCCCCGGTTGTCGGTTATCGATCGGATGGCGTAATGCAAATGTCTTGACCCCGGTCGGGTCACCGATTTCTGTCCTGTCCGTCTGTCTGTCTTTGTCTTGGTTCGTTCGATAAGTATGACCCGTACGTAACTAGTGCGGGCTAATGAAAAGCTTGGGTCAAAGTCTTGATTGTATTCTCCATTCATACGTTTCTGCATCTTATATTCTCCCATTTGCATATTTGTTCAGCATTACATTATTATACTTAATTATCAATGGCAAAGAAAAAGGTCCTCGTAACCGGCGCCACAGGTCTTCTCGGCCGCCAAGTCGTTAGAGCATTTGACGAAGCGGGATGGGATGTTATCGGCACAGGTGCGTATGGTAGCATGTCCATGTCATGTCATTGGATATCGATAGTCTCCCTCTCTTTCTCTCCTTCTATCTTTCTTTCTCCAGTTTTGCGGGGAAAATCCCGAACTTTTAGGCCGCGTTTAAAAAAAGGGCTTAGAGACAGTCAAGATCTAACGAATGTGGAGCCACGGTCAGGTTTTTCACGTGCCAATCCACCCCGGATTCTAAAGCTCGATATCACGAATCAAGAGGATGTGGAGAAGGTCTTGGACGATGTCAAGTATGTTTAACTTTGAGCTTCCCAAATCTCATTATAATAATATTATTATTATTGCTATTTCTTGTGATTACGTAATTTATCTCCATAAACAAGAACTGTGACGCTAATTAAATTCTTTCGCGGTGAAACACAGACCGGCCATTATCATCCATTGTGCTGCTGAGAAGTCACCAGATAGATGCGCTTCCGATCCAGATGGCACAAAAGCCTTGAACGTCGCTGCGTCTCAGCTTCTTGCCGAACAGACTGCCGCTCGTAATATTGTGCTTGTATACATTTCCACAGACTATGTTTTTGATGGAACTCCTGGTGGAGCACCGTACGAGACCGATGCGGAGACCAGTCCACCGAACTTTTACGGTGAGACGAAGCGTGATGGCGAGATCGCCGTGATTAAGGCTAGTGATAGGGCAGTGGTGCTTAGAGTGCCCTTGTTGTATGATCCCTTTCTCCCTCTCGTTTCTATTAGTTGAAAGGAGTATTGATATATGAGGGTGAGGTTAACATTGTTGGATTGGTTAGGTTTGGTTCCGGAGACAATTCTGAAAGTGCGGTCAATGTTTTGATTGATACCATTTGGAATAAATCTGGGAAAGAGAAAGTTGATATGGATCATTGGGCGATTCGATGTATGTTTCCTCCCAAACCTCAAACCTTAATCTTAGGCCAGCCTTCCTGACCAAGTGATACAATAGACCCAACAAACACCGAAGATGTCGCTAGAGTTCTCAAGGATATAGCAGAAAAATACACATCGGAGGACCCGACAAAACTCCCAAGGATTCTGCAGTTCAGCTCGGAGGATAGGTGTACTAAGTATGTGCTCACGAAGTACCTGGAATGTTAAGACTTGGAATAACCTGATTGACATGCTACTGGCAGATACGAAATCTGCGAACGGCTCGCACAGGCCCTGGGCCTTCCTATGCCTCATATTGTCGCGAATAGCACTGTAGACCCGAACCCCTCTGGTGAGTTGAGCACCTTTGAAATGGCACGGATATGTCAAAGCTTGCTAATATTAGTAGTCAAACGTCCTTACGATTGTCACTTATCGACCAAGGCGCTCAAGGACCTCGGAATTAATGTCACAACAATGGATTTTGAAGCTTGGTGGTAAGTGTCTCACAGTCATGCAATTGTGAACGAGTACTTACATGTGAGCATCAAGGAAACGAGAACTTCGCGCATATAAAAAGTAACGAATCATTTGAAAAGCGAGTTGGAGGGTGCATTTCGGGACGTTCCATCATTACTGCAGAAACTTGCATATTTCATTCTGGTTCTGTAGACATGAAAAAACCACACGAGCATTACATTAGCGATGTGCATGAGGAATAGCCGGGTTTTGAATGCATTAGTATAGCTTACCTCTGATGATACAAGCCCATTTCCTCCACACCTGATATCCTTCATATAGTCAATAAGGAAAAAAGAGGCAGCGTTCCTTTTAAAACAAATCACAACTTTTAAGAAAGAAGATCTGCGACGTTCATTGGCATCTCATCGATCTGGGTGGAGTAGTACACTAAAATGAGTGTCAGCGCCATTCCATTTCGTATCATTAGACCAAACAAAAGAATACTCACATTCAATATCTCTCAAAATCCTGACATCTTCGCTTGTGACAAAGTTGATAGCGACACCCTTCCTGCCGAATCTTCCACTACGACCGATACGGTGGATATAATTTTCACGGTTACTGGGTAAATCGTAATTGATGACCAAGCTGACCTGTTGAACGTCGATACCACGTGCCCAGACATCTGTAGAAATTAAAACTCGAGAGTTTCCTTGTCTGAATTCGCTCATAATGGCATCTCTTTCTTTCTGTGCCATTTCTCCGTGCATGCTGGAAACAGTGAAATTTGCGTCTCGCATCTTGTCGGTTAACCAGTCGACCTTGCGGCGGGTATTGCAGAAGATGACAGCTTGGGTGATTGTGAGGGTGTCGTAGAGCTAAATTAAATATTTGTTAGCATGATATCGTTACTTTCGTTATAATAGCTGAGAGAAAACATACATCGCAGAGAGTATCGAACTTCCAGTCCTCCTTCTCAACGGCAATGAAATACTGCTTCAACCCTTCTAAAGTCAACTCATCACGTTTGACAAGAATCCTGACTGGGTCTGTCATGAACTTTGTTGTCATATCTAGGACATCGTATGGAAGTGTAGCGCTGACAACCACAACCTGGGTTGCTGGTGGCAAGTAACGATACACATCGTAAATCTGCTCTCTGAAACCCTTGTTCAATAGTTCGTCTGCTTCATCAAGAACCAACATCTTGATATGACGAGTGCGTAGGTTTCGACGACGAATCATATCTGCCACACGACCTGGAGTTCCCGAAACAACATGCTGTCCGTGGTCGAGCTTGCGGATATCTTCTCCAACATTGGTTCCACCGATACAAGCGTGACATTGAACGTTCATATAGTCTCCCAATGCCATCACTACATTCTGAATCTGTGTCGCCAATTCACGGGTCGGAGAAAGGACCAGTGCTTGTGTTTCACGGAGCGAGGTGTCGATGACTTGGAGGATCGAAATGGAGAATGTGGCTGTTTTACCGGTACCAGACTGGGCCTGTGCGATTGTGTCACGGCCCTTACAGATCTGGACGATAGCACGAGATTGAACGGCCGACGGGGATTCGTAGCCGTACGCGTAGATCCCACGGAGGAGGTTTTCTTTCAGGTGCATGGCCTCGAAGGTCGGGGCGACGGTGACCTCCTTAGAGGTAGCAAATTCCTGGCGCTCATCTTCGCGCTTGTCGAGTCCGGCGTCGGCCATGATTGTGGAAAGGAAGGATTATAGTTGTGGGTGGTAGTTGGAGTTAGTCGGTGGTTGGTTGGAAGTGAAGATGTGATGAGGTTTTGAATCTATGATCTGGGGAAGAAGCGAGAATTTTTGAATGGAAACTCTGACTCGACTAAATATATTATTAGACTCGGCGCGACTTCAACCTCATCGCCACCAACCTGGTCCCTAGCTCAAGATTGAAAAGAAAACAGCTTCCGTTACGCTTATTCCCTCCCGACCATCAATTCATAATGACGACAACCCTCGAGAACCAGCGTCTCCTCCATGAGGAACTCGAGCGCCTTGAACAAGCCGTCGCGGACCGTCTAGCAGAAGAAGCGCGAACAGTAGGACTCGCCATTGCCTCCAAGAAAACCGCCATTCGTTATATATACTTACCCATGTTCATACAGATACGCGATCGTCTGATCCGAGATCACGAAGTAGGTCATTTCTTGACTCGATTTGAGAACCAGAGTAAACGCTTATACGATCTCTACACAGATGAAGATGGGTACGTGACTTGCTTCCCTTCCTCCATATCCCACCATTCGAAAAAAAAACTAGCTAACTTTGAACTGATAACTATTAGATCCCGAGATAAAGAGATAAATAACCTCTCTCACGGCGACCCATTCGTCGAATTCTACTCTCAACTAAATGAAATCCGAGATTTCCACCGCCGGTACCCAAATGAACCCGTCGAAGACCTTGCGCGGACCTACAAGCGTCGTCCACCTCTCGAAGGCGAAATCTCAATGATCGATAATATGTTCACCGGCGAGGAATTCCACGGCCGTTTCTTCGATCTTACCCAATTACATGAACAGTATCTCAATCTCAAAGGGGTGAAAAGGATATTATACCTTCACTTTCTCAACATCTTTGACAAATTCGAGGATTTTCCAAAGGCAAATAAGAACGATGCGTATTTTACGTACTTGACGAATTTGGCAGAATATTTAGAAGGATTCTTAAGGAAGACCAGGCCATTAAGTAATCCTGATGCTGTTATTAGAGGGTTTGGAGAAGAGTTCGAGGAGGCCTGGAAGGCAGGTACGGTGGCTGGGTGGGAGAGTGGTGCTGCCGTTGAGAAATCGGCAGGGATCTGGTGCGATGCTTGCGAAAAGGCGTTCACAAACGAGAATACCTACAACAGCCATCTGAACGGGAACAAGCATAAGAAGGCAGCGGCAGCAAAGGGTACAGACGGGGCTGATTCTGGTGTGACAAAGCCAGTTGAAGCGATAGAGAACCTGAAACACAAAGCTATCGCTGAACGTGAATTCCGAATCAAGAAACTGACGGAACTCATGTCGAAAGAACGAGAGGATACCAAAACCAACGTTGAGCGCAAAGCCTCACTCACAGAACGTGAGCGACAAGCCGAGCTCGAGGCCCTATTCCAGGATACCCAGGTCACATTGGGTGCCACTCATCTGGATGACGATGATGATGAAGATGACGAAGACAAGATCTACAATCCTCTAAAACTCCCGCTTGCATGGGATGGAAAGCCCATTCCATTCTGGCTGTATAAACTCCATGGGTTGGGAGTCGAGTATACTTGCGAAATATGTGGTAATTTCGTGTATATGGGACGACGAGCATTTGATAAACATTTTACGGAAGCCCGACATGTTCACGGACTACGTTGTCTGGGAATCACGAACCCTACGGTATTTAGGGAGATCACAAATATCGAGGAGGCGTTGGCTTTCAATGATAAGCTGAAGACGGATAAGAAACAGGCACAGGTGACACAGGACAATGTTGTGCAGATGGAGGATGGAGAGGGAAATGTCATGCCTGAGAAGGTTTATTACGATTTGCAAAAGCAAGGACTGCTGTAGAAGGTTATGCTTGATATCATTCTATTCGCAATGTACTATTGGAGTTTGGTTAGGGAGATCTTTTTATACAGACTGGGAATCGTGGGATTCTAATAATTTTTTTTTAGTGTATTATAAATTATGACCTCGGAACCTAACTGTTTCCTTCTTTCCCTTGCCTCGATATCTCTGAAGTCTAAGCGTTCACACTTAGTTATCAAGATCGGTCAGCCCTAGAATCACCACACCAGTCTTCTTTCCAAAGCCAGAGGTACCCATCGCGATGCCCCATATCACCTCCCCATCTACCAAATATCCCAAAAGGTGTCATGAACGCCGCCCAATATAATATCCCGCCACCTGCATATGTTATCACCAACATAACCCTACCGGACGCAGGGAATATCCTCCCCCGAAGGTGCACCTTGCCTTCCCTATGGTCCGCAATTCCCTGGAGCATGAGGAATCCCCCATTTGTTTGGTCCTCCCGTAACCACGCGTACGGTTCAAAATAGTCATCCTCGTAGTCGAGTCCAGAAGTCGACCCATCCATAGTCTGGCCAATACCATTGGTACGAGCACTCTCACCTACTACTATAAAATTTACACCTATTATCCCTAAGTCAAGGTGCCGTGGTAGGCCGTATCCATTAAATCCCATCCAAGCTCCATCCTCTAAAAATTCTTTAGAAGTCATTATTTCTAAATGACAACTCGCGAAATCCTTAGGATCGCTTTTAAAAGGAAGTGGCAGCTTCATGAAGCTCTCGAAGGGGATATCTATCGCTAGCGGACCTGAACTTGTACGCCGCGAATCAACCGCCGGTGGACTACTTGATTGGATACGAGAATCATTCGATAGTTTCAATAGTTTGGATTTGTATCCTAACAACCCCACTGACCTGACACATAACTCCTGAAATTGGAATGCAGAGATTACCTCCCTTTCCTGGGGTGCGTCATCCTGGGCTGGTTGGTCCATTGTATCAATATAAGGAGCTGACTCCATATCTAGCGCATGTACAAGGTCGGTCCAGCTTTCGTGGACGATTCTTTGTCCTTCTTCAAAATTCTAAACAAAGATGGAGTCTTCCTCGTCTTCTTGTCTGCTAATGGCCTGTGCTGGGACCGGGGATGAGAGAAGGTAAGTCGTTATCCAAAAAGAGAAAATATATCTATGTGCTACTGGGAGATCATGGAATCTGCCCAGTTTTCCCAGGTTGTGCAAGTGAACTGGTCTGTGGAGATTCAACTGGGTGAAAGGATCTATAGATATAAAATTTGTTTTAGATATGAAACCCACGGTAACGCTCTAGACTATAGGAATCGTATAATTGAAAAGGTATTAAAACACTCACGAGCCCTAGCGGCCATGATCCCTCCGTATTGTAGGAAATCTCGGGTAAAAGACGGAGACATAAGTTTGTACTCTTCCGCAAGTATTGTCCAACAGTTATAATCCGCTTTTGCGTATAATTCACACTCTTCTGGTGACATGCCGGCAGTAATTGGATTTCTGGTCCATTTGACACGGAGATCGTCTAATTCGTATCGTCCCAGGAGTTGTCTTAGCGATCCGTGATTTGGTACATCGACAATGGCCTTGTAGATTTGCCAGTCGTGAATTGCGAGTCTGATTTTGCGAGATACGTAAGAGAGAGAGGATAGAGAATTGTATGGTAGGTATGAAGCGATTTGACGGAGGATCTCTAGTGGGAGTCGGTCCATTCTTTATTAATATATTGAATTTCGGGATTTCGTGCCGCAATAAAACTCAGAAGTTACGAAGTCACGTAGAGATTAGTACGCCCTAGTAGTCGAGTACTAGTGTAAGTATACTGTCTATAAAAATGAACTCGCTATCGATATATCTGTGTTGGCGGGGTAAGCGGTGTGGACCTGGGAACGAGACCAGTGTGGACCGCGTCTGCAATACGAGACTCGTAGGCGGCGTGATTGTAGAACATACTGCATACATATAGTTCCTAGCCTCGAATCCACGTAGTTCCTCTCTACCCTCACCCTGCGCCTAGTCTCGAGACTAGTAGTTCCTAGGAACTGTGCATAGCTGCACATGGGATCCAGACCAGTTATAAACCTGAAATTTCGCTTAGCCGGTCTGGATCAAGACCTTTGACTTCAGACCCATACTTGAGATTCTAGACAAACGGGGACCATAGGCAATCTGGTGCACGTGCAGGATATGTGGATCTAATACCAATGTTCTATATATATATCGCGTACGTACGATCTCGTCCCTTGGCTGTAAGGTTTGTCGGGTTATATTATATACAAATCCTCTGATACTGAAAGGTGTTGCTGTTGTATTTTCTACCTCTAACTTTGGAGGACTTAAATTACCAAGCCAACTGATTGAATGTCAAGACTAATGAAACAGTCACGTTGGTAGACCTATGGGGATTTAACATGATGAGTGAGCTTATGAGATCCGATTAGAAGGCCCGCCTCTGCTCTTATAGAATCGGGTACCCCGGCGATCTCGGCGGAATGTAGCCTTTTAGCTTTCTGGGATTAGGATTCTGTGTAACGGTGGACGGACAATGCGGCATATGGCATGCTTGTATGCGTCTTTGTCAACCTAGGTGAACGTCGAAGGCTTAAGATCCTAGATCAATAGAATAAAATTAAAAAAAAAAATTAAAACTATCACCAATCCATCCATTCTACACACATCTCGTCCTGTCACATTTTCTATATTTCAATTAATCTCCGGGTACATATCTTGATTTTAGTTTAGTCTGGATCTGATCTAGCCAGGCGCCAGCCAGCTGGCACAGTCGACAGTCAACTCGTTGACGTCAAAATCCAACACTACAGTGACACTCACTACGTACTATCCATATGCATACTTAATATCGCGTTCGACACCAGTAGATCATTAACTAACATCGGCTTCAAATATTATCCGACTACTTGCCTTTTCAACTTTTAACTAACTTAAAAAAATGGTTTACGAAGACTCGAATTCCGATTTCAGCTCATACGATGAAGTCCCCGAGTTTTCCGGTCTGACTGGTGACCAGGCCCCAGCTCCCAGCCCATCAACGGATACAGTCACATGCCAAGCATCACAAATCCAGCCTGCAAACGCTGGATCTCATGGATCGATATCCGTGTCACCAAACTTAGACTCCGGACCTCATCATATTCTAGAAACTGAAAATACTCCACAAATCGAGGCCAAATATGAATTTAGTGATGGTAATGAGTCCGAGGACTTGCAATACCAGTCTTCGGCTGGTTCTTCAACAATACATTCTTCGTCTACTCGAAATATCCTCCAGAAAGCTCATAACGCTCTCTCACATCCTGTGGCTACTTCTCGAAAATTTAAGGCTCATCATTATCATACCCATCACGAAAGGAAGGGGAAACGAAAACCCCAGAGATTATGCCAAGAACTTGCCAAAGCTGAAGCCGGATCCGCCCGTCCAATAATGTCACCAACGAATAAATCGAATAGTTCATCCCATCCCGTCAAATCAAAAGTAAAACATGTCGTATCATCTTTTTCAAAATCTCACCCAAAGCGTCTTACAAAAGTACTTGCGTCAAACACTCTTTCGAATCATATTCTAGGTTTAGATCTTGATCCGTTCCGTCTTACAAAATCCGATGTGGAGTTTATTCAACTGGTATCAAAGCGTCGTTTTGAAACCGATGGCCAAGTCATCAGTGAGCGTGAGCAACGGCTCCGCGAGCTCAAGATTGCTAGGCAGAAGATGTTGGTCAACTGGGTTTCTGATCGGCATATTCGTTCTGCATCGGTTGTTCGAGCTAAAGCACTGAAGTACCCTGACCTTGATAAAACGATCGAGGAGGAAGGTTTTATGAAGTATTTTGGTGATGTGGCTCTATATTTCTCGCAAAGATTCATTCCCATCTATACAAGTCCCTGGGAAGAAATACCGCGGTATGATAGTTCCAGGACGATGAGCCATGTTGAGAGAATTGCTATTGGGATGGCGCCGTTCCAAGAATGGGCTATGGTTATAAGAAATGTGTATAGATGGGAGGATCCAGTCAAGACGGCGAGATGGATGGCTATATATACGGTATTATGGTGGTCGGGGTATCTAATTACCTTTGGGGTAGGTGGATTGTATATCCTGAATGTTCGATGGTTTATACATGATTGCTAACCGAATTTCCATCTGAAAGTACGCATACCTTATCTCACGGGTGTTGAGGAACCGCCAGGATTGGAACGAGGTGAAAAGGGTTAAGGGAGCCATATATAGAGCCAGAGATCAACAACAGAATGTACGGCGAATCACAGAGTTAATAGAACGACATGGATCGGATGGATGGGTCGAAGCGCTTCCTGATAGTTTTGGTTCATGGGCGCAACTTAAACTTGGAGATTTCGCGGATGCGTTGGAAATCATAAGAAAGTACGCGATAAGCCTTCTTTCAAAATCCTTCTGATTGTTTATGCTGACCTAAGACCTAGTTTCTACGAATGGCGAGACCCAGAGCAGACAGTATTTACCCTCATCTTCTTCGGGGCCTGTTTGCTTATCGGGATGTTCACAAGCATGGCATATTGCTGGCGTATTGTAACATTTGTATTTGGGCTCTGGTTTTTTATTTCTTCTCCCATCGCCAGCCGTTACCCGCGATACCGATTGGTTGTCAGTCCATTCAAATGGATATTCTGGGGAATTCCAACACATGCCGACATTGCATATTCAGAGTTTCGAGCGGATGCTGCCAATGCTGTTAGCGATCCAGATATGAAAAAGAAATCGGCGAAGCGGAATGCCAAGAGGAGGAGAGCTGCGGATTTTGAAACTCCTGTTATGGTTATTGACGACGATGTTGAGGATGAAGAGGAAGGTGATGATGGGTATACAACTTCGCCAGATCTAGACGAGGGTGATAATTACGATCCTGAAGAGCTAATCTCACCACATGATATGGAGCGGGATCCGGAGAGCCTGGGTGGCAAACAATATATTGGGGTGATATACTGTGGATTTAGGTGTATATACCGAGGGCATCCGGGGAAGTTGTACCTCTCAGATTATGGGTTAGTGTTTGAAACAGAGGTTAGTAAGAAGGTGATGCTCGAGATCAAATGGAGGGATGTCAAAAAGATTGAGAAAGAAGAGAGCTTATCCATGGGGAAAGTGGGGAAGGTGCATGCACTTGGGGTGGCTATGGCTTGTGGGGAAAGGATTAAATTTGAAGCCATGCTGAAGAGAGACTTGGCATTTAACCGGATCATTGGATTTTCAGGGCTCCAGTGGCAAAGTGAGGCTTAAGCCCACATATTGTATACTTAAGTACTTAGTTATCGCGTCCAGTTTAAATAATTTATTAATATTCGTATACTATGCATACTATGTACACGGGCATTCTTTCTGTATGCCAATTAGTCTTGTATTGGACTGCTTCGGAATGCTGAACGCCCAATCAATATAGCATGCGAGCAACTAGAGCTATTAGATTGGCTTCAACCTACCCTCAAGGTTTAACTTATGGTGTTTATCAGTGGTCTGGGCACACAAAGTTCTTAAATTAAGAGAAGTTGTGTCACCTAACGTGCACAAGTCTCTTAAACTAAGAGAGTTATTCCATCCAGTTGTTGCATTTTTTGCGTTGCCCATCCGCTTCTGATTAGAAAATTTCCCTTTTTCACCTTGGATCCTTCAACCCCTTTCAAGTTCTGCCAGTGTCTGCCAGCATCTGCCAGCAGTCACTGACCGTCCAGCCCTTGGATCGAATAGAGTTGGAAAAAAAAAACGTTCCTTGCCGCGCGCTATCCTAATTGAGGTCGCAGGCCGCCGATATTTACACCTTGCGCATTACGTCTCCCCGTATTGCAATTGCGAGCACCTTATGATTCTTCGAATTCCCCCAGTTATGACGGTTTCGGACCTAACCCTGATATATGGCGACGGGTTTGAACCTTTCATCGACCGATGAGAGACAAAAAAAGGAAAGCATTTTTTTCTTCTCTATTTCACGGAATACATAACCTATCGATTTCTCCTCGGTCTTGATTTTTTTGGTCGGCCTCAGATATAGCTCCCGTTAGGAGCGCGGCGCGTACGTACGGGTTGATATAAGGCAAATACGAGGTGTCCTCCACTATTGTCAACAGTGCGTATAAGGATGAATACCAGGACTCAGAAGCCGACTATGGACTGCCAAATATCTCCGAAGCATTGGGCATCTTTCGACATCTTCCTCTGATGGGTGCGAATATCTTCTTCTAATCTTGTTCCTCTGAAACGGCGATAGGGACTGAGACCGGTTCTCTTGTGCCTGACTATTGGCGGGGAAGATTTGATAATGGATATTACAAATCTCTCCGTCTGGCGGTAAGATATACTGAAGTCCCTCCGTCTGGCGCGATACTACTGGTTCGTTTGGTGGACATTACTTTCCTACACGCGTCAATCCTCATATACTACATTCTCTCCAATTTCTTTCATACCTCGCGAAACATCTAAAATTTTTCATACTGGTCACATTTGCTTACCGCGCACGCAAAAGTGGTGCAACAAATTGTCGACTTTTTCTTGTGCTCGCAAGTGGCTTGTGGGCGTGTGTGTCTTGAGATAATTTTCATGATTTTTCTCTCTAATTGTGAAAATTTTATCTTTCCTTGTTTTTATTATTGTTATCATACGAACATACTTCAGAAACCGGTAACTCAGTTCGCGAAATTCTGCGGTGGATTTACAAACACGATGACACACCTTCTCCGCGACTGTCGGTGCCTCTGGCAATGCTATAAGTCGCCATGTGGTTGGTTGGTTGGTGTCTGCAAAACTTCGGGAAGGTATACGTCCTGGACGCCGAAACTTTATTGTTTACGCAGCGGGCTGAAAGGGAGGGGTGGCGTAAGGATAGCTGGCGTGCTTTTCGGCAGCTATTCTTATTTCATTTGTTTCTTTTAGCTCGCTGCGTAGGCGGTACAGTTCGTTTGTTCTGGACTCTACCTCTCGAGAGAGCACCTTGCGATATTGCCGGGGTAGTGGGGAAAGCGGTAGCGGGTTTGTGTCAGTGTGGGAGTGGTGGAATGATAGGAGGGGGTTGAGGGGACGGGAGGGACGGGAGGGACGGGAGGCTTACGGTGAACCGTAGTCTTATTATTATTACTCTAGAGTAGGAACGCTCGATATTCCTGTCATGCGGTGAGAGGGCATGACGGATGAGGATTCACATTTACCGTGCTTGGTGAAAATGATTCTCTGGAAAAGAAATGGTCATTCTGTGATGACCGCTGGCTCATAGATTCATGTATCTAGCTAGCTACAGGCGGACAAGAATGAATGATTTCTTAACAAAAACAGACCGGTGATACATTGTATTGTAGTTATCCTTCTCGTTTGGAGAAGGAAGAAAGCATAGAAGGTATGGAAACCCGTCGTCTAAAAAGATTTAATCCCCCAGAGCTATCGAGACAATCCAGCAAGCTCAAGGAGAAGGTCAAGTGAAACAGAGGATACTATCGCACCCTACAAGACCCTAACCAGAGCCAACCCGTCAAAGACAGGGAGGAGGAACGTTTCAACACGTTTATCGGCGGCTAGGAGATCGTTGAACTCCTTGACGTGAGGAACCTTACTCATGGCGTACTCATCTGTAACGCTAGGATTTATATCAGTCGCATTGACAACGAGACCCTTCTTGAGTACATTGTCTGCAATCAGAACTCCATCCTTTCGCAACAACCCGAGTTCCAGAATGGTGTTGTAGTAGGTGACGTATCCACTAGTTTTCATGAAGAAATGAGGGTTATATACTGATCAATGTATTGCTATAGGGGATAGTTATGGTATAAATCCACTTACTCTTTGTTTGCGTCCAAAAAGACGAGATCGAAAGGCCCTTCAGTAACCAAATCGGGGAGCCTATAAATTATTGAACATGTGAGTTGATGTTGCATATTTTCCTCAATCTTCACTGAACGTTATAATTAACGCTCAGCTGCATAACACAGACAGAAGACACTCACGTTTTCTCAGCAGGGCCGAGGACCAAAGAAACGAAGTGATCAACACCAGCATCCTTAAAGGCCTTACGGGCAATCTCTCCGGTACCTGGATCAATATCCATGGTAATGATCTATTCTCCCAAGTTTTGTAAGTTTGCGATGACCTACACCCAGAGTTTCACTTTCAAGGAACCAGGATATTGACCTTTGCACCTTCGATTCCCTTTAGTGCCTCAGCAAGAGCCAAAGCGCTGAATCCAGTGAAACAGCCAACTTCAAGAACTTTTGTTATGCATGGGCCAGGTTAGCAACAACTCGCAAAGTCTTCAAACATTCGGATGACATCACTAACAACGTTGTATAATGAAGGAACGGAACGAAAACAACAAGATACACCAAAAAGGTAGGGGAACAAGGAGAAGAGGAGGAAGAGGAGGAAGATACCTACCTTTCTTGGCCCCAAGGCTTCGAGCAGTCCAAAGCAAGTATTGGGCTTGGAGCCGAGATACCATCATCTCGGACTTGTCACCGAGCTCTTTCTCGGTGAGTTCGGCGTGACGTTCGATATGAGGGGGAAGAGGAAGCGACCTCTCCCTGCAGTACTTCAATACGGCCGTGGAAACGGTCTCGTTTGGGTAGATGACAGCGATTTCGTCTTTCATGGTCGCGGTTGGGAATAGTCTGATACCTTTTAGACTGGATGGAATTGATTGGTTTATTGGATGATGATTTGGGTCTGGGATGAAGTTTGAAGTAAGAGAAGGGGAAGTAAGTGAGGAAGAGGAGGAAGGCGAAGGAAAAGAGAGATGGAGGATGAAAGGTGGAGGAGGATGAGGAGACTTAAGTACCCGTGAGTTACCCTCTGAGGGAAAGAATTGAAATTGTTTGTGGGAATCCGCCCAGAGCGGTATATTATCCAACGGTATAGAAGAGCTTCCTATGGGCTCATCATCACGGCGTGCAATGATGACTCAATTCTATTAACTGTGTATATCTAGACGTCACGTCGGCCGGGCTCGTCCGGTTGAATCCTACATAGCCTAACCACTACTTAGTATTCCATCAATATTGAGTTAATAGTGTTATATTTCCACACTGGGCACTTTGTCTATGGAGCTCGGATATTATCCGACTTCGATAGTGATTTTATAACGTTATTTGGGCGTAAACTAGAACCGGAGGTAGATTTTACTGTGTAAAGAGACCCAGTTGCAGGTTTTGTCATGACATTTTGAGTGTATCAATGCAATGCGGAACTAGGACTTAATTTGAACCTAGCATTGCACTAATACAGTATTATTAAGATTAGAAGAGAATCTTGCTAAATATCAATTTAAATCTATCGACATTTTGATATAGCAAGTTAAAAATGATCTAAGATAAGCATCATGAAGATACAATCCTTATTCGTGATTGCATGCTTGATCAATTGAACAGGCTTTAATTGCTTCACGGAGAAATTAAACTGTTCTTTCGACCTTCAACAGGCTTCTCAAAGTATCTCTCACAATCCCTCTCTCATCAAAAGCCGTTTTCTCTTCCCCCAAAATTTGATACTCCTCCTGTGCCTTCCCTGCAAAAAGCACAGTATCACCTTCCTCCGCCATCTCCAAGGCCAGTTTAATCGCTTCCCTCCTATCGATTTCAACTCTTGTAATCGATTCTTTCCTCATATTCCTAACACCCACCAAAATGTCCTCCACAATCCCCTGAGGATCCTCAAATCCAGGGTTATCACTTGTAAGAATGACCAAATCCGCGAGTCCAACGGCCACAGAACCCATACTGGAACGTTTCAACCTATCCGAATATCGATGATCACTAGCTCCGAAGACGCAAATCAACCTGCCTGTTACTAATTCCTTAAGCGCTGTGAGTACTTTTTCGAGGCCATCGGGATTGTATGCGTAGTCAACGATGACGTTAAATGATTGTCCTTCATCTATGAATTCCATGCGTCCTGTTGGTGCCTTTGCACAATTTAACCCGTCTTGGAGGCTTGAGGGAGGGATTTTAAGATGCTGGCCAACAGAGATTGCGGCGAGACAGTTGTAAACGTTGAAGCGTCCGACTAAAGGAGCTGTGAAAGGTACTGAACTGTCGTCTTCGCAATATTTATTGATGGTAAATCCTATCTTACGGTTTGAAATTTTGATATCCTCGGCTTTGATATCTGAGTTTTCCGTTACACTATAAGTGATATATTCGTAAGACGCCTCAACAACATCCTTGATCAAGTTGCGGCCGTATTCGTCGTCCGTATTAATGATCGCAGCGAAGCGTTTGAATTGCATAGAATATTTTGCAATATCCGAAAAGAGCAGCATCTTTGCCGCCCAATACCCTTCCATAGTTTTATGAAAATCCAAATGATCTTCGGTCAAATTCGTAAATATCGCAGCATCAAAAGCACACTCTACGACTCGTTGAAGTGCTAGGCCATGACTTGAAACCTCCATGACCACCGCCTCGACTCCGGCCTCTAAGAACCTCGATAGAATCCCTTGAAGAACCAGACTTCTTGGGGTAGTAGATTCCTTAATATCAATCAACATGTTTTCAGTCGTTGCTCCTAGTGTTCCTATAACACCAACCGACTTGAACCCTGCATGGCGGAGTATTGAGGCCGTAAGGTTTGCTGTGGTAGTTTTACCATTCGTACCGGTCGCACCAATTAATACCATCTTTCTCGACGGATGATCATAGAATTCGGCAGCCATGAGACCAGATGCTCTCCGGGCGTCAGGTACGAATACCTTGGTCACCGAATCCGGTATCTTCAAAAGCACGCCCTTGTTTTCGGCGATGATAGCCACTGCACCCCTTTTTATAGCATCTAGTGCTATAGCAACCATTCTGGTTTCCTTTTCATCGCTGAAGCCTTCATATATATCCCCATCCAGTGGGATGGAGATAAACGCAGAGCCAACAATGACCTCTCGAGAGTCGTCGAAGATTTGGGTGATTTGAATGCCCTTGTTGCCGCTAATTATTTCAGCTTCTGAGACTGGAGAAAGAAGCTGCTCTAAGCTATGCATTTTGAAAGGCTATATGCATTGATATATATCTGTGAGTCGACGTATATGCTGTTAGTTTCTAATGTTAACTTCGAGTCAGGGGGCATAGCCAATACTGAAGTATGAGCGAAGCTCAAGCTCAACTCGAGACTGAGCGCGAGCATCATCTTCGATCAGATCTTCTGCTAAAGCATCTAGATACTTAAACTTACCGCAACTATGATATGAAGCAGCTGATTGAAATCCAGTCAGCAAACGAACTCCTAAAGCTTCTAAGAAGTAGAGCGATTGTGTAACTATGAAATCTTGTAGATTCAGTTCTGGCTCGGGTCCTTAACTAAGTGGCATACATATATACTTTCTTTAGCGTAGCCCAGCCCTTTGCAATGCATTCCTAGCGGGCAATTTGGGGAAGATAACTAAAAATCCAACACTTTGATCGCGGACCGCGATCGATTGTTGAACTTGCATTAGAAGGGGGAGTACTAATACTTAATTGGGTCAACCATAGTCAACCAATATAATGTAAGCAATCCATGCAATGATACGAGGTGGACCTAGAGTAGGGACCTAAAACGGCGTTAACTATAGCATCGTGGTTAAGTACTTTTGTTGAACGTCGAAACGAATACCGGTATACCCTAGGTGAATATAACTTAATCAAGTTAGCATGTGGTATCTTAGCATCTGTTCGAATAAAACTATCTCCTGTTTTTGACTCTAGTAGGCCTCACATAATGTGTTTTCTATAGAATGTCTATGTCTAGGTCTAGGCTGGCGTATGGGAATGAAAAGAAAAAAAGAAAGTGGAAGTGTAGGGTAACAGCAATCATGATTGATAGCTAACTGTGTAAGACTGGGCTAAGTCTATGCCTGGACCGCCTCAATCCTACGAATCCCAAAAGACCTATTCTAAATCAATCCATAGAGAACGCCTGCCCGAATATCATCCATTGCAAAGTTTGGATGAAACTGAATCCTATTCCTCTAGTTTACCCTCTGAGCCTTCTTTCGTCAAAAACTCCAAGATCCCCTTTAACAAATCCTTCTCCAGTTCTTCACCCCTTTTACCAGCCTTCCACTTCTCACAATACTCATCTGCTGCTGAGTCTCCATATTTGATTATTCTTTCGCGTATCCTTGATATGGTCATCGACACCATTGGACGTATAATCTGATAAAACATTACATCATTTGAAGCCCTCGTCAACCCAGGGTTCTTCTCAAACAGAAGGTCGAGAAAATTTGACGGTGCCGAGGAGTCAACAGTTCCACGGAAATGATAGAGTGTCGTGATTGCTAAATCTGCAATCTGAAATTTTCCAGAGCTATCGGCGGGTTTTAGACGACGTTCAGCCTCCAATAGACGTTCGCGTTCGCGTTCTGAGTGCCAGCGCGGATCATCGGGTATGAGAGTTAGGCTTTCGATCTTTGGTAGTTTGCATTGGCTGAATTTGAGCCACCATGGCGGTGTGTGGCCGCATCGAAGCAATAGGAATTTGATATTGGGGGGTGGATTGATGAATATTGAATCCTTGAGGAATCCGGTGACGATGTTTAGCTCGACAAGGGTGTGAAGACGATCGAATGCCCTTTGAATACCTTCAACCAATTCCGTGTCATCTTCCCCGAGGCCAATATTCTTTATGCAAAGGGATAGTTTTCGAAGATTGATAGCTGCCCCAAGGAGAGTTATAAGCCCGCTAAAGATGACCCTTTTCGATTCCACTTTTCTCATCATACTGTGGTCATAGACGAAAGATAGCTTTGCTACAATTTCGAACGGTATAGGGCCCTTTATTTCGAATAGAAGAATGCCACCAACCAGAGAATATGAAAACTTGTTGATAGTTTTGTCAGCGGTGTAGGACTTCATAATATCGAAGAAACCTATCTCTGTACACGGCTGGAGAGTAGTTTGATAGTCATTTAAATCTAGACAAAAACAGTATTTGTAAATATCATTTCATAGAGAGATTAAAAGCCTTAAAGAGTAGAAGAGATCGCATAACAAACACTGACCATAAAATGAGGGCCATTGGGGCCTACCTTCTGTTACATCTATTTCCATATGCTGAGGGTTCATCATACCGCCTTTGATTTTTGCCTGCAGCACCTTCAATAGCTTCATGTTTGCTGCATATAATCCCCTGATTTCGATTCTCCTCGTCCAGTTCCATGGTAAACTTGGAGCCGTGCTGATCAAGTGGCTTAACCTATCTCTGTTAATCATTTTCCCCCACTGGTCTGGGCCCATACAGAACTCTTCGGGGTCATCTTGGAAGCTCCGAAAAGTTACGTCCTCTAACAAATGATGGTATGCAACATTGTATAGAGATTTGCAAACACGAATGAGGCAATTGACTCCTCGCCAATCAATATAGGAGATTATTGAATGTAGTATTTCGGGTGGGAGGCATGAAAGTAGTAAAAGTGGAGGCTGCGTATTAGTTGATGCAGTCGGTATAGAGAAAGTCATGATTTCTGTCAATTAAATTGAAGCGGGTTTAAATTGGTGCTACAGGTATGCTTTCCGTTTGGAGGAGAGTGTGATATGGATGTATAGGTTGATGTATTGTGGGAAGGGAGAATGAAGACAATTACGAGACTGAGATGCATGAAAGCCGTACTCATGCTCCGCTGTGGGTCCATTATCCACCATAATATATACGGGTCTCGGAAACCGCCTCTCATGCGCCGCTCCTGCCAATACCACCATACGTGGGAGAAAATAGCCCAATATTGTCATCTCAGATAGGGTTTCTGGGTTTCAACAAACTACTCAGTTGTCTTAGAAACCATGTATCGTGATAGTTGGTCTTGTATACATGTAAGTCTTCTGGCAGGTAGCGAGTACCGGGAAGCGTTACAAGTAGCATGTCGCCAACTTCATATGAGTCTATTGGCTTTGTAGTATTATTTGTTTACATGATAAATATATCAGGAAAGGCTATCTTTTTGAATAGAAGCATGCATGACTTGATGCCAGAAGCAGCGGATTAATCCATTAATCGATATATATGTACCTGTGCAGTAATCGGGAGGTAATAGTTTCTCATAATAGACAGACCTATTCCCACTGAAGGGGTGGCCAGTCTCATGCTACGTACATAAGCACCGAATGCCTCATATTCTCGGATGATCCATGTCCAACTGGTTCCTAATATCTCTAACCATAGCTCTCGAATCTTCGACCATCAATCCAGCATCAAACAACTCCTGCGCCAATTGTAATGCCCTTCCCAAATTCAACTTCTCCTTCTCATAATGTGCTAACCAACTCTTTGCTGTCGCAATATCCTCGCTCGGTCCCAAATCCGGCTCAGCTTTCAAACACATTTCCATATAATGAACTGCTTCATCACTTCTCTTCACCCGTTCGTATAATTTCGCAATCTTTATTAGTGTCTTAGTGTTCAATTCAAAACCATCCCATTGATTTGCAGTCGCTGCAGAAGTTCCGGCATTACCGGATAATGCGCGCTTATAAGACTTGATTGCATCGTCCGGACGGTTCATCTTTTCGTAACAGGCGGCCATTGCAGCCCACATTTGACTATCGTATGGGCGAAGGGCACCTGCGCGTTGATAATAGTAAAGAGCGTAGTAATTCATCTCGAGCACCTCGTATGCCTGACCGAGGCCGTACCATGCACGGTAATCTTTGCGGTTCACATCGATGGCGCGGCGGTATGATTCGATTGCCGCATGTGTGTTTTTTAGTTCCACGAACTCGTGGCCGAGGAGAGTCCATGCTGATAGGAAGTTGCGATCGAGGTTGAGGGCGCGACGGAAGTACATAATACTTTTTTCATGCTCAGAGCGCATGGAAAAATAATTTCCGATTACACAGCAGGTTTCCGGACGAAACTTGTCTGTTGCAGATGCGACTTGGGCGACGAACGCCAATTTTGAGCGCTTGTCCATGACATAGAGAATATTTGAATAGTGATCTAAAAAGTCGAGGCGGTAAGGGTCATTTTGCATGATTTCGTCAAATATCTTTTCTGACTCTTCATAATCTGACAGGGCATTCGTTAGCTATAAACTTCGTTGTGAAATGGGATACTTAGTAACAATACCTTTGACATGGTAGGATAATAAAGCTCTTTGGCTTTTCAACCACGAACTCCTCGGAAAAACATCCGTTAACTGTTCCACTAGAGTGTAGACACCTTCATTGACATGATAGAGCTCTTGTGATGCCAAAAGCTGGAAAAAGCTTGTCATAAGGTGGGTTGGCAAATCAAGCATGGCTTGGTTGACCTATATTTCGTTAGACATAATGAAGCGGAGTTAAAGAGCCAATCACAGAACCTTACATCCTCAATTGATCGGGTAATAGTTTTCAACTCATCCCAGGCAGCCCAGTTGTATGGGTAAGATACAACGGACCGAACCAACGCCTGGTAAGCAGGCTTTTCATTCCGTTGTTTGAGGAGTACTACCCCGTAGCTACATCCACCATATTAGTCTTGTCACTTTCTCTAAAGGGGCAATATGGGTACCTACAGGTATAGTAAAAAGGTATCCTCTTTGTTGTCCGCGAGCATGGTTTCGAGTTTCTTGGTCAAGATGGACAGCTCCTTATTTGCCGTTACATTCCCGTCTAGCGGCCCTAGCACCATCTCGCTTTCTTCATCTTTCCTCTTTTCGCCGGCCTATCGAAGGAAATAAGTACCACGATGTTGTAGGATTTAGACTGGAGCAGAACCTACCATGAATTTTGAATACAAGCATAAAAATGCCGCCTTAGAGCTAACACACCCTTCCACCACCCTCGCTGCTCGATCGAATTCATTTACATTGAAATAAGATTTAGCAAGGTGGTACTTGTCTTCTTCATCATCGTTCACAAAAGTGTCAAGTCCAGCTCCATCGTGGGGTAGTGAAGGATGGACTTTGAGATAGTGATGCGATGAAGGGACATTTTGAGGAAGGGAATTTAATTGCTCAGCCAACCTAAGAACTCGCCAGAATTAGTATGTAAGTATGACAGAGTGTAACGGTTAAAGATAGTGAAGGGACAGAGTTAAACTCTTCGGCTTTGGTAAAAATAAAATAAAAGTAGAATAGGGTGCACCATCCGATGCACCTGACGGCTTCCATATCCTCTGAGTTGCAATTTTGTTTTTTTTTGCTGGAAGGGCGGGTATATTGGGGGAAGCAAGCCCTACGGGAGGTGGCATGCAGCTAAAACGGATAATATTGGAGGTACGTACCATTTAGCGGCATGGAAAAGGCATCTGTCCGAACTTCTTATGGAAGCGATCCGTAGTTCCTTCCGTAGGATCGTGAGATCGTGCTTCCCGATCTCAGGAGCTACTGGGGAAGCCATACTTTCTTTCCTAGTAGAGTTTCTGAGCTAGGAAGAAGAAAACGAGTAATCTCCTTCGAGAGGAGGTTGCCCGAATGTATCACGAATACAAAATGAGAAGTATGGGTCCTATATTCCAGGTCCCCGGCCAAATAGAACTAGATTTAACCGAGTTCAGGTGTATCTTGAAGGACTTTAAAAGGTCGGCATTCGACGGGCCCCGGATCACGGGGATGATATATGTCGTGCAATGCTAGGATTGTCCCCCACAACCACAACCACGTGGCAAAAACGTTTGCAGCTACGTCCCAGCGGGTAATAACTTGGCTTCGGCCCCTGTGCCCTATAGGAATGACCGATCTTGAGCGTTTGTGGGACGGTACGCTAAAGAAGCCTGGTCGTCGGTGTTGTTATTGTTGCAAAATGACAACCGAAATGGTATTGGGGAAGGTGGAACAAAGACGCGGTGCAAGCACGAATTTCTCGGCAGGATGGTCAGAGGTTTGTACACCTCTCGTGGATAATAGCCAGTATGTTGGCAGCTATATTCTTGACTATGGAAGGTCGTAGAAGAAGCGCTTGGACCTCGGACGAGTGCAGTTGGTAAGACGTTCTGAATGGATGTTGGTGATTGTTGCAATGTTGATGTTGATGCTGATGTTGATTCTGGAGAGCTGACCATGGAGCAGAGCTGCGAGCTGCCCGTTCGATAACATCCAACGATCTATTTTCAACGCGACTAAATTTACGTGACAGCCACGGACAGACATCATTATGAGTATTAATAAGAAATACAGAAGTTCAAAATTAAATTAGATTAATTTAGTAAAATACACCTTTATTCGGCTTCGACATAAGGAAACTAGAGAGAAAACGAACGAATGAATGAAATAGAAAGTTGGGGATATGAGTATAACAAAGGGAAAAACGTGGATGGTCAGACATGTGCTTATCAGTACCACGAGAGAACCTTAGTTCAGTAGCACAATATAAGCTCACGAACAACCTCCCAACATTCGTTGGGTAGGTCCCACGAAGGGTCCGAATGCGACATGATGTTCTGCAGCGACGCTATAGCACTATCTTCGGTACTTAGGTGCCTGCCCAGGTACTTACCTAGGGACTTACTAGCATTGCATACGGACTCCGTTCTGAGCGGGGATCCTGGCCTCGGGCTTGGCTGTCCCTGTCTATCGCTTGCCGGCGCCCATTCCCGCGGGCGGCTTCCTTCAGGCTTGGTACAGACCTAGGCATTGCCTTGCAGCGAGAGCATATCAACAACCTCTTGAAATTCGTTGAGGACGACATGGAGGGCTGATCTGTCCGATATTCCTGGAGACGAAGATATAAATTGTGGGTCTTTCTGTAGCATGCAGCGTATAGCGTATCGTCTGGTTGTCTGCAGGTACAATTTTTTGCTTTAATTGAACTGAGCTACCTCTTATATACTCCGTACTTATCTCCCAACACACCTCACTCACCTCACTCACCTCACCACTGCCACCTACCTCTTCTCATAGCTATCATCACGACTCAATTGTATCTACCACATACTTCAATTGCCATCAAATATCATCTCAAAATGGGAAAAACTACACTAAAAGAGTTCGAGGCCGTCTTCCCTCTTCTCGTTGACGAGATCATGGCCGTCTTGGAGGGCTACAAGATCTCTTCTGAGGCTGCTGCTTGGTACCGAAAGGTAGGTTCTCACCGTCAACCCATTGGTGCCGTGGACCAATAAGTTTAGCTAACGTGAAGCTTTTATCCGCTCTCCAATAGGTCTTAGAGCATAATACTGTCGGTGGAAAATGCAATCGCGGCATGTCCGTCGTCGATACCTACAGTACTCTCACCAACCAAGATAAGCTCTCCGACGAAGACTATCTTCGTAGTGCCATCCTTGGATGGTGCACCGAATTGGTATGATTCCTTCACACTGAAGCTAAAGTAAATATAGTGCTGACGTTTTTCTTTCTTTCTACTCCAGCTTCAAGCTTTCTTCCTGGTTTCCGATGATATCATGGATGGTTCCAAGACCCGTCGTGGCAGCCCATGCTGGTATCTCCATGAAGGTGTTGGTAATATTGCAATCAACGACGCCTTCATGCTCGAATCCGCCATCTACATCCTTCTCAAGAAGCACTTCCGTAACACTCCCTACTACATCGACCTCATCGAGCTCTTCCACGACGTCTCTTTCCAAACCGAGCTCGGCCAGCTACTTGACTTAATCACCGCTCCAGAGGACCGTGTCGACCTCTCCAAATTCTCCCTTGAGAAGCACTCCTTCATCGTTATTTTCAAGACTGCTTACTACTCATTCTACCTACCTGTTGCTTTGGCTATGTACATGGCTGGTGTCGCCACACCTGAGAATCTCAAGCAGGCCCACGATGTCCTCATCCCATTGGGCGAGTATTTCCAGATCCAGGATGACTATCTTGACTGCTATGGCGACCCAGAGCACATCGGCAAAATCGGTACTGACATCAAGGACAACAAGTGTGGTTGGCTCATCAACCAGGCCTTGGCGATTGCTACTCCAGAGCAGCGTCAGGTCCTTGATGACAATTACGGAAAGAAGGATGATGTCGCAGAAGCTAGAGTCAAGAAGGTCTTTTTGGATTTGGAGCTCGAAAAGAGATATCAAGATTACGAAGAGACTGTCGTCGGTAAGATCAGGACATTGATCGAAGGTATCGATGAGACAACCGGCTTCAAGAAGGATGTCTTGACCAACTTCTTGAATAAGATTTACAAGAGAAGCAAGTAAATATCTGACAAGGTATTTTGTGGTACTTGCGTTTGTTGATTTCCTTGGACTATAGCAGCTTCAACTTTGATTACCTTTCTGACAAATGCCAGAAGATTCGACAAGGCTGATATTGGGAAGTGGATACGTTTCTTTTGGTCAATAGTTCTTTTTTTTCTTCTTAGTTCTTTACCCAAACCGTCATCCCCCCAACGAACGGACTAATTCCGTTTTGCAAGTTGAAGGAATGAACACTAGACGCATTTCCCCTTAGTGATGTCATAGAACACATAAATGACAAAACAGACATTATAGACACTCGAAATTAATCAAATTAATCATCTAATGAACGACGTGCCTCCATTTTGTTATCATCAAATCGTGCCTATGCTTTTATGCGTGATCTAAACGAATACCGCCCCGAAACACCAAGATACTAACCAATCAAAGAAAATTTGTCCTACCACATCAGACTTTACACTATATAAATAAAATCTACGAATCTTCCTCTTCCTCTTCCTCTGGTTCACCTTTCGCATCTTCCTCGCGGTCTGTCTCCCCATCGGTTTCAGCCTGTTCGGGGTTAGTCACTTTTCGTTGCCGTCTAATTGAACTAGCGAATATCAAGTCGCCCATCTCACTTACAGTATTCTGTTCCCCTCCCAACTCTTCGTCTTCATCACGAGCCGCATCGCCGCCTCCGGAACTAGCGGCGCTACCTCGAGTTCCCGGGCGACTCCTCGGCCCCTCTTCTTGTTGGGAAATGACCTTTTGTAAACTTGCTTCAAATTTGACGAGTGCGTTTTTGGAAACAGCATCACTGACGGCTTTGGATCCGGTAAGTTCTATGGTTTGCTCGGATAGTTCGCGTAGTTTCTCGGCAGATGCAAAGGGACTAATGACAAGTTTCCCAAGGAACTGACAAAGTATCTTCTTTTCCTCCTCTATAATAGCCCAATTCTATTAGTATTGAAAGTAAAATGCATACCTGGGGTATGGAGGTTAACCTACTTGTACTCCCCGTTACTATCCTTCCGACGATATCGGTTGCTAAATCGACATGAACGTCCCAGTTGATAGCCCCTTCTAGCACTGTCTCAAGCTTGAACACCTTCCGTGGATCCGTCCAGTCTGTCATCTGGTTTGTCATATTTGCGGGAGAAACCATTTCTTCACCCTCATCTAAGTTTGCAAATAATCCTATAAGCGTATGGAGAGTGGATACTATTATTCTCTGCATACGAACTTGATTATCATCACGCGAGTGACAATAAACCGGCAGGAAGTATGAAAGGGTTTGTCGGAGTGCTAGATTTTCGTTCGTTGAAGGATCGAAGTATGCAATGACCATAGCTTTGAGCAGCTGTGATATCTCCTCGTTAGCACCTATGTATATTTGAAGTAAACGAATGGGAAAGGCAATACATACGTCATCATCCTCAACTACCTTCGCCAAAAACAACTTGCAGAGAACCTCTACACAAGCCGCCTGTGTCTCAGGGCTATCCTCCAATTTTGTTGCTTTTCCAAACATCTTGTACAATGTCTTCTGCTCGATTTGACATTTCTCACTTTCGAAAAGTGTGGTTCCATGAATCACCAACATGTCACAGATAATATGCGCTGCTTCAACCTGTAACTCTTCATGCCCTTTGTTGAAGCAGTGAGCGAACAGCGTTAGATTTTCTTCAGCGAGCGGCTTATCCAGTAGACAGCATAATCCCAGGCATCTCAAGCCTCTTTCTCTTATCGGAGCCTCTTGCGAGCGTACAGCTGGAACGATGAGACCATTCAGCATAGTTCCCAAATGAGCGTTCGAGCTAAGATCTCCCTCAACATTCTCGAGCATACACTGCGCAATAAAGAGACATCTGAGATTTGTCACCATCTCTTTGATTGCCTTCTCGTCGGATTCTTCATCATCCAGGTCCATCATCTCGTCATCACTATCACCAATTCTTGGTGTCTTTGCCTTTTGCTTGGTTTTGTGCTTTTTCTTGGGCCGCTCGTCTTCCGGTTCTGACTGTGCCGAGTGGAAGCTGTCATTGTCATCTCCGTCGACCGCTGGTTCTTCCTCCGGGGCGATCGTATCGTGAACTTCTGCTATGATTTCCAATGTCACACTACAAAACTCTCGTTCCCCACCGGAAACCTTGCGCATGACCTCTATGATGCGGCTGACAGTCGCTTCTGGTAGATCTACGATCGCAAGTGACTCTCGGAGCAAAGCAAACATTGCACGGCGACCAATTTCATCACCGTAGTCGGCTTTAAGGGCTATTAAAAGGAGTTGCTCGACGATGAATTCGATCTCGGCAGAGTCCTTTGGTTGAGCATTGACACTTGCGGAGGGATTGACCGGAACCCCCAATGGGGACTCTATCAAAAGATTGATGTATTTTTGAATGATAAGAGCCATTGTTGTAACCTCCGGAACCTTTTCGTCGATGTGGTGATCGTTCTTAGTCTTTGGGTCACGACAATAGTCATGAAATGTTCGAACCAAGAATATTGATTCTGCTGTAAGATCGTTCCAGAATTCCTCACTAAACGCTTTTTCGACTGAGTTTCCGTGCTGCCAATATGCTTCCATTGCCATCTCCGCGACTTTGCTGTTCACGACATCCAATCTTTCAAGGACCTCAAGGACGTCGCCGTCAGCGTTAGAGACCCAGTTATCGACAAACGCCTTTTCAGCAGCCCTTCTAACAGCTATATCACGGTCTTGAAGACCCCATCGGAGAATCTTTTCTCGCATGGAAATTGTAAGCAGACGAAAGTCTCCAAGGGATGGTAGAGTCCTAGAGTAGACCAGGCGCCGTGTTAGAGCATCAAGGTCTCGAGACCTCTCTAGGAGATGTGGAAGTGTTAATGGTGTATGATTGAGATTCATCAAAATAGCTCGGCGGACCTCCCTAATGACCAAGTTAGCGGTTGACGTATCATTTTTTTGTAGGTATAGACATACGCGCTATTGTCGCCTGAGAGCCTATCCACAAGCCTTCCAACTACGGTATTTTGTACCAGACCTTCGTCATCGTCGTCATCATCTTCCTCCTCTTCCTCTTCTTCTTCTGAGGCACCAAATCCGAGTCTCATCAGCGCCAGCGCTGCCTGTCCTCTAATATTCGACTCTCGGTCATACATCCTCCTAACCAGGCCCTTTTTCAATATAGCAAATGAATGCTCATCTAAGGCGGGTATTGAGCTCAGTGTCAACGCGAAAAACTGACAGACGCGAAATCGAACGATTTTGTTGGCGGCCGTGAGACCCTTCGCAAGGTGCGCGAGAAGGAACCGTGTAAAGCGAGTCGTGCAAGATGGTGGTAATTGGTCGTCTTCATCTTCATCCACCTGCATTTCCACATCACCGTCACTAGTTTTTGCTGCCTTCCTGTCCTTCAACTCTATCCACCACAAGCTTCATTAGATCCTATGCTGTAATGTATCCGCGCCGCCCAAACGAACCTTTTTCATAAATATGCCTGACAAATGAATCGCAAAACCTCAATATCCTATCTCCAACAGCCTCTCCCTTCTTCACGACAAGAGCACGATTTAGGCATCGTACAAATTCCACGCAAAACGCCTTCTCGGCTCTCATTCCTTCTTTCGCGCATTTCTCTTGTGTAGCTCGTAATGCGACTACGAGTTTTCGGTGTGTTGCAGTCGAACCCTGGGCAGAGCTAAAGGAAGTTTGGATCGCTTGCTGAAGTGGTGTGTATTGAGGCAGATCCGGAGGTGGTGAGACCGAAGCTGAAGCTTGAGATAGAGCTACCGCGACGACAGCTGCTTCCTTTTCCTTGGAGGCCTTAGTAGCTTTGGTAGCTTTGGTAGCTCGTGTTTTTCGCGTGCCAGAGGTAGCGCTAGCTTTTCGAGGCGGCATTGTAATGGATAATCGGGTGCTGTAATAAATTCGAGTGTAATCCTATGCGATAGTATCCAGACAATTGGAACAAGAGTTGTACTTGGATCACGCGCGGGGAATAAGTGGGATGTGCTCGGTAGCTATCCCAGCGGTTGGTTGAGCTTGCGAAGTTGCTTGTACGAGTTGTTGTTCTCTTTGTTTACTAACACTCCCAATCAGGAAATCTAATCTAATCTTATCCCTTTAATCAATCTAATCTAATCTAATCGATAAGCGACGACATATGCAACACATCCCACCCTGCAGCAGCCCACCTTTTTAGTTCCCTCGCGGCCGCCGATGAAAATTGTGACCGGTTGAATTGTTGAATTTTCTCTTCCTTTACTAGCTACTCTCTGTCAATGAAGCTGGTCCGGAGGCACTGAGCAATTGAAAAGCAGGTGAGTTCTCTTGTACATACTTTCCTTTCTTTCTTTTAAGAAGCTATTTTAATTTAGTCCTTTCAATCTGGTACTGACTATTATTGCTTCTGGCAAGTCACAATGTCCACTACAACCTGGTTCACCCTACCGGGCTCTCCTGCTCTTTCCTCATTCCGTATCGCGGAACTCGCAAAATCCATAAACTCAAAACTCCCATCTTCAACATCTGTCCGTCTGGAAACGATATCTAGTCTCCATGTCCACTACGTCCAAGTTACCAATGCAAATGCCCTTGCGACTTTGCAAAATGTTCGTAGCAAGGAGCGCCAGATACTCAACCAGTTGCTCCGTTATGGCGACGAAGCCGATGTTACTGATCCGCCAACCCAATTGTTGAAGGATGCGATTGAGAACCCGGAATTTAACGTCAACGGTCTTGAGGACGTTCTCGTCTTGTTCGCGAGCCCAAGGCCGGGAACTATTTCGCCATGGTCATCGAAGGCGACAAGTATTGCGCATGTGTGCGATATGGAGAATCTAGTTACTCGTATTGAAAGAGGTATCGCATTCGCACTGAAGTTTAGTGGCGATGCGAGCAAGTTGGACGTTGGCTCATTCAGCAGCATACTTCATGACCGAATGACACAGGTTGGTATTCGTTCTCGATGTCTTGTTCGAGACCGCAGCTCATCGTTGTCTCATCATAGACTCTCACTCCAACTATGCCAATATCCTCACTTTCTCATGCCTCTACTACTCCTGCTCCAGCGACTCAGATTAATCTTACCACTGCTCCAAACCCAGCTGAAACTCTCGAAACTGCCAACAAGACCTACGGTCTAGCCCTTGACGCCTCCGAGAAGTCCTATCTCTTAAACGCTTTCTCGTCCAACGGTGCCTGCCCACGTGATCCTTATGACGTGGAACTCTTTATGTTCGCTCAAGTCAACTCGGAACACTGTCGTCACAAACAATTCAATGCCTCGTGGACCATCGATGGAGTCGATAAACCAAACTCTTTATTCGGAATGATCAGGAACACCCACAAACTTAGCCCAAATCATACTATCTCCGCATACTCGGATAACGCAGCTGTGTTGGAGGGTTCAAAGGCCACTTTCTGGGCTCCTGATAATAAGACTGGAGACTGGACTTTGACGGATGAGACGGTGCATTTCGTGGCAAAAGTTGAAACGCATAACCACCCTACCGCTGTTTCCCCATTCCCTGGGGCAGCTACTGGGTCTGGTGGTGAGATTCGTGATGAGGGCGCTGTCGGACGGGGATCGAAGCCCAAGGCTGGTTTGGCCGGATTCAACGTTTCTGATCTTTTGATTCCAGATTATAAACGACCATGGGAATTGGATGTAGGAAAACCATATCATATCGCTTCTTCCTTGGATATCATGCTGGAGGCTCCAATCGGTAGCGCAGCATTTAACAACGAGTTTGGAAGACCATGCATTACCGGGTACTTCAGAACTTTGACAACTAGTGTGCCAGTCCCCGTGACGGAAACAAAGGCAGAGGAAGTTAGAGGATACCACAAGCCAATCATGATCGCTGGTGGGTTGGGAACAATCCGACCGCAACATGCATTGAAAGAGCAGGGTGCCATCAACCCCGGCGCATACTTAATTGTACTTGGAGGACCAGCAATGTTGATTGGATTGGGAGGTGGAGCCGCTTCAAGTGTGGCATCTGGCGAGGGGTCTGTGGAATTAGACTTTGCTTCAGTTCAAAGAGGAAACCCAGAAATGCAGAGGAGGGCTCAAATGGTTATTGATGCATGTACAGCTTTGGGCGACCATAACCCTATTCGGTCTATTCATGACGTTGGAGCAGGTGGTTTGTCCAACGCACTCCCAGAGTTGGTCCACGATGCAGGACTTGGAGCAAAATTCGAGCTAAGGGATGTCGAGAGCGCCGACAAGAGCATGAGCCCGTTGCAAATTTGGTGTTGTGAAGCCCAAGAACGATACGTACTTGCCGTCGCAGAGGAAGGGTTGGAAGTTTTCGAAAAGATGGCTCGAAGAGAAAGATGTGGATTCAGAGTTGTTGGAAGAGCTGTTGGCGGTAGTGAAGAGGAACAGAGATTAGTCCTGACAGACAAAGAGTCGAAAGAACATCCAGTGCCGATTGACTTACCAATGTCGACGCTTTTCGGAAAGCCACCAAAGATGCATAAGGATGTTAAGACCAGGAAGCTACAACTGCCAACATTCGATTCTTCGCTAAAACAATACATCCCTAAGGCACCTGAGTCCACGCTACCAGAAGCTATTGAGAGAGTACTCACCCTTCCATCCGTTGGATCGAAACAATTCTTGATCACAATCGGAGACAGGAGTGTCACCGGTTTAGTGGTGCGAGACCAGATGGTTGGTCCATGGCAGACTCCTGTCGCAGACGTTGGAGTCACCGCAACCTCGCTTTCCTCGGATGTTACAACAGGAGAAGCAATGGCAATGGGTGAACGTCCGATATTGGCGCTGGTTTCCCCAGCATCATCGGCTAGGATGGCTGTCGCAGAATCATTGACGAACCTAGCTGCAGCCGATATCTTGGGAGGTCTCGAGCGTGTCCGCCTATCCGCTAACTGGATGGCCGCCGGTAGCCACCCAGGTGAGGGTGCTGCTTTATATGAAGCAGTTGAGGCCGTTGGTTTGGACCTGTGTCCCAAATTGGGTGTTTCAATCCCAGTTGGTAAAGACTCGATGAGCATGAAAATGAAATGGGGCAAGAGTGACGAGGTTACAGCTCCGATCTCCCTTGTTGTCACAGCTTTCTGTGCAGTAGCCGACATTAGGAAGACTTGGACTCCTGCCCTTGCTCGAGATGAGAGCACACTCCTTTTGTTCGTTGATCTTGCCCAGGGTGCTCGCGCCCTTGGAGGCAGTGCGCTGGCTCAAGTTTTCGGACAGGTCGGCTCTGAGGTTCCAGACGTTCGAGATGTGCCAGTGTTGAAGGGATTCTTCAAGGCCGTCCAAGAACTCCGAGAGTCAGGAATCGTCCTTGCGTATCACGACCGAAGTGATGGCGGTCTCTTTACTACGCTTGCTGAAATGGCTTTCGCAGGTCGGACGGGATTGGATATCAGACTTGACAGCCTGATCAGCGGCAATTCTGAATCTGAAGCCATAGAAGCTCTCTTCAACGAGGAACTCGGTGCCGTCTTCCAAATCAAGGAAGCAGATCTCAATGAATTCGGCCGAATCCTGAATGCCCACGGCATCCACACCTCCTCTATCTTCACGGTAGCCAAACCCACATTGGCATCTCCCCAATCCATCAACATCCATTACAACAAAACCACCATCTACTCCTCCACACGTTCCGAGCTCCAACTCCTTTGGGCCCGTACCTCTTTTGAGATGCAAAAGATCCGAGATAACCCGTCATGTGCGGACCAAGAATACTCCTCTATCAAAGAAGATAACAACCCAGGCTTATCGTACCAACTCACCTTTGACCCTACGGAATCGGTGATACCAGCGTCACTAACTTCCAAACCAAAGGTTGCTATCTTACGTGAACAGGGTGTCAATGGGCACGCTGAAATGGCGTTTGCTTTCCTAATGGCAGGGTTTACTCCGGTAGATATCCATATGACAGACCTCATCTCCGGAGGTGTATCACTTTCATCGTTCACTGGTATTGCTGCCTGCGGTGGTTTCTCATACGGTGACGTACTTGGTGCTGGAGCTGGATGGGCGAAATCAGTGCTACTGCACCCACAAACTCGAAAGGGATTTGCAGACTTCTTTGAAAGGAAGGATACTTTCACTCTTGGTGTTTGCAATGGATGTCAGTTCCTGAGTCACTTAAAGGAAATAATTCCAGGTGCTAAGGGTGTTTGGCCAAACTTCGAAAGGAATGAAAGTGAGCAGTACGAAGCTAGAGTCTGCATGGTCGAAGTTGTAGAGGAGAAGAGCATTTTCTTCCAAAGTATGAAGGGAACAAAGATGCCAATAGTTACAGCACACGGAGAGGGACGAGCAGTTTTCAAGGATGGAGCTAGTGTTACTGGTTTGGAAGAGAAGGGATACGTGAGTTTGAGGTACGTGGATAATGAGGGTAAGGTTACAGAGAAGTACCCTGAAAATCCAAACGGAAGTCCGAAGGGTGTTACAGGTGTAAGGAGCGAGGATGGCAGGGTATTGGCAATGATGCCACATCCAGAGCGAACGGTACTCTTACAGGCGCACAGCTGGTTGAGTGAAGACGCCAAAACCTGGGGACATCTTGGGCCGTGGGTTAGAATGTTTAGAAATGCAAGGAAGTGGGTCGGTTAAAAAGGAGTTTAGAAGTGCTTTCTGGAGGTGTTATATATAGCGGAGAATCTAAGTTCTCTTTTGTAAAAGTCTTAGAAGATAAGCAATATTCTTTTTTATGATATCCAATATTATATTTTATACATGCTGTGTATAATGGTTGAAAGTGTGTCTATGGTAAGACAATATACTTCTCCAAGTGTGGTGGAATCGCTTCAACCAAGCCCTTACTCTCCAGCCATTTCCTGCTGAAAAGTCTTTCGGCATATCGGTATGCTCCATCGCACAGAACAGTAACAACCGTCTTTCCGGGTCCCAAGATCTTCGCCATTTCGTATGCTGCGACGACATTCAAAGCTGTGCTAGCTCCCATATACAACCCTTCCTCATCCAACAGTCTGTACACCATCTCAATACTCTTTTCATCCGCGATATGTAGCGCACCATCCACGAGTTCGATATCTGGCTTTAGATTATCAGTGACACGTCCTTGTCCAATACCCTCTGTTATCGAGCTTCCCGTTCTTTCATTTAATTTCCCTCCAGATGTGATGTACGAATACAACACCGATCCAGGAGGATCCGCCAGAAAACTCTTGACTGTCCCATCACTCTTCTCCTTCAAATATCTTGTGATACCCGCCAGTGTACCTCCAGTTCCAGTAGAGCAGGTGAATCCATCGATCTTCCCGCCAGTTTGTTCCCAAATCTCAGGTCCAGTTGTCTCGATATGCGCCCGTCGGTTCGCCGTGTTATCGAACTGGTTAGTCCATACAGCGTTCTCCAATTTCTCGGCATGTCGTTTCGCCTGGTGGTTGTAATTCTCTGGGTTTTCGAAGGCAACCGCAGGAACTGGGTATACTTCAGCACCCAGAAGGCGGAGGAGGTCGATTTTACCCTGGGATTGAGTGTTGGGCATGTAGATCACGCATTTGTAGCCCTTTGAGCGACAGACGTGGGCAAGTCCAATACCGGTGTTTCCGGCTGTACCTTCAACGACGGTACCACCTGGCTTAAGAAGAGAGCGTTCTTCAGCATCTTTGACGACGTAAAGAGCTGCACGATCTATTTTCCATAATGATATCAGTACCCCATGTTCGCCCCCAACATAAGCATGAAATTGGAAACAAACCTTTTACGCTGCCGCCAGGGTTCATAAACTCGGCTTTTCCGAGAATCTCACAACCAGTCTCATCGCTAAGTTTGTTGAGACGGATTAATGGCGTCCTACCGATTGCTTTTAGTTATTAGCTGTTAATATTACCATACAGCCCCGCCAGCGCCCGCGCAATTTCCAAAATGATAGTGGGATGATATTTATATTAGCAACTCAGTAAAATGAAAAACATACCACCAACGAAGCCATTGACGGTGCCTTGTGCCTGAGAAACTCGCTGTGTGTATGCGAACTCAGAGGCCCGTGTGATAGAGGTAGAGAACCTGCGAACTGTAGTGCGAAACATGGTTTGTGAAGATTAATTTGGGGATGTCGAGGGAGAAGCTGGAATGGTGGGTGTAACAATGAATGGCGCAATCGAGTGTGTCGCCCAGTCGGGTAACTGCGACTTCGGCCCTGTAATTCGCCTGGCGTGCAGCCGACTTTGGAGACGGAATCAGCCCGGTTCCAGAAAGGCCCATGACAAATCGATATTAGCTAAGCTGGATATTTACGGGATTCTAATGAACGAGTACTTCGAAGACAAATCTAAAAAACAAATTTACGAGAGATTACTACGTACTGACTCAATTGAGGAAGTAATCAAGGGAAATGGCAAGAGGGCAACTGAAGGAGAAATGCAACAGTATCAACACTATTCTACAGATCTAAGCAATTAATTCTAAAATCGAATACAGGCCATGGAAACTTTCAAATATGAATGTTTTGTTCTAATTAAGATAGTCTGATATAGTATACAAAACATCATATCTTCATCTCTAAATCATCCCATAGTTAAACTTATAATTACTCACAATATAAAATAGAATAAAGGTCTTGCTTCATTCCAAGCGACGGCTGTACTAAACCAGAATCGTATAGCCTCAGCACCCAATTACTACCCTGTCATTCAAATTTGGTGTGCATTTGTACGCGGATTAAGCGCCGTAACGTTCCCAGGACGAGTCCAAGGATTGGTACTCGTCGCTGGCACCGTTGAAGTAACTGATGACGAATAAATAGGTTGCGTTGGCGAAAGCTGTCCATTGACGCCTTGGCTATTGTAGGGCGCTAGAGAGTGTACTGGAGTCATCCCATTTCCTTCTTGCATCTGAGGCACAACAGTGATAATTCTTGGATTTCTTGAGCGATAACATAACAGATAAAGGGAAACGGCTACAGCTATCGAAACTATCGCAACTCCGGCGACTACTCCAACCACAATTACGGCGGTATCTGAGCTAGCTCCGGGGGTCGGAATCGGTCTTGGTGAAATTGTTGGCAGTGGAGTTGGTTCATGGGTCCCATCTTCATATAGCCATTTGATATCTGATATAGAGGCATTGTTGGCGCCTACTTCGATGATGTTGGATGCGGTGATATTGTATAGTGCAGGGGCAATGGAAATCTCTTCATTTTGAAAATCAAAGAAAACATAAGCGCTCCTGCAGATAATTGTTAGTTCGAGCCAGAGTAAATTGAAGGGAGGGAGGGCCTAGGGTCTTACCTGAAAAACGGGGTGCCCAAAATGATATCCCCATCATTCGGCACAAGCAATACTAAATAATGATTACTCAAGATTGGCGCGGCCATCTGGCTATACGGCACAAATATGGAGAGGCCGTCGGCAAACGTAAAACTCAGTCCAGATCCGTCAGGAGGAAGAGTGTCGATTAAATAATCAGGTCCTTCAGCGCCAAGATCAGTCATCACAAGGTCAAATACGTCGCTCGGGAGGTGGATTGAACTGATTAAAAAGACCCCGATTAGTATTCGAGAAACATGAAGTTAGACTTAAGGGCAAATCCCTTACGCAGCACCGAGCCCCAAAATAGAAACGCGGGGTGAACTCCCCGGTAGTTCCAGTGGCTTGGAAACTACCTTCCTCTCAGAGACTATATCAATACCTAGCAAACTGAGTGAATAGTTTGACGGGGTACTAAGGGTCTTTAATGGAAGAGTAAATTTCGCAACATCAATCCCTCCAAATGTGATTGATTTCCCGGAATCCTCTCCTCCACGGATATCATCAATATATATTCCGTATGAAGGTGTGTTGATGATATCATTTTTTTGCATTACTTCGAGGAACGTAGGGTATTCGGTACTGGAATTGCTGGGGCCCAAGCCTAAGGCTGGATTTCTGTTATAGGATCGTCCGACCCCGAAATTGACATCACCTATTGTTAGTTGCCCGATTCCAAATTTATCGCGACCCCAATTTCCGATGGCCTGGAAACGACGGACATATTAAAACAAGGTTTCTTGAACGGCCGAGCTAATAATAATAATAATAAAATCTGGGCTTGTACATATCTGTTGTCGGCGTATCGAATATCAAAGCTGCCGCTAAGATTTCGATAAGAAGAAGAGTCGGGCGGGTACAGCGAAACTATTTAGATTTGAATATAAGTCATACCTCACATAGCAATATATTTCATTGTTTTGAAGACTCACAGAATCCAGAGCTGCGTATATTTGAACAAACAAAGCTTTCTATCAATGGTGGGCAATCTTGCGTACTATTCCACGGGCTTGCAACCCATGTGTACGAACTTTGAGACACCGCTAACTTGAGATTCTTATTCCTGTCACCTAGTTTTCCAAAAAAAAGAAAGAAAAGAAAAGAAAAGAGAACCACGTTAGAATCACAATCTGGCTTCTCCCAAGCAGCCTTCGACGAACATACCGATACTGACATTAGCGAAAAATTGTAGTTGCGTCGAATTCTAGGTTAACATAATAAGCAAGCTCAGTGGAATTCTAAAGGCACCTAGGGTTTCGGCGCTACGCTTTGAATGGCGGTAGCACTAACATATAATATATCGGACTTCCTCCACCCATTATCCGACACCTGCCGCCGAACGAGATTTTCATGGTATTCCTGGGACTCATCAATAAGATCTAAGGTGAATGTTTTCGTCGCGTTATACGTAAGAGCCGGAGAGAGTAAAATGAAAATCGACAATACTGAAAGTGTCAATCTTAAGAAATTAGTCGCCATTTTTAATTGTTAAAACGAAAGCAATAACGGCTTCATCCGCCGAAAAGGGGGGCTTTATAGAGAGGACGGTGTATCGATTCTAGCTCTCGATCTAAAAAAAATATTTTGGAGCATTAATGCGATACAGGGCGGACTTATAGACTGAGCGGGCAGGGTTCGCAGTGAGTCTCTTTCGGATAACATGCACACTCACACCCTCTTCTCAGCCTTCCCTTCTAGTTTGAAAATCAGGGCCCGGAATTTAAAGCGGTTTGCGGGCGAACATGATCTATGAGGCTCAAAACTTACATCCGCGCCAATACTCTCCGACCTGCCTAGATATTACGAGCAAGATTGCAAAATGGTGTGACAACCAGCGCTATAGCCAAGGAGCTATGGGATTCTTGGCCTGCACGTTGAAAAGCACTTCTTCAGAGTCAATTCTAAACAGGGCGTCCTAAGATTTTTTTTTGGCCAATTAAGATTGATGGACACCGAGATGGCTGTACATATACCGACGACGGAATGCAAATCAATGAGAAAACAACCATACCTACCGATAGCTTCCAAGGCGCCTAGGTGGCAGCTTGTGCAACTTAATGGAGATATATTATGACTTCAACCGGTGATAGCAGGTACCAGTTTGAACATCGAATCTATATCTATGAGAAAATTTGGAGAGTAAACACTTAAGCCTTAACCGGACAAAAACTTAAGTACTATAGTCAACTCATGAAAACTCCCATTTGCATATATATGACGCCCCAGTTCGCTAGTGCGAATGTAGCGACCAAAAAGAAGCGAACCCCCATAAGCCCCATGTTACCTCGCCTTCGCAACCCCAGCGCATCTTCCCGTCTTGGAGCCGCCGAGGCGAGGCTTCGATATTCCCAACTCTGAAATGTTGGAGCGGCTGAGGAATCGTCAGTCGCATTACCACTAGAAAGATGCGCCAAGGTTCACAATCACTGCATGAAAGACCGACCCGCAGTCTCGGCACCGCAGCTGCGAATTCGAAGCCGTAATACCCGGAATTCGCCAGGTGTAGCCTCATTAGAATTCGAAGTTGGGTTCGGAACTCCAGCGACTTACCTTCTACGAAACACATATGCATTTTACAGACACTGTAACCGAACTTGAACGGAAAACTGCGGGGTCAAACGGGCATCATATTTATGGGAAAGATATCTTATCCAACTTGAATGATCGGTACACGGCAATGGTATATGCATGTAGCAACATATAAATTTCGCGACATATATTATATCATATGCATATATTTGTACGGGCTGTGAGCATATCGACTTAGTGAAAGAGCACAAGCAGAAGTGAATGAAGATTTCGATACCTAGACTTGGATTCCGCACTGCGAGAATTTCGAGTGCCCATATTACTCGAGACAGCTCTTCGCTTCGAGCTCTCCTACACGTGCACACGCGCACATATACCAGTGGCGACGTTCTGCAACTGCGCCTGCTCGTCGTTAAAACAAGGCTGCGTTACACAGACCCCCCAAAAATACAACAGAGTGCAACACAACCTTGCCTAAAGTTTTAGTGCATCTGGGTGGCCCTGGTCTCGTACCCACAGTAAAGTGTTGCCGTCAGGCCAAGTTAGAAAATAAGCTCAGACATATCCAAGGCACTCGTCGTAATCGCCTAACTTCTAGAATTGATATCATCCTAAAGACCTAGGCGTTTTTTCACATTGTAGGTGAACATATTTTATAGAGTTTAAGGATCCACGCCAAGACCGACCGGGGTTTAGTGGGGCTGATCGAAAGCGGGGTTTGATTGGAACAATTTGGCCTTGCTTACCTGAGGCTAGTTTTCAAAATTGAGGATATATATAATGTAGTTCGATAGATTCGGGGACCATTTTCTCCGCATGAGACATTCCAAGAATCTTTAACCAAATTCTACATTGGCCGTTTCCCTTTTATGCTGTTTTGCGTTACTAATCGAATATAGCTACAATGACCGTGTCTTCTCGGGAAATATCTGCGGTGGAAGGCTCGGTCAAAATGCTCTCAATCAGCAGAACCGGAACACTACAGAATGAAAAATCCCTTACGGTTTCTCGTCCTGGAGAAAGTTTATGCTGGAGCGAGGCTAAAATTCGATTCAGAACGAAGATTTCACAAACGAGTCCGCGTCCAAGCGAGGAAAACATCGAACGGTTCCTCAAAAACAACAATCAGATAGACGAAACCATATCCGAGTGTGAAAATCTCAAAACTGCGGCGAATCGCCAGTACCACGGTAGTACATCGTCGAGATTCATTGGAAAACTCCTTGAAGTGCTTGTTGTTGTGAAAAACGTTGGTGATCCATTGTTACAATGCGCTCCCGAGAGTGTGAGCATTGCGTGGAGTGCTATCAGTCTTTTGATTGGTGTGAGTTTCCCATTATCATTCTATTTATTAGAATAGTTTGAGGAGTTTAATATTTTATTAATTTAATGGGATTACAGCTCGGAGTCAATGACATAGAGAACTGTGGTCGTATCTCCGAAGCCTGCACCAGCATCGTAACCATAGTGTTGAATTGCAGACTCTACGAGAATCGCTACCAAGATGAGGAAGCCAATTCCAAAATAATAGAATCCGTTCAAGAACTGTTATCCACAGTTCTTGACTTTTTCTGGTTAGCCAATAAGAAATTGCGGGACAAGAAAATCAGTACGTTCTACATATATCTATCGATCTAAGTCACCTAATACAAGAATTCAACTAACAATATTTTCGTTACACTTAGAGCGACTTTTTAAGGATATATTCGATTCAAAAGTTAATGAAATTTATCAAGATGTGATAACACGATACAAAGCCCTCAGAGAAGATACAGATCTTGCGTTTCAGGAAAGAGTTATGGAGTCGCTACTAGGTGAGACTGATTATCAGGTATATACGCGCTTATAACTAAGACCGGTGCTTCCAGATATGAAAAAGGAGAAGGGAGATATCATTGAGTTGTTATTTCCAGCCTTAAAAGGTAACCATCCCCCAGTATCTTAGTCAGATGTATCTAGCTTGCTGACACAATCTTCGGGATACATAGATATCACTACAAATCTAGAAGATTTAGTAGGTGTTACGAAGGGAGTACTATCAGAGATACAAGTCCGGGACAAATTCAAACGTTACAAGAGGAACTTGAAGCCCACGGATACCCACTTTCGACAATTAACCGCCACCTTGCAGCCCTTCAAACATGGAACGTCTCATCTATGTCAATGGTTATTCAGACACCAACATTACCAGACCTGGGAGAGAGTACCAGCCAAGAATCGCCCGAAAAGAGATGAGGGTCTGATGACTAGCTTTATTGGAACTTACGATAGACTACCTAGTCTAGTATTCTCCGAGAGTGTATCAGAAATGCCCTCCACGAATTTACTATACATCAAAGGACGAGCGGGGTTCGGCAAATCCGTTATGATAGCTTCGGTGATTAAAAAACTGCAACAGGATTCTGTTAATAATACCGAACCAACATCTATCCAAGCTAGAACTAGCGATACCGCAAAAGGGACAACTGAGAAACATCCCGTTCTGTACTTTTTCTTCAAGAGAGGAGATGATGCCACTCAACTCACATCGCGAGGCTTCTCAAGTCTCGTAACACAGCTCTTCGACGAGGATCATGCGAAAACAAAGGAAGAGATGGAAGCATTTATCAATGCTATAGATTCAGTACAGACCAATCCTAGTACCAATACCCCAGGACAACCTTCTGAAAAAAATAGCGGTGCTACCGGGGAATCAGATGCGGGGCCTCGATCTAACCAAAAGATCTCACTAACCACATCAAATCAAGAGCTACTCCAAGTCGAGAGTATCGCAGCAGCAGCTAAAAAGACTGTCTATATCGTCATCGACGGCATTGACGAATGCACGGACCACGAATCCGAGGGACTAGTTAAGGAGTTAATAAACCTTAGCCGCTCGAAAAAGGCCTCCTTCAAAATCCTGATATCGAGTCGCGAAGACATGGGATTTGAGCAAAAGTTCGCGAGAGAAGATGACCAAGAAGGGCGAAGAAAACTCGAGCTTGCAACAACTATCAACGGTCCAGGCTTAGACCTAGACACGCAGGACCCTTTCCATTGCTTAACGCATGACGACTTCACAATATTGACTGTGACGAAGGAGACAAATTCTGAGGATATGAGAACATACCTGAATAATTCACTTCAAACAATCATGAAGCGCCGGCTCCCAGAAGTATCCCGACTGAACAGAAAAGACCCTCGTCAGAGAAAACTTGACGCAAGAATCAAAAATATCGCAGAGAGTATTCAAAAGAAATCCGATGGAATGTTCACATACAGTGCAATGGTAATTGCAAACATCGGCCAACCTTCCCCGCTATCTCTTACTGAGCGATTGAGGAATCTTCCAAGTGGAATGAATGAGCTTTATTCCCGACAACTCGAAGCGCTTACAGGCGCAGAAAGGAAACTTGTAACACTTGCACTAAAGAGAATTGTTTGGAGTCCAACCGACATGGGAACAGTTGAAATAGCCGATGAATTTAAGCAGATATATCTTAAAGAGACCGAACCTGAAAAGGAGGATAACGTCGACGATTACGACGGGGGAAGCATTGACGGCAGCGAATCCGAAGAAGAATACGCTGTCATAAACCATGCGGATAGCGAAGATTTTGGTACAGACGAGGTTCCAAATGGTAGTCCACAGGCAACCAGACCTCCGTTGCATCGTTCAAACACATATCCCGGGGAAAATCCAATTGAGAAAGCAATGCGAAACCCTGAGATCGCCGATACGATATACCATCTCGAAGGTGCGGGCCGTGATTTTTTCAAGTTCACCAATAAGAAGCGTACGATTGGTTTCATCCACAAATCTGTCCGCGATTGGTTTGAAAGTGAATCCGCAAAAGCAGCCCAGCGAGACTATGGTATCAAATCCGTGGCTTCTCTGTTCTCCCACGACACTGAATCAGGCGAGCTCAAACTAACACTTCCCATACCCTGTAATTCTCCAATCCCCTCCCTTTGAAACTAAAGCGAGAGGTCAGCTAAGTATTATCATAGGGATCGTTGTAAAAGGTCAATCGGAGTCTATGGAGTTCCAAAGCGAGAAGGACGCTCAGCTCGATATATTAATATACATCTGTAAGTGATAATTGAGCCCAATTCTTAAAGGGTAGAGTACGAAATATTCATAAATGGTGACTGATTTTCCCGGTGACCCCGACATAGTGAGAGTTTTGACACATCCTCGTTTTCAAGAAACATACATGCCGTATCACAAGCCCTTGAAAGCAATAGAAAAGAAAGAAGCCAAAAAACTCAAGAAGGCGGGAACGCCAACCGTTAAGGAGACTGATACCCCAAAGCAGATTATAATTATCCGCGAAGCTCCTGACGGCAATCTAGAAAGCGTAGGGACTGATGCGCAGCAATTATCAGATCCAGAAATTCCCTTGGGAGACCCGATATCAGACGAACCAAGCACCAAATCTCTAGACACTGCCGAGGACAAGATTATCGATAACAGCGGAACTGATGAAGAGGAAGAAGAAGTGACGCAAAGTTTGCTTCGCGATGGACCCCAGAGATGCGAAGTCCATCAATGGATCCACCACATGAGACAAGTTGGGAAACTCTGGCCCCGTGAAGAACGCAACGGCAAAAAATGGACAGAACTCAAGGACCTCTTAAGAAAATTCAGCGACGGCGAGTTTTTCAGACCATGGTTTGTACAAAACTATCACCCAAACTACGAAGCAGATTGTACCACCGAGTTTATGTGCGAAATGGCGCTCGGTATGGAGATAATCCATTTAGCCGCATTCGAAGGCTTGGAAATTTACGTGGAGTTCCTCATCAACGAGACAGACGTAGATCTCGGGAAACTTTCAGTTTCAGGACGAACGGCCCTTAACTATCAGGATATACTGTACTTCCCGGAAACAGTTAAGCTCGTTTTAGAGAAGAATATCGATATTAACATCAAAGATATGGATGGTGTCACTCCGTTAAATCTATGTCTTGATTGCAAAGAGCTTACCCAGGATGTCATCGACGGGGACAGCAAGCAGGTCAAAAACTTGATTCAGACCTTAAAATATCTAATCAACCATGGAGCTGATCTCAACAATCCCCTTCCAAGCGGTCTCTATCCGGTGCACTGCATTAGCGAGATTGACGAAAGCTTATTTGACCTCGCAATTGAAAAGGATCCTACAATCTGCAGAACATATTCCAAAGGAAGACAAAGAACTGCATTACATACAATCTGGTCTTCTACTATCCAGAACTCAACTAAAGTCTCCATTGCGCGGAAACTTCTTGAAGCGGGAGCAGACCCTAACGCTCAGGATTCGGATAGCAGAGCTCCTCTATATGAGGCCGCATTCTCCGGGAACAAGGAAGGCGTTGAGCTCCTGCTCGAGGAAAAATACGATGTTGATATCAACGATGAGGATGTTAATGGTCGAACAGCACTCATTGCATTGGCATCATATGATCTTGACGACACCGTAGCGATGGACTTGGTAAAGCTACTACTGGAGCACAACGTCGATATAAAACCGAGGGCCAAAAATGGATGGACTGCATTGCTGTGTGCTTTATGGTACGAGCATTGGGAAATCGCAGAGGTACTAATGGAAGCTCATGCGAAGGAGCAAGGAGATGACCATTCATATCTCACACAAAAAGACATCAATGATGAAACAATCCTACACATAGCCGCAACTGATATAAGATCTGGTCTAAAAATTGCAAAAATAGTGCTTGAGAAGCTGACAGCCGAAGAGAAGAGCGAGTTTTTGGAGGTCCTGGAACCAACGAAAGGCAGGGCAGCTTTGCAACGATCCCTCACTAAACGACATCTCGAATTTGCTCTCTATATGATTGAGAATGGCGCCAACTGCCACGCGATAGACTCCTCCGGAGAATCTGTTGGGGACACATTTTTGAAGATCTGGTTGTACTCCAGGAAATGCTCTAGCTATGATCTATACGATTCACGGCAAATATGGACGAAACTCTATTGTGCCATCTTGCCAAACGATCCGGAAAACGCATATCTACACCAGGCGATATTTAGTAAGAGTATGGGAATGATTTTAAGTCTTGCGGAAGTCGGCGTTGACCCCCTGAAGAAGGACTCAGAAGGTTGGGACGCATTCGACTGGGCATATTGCTGTGAACTGGTGGGGGTATTACAAGAATGCTTTCCAAACATCGAAGTCGACTATCAACTCCGGAAAACAGAGTCCAGAGATAAATTCGCCCGCGTTACCGGCTGGGATGCCGAACGATTCCAACCGCCGTTGAAGTTTTCAGAAGTTGACAATATATTCGGATTGGATAAGGACTTCAAAGATACCCATGAAGAGAAGGAATCGGACGTTTGTGACCGTGACATGTGCCCATGCCCCTACGAAACTCGTTACTCTACACTAGCAAACCACCCGATCGCCCCTTACGTCGATTCTTTCTACTACGAAGTGACAATCCTAGAAGCCGAGGATGAGAAAAAGTGAGATATTACTTCCCCCGTAGTGATTCCTCATATGAATTCTAGTAAACTAACCTTACATATGTTTCTTTGTAGCACGAATGTCATCGTCGGTTTAGTCGGAGAGGGAGCACCGACGTTCGAACTTCCCGGCTGGGACCATAAAAACGTCGCATCATACGGCTTTCACGGCGACGACGGCCAGGTCTATGCGCCTACATGGGCAGTCGGAGACAACACAGGAAGACCATTAGAAACAGGACCGTCTCCAGTTAATGTCGGCGACACCATTGGTTGCGGATACGATAGCATAGATCATAGGATATTCTGGACGTTGAATGGGAGATTCCTGGGGTTCTACGGAGGGTTACGCGTTTACGGCCGACTCTACCCTTGCGTGGGGGTTAGGTTCTATTGTTCAATATCTGCGAATTTTGGCAACGATCCTAGCAAGCCTTTTAAATGGAATGGGGAACATGTATGTGAGGTATAGAGGGTAAAATGCATATGGATTTCGAATTGTAGCATATATAGACTTTGTTATATCAGCGTTCCTCGAGATATCAAAAATAGTACTTCGAGTCGACTCAATATCAGATATCAGGTGTATATATGATACCTCGCCTCGAGACCCCATCCAAAATGCAACAATTACAACAAAACCACACCATTATTAACCAATACTTTCCCAACTTAAACCATAAAAAAACAAATCTCACGATACCAATTAATACATCCCCGCTTCTATACCCCACCATTATAAACACTCACTTCTATCATATCATACAATCCATTCAACTATTATATAGCACTAATATTCCATGAAAACTAAACGATTTCCGTACCGTCCGAGCCGAGGACCATAACTTTTTTCATGCACAAAGCTTGGCATATACACTTACCTCTCAAGCTCAATCGATATACCTCGTCGATAGGATATTGATATTCAAAAAAACTATATTTGGAATATCGGAATATCTCCGATGATAGTTATTTATTTATTTACTTAAATTTCTATCTATTTATTTATTTTCCTACTATACGTAACACTATAGTACTAGCTAAGTACGCCGGTGTACGAAAAAAAAAGGAATCTAAAACACCGCCTTGTACTCCGATGCACCTACGGAAGTTACGAAGCACATATATCCCCTGTGAAATTTCCGACAAAGACATGTGCATTTTAGTAAATAGGATTCAGACTCCCGATCCTTCAGCTACTAAAATTCAAAAATCAGAATCAGAATCAAAGACGGGAAAAACAAAGACAAAACTAAAAGAAAAAGAAAAAGAAAGACCAAATTAAAACCCTCGAGGGAAAAAAAGTCCCTTGCAAAGCTCGCCAATCTCATCTAAAGAACTCCTCCTCCCAACTATCCGGCATCGTATACAGAGTACCAGGACAGCAAATACATACATACCCAACCACCTCCAAAAAAAAAAAAAACTTCGCAGCCTTAAACATCTACAAGGTCCAGGTATCTTCCCTACCATGTCTACCAGGGTAACCCCTCCCCCCAGCTCCCACCTTTCACTTTTCACCTCTCTCTTCCAAAAACGTCAACATGCATGGATAACATTTATGCATAAAAAAAAAAAAGACCACCCTTCTGTTATGAACCTAAATAAATAAACAACCCCTCCAGCCCCTCTCATATTCGGTAGGTACAATGTTCAAGGTAAAAAAAGTTATCAAGTATCTATTATCATTATCCATTATCATTATCTATTATACTAACCCCTTCAAGGGTAATAGTTTACCGGAATTCTACCATCTATCGGTAGAAAACCACAAAAAAAAGTAATATATATACCAGCAAAAAAAAAAAAGGTCAAAAAGGAAAGAAAGAAAAAAGTCCACCAAGAAAATTAGTGAATGTATGTATGAGTCAGAGAGAGAGAGACAGAGAGAGAGAGATATTAATTATTAGAAGGAAGAAAAAAGAAGTAGAAGAAAGAACAAAAAACAAGTCAACTGTGAAACAAAAAGTCCTGGGTATCAGCGGTGAACCGAACACTTCGATAAACACCCATCCAGGTCTCCGGGACACACAAGTCCCATCTTGTAAACAAGATTTAAAAGGAATATGAATAAAAAAGTCAAGCTTTTTCCTTTTTTCCCTTTCTTCTTCCCCTTTCGCATCAATCTCCCTCTATATGTACAAGTACATATTCTATGGATAAGCATCGTATCCATAAAAAAGTAAAATCTCCAATGACGGAAAAAAAAAAAAAAGAACCATTCTTCGCTCGCTCAATCCATTTTGCTTCATCATCGAGAAGAACAGAATTTGAACAGCGCTAACGAAAAGATGTAAAAGCAAAACCCGCTAAAAAGACACAAGACGCTCGCTCGAAAAGCAGCAGCAGATAGTAGTAGCCTGGGTACTCGCAAAGGAAAATAAACAACAGCTCGGAGAGCAAGAGAATGCGGGTATCGTATCAGTGATGCAAAGACATAAGGAAATGGAGAGCCGCATGCATGGTAGTCACGTTCTCGCTCATTGTGCAAAAACAAAACAAAGGAGAAAACAGACAAGGAAAAGGAAAAAGACCGCTGTGCAAAGAAAGGACGCTTTTCTTTCAAAAAAGCAGACACGCTAAGGGGATTCAAGCTGTAAAGGACACGAGTTTTCGTAACTGATCCTAAATCATCTATCGTCGTGTTGGGGCAGGGGTCCAGGATCTCTAAAAGACGAGATCGAAACATAAAAGAAAAAAGGGGATTTCCTAAAATACATGCTGATGGTGGGGAAAAGGTCTTCATTAGGGTATCGTAGACCAAAGGGAGTAGAAAGTAATGCATAATCCAATGATTATTTGTCCATATTTTTTGCAGTAATTTGCCAAGGATTCTTATTTTTGTCCCAACGATTAGAATATGTCGAGAACAACGGAAACCCTACAGTTCACGTGCAACCGAATGGTGACGGCTCATCAAGCCACGACTCCACCTTTTCTAAAGATTGTCGAAGATAACTTTAGTGGGTTGTTGGCGTTGAGCTGATTCACCGGACCCGTGATTACCACCAAATTTGCCATTGAGATAGTCGTCAAGTTTCTTCATGTCGCCTCGACGCTGCCATTGATATTCAGATTTCTCGGCATTGGACCGGGATGAACGATAGGGTTCTCTAGTAGCACCATTTGCACCAAGAGCGGGGGCAGAGGCATGGGCAGTGAATGGGCGGCCGAGACGAGCAGACGATGGGCGGGCGGCGGGCTGACTAATGGGGCGCATGATTGGTCGGTCGAGACGTCTGGCGGGGAGAAGCTCGGGGCCGAATGACTCAGTTGGAGTTGGGCGGGAAGCGCGTAGCGGGGCGGGGGTGTTTGGTTTTGGTTGTATTTCCTCCGGCTCCTCGCCTGAGCTTGGGCTATCCAATTGAGAGGCATGAAGATTCGTAGGTTTGTTGTCAGCCAGGTTCGATTGAGAACGCTTGCGTCCTGGTGTCTTGGAAAGAAGTTGAGCTGCTGGGTCAATAGCGGTGGACTTGGCTCGTGGACGAGAGCTGGGCATGCTGGCTTTGGAGCTCGGAAGGCTTGCACGGGTGGCGCGACGTCCTAGAGGGCGAGCTGCGGCAGCATCTGGAAGAGGGCTAGAATACTCAACCTTTCTGGCAAACGCCAAGCGGCTCTTGGATGATTCAACTCTAACGTTTTCTGACTGAACAGGGCTGCGTGGTTGTTTTGCAGCGTTCGCTTCGATGATTTCCTCCGGCGACCTTAGCTGAGTAATCTTCTTTTGCATAAGTGGTGTCCTAGCACCCTCAGGAAGAGCGGCTGGTGTGTCCGGTGCAGTGGCCTTGGACGGTTGAACTGGTGATGCCTCATCATCGGAGAGGAGTGCTTGGCGAAGACGAGTACGTGGGGAGAAAAGTTTAACCGGAGAAGGAGCAGTAGATTTAACGGGTAGTGGCTTGATTTCAACAATCTCTTCATTTGGATTGATGCGGACAACAGATTTTCGCTTGCGCTGGATCTTTGGTGTAGATGGGGTCATGTCGATGGCAGCAGATCGAGTAGCTACCTCAGGGCCATCACTGTCGGAATCAGAACACGCACCATCGTAGGAGTAACTTGGTCGCTTTGGGTCTGGTTTGCGTGGGACCTTCTCCTTGTCAGAACGAAGAATGCTGCGGATCTCATCATCAGCTACTGGGGTGGTCTCCCTGCTAAGTCCCCTAAGATGTTGTCGTCCCATCGAGCTAGGAACAGCACTATAAGCTTTGCCGTCTTCGCTTTCTTTAGACTCGGCATGGCGTAGGGCAACAAGTTGCGGTTTCGACTCTTGTCTAAGCCTGTCGAGATTATCGAACATGATTTTTTGGCTGGGATCAAGGGGAGAAAGGTCGTCGTAATCTGTTGGCACGCTCTGCGATGGCATTCGCATGTTCTCCTGGAGGACGCGTAGCTTTGCTTCGATGGCCTGGACTTCATATGACACGACTTGCGGAGTAGGAGTCGACGGATTGGATTCCTCGATGGTGGGCTCCTGCGGGACATGCAAAGCCGAACTAGATCGGTAGGCCTTATGCCAATGCTGACCCCTCAACTGCTCATTCTTAGTCGTCGCAAACAAAGGTTCGGCATCAAGCTTGCTGAGTACGGCCAAGCGTCTAGATCTCGCAAGGGATTCTTGGGATGATTTGGAACCAGATCGCCTAAAGACATCTGACATCGGGGTTTCAGAGAGGTCTTCAAGGTCTTGGGGCGAACGAGCATCAGGCTCACGTACGTCGTTCAACAGAACAGACTTGAGCTCCGGATACTCCATCATCCCTCTGCAAAGGCGTCGGATAACCGTTAATTCAAGTTCGGGGCTAATCGCATCAAGTTCCGCCCAAGCTCTACCAAGATTTTTGATGACATCTCGCTTTTTGCCTGGCTGCAAGCTGTAATAAAGTTCCTCGATAGTCGCCTTCACAACAAAGTCAAAAGCATTTCGTCCCAATTGACCCTTAGAATCATGTGGAGCCGCTGTCTTGAACCCTGATTGAAACGGATCATTTTCAAGTGATTTTGAAGATTGGCGTTCAAGAGTATGCCTAGCCATAGAGCCATTACTTGAACGAGCCAGTCGATCGGCGGTTTGCGAAGATGATGAGGGCCTAGATGAAACCAGGTGGGGTTTGACAGTGGTGGCCGCCTCAGGACCGAAATAATCATCGCGTTGAGGTCTTTCAAGAACAGGATATTTTTGTTGCTCTCGAACATCGTATGAAGTATTCGCCCTCGAGGAGGTTGGCCGCGATGAAGGCAATGGGCGATTAATGGGCAGCTCAGAACCAAGTGATTCACGCCGAGCGGCCCTATCTTTGCTTTCTTGCGCTCGCGAGCCCCTACGGACAAATACCCTTGGCCTGTCTGCCGGTGAGTCGCCAGTTTGTGCCCCAGCGGACTCTCCAATCTCAAAATGGCGGGATCGTTCGCTCCCCAGTTTGTTTTTGGCATCAAGGCCCCGGCCCGCTCTATGGCCCGCGACCCTCGCATTAACCTCAGCTGAGGCAAGCTGACGTCCAAAACTACCAGCCTTGACAGTAGTCTCCCGATCTCGAACGTTGTCCTTAACTCCGGTGGAAGGGCGACTCGCTGGCTGGTTGGTAGCTGTTGATGGCCTGGAAACTGGTGTGCGAGCGTCCATGGATTTCCTTCCTACAACTGGAACCTCAGTTGTTGACGTAGCCCTACGATGCGCCCGTAAATGTTGTCCAGAAGCACCTCCTTTCCCGGATTCGGCATCAGTATCGACAGCTGTTTTGACTGGGGTGACCACATTGTGCCATGGTCGATAAGGAGCAGGGTCGATAAAATGTGTGCTGGATCGAATACTACCCCAATTCCAGTCCCACCCAGGATCTATCGAAGCCAAGGAATTCATATCAGGGAGGATTTCATGTTCACTTTCCTTAGTCTTTAATTGTGGCCGAGGATATTTCTTGATGAGTGCGACTAACTCCGACTTATCGGGGCAGTCGTCGAAGAAGGGATCCTCCAAGAGTTCATGGGCGTGCGGTCTCAAGGTTGGATCGGCTTTCAAACATCTTCCAACAAAATTCTGGAAGGGCAGTGAGAAATCGGCGGGTAACTTTGGCTCATACCCCTTGCCAATGGCAGCCAGCGCTTGAGCAGTATTAACTGTAACATGAGGAGGCTTTCCAGTTGCAAGTTCGTAGGCCGTGATACCCAAACTCCAGATATCGATTTTGCTGGTATATCCCTTTTCCTTGCTTAGTCTTGTGTTGATAATTTCGGGTGCCATCCAAAGCGGTGTTCCGACAAAGGTGTTCTTAGAAGGCATATGCTCTTCGACACGAGCAGAAACACCGAAGTCCGCCAGCTTAACTTCACCGGTCGAGCTGAGCAAAATGTTTGCAGCCTTGAGATCGCGATGGATTAAATGATTCTCATGAATGTACACAAGAGCCTTGAGTGTTTCCCGTAGTATAATCTTACAGGTACTCTCATCGCTGTACGAGCGAGAAGGTGAATGGGAGCGAGATATCTATGACATTACGATGTTAGCATTGGAAACAATGGCTTTTGATTCGGAGTCGTCTCCTCACTAGTTCTGCACAAGAGCCAAAATCAACAAGTTCCATAACGATCCACAAGAAATGGTTCTTGAAGAAAGATACATAATGTTCGGTGACATTGGGATGCTGGAGGGAGGAAAGAATTCCTATTTCGTTCTGCAGTTCACCAATGTCATCTTCTGGGCTTTCGACATTAAACTAAATTGAAATTCAAGGTTAGTTTATCTTTATTCAACTTAGCGGGATTTTCCGGATCGGTGAGATGTTGGAATCGGCTTAAAAAGGACTCGAGATGTTAATCCCAAGACTCTTCCCCCTCTTCGACAACTTCAACCAACACTTACCACTTTGATCGCGACTTTTTTGTCCGTGGTTTTATCCACGGCTAGATACACAGTTCCAAAAGCGCCTCCTACGGTTAGACAGCCGGGTTAGCATTCAAGTATCTATTGAATTGTTGATAGAATTGAAGTTTTTTTTTTTTTTTTTTTTTTTTTTTTTTTTTTTTAAAAAAAAAAAGAAGAAATTACATACTGCCAAGTGTCTCCAGAAGATGATAATTTTCGGCTAACTGTTTACCAGAAACTCCTTTACCAGGAAGACCATATTGCGGTAACTTAACTTCCTCGGTCCAGTCCTTCCCCATTTGTGGTTGCGACAATGAAGAAGGACCGGCCGACGAACCGGGACGAGAAGCAGAGCGTCGAGCACGTAACTCCGGACGGCCAGACGGTGTCAAAAATCGATTACTTGCAGAAGACTGCGCACGCAGGAGAGGTCGGACAGATGATGGTGGTGGTCCAGGTTGAGCATTGTTTGAAGGACGACTGGAACCAGGAAAAGCGGGTGTAGATGTGCGAGTTGAAGGTTCAACGGCTGATCCACGTCGGGCCAACGCAGGTACTCCTCCCGACGACCATAAAGCCTCCGGAAGAGTGGCTGGCAGAGACGGTCGCTGCTTAAGCGCTGCTCGTCGATGGGATGGAGGCTCCCTTGGAGGCGAGCCGCTTGGGGTGAATTCTTTGAAGGGCATATCAACCCACTAATTCAGGGCGTTCACCGGCACCCTGAATGAAACCGACCGAGCGACACAATTTTGGGTAGTTGGCGACGGGTTGACGACGGGAAGGATAAGATGGGGGATTTTGATTGATTGGTGATGGCGATGGTGGTTAGCGTGTCGTCAAAGCAGTTAGCGGGAGGGTCGTAGATGGAAAGTCGTGATGGCGACCGGGGTGGAGGGATGGTTGACGTTGACGTTGGTGTTGATGTCGATGTCGTTGGAAGACGTTGAAGAAGGTGAGAGGATGAAACGCGTTGGTTGACTATTCAGGTATACCTCTGTCTCCTAGCTCTGGGGTAGCTGGTCGTTCATTTGTGTCGAAGCTCTACCTAGTTACGGAGTACCTCTCTCTATCTCTTTGTTGTTTTGCGAAGGAGAGAGATCCCAACCTCCTAACTTGGTCCTCTCGGCTACGGATTGATTGATTGATCTTTGTCAATCAAAAAAACCGATAGCCCAGATTTTATCGAAATAATTTCCGTTAAATGAATAATTGACGGGCACCCGAGGAATAAATAGTGTACTAACTAGTCCAATGTGCCTGTTTTTGTTTCTTTCTTTGACAGGCAATAACCAGTTGAATGTCCAGGCGCCGGGCTGATGGATGGATGGTTAGAACAGGATGGGGGGTTCAGGAAGGTGGGAAAGAACAAGAACAAGAACAGGAATAAGAACAATAAAGTTATTTTTCCTTTTCTTCCGTTCCCTGCTGATGGGCCGATTGATCGATTGATAAAGAATAATACTATCTGTATCTGTATCCGTATTACTGAACGTTTCTTCTTCGTCCCTTTCTCTTTTGTTTCCCCCTTCACCGTAGACAAATAAGAATAGGAAATCAAGAAGAAGAATAAGAATAAAAGAAGGAATAAGAATAGGAATAAGAATAGGGACAAGAATAGGGACAAGAATAAGGAGAAGCCTCAACAATTACTTAGGTATTAGGTATTAATTATTATTAATGTTCGTTCGTTCGTTCATTCATTCGCTCATTCATTCATTTACAGGAACTTGCTGACATCAATCAACAATACCGAACGGGGGGCAGACTACTCCGTAGTAGTAACAATAATAAGAAGCAGAAGAAGCAGAAAGCAGAAGGTAATACTGATAAGAAAAAGAGAAGAAGAAGAATCCGACTTGCCATGCCCATGCCCATGCCCATGCCACGCCACGGTCCATGCCTGGTTTCTCCTGTTGCCCGCGACACATACTTACAAGAACCAGACGAAAAGAGAGAAACCAAGACACACAGGCACCAGGAACCAGGCACCCTTGGGCGGCACTTCCACAAGTCCAAAGAGCGTGCGTGCGTGCGCGAGAAGGATATGATGATGTCGTTAGTGAGTGAGTATTCCCAGAGAAAAGAAGCCGTGAAATTGCAATTCCGGCGTGGGCGCTAGCAGCAAAACAGGCAAAGTCCGAAAGTCTGAATCAACAAAATAGGGCTGGTTGTCAGGCCAGCGGGTCGCAATCGCCCAGCCCCCAAAACACGCTAATGCACCCGAAATTAAAGCTGACGGTCCAACTGGGCAACTCCAACTCCGTTGCGCAGGGATGGCGCATTTACCAGCCGACAATCCTGTTCCCATCGACACGACCGCCAAATCAAAACAACAACTCGGTCGCATTCCCGTCGATTGAAAACCTCGCTAATGCCTCAGCTTCAGATCGATCGCTCATTCGTATCGGCTGCGTCACGTTTTCGTTCAGGTGGGACATACTTACTTACATGTACATCCTGCACAGGACACACATTTATCCCATGCATTGCAGTAGTTAGCAAGATCTCTCTCGTTCTAACTATCTCTCGTTTATTCGTTCAGTTCAGCGAATGGGTAATAACGACCGAACTTATCGGTCTACCCGGCGCGGTGGGGTTTTTCCCATGTTCACCCAAAAACACGCAATCTCCCGCTAGCCCAGACGGCGTTCTAATAGCTAATCTCCGTAGACGCTTGTAAAACAAAAAAAAAGAGGGCTCCGAACATTGGATCTCGAAGATCTAGTAACTAAGGTCTTTTACAGAATAGTCTCAAAACCTATTTTTGTGGGCCCTTGAAAAACAGGAATCGTTCATTGCGTATTAGAAAAATAACGACAATGCTGGTTTGAGATCTTCCGACAACATCAAATCGATTTCATTCCGATATCCGGATCGTAGCCACCTTTGACAGAAACGGACTTTACACATTTTAGAGCTTCCCTACACAATTTTCTTGGCTTTACTCTTTTTTATCAAATTTGTGGCTTGTTATTACAAAAAAAACTCTCATCTGCCCTAGGCCCTAGCTCTGAATTCAAAAGAAACCACCATACTTCCATGAATTAACTGATTGTTTTGATCAATGCTTTAAGGATCTTGTATTCTAGAGCTCTCTGTTGCAATTGACAACAATGCACGCCTGCAGAAAACCCGAGGGTATTTATCAGAAACCGAAGCAAAAAAAAGCGTCTCGTATCGACGCCGCCCGCATCTAACATTCCGCACCTTCTCTCCTCTCAAAAGTACCTTTCAGGACAAAATAGCCGACAAGATGTTTGATAAGGGCTGCTATAAATGGAGTCTCCACAAGGCTTTCTAAAAAGTTGGAGGAGGCTGGGGAATAGAGTTAGTTCTCGATACATCGAGACCAGAAAACAATAATATTACATCACTTAATAGGAACTTCTTAAACTAGTCCGATATGCGGGGTTCGTTCGACCTGATTAGAAATTATTAAATTCCGCAATCGAATTTGTTCGTGTTTCCAGATTCCCCTCCCGCTCTCTTTTTTTTCTTTCCGAGGGTTTCCTAGTTTTCATGGAGTATATTTTTCTACTATTTCTTTAGTTTGCCGAATATACTATACTACTCCACAGTGATATTGAAACACATACTGAAACCATAACTGGGTCAATTGCCGAAGAATTCTAGGAATCCTTCTTTTTCTAGTCTATTAGTTGAATGTTGTGATGTTGTGAAAATCCACGCTTTTCTCTCCATACCGTCAGCCATGTGGGAGGGGTTTCACGAGTACTCGAGTTTGGCAACGTTGGAAAAAAAACCGGTTGCCACACTATAATGTAATGTAACACCGCCGTGGACAAGAACGTTCGGTCTCAAATGTATTTTTTTTAAAAAAAAAACGGCCGGTTCGCGGTCACGGTTACCGGGGCTGTTTCGTAATCCTTTTTTACCCTTCGATTCTTTCGGCTGCAAAGACGGCAAGAAGAAGTTGGAAGAAGAAGGGTAACCGAACTCGAAGCAAGGAGTTCCCAGTACAATAGCGGCATTGATCACCTCGGAGCTTGGTATACTGTGCCTCTGCTACATGAACATGCATGGATTTGTATCAAGTTTTTGGCCCGCAAGCTTGTTATTCAAATCTGATTGATGGATCTTTGGAATGCAAGATCCAAAATAAAAAAATAAAAATAAAAATAAAAATAACCGGTCGTATGCGCTGCCAGTAGCTGCCATGCCAGCTAGCTAATTAACCAGCTTCGAGCTACACAGTAACGTTAACTAGAGTTCGTTGCCTTGAAACTTAAAATATGATACCGGTTCCGCCCCACGGATCTACTAGCTACTAGAACCACATGCTAGTTTGGCACGCACGCGATTTGCGTTCACGAGGACCTGTTGACTTCCAAAACTATACCATACATATCAAGTTGGACCTAACTCGGCCTTTTAAGCACTCGTTACTTGGTATGTAAGGTGTCAATTGGGATCTTCTTCATTCACTATATATACCCTATATGACGTTAAAGACCTACAATCTAATCCAATTACGAGTACTCGAGTCAAACAAAATCAAGAAATATTTAGGCCAAAGCTGCCCTGCAGTTATCTACTTAAGTAGATATCTACCATGTGGTGGGTTGTAATTAATATTACAAGTACAATGCTCAATGCAATGCTAAGAACATCCAGACCAAACGACGCCAGCTGGTCACGGCCAGCCTCAAACTCAATTTTTCCCTGCAGCGTATATGATATCGATCTTTTACTATATCCAATACTTCACACCCCGCCAGCCGGGCTGAAACACACTATCCTGTGACATCATGATGTTTACCGAGGAGAGGCTTGTCTTTGACAATACAACCAAATCTTCTTACCAAAACAACGTGCTGTGTGTGCTAGCTGATGCTAGCTGCGTCGAAGTCCTAATCGCGTAACCCGACCAATTGCAACATCTCAACTCAAAAAAAAAAGATGCAGCCTTCCCTGTCAGCATTTCTTAACCCAACCCCGCATATATGCATAGTTGGTTAGACTTAGACTCTATCACACTACATACATACATACAGCATCGCGCATCGCCCTAATTAGTCGAAGTCCCCCATATGCATCTCCATGACCTCTTCTCGATCTAGCCTCCAGAAAGCGGTGTGGGGCTTCTAAACCCCATCCAATCGATTCGTTGACCGATCCAATTGGGAAAAAAGGAAGATAACCGCGTTTATCCTAATTATAACCCTCAGGTAACACACCATATAAGTCATTATATTATATTATATTACAGATTATTGTGTAATTCGCGATATATCGATTAACTGCGCCTATAGGTAGTCTAGTTAGTAAGATTTAACGCCGCAACAGCTAGAATATGATATCAAAATACATATACCAATCTGTATAGAAACGAAAAGAAAGGGAAAAAATGACTATACAACAAACCAAATCTAGATCTAGATCCTTATCCCGTGCGCAGACTTGGACGCCCAAATCCCATCAGGAATACACATTAGGATGGATCTGTGCCCTCCCCAAAGAACAAACCGCCGCCAAAGCGATGCTAGATCAAATCCACCCGGATCTTCCAAAACCAGCCAATGACGATAATACCTACAGTCTCGGCTCCATAGGCGAACATAACATCGTCATAGCATGTTTACCGAAGGATACAGTCGGTACCAATGAAGCCGCCATAGTAGCAGCACAGATGCTAAATACCTTCCCTTCCATAAAAATAGGTCTTATGGTCGGTATCGGTGGTGGTGTTCCGCCAAATATTCGATTAGGGGACGTTGTAGTAGGGGTTCAAGTTATTCAATGGGATTTTGGAAAGGCCGCGGTGGATGGTAGGTTTGAAAGAACTAGTGCTATACAAAGGCCTCCGAGAGCATTGAGGACTGCGGTGTCGAGGTTGGAAACTGAGCATGATTTGCATGGAGTGAAGATTCCTCGGTATCTGAAGGAGATAAAGAAGAGACTGCCAAACTTGGCGCCGAAGTTCGGTTGGTCTGAAGCTCTTACAGACCCTTTGTTTGGTTCTTCAGACGGTACCGTTGATCGATATCGAAATCAGGGAGTTGAAGCAACTAATACATCAGCCATCGGATGGCTGAACTTGATGCCGAACTACACATGGATTGATTATCTAAAAGGCTTTCAGACCCTAAGCCTATCGAATTGGACCAACCCCGTAAGCACCAACAATAAATATCTAACCACCATTCCAAGAAACCCGGGAGATGTAAAAGTCCATTACGGCTTAATCGCATCCGGAAATCAAGTCATCAAAGACGCCAAACTTCGTGATAACATCAACCAAAGCCTTGGAGGGAAAGTCCTGTGTGTGGAAATGGAAGCAGCGGGACTAATGAGTTTTCCTTATATCGTGATCAGAGGTATTTGTGATTATGCCGATTCACGGAAGAATGATGACTGGCAAGAGTATGCTGCAATGGTAGCTGGAGCCTGTGCGAAAGAGTTATTAGAATATGTGCAGCCGAGCGAGGTTGATAAAGAACGGCCGATAAGAGATATGTTAAGCCAAGGTTAGCCGTACGATCTTCTTATATATCCGGTAATTCGCCGGCCTGGGCTCGGATCTTGAAATTGGGAGAACCAAACTCGAGGTCGCTCTCAATTCTATATATGTATAGCAAGTTTCTAATCCGCATGTGTAGTTAAATAGTCCATAATGATATCGGAGCCGTACGAGCTATTCTGAACAAAAAAGAGAACATCGAAATTCTCAATTGGCTTACACCAATCGACTATGGTCCCCAACAGGGCGACATCTTCAGAAGCCGCCAATCAGGAACCGGCCAATGGCTTTTCGAATCTATCGAATATAAGAGCTGGCTCACAAGTAAGCAGGTACTCTTCTGCCCAGGCATTCCTGGCGCAGGTAAAACAGTACTCACATCCATTGTCATCGACGATTTAATCACCCGGTTCCCCAGCACTTCATCATCAATCGGAATCGCATACATCTACTGCAGTTTTAAACGAAACCACGAACAAAAACTAGACGACTTGCTGGCAAGCTTGCTAAAACAATTATCACAGAATGAAACCTCGCTTCCACAGACCATTGAAGATTTATACAAAAGACACCTTGGGAATAGAACCCGACCTTCACGAGAGGATGTAATCGAAGCTCTCAGATCGGTGATTGACTCATACTCAAGAGTATTCATCATTATCGACGCCCTTGATGAACTTCCAGAATCTAATGGTCGGGCGGCGTTTATCTCCGAGCTATTCTACCTCCATGATAATTACAATACGAATATACTTGCAACCTCAAGATTTATCCCACAGCTTACAGAGAAATTCCAGGGCTATACAACGTTTGAAATACACGCTCATGATGAAGATGTGCGAAAATATCTCGACAATCAGATCTCACAATCGGAAAAGAAACTTTTACAGAATCATCGGGAATATATAATAACCGAGATCACAAAGGCTGTTCGTGGAATGTCAGTCAAAAGTCTTCCTCTAAACTAGCTTACGCTAATGATAGTTCATTTAATTAAATGCATTCATTGACAACGTACTAATTATATTTCCAATATAGGTTCCTCCTCGCAAAACTACACTTCGAATCCATCCGTTACAAAACAACCCTCAAAAGGATCAAAACCGCACTAGAAACCCTCCCAATAGGAGAAACAGCCTACGCCAGTGCCTACGAAACCACCTTGGGAAGAATCAAAACCAACGATTCAGACCCCGAAAAGATCGCAAACCAAGCTCTATGGTGGATCGTCTGTGCCAAAAGACCACTTACTACCTCAGAACTCCAACACGCATTAGCGGTAGAAATCGGCGAACCCAGTCTCGACGAAGAGAACCTTCCGGAAATCCAAGATATCATATCACTCTGCGCTGGGTTAATCACAGTGGACGAAGAAAGTGATATTGTTCGATTGGTTCATTATACTGCACAAGAATACCTTGAAAGAACTTGGGAGAAATGGTTTCCTAATGCGCATGTCGATATTACGGAGAGGTGTATTACATACTTATCATACGACATCTTCAAAACGCACATACCAGAAGAGGAAGAAGAAGACCCAGAAGACCAAGAAGAAGAAGAAAAGGAAGATTCAAGTATAATAATCCCCGATCTCGGATCTCGGATTCTATACGACTATGCTCTCCAAAACTGGGTATACCACGCCACCACATCCTCCATCGAAATCACACCCTTAGTATTGAATTTCCTCAAAAGTGAAGCCGGAGTATCAGCTTACAGCCAAACCCTATCTACCCTCCAAGGCTACATAGATTACGGCCAATGGCCTCCAAAACGTGTGACAGGAGTCCACCTCGCAACCTACTTCGGATTACCCAAATCAGTAGAAGAACTATTAAAACCCAATAACACCGACCTAGAAACCCAAGACGACAACGGCCGGACCCCATTAGCATTAGCCGCATGGTGGGGTCACAATGAAGTAATAGATCTATTACTAGACAAAGGAGCAAATCTAGAGACCAAAGATGACGACGACCAAACCCCACTCTTACAATCCGTAATACAAGGAAGCGATGAAGCAGTAAAGTTACTCCTAGGCAGAGGAGCCGACATGGAGTGCAAAGACGGATTTGGTCGAACACCACTATTATGGGCTGCATGGCGTGGATATGAAAAAATAACACGACTACTCTTGGAAGAAGGTGCAGACGTAGAAGCTCAAGATAATGACGGCAGAACCCCTCTATCATGGGCCGTATGGTGGGGTAATGAGAAAGCAATAAATCTATTGCTGCAGCGTGGTGCTTACCTTGAAATCAAAGATTATGATGGTCAAACACCATTACTATGGGCTGCGATGAAGGGACATGATAGAACGATAAAGTTGTTGTTAGAGTGTGGAGCTGATCTGAATGCTAAGGACGAAAGTGGTCGAACGTCGTTATCGTGGGCGCTTTGGTGGGAGGATGAGAAAATGATAGAATTGCTAATAGATAAAGGGGCTGATATGGAGGTTAGAGATAAATTCAACCAGACACCGCTGTTATGGGCTGCTATGAAAGGGCATAGTGGAATCGCGAAATTGCTTCTGGATAAAGGTGCTGACCTGGAAGCTAAGGATAACGATGATCGGACTCCTTCGGCGCTAGCCAGGCACTGGGGCCATGAGGATGTAGTGAAGTTATTAATGGTATCGACATAAGGAGGCATAGCGGTCGTGGGACATAATATTAATGGAAAGACTTAAATAACTTCTTGATACAAAGTATACGCATCCCACCGATGTCATAATCATTATCATCGCTAGATACGTACGTGCAAACGCCATAGTATGCTCCCATCATCCGCTGATTTATACATAAACTGCATTAAGATAATCACGAACTTCAATAATCATCATAATCCTCTTCTTCCTCCACCAAAACCCCCATCTCCAACCTCTCCGCCAATACCTCAACGGTATCCGGATAAACCCCTGCTCTAGCCATACTCCTCAGTCCCGTAGTCAAAAACATAATCAACTTCTGCGCTTGTGCCGACAATCGTCCAAGCATTTGTCTCTTCCTATTTTCTTTCTCAATCTTCTTCCTCCTGATCCTATCTGCTATTTCATCTTCATCCCCATCTCCACCATCGTCAGACCCTTCATCATCATCGTCATCATCTTCCGTCTCCACTTCCTCATCCTCGGAATCAACATCTTTCCTAACACTCTTCCTAAAATCCACAACTCTCTTCTCTCGAACAGCGGGTACTTCAAGCTTCTTTCTGCCCTTTTGACTCTGAGCTAGCACCACCGCCAATTCCATGACTGACACAACAGCCTGGTACAACGGTGCCATCCGTCCACTAACCAAACATAACTCCGCAATCCTCCCAAAATGCTCTTCTTGAACATCAATCATCTCATCAATATCCTCCGCCCCTTCAAGTTTCTTCTTCAAACTCTCAACTTGCGGCTGAATGACCAAATCCACGAGAAACGCTTGTAATAAGCTGATAAACGTAAGTAACCTCCACCTAACCGTATAGGCCACTTTCTCTCCCTGATCATACTTCCCCCTTCCGGCCCTCCCCATCTTCATTTTCTCCAAAGCACTTCGACTCCTCCTTATCATCAATAAAAACCCCCACACTTTCTTACAAACCGCAATACTTTCCACCGTGAAGATATTCAGTAGCGGCCATGTCAGTCTATATTCTATATCCAACATTCCCAAAGCCTTAACCCCTTTCTTATCTCCCTCCACCCGTCGAGTCTTGACTGCGAGCCTTCCAATTTCCACTCCCCGATTTTCCGAATAAACACTTTGCACCAGTTCCGTCAATAGAAACCTATCATCCCACCTCATCCCCTTCTCAATTCTTTCAAAAAGTGTACCACAAAACCCCGCCATAGCAAACCCATCTCTCATGAAATAAACATCCACCATACCGTTTAATGAGTCCCACAACCCACATTCGTAATACAGAATGTCGCGCAGTCGTGCACTAACGTCCCTGTGCGTCTTATCAACCCATTCGGCCATCGCAACTAGTAACGCATCGTTAAACGATACTAGACTCCTTCTACCTTCTTTCTCCGTAAGCTCATTGAGCTCATCCAAAGCTTCCTTCAACCCTACTTCCTTCCCCATGAACCCCGCAACATCCTCCCCAAGCCTTCGTAGAAACAACACACTCTTCCCAACTACAAAGATCTTCCTTCCATATTCTCGAATAAACGATGGAGCGACAATGGTACCTCTCTCGTCTTGATCGAGTACATACCGTCCCCTCCACAGTTTCGCGAGTTGTGAAGCTTCGCTATCGTCCCCTTCATCCTCCTCATCGCCATCGCTGGCAAGATGTATGAAGAACGCACCTAATCCATCGGCTTCTCGAAGGTCACCGAGCTCCATCCATTTCGCAATAGGACGTAGATAGATTCGTAAACACTTCAAGAATATCCCACGTAAGAACCGAAAGATATCAAGTCGTCCATTCGATTCCGCCTCGCATGACTTCTTGAATAATAGTTCCAAGTGGAAACTGACCCGTGCAGCTGGCTCCGAAAGTCCACCTTCTGCGAGACCTCGCTCTAACGCTGCTATGATTTCGTACAAAGGTGAGAATTTCTCGAGTGATGGGTCAAGTTCTCTTTGTAATTGTAATAATGAAACCATGGCGTTGTCCTTCCGATCTTTGCCTTGGTGAACATATTGTTCTTCAACTTTTGCTAGAACATCCAGCTCCCACTCTGAGATAGCGGACTGAATCGCCTCGACGAACGATTGCGCGGGGGCGATTGCATCATGAGTTGTTGGTGATGATTTCGCGAGAAGGCATCTCCGTTCGAGGGATTTACAAAACGTACGTAGCTTCTGAAGAATTACGGCTTTGGCGGCGAAGTGGTCCAGAATGTCGATTAGAGAGCCAGGAGATGTGGTCGGGAGTATATAAGTTGTTAAAACCTGTAAACCAAAATGTATTAGCCCACGTAAACCAAATGGTTAACAGGTATATTGGAATGCATACGTTGATACTACCATCATCCTGAAATTTGTATAAAGAACCTGCAAGACCATATAATGCAAATATTACTTCTCGGATGACGTATACCTCGCCTATACTCCATAGCTCAGATATCTCATTTTGAGCGAGGCCATAGGAGACAAAGTTCTGCGCAAGATCGGCTGGTAGGATAGACTGGCGTTTCCAGTACTGAGCTAGTTCGATGGCGTGGGCAGTTGATGCTTGTGCGACACGAATGTAGTCTTCGATGGTCTGCTGTGGAGCAAGTGGAGCAGCGTCTTCTGCCTGTATATAAGGTACCCATTTGAATCAGTGCAATCCCTCAATGCGTCATGAGGTGTGGGTATTAACCTCTTCCCGCCTCCTAGCTGCTCTCTTCCTTTCTTTCAACTTCTCCTTAACCTCAGCTTGCCTAGTAAACTCATCATCGGCCCAATCATCATCACTGCTGGTTTCAGCAAAGTCCGGGATCTCCCATAATTCATCATCCCTGTCGGCTTCCCTAGCTGCAGCTTCTTCCGCCGCCAACTTCTTTTCTTTAGCTTCTCGAATCTCCAGTTGAGATTGTACCAGCTCTTCCAGGTCCTCTAGAGAAGTATTCGCATTTTCCACCGGTAGAGTCGATAACGCCAATATAAACCGTAGTATATCCGGTATATACTGTTTATCAATCCCACCAAGATCTATCCCATCTTTATCACGACCTTCCTTAACACCAAAATCGAACCCCAGTATTTGTTGTTGATGTTGTTGTGTTTGTTGTTGTCGCTGTTCCTGAACCTTCTGGAGTAACCGAGCTCGTGTCGCGAGTTCATCGGCCAAGACGTCATTGTCATTGATTCGAAACTTCTCTTCCAGACCTTCCAAAGACTGTACGATGTCGAAGGGATTCGTAGATGGGAATTTATGGTGTTTGTAGGATTTTAGGGCGAAGGAGAGGCAGAGATTGTGGTTTTCGGTGTTGGATGGGATGCCCGTGACGGCGTTTATTAACGTGGAGGTTAGGCGATTAATATTGGAATTGGCTGTCATGGTTGGAAGAGGAGGGGAGGCGGGGGGATAAGAAGGATATGAATGTGTGAGGCAGAGAGAGGTGTGTATGCTGGTTGGGAGCTATCAACTGGGGTGGATTTGATAGTTTGCTGGATCGGGAGGAGCAGACGAGACCATGGCGACGGGGGACCGGACTGGGTTACGGGATTGTTAGGTTGTCATGTGCGGGATTGCTCTTCTATGATGCTATAAACTAGGTATGTAGAAGTATACTTAGATATCTTGAATCCTTCTCCTCTGGCCGGCAGAATAGATTTAGATAAGAGATAAAATAAAATAAAATAAAATACAAATAGACTGTATGGAAGTAGGCAAATAGGCATCAATTCCGAGAAAAGAAAAAAGAGAAGAAAGGAGCGGACCAGACTGGTGGGGTTGGAATAAGCCTTTTGGGAACCTTGGTAGTGAAAGCACCGACCAGCAGGGGTCCCCGAAGGAAAGAAGCAGGCACGCGGAGGACGTAATCCGACGGACTGACACACGTAAGTAACCTAACTGGCTGGTCAATGGCGGACATGGGAAAAAAGCTTAAGCGGATCCCGTCCAGGGGCAAAGTTAATTAGCTTTGACAGCTTTAGATTCACGAATCTTTCACATCCTTACCTTTCCAAAGAAATTTTATATCACCTTCGTTACTACCGAATTATATAAGTTCCATGTTGGTATCTATTTTTATATCCCATCGGCCGACAGTAACGTAACCTAACACCGACAGCTTGAGCTTCGTGTCTTGTTGGCACCGAAATCAACACCCAAAGCTTTCTGGCTGGACTGCACTGCTCCATCGAACGAACGAACGAACGAGTCACACCCCACGCGCACACTGTTCACCGTCCTTTACCGCACACTGAACTCCAGCATCGGCACAGCTCAGATAATACCCTCGCAATGGCGGCAGTACAATGGCGTCCAGCCCGCGTACTCGCCTTAACAATCGGCCTCGGCGTTATAATACTACTATTCAACTTCCACCTTCTCGACCGAGATCCCGTCGTCATTGTCGGGGACCAGCGGATATCTCTTAAGAAGGAGAAGGGTAAACCGTTTGCTGTTGATCCGCTGATGAAAATGACGGGACCGCCGGAAGGTAAATTCTTTCTCTCCCTCTCCCTCCCTCTCTCTTTCCCTTCTCTCCTATCTGAACGATAAAAAATATATTACATTTAAATTCAATTGAGTTTCTGGCTAATAATGATTGTGGTGTGACAGGTATTCTTTACGGCCCAGGCCAAGCCGAACGTGTCAACGCTACACTTCTATCACTCGTCCGGAACGAAGAACTAGAAGGCATGCTACAAGCAATGGACGACCTCGAACGGACCTTCAATTCCAAATTCAACTACCCGTGGACCTTCATCAACGACGTCCCCTTCACAAAACAATTCATGGAAGCTACAAAGGCAAAAACTCAAGCAAAAGTGTATTACGAAGTCATCCCGAAAGAACATTGGGAAGTCCCGGCATGGATCAACTCCGACCTCATGGCAGCAAGTGCATCACTACTGGAACAGCAAGGCGTACAATACAGCGGCATGAAAAGCTACCATCAAATGTGTCGATGGAATTCCGGGATGTTTTACAAACACCCCGCTTTGCTAAAATACAAATGGTACTGGCGAGTCGAACCGAAGGTCCATTTCTTCTGTGACATCGACTATGATGTCTTCCGCTACATGCAAGACTACAATAAAACCTACGGATTCGTAATCAACATCTACGACTCCCCACAATCGATCACATCACTTTGGCCATCAGTTCAGGAGTTTATGGCCGAACATCCGGAATATATTCATCCTAATAATGCTATGAAATGGCTTACCGACGCCGAGAATAGACCTGAACATAACGAAGGCGCGAATGGATACTCTACGTGTCATTTTTGGTCGAATTTTGAAATCGCGGATATGGAATTCTGGAGGAGTAAGAAGTATGAAGACTTCTTCAATCATTTGGATCGTGCCGGTGGGTTCTTTTATGAAAGGTGGGGGGATGCGCCGGTTCATTCGGTGGCTTTGGGGTTGATGGAGGATAAAGATAAGATACATTGGTAAGATAACTTCATTAACCTCCTACAATCAAGATAGTCAGGATAGCTAACTGTGCTCGGATCAGGTTCCATGATATTGGGTACCAGCATATTCCGTACTTTAACTGTCCAAATTCGGACAAGTGTAAAGGATGTGAGGCTGGAAGGTTTACCGATGGTCAAGGACTGGACCAAGAAGATTGCAGAATCAATTGGTTCAAGTATGCACATATGAACTGATACCCTCTTTACGGCCCAACAACGTCCGTATTATCATTATTATTATTATTATCATTAAATCTATATTTAGGTCCTGTTCGTTATATTTGTTGATTGTATAGGGTTATAATACGCACCAAAGCCCTTGGAAGAGGAAAGTTGGGGTGGAAAATGCTAAATTACTAATAATGCATTTGTAGTTACCGATTGTTCATAGCCTTACTCTCCCTCTCTTCCTCCCTCCATTATTCTCACTATTCTTTTCATATCTGTATTGTTTGGATGTTCGGAGGAGTTATTGAATTGGTTTTATCTTTTTAATCGGAACAAAGTTACATAGCCGACCTCATACTCTAGCCTCGTTCCCTATATAAAGAATTGTGATTTCATGGTATATATATATAAGTAGTAGTCTCGTATTGCAGACGTGGTCCACACTTTGTATAAGTAGTAGGTACACACACACGTACAAAACGGCTTTCAAAAGTTGCACGGCAAATAGTCTAGTCCCCGACCCATCATCTGGTAGGTGACTAGGCCCGTCTACAGGCTTTGTATATTACCGACGGTGACATTAATTCCCATGTTCACTATAAGGTATGATATAGATCGAATATTAATGGTGGCTATACGCTATGCAACAATGCATGATGTAAAACAACGCCTTTCCTAGAATTCATATTCCTTAATCCTAGCGTGATAAAACAGACTTTCGTGCTTGCGAAGGCTACTTCAATTCCTGAAAAGAAAAGAGGAGAAAAAAAACCGTTGGGGATATATTAGGACCGGTTTGAAAATGCGCGTCTACGCGATGCACATATGCATGCACATGCGCACAGTACATGAATAATTGAGTGGGGTACAAACGATTCTATTCACATTGTCTGTGTAGGCGTCAGTTTACCACCATCTTTTAAAAATAAAAAAAAACTGGCGAATCGAATTTTCTTCGAGGTTCGAGGCATTTCCCGGTTTTCCGGTCCTATAGGAGGATTCTATCTCAACGTTTTTTGTGGGGTAAATTTAAGGATCTGGGGTTTTACAGCGAAATTCAGGTTGCATTGCATTTCAAGGCTGCAAAAATTAAGATATATCGACGGGGGCGTGTGCGTCGATCACTTCATGGGTATTTTGGACTTAATCGAATTTGACTTATGGGATTGTACAGATATCCATTATTTCCTGAGGCATGCATATTATATCTCAACGGACTTGCCTCGAGCTCGTGTATCATTGCATCAGTCATCCCTCCGGCACCCTTGTCTGTATCTTAGCTCCGCAAAGTTACCTAATTAGTGTTAGATATCAGTCGCAGGATATGTTAGGGACCCACCTGCGAGCTCGAATGTCACCTACATACCTAGTAGTACTTAGTACATAAAGTATCATTTCGAGCAATCTCGGATGTTAACCGGCTAACCCCAGTACAGTGCACGGCTCATCTTCTGGAGGCGGGAGTACAGGGCTAAACCCAAGGTGCCTCGAGCCCTCGCTGTATGTATACTATTAACGTATTTTGGGAAGGCTGTAAGTGCAACGCCACTTATATATCAGTCATTGGTTCATAATTGGTTTTGAACCCGGTTAACCAAGCGATTTATTGATATCTAATCCAAGATAGATAGGACATGTAGCCTATAGATATCTAGATGCATACCTGCATGCAGAGAAGGGGGAAAATAGGTCTCGGGGTTAAAGATGCTGCAGGGAACAACAATACAGCATGCTGACAAGCTGGAATCGTTCAACGAAGCATATCGGAATGCTCCGTCTACACCGACATGGTCATCTAAGTACTTAGTTACCCGGATAGTCTTGTGGCTTATGAGGATATCGGCGGTATCCGACATATAGATTATAAACCGTTAAACCAACAGCTCCCCGAGGTTGGGGGGGGGGGGGGGGTCTTAATTGAGAGCCTTCCAATTTGCGGCACATCATTATAGAAGGATGCTAAGCTCGCCACCGGCGCAGTCCTTGAAAGGCTAGCAATCCTAACAGGTCTCCTGGGGGTGATGTCATGATAATTTAATTTTCTGCATGCGCATGCGCCGCAGTAGTGCAATATTGCCGACGCCGACGTCGACTGTCCTCATGCTCATCTGACCACATCGTTGCATCGATTGCTCCACATTACATTCAAAAAAGCCGCAAACGATGTAAGATACATCTTCATTTGCAGGCGGCACATTGCAGCCTCCAGGCCGGTGGCACAAGAACTGATATTTGAATCCTATGATTATGATATCGATGCGTCAGCTGGTTTTCAAACGTTAACCTCGCGTTAATATTTCGGTAGCCCGAAAAATGTCCATCGACGTCTTCTCCGCGAAAACTAAAAAAGAAACCAAGAAAGAGGAATGATTCAAGAGGTGGTGGAGTTAGGATTACTCTAGTAGGCGGATGGGACGTGCTCACAGAACACTCCTGCAGGTGAGCTCGAGACAAGACTTGACAGGATCTAGATAGACAGCAAAGGGTTATAATTATGAAGAGAATGAGATATCTCTATAAGCTAACTAAAATTTTTATATAAATGGTGAGCACCTCCCTTTCCATCTCATAAAATTTCTCAGATCAAAAAACCAATTCACCATACCGGCGGGAAAGCTCTTCATACGCTCGCTTTGATCTCAGAAATCCTCCAGTACCAGCTTTTATAAGTCATAAAATCCAAGACCGGTGTCGACCGGAACAATTGGTCGGCCAGCCCTCTCACATCTATTACATCACGATGTCTAGCAATCAAAATGGGCAGGGTAGTGTTCCGCGATTTAGCAATAGAAGATCGACGCCCCCCCATTGTCCCAATACCGATACCGTCGCCCCAGCCTCGGATATTCCGGGATCTATAAACGAATCCGAGCACACGCGGGCACCCCAGGGACTCACTAACTCGGACCCAGACTATACACTCGTCAGAGTCCTTATTCTCTTTTTTGAATATAATGACTTGAATATAAAGCCAGAAACGACCCAATTCAAAGCCACTTGTGAAAGCCTCGGCTATAAGGTCACTGTATATAAAATCACAATGAAGGACTCTTGGAAATGTCTCAAAGAGATATTGGATGGATCATTCCCGATTCAGGACAGAGAGACTGAGCTCCGCATCATCTACTACAATGGCCACGGGGGGATCAACCATAATTCTTCACTTACGTTGGCTAGGTAAGTACCTCATGAGACCTCTAAAATCCAACACTTGATATTATTATTATTCTAATAGGTAAATTGTTTTAAAGTCACACCTTTTCCAAAAGTATGCAGGAGATAGTCAGCGCATTACCCCGATCCGTCCGAGAGTAAGCCACACCATTCTCATTCTACCAGTGTATAAATATTCTGGTCAAGAAACATTGATTAATCAAACGGTATATGTACTGATTATTTTATAGGGGGGTTGATACCCTACAGGACATCGCCGAAGTGAATTGGAGGGATATCGTCAAAGTGGTAAATGAGATGGAATGCGATACCCTCGCCATCCTCGACTGTTGCGAAGCGGGAGCAGGAGCTACTACCACCCTGGCTGAAGAAAACGAACACGTCATTAAGTATCGGAAAGAGCTCATCGGTGCATGTGGTTGGAGAGCAGAAACAAGTTATCATATGACTCCTACCCTTTGCTCCGTCCTTAGAAGGGGGTTGCCGGAAGTACAAAACTCGATGTCTACATCCACTCTCATCCGAAGGATGAACAACAGAATGGTGAGGATTGGTAAAGCTGCTCCACAGGCTGTTCATTACCTTCTCAAGAGGAATGAAATTGACAAGATAGTTCTTCCGCGACTGAAAGCTATTATACCTCCTGATGAGTGGAATATTTATGAATCCATCCAAGGTAAAAGTCTGAAAGGCTACAATGCCCTAATCCTGGGTGGCGACACAGGTATCGGGAGATCTGCTGCTATAACCTTTTCCCGAAAAGGTGCTGATGTCACTATTCTTTATCGTGCCTATGCGGCGGATCAAGCGATGTCTAGAGATCCAAAGAATGACGCACAAGCTATCGTGGAACTAGCAAGGGGGTGTGAAGGTAATGTAAGACTGTGCCCATTCAAGAGTGATGGAAGTTGGGTTACCTCTATAAATTCTCTCAAATCAAAATCCCGCCGCCAAGCAAACATGAAATTTGACATCCTCGTTAATAACCTTGGTTATAAATTCGAAGATGACAATGGAGAAAAGTAAGAATCCAACCCCCCCTGATCGAGATAAACAAATGATGTGAAATTGTGGTTACTAAATGATCTGATTCCATTGCTAGCATATCAAGTGTAGAAAGATACGACTCGGCTGCCCGTCTGACATTCCTCGAAGGGAATGAAGTCGTCGAAAAGGCTTTGCCGCTGATGAAGCCTATCAGCAAAATTATCAACACGGTATCGTTAGAGCAGTCCGATGGACCGTTCTTCAAGAAGGAGTATCAGACTGCTGCTAGGGTCATCGAATATTTAACAAAGTACCAGGCAAGGCAAGGAGAATATACAAATCACATTGTTACGGCCATCCTTCCAGGCGTGGAGTGGCCACCACCCGCCAAGGATAAGGGGGTGGAGAATGAGGAGGTGGTACTCTCGCCTTCCCAAAAAGCCGCAGAGGTCTTACGTTGTTTCTTGTGGGTTGCTGGCCCAACGAGGGAAGGTGTTCCCGAGCCAAAAACTGGGAAGACATTCCACATCGGCCGCGAGGGGTAAATTTTCAATTAGATAGCTAACTTTGGTAGCTACAAGGTTACCCTGTCCCGTCATCTAAAGCTTAGAGGGCGATTTGGAGAAGGGAATAAAGGTCTAGTTTATATATGTCATCGCGATCTCTTTCTTCTTTTTTGACTTTAATTTGTGTTCACCTGCTGTTTATTTTTATGTATCTAATTAGTTGCAACTTAATTTCCGTTGCGTCATGTACCTAATATAATTTGAATTCAAGCCAATATTTGGATATGTAGCCGACTAATAAGTTTTATTTCATAGGGCTCAGCGCTCTTGAGGCCATGAAGCAATTAATAGAAAAGTAGGCCTTTAGACTAGCGAAAAAAGGTAATAAGTAAAAAGAATGGATATCCAAGAAACGTTCAAATAAGCTGATTTGGTGCTGTGACTGTTTAGGGTATATATTAGTATGCGCTTGGCCCAGAGCAATATCCCACTTATAAAGACCACTACAGTTAGTACTGGTTTCTATTCCATAATACCATCAATCAATAATGTTATGCATACCATCAACTGGAGTCACCGCCACATTCGGGACCGTCTAGAAGACGCCTGGGCGGCCGTTGAGCGCGGTTGGCGGATGTGATCCTTAATGAGCTAGTTCTCAACTCACAAAAAAATGATATATAGACGTTTTGAAAATTAGGAATGGTACGATGGCCTTCCAATAAACTCGGTTTTCTTATTTCAAAGGATTTCACGCTAAGGTATGCAAGTTACACATTTATTTAAAGTGCTCCAGAACGTTATGATAATAATTAGTCGATTATGACGTCATAAGATTCGGAAGGATCTGAATTCGATCGCATATCAACTCCATTTTCAGTCCAATCAGCTAGCTAGATAGCGATATATCGAATTATATCAAGGAACCAATTAAGTTCCTTCGAACTTTAATATAATACAGCCTACTTTATCGGATATAAAGTTAGAATGCGTATGTTCAGTCATATGATAAATGCGTTGAGGGGTGAAAATACAACATCACATGATCTCCCCTCAAAATATCTTTTTGAACCTCCGACCGGGTCGACGGTTGCCATGTCTTACGTCCAACAGATAAGACAAAGCACGGCACATGCCCGTTGGTTCCGTCCGATGAAAGAAAGAAAGAAGAAGAAGATATCAAACTATTTCGTCATCCTCAGATCCGATGCAGGGCGCGGGGTTTCAAATGGAAGGTCTAATCAGGACGAATCGAAAGAAAGAAGGGCCAGGCAGGGCTTAATTCTCTCTTCGCATACATGTGCAACCTTAATTCGAAGGCCATTGTATTACACAACGTCTGGGAGAAGACGGTTCTACAAAAGCCCTCATTTTGGCACTAATTAATTAATACATACGATGTCCCATTGAAGTTGTTGATAAAATATACTTTTCTTCCTGGAAGTTAAAAAAGATATGAGTGTATACGTATATTGTACGGTTCACAAGGCAAAAAAGTAACCAGGGCTGCGACAAGCTTGCACTCTTGGCAGGGCTACATACATACATACATATTATACCATTGGAAGCTGTGAATCATCGGCAGTCACCGTGACGGGTGCGAAAAGAAACGGCTGTTGGCCTCGAACGGAACTAGGCGCTGCTGGGAATATCAATGTTGACTAATGCAGCCTGGCCTGGAATGGAACACTTGCAGCGATGGCAATGGCGCATGCAGCTTCTTTCCCCCCACTCGACTCCCAGTCTAGTCCAATCCAATCCAGTTCGGCCTTCGATGGTCTTCTTTTTATTTTCTTTTATTTTCTTTCATTTTTTATATTTTTTATTTTTGTTCGAAGAAAGACAATGCGAAGATAATCAGTCCCCGGCTTCGGCTAAGCAGGTGCTTTGTGTTCAGTCAGGTCGGATCCTGCCATGTTCAGCCTTGACTCATAGTCGATTACATAGCATAGCATAGGATGGAATGGAATAAAGATATTTAGTCTGGCAGAACCCCCTCAATTGGATTCAATTTAGTTCCAAAGCTTGAATTTAATAATATTCTGGAGTACTTACCACGCTATTTCCATGACTAACAGAAACCGATACTTTTTTTTTTGAAGTCCTTTTTCGGTATACTTAAAGAATTAAAATAAAATAAAATAAAAATTGAAACCAACCAGAAAGAACCATCGGCTGTCCCGGCAGAAACCATAAAACCTCCACCAGGTGCTCCCCTCTCTAATCGATCTCTCTGACCAAATCTTTCGTCTCTTTCCCGTCTTCTGGTCTATCTTACCTCTTTTCATCGTTTTCTCCATCTTTCAGCACAGACCTGCGACTTTTTCTCCGCCTGTCCGGAGCTTCCCTAGATCTCTTTCAGATCTTGTGCCTTTTCTCCAGAACCAACTCAAACCAAGAACATCTGCTCTGCTCTGTCGCTTCGAACCTTCTTCTTCCCCAGTCACACTACCACACCTCCCTCCCTCCCTCCATCCATCCATCTATTCTCGCTCACAGAGAAAAAAAAGGACATCACCAGCAATCATGACCGACGGCGATAATTCACACCCCCGACTCCCAGAGGAGACCAATAGGATCATCTCCTACAACCTTCCAACCTACGATGGCTACGAATTCCCAACTGTCAGACTCAGAGATACTCTCACAGACCCCTCCAAAACCCCACTAGCGCTTGTCGCATGTGGTTCCTTCTCCCCGATCACCCATCTGCACCTCAGAATCTTTGAGATGGCAAGCGATTACTGCAAGCTCGATACCAATTTTGAGGTCATGGGAGGTTACCTGAGTGCTGTGTCGGATGCTTACAAGAAACAGGGTCTTGCGCCGGCGAAGCATAGGTTGGTCCCTCCTTCCCTCCCTTCTCCACCATTCCCAAACCAAAACTCGCTTGAAACCTATAAAAATCCATAATTGAAGGATCTCCTGATTCATCATCAAACTATTATTACTATGACAGATCGCTAGACTAACACATATCCCTCTGCTCTCCTTGGAGCCGTTGAAATTTACAGAGTTCACATGTGCCAAGTTGCCTGCGAACAAACATCTAGTTGGTTACAAGTCGATACATGGGAACCGTTCTGCCCGGAATACCTCCCCACCGCTAAAGTTCTCGACCATTTTGACTACGAACTGAATACCGTTCGGGGTGGCGCCAAAATCGTGGATGCAGAGGGCAAGGAGATCGGCCGGAAGCCGTACAAAATCGTATTACTCGCCGGATCCGATCTAATTATGACGATGAGCGAGCCGGGCCTCTGGGCGCCGGAGGATGTACGTCGCACATCTTAAGATTTCCCCTCAATTGTTCTTCGATTACTAATCAATCCCGGTCGAAAAAAATTATAGCTTGATCACATCCTCGGTAAATACGGTGCCTTTATCGTCGAACGTGCAGGCACGGATATTGACGCCGCCCTTGCAAACCTTCAGGCCTGGAAAGAAAACATTTACGTTATCCGTCAGTTGATCCAAAACGATATCAGCTCGACCAAAATCCGAAACTTCTTGAAACAGGGCATGAGCGTGTTGTACTTGATCCCTGCGAGTGTGATCAATTACATTGTCGAGAACGGGCTATATGTTGACGAGTATAATAAGAAAATCGAGGAAGCTGAGAAGAAGGTTAAGGCTGAAGAGGAAAAGATGGCAGCGAACAAAGACAAGCAGGCTGTTGACGATAGGGTTAAGGATAGTGATGCAGACAGTGGAGTTGAGGCTTGAATTTGAAGAGGAAGAACTTTTTTTTGTTACAAAAAAAAAGATTATATTCATCTTCAGGGGGGGGCGCTTTCGTTTCTTCTCGCCTCTTATGTTCATTATCTGACTGCCCCTACCCTTCTACCATACCGCCCAGTTCTATGGTGGCCTTCTGCTAGCATCGTCTTTTTTGTTCTATGGGTTTCCTTTCTAAGTACTTTATCTCTTTTCTTTTGCGACGGAGCACAAACGGCGAATACCTTTTTCTTTGGCACCTGATATACACTCCACGTTCGTTCAAGGTTTCATTATGGAGGGGGAACCCTCCTATGTTATCTCTTTTGTCTTTTCATCTGGGTGGGCTTCGAATTTGAAATTTTACTTTTTTTCCATTTTATTTTATTTTATTTTTTCTTTGGGGATCGTATATTTACTTTTCATATGGGCGTTGAAAGAGAAAGGGGGATTCAAGATGAAAAAGATATAAAGCGGGGGAGAGAAAAAAAACGGTCTATCTGGACAACCAGCTATATTTCCCATAATGGGATCGTCTAATTAAAGAGAAGGAAATTGTACGTTTAAAATGATGTACGGGTTATATATTTTGTCACGGTCATAATAGTCGAATAACTTAATAGAATGTATCGTTATTTTCATAGCACGAGCTATATATACTCGGTTCTATATATTTTCATAAACTTCAAAGGTATCGTTACATTGTCCCTATGGTAGTACAGATGCATGTTGAATCGTAAGACTATACTCCAAAATATTAATCCCGTTTAAGAGGAATGGAGAAACAGAATAATAAAAATAAAAAAAAGAAGATTCCGCTAAAATGCATCTCGAACAAAAGAAGCCTCACAACCTCGCCTCGATCCCAGTCAAGCCCTCTCTAATATCCCCTCTTACCTTTCGCTTCACCTTCAATCCATTAATCTCACCGTAAGCATTATACCCCACCCCTCTTAAATTCCACTGTCCATCCCCACTTTTAATCTTCTGCGTATTCCCACCTTTATCCGTAGCTTTACACATAAAGCTCATCTCCTCAGTCACCTCTCCCTTATACTCAAACTCCCAAAGCACCCAACTCCACCTCCCACCTTCGTTCAATATCCTCGCATTTTCCCAAGTACACCCGTCATCACACGATACCTCGACTTTAACCACCGGACCCTCCGATCCCTGCGGTAAAGCGTACCCACCTATCTTCAACGGTTTAACCCTCGGATCCTCGATTTCCGCTCCAGAAGGAGGACAACATATAACGCTATTAATAGGAGTTTCGAGTATCGACGGTAGTTTATGCCAATACCCCGCAGCTTGTTCTTTAGTCTGAACCTCCGGCGGGAGGATTTTATAATCCTTCTGTTGGTAAGCATTACTCGATTCCTGTTTTTGAACGGTAATCCTATCGAGCCACTTAACCGCCCTGGCACCCGCCACGCCGGGGACGATCATACGGACTGGATACCCCCTTTCTGGGGTTAAATCCTCGCCGTTCATTTTCAAGGCAATGAGGACTTCCATGTTTTTATCTAGTGCTCTACTTAACGGTATAGAACCACCGTAGTATCCATCATCTTGCGTGGCTGTTTGGTAACAACTGAAAGCTACGTGCGAGGAGGCCGTTGGGTCTAATGTGGGATTTGCGAGGGTGAGGATGTCGGAGAGGAGGACGCCGGTCCAGGAGGCGTTCATTACGGCGCCGTTGTGCCAGTCTATGCCCCAGACTTCTTTTTCTTTGGTACGCATTGTGTGACGGCGGTTGCCGGCGCATTGGAGGGCTGCTAGGACGGTGTGTTGGGGGAGGGTGTGGAGGTAGGAGATTGGGATGTCGAGGGGATTGGAGACGGAACCGTCGATGTGGAGGAGGTGGGTTGAGGCGGAGATGTGGGGGATTGGGCTGTTGTTTTCATTTTGGTGATGTTAGTGAGGGTAATTTAATTTGCGTTGAGGGTGTTGGAATATTTCTTTTGGATATGGATATGGATGTGGATTGGATTGGACTTACCCATGGTTTCGATCGTATGCTTCACCTTCTTCGGAGATGAACTTTCCGATTAGAACGTGCGGAGGGGGTTCACGGTTCAATGGCTCTTCGACGGTTCCGTCAAACTGTGACATTTTTGGTACACCCTGGTTAGTATATTAAAATGTTTATAAAAAAAAATTAACATTTTTTTAGTAAAGATGGTTGATATCTTGGGAGATAGTTTCAGATATCACAGGATGCAATGCACTGCGGTGCGGTGCGGTGCACGCCAGCTGGTCGAGCTATGATGATATCACGGCTAAACCCAATCAACGACTAGAGGCAAAAAAAAAATACAGTACAGTACAGACAACGATATAAAGGAGGGGTAATTTCTTTAAAGAGAAGAAGAGGAGGGGAAATGGTCATCTTTTTCAATAGAGGGGTAAAACAAAAAGTTGTTTATCGATTATGCATCATTTTCGCCATGCAGGGTAGGTTATTTTTTTTTCCTTTCTAAATTATATAGAAGAGAAGGAGGGGCTGATATCTGATGCATAGTTTTCTTTTCCCATCGACGACGTGTTCAATGATTTATATGCATGCATGCAATATGCAGAATTAACTAGAAGGGAAAGGAAAAGGAAAAGGAAAAAAAAAAAAGGCTTACCCATGTCGATATCCTGCCCAGCATGATTTGATTTTTCCTTTGAATAATGTTATACTTCTTCTTCTTATTAAAGTTATTTTATTTAATATATTTATGTTTTATATATTATTCGCCTTGCAGCGCGCAGCCGATAAATATCCCAACCGATATGCAATGCACGTCGAAAAAGAAGCTTAAAGACACCGCACTTGCGTATTTTTTGGTTGGCTGTAGCAATGTAAGCTTTACTTTGCTATTATGAGCCTTTTTTTTTTTGTTTCCCTTTCTTTCTTTCTTTCTTTCTTCTTAGATATTTTTCTTTTCGTATGCTAGGCCAGCGAATACTTCTAATATTTGCGTTTTTTTTTACTGGCCAGCGGCTCTTTCGGTTTTTGTTGAGGTGGGCCTGACGGGAGGTGGAAGCTTAACCGGGGCGCTGGGATATATAGACTTGCGAATATTCCAGAAAAGAAAGTATGGTTTAATCAAGCAGCTAAGAATGAAACGTGCATGCGGTAAGATAGGTAAAAAGGTAAAAAGTATAGTAGATCGGTTTTGGAATGTATTGCTTAATGCTTTGGGTTTTTCTCCCCCACGTCTACGGATCGATATAATATTTGAAATTCGAATTGGATAATTGGGGGGAAAATAGAATATTAAGGGAAGCGGAGAGATATTTCTTCAGAAGGGAAAGGGGGGATTTAAAGGGATTGTCACAATTTTGTCAACTTGTTATTTAGTATCAAATGAAGCTCCCGTATGTTTTTTGATCACGGAAGGGGAGGGCCAATCGCGGAGCTGGGGTTTGTAGTCTTTCTTGATGGAGAGTTATATGGAAACATGTCGGTGAAATTCACGGGGTTTCTTTCTTCTGACAGACGTGTCGCAACGCAAGGGATTGTGAGAAGAAACACCTGTTAGCTGCTTAAAGCACTTTAGTAGAGTTTCGGAGACAATGCGTGAGGGTATGGATAGTTGCCACGGTGGAAACATGGCTGGGGAGACATGTGATGTGGAAGGGGAAAAGAAGATGTGGATTTCGTGAATTGTGCATTTTGAAGAAGCGACGTCAATGTCCAACGTGCAAGGAAGGTATCGGCATGCGGAATGTTGGATGGTTCGGCATGCCGAATGAGATGTATTTCTGTTAAGAACCGGGGCATGAGAAATCTAAGAAATGGCCTTTATCGCCGGTATAAGAGTGATCCTTTTTCTCTGCGAAGTTAACGTTCCTGATATTGTAAAGGAAAGAAAGGAAGAAAGAAGGAAGAAGTTGGGAAATAATATAATACTGGAATGGGCTCATTTCAAAATAGGATTCCGAGGTTTTTTCTTTTAGAGTCCGTGGTGGGAGAACAATGCTCCATACGAAGCAGAAAAAATATTATAATCGTCTTGATAATAACTTTTTGCAATTCCCTAATATCGTAGAGTGGCGATTCCGTCCGTAGAATTCTTCATCGGGTCTTCTGTTTTTATTCAGACTCGGTCAGAGAGATAGGAAAGAGGTCGAGCTCTCCCTTCCAGACCGTTGAATCCCATGGGCTGTTCTTCGGGCACTAAGAACCGCTCTAAAGGTTCCCATTGGCCACCAGTGGCAGTTTCTCGTCCCGATTAGGTCCTGGCTAGGACAGGGTATCGAGGGCCGCCTGCATGCTGCATGTCTCTTTAAAATTTTCTTCTTGCGAGCGAGCGAGAAAGACAAAAAAAAAAAAGGTTGTCGAGATACCAAACAGTGGTAACCAGGCGTGCGTAATTTATCCAGCATTCTTCCGTTGCTTTTCTTAGAAGCGGCGGACAGTCAGCATACGATAGGTAGCCTTGCCGTCTGATGTCCGTTCGGACCATCTTGAAAGAGGTGGCTTGCAGGTTGACGTTTTTTTTTTTTTTTTTTTTTCCCTTTTCCCTTTTTTTTTCTTCTTCCTTGCCTGCATTTCGCGAGAAAGCTGCCGACGACGAAGAGGGGCTTTTCTTTTCTTTTCTTTTCTTTCCCAGACAGGGGTTCTTTGACTTGCTCGGATCGAGAGGGGCAGCAGCCAAACTAGCATTGGTTGAGTACGGGTAAGAGAGTTGCAAATGATAAACGTCGAAGGCAAAGTAACAGAATAGAATAGTGATCGGGAAAACAGCCCCTCCTCGTCATACCATCACGATCAGCTCAACGAAAAACGTAGGGATGTTCAGCTAGCTGTCGATGCAGCATGCGCGATATTTCCGTATTTTCTTTTTCGCGCAGTGCGTTTAAGTAATATCAACTGTAATGATGAGTTTAGGTTAGTTGGATTAGTTTAGCTTAGTATGGGTCTTGGAAGCCGGTTGAGGATTGTTGAATTTCAATATCACAGACCAGCAGCACATACCGGCGGCGAGGTTGGTTGGCAAATGAATGAATTGCAGAATTCGAATTCTGGGACGTCGGACGGACTTTTTGAGGTCGATCGAATGTATAAAACCTCATTGTCCACCCGTTTCTTTTGTATTTATTTTTGACGGAAGAGGATTACTTCTTTGTAAAAACATCAGACGACCGAGATAGAAGATATCTTTGGAAGAGTTGAACATCATCTTCCTCTCCAGGCTCTCTCATATACATCCACACATACAACATACCATACCATACCATACCATACCATATCATATCATCCACATATCATAAAATCCCATATCTCTTCTATCATCTTCTTTTTCTTCTTTTCCTTCTTCTTCTTCCTTTTTTTTAATTGATCGATCGTATCAATTAAAGCCTCTACTCCACTTCAGTCCGCCAATTACATATTGTCACGATTGGTTACTACGGTAGACGTACATACTTCATACAGATAGACCCTTGAGCCAGCATACATACATACACACATACATACATATATCCCCTCACCTCACCTCTCATCCCCTCACGACTCAACAGCCCGCTAGTGCATCGTTGACAATTAATCGAATCAACCTACTTATCTGACAGACAATACATACAGACTTACATACTTACATACATATAACAAGCGAGGGGTACACAGAGTACAGATTTCCCTCGTTTCCCAACGGTGCCCTGCCCTGTCCGGCCCTGCAAAGTGGTGTGGTCCAGCCTGAGCTCCACCAAACAACGTCATTCCGCATCCTCACATTTCTCACATCCCCTCAGACTCTCTGGCATATAAACCACCACCCTCTTCTTCTTCCTCCTTCACCCACTCCAACCAACCATCAATCAATCAATCAAACAGGTCTTACTGGTAGACGGTCCATCGACCCTCAATTGTAAACGAGGATTACTTGTAAGTATTTACTTCTCATTACAATCATACTCTATTTAAAGAGAATTTGGCTGTACTGGCCCCGCACTTCCCTCAAGCTTATTTCAGTTCCCTCTTCCCTATCGTCATCGGTCTTTTGATGTTAATTGGATCATTCTGGTCAATTGATTGTCAAATTCCCTTTTTTATTCTCTTCATTCTTTCTTTCTTTCACCACTCATTCAATCTCTCATTTCTTTTCTATTTCTTTCTTTTTTTTAAAAAATTGTCTGTTTATTGTCTCTCGCTGGGAATAGCTTCGCAGCTGCCTGTTTCCAAACTCTGTTGAGAAAGTGGTCTGTGCAAAGTCACCGATCCCGTATTTTGTAACCTCAACCGCTTCTATTTCCACTTTTCCCTCAATTACAATTGCTCTTCAAATCGTGGCACCGATAAAGCGGCCGATAAGAAAGCTAATAGCACTTCGAGCTAACGTCTTTTGGTTGACTGACAGGCATCCGAGTTTATCAAGTAAATTCGCTCAACCCGCTTTCGCCACAGCAACCCCAGAGCACTCCATCGAACCGCATCTCAGCTCATCTCTGCAGCTGTCCCCTCAATTGCATTCCTAATAGTCCTTTCCTTCGTTCTTTCTCCTCAATAGCATCTATCATATCACAAAGCAAAAATGGGCGACGGTAAACGAGACGTCAAGAACCACCTTCTCTTCGAAATCGCAACCGAAGTTGCGAACAGAGGTACGTTACCATACTCTCCCATTTCCCTTTAGCTATGACGTAAAGCGGCCTCAACACGGTTTTTTTTATTTTTTTAAAAAAAGCTCGTCGCTTCACCACATGTTTCTGGTTTTTCATACTAACGCGGCAATGATTATTTTCTACAGTCGGCGGTATCTACTCTGTGATCAAATCGAAAGCGCCCATTACCACCCACGAGTATGGAGCCAGATACAACTTGATTGGTCCTCTAAACAAGCTTTCGGTGAGTCTCTTCTTCTTCTTTTTCTCTCTTTATGACCTCGGAATTGAATAAAATAAGTATTTAAATGCGAGAACCCTGTGAACTGACTCTTAAAAAAATGTATAGGCTGCTGTCGAGGTTGAAGCTTTGGATCCTCCTCCAGGACCTCTCGCCGATACTCTCAGGTCTATGGGAGAGAGAGGAGTTGGATGGGTCTACGGAAGATGGCTCATTGATGGTGCTCCAAGAGTGATTCTCTTCGATACCGGAACAGCTTACCACTATTTGGATGAGTGGAAAACAGACCTGTGGTCGACCGCTGGAATCCCCAGCCCTCCTGGAGACCACGAGACAAACGAAGCAGTTGTTTTCGGATATTTGGTTGCATGGTTTTTGGGAGAGGTACGCCATTATGTGCACCTATAACTCAATGCGAGTCCAAATTAACTAATAATTTTTTTGCAGTTCGTTGTTCACGAGAAGAGTCGTGCTGTTGTCGCCCACTTCCACGAGTGGCTTGCAGGTGTGGGTATCCCTCTCTGCAAACACCGAAGAATCGATGTCACCACAATCTTCACAACCCACGCCACACTGCTCGGAAGATACCTCTGCGCCGGTTCAGTGGACTTCTACAACAACTTGCAATATTTCGACGTCGATGCGGAAGCTGGAAAACGTGGTATCTATCACCGGTACTGCGTAGAACGCGCTGCCGCCCATTGTGCTGATGTATTCACCACCGTTTCCCACATCACTGCCTACGAGAGCGAGCACTTGCTCAAGCGTAAGCCCGATGGCGTCTTGCCAAACGGTCTCAACGTTGTCAAGTTCTCGGCTATGCACGAGTTCCAGAATTTACACGCTCAGTCGAAGGAAAAGATTCATGACTTCATTCGTGGACATTTCTATGGCCACAATGACTTTGATCTTGAGAATACTCTCTACTTCTTCATTGCCGGAAGATACGAATACAGGAATAAAGGTGTCGACATGTTCATTGAGTCGCTAGCTCGTCTGAACCACAAGATGAAGACCTCGGGATCTAAGATGACCGTTGTCGCTTTCATCATTATGCCAGCCCAGACATCATCGCTGACAGTCGAAGCCCTCAAGGGTCAAGCTGTCATTAAGGCCCTACGAGATACCGTCCATGTTATTGAACAGGGTATTGGTAGACGGCTATTCGACCGCGCCTTGAAGTGGCATGAGGGTAATGAGCTTCCAGATGAGGCACAGCTGATGAGTTCGCAAGAAAAGATCATGCTCAAGCGAAGAGTATTCGCCCTCAAGCGAAACTCGCTGCCACCAATTGTTACCCACAACATGGCAGACGACTCCACAGATCCAATTCTTAACCAGATCAGACGAGTTCAGCTTTTCAACCACCCGTCTGATCGTGTCAAGATTATCTTCCACCCAGAATTCTTGAACGCCTCCAACCCCGTCCTCCCCCTCGATTACGACGACTTCGTGCGAGGAACCCATTTGGGTGTCTTCTCGTCTTACTACGAGCCATGGGGTTACACACCCGCAGAATGTACCGTCATGGGTGTTCCATCCATCACCACGAACTTGTCGGGTTTCGGTTGCTACATGGAAGAACTCATCGAGAACGCCGCCGACTATGGTATTTACATTGTCGATCGTCGCGGAAAGGGTGTTGATGACAGTGTCAACCAGTTGATGGAGTTCATGTACGATTTCACAACTAAGACACGAAGACAACGTATCAACCAGCGTAATCGTACTGAGCGTTTGAGCGATCTGCTCGACTGGAAGAGAATGGGATTGGAGTACGTCAAGGCTCGACAGTTGGCATTGAGACGAGCATACCCACAGGCATTCGACCAGATGCAGAGCGAGATTGGATTCTTCGATGGTACTGAAACTAAGGTTTCAAGACCATTGTCTGCACCTGGAAGTCCAAGGGATAGGTCCGGTATGATGACACCTGGAGACTTTGGATCCCTACAAGAAGGCAAGGAGTTGTTGAATACAGAGGATTATATCAACTGGAAACTTCCGTAAGTTCTACCCACAAATTCAAGAGAAAGCGATAGACCCAAGTACTAATTTGACTGCGTACTACAGAGAGGAGGAAGATCCAGATGAGTATCATTTCCCATTGACCCTGCGATCCCCAAAGCGAAGAGACATTAATGGCACTGGTACTGAGGCTACAAATGGAAACTAAAGAAGGTGGAACAAAAGTTATATGTTTTGCTTTTTAACTTGTCAAATATCTTGAGAAATCGTTATTGTCGTTTTGGTTAGCTTTTCCCTTTTTCCCTTTCTTTTGGTCCCGATTGGGGTTTATTGTATTTTTTCCCCCTTTGTTCTTCTGTTTTGTGGGACTTTTTCTGCAAAGGTATTCTATCTAAGTTGGCATTTTGCAAAGCATGACTGAGGAAGCGTAACTGTGGCATTATTCGCACTTTTCTTTTTTGTAAATTTCCTCTTTTTCCTTTTTTCTTTTTGTTCTCTTTTCGGATTGAAGTTCAAGGGGAGGGGGGTCAAGCGGATTGGAGCAGGACATTTACTAGTAGTCGCTCTTTAATGGAGGTTGAGGGGATCGAAGAGCTTCTTTTTCTTCTTGTCAATATATTTCAGTTATATAAGTATTTTATCCATCAATATGTTCCCTTGCGAATAACGTAGTGCGGTTCTTTAAGCTTATAAGATGGATGTCATGTTTAAAGCTCGTGACCCATTAATTTATAAACTTATGGATACTTGGGATATATACCGGAGAGGAAGAACTTGAGTGTAAGGCGAATACAGATCCTGCTAACTTTAGGGGAAAGCTAGGCTCGAGTTAGAAGTCATGAATTCTTTCTACGTAAACGTTAAACATCTCACTGATTACTTTTTATGAGAACGCGAACGCCATGAATTACAACCATGGCGGATATAGAACTACGACAAAATGAGGTTGTACACACTTACGTCCTGACCTCTACAGTATCTGATTCAGAATACGATATCCATTGAGGCGTTTCAGAGCCTTCCGTAGCGACCCGAAGAAAATTTTAATGAAAAAATTTATCAAATTGTCTTTGAAGATATAGCCGTGGTGTGATCGTGGCAAGCTGTGTTGGTGTGGCATTTTCGAATGACTCCCCAAAAAGGCTGCCCCGCCAAATGATTTAAACCTGCCCCGCCATCCCTCCTCTTAGCTTTCTTCAAAATCTTCTCCTCCTCCTTCTTACACCATTAGTATTACCAAATCGTCAAAATGTCCTACACGCTCGATATCTCACACAAGGCGCCATCGAGCGCTGTTTATCCAGCTCTCATCGCCGTCTCCTTCATCAACCAGTCAATCGCCCCCGCTGCCAACCCTGTCATCGGTACCACCTTCGTCGAATCCGATCTCGTTAGCTCTGACCAGGCGACCCACCCAATCGCCCTCAAAGTCGAGAACGACGAGCCAATCTTCGGTACCAAAGCCGTTCTCGAGAAGCTTCTCGCAACCCATGGAAGTGTATTGAAGGGTGCGAACAGCAAAGGTGGAAAGCTTGAGGAAGAATGGATCACCTTCACCACCACCCGTATCCTCGGTGCCGACTACCGTGCCGTTACAAAAGCCATCGAGGAGCTTGATAGCCATCTTACACTCCGAACCTTCATTGTTGGGTACTCACCTTCCGTTGCGGATATTGCCGTCTATGGTGCCCTTCGTGGGAATACTCAGTTCTACTCCCTTCTCCGAAAACCCACATATATCAATGTAAACCGATGGGGCAAGTACCTTGAGTCTATTCCATCTTTCAACCAAGCAATTGATGCTGCCAAGTCTGCTGAGGCCGCAAAGAAGGCTGCTGCTACTGGTGGAAAGAAGACTCAGTCCGGAAACTTCGAAATCGGTCTGTCGAATACGGATAAAGGTGTCGTTACCCGTTTCCCACCAGAGCCAAGTGGGTACCTTCACATTGGTCACGCCAAAGCTGCTATGTTGAACCAATACTTTGCGAAAATGTATAAGGGCAAGATGATCGTTCGATTTGATGATACAAACCCTAGCAAGGAAAAACAAGAATACCAAGATTCCATCTTGGAGGATTTGAGTCTATTGGGCATCCATGGAGATCGTGTTACATTTACCAGCGACTACTTCCAAGAACTATACGATCTCTGCGTGCAGATGATCAAAGAAGGCAAAGCCTACTGCGACGACACACCCCAAGAGAAGATGCGTGATGAACGTTTCAACGGTATCGCCTCTGAAAACCGAGACAAGTCCGTCGCCGACAATCTCCAAATCTTCACCGAGGAGATGAAGAACGCCACCGAAAAGGGACGCTCTTACTGCGTTCGTGCAAAGATCTCGGTCGATGACCCGAACAAGGCTCTTCGTGACCCTGTTATCTACCGTTGTAATATTGAGGCACCTCATCATCGCACTGGTACCCAATGGAAGCTCTACCCAACTTACGACTTCGCCTGCCCGGCTGTTGACAGTATTGAGGGTGTAACCCATGCACTCAGAACTATTGAGTATCGCGACCGTAACGATCAGTACGCATGGATGCTTAACGCCTTGAATCTCCGTAAAGTCGATATCTGGGATTTCGCCCGTCTTAACTTCATCAAGACCCTGTTGTCCAAGAGAAAGCTTACCAAGCTTGTTGATATGGGCCGCGTCTGGGGGTGGGATGATCCACGATTCCCAACTGTCCGAGGTATTAGGAGGAGAGGTATGACTATTGAGGCGCTCAGGGACTTTATTATTTCCCAGGGACCTAGCAAGAATATCGTCAACTTGGACTGGACTTTGATCTGGGCTATCAATAAGAAGGTCATCGACCCCGTCGCTCCACGATTCACGGCTCTCTGGAAAGAAGGTGTAGTTGAGGCCGATGTTATCGGTGAGGAGGCGAAGGAAGGCTTTGAGGAAAAGCCAAAGCACAAGAAGAATCCAAGCGTCGGAACTAAGAAGGTTCACTATGGACCTAAGATCTTGATCGACCAGGTCGATGCTCAGAGCTTCAAGCAAGGCGAGGAAGTCACATTGATGGACTGGGGTAATGCGTTCATCGAAACCATCGAGAAGGACGGCGACAAAGTCACCAAATTGACCATCAAACTCCACTTGGCCGGTGACTTCAAGAAGACGGAGAAGAAGATCACATGGTTGGCTACCAGCCAGGATTTGGTCGATATCGAACTCGTTGACTTTGATTACTTGATTACTAAGGATAAATTGGAGGAGGAAGATAAGATGGAGGATTTCTTGAACGATAATACTGAGTTCCGGGTTAGTGGTGTTGCGGATGTTAATGTGAAGGATGTGCAGCAAGGGGAGATTATACAGTTCGAAAGGAAGGGATACTTTAGATGTGATAAACCGTGGGCGCAGGGTGAGAAGGCGGTGTTCTTTAATATTCCAACGGGTAAGGAGGAGAGGAAGAAGTAAAGGCCGTATTTATGGCTCAGGCACGAGGGTTCTAGTCTTTTGGCGCCGGCCCTTTATTAAATTCAGTTATGTGCTGTTTGCTATTCCGTCTTCTGGTTAGCGGGAAATAGCTTCCTAAAAGTACTATTTATTTAATCTATAAATTGAGTATCAAGTTTTTAGATGGGTGTATATGTTCGAACAGAACTTCTAGCTATAATTAAGTATCTAGTCAAGATTGATATCGATATATCAAGATCAAGCTCGCTGCTCGACAGGTGTGTGGCACATGGAAATGCGGCTGCACAGTATAAAATCCCAAAGCGGGAAAATATGCTGTGCAACATGTGGCGTAACGTGTGTGATTTTTTTTTCGACAACGCAATTTTTTCAATTTTGCGTTGGATATAAGGCTGTTCGAGAAATAAAAATAAACCTTTAGAACTAATTTATACACTGATTCGTTTAATAACTAGTCTTTTAAAACTGGGTACTGACTAGCTATTTAGTTTCGGAGCCAGATGCTACCGTGTGCGGTGTACATAGATGCAAACCTATATCTATATCTAGTATTTAATAATTAATTTGTGTGCGCATGCCTGTATATACCGAAAGAGTGCCTAAATCCGGATTCCTTTCCTGCTCTCGGCCCGCCATGCATGGAGATAGGTGATATATTGCAATTGCAAATCGTTATAACTTTACGCTAGTCCTCTAGCTCTTGGACCTCCAGCCCTCTGAGAAGAGAACTAGTCCAGGGGGATAGCTGTAGTTTACTAATCACTCTTCCGCGATCATTCAGAATAAAAGCAGCCACATAGTATATAATATAATATATACGGAACTCTTAAACACTTTCCACCCCAAGCACAAGCACAAGCACTAAGCTAAGTTACATATAAAAGATAAATAAAAATAACTAGGAAGAAAAGGAAAAAAAACGCCACAGGGTAAAAATTAAAAGTAAACAGCTTCCACAACCAGAACAGCTTCCACAACCAGTCAGGGTAAATAAGTTCAAAGAAAGTGAAACCCTATACAATAATACAAAAGAGAAAAGGAAGGGGGAAAAGAAACAGGTTCAGAACACGAACCCAGGTATGAACAATGTCATATTCACACGTACACAGCTGACGTAATTAACCATTTCTAAAGCATCTCATTCAACTTCTTTCCCTCCTTCGAATAATAATCCTGATAGCAAAATATCTTAAGAGGTGTGGTCTGGCAACCTTCAGAAGTACAAACGAGAATGGACTACTCCTCAATTAGATAATAGCGGATCGCACATTGCCCTCGGCAGCTCCACTACTTCGCCTGCCCTGCTGGGGCCCGGCTGCTGAAGCTGCAGACCCAGAATTAGCAGCGGCAGCAGCTTGTGCGCCTGCCCCGCCACTCAAAGCCGAAAGATTAACATGACTCAGTCTATCCATCAGCGTCGTTGCAACCGCATCTACAGCGCCCTGTTATCCCAGAATTATTAGCATAATGTTCAAAATTCACACCCAAAAAAAAAGGAGCGGGAAAATCATTTATACCTTTGGCGCCCTCAAACTCGGTCCTTCCGGTGCTGTTTCTTGGACCTTGAACAACCTAACAATAGTTCCATTCCATACCCCAACCGTCCCCTTTCCAACTTGCATCTCACTAACAAATATGAAACCCCACATTAGACTTTCATACCAGCCTAGTGCCATGGAGCTCCACTCAAAAGTGTAGCACTTGATCGGGCTCGGTTCAACACCAGGAATTTCAGTCGTCCGAATACGCTCCAACATTGAAACATTAGTTTCGGCAATTTGAGGAGTAGGTGGAGGATGGAGAGGTGACTGTGGAGTGGTCGTTGTCGGGCTCGTGACAGAGTTCTGGCGAGAGTGTTTCGACAAAACGGCACGTAGTTGCGGTGATAGTTCTTGTATGACTGTAAGGATCGTATGCAAGGGAAGAAGAGGCAACCATGTTTCGATCTATAGTCACTCGTCAGCCAACAGATCCTACACATTTTGCATTGGTAAATCGTATACTCACCCATTCCGGACTAGGTGCAAACTCTCCAGCAGCATTATACGCCACACCGTTCTGGCTCCCGATACTGATAACGCTGTTCTGCCTCGACAGCTGTCCGACTGGGAGCTTGCCTCTAGCCTTCTCACTCATGCCTCTCAGCTGGATCGGAACTGCATCATCAATAGAATTTCCACGTGAGGATTCGAAGGCCGTTGAAGTAGGTGTCATTACTGCTGACGATCTTCGTTGCGTGCTGGTTGTGTCATCATCGGAATCGTCGGAATCCCCAATTTGGAATGTTTCAGGGTCAGCGGGGAGACCAGGCGTATCAGGAGGCTGCATGGTGTTTGTTCGGGGTATGATAGGTGACTCGGGTTGCATGATATCACTAGCATTGTCCTTTTGCATCCTTCGTTGCTTCTCAATTTCTTCACGACCACTCTCTAGGGTAAAAGATCGTAGATTTTCGAAGCGCTTATGGGAGCGGAGGATTGCGTAGACGAACGATGGGTTTGCTTTCACAAAAATCAATACAATGCGATCTAGATATAATGAGAATCGGAGGAAATAAAAAGAGCTTACATGAGTACTGGTGTTCGATAATGCTATTCATAGCCTCGAGCAAAGAATGTAGAAGGGTATGATTCGATTCGTTGGCTAGCAGGAAAGAAGGCGAGCTCATCGATGTGAATAGCTGTACCAATTTCCCGCTCGCGGCGGACGACAAGTTCTGGACGTACGGGGCAACATTGCTGATAATGGCCAGTAATGCCGGGTATATCGCTCCGAACTTTCCTTTGCTGCTCGTTATCAGGTTGTATATCGACTATATAATTAATTAGCTATTGCGTCAAATATGGCGCCCAAGGTCCAGTTATACTCACAATGATAACATATTCCGCATATGAACCTGAAAACCCAGCTATTCTAACACTGGGCGGGAGCAAATTCTGGTTCTCGAACTTCTTATTCAGGCTCTTCCCAAACTTCGGCTCCGACGAGAGAGTCTGCAATACAAACACACACATGCGTACTACACCAGACTTTGAAGCGTCGGTGCGATACTCTAGAGCGTAATATATTAGTAACACAACGAAATCGAGAGACCTATCTGTTTCTATGAGAAAGGCTCGGAATCGTTTGTTACACTGCAGAGACTCCCAGAAGAGCATGATAGTTTCGGGAGCCCATTTTAGGGACTTTTGAGAGCCTGGGAGGTATGATGAGCTTGCTTGGATGGGTTGATTTAGAACACGGGTCATTCCGTCAACGAGGAACTGGAAGTCCTGGGTTCTGTGGAGCCTGCCTAGGTAGTGTCTGAAGTTGTTCTTCAGAGGAGGGTCGCCCTGCTTTCCTTCCGGGATGGGGTATAATAAGAGGATTAGCAGCATATGTAAAGAGTATGTGACTAGGACCTGTCTAGAGTCTGAGAAGACTACATGGTCGTAGGGCAGCCTCCATGATGCAGCATTGTATTTGAGAGTGGTATTCAACAAGGAGCATAGGACGGAAAGGACGACTTTCTTATCGGGATTTGTGACAAGGTATGTAAGGCCTCTAGTACCCTTGACTGGTAGGAAGTTAGAGGGAATGTACATCGCCTTGCTAGTAATGGATATCAAGAGGCGCAGAATCTCAATACGGTTCGACTCGCTTTCTCTTGTTGTTGCCATCGATGTGTTACATCCTACGCCGCTCTGCCAGATCGCATAAGTGACCTTGGTCTTCCCGGCGACCGGGGTAACCGGAACGGTAAATCCAGCAAAGAAGAGCATGTCCAGCAGGGTATCTATGAGTTCTTCGGCAAGCGGCTTGACCGTTTCCACCTTAGGAGGTTCCGGGGTTGGGTTCGGATTGGATTCATCGAATATAACTTCGCTAACCCTTCTGGTCTTCTTCCTCCTGGGCGACCAAAAGAATTTCTCCTCCCAAGCTTCCAGGGCCTCATTTTCGTAAAGATAGGGGAGTAGACGGGTGAGGACACGGATACAGTTGAGGGCTTCCTTCTCGGGAGCAGCATCGGGATCCGGGAACGCTGGGTGGTGTCGCAAGTGGAATAATCTTGAGGTGAGAGCGGTTATGAGGGTCTCCAGATTATCGAGGGAGCTATCCCTGGTCCGTCGAATGTCGGCCGACGAGAATAGCGTAAAGACATCTTCGGAAGCCTCTGGCAGCTCCCAGAACTAACAACATCACCAACATACAGCATTAGCGACCACCATGCGACCGATGGATAATGATATAAGCATAAGGCCGGAGTAGTACCTGACGCCAGTAAGGGTCATCAACTGGAATGCCCTTCTCCTCGGCTAGGCGAAAAACGCCCTTTTTGAAGGAGAGCTTCGAATCCGCAGCACCCATCCGATTCAAGTACCGGGAGACACTTGATCTTTCCGGGGTCACTACCTACTGGAAGTGGTGGTGATGGTGGTATTGATCGAACGAATATCGTCGGTAACTACTTAGTATCTTCCTAAGAGCATGCGATGCGGGCGGTTTGGTGGGTTCAAAACGGGACCGGGCCGGGTGTTTATTTATTTAGAGACAACTTGGCCGAACGATGAGATGACGTATACTCTCTCTCTCTCTATCCCACTCTCGTAGTCTTTGTTTTCTGACCGGGGATAAAGACGAGGACAAGGACAGGAACAAGAACGGGCTCAAACGGTGGTTGTTTTAGAGCAGTATGGGAAATGGTTGTGGGTTTGTTGGATGGCTTCCCCAAATTGCACAGCTCTCACTGATTGTCCCTCAGTGTATGTTATAGTTAAAGCTTAGCTCTCTCTCTCTCGCGCTTCGGAAACATACACTGCCGTGTGTCCATCGATGCAGCTAATACCGCTTAAGTAGTAACTGACATGTATCTATCACTAGTAGTTGCTTGAGCCAGTACATAAGAACAGAGGTACATACTTAAGTACATATCAAGTATGGACCAAAAGCAAGAGAGTCGGCACTTTCGAGGGGTCTGATAGGATGGGAGAATAAGGAATCGAATAGGGACAGCTGTTGTTACACTAGCCACATTCTTTGGATGCCACACACACCCACAAAATGTGGCTGGTGCCCTGGAGACCGTAAAAACAACACCAACGACTCTGTAACTACAACCGCGACTTCTCCCTTCTTGTCAACAGCACTGTATCATCATCACCACCGCCCTCAACGTCGATTTCAACCTCAACGTCGACACCATCACCTATACTTCTTCGCTCCTCCCACTCAATTCACAAATTGCCATGCCCGGTCCAACTACGCCCTCAAGGGCCATTGTCTCTAGCGGTCAAGGAACGCCTGGTTCCTGGAAACACCCCAAACTCGACGAAGTCTTGCGACGACAGGATGCCAGGTCCTTTTCTGATCGGCGGGTTTCACGGGCCCTCAAGAACATCGGCGCTTTGGGAACTACCTTTGTCGTTACCCATTTTTTCTATAATTCGTATGTATTCCTTATCGATATATGTGAAAGAAAGTTGTTAGATTATGTGTACTGATCAATACAATTTGTATAGACGCATCTACTCTAGTCTACCTAGAAATGATGTCGCCAATATCTTCTACCTCGGGATTTACTACCTAAGTATGCTCTTATCCGTGAAAACATGCAGAATACCTCGATATTATAGATACTGACCTTCGATTAGTCTTCATCGTTCGAATAATTCTCACCTACAACACCGTCTTCGCCATCATCGGCCCGCTTCTCGGCCCAGACCTAATGGCTGACATCCCTCTAACAGATGATCAACGTTCAACTCTCTCCCTCCCTCCAACCCCACATTCCACAATTACCAACCATGCTGGCGAAGTCTCCCAATACATTACCCCACCCCGTTACAACAGATCATCTCCTCTTCCTCAATCCCCGCTGTTAGCTCGTCCCACAACACCCACACAGTCCACTACCACTCCAGGCCGTACCTTCGCCAACGTCTCCGGTATATCTAATATCTCTGGATTCTCTAGTGTTTCTGGTGTCTCTAGTATCGGTTATTCTGGCAAACCTCGTGTTACTGCCGCAGGTTCACCAATTGGTCCTGGACAACTTTTGGGTTCACCTGGAAGTCTCAGATCTCCTAGTCCAGTTTTTAACACTCCCTCCCCGTTCAAGACTATCGGTTCTGGTCTGGAAAAAAGACATAGTTTCAGCAGTCCTATGGGCGCAGGCGCTAGAAACGGTATGATTGGACAAGGCAGTTTAGCGGGTGCATTGCAGGGGAACATGTCGCCTAGCGTGGTTGCCAGCGGGAAGTGGTTACACGAGCAGAAGAATCGAAGGCGCGATATCTTTTAAAACACCTTTCTAAATCAAATATCAATTCTAAAGGAAGAGGAAAAAGATGCTGCTGGTTATGCTGTTGGGACGTTAGGTGTATTTCGGCGTTTTGCTACCTTTGGCGGGTTTTGAAATGTCCTTTTCTCACGTTTCTTTTTTCTGTTATTAAACCTTTACGACCATTTTTTCATCCTGTTTGTTTAACGCGTGTAGTATTAGACGAGCTTTTCTCTCTTCTTCTTCCTTAGGAGGACGAACCGATACGCTCACCAGTCATAGGGAGTTAAGATCGGTCTTTCGTCTTCCTTACCAAGGGATTCTTCTTGTATCACGATTTTCAAATATTAACCTTCATCCAGTATATCCCGTATATCCTGTATACCTGTTATCCCATATCTTAGCTTAGTTCCCTCGCATTTTGGAGCATGTATATAGTGGATAGTATCAATATCAATCCATAGTATATTACAATACAATACCCCAGCCAGCATATGTACAAAAATAACCGCAATCCTAAAGATTATATAGGCTATTTCTTCGCCACCTTCTTCCCCTTCTTCTTCCCGCTATCACCATCCAAATCACCACCAAACAACATTCTGTTCTTCTTCCATCTGGTAACCACGCCCTCAACGCTACCCTTATCATGCCTAGGCATACGCATGTAATACAATTTAGCACGTCTAGCCCTCCTCTCCTTCCTCTCTACCAAATCAATACCAGCAATCTTCGGCGAATAGAGTTTATACCACATCTCGACACCGATTCTTGTCAGATGGTTTCTTAACAGGATAGCAGTATCTAGTCCTCTTCTTCGGATGTTTATTAATACACCAGCAAAGGGTTCTGTGTTTTTATCTTTAAACCTGATTTGGAGGATATCGCCGGGGAGGATGGAGTCCTTATTGTTACGGGAGAATAGACGTTGACGGAGACCCTTCGGGTCGAGGAGTTTTAGTTGGGTGGTTGTGAAGTTGGATAGGACGCTGTTTGGAGGGGCGGGGCAGGGGGGTTTGTAGACTTTGATTCTTTTCGGGGCTGTAGTTTTTTTATATACATGTTAGTATGATACTTTGTATGCACCTATGTATACACACACAGGGATAAGGAATTGAGGGACGTATAGGTAAAAGACGTACGAGGTTTTAGAGGATTTCTATTGATGGGCTTCTCTTTTACGGCCTTTTTGGTGCCCAGCTGGGCGAGCAGTTGGTCTAATGACTTTGGCATTGTGGCTAGGACACCCGGTGGTCGCGGTTGGATGATCTTGGGCTTTGGACCGACGGGGATTGCGTCCCGGAAGCGGGAGAGGGATGTTCGTAGCGACATAGTGTGCTCAGACTAGAAGTAAGCCGGGGAGGAGTTGTATTGTATTGGAAGTTACGACATTTGATGCTGATGTTGGTATTGATGTTGATATATTGAAGGTTTGGAGTTGAAGTTGGTACCGAAATTTTGACAAGGGTTCGGTAAACTTTTGACGTTCGACAACTTCAAACTCTTTCAAAACTTCAAAATTTTCAACGTCTCCAGTGGGTAACTACCACCGACCAACCCTTTTTTTTTCTTTTCGACATTAGAAAGACGTCCTTGAGAGGGACGGGGAGAAGTCAATTGCTTCTCCTAAGGTTTTGAAAGGGAAAAAAAGGAGGAGGAGGAAGGATGTCTGCTAAAACTTTCGGCCGCGCTTTGAGGACACGGAGGGCTTCGGTTCACGATGTCTGCCACTCCAGTCTTCTATCGACGACTTCAATAACACGGCCTACTCTTTGTTCATGTGATATAAATACGACTTCATCATCTTCATCTTCATCATCTTCAACCCGGGAATTCTCGACATCATCGTCCCTCTCCGCCTCGAAACAAGCTATCCGCGAACAAAGAATCGCAAAAAGTACCCCTCCAACCCCCACCCTTATATATACTAGTATTTAAAGATCAAAAGCTAACGACTATATTAACATCCAGCTCCCCTCCCTTTCTTCCCCAAAACCTACAATCAACCCCTCGATGCCTTAATGCACTCCGTCCACCGTGACCAATTCCTCATCGATCACCTCCCAGACCACTACCAACGTCTCGTAGTCCGTACAAAGCGTCACCACGTCCTAGCCCAACAAGCCGGCCAACAAGCCTTTGCTAGAGGAACGAACCCTTCAAATGCCACTTTAACAATCACTTTAAACGGCCAAACCCTTCCTTTACGTCCTCTGAAACACCGAACCCTCCACGGTTCAAAAACACTAACTCGAGCTCTAAATCTAATCAATTCACCATCCGAATACGATCTATTACCAGGATTAGTCCAGGGTTTTGGATCTTCAAAGATTCATATCGATCCCGGACAATGGAAGAATCTTATCCGACAGTGTGGATTGGCGGGTAGACCTGGTGTTGCTATCAAAATAGCCCACGACGGGATAGTTTTCCGTAAAAATGGGTTCAGTTATACTCAGGGCTCCCTAAGAGAAATGGTTCGAGCACAATTCGTTCGGTTCTTGATTCCCGAAAAATCCCATGCTGAGAAATCGGTTAGGCGGGCTAGGGGGGTGGTTAGTTTGGCCGGACGCTGGAAAGAACAATATGATGACGTTAGGAGGAAGAAGAGAACGGAAGAACGTGCTCCGGAGTGGTTGGCTGTCGATCCAGTTGTTCGAGGTTCCTTACTATTCTTACAAGCAGGGAAGGTCGTCAGATGGGATGAAGGCAAAGAAACCAATCTCGAAAAAGGAGGGGTTGTGGCCGATATCAAATCACTCATGGAATGTTGGGATCTGGCCGCTGCAGAGATTGAGTTGATCAACAAGGAACTCCAGGAAGCCCCCGAGACCACAAAGAATACGGAGGACAGAGCGGCATATGCTATCGCTCGAGAGGCGATTAGGGATTGGGAACCTGTATTGCAGGGGTTACAATGGGCACAGTCGGTTATGCATAAAACCGGCTTGAAGGATGTGACGATAGGGACTTGGTTGCCTGCGGCTAGTACATTGGTTTCTGGAGCGATCAACCAATGGAGACCCGTAGCTGTTAGTCACGGGAAGGGAAAGAGAATTGGGATGGAGATTTATGAAGGGGCGTATGCAGACCTCGACGGTTGGTATGAGAAGGATTTGGAAGGGAAGGATGAGAATGTGGTAAAGGATAGGATCGTTCTGGTGGAGAAGAGCGAGGATGAGGAGTAAATATTACTATGCTGTTTTTGTTACTGTACATACGTAAACTACCGATATACTATAAGTAAGGGATTTTGTATACTGTATAAATTAAGAATCTGCCCGCCTTCGATTCTGACTGTTATTTTGTACAACTATCAACATACATATCCACAGGAGAAAAAAGGCCGGGAAGTGAACTTCAAGATTTCTGCCATTAAATCATACTATATATATTTGTATCAATCGCCAAATAAAAGAGAAAGAGAAAAAAAGAAACATCAACCCGTACAGTCTCTCTAGTCTAGTCAGCCTCCCACTAAGAAACTTTCCCCCCAAAAAAGTCCGTTCAAAGAAACAGGACGACATAACTCGTTATCTTCATATATCATCAAACGAGACTTCAAGATATATAAATACACCTATATTTCACCCCCGCTTCCACCAGCTAAAGGCCCATATATCGAATGAACGAATGAGCAGAGCGAGCGAATGTATTATCTCTCCTCTAACTAATCTGCATACTCCTCCTCTTCTTCATCTCGATGGACCCTTCCTTCTCCGCATAAGCCCAATACTGATATCCCAATGTCAAATCAAACATAAACTGACACAACCCACAAAGCTTAAAAACCATGGGAGTTTTACTATAAGTAAAGAAAACACCCTTGAGCAGATCACCGAGTAACCAGAAGACTATAACGGAGACTCGAAATCCCTTGCAGGATTGATTTCGGTAGTTTGCAATGACTTGGGGGATTGGTAAGGTGGCTTCGATTCCCAATGCTAGGTATCCGAGGATGGAAACAAAAAAGGTCGAGGTGCCGAAGAGAAGTTGGAGGATCCCGACGGTGGTTACGAAGTAAAGGAGGAACTACACCAAGATTAATTAGCATATATATACTTACTTGTATATGTAGTATAGGATGGACAATTGAGACAGCACATACCTCCCAGAAGGGCCGCTGCTGCCGCCACTGCCAAAAGTTATAGGGGCGTTCCGCATCGTGTCCGTTAATACTCGAAAAGGGAACCCCTGCTTCAGCTGCCTTGCTAGGACGGTGGTCCAGGGCGACTTTAAGCAGTATAGTCTGCACGAATACCATAATCACACCTATAGTCACCCCCAGTCTCAGCAATTGTGATACTTAATATTCCACGAAATTATTTTTGGAAGGGGATGTACTTTGGACTAGCAGGGAGAACTCAAAGTTTATGCCGAACCAGTAGTATATGCGCAGGATTGAGGCGACAAGCATAATGAGAGGGATGTCGAGGGAGAAGCCAAGCGACGACCGTTGGGAGTGAATGCTCCATATCTACCATCATCACCACCACCATAATCATAACGTTCTTAGTATACTCGGTACAACCATGACTACTGTCATAACCATCACAAAAGCCATCACTATCACCACAACCACGACGGGCTAGGGGGAAAAGAAAGAGGTACCTGGTCGGCATAGCTGGTCACCGGTGAGGTGATAAGGAAGGCGGGAGCGACATACTCCACGAGGAGTTGGACAGCACCCATCCCAGAGCGCTCGCTAGCTTCCCGTCGGTTTGTTATCCGCTTAGTTCTTTAATAGTCTGCGTGCGAGAGTAGGTCGGGTAAAGGTATATATTTCTCTATCTGTTAGGTAATCTGCGGGTCCAAACGGATAGCTTCTTTTTTCCTTCTCTTTTTTTCGACTGTTGCTATTACTCAAGACCAACTAGGCAGTGTATGGAATTAGAGACCGGCGGGGAGTTATTTGTAGGATCTAGTTGGAAGGAACGGAAGGATGTATGGGGGGATGTACGGGTAGTTGTGATAGTTCAGTTGGAATCCATGTTGTGTGTCTCTGTTTGGTGAAGTTTTGGGGAGTCGCGAGAGCAAGAATGGCAGATAAAACAGGGTAATTGGATGGAGATTCTTGTGACCTAACTAAAGAACAATAAAAGGCCAACTTGCCGCTAACAGCGGAACTCGCTAAGTCATTACTTTTTTACATCCAAACAAACTTCGGTCGTAATCACATCCCGGTTAATAGTATAATAGTCTAACTGCTTCTAATACAATAGCCGTAGACATGAGTGTACCTTCTTACCTTGGTGGTATCGTGGTACAGTGCAGTGCAGTGGTATAGTATGGAGAAGTATAGTATAGGATGGAGAAGTTGGTATATATTGGGGACAGCAGGGGCAGCTGGAGCAGCAGGGGCAGCACGGTAACTGGGCAGTCGGGTCAGATGTTGTGGACTGCCACTTCATCATGCACCATCTGTGACATCGAGGCCACCCCGTCGTCAAGTCAAAGAACAGTACTGTATGATAGTATCAGAGTATGAAGGTACAATGATATGACGATGGGGAGGAGATGCCCATCTCCTGCGGCAACTCCGTCGGTCCTTTGTTTACTTCCTGCGCAACCAACCCACATCCCCATCCCCCCTCTATTCATTAGTATAAGGTCGGTAGACAGGTAGATACCTTCTTAGATGCTAGACATCTTTCCCAGTTCCGTCGACCGCGACATACATCTCAATACTCTCTCGACATTACCAGGCTCCTCCTTATCATTAATATTCTTGTTGAGATCCCTACACAAGACAACCTAAATACAGTCCAATCAGAGTCACCATGAGCACCGGACCCTCCCGTTCGCAGCCTCGTCGCCCTGCTAACCCCCCTCCCTCTTCTTCCACCCAGTCAATCTCAACCTCAACCGCAACCACCGCTGCCACCACATCATCCCACCGTCGCCGCCACTCTCTGCCCCCGGCTAACAAGCTAGCCTCTATTCTCTCCTTCTGGTCAAACTCAAACGCTTCCGACGATCCTCTCCGTCTCGCCGGTGAACGACTTTCCCGTCCTCGCTCGACTTCCCAGAAACAGACATCAGCCTCTTCTGTCTCGAGTCGTCGTCGCAACCGTCGCAACTCAAAATCCAAATATTCTTCTTCCTCCCCGCCACCACCACCACCGCCACTTCCTGCCCATCCCGCGCCACCCCTTCCAGCTCCTCCTTCGACGACTTCCTCTGCAACTGTCGCGAAACCCGTTGTCACCCAACCGGTCTTAGTCCGTGCCTACTCCCCTCGTCCCGAGAGTACCGTGACAACCACTATCCCCGAAGTCGACGAGTCGGAGCGTGTGCCTCTCCCCGCTATCACCGAGTTCTCCTTTACTGGCATCCTCAAAGCCATCGATCCGAAAGGTATTTATATTCTCCATATCCTCTTTTCTTTATCTAATACATTCTAACATCGATTTAAAAGTCACTCGCACCATCGAGACAATAACCCACCTCTCAACTACCTACCGCTCAAATCTGACCCACGAGACCGACCTATTGATCACTCACCAAAAATCAATTGAATCCCAAATCCTCCTCGCCGAACGTCTCTCCACCCAGGTTCTAAAGACAACTACCACCCGTTCCGACCGTCTAAAATCAGAAGCTCCCTTCAAAAATGGCGTGGCCGTCGAAGATCTCGCTCAAAGCGCCGAAACAGCTTATTCTACCATCGAAAATATCATAGCTACACTAGAAGCTATCGACGAAATGTTACCAGAGGAAGAAAAACTCGGTAAATGGGATTCGGTACATAAACGTCATTTCCCATATACTCATTCCTTACTTGTCGCCAAGACGGCCGATACTACTGTTAAACGACTGGGAGGGAATGGTATGCAGATGAGTAGCAGTGTTGCCGTCCCATCGCCTCTGAGCCCTCGTATGACAAGCTCTAATAGCTTTTCCAACAACCATGCGTTGATGGGTGATACTGCGACGAATAGTGGTGGTAGTTGGTTGATTAGACGGAGGAGGGAAGGCAGTAATGCTGGTCTTCCATCCAATCTACCATATTTAAGTCCTAACGGCCCACCCATGACGGCCGAGGAAAGAAGATTATCGTCACCACCTGCTCTATTACTCAGAACTGTTCATCCCGGCGCCGCGTCGATTAGGAGTAGCAGCGCAAAGGATGTAGCGGTCCCACAAGTTGCAAGTCCCAGTCCTTATCATGTTCGCAGGCAAAGCTTGGTGACGAATATACCTGTCAGAGAAAGGGACAGTTTGAGCGTGGCTAGTAATGCAGGAGGAAGTACCAGAAGCAGCTTTAGTTTCAAAAACCTGCTCTGGGGAGGAGGATGGAAGAAAGGTGCTGGCAGTGGGAAGAGTGTCGGAGGGAGTAGTGTGGCGGGCAGTGAGAATGGAGAAACGGCAGAGGAGAAATTGAGAAGAATTATTCAGGAACAGACGAGGAAGAGGTTGATGTTAGACAAGAAGGGAGCTGGGCTGTCGAGTAGTTTGCCCATGTAGTCTTTGGCCGGAATTACTAATGAAGTCTCGCAAGTCTTTCTTTCTTGCTTTGGGTGAAATAGGGAATTAAATTGATACTGGCGAGATGATGATGATATGAAGCATGGCTTGGATATGATACGATATAATGACGGAGGGGTGTTCAGCGGGTGGATTTCTGCTTTTTTTGTTATGCTGGCCATTATATTTTATCCTTAGCGGGAGCGTGTACAAATTATCCTCTATTCTTATAACAGAACCCTTATAACTCTCAGGCAGAGGCAGTATTTAAATTCTAAAATCCAAATCACTATCCGATAAATATCCTCTCTATGAGGTAGTAATTAACATTCGGTCGACCTTATCGATAGAGGCGACTTTTGACTTTTTTGCCAATCAAAACTATTAGCGGCGTCCCAAAACTCGTTAAAGTCGGGCAGCCCGCCTAAACTTTTTTTTCCCGGCCGCAAAAACCCTTTCGCCAGCGATTTCCTTCGGTCCCCTCCATACAAACCGACTCCACAACAGAGATCTCAAACCCTCAAAAGAAACAAAAAACAACAGCCATGGCTTTCCCAGGCGGTGGTATGCCGGGTATGGGTCCCTTTGGACGACCTACTGGTGGTGGAGGCGGTGGAGCTGCAACTCCAGACTTTAACAACTTGAGTCCCGAGCAACAGCAGGCGGTTATGGTTAAGCAGGTTAGTAGTCCAGCTACCACTTTGTTTCTTTCTACTTCGGATTATTGAGGCCCAGATGCTAACAGGAAATCTTGAGAGTTAGATGCAAGCAGCGATGGAATCGTGTCCTGTAAAAACCGTGATATCGGGTGGTATGGGTTTCGCTCTTGGTGGAGTGTTTGGACTCTTCATGGCTTCGGTACTTTCTTTCTCCCTTCCCTCCGACTGCCCTTCCTACTCCTTCCGCCATCTCCCACTAACTCGTTGATAATTCTATATAGATGTCCTATGATACAATGTACGCGACAAATACCAAACTCTCCGACCTCCCCTGGCGACAACAAGTAAGGGCTGGGTTTAAAGACATGGGATCTCGCTCCTGGAGTTCAGCGAAGGGTTTCGGAATGGTCGGGGCCTTATTCGCGGGTACGGAATGTGTGATTGAAAGTTATAGAGCGAAGAACGATTTGGTCAATCCGATTCTGGCTGGTTGTGCTACCGGCGGTATTTTGGGAGCTAGTGGGGGCCCGACGGCTAGCGCTTTTGGATGTGCGGGTTTTGCTGCTGTATGTTTTTCTTTCTTTCTTTCTTCTCTTTTTTTAAGATTTGAAATGGAGATGCTAACGAAGATTGGGGGTGTATAGTTCAGTACTGCTATTGAGTATTATTTACGACATGGTTAGAGGGGGTTTTCGAACTAAGACGACACCGACGGACAGCTGTTTTACGGATTCAAAGCTACGAAACGGATATACAAACGATATTCACTCCACCCCGAAGTAATATTTCTCCCAGTTCTCATTTGATCGAACGAAGCTCTCTACTCGGTTAATAAAGACGGGGAAGACATCGAAACCAGCCGCCCACCCGAAGATTCATTTCGACTGTACATTTTCTATTTCTTTTTCCCCCCTCCCAAGTAACCAACGGGTTTAACATTGCAATCCCTGGGACCCGGCGTTAAAATCCTTTTATTCGTATAAAATCACTAGGGTATCTTTGGGTGCTGGAGTACATGAACTTTTTTCTTCTCTGGGAATATGCTTTGTATACATACCTCTTTTTTTTTTTTTTGCCTCTAGATCTCTCCTCAGAACCGAACTAGCCTTTTTTTGAATCGGTTTCTTCCTTTTATTTTGTTTATGTACATAGATAGAAACGTATGAAGGAGGCGGGGTGTATATATATATCTACTAAAGTATATATTCCATATGATGGTATCACGAATATCTCTCTAAATCTTCCCTTGTAACTCTAACAACCTCCCGATTCCGAAGACCAACCTCTAGCCCTTCCAGTTCTTCCCCATTAGAAACTCTACCTCCTCCTAACCAACCCTACAACAGGTATCACAACCTTCCTAGCAAACCACGGCGCCGCCCAAACGCTTCCCAAAACCCTTATCGGCATCAAAGCCTTCACCACCGCCCAAGCTATCGCTAAACCCATAACCCCCCTCCCATCGATCCATTTCTCCAACCCTTTCTTTTCTATATACCTTTTAAATCGGGTATACCCCGTTTCTATCCATTCTGCGGGGAGTAGGTCGGCTGGGTTCCAGGATGTTAGGTTGAAGAAGGTGAATAAGGTGAACAGAGGGATGATGGCGGTTAGTTCGTGGAGGATTAGGAATGAGGTTAGGTGGGAGGCTGGGTGGGAGAGGAGGGGGCGGGTGTAGGGGTGGAGGTATTTGGGGACTTTTTGATATATGAGAGAAGGTTAGACTGTGTGGACTAATTGAGTAAGGTATATGTATAGAAGTATTATACTTACGTTTTGAGATTATGCGGTCTGCACGTGATGGTGGGGGAGGTGATGGTGGTGGGGTTGATAAGCGGCGGAAAGAAGGTTTTGGTTTGATTAAAGAGGGCGATAGGATTGGGGATCGAGGTTTTAAACGGGAGATGGATCTCAATGTTGAGAACATCTTTGGATCGATCTTTGAAGTTGAGACCAGCTAGACGTCTAGTTATCGACGTCGACGTCGCAAAAAGCTATCTCGAAATATCTCTAAATTGTTGGATTTTAACAAGCCAAGTCGCGTTGTCACATTCGCAGTGGGCATGCAATCCCGGCCAGTTCCTTCGATCTCCGCTTCGATCGGAAACGGTTCGAACAAAAAAACAAAAAGACCAAACGAAAAACGAAAAAGAAAGCTGGAAATAAGATACGTCCCAATAAGCCGGATTTAGTCTACCCTCGAGGACCGGACGGCGGCGAAGTGGGAAAGACAGTCGAATGATAGGATCTCAAGACCCGCTTCGCACACCCTCATTCTTTCGCCAATATCGCCTCTTCAAAGTCTGGTTGGCTATAAATCATGCCGCCAAGCCGAATTCGCCTAGGGTCATCTTTAGTAGCAAACTTTCTGGTGCAATTCTGCAGGCAATTAATGCATGCAGTCCTTTGGGCTGGCAACAAGCAGAGAAGAAGAAAAGCACCTGCGAGCTCTTAAACGTTTAAACGTGGAGAAGAGTACTTTGGTTTTTTCTTGCTATAGCCCAGATGCATTCTATACGAACTAATTGTGGATTCTTTTTTCTCCCACTCTGTTAATGTGAGAGAGGTGTTAAAATTGGGTGGTCTCAGATTCTTATATGCAATGTCCGGCTTGGTTTATGTACTACAGTTTCCGGATTTGAGGCGGCTGATGTGGTAGAAGGAAGGGAAAGAAGGCCGAATGGAAACGCCTTGGAATTCCTGGCGTGAGCTGGGAACGAGTGAGTGAGGGGAAAGCCCATGGCCAGTCACCTGTCTCTCGTACATAAACAGCAGCTGGGGCCCTGCCTGAACCCGAAGAGATGGTTCTTGGAGACGGATTTCCATTCCTCCTCCAAAAGCAATAAACAGTAACTCGTGATCTTTATTGATTATTGAAGATCTACGACCATCTAGCATTCACTATTATACTACCAAATAATAATAACTCTTTACTTTACTATTCCAGAGGGGTGTTGGATTACTCGTGTATCGCTCACGGCGGGAGGGGAGATTTGGGGGAGACATTCGAGTTCTCATACCTGAGCTGAGAGGTATCTAAGCTAAGCTCCGACTTGACACGATAATCAGTGATTTCGGAACGACTTCCTCCTCAAACCGCCTATTCTCCTCTAAATTTTGACCCGCTGGATTCATCCAAATTCGAGTCATCAACTGCTCTATATAACTGAGTGGCAAAGGACGACCTAGGACCTTCACCTATCCTTCCAGCAAAAAGGAGGATATGATTTATCTGTCATAATCTGGACTCCCTAATCCGAACCGTAACGATGACCCCTCTTCAACTTTCCGCTTCTTCAACTATACGACTTCCTCATATCAACCATCCTACCCTCACAAAATTCTCTCTTTCTAATATCAACTCCCCTCCTAGCCCTTCAATACCTCATTCGAAGTTCCACGGCTTCAGGGTGGGGATCATAGAATGGGACGACGTTGGCTGATACTCTGCCCCTAACCCTTTGCTCGACAAGCAAGGATAGGGATGTGCAGTCTGGTGCGCGAGACATATCTACCACTTTTTTTACACTTCTTTCTAAACCTGAGCTCTTTTTTTCCTCTTTTAAATTTCCTCCTATACCTTTTCTTTCTTCTCTTTCGAAAAACTCAACTAAACTAAACCACTAAACTTTTCTATTTGATAAACCATTTCATTGATTTTCTGGCGTCTTACTGGATACCATTATGTCACCTTTTTTTGAACCCCCCCACATTTTTTGGTTTAGCATAGCTAGTATAGGATTACGTATACAGCATATATACTATATAGCGGACATATGCATAGCTAAGCGTTCATTTTAATGATTTTTTCTTTCTTTCCTTTCTTCCTTTTCTTCTGCTAATAAAAGGGTTATTGGTCTATTCTTGAGGGACTTAGGATATAGTACTATAGTCTTTTAGCATCTTTCCTTTTCCGTTGTTTTTTTATTTTATTTTGTTTCGGGTTAAGCTTTGCAATTGGAGGGACTGGAAAGAGCCAATTTTGATTATCCAGTAATCTTTCATTTACCAGCTTGTCTGTTGCTACCCCCTTTGTGTCTTGGATTCTAAGGCTAGCTAGCTGTAAGCTCTAACTGTCTCAGTTTAACACTTTTCGGTTCGCATGCAAGTGTAACTCGAACGCTGATTCGAATAGACGGCGGCGTTGCATTTTGGATCTAAATTGTGTTGCACTTACCTCCATAAATTCCCTAGTTTTTGGAACAGAGGCTCCTACAGCTCGAGACCGCCTGCGGCCGGGAACGCCTAGTAGTCAATAAAAACTGAATTTTATGAGTTTACTCTAATCAGCTACGAGTTAATTGACATCTTTCGTTCAAACTTTTTTTTTTAAAAAAAACAATATATGGATAGTAAGCATTTTAGTCGAGAAAGTAACATAGCCTTGAAGCTTATGATTTTATACCCACGTCTAGACAAGCCCATTCATGTCCATATTATGTTTTCTAGGATGTATTGAATTAACAATAAAATCGCTCTAGAATTTATTAACTCATCAAAAGACTAAACTTGAAAATCTATGAGATATTTATAGGGGACTGGTCAGCGATATAGATCCAAAAGCAGTGCCAAGCTCAAGTAGAGATATAGATACAGAGGTAAGAGGGGGAGAGGGAGGTCCAACCCGGTATCCTGGACTTAGTATGCATTTTGCAAAACAAATTCATCACGTGTATTAGACTTTCATGCTAAATTCCTGGGGACCGATCTCGCACCTAGTTTGGATGTGTCTGTGTCACCCTGTTCGGACTTTTGAATGTCAAAGTTGTCACGTGCGGAAGTATTTATATCGGCTATGTGTACAATGCTTATGACCATGGTTTTGGGTTCATTAAAGCTATAGTTCCGATATCAATTAAATAAAAAATTGGTATTTTTGATCTCTAGAAACTATTAATACAATCAAGGTACCACCGATAAGAACAATTGTCCCGAAACTCCATGCTCCTCTATAATGCACCGCTCCCTAGAAAGAGAAAAAAAAAATCTCATAACTCCAAAGTAATAATAAGAATAAGAACCATACTAATTGAAGAACTCCCCCTTGATGGGATGTACCAAAGCCGTCGGCCAGCATGAATCGGGATTCTTCCTCGCTTTGTACCACTCGTCCCAAAACGGCTGTGAATGCGGATTTACAAAGAAATACTAAAATGTCATATTAGTCTCCATCTAGGACCCCCTTCAGGAAGTTTTCTTTTCAGATATATAAAACTTACAGTGCATCCAGTAGCAGCTTTCTCATACTGCACAGTCCTAGGATCGTTCTTCCCCAGCTCTTCAAGCTTCAATGAATGTCTTCCTGACGGAGTTTTCCTCGAACAATACAACGGATGTTGATAAAAGAACGTCGTCAAATCCTCCTTGTAAGCTATCGTTGGAGCGAAGTATTCGTAATAGCAATCCACGCCATTTGCGTTATACTCATTCATTTTCTCAATCAGCCGTCTTGACCAACCCCACATCGGCCCGATGGAAGTACGTAAATCCTCGTGTCCTCCAAAATCCTTGAGACATTTATCATCAAGCCATAACCATTTGTCGCTAGGTCGTTTGAGAGCTTCAAAGGTTACTAAATCAGGTGTTTCTGGCATGTCTTGGTCGGGCCCCTGGCGTTCTCGATGGGATTTGTATTCTTCGTCGACGTCAGTGAGGAACTGATCCCAGCGACCGATCAAACGAACATCTGATTCTATTGAGTAGATGAAGTCATATTGTTTGTTATTCGTAACGAACATTTGTAGTGCGAGATGATTATTTTCCATGATATTTTTGAATGGCGCGGTACCGTTCAACCAGTTTTTCACGTCTTTAGTAGAGAAGGTTTGCGTAAGGTTTCGAAATTCCGCTGGTACATGGTCTTTTATCCATTTCGTACGCTCGGAAGAAGATAGATCGGTATGGACGAGGAAAAAGACATCGTAGTTTACCAATCCTGCTTCGAGAACTACAGCGCGAGCGTGAAGATTGAATTCTTTTTTCCAAGGGTGACCGGTTGAGAGACGAACGATGAAGGCACGATTGTTGGTTGGTTTGTTATTATTGGAGATAAGATCTAGAACTTCTTGTGATGGGGAGGCATAAGGTTTGAAACGGGCTGTGTAGGACCAGCAGTCCTTGCGAGCGGGCGGCCGACCGACGGAGCGCCATTCTGTGATGTTTTTGACGCCGGTGAGGATTAAGCTATCACCGTCATTGATGCTGAGTCTTTCGGTGATAGGTGTCGGCGGGTTGAATACATTAGAGATTGAAGAAGGAATAGGCTTCTCTTCATTAATGGGTTCGAGGTTCTTTTGTGGTGGTTTAGGGACGACGGCTGCGGTGGTGGGGATAGACGAGTTTTCGGTAGCCACGAAATCCGGCGCACCCGGCAAATAAATTTTTATTGCGAGAAAGAAAACAAGAACAAAGAATGTCGCTGCTGCTACTGTAATAATATTTCGTAGTCGGCTTATTGGCGGTCTCCTTGCTGTTACCGGCGGGGGGAATTTCTGAGGGAGTGACATATGCATCGTGCAGTTGTTAAAGGAAGAAAGGACAAGCCTCTCTCGCACAAGCGGGGCGGAATATTAACGAGTGCGAGCGAAAACAATTACAAAAGTGAAAGAAAGAAGAGGAGCGGCGGACTAAATGGCATCGTCCGTTTATATTTTACGTAGTTCGCAGGCGGCGAAAAAAATAGATTGCTGAAAACTGGTCTGTTGGAATATCAAGAATCTGTAACATCAGTTGCGTGACACAACTACCATGCCGTAATATATAAAGGGAAGACAAGAATTTCAAGACGAAACTCCTGTATTCCTGTGCCACCGGGACTCCTGGGTCTTTAAAGGTGCTCAAAAGGCACAGATTGGGCGATTAAATTGCCCGTTTCGAGGGGTGTGCTGACTAGTGAAATGTTGGATTGGATGTTGGATGTTTGGGCGACAACTCTGCGCCGAGGCCATGCATGGCGTCGACAACCCTTCCTGCGTTGGGTTTGTGGTATTTTCATAGCAGCTAATTCTAATATTGAAGTTAGAAATGTCCTCGTTCTTCCTTCTTTTCAAGATGGAATCTATCTAAAAATATTATAAGATTTTTCAGGCGGCTATTCAATCCAGAAATACTTTCCGGAGCCCTTTTTTTTTGAACATGAAAAACCCTATTACCCACGAAATAATTGTATGGTGTGCAATGAACCGAACTGCCCCTCTGCCAGGCAGTCTGCATACCGCTCGGATTTTCTTTCGTACATCCGGTGTCATAAGCGAATACTACTATACTACCTCTATTAAGTCAAGGTTTCTACTGTGCCGCGCTTCTGCGTGTGCTTGGCCAGGGTCTGTCATGTGGGGGGCCGCCCCTCGTGAGATCCAATCAAAAGGACGATATGAATAGCGAAAACCCTGAACTTCGAGGCGCCCTGCAGAAATGATGTGAGATAATGTTTTAAATGGGGACATGTAATAGACATCGTTCATTGTTGCTCAGGGCGCCATGGATTATGATTTCTTGTAAAATTAAAAACGATTTACGTGAGTGGCAAGGATCCATGCGCATGAGATTAGGAGCGCGAGCATGGGGCGTATCACACTTGGCGATAAGGTGATAGAGCAATCAAGACCCTTCGGCTTTTGTTTTAACGTTTCTAGAACCGCCCCTGTGATTTCGTACTCGGAACCTCGGAACCTAGGTATATACGCCAATTGAGAAGTATCTTAATGATAGTTAACTGGTTGATATATCGGTGGCGGTATTTTCTCCCTCCCCACATGCATACCAGCGTCGAATTTTGTTACCAGTACCAGTAGCATCATACAAACCTGGTAAGCTAAGCTTGGCTTTCGAATTACCTTCAAAATACAAAATCTAAATTACTGTCTAACGCATGTTGATCAAAAATTGAGCAATTGCCCATGCTGATAGCGATTATTCTGCGAACATTAAAGATTTGGATTGTGACAAAATAACAAGCGCTTAGGCCCTTAATTGAATTGAATTATATATAGCCCTTTGATATTATGGTGCTACACTATTTTGAATATTTATGACTGCGATATCGAGCCACTCTTCAGTTGAGATTAAAGAAGCCACCGGCACATATACCGGATCATTGTTAGAGTAGATACAAACATAGTGCTATGACTAAATGTAGCGCAACTTTTGGATCCTTGGGAGATATTTAAATAGGAATTTATACTTTGATCAAAACCTTCCCAGTCGAACGGCCAAGTCTGTCAAAAGCTTTTTGATAATCATCCAAAGAAAACGTGCTGTCAATCACCATCCTTACTTTCCCTTCTTCGAGGAATTTACCAACGTGTAGAATATCAGATCCTCTGGGCTCCATAATGAAGAAGTAGTTCGTAACATCCTTAGCGGTGCAACCCTCAGGTTTTCTCGGCTCCGTAGGCTCCACAATGGAAATGAGTTTCCCTCCATCTTTTACACAGTTCCATGATTGCGCCAAAGACTCACCGCCCTTGCAATCAATAACCAAATCCACCTTTCGGCTCTCATCTTCTGCGATCCATTCATTCAAACTTTGTTTTTTATAGTCGATAACCTCAGTGGCTCCAAGCTCTTTAACCAATTCCACGTTTGGAGTACCGCAAACCCCAACAATACCGCCAACACCAGCTTCTCTGGCAAGTTGGAGCAACCAAACACCAACTCCACCGCTGGCGGCTATGACAAGAATTCTTTTCGAGGCATTCGCCTTCCTTCCTTCTTCGCCTGCATCGAATCCCGCAAGGCCACCTTGGTCAAAAAGTGCTTGGAAGGCGGTAATAGCACTAAGTGGGACACTAGCCGCCTCTACAGGGTCAAGAGACTTTGGCCGGAGCGCAAGCTCCTCCGTGTAAGCAACCGTATACTCTCGTGCATTGCCGGAATGAGAAACAGCCGTTCGGCCCCAAATCTCAGATCCCGCAGGAAATGGGGAGTTTGCAGGAGCTTTTACAACGACTCCCGAAAGGTCGTAACAGGGGACGATTTTGGGATCCTTCCCGTAGTAGCTTAGCGCAAAAGAAGGCCAGAGAAGTTCGCCCGCACAAGGAGAGGTAGCGTGGACTTTGATCAGATGCTCATTGGAATCTGGGGTAATTGTGGGGAGAGGAACGGTGGTGAGTATGACCTCGGCCTTGTTTGGGTCGGGTTGGGAGAGAGTACGAATAGTTGATGGAAGGCTAGACATCTTATTGTAATTTCGTTGGCTGAGTTGGCTCTGAAGTTTTATTTTATATGGAGGATTTAGTTGTGATGCAAATGACTTGTTGAGTATGAAATTGTTTGGATGGTGATTAAGTGAAAACTGCTTCTAGCGGGTATCAAACTGTTCTTATATACACATGCTCTTGAGGCTATTAACATTATAGTAATTCATCAATGCTATTGTGAAGTCCGTCAGTGAAAACCCGCGATCCGGCATATTTTCGTGAGGCAGCCTGCGCCGTGTTGGAAATGTTCAAGGCCACCAAAAACTTCGGCCTAAAATCAGCCATCAACGCTTGCTGCTGACAGTAGATGCTTGTCGTAGGTACAAAAAGTCGAAAGTTAAGGAGTTTTCCCAGGAGATTCGGAGATAGTTTACGAAATTATAACGACATCTCGACGGTTTAAGCCGCTTGGTAAGCTGAGTAAACAATTAATCTAGCGTCAAGCTAGTTGTAAGTCAACGCACATGCATGCGGCTTACTCGACCGAGATGTTGGAATATGACGATCTAACTGCATGAGGCGAGCTCCATGATCCCGGTCTTCGGCTCGCTAGCCAATCGAATTTGGTATAGTGCACCCGGGGTTCCGAATCTTGATGAATAATAGAAACTCTAGAACATTAAACTGACCTCAGCGTCCATAGGCGCGCCTGTCCCAAGGGCGCGGGGACCTATCCCTTCGGCCGTATCTCTCCAGCAGTGCCTTCATGGCGGACGCTGCGGTAGCGGAGGCAAAATCTTGCCAATTTTTGCTCTTATGACTATCACAATAGTCACAGACTCCCTTGATAATGATACAGGATAAGTTGTCCCATACACCTGCGCCTTCCATTTCAAAAGCAATAATGTTATCTTCCTTCGAAATCCTGTCGCGTTCTTGGCTGGAACGCATGACTGTATCACCAGATCCTACAGTCCCAATATGCACGTACGGTTGCTGTATTTCGCCTGCTAGTTCTGTGGATTGAAGCTTCTCATCTAACCTTCTTCGGTGCACAAGGTGCTTCTCATCGCAAAGCAGCTCGCTGCATGCAGCACCCGTCATGGCCCTGTCGCAGGTGTCGTCTGAATCTACATTGCAATGATTGCAGGTATCGCAGTTAAAAGAAGTATGGTGCTTATGTCGGTACGAGGATTCGAAAAGCTTATCCTTGTCTGCCCCTGGATAGTCGTATTTACCTCGAAGTTTCCGGCGCCTCTGAGCTCTTCTCTGGAGCTCTTCTAGATGATGTAAAGTCCGTCGTTCCAGGATCTCCGACCCGTCGTTCGTACTCAATGCCGCTAGCAGACCACGGACATCGGTATTTGCTCTTCCGAGGGATTCACTGAAGTTATTCTTGCGTTGAAACTTATTGGTGTAACGTCTTCCAAAGTCGTATTGTACAATGGATCCACTTATGATAACATCTCCGAGGATTATTTCCTGGCCATTGTAGAAGGGCACACCTCCGCAGATTCCAACAATGAGAGCTATTTCAATGCCACGAAAACTGGATCGGAAACCGGAGGCAACGTTGGCCGCGTTTGCCTTCCCCATGCCTGGTAGAAGTGCAAGGACCACATTATATCTACCAATTCTTCCAGTTCTGTAAGTGTTCTGATCTTCTGGTGCCCTTCCATATCCATCGCCGTCGTCATCCCAAAACTCGTCAATGAGAAGGGCGACTGCATCATATTCGGGCTTAACGGCACATATTATTGCAATCTCAAAATCATCGCGACTTTCAGGCCTTTCGATAGACCAAGAGCTTCGGGCTTCGGATATGCAGGAATCTGGTGTGTGAGAGCGTGTTTCTGGAGTGATATTTGGCCAGGTACGTTCGCTAAGTGTATCTTCGTCTGCAAGAGACATTGTAATGTTTGGCCTCGCTGGCGGACTCATTTCAACTCGGGAGGTTGAATATTCAAAAGAAGAACGGCGACTAGAGTCACTTTGGCATGTGATATTGTAGTCTTTTTGATACGGGTGTGCCTTGATCTCGGGGCCATCGTCGACGACCTGAAGCATTGTTTCTTCGCTACTTGAAGAACCGGAAAGCTTTAGGAGATGTTTCAGTGGGAAAACAATTTCTCTGTAGATGATGTCCCGTCGCATATTAATCCCATCGTTTGGATTGTCCTCATCGAAGGGTGCTTCTTTGAAAAGTTTCCCATCTAAGCACTTTTTGATCACCTCTTTATAGATGACATTGCAATCTAGAGCTGCTCCGAGAGTAAGATTCCATGCATACTTGTAGTACTCTTTTATTTTTGCAAACCCATAGGGTTCATGGTTCTGTTCGTCATAAGGCCGGCCTTGAATGATTTCAATGAGCAGAATTGCAAGGGCGAGGATGTTTGGGTATCGATGAAGTAGAATTCCGTCTGGACAATACTCTGGGTTTTCTGATTTCTCATCGTTGAATTTCGGATGATAGTACGGATTGTAAGAAGCGATTTTTTTAGACTTGTCCGCCGACTGCTGCTCTTCCAAAAATTGGATGTCATCGTGGGTCCAGGGTTGTCTCATCCAATCTGAGCCGTAGTACTGCCATACCGACTTTGCGAGGACATACGCTAGGTAGAACCTTTCCTTTGTCGTCATTTTGTTCCCGATTTTGTATAAAACATTTGTCAGAGAAAGGCTCTGAACAAGCTTGACATTCCTAGTGGGGCGGCCCGTAAGATCGCAAGTCCTTAATACAGGGTCGGCGCTTTCGAAAACAAGGTTGAAACGGATGCAATAGCCGATCTTTGCCCCAAGATGACGGCAAAATTCCCCAAGAGACAGCTCTGTGCCTTCAACTTGCACAGGTGCCCTTTTGGGTTTCTGCCCCTTCTTTTTCTGAGGCCGATTTCTTGATACCATTAACATCGTTTCGTGCCATATTTCGCAGTCTGGGGTGCCACGGGTGAGAGCCGGAGAAGCAGGGAAAAGGACTTCAAATGGAATCTGTGACCCTTCATGCTCCTCTATAGAATCTAGCCTCAATCTTGCGGATTTTAGATGTTGAGGGGAACATCCACAGATGGTATGCATATCGAGCGTAACGTATAGAGCCTCATTGACGTGTTGAGGGTATCCGGGGACGTTATCTTTCTTGCTATCTGGTGAAGAAGCCAGACCCATATCTTCTGATGTAAGATCCTTTATTGTCTGGGTCTGCTCCAAGACGGTCAATAAAGCTTCGAATTCGTGACCTCTTGAGAAGAAATCCTTGAGTCCGCGATGTACGTCGACACTCGCCATCTTTAAAGCCCTCACGAGGCCTTTCCGTTTAGCTATTGCAATTCCATTTAATGTTGTATGACCTTTTGTTCCTGCGTTCTTTGGCCACTAGTTCGGAATTTTATTTTAGTAGCCTGATAGTTTATTATTCGAGAAGACGGTATAATATTGCTTTACTAACCATACACGCCTTTTCAAGTATATCGAGTGACGCCCCAATCTTAGCCTCGAAAACGGTCGCCTGGCGGCTAGATAGTGTTGTGACATCTTTTAGGATAATAATGTAAAGTAGACTTCCGAGTTTCCCGAATCCACGATTCTTCGTTTCGACAGCTAATTTGAGCGCGACTTCGCTGATGGTTGGAAAGGCCTCTTGGGCAAGTTCAAGCGGTGTGAATTCCCCTGTCAACATTGTGGGACGAAGTGTCTGGGCCCACCGTGCTTGCCCCTAATCGCCTTAACTGCAGGGCGCGCCCTTTACCGTGGTAAATCTCGCACTAGAGGCACAAGAAATCCGGATTAATCAGGCTAGACCAGGGAAGTTTCGAAAGCATATCGAAGTTGGAGATGGATTGCAATATATGAATATTGTCGAGGGAGGCGCTGGATGGAATCCTCGACCATGACCGTGCGGGGCTCCATGCATTGTTCAACATGCATGACAGCCTTGCATACCCTGGCGCTTCACAACCGTGTTTATCTTACCCCCACGGCGGGGCATAATTCCGAATATTAGGTCTTGAGGCTTCAACCATCATTAATTCCACACGGTGATAGCGTTCGATCAGCCGGATAAACTCGCCAGAATAGTACGAAGTAGAGGACTCCGTTTTTCAATTTGGGATCCTCACCACAGTTCTCAAATGCATGGATACGGATATTGACTCTGCTCAACAAGGAACGCAAACGCAATATAGCTATAGTCGGTGTCCACGATACCGCTTTAGATGTTCGAATCACAGCCTATTCGTGCGGCGACGGCCGAATGTCGAAAGTCTCTTTCTACATGTTTAGCTGTCCCACGGCTCAAGGAGGGAGGATGGGCGGAGAATCGACTCATCGACTTCAACCTATGGGCAGCTGGGGCTGGTGTTTCCGCCAAGGGAAAACTCTCCCTCGACCAGAGGCTCTCTACCAAGCCGGACGTACAAAGCACATTAGTCAATCTATTAAAACTTTTACAAATGTTTGTAGAAGATTGTCGAGATCTCGGTAACTCTTTTTTACTATCTTTCGAAAGTTGACCATATGGCTGACTGGACCTGCTCGGCTTCTAGCAAAGGATGTCGACAGTGCTCTTGATAAGGTTACTGATCAGAAGGCAGAGCCTGAGAGTAATGTGGACTCGATGGTGGAGAGGGTGGACGAAAACCTCCCCGTTGAGCTATCACCTAAGGAAGCCGAAGCTCAACGAGATGTGGAAGTTACTCTTGATCAAATCATAAGACTCACTGTTGCAATCCGTAAAGCGGGTTCGAGCTCACGCCTGAAACGGGCGGATAAAAGTTTTGATTTAGACAGCCCGAAAATACAAGAGTTAAGGGGATTTTTGGAGCTCATAATGCATCCCAAGGGCCCCAAGGAAGAGGGACAATTAAATCCCATTCAATCACGATTGGTTGAAGCTAATCTACGTCGATGGCATAGATTCTCTTACGCCAAACTTCATTCAAAAAAACTAGCACGTTCAGATACGGCTCCGATGGAAGTAATACCAGAGAACCCAAATTCAACCTTAGAGTACAAACCCCAAGCTGGCTCAAAGCCAGCGGTTTCTTTTGACATTCCGGAAACGAATATGGCCTTACAAGTTTCGATTGTTGTCCCAGAGGATCAGACCCTTCGAGCTCTATCTGTTATAGCACCAACAGCCACCACGGCTGCATCTGCTATCGAAGATATTATTATCATACCTGATAAACCGATAGCACGAACCCCCGCAACCGTAATATCGAGGATTAGCTCGAGAATTACCTATCCCCGACCACCAAATGTATCTCGGTATCATACGGTTTTCAAATGCCCGTGCTGCCTGCAATCACTCCCTGTAGCATATACTGAACGTAGCCAGTGGAAGTATTTAAATGGTCCTTTCCCAAGCATCTATGCATGAAACGGTCTGATTCATCGACTAGGAAGCACCTCGCGGGTGATATTTTACCATACACTTGTATTTTCCAGGACTGCCATCAACCTCTACAACTTTATTTGACGCGGAAAGACTGGGAGCAACATATCAAAACGGAACACGGCCAGATATGGATTTGTGCCGTCTGCGAGCAACTGGGTGTAACAACTGAGTTCTCAAATGAGGAGGAGCTAGTGGACCATCTCGGAACCTCCCACAAAGACTCAGTTGATAGCGACGAGGTCCAAATGTTCGTTACTGCATCTTCATCTTCAAAGCCAGTCGAAGCGGTCGACTGCCCCCTGTGCACCGGTCCTGATGAAGGTGAAGATTCACTGGAGCATATCGCACATTGCGTTCACGACTTTTCGTTGAATTCTCTACCTTTACCATCAGATAGTGATGCTGAGGGGGATTACTTTGATATTGATTCCAGGAATAGCGAGTCACAGAATACTCCTTCATCTGCTTCGGCTGAGGAGCGGGATTTCGAAGGCTTGGCCGAGATAGCCGATGACGCTTCAAGTGTGGATGATGAGCACAAGGTGTCAGAGTCCTCATTAAAAACTCTCACCCGTGACTTTTCTGGACCTACAGGCATATCTATTCTCGACTGGAAGGTAGATGAGGCAACTGAAGATCCTCAAGCTGCCACGTCCGTCGACGTAACCGGCGAAGATCCTGAGGAAACTACAGCAGACCAGTTCCCTGTACCCAAACCTGACCGACCAGATGAAGCGAGTTTATATGGCCCAATGGAGCGTGCTCGCTATCAGGTAGCGTGGTTATGCCCAACCAAAATGGACGCGGTGATAGCAGAAGCCCTACTTGATCAGATAGACCTTATCCCGATGACATCTCAGGCCTCAGGTAGTATGTTTGAGTACCGGTTAGGCCGAATAGAGCCTCATAGAGTTGTAATAGCTTGGCCGTCGGAATCCGATCGTTACCGTGGGCCAGATTGGTGTCTTGCAGAGGAGATAAAAAAAGTATTTCGCTCGCTGGCAATATTCTTGCATGTGAGTACGGGTGCGGGTGTACCATCTCTCACATACCTCTCAGATGTCGTGGTTAGTGGTGTGGACGGATTAGCCCACTACAAAATCAGCAAGTCCGGCACTTTTAATGGTCGTACAATTCGCCCCAGGGCGGCTCCTGATTTAATACTGGCCACCATTAAGGACATTGGGCACGAGTTTACACCGATACCTGATCCTGGACACATCAGCGAAAATCGGGATATAATTCTCAATTATCGACATACAAGCTACACGGACTTGACAGACGTCAACTTCGCATCAGAGGTAAATCATATGGATTATGTGCCTATAGGTGCCAGTGAGGAGGAACAAACATGTGGGCGCTGTTATCATGTTTCTCAGGAAAAGAAGCTCAGAAGGAGGCCTGGGTACTCCGCGCCAAAAGTTTATCACGATGGTATCGCATGTGTCGAGAATCTCTCCACCAAAGGGACGTTCCCTCTGTTCGCTCCTGGTACCAATGTCCGCTGCGTAGATATGGAAGGGGATCTCTCGACGTATACAAAGATCGATAATATTGTCGTTATCCGGGGCGTTAGTAGTTATACGGATACGCATAAAGATATAAGATGGAAGAGAATTGCGGCAGGCACAGCCGCAGCCTACGCTAAACAATTCATTCGAGTTCTGGATCCCAGTAAGCTTCCCAAACCTTGTAGCCTTCTTTCGCTGCCCTCATTTTTCGTCTTTCTAACATTGAATAATTGCTAGGGGGTTTAGACGTGCCATCAGACGAGGGTGGCCTCATAGATGGTTCTGAAGATGGAAGCGAAGGTGCGACCTTAGAGCCTGATTTGCTCATTTTTCTCCCTTCTTGATTTCCCTCGATCTGCTAACCTTGATGCAGGTATGGGTTTTTACGATTTTGAGGCCTGGTCTCATTCAGAACCTGAAGCGTCTGCAGCCGAAGATAATCCAGTTCCTGAGGGTGCCAAACCTGAGAGAAATACTACGAAGTTTGCGCCATCTATCACCCATAGTGATACGGCTTCAATGGTAAATTTATTTTCAAACGATAACGACACGGTGCAAGGCGGCCCCAAAGCCAAATGTCTATTCTGTGAATTACTTTGCCCCTATGAAACCACAATGCGCCAGGATTGGGTTGAACATATCAAAGAACATTTGGTTCTGCCAGGTATAATGTCTTCTGATTTAGGGCTACCAGTTTGGGCGCACCCGCAACCATTGTCCTGGGCTTGCGGGTTTGAGGGGTGCGAAGAGTCTCAGAACCTCCCGGATGAAACCGAGATGGAGAGGTTAGATATAGAACGAGGTGGCAACCCACCGTCGGACAAGCAGCTCAGGCCCCTCGACGCATATCGACTTCAGAACTCCCTCGAAACGGAAGCGACGCTAGATTCGAAACTCGATCATATCTTCAGCCATTTAGTCACCGACAGATGGAATCTTGAAGAATACCACGAAAGGGAGGATTGGACAGAATTCTTCCAATCTATACCGGTCAAACTTCTTGTTCCTGAGGTCGAGTCGGCAAGCTTGGAACAAGAAAACACCTTAGACGCTACGCCTAAAAAAGTAGAAGGTGATGGCCATGCAGAAGAGGGAGAAAAGAGAAAGCAAGAAAATTCTTTCGATGTCGACTTCGGAAAAGTCCATCGCAAATATATTCAAGATCGCGTGGATAGAACCTCATTATGGTTTACGAAGCTACCGGGGTTCCAAAAATGGCGAGACACCCCTGGCCTAACTCTCCTCTATGAAGATAGTCCAGGGTCGGGCAAGAGCACCATCATGGCCACGATTTACGAGACACTTCGAAAACAATACGGTGAAAATGCCGACGTTGTCATAGTGTACTGTGGAGAAGCCCTCCCCGGGGGTGCACGATGGACAACCCGCAATTTCATGCAGTGTATTCGCAGGCAGCTCCACCCAGATTCAAACTTCATCCAATATCTATCAGGGGCAGAAGAAGGTCCTCAGGATGCTCTAGCTGGGGAACCTAGAGCTGTCAGTAAATTTTTATCCCACACATTCGACACTTCCCGGAGAAATTTCATTTTAGTCGATGGCCTCGAAAATCTTGGGACCCGCGAAGCGCTAGAATTGAAATTTTCAATATGGGGCCGTAGTGGCGTTAACCTTCTTTGTACTGCGAGACCAGAGATGACACAGACAGCAGAGCTAATGGGCCCATGTATCACCAGCAGAGAGAGCACCGACCCACTTAATCGAGATATTCGAAGTTTCTTGCGACATAAGTTTGCAGAATATCCAGGAATACTATCCCAAGATGGTAAGGTTCTAAGGGATTATATTGCTGAAGTGGAAGATATAGCATGTGGGGTGTAAGTTAATTCCATTTCACCGACCAAGCTCGGGGCTGACAACTTGATAAAAGGTTTAAAATCGCAAGTTTATTTGTTGAACACCTTATGGGGTGGAGTTTAGAGACTATGGAAGATCTCAAGCAGGCAAAGAAATGGGCACAAGAAAGCAGCTTCTATCTGGAATTCTATAACGATTTTAAGCGCAGAATCATCCTAGATCCCCGCGAAGATGCCCAGAAGTATGCTCTAAAGGCTATTACGCTCATAGGTCTGAGTGTAAGCGGACGTGACCCCTTCACACCGGCAGGACTCTTAGATGCGCTCCTAGCTCATGTCTACGAGATGTTTGAAGGGATTTCGCCCAGCTTAATATCAATTGATAACCTAGTCGCGTATTGCCAGGGGTTAGTTATATATGACAGCCGTCGAAGGACTTTTCAGCTATTCCACCCTACAGCATACCAATACTTCAAGTTTATTGGATGGGAATGGTATCCTGGTGGCCAGGATTCCGCTCTGGAGGCGACAATTGAATATTTATCAAAAAGTGTTTTCAAGACGGGTCCTTGCCCTAGCAAGTTGAAGTACGAGGAGAGGTTGGTAGCCCATACTTACTTTTCTTATGCATCGAAAGAATGGACTTCTTTCCCTCTGGGCCGGTTTGGTGGGGTCGAAGCCCCAGGGTTCACGGTTGGGGTTCTTAGGAAGACTTTGGATTTCCTCAAGGACGATAATCTGGTAGCAGCCGTCAATCAAGTCCGAAAAGTGGAGAGAGAGAATCCACCCAATTATGAAATCTCGGAGCCAATCAAAGGAATACACCTCGCAGCAGCCTTTGGCTGGAGCTGGTTTATTGATGGCTTAACCGAATTTCAGGATATTAATGCACGAGACTACAATGGCTATACACCGCTAGCTCACGCCATCGATGCCTCACGTTTTAACGTCGTGGGTCTTCTCCAAGAAAAGGGGGCAAGTTTTTCCGACATCAAGCATCATGGCTCGACTGCCTTGATTGAGGCAATCCTGGGCGGAAGTTTAGACACGATTAAAAGTATTATTGACCTCGGAGAGGATCCAGACGCTCCCGGGATTCCATCCGGATCAGAAACATCATTCCTGCCGATTAATCTAGCAATTCTCAGACAGCAAAAGTCGGTCATTGAGATACTTCTTCCATATAACTTGGACATGAGCCTACGGGATGGGAAGATGAGAACCCCATTAATATGCGCGGTAATGGTGGGCGATATAGGTTCTGCAGCCGATATAATTAGGTATGGTCAAAATGTTGACCTCGAAGCAAGAGGAGGACCAAAAAGATTTACAGCGCTTGGTTATGCCGTAGCCACAGAACAACTGGCTATGATACGTCTGCTCGTCATAAGCGGTGCCAGTTTACAGGCCAAATTTGAAGACGAGGGGACTATTATGGATCTCGCGTGGAGATACTGCAACTTCAACATAATCAGTTACTTGGGGGAACAGGATTCAGTCAAGAATCTTAAATTTGAAGCTGAGACGATTGAGAGTGTTCCACCCCTGAGCATGTACAGCCTAGTCGAGGATTTCCCTCGGGCCGCCCAGGAAGCGGATGGTCATGAGTTAGGTCGGGGTTTCAACATCAATGATATCAAGGATATCGAGGATCCGGGTGACCGTGAGGGTAGGTCCTCTGTGGTGGTAACCGACAGATGGATACAACCCGCTAGCGGGCCCGAGGGGCCCCGAATAGAAAGAATTTCGTAGATAGCCGAACATGGATATGAAGGTGGAGAGTCTGATTAGTAGGCCGGGGAAAGAAGTGTACATATAAAAGGACCGCTTTTCAAAGTAGCTAGATGCGCCCAATGCCTATATATCTGAAACCTAAATCTTCAATTCTATAAAACCATAAGGCAAGGTATATAGATCTAGAAATAGACTATTTGCCTCTGCTCTCTTCATCTCCTTTCGAATTTTCGTTTTGTGTCATTGTTATTGCCATCGCTTTATCTAAGCCATATACTCCTCGGACAGCATCTCCGCCTCATCATTTATATATATTTGGTATATTTTCAGCTAGCTAAACTTTGGTTTTAATCGGATTCACAAATTCTCACCAGGCATTAAGGTTATTTAAAAGCTGGAAGTTGAGCTCCTCAAGCCATTGTTTTCTCTAATATACTAATGCAATACTTGTCTCAAACCAGACTTCGAAAAAAAAAGTGTTATGCAATACCACAAAACTCAGGGAAAGCTGCATTCGAGTTCTAGAATACTAGATCTCTCTAGGAACAAATCCAACCAGTTCTGATCGAGACCAGTTATCTTCCATAAAAGCTATCAACCATATTAAAATTGTTTATACCAGGCCATCAAGTAACGAAGTTTCCATCAAAAGACTCTTCATCCACATGAAACTTTAATCGCCCGTATTCCCAGATCGCATAATCTCTATTATTTCCTCATCGAAATCAACCGCTCGTTGAGTCGCCATAACTGCGTCAACCGTTTTACCCAAAGCAGCTTCATAAGCTACACGCCACTGTTCATCTTCCGGCCTAAGCGGCCTTAAGCTCGTTTCTTCATCATATTTTGGCGGTATGCACTTCCCCATCGCGAGGAGAGTCTGCATATTTTTGCATAGGACTTGTTGATTCCTTTTAAGAACACTAAGGTTTTCAAGTTGAAACTCGAGGGCGCTAGGGGGGGTAATTATATTCGAGAATGGTGTCTTCGAAGCTGCCTCGGGGCTTTTTGGGCCTAGCTTCCAGAAACCATCGTCTAGTACCAAATCATCATCTTCTGACTCGGGGTCCGTTGTGAACACCGCGGAGTCTCTAAAAGGTAGAGAATCAAAGCTATAGCTAACGGTAGTGATTGGCTTTTTCGGGGCTACTACGAGATCTAGTGTGTCCTCGAGGTCGTTTTCTCGCTTGACCGGATCGGCTCGTACTCCTTCCAAAACCTTCTTTGTCGCTGCAACGGTATCTTGTCTGGTTTTTTTTGCAGCTGGTTCTTTTCCGCTACTTGGGCCTGGTACAATTGGAGCCATGGTTGGAATTGAATCAGGGTGGTCTTATAGGCTTTTTCAGGTCTGTTTTACGAATTTGTATTTTAGCCTCGAAAAAAACCTTGTCCCCAATATCATCATCAATTCAATGGTCTTACCTGCAGTATGCGGTGCCTGATGGATAAAATACCCCGTTGTATCGGTTTTTGCAAGTCCAAGGAGTCGTATATGGTATTTATTGCGGCAAAGTCTCTGGAGTGAAGGCTTATAAAAGCAAGCTAGATATATATTTTGAAGAAGTAGCTAGATGCATTTTTATGAAAACGGGGAAGAAACTAGCTAGCTGTCTAAATAGCAAAGGCTACATTTGTATTTATTGTCATATTGCGGCGCGAGGGATTCGCAAGCACCTTGGAGTCGAGGCTATCGGATTCGCAGATCAATTATAATTTATCAATAATATATTTTATTTATTTTTGGCGTCTACTTTCCCGTTTACGACGGTATAAATATTGATTCTACCCAAGTACTAAGATCTAGAATATCGATACCGTGAGAAGCCGGGAAGGCCTTAAGGGAGACATTGTTGCATTTATTGTGTTGGTCCGGCGATACAATACAAGTGAGGCACTATAAGGTAGGAACGGATCATCCCTAGGACCTCTTCGGATCCACAGAGTCTCGATCCATAATTATAAATCTTATCTTAACAAAATTAGCCATCTGATAACTTCAAAGATATAATAATATATATAATACGGTCCCATCATGATCTCATCACCTCTGTTTTCCATCGATCATGAAAATACTATAACTAGTTAGTAGCTATCAAACACCCACCACCACGCCTCTTACTTAAACAAATAATAATAACAATAAATAACAATAATAATAATAATAAACATCTCCAATTCGTTCCTCGATTGAGTTAAAAAATAATTAAAAATAAAAGATAACCTCTTGGAAAAAAATACTTTTTTCTTTTCGTTAAAACCAAAAATGATTTCGGTGTGTGAATATTGCAAAAGGAAGCCACCCTTAGATATATAAATAGATAATCAGGAGGACATAGTTATATTAAAAGCAGGGAAAAAAAGCATAAGACGAAAACGAAGGCGAAGAAAGAAAGAAAACTGCATGTTTTGGTATCAAGTACAGAAAGGAAAAGAGAAAAAAAATGAACCAAAGTGGAGATTTAGAAGAAAAAGGTATTAGTTGAGAGGTTATGCAGAACTAAAACGCAACCGAGAAACCAGGGCCTGTTCTTATGTGAAAAGTTTTAGGTAATACACGAAAGGAACTGAAAAACCTAGTCGATGGTATCATGAAGTTTTGCCTCGTAATGAATTGTATAAGGAAAGGATGATAATGAGGGATTGGGGGGAAAGAAGAAAGAAAGCAACTAAAGGCACAAATCCGCAGAACTACGCCGTACCAAAAATCCAGGAACAGAAAAGAAAGAAAACCTGTCGTAGATACATTAAAGCGGAAGAAGAAATAATGGGTATGGAAACAAAGAACTAGATAAATTTTGTTTCCGGGTCTCGCGTTTGTGGTAATGGTAGGAAAAGCGTAAGACGCCCATCAATGAAGCGAGCCACCTTCTATGAAGCCTTGACTCTCATACTACTGCGACGGCGGACCGGCGGAACCTTGCAACAGGACTATTGTTTCGCCTCTCCAGCAACACTACTCGGAGCAGGCCCGGGGCCGGGTTCGTTGTCTCGGTCATCGTCATGGAGTGTCGAGAATTGCTGTAAAGTAAGCGCCTCATTTGCCGCCTGTTGTGCCAAGGCGACACGTTCTGCCTCTTCAGATTGTGCCATAGCACCGGAGATATCCTTCATTAATACATCACTGGGTTCTTGATTTGCTGATGCGGCGTCAAACTCGAACATCGTGCTCATTTCCTGTATTTGATTTGCAGTGGATGGGACATGTTCGACATCTGGATGAAGTCGCCCGGAGATAAAAGAGACTGGAGGAGGAGAGTTGAAAAGAAGGGTATCCAGGGCGCGACCTCGAATGCCATGCCCTGGCTCTATACTGTCGTGAAGCCCGGGGCGGAACGGAGGTGATTCTTGTTCTATTTCGTACCCGCTGCTGCTATAATCGAATTGAGGGTGATGGATGGTGGATGGAGAGGTGGAGGATCCCGGTGATCCAAGGCGAGGCGCGGGTTTGATATTCGTCGGGGTCTTCTGGGTAATATCTTTAGCTTTCTTGAACTGGTGAGCTTTAGTACGTAATTGAACAGGAAGCTCTTCTGGGTTTTCTATTCCGAGAGACATCATAAGCTTCTGCTGTTTTGTAGGCCTCGGCTTGCGAGTAGAAAGTGAAGCTGACAAGATTGGTGGCGGATCAGGTGCAATCGGCATCCACCGATGCAGTTCAGCACGTAGGAAATTATGCTCTTGTGCTAACAGAACCTCTGCGCCTTCGATCTTGCGTAGATAAAACCTCATTGTCGGAACCTCCGCACTTGTTAATCCAAAAGCATTTTGGCAAAATGGATGAAGGTGGTCTCTGAATTTTTGAGAAACGGAAATTATCCGCGTAAGACAGGCCTGTTCCTCCGGTTGAAAAGGTAACTCCATTATTTCCGACTCCCACGCCTGGAGGTCTTCAAGCTTTGGCCGAGCAGCGTCCCTCGGGATCTTAACCCGATGGTCGCAGATTGGACACGTATACTTGTCCTCCTCTTTAACTTTCCCCCGCGCGATCTTCAAGCACTTCCCGTGGTACCATTCATGACAAATCTCACACTCAATCATCATACCGGCCTCAGGCTGACGACAGATGCAGAATATTTCGCGTAAACGTCCCGCCTTTGAAGATTCCACGCCAAAAGATGGAGCCGTAGAGTTTGGATCAGGACTTTGCTCCCGAGACGAGGGTTCAACGGGGGTACGAGGACGGTCCTCGAGTGCGAAGCAGGCGTTATTCCGCCCTTCAACATATAGCATGTGGCTGAGCAGAATATGAAGAGGGGCATTTGCTTTGCCGAACAGCTTCTTTCCACGTCTCATCCAGTCCTCGTGTCGTTTCAGTTCCTTTTCAAGGTCGATTGTTCCGGCAGGTTTGACTTGACCAGCGGTGAGTGAGTCCATAACGTCCCGCGCATCTTTGTAATGGGGGCGTTGGTGGAACCGTACTGATTTTGCCTTCTCAACCAAGTTCTGAACTTGACGCTGAGCCTCGCGTTGCTTATTCAGAATCTGGTCAACTTGATCGAGAATCTCCTGCTCGTAAGGATGTAGCTGAGCCATTCTAGATAGAGAGTCAAGCTGGGCGTAATGGATTGGTTCCTGAGACATGACATCTCTTGCTTTGCTGGACCATAATTGACCGGCATTACGCTCAGCTTCTAGCCAGCCAAGAAGCTCTCCATCTCCGTTCTTCATTCCAAGCTCATACCCTTGATCAATCAAAGCTTGGCACTCCTTGAGTGTCACCACCTTTCCCGTATACTTCATATCTCTAATTTCTTTGATCCAACGACACTGCTGGATGAGTTTGTCAAGTTGTTCGGTTTCCACTAAATCCACATTAAAAGACCTCCCAGCCTCCGCTAGCTCTTCATACTGTTCGACGGTCATGCCACTGTTCGGCTGCGCGTCCGCAAGTGCATACCGTGCTTTTGCTTGGAAGTCGCTGATTGCTTCAGCTCGTTCGCGAAGCTGTTCGATCTCAGGAGCCTCGAAGGATAGCTGGTCGGCCTCCTGTAGTAGTCGCACAATGTTATCAACCTTTCTGAGCTCTTTATCGCGCTCTTCTAGCTCTGCAGCCTTAGCATTGCCTTTTCTCCAGACTTTCTCATTCTTTCTACGATTCTGCTGCTTTCGTGAAATGTAATTGGTAGCTTCCTCAACCCACTCATTTGCTCTTTCAACGAAAGACTTAAGGGCAGGTAGCTCAGGAATGGTCGCTGGAATCTTCTCCCCTTCAGCTAGAAGAGATCGCAAAGTTTTCAAAGCAGGTCTTGGGGATTCTAACATGAACTTTTGCAACTTCGCCGTCCATGCCTTCGGCATGTTGGCTTTGTCTCTGACCTTGTCCACCAGCTCCTTTAGTGCTTCGTCGTTGTGTTTCAGGCGAAGGATATGTTTATCCGATGAGCAGTCACAAATATCTTGGTGATGTTCGACGCATGCGACATTTGTCGTGCAATCGCAGATGACCTGGGATAGATAACAGTATGACTTGCAGACTATACATTGATACTGCTCTTCCGCAAGGTCGCCTTCAACTAATTGCTCGGTAATGCCGGGAACAAGTTCACGCAAAGTACTGCGGCGCTCGAGTTCGGCGTCTCGGATCTTTTCCAAGGCAGGTGCCAACCTAAACCCAAAGGTATTAGATACTGGATCCGAAATTTCCTTTTACTCCAAAAATTGACAAATAACAAGAAGAAGCAAAAAGGCTTACCAAAGAGCTGTCTTAATTGAACTATCTCTGGCAGCAGCTGTTAGTAAAAGTTCTTCATGAGAAAAAACCGGTTGCTTTCTGAATTCATGATAACGCTCGACACCAGCTCGACCATAGGGTTCCCAGTCAGGTGGCGCAAAATTTACAGCCTCGTTGAAGTTAAACTAAAGCAAATTTGATTAGCAGGTTTCGGTACAAAAAAAGATAGTGGAATATACCCCATGGTTAAATCCGGCATGGTAAGCTTGAGGAAATGTGATGACGAATTGCCCAGCGCGTTGGTCGATAGCGTAGACTTTGACACCCGCCTTGGTTAATGCCGTTGGAGTAAGCAAAGTCACGAGCTGGAATAAAAGATCGGGTTGTTGTTCAAACAGCTCAGGAACCGCCTCTTTCATCGCGTTTTCGAATTTGAGAGCATCTGAGCATGGAATTCCATACCAGGTTTTTGTAGCCCCAAAGTGTTGATAATTCGCAGAGTATGTGTAATGATCCTCGTTATGCCAACAGAATGTTGAGAAGCACATGCCAACGTATAGCCATGGTACTGTCATCCCGGAAACATCCGATTTAATGTGTCGGAATAAAGATTCGTTATGGAGAGGAAGTATATTGAGATTCCAAGGGTCGTGGGAATATTTATTCAGCGGATCCTTTTCGATGGCCGGGAAACCACTACCATGAGTTGTAGAGTGTATATCTGCTCCGTACTCGACTTCGACAGTCTCGTGTAAGCTTTCGACAAGACGCCAGAATTCTTGCTCGACATCATCTTCGGTGACTTGGCGTTTTGTACCCAGAATCGGATCGTAGGTCATCTTGGAGCCAAAGTAGTTTTCTTTGAAATTATTTGCCTTCTCTTGGAATTGTTTCAGAGAGTAGACAGGGCCATCTTCAAATCCAAACTCTCCAGTCCCGACAAGGCAACGATTGCAATACCAGTCCCTCTCTGGTATCGTCTTGACCGGGGGGTCCAAGCAGTAGGTATGATACCCATGGTCACAGCCATCGCAGAGCAGAAGCGAAGTTGCATCATCACCTCGTCCACACTTCTCACATTTCTGTCGCAACTTTATTAGTCAAAGACCTCATATAAAAATTTTTAAATTTTTTTAAAAAAATGACTATTAAACTTACTTCACCAGGCTTTGTCTTATTCGGGCGATCAGGTCTTGGGGTTGCCGGCCTGTGAAAAATCATATTCGAACCAGCGACTGTAGGCGCCTTCTTTAATCTCTTGCTGCGGCGTTCTCCAGACTCTTTCTCTCCATCGGCACCAGGGTCTTTGGAAGGACTATCGCTATTCTCGCTATGGTGACGTTTCGATCCTCTGCTAGAGGGTCGCGGGGTCTCATTTGGCGCTGGTGTCGGTTCATTTTCTTTCTTTATCGAATTGACAGCGGTAAAGGCATTTCCGTTGACCGCAGTAAAGCCACCCATGTTCACGGGAGTGAAGCCACCAGCGGGGCCTGGGGTGCTAGTTTCGCTAGCATCAACCGGTCCCGCATCGGGCATCGGAGAGTCATTATCCGAGTCGACCGGCTTCTCCCGCATCCCGGAAGAATTGAGGGCAAAGGCAGTACGTGCCAATGGTGACTCTTGGATGCCGCCTGGTGACTTCATAAAGTTCTTCGCCATTTTTCCTGCGGGACTACCGGCAGGAGAAGGGGTCAGTGGCCCACCATACTCAGCTTCCAATTGTTGCTGCACGCCGGGCTTAGCAGTCTTAACATACTCCTCATACGGATGAAGATATTTTTGGTATGAGTTCTTGAGTGATGTCGAGAGCGAAGACATTATCTTCCCGCTATACCCTAGGTCGCGCCCAATTTCGGCCCATTTTTTGCCTTTACAAACTTTGTCGAATCCTCCCCGAATGTCGACAGCCTTTTTTAACCTATAGAGATCTAAAGGTCGCTTATCCACACTGGGATAGCGATTGAGGGTCATTCCGTGTTGTGAGTGAAACTTATTGAGTTGATCGAGATAGTTAAGATTGGCTCGAGTCCCTGTTGGTGGCGTAGTAGTTAGTATTTCGGAATGAAGGAAGGAAACAGGGCGATGATAAGAGCTTTCCGTACCTCCTTCAACACTGTTGAGTTCCTGTCGTCGAGTCTTGAAATGAAATCGCTGTGAAAGATGTCAGATTAGATATAATCTTTGAAGCTCATAGGGGTTTTTCAGAGACGACCGTACCTCTGTATCGATACAAAACGGTGGATTCCACGTGTCCGGAGGGATGATTTTGACGATGCCATATTTCCGGCCCTCCTCAGAGATGCTCTGAACGTACTTAAACGGGTCCTTAAATTCCTCCTCAGTCGGTCGATATGTAGGAGCCTCGGTTATTCCGTGAGGTCGATTTTTCTTGGGTTGTTCCTTGGTAGAGGGAATTTGGCGATGTTCGACAGAGCTCATGTCGAGTCCCGCTGCTCTCCTAGTACTGAGCGGAACCCCTTGACTCGGGGGGATCATGGTAGACGCCATTCCGCCGCCGCTACCGCTACCGCCTCCTCCTCCTCCTCCCCCTCCTCCTCCTCCTCCAGCCTTCATTCGAGTCGTCGGAGTACTACTCGATTGTCCTTGCGAGGGAGATTTTCGGGAAGAGCCATTGGTTGAGGATTTTGGGGTGCCTTGAGCGGCAATAGGACCGTTACTCGAGGCACCCGCCATGATGGATTGTATTTTTCGATTTTGTTGGACCAATCGCCGATAATTGGGCAGAGGTGATAGGGTTGTCTAGGTTCTTTTATGTAGGGATGGGTAGGTGCGGTGCCGTATGCTCGAGTGGTTTTGTCTCGTTTTCCCTTGCTCAAAATTGGCGATTCGGTGCCGGATACATTGATTGGGAAAGTGATCGAGGGGAACGAATGGAAGAGCAGCGATAAACGGGAAGAGTGAATCGAGACGGATGGACCTAGTGACTATGTAAAACAAAAGATATATATAAGTACATATAGCGAGCTAGTAGTAGTAGTAATAGTAGTAATAGTAGTGATGGCGAGAGCTAGCTGATTGACCGATGGGATTGATGGATTGTGGCCGGTTGTGGTGGTGTTCAAGTTAGTGGTGGTGGTGGTGGTAGTGGTGGTTGTAAATGGTTGTAAATGGTTGTAAATGGTTGTGGTGGTGAAGAGAGGAAGTGCGAAAGGCAGGCGGGCTGGGCAGGGTAAGTTTGGCTGGCTGGCTGGCTGGCTGGCTGGGATGGGGATGGCGGATGGAGGGATGAATGAATAGTCTGAATGAGAGCAAATGGCCAGGCCAAAGGACACAAAATCAGCCGGCCGGGCGATCTGATATGATTATAAAAAGGCCCACCCAGCAAAACTCGACTCCATGCACATCACGAAACGAATTAGGATATCAAAAAAAGATCCAAACTTACCACGGATTAAACAACTATTTTAATTAACAGAGGATCTCTCGAGAAGCCAACCAGGATTTAATATACGGATCGAAAGTCAGTCGGGGGGGATGTGAATTCGATGGTGGTGATGATGGTGGTGGTGATGGTGGTGATGGTGATGATATCAAGCTCAGGAGAAAGGTTGTTCTGGTCAAGTTGGTTGGTTGGTAAGTATACCAGAGGAAAGGAACATAAAAGGAATTATTCTCCTTCCATTCCTCCTCCCCTTCTTCTTCTTCCTCTCCACAGTAAGTACTTACATATTGTCAGTTGTCAGTTATAGTCCCGAATTAAGTCAGGTATACGGTCTTAGGTATATTACTATGTATGGCACGGAGAGACCTCCACACACACACGCACGCACGCACACACCCGAACACTCCCACACTCCCACGCTTCCACTTCCACTCGCCCTCCCACTTACTCAATCGATTCAATCGGTCTAGCTGCTAATCAATCAATCGGTCAATCAATCAATCGGTCAATCGACCAGTTAACTGCATTGGTATGTCTTCTTTTCCTGTTTTCAACCGTCTAATTTATTGGTACCTTAACCAGTATGCATGCATGCATGTTCCAGAAGACCGGCTTTAACCATACCAGAAAACACTTCTCCCCCTCCGCTACCATCAATGTGCACTATAAAATGCTGCAGAAGAAGAAATTTTAAAAGAAAAATCACATTACGGTCTCACGTTTCCCACAAGAAGCCGGACCCGCGAATTTGCACCCGAAAATGGACTGGCATCAGTTGCATCGATGAGAAGGATAAAAAAAAAAAACTTAGCCAACCTGGACCTCCAACCCTTGAACGGTATCTAAAACTAGCTGCATATCCTCACTCGGTAGTGGGGAACTCGAACAGAACTAACTACAACCACACACCTTCCCTTCCCTGCCACCATATCAGATCATAATCGTACTTTCCGGTCTGGTACGCTCGCGTGTACGACAGCGGCGGCGATATCTATTGCGGGGTGACCCGAGGCATTTTTTTATATCGAATGCAGTCGGCCGGACTACATTTGAGAGGGCTTTTTTTTTAGCAAAATAAAAAATAAAAATAAAAAAAACTCTGAAGTTTATCCATACTTCATTCCCGACAAAGAAAAGCCCTACTCGAGTCATATACATACAGTATACTATCAACAGCTAGGCAGGCAAAAGTTGGATAATATGATTTAAACAAGATCTCGATTCGATTCGGATTGAGATGGATGGGTGGATGGATGTTCTCGGGTGGGAGCCCTAGTCCAGCGACCACATATGCATTGTGGCGCCGGCGGCAAATTTTTCTCCACAGCTGAATATAAACCCGTTCCGACCACATAGTACACACCAACCCGCACACATTTCAGAAGATCGTGAAAACTTAATTTGTGCTTCTCCTAACTTAGTTCCAAGTTCTAGGAAATGCATCAAAAGCCAAGGGAGAAACGGTAAAAATTCGCAATTGCAGCCCTCAGAATATAATACCATTATTTTTTTATGAGATCGCATTACTCTCATCCCCGTCCATCATGTGCCTGGCTGCATTCCCAGCACAAACTGACGAACATTGCATGCTGCATATCATCCCATTCGAACCCCGGTTCTTTCTTTGGGAGGTACGGAGCATGTACTCTGCACTCTCCCATGGTTTGTACACAGTGCACAGACAAAAGTATTTTTTCGAAAGTTAATATAATCAGCCTCAGCGACTACTTTTCTTCCCTGACATGACAGCTTAGAAGACTGTTTCGATTTCATGTCGAATCCTGATCGTTTCGCGGATCTGGATCCTGAATCTACTACTAAAATGTATCTGCACATGCTCCTCTTTATATTAATGTGCATCGTATGCTTCCTTGGGTAGTAACTAGACCGCGGAAAGAAAGAGAAGAAAAAAAGCGACTTTCTCAGTCCAATGTCCTGTTTGCATGGCCCTGCAGCCTTCACACCCAACCACGCCAAGACTAAGCTTCAGATGCATAAGGTAGTTTGGCTACTGGTTCGTGATTATGTAAGCTACCAACGACAACGCAACGCGCTGTCGATATAACTTTTGACGTCAACCTCGACGCCTCTCCCCGCCTCGACACAATCCCGCGTGTATCGCCATGTCGATTCGCAAAATGGCTACTTTCACTTCCCTCCAGCAGTTCCTTGTCGGAGCCAGCCAGAGATTCAATGCATCAGCCACTTCAAACAATCCTGTCCATCTAGTCGTGGGCAATGAATCCGCAGGTTCGCCTCAATACTCAGTACAATACAATTATTAAGAACATTTATACTCACTAACACCGTACACATATCCATATCAGACCTCGACTCCTTCGCTTCATCCATCCTCTATGCTTTCCTAGACACCATAATCAAGGCCCCTGATACCCCCAAAACCCAACCAATCGGTCAACCAGACAAAGACGTAACCGCCTTCTTCGATCGTATCTCAGTTCCCTCAATCCCACTTCTCTCAATCCCTCGTAACGAGGTAACCCTCCGTCCCGAACATGCCTACCTAACCTCCCACCTCTCATTCACTTTAAACGACATGCCCACCCTTTCCGACCTTCCCTCAAGTCTTCACAATTCGCACACTTCGATTACATTGGTAGACCATAACGTCCTACAACCGCCTCTGGCACCACATTTTTCGAACAGCATAGATTCAATCATCGACCACCATGTCGACGAAAATATGTATAAAAAAGCTGCACCACGTATAATTAATCCAACTGGATCGTGTGCCTCTCTAATAACCAACCATTTCCGAACACATTATGCAGCACATTGGAATAACCTCCCGGAGTCAATACATTCCGAAATCGCACGACTGGCTTTGGCTCCCATTTTAATGGATACTGCAAATTTAAAAGCCGAATCAAAGGTTACACCGATAGATATCGTTCAAGTTACCGAATTACTCGAACGTGCGGGTAAAGAATTCGACAGGAATGCATTTTATGACGGATTACAAGCTGCCAAGGGCAATATCACAGGATTAAGCATCGACGGCCTTCTCAGAAAGGATTACAAACAGTGGAAGGAGAAAAACGGCGTCGTTCTCGGAATTAGCGCAATTACTAGATCACTATCATGGGTTGTAGAGAAAGCAGGTGGAATTGAGAACTTTTCGGCAGAACTAGAAAAATACGCAAAGGATAGAGGACTTGATATTGCGATTGTCATGACGACAGACAATAGCAAAGGTTTCAGACGGGATTTGTTAATATGGGGTGCAAACGACCGGACCAAAGGATTTGCACAGAGCTTCGAGGACAGTGTGAACGAGAAATTCAGACTAGAGCGGTGGCCAAACGAGGAAGATGGAGTGACGGCAAGCATTGCCATCGAGGGCATGAAGGCTTGGACGCAGGCTTCCCTAGATTTGAGTAGGAAGCAGGTGGCACCGGTGTTACGAGAGGTTGCTGGTAAACTTTGAACAAATATGACATGCACGTGAAGGATAAGTATTGTAAGCAGGCGAAATTATACGCTCGTTCCTCAACGACTTTGGTCATGGCTGGTCTGGGTCGGCTTTAATCACTATATTTTGTAATGGTATAGTATTCTATAGATCTATGAGGTTTAAACCCAAATCTAAGATCTACAAACCATCTTCGTCACCCGAATCTAACGACCTATATGCTGGTTCATTCAGCTTACCCTCACCGCCAACAGACTTGTACTGATACCCTCTCAACCTAACCCATAAAACTCGAACGTTAGCCATCACCATCACCATATAAAATGAAACCTCAATCAAAAGGAAAGGATAGCACCACCATACCTAGGCCCCAAACCCGTCCCCACCGGCATCTCCCTCGTATATTTCACTTCAAACCCACTCCTCCCCTTCTCCCACCAACCCTCCTCAATACTCCTCCTAACACCCCCAAAGAACCTCTCCACAACCTTCAAATTATGAATCTGCAACAAAACCCACGCCGTCATCTCCTTCGCCTCCAAGCAATGTCTGATATACGCCTTATGATGTGTCTTACACGTATAACAATCACAACCTTCCTCCAAAGGCGATAAATCAGTCGCAAACTTCACATCCCACATATCAGTCGCCAAATCCAATTTATCCTTCCCACCATTATCCATAACTTCATCAGCCGAGAAACTGAAATGTAAAGCAATCCCAGCATCCGTCATGGTCCCCACGAATCCCACATTGAATAAATCTACCCCTCTTTCAACCATCTCAAGCACTTGATGCGGTCCGCCCACAACATCTGACTGTAACTTCGGTAACCCGGCCAGTTCCTCTGGTACCACATCCACCGATTCATTAGTCGTAAACACCAGTCCCGAAAGCTTTTCTACATTCTCAACCAAATGGCTTAAATAAAACCTCTGTCGTTCCTTCTCTAACGGTAATATAGGTGCAAAAACTGCAGGTAATTTCTTCACAGTATCTTTCTCATCCGTAGAATTATTATCACCACCACCACTACTACTACCACCAGCATAAACACTACCCAAAAGCTCATCCAACCATTTCACCGTCCTATTCACCATCTTTTGTACTCTATTCTTCCCCGGAGAAACAGTATTTGCAATATCTGCTATTCCGAGGACGATGTCCGGCTCTAATCTGATGACGGCGGATACATAGTCCTTGATTGGGAGGTCTCGAAAGCCGACTGATGTTAAGATCGAAAGGTTTGCATCTGAATTCGCTTTAGGACATGTGATATTTGGAGAGCGACGTGCGGAGAGGAGAAGAAAGGCCGATGAAGGGAGGGAGATGAAGGAGCGGAGGGTGGAGGGGTAGGTATAAAGCGGTGGGATGCGTTGAGGGGCTTTCTCTATGACTGAGGGTTAGAAATGGTATTAGTTAGTACAATATTTATAAAAATTTTAATATAGGTAAGTAGATACAAGAAGAGAATTCAAATAGATGATGGTGATTATATCTATTTAGTATTTAAGTACTAGGTAATTGGATTTTTAAAACAAAAAAACTTACAATCCTCGAGTGCTACAAAGACACCTTCGACGCCTGTATTCCTTTCGAAATTATCGGGCGATATGTGTGGTACTACACCGCGAGAAGTCGGTGCGAGGAAGTTCGGGGTTTGGACGGTGAAGCCCTTTGAGAGGTTGAGGACGCCGGTGCGCGCCGCCGTGGTCGCACCTGGTTGGGTCGTCGTGGCCGCTACATCTGTTACGGCGGTTTTGAGGACGCGGAAGGTGTTCATGGGGAACTTTTTTGGGCTTGCGACGGAGCGGGATGGTGGGGGTGTATCGGTGTTGATGTGGTGGTCGCACGTTGTATGAATTTTATGTTTAAGCTTGGAGATCGAGATCGAGGTAGCTAGTGGATTTTAAGAGATGAGGCTCTAGCTTTTGGAAATTTAGAAAGTTCTGACTCAAGTAGCTTCCTTTTTTAATTTTCTCTAGTTCTACACACTTAGTTGATTTCTAGAAGTAAATTTTATGGTCTTTTGGTGGGTTGAATCAAATCACGGATACGATCAATCGAGTTCATGGGGTAGTAGATTCTTCATGAGAAAGGCTTTTTTTGATTAATTTCTATCTAAATGTCTTTAGACCACACATTCCAGGCATAAATTGCATCCAATTCCATCTCCCTTATTTATATAAGAGCTCTAAAAAAAAAAATAGAACAAGAAGAAGAAGAGGAGGTCACAGTTTACAATTCATCCCGTCGTGGAACCCAAGGCATAGGTAATCTATGCCTTCTCGTAGATCCAGTCGAATTGAGAGACCTTGTAGGAGACGATCTCAGATTCCTGAAACCACAGAGCGATTTCCTTCTGGGCGCTCTCAACGGCGTCAGAGCCGTGGCAGACGTTGCGGCCGACATCCTGGATAATCAATGTTAGTTATGTGCCCCTATCGAGCTTAGGTGATGGGGAAGGGGAAACGTACGATGGCGTAGTCACCACGGATGGTACCTGGAGCAGAGGCAAGTGGGTTGGTGGCACCGAGGAGGACTAGAAAAATTAGGTTTTAGTAACTAGCTAAAGCAATGGAGGAGAAGTCAACGAGGAACTTACTACGACCGGTCTTGACGACCTCACGGCCCTCCCAGATCATGGCGCAGATTGGGCCAGAGTTCATGTCTATCATAAACACTTAGTTATAATTCTCAAGAAAGAGAGTTAAAGATAGCATTGTATTCTTACAGTCAATCAAACTATTCAACAGAAAGGTTAGCAATCAATGCAATTGTCAGTTAGGAATAGGGAAGAAACGTACCCAGGGAAGAATGGCTTTCCGGCCAAGTCGGCATCTACAATCCATTGACACGATTAGAGATAATTGACTTGATTATACAGCATAGAAGAAACGTACAGTGCTTCTCGAGGTGCTCCTTTCCGGGAGTAACGAGCTTGATGGCAACAAGCTTGAATCTAAACCATTGTTAGTACTATCTCAGTCGATAGTAATTCGAAGAAGGTGTTAAACATACCCACGCTGCTCGAAGCGGGTGATGATAGGACCGATCAAGCCACGCTATTGTTATGTAATAGTTAGAATCGCGTTCATCACTCAATTAATCAGAATTTCTTTCGAATAGCGGGGTTATTGCTAACCTGGACACCATCTGGCTTGATGGCAATGAAGCTGAACCGGACACCAACAGTTAGTATCTTTCAATTCCCAAGAAAACAAAGGTTAATAAAACTTACGTTCTCTCGTCAGCCATTGTGAATGATTGTTTTGGTTCGTGAGTACGAAGAAACTGGTTTCAATTGAAGATTTGTGGAGAAGAGAAGAGAAGAGTCTGTCTGGTGGATTGGAGGGGTAAAAGTGAAAGTGGGATGGAAAGAAAATAGCTCCAGCCAGACTAACTCAGACCAATCTCCCCCAAAGAAGAACTAGTGGGGTTTTTTCCACGTTGAATTTTTTGGTGGAGCTAAAAACAGCGCAACACATTTACGCTGCATGCATCGGAATTGATCCAGCTTAGCTTCAAGCTTCACATTGCATCGACGACGGGGATTGCCACAGGTTGCATGGGAAGATGAGGGGAATACACCAGCGAGGGGTGGGAATTCTGTCAAATGACAGCTATCACGGTACCCGCCGTATGTGATGAGCTCTAGCTTGACCAAACGTATGTATCAATATCTATATCGTGATCGTTATCTAACATTTTTGTCATGGAATACATAACAAGACCTTGGTATAAACACCTCTCCAACTGAATACCTCTTTTATTTCGAGGAAATGGGTTTAATGTTACTAACAATTACACGTCGTAGTCAAATATAGGTTGCATGTCTGATATTTACCCCTGCGCTAACCAAACCAACGAATACCTTTTAATGTGAATTATGTGCCTGTACAACGGACTCTGATTGATCTAACAGAGCAGCTGCCCTGAGGCCGTGGTTTTTGGGCAACTTCCTTCCCCCGGAAAAGAATGCAGGTGGGCGAGAGCTCGAAAAGTTGCTTGCTCTGCTGCACTTAGTCGGTTTCCTCGTCAGAGAATACCGCATGCGTAAGCTTCCAGGCACCTCGTCCCTCAATCTCGTTTCTGATTGGCCCGTTGACGTTTCATCTACGCCAGCGAGATCGATGCCAAACTCAGCATGGCTTCTCCTATGCACGAAACGAAAAGAATTTTCTTCTTCGTCCGCTGGTTATGGTTCCAAAAAAGAAGCTCCAGCTAAAATGTGTCGTGGCGTGGGAGTATACTGCAGCCTTGTAATTACGGAGTGCCGTTCTCAGCGTCCACCGACGAAAAGCGCGTCGATAGATCGCAATTTCCGGACGATGTCGAAGTCGAAGGCCTAAGGGGAGAAAAGGGAAAAAAATATTATGCATCGTCAGGAAACCTGCAATGAGCAGCACTTCATGTCACATTGTGGGGGGATCGTTTCCATTGGAACTGTTGGGGCCATGTCACAACCACGACCTCATGAACGAGACAGGCGGAAAGGGCTGTGCGACAGGCGAACACCCTTGTTATCGTATGGTCCTCCTGCCAATCTCTCTCGTCTCGCCCCGTCGAAGCTGGTGGGTTTGACGTCCCGACCATATACGAAGGTTATATTGGTTGGTTACTTGGAGCCGGGGGTCAGGCTCGCCTGGTAAAATCGGTGGCAGCCATCCCTTTATTGTGCTAACTTGGAGCAGGCCCAGAGCCATAGCCCATAGCCAGGCCCAGCTTCGATGCAAAGCAAAATATGGGCTGACGGCGGTACATACAGTTTGCATGCATGCATGGATGGCAAAAGGCCTCCTTTTCTTCGCTCGCTCGCTCTCTTCTCTTCTCTTACTCCCCTTTCCTTAATAAAGAAACATCTCGCCAACTGCTTGCCAGCATCATCGAATTGGCTGCAGTAGTCTTAGATCTCTTCTAGTCCTGAACGCCCATCACGAATTTCCTTTTTGTTCTCACTTACGCAAGTCTGCTTCGTCACTATCACGCTCTCCCTTTACATATAACACTCGTTCTATTGCCACTCTCTATGCGCTAGTTTGCCGTGATTGATTCTTGCCAAAAAAAAATAAAAAAATTTAAGGAAAGGCCTTTTTTGAGCATCTTGTATACTATTACTACAGTTATATAGCTGGCAGCCATGTCGACCACTACCGATCTCGTATCTCTGGAAGATACGCCTCTTACCACGCCTCAGAGCCACGAGCCGAACTCACTTTTGGACGACAATCAACCAGAACAAATCTCGAATACTCCAGCTCTCCCCGTATTGACACCCGAAAGGATTGCACTGAGGGTGAAAACCAACCAGTACCGCAAATCCGTCGATTTCCACCCTTCGGTTTCTGGTTCTAGCAGTCCTATCATGTCCCCTCGTCACGCAAAAAGGTCTTCTATGAGTTTTCCCGTCAATGTCACGCCATCATACTACCCTTCAACACACTATAGCCACCTCCGAAGCCCAATTCAACACACCTCGGCTGCTTCCGAATCTGTAACGACTGCTCAGGTAGTTTCTGATCAAGTTGAGCCGGCTAGTGATCCTATCGGCTTCTTGACCGTTCTCGCAGGCCAAGAACGTAGGGTCCTAGAACTCAAGGAAGAATTGCTAAAGGCAGATGTTGAGCTTGAAAAACTTAAGCGGAAATGGGCGCTCCACGAAGCCACTCGCAAGAGATCCGAATCTGCTACGGTTGAGCAGATTAGAAATCTAGAACTTGCGGATGAGACTAAAAAGCACGCTCGTAGAAAGTCTATCGGAGCGGCGAGGTCTAGCAAACGGACGACGACGTTCAATGATAATACTAAACATCAAAGAACGCTGTCATTGTTGGCACCTAATGGACAGCAGGCACATTCTTTCCCACAACCTGCAGATGTCGACGAGCCGTTGAAGCCTACACTCCCAAGGAGGGCAAACACGGTCAAGGAGACATCGTCGAGTTCTATGCTTTACGAGGGTGGTTATGAGAAGTCGATCTATGAGCCGAGAACGGGGAAGAGAGTTGGTCACCAAGAAGCACTCATCGCAACTGGCAAGCAGATGGCAGAGGATTTCAAGGAGGGCTTGTGGACATTTATTGAAGACCTCCGACAGGCTACTGTGGGCGAGGAGATGCCCGGCGGCGCTGGAGCTCAGAAACCGAAAGAATCTGTTACTCCAAGTACAACTCCTCTAAAGAAAAAAAATAGCAAGGTCAATCTCAAAATCACTCCAGTTTCCGGCTCGGCACTTGCAGCCAAGTCCAAGGCTTCAAAGAAATATAAGTCAGGACCGAAGGCGACGAAGCTAGTCGATATTGGAGATGATTTCTGGTCGGAGATGGACCCTGATGGCCCTTTGAGTTCCAAGAGCAAGGAAGTCGAGGAGATCGACTTTTTCAAGCATCCTGCTCTGCCGACAACCTACAAGAAGGGCCATGTTAAGCCAGAGTCTGTCCGATGGTCTTCCAGCACCATCGTCTCTGAAATGGGCAGCGACATCATGTCCCCCGGTGCATTTAGCTCCCCACGCACCAGCACCAGGTAAGCATCTAATGTTATATTGCACTGCTTGATTTTGCTTACCGTTTTCAAGAAAGTAAGACTAACAGTCTTCTCAGCTCTCGCTCTCGTTCATCTTCTCCTCATCACAAATTCATCAACAGCGAGCCATTCCCCGAGAAGAGTCCGGCGGAGTTGATCCAGTCGCTAGCCGACACACAACAAGCGACATGGGGCATGATCTCCGCTCCATTGGGAAATCTTAAAAGGACCGCCACAGCGGTTTTGACACAAATTGAAAAGGGACTCGGACCACCACCTGCCATACAGGGCTCCTACTATGATTTGGAGAACGCCAGACACGCTGTTACCACAGACCACACCAAGACTAAAAAGCAACATTAATACCCGGGATATAACGAAGATGTGTACTATATTATGACGACGATCTACACTAGTGTTTTTGCGACGACTCTTTTCTGCCGATTGTTCCTTTGCGACCTGACTTCAGTTTTTTTGTTTTTTCCAGTACCTTTTCCCTCAGAACTTCAAAAGCTAATTGGGCAGGCGGTATCATCATATGAAAACCCCATTATGAAGCCTTTCAGCAAGATTTTTTTACTACCGTTTTTATTTCCAATTTCTACAGATGACAACATGATAGCAGTCACTTTTATTATTGCTTTGACCTTCGACTTCGACTTCATTTCTCAGAAAACCCTTTGGAGATACCACTTTTTATTCAGTTCTTGTTAACACAATTGATTTGCGATTCGACTTATAGCTTAGCTTAGATTTGGCTGTATATATAGATTGTAGTCTAGCAAATGCATACATACTTTTTGGACTTCACATAATTGAATTATGTTCTAGACCTACTACTCTACTACGGAGGCCCAAACCAAATATGGGAACAGAATCTTTTCATTTTTCACCCATCCCCTGGCGTCGGAATGGTCTTTGCCACTACCTTGCTAGCTATATCTTTGAATATTGGGGACAGCGCATTCTTCTGATACTTGTCGAGCAGCGACTCCTTCTTGCCCTCCTCGTCTTTGATTTCCCCCTCGATCATCATGACGAACGTAGGATCGATTGGTACGGCCCCGAAGAAATCGATTTCGAACTGCTGTGCTAACACCTTTCCTCCACCAGACGAAAATACGTTCGTGCATTCCTAGGTGCCTCCTGTTAGTGATAAAGAATGTAAAAGCTTCTACGAAATGTGATCGAATACTCACTGCACAATGCGGACAGACAAAGCCGCTCATATTCTCGACTACACCTAGAATATCAATACCGACTTTCTTACAGAAGTTGACCTCCTTCCTAACATCTGCTGTTGCAACCGCCTGCGGAGTTGTGACAATAACTGCTCCGTCTACGATCGTTAGAGTCCGAAGCTGTTCTGCTAATGATATATGCTCGTCCGAAGTCCCTGTACGTCAATTAGTTTCCCATAAGCTCGATATCAATCAGTGAAGTAATATCCTACCTGGCGGTGTATCAACTAGCAAATAATCCATCTCTCCCCACAAAACATCTGTCAAAAACTGCCTGACCATAGCCGTCTTCTTCGGCCCCCTCCAAACGACCGAGTCTCCTCGATCCCTTAACAAGAAACCCAAGCTCATACACCTTATACTCCCACCACTCTTCTCCAATGTCTCCCCGCCATCTACAGTTACTGGAATCCATCCTCCTGGTGCGGATAAAACGGTAGATGACTCGATACCGAACATCCGAGGAATGTTTGGTCCTGTGAGATCGATATCTAGAACTCCGACATTGTGACCGAGAGTAGCGAGGGAGAGGGCCAGCTGGGTTGTTACAGACGACTTGCCGACTCCGCCTTTGCCGGACAGGATCTAATTGTAGTTACATAGGTAATTTGGTTAGGATTGCGAACGGTTAGATGGAGACGAGCGATGTGGATCGGTGGTACACACTAGAACGACATGCTTGACTTTCGATAGCGACGTCATGGTTTATAGGCGTAAGAAGCCAGGCCAGGGACAAACTACTAAAAACGTCTTGGGGTATAACAATGTATGCGTATGAAATATGTGATAATGCGGAAATGCTGATGTCGTGGTTTGCGACTACATGATGCGTCTTCAATTGATATCTGAAAGTTCGAATTCCAAAACAACGATATCGGGCAAACCCATTTAGATAGCTCTAGAAGCTTAGCAATCAGAGCTCAACCTTCGATGTCTTTTTGAGGCCCTGCCGCCAAGGACCTGCAATTAGCTTAGCTTCCACGCTGCATGTTCGGCAGCTTACTCGGGGCCCCTCGTTACGCCCAAAGAAGAACCGGCCTGGGGAAACACGGCTGCGTCGTGGACTAAAGAAACTGGGGCAGAGAGCGGTGCAGTGTCGTGTTGACTACACGTTTAGTTGGCCTCTTTCCCACACACCCTCTCTTTAAGCTTTCGACGACATAACGACACTAGAAAACAGAACAGAAACGACACACGGACGGGATTAAACCCACATCGATTCTACGGGATTAATCGAATCCTTCGTCAGGTGCACTTTGGCCCTGATTCCCGAATAAATACCCATCCCAATTACCCTCCCAGCTTTTCTTGGTTGTGCTCAACAACCAACGTCTCCAGATACAGATGCGAGTCTCCGCTCTTTCGCCATCCAATTCTGCAGGAGGCCTTACCATCCTTCTGCTTCTTCTAGATTTCATCACTCCAGCAGCCACGGTTAAGCACGAGAACTTCAAGACCTGTTCGCAATCCGGCTTTTGCCGTAGGAACAGGGCTTTTGCCGATCATGCTCTTACCCCGGAGTCCAATTGGGTATCGCCCTACGAAATCAAGGAGAATACCGTTTTACTCCAGAACGGGATTCTCTCAGCCGAGATTCTGAAAACCGTCCCAGGCCAGACTGAGAAAGTGGTTTTACCCCTAAACATCAATTTCCAAAAGAATGGTGCCGTAAGGGTTACCATTGACGAACTTAAGCGCACAAAGGGGGACATTGTTCTACGCGGGGAAAGTAAAGCTCGTAAGGAGCGTTACAATGAGGCGGAGCGATGGGCATTGATCCCGGACTGGGATGTTAGGGACGATAAAGTGGTTTACGATAATCAGAAAGGGCAAATAACTTTGACCTTCGGACCGGAATTGAAGTATAAGGCCATCGTTACAGTTTATCCGTTCAACATCAAGTTCGAAAGGGATGGGGAAACGCACGTGGTACTTAACGACCGGGGGTTGATGAATGTTGAACATTGGAGAGCACAACCCGCAGAGCCTGAAGAAGGGAAGGAGAAGAGCCCGGAAGACCTTGATGGTGGATGGGATGAGACCTTCGGTGGGAATACAGATACAAAGCCGAGAGGTCCAGAGGCTGTGTCCATGGATATTTCGTTCCCAGGTTACGATCACGTTTTCGGAATTCCAAGTCATGCGACTTCCCTTTCGCTCAAGACGACGAGAGGCGGGGAAGGAGCCTATGAGGAACCGTATAGGCTGTACAACGCAGATGTCTTTGAGTATATCGTGGATAGCCCGATGACTTTGTATGGATCTATCCCATTCATGCAGGCTCATAGGAAGGGATCAAGTGTGGGGGTTCTATGGTTGAATGCAGCAGAAACATGGGTCGATGTGGTTAAGGAGAAGAAAACCAAGACGGATACGAAGACACACTGGGTCTCGGAATCCGGTCAGTTGGATGTTTGGGTGTTCTTGGGACCAACTCCTCAGACTCTTTACAAGGCATATGGCGAGCTCACCGGTTTTACGAAAATGCCACCCAGCTTTGCGATTGCATATCATCAGTGCAGATGGAACTATGTGTCTGAAGATGATGTGAAGGATGTAGACAGGAAATTCGACAAGCACGACATTCCGTATGATGTTATTTGGTTAGATATTGAGTACACAGACGGCAAACGCTACTTCACATTCGACCCCTTGACATTCAAAGAGCCCGAGAAAATGATGAAGAACATCGACAAAGCTGAGCGAAAGGTCGTCCTGATTATTGATCCTCACATCAAGAATACCGAAAACTACCCCGTTGTCGAAGAACTCAAATCGAAAGATCTCGCTGTTAAGGACAAATCTGGTGATATTTACGAAGGTTGGTGCTGGCCTGGTTCCTCGCATTGGATCGATGCCTTCAACCCAGCTGCAATTGAGTGGTGGAAGTCCCTTTTCAAGTTCGACAGATTCAAGGGAACTGCAAAGAACACCTACATCTGGAACGATATGAACGAGCCTTCTGTCTTCAACGGTCCCGAAACTACTATGCCAAAGGATAACCTTCACTTCGGAAACTGGGAACACCGCGACCTTCATAACCTTAACGGCATGACTTTCATGAACGCTACCCATCAAGCCCTCGAAGCCCGTGATGTCGGCAAAGGCAAGACCCAGCGAAGTTTCGTTCTCACCCGTGCATTCTTTGCCGGCGCTCAGCGTTTGGGTGCTATGTGGACTGGTGATAATGAAGCTAAGTGGGAGCATCTACAAGCTTCTCTCCCAATGCTGCTATCCCAGGGTATCGCTGGTTTCCCTTTCTCTGGTGCTGACGTTGGTGGGTTCTTCGGAAACCCGTCGAAGGAGCTGTTGACCAGGTGGTATCAGTCTGGTATCTGGTATCCATTCTTCCGTGCACATGCACACATCGATGCTAAGCGTCGAGAGCCATATCTTACCGGTGAGCCATATACCAGCATCATCCGTGATGCCATCCGGCTCCGATATGCTCTGCTCCCAGCTTGGTACACCGCGTTCCACCGTGCGTCGAAAGATGGTATGCCGATCATCAGACCAAACTTCGTCGCCCACCCAGACGATGAAGAGGGCTTCGCAATCGATGACCAGGCTTATATTGGTGACACCGGCTTGCTTGTCAAACCAGTTGTCGGTGAAGGTGTTGATAAGGTCGATATTCATCTTGCTGATGATGAAATTTATTATGACTACTGGACCCACAAGATTTACCAAGGCAAGGGAAAGAAAGAGTACAGTGCACCACTAGAGAAAATCCCGCTTTTGATGAGAGGAGGACATATTATCCCACGCCGAGATAGACCTAGAAGATCTAGCGGATTGATGAAGCATGACCCGTTTACTTTGGTTCTCGTACTGAATAAGAGGGTAAGGAATCTTCCAAGATCGAAATTTCAATATATATGAAACAATACTGACAGTTTATGATACAGGGTCACGCTATGGGTTGGCTCTACCACGATGACGGTGAGAGCTTTGACTACAAACAAGGAGCCTACATCCACCGCCAATTCATGTATAACGGCAGCAGGAAAACTCTATCGTCTAGGGATCTACATAAGGATCGCGCTGCTGCAGAGACATACAAAAAGGCCGCAAGCGCACTCCAGATTGAGAAGATCGTCATCGTTGGAGCGAGCAATTCTCTTGATACTAGTGCCTTGGCAGAGGGTAGATCAAAGGCAAAGGCTATACTGGTTGAAGATGATAACGGAAAGGTTAAGGAATGGCACGCTAGCTTGGGCTACACCGCTGCGGTTGATAAAGATCATGGTGATGTTCTTGTCATAAAGAATGCCAAGTTAAAGATTGGGAATGATTGGACTATTTATCTCGAGCAGGTGGGTGCTGAGGATAAGCCTAAGGATGAATTGTAAAAGGTAGTTGGGGCTGCAAAGCGGGAATTTCTCTTAGTTAATGTCTATGTCAGGGTAAAAGCTATTTTCATACATTTTTCAAGTTCAAGGAGACTACAAATAAAAGAGTCAATTGATTGAATTTCATACCCTTTCCTATCGTTTGCACCTCGCAGACCTAAACACTAGCATGCAAAACCGGTCCGATCAGAAATTCGCGACCTTGCAATCTAATCATGATCTTTAATATTCCCATCCAAATGCTGGGAACAGTTCTCCACAGTGTCAATCCCCTCTATTCCTTCAATAAAACCCCCCCAAGATGTCTTTGTTACCCAATTCGACCGTGGCAACGGTTCTCGATCTTCAGGGGTTTGCCATCCCCAAAATCTTCCCTTTTCGCACTTTGTTCCTACTTGATATCTATCATACCCACCAGTGTCATCTTTCCAACTCCCCTTAATATCGACAGAGAGGTAACAACCCTTCGCAGGCTGTTTATTGGTCAAGAAATCCATTTTAAAAACCCTAAGATCTAATTCTTCTCTGACCTTTTCCAAGAAGCTGATCATATGTTCTTTTTTCACAACATGGCGTAGCGTGAAAATACACAATACCTCCTTCAACGACTTTTTATTCGCGATCAGGAACTCAGTAAGAGCCTTCAGCGTGACCCCGGCCTTGATAAGCTCCAGACTCCGCAAGTTCGGCAGAACGGCCATCTGCGGGAACACAAAGCTAGGTTTACAAGCCTCCGAAATCACATCCAATAATCTGGTAATAACCAGAACCTGGACATTTCGTATGACTGTCATAAACAGTTCCGATGTATCTTTTTCATTTCTATATTCCACCGTCCAATCGAGGGCCACGCATATTTCTAGGCGAGAGAGGTTTTTGTAGGTATATTTAAAAGCTTGTAAGTCAACGGGATCATGTCCTTCTCTTGGAACACACGGTCGAAAGGTTAGTCCGTCTTTCGATTGGTACCATCGTCCGAATTTCCAGAGTGGGACTGAATCGATGGTTCTGTTCCAACCCAATCCATCCATGCGGATCTCAGATATCTGGCATTGAGCATGGGCGGCGCAGAATAAGACACCTGGGTAGGCGTAAGAGAGGGTAAGTCCATAAGCGTAGCCAGCACTACTTTGGAACCATTCATGCCATGGAAAACTCTCGATTCCGGGGTTGTTCTTGAGAAATGCTGCTAGAGCCGGATTGAATGCTTTCCAAACCGTCGGGATGTAATTCTCGTTTTGTTCGAAACGTGATCTGTCTTTGAAGCTTATAATCTTGAGGTTGGGAAGAAGTTTGAAGGTTTCGACCAGACATTTAAAGAAGTCGAAATTCTGCTCTTGTTGTTCTTTTGATTTCTTGAATTTCGATACCTGTGTGTCCGCGTTCGATGCGAAGTTCTCGCTTAGCATCGAGTATATCCCAGAGCGGGTGGTGAACGAAAGGTCGCTAGAGATCGATTCCGTCTCAGTTCCCGAATCCGATTCTACCTGGCTGACACCGCTACTCCAAAGAACCTTCTCCGCAAGTCTCTTGAAAGTTCTTCCATATCCACCCCCAGATCCATGTGTATTTCTATCGCGGTAGTTCTGGTAGAACTTCAATAGCTTGGTACGGGTCTCTTCAGAGTAGTTCTGTAGCAAACCATCAAACTCATGACTAGAAATCGGTACCACGTATGGATTTGCGAGGTCGATGATAATATGGTTTATGCGACTTCTTTGCTCCAATGGAAGAGATGCAAGACGCTTTAATCGTGTTAATTCATACGGATGTTTGAAAATAGTTCGTTGAGACTGTATTTCTTCCAGGCGCGTAGGTGGGATACTGGAAGCTACGGCTGTGGAGACTAGTCGAAGGCTTTGGACGTCGTCGTTAGTGAGGTATTCGCATATGTCATAGATAAGGTCATAGGGGAGTGTCGAGAGGTTGATTTTGTTCTCCGACGACATTTTAATTTTTCCTGTTTATAAGAATATTTAGTTGATACGAATTCGAATATTCTTTGGGATAAATTCGTGAAATTTATTTCATATTCCGGAAGTTAAGTAGAAGTTCATTTAGGTCGGGACTGATCACGATCCGGGTGCCTTGAAGGTCAAGGTCACCCTGAGTTTGCCTCGTGAGGCTAACCGGATCAGTTGATACCCAGAAGCGCAGCTAAATCGATAGCATTATATACACAAAGTAGACATTTAATTAACGCCGTCTTCAAAAAAAAGTATTAAACAAACAAAACCACCTGCTTCTTCATAAATCATACATCATATCGTCTACCATCTCTTAATTGATCGGAATCTTTTCTTCTTCTTCTTCTTCTTCTTCTGTTTCCTTTCTCAGCAACAGTTGAGGCAGTCGCAATCCCAATCCCAATCCGCCGCTAGGTCGACGCAAAAGCCAATGCATGCGCACTGGCAAAATAAGTATGTGAGAACCCACTTCCAACAACCATGGCAACAGCAACATCCGGCGCTACTGCTTCCCCCGCTCTTTTCTTCGGAGGGAGGGAATGTAGGTTGTGTTTCGAGAACTGTAGGCTCGAGTACGTCGAGTTTCTTTTCGTAGGTCATGGGCGCCTCGACTGTTGGGGAGCTAACTTCGTAGGTTGTGCTTGCCATTTTGTGAAATACTTCGGCTTCGATACTTGGATACGAAATACGGTGAATATATTGTAGATTTAAATAAATAGCTTCGGATCCAAGAATAGAGAATGGGTATGTCTATTCGTCCAAAGATAGGAGGAGATCTTGGAGTTTATTTATGTATATCGACCTGGACAAGTCGAGTCCACAGGAAATCCGGAATGGTCTTGTGTTGCGGTGCAGGTTGAAGGTTACACAGCGATATCGACGGATTGAGACAATTCCTTAAGATGGAAACTCTTTGCAAGGTTCAATCAATGCAATAGGTGTGATCGATAGTGAACCGTCGCGTCGGTGGAAATATAGTTATGATACGAAAGGCTCGATTAATTAATAGTATCAATTAACTGAGGTGCTGAGTGAAAAACGAATGCATGGACTTCGCACACCAGCCTGCCGGTGGCGATGGGGCTTTATATCTTCGTCCGGGCTGGCTGAAGGGGCCGAAAACCGACCCCGCTGCCAGTTCACTTGCATTTACATACTTGCTTGATCATGTCTTGCTTCTTCTTGTCACACCTCGACAGCAATTGCGATTGGTCCTGATTCGTGAAAATTTTGCGAAGAGAAAAAATAATAACAAGATTCATGAAAAAAATAAAAAAATCCGAAGATCCCATTCGGGCGCGATCGGGTCATGCACCTGCTTGCAAGGGACCCCAGCGAGGAACTTGGTCGACCTGGCCATCAAATCAAGTGAGGGCGAGAGGATGACCCTAAGCAAGGGATGGGAAGCCGCAGATGCAGCTACCAGTATAGTCGTCACAGCTGCAGAGGGACAGGTGCCCATTAGTGCTCGAATCTTGAGCCCATTGTGTGCTTGCTTTCGGCTACTTTGCTTGGCCATTGCATTGGCCATTGCATTGGCTCCCGGGCATCGATGGATCCATGGACGGCCACAGAGTGACATCGACAACTTAGCCTAGCGTGGGAACAACAAAGCTACGATAACTATCACAAAAGAATATAGGTGGCGCATGGCGTCGTCCAATCTGCACAACAGAGAGCCTCGTGATAAACATGAGGAATTCAGAGTGGGGCCAGGGAACAGTTTTCCAGCATCCGGTTTCCGTTCGTGGGGAGCAAAGAAGGGATGTATAGCTAAGTAGATAGGCATCCAATTCATAACAAAAAAAACCCTACGAATCCATGAATTGCACTATAGCGGTCCTTGCAGATATGATTTCTAATGCAGATTGATCGACGATGTAAGGGCCGGTATTTTGGATTTCCTCCAGTCTGCCTCGTGTATAAACGTCCGCGCAGCCCTGATATTTTAAACATACCGACGTATGCACATATCTCCCAGAATGCTCGGTTTGTGCCGAACGAGATATATCAGTTTTGTGATCAAAATCTTCCTTTATGATATTCTGAAGCTCGAAGTTTTTCACTTCCAAGATTTCTCTCACACAGGACCTAGCACAGACCCCAACCTCGGCCTGTCGAATTCGGTTGGGAAGGAACCGCCCCCTGCTCCCAGGCCGCAAACCATTGGCCAGACACGCAAGATCACGATAAGCGACTGGCTAAATCTATATGGATAGCTTCCTTCCGTCGATTCGTCAAGCACTTATCCGAGGTGGAGCTGGCACAAAGCTAAAAGTTTTCCCGTCCTTCTTTGACAAATCACAATGATTACCCAGTTCTCCCAAGTATGCAAACTAAATGCTCCATAGAGCTCTTTGGCAAGCCCGAATTTCAGCATTAATCCAAAGATGGGAATAAATCAGGCCATTGTAGCTGAATGTCCCTGGTGGCTCCACACGTTCTAGACCTTGATCGGCTAGGCTCAAGATTTCATGATCCCGCGCAAGATATCACGACATTCCAGAAAAAAAAAGAAAAAAGTTAAGATAGAAACAACTTGTACTCTCATGTGCTTCACCATATAGCTAAATATTTATATAGAAGTTCGAACAGATGGGGTTTAGTAATTTTATATATATCCATGTACTAATCAAAAACCAGCCAGACCCAAGGAGCGCAAGCGATCGATCGATCGAAAATTTATTCTACATACGCATACTACATGCTACATGTATACATATTGATCCAAAAATGCAAAACAGTAACATAACTAGAACATGTACAAACCAAAGCTTTCGGGGTATATCTACATGATTTATTCGCTATTTACGGTGAAAACCCAAGCCTGGCGATGGTGAAGCTTAACAAAGCAATGCTGGCAAAATTCTATGAATTCTCTAGGAAGGTGTAGCATGGGCAGTAAACAATTTTATTTTGTTGTCATTTCCCCGTTAGCCGTTGAATCGATGACGTTCAGACATACCCTTACATAGTATTCCTTTGAGGGATATCGATCCCGAATCCTCTCCATATGGGGCTAAGCGGTTCCAGTTCTTCTTGGATCGGAGATAGTCGATTTTTGTCCGCAAACCAGTCAGGTATCTCGGGTGAGGTCGGTATGACTGTAAACCCGGGTTGGGCTTCGACTACAGGTTCCGGCTGCTCTGGGAAAGATGGTTTCAACCAAGTTTGCTGATCATCGCTCATAAAATGCCACTTCGGTATTTCAGGGCTCGGTTTTAGTCTCGGTCTTCTTTCCATCCTCTCTTTTCCATCCATCCATCGCATCATGTTCTCTACTTCTTTTTTCCCCCGCATCCATGCATATTTCATCCGAGATTTCCAAGTAGTCAAATAGTAGCCATCTAGTAAGTCTTCTAGATATAGAACCGGACTCCACCCCGCCAGGGCACACACCACCGATTCTAAGAAACGATATGGTGCCTTGAGGAACCATGCAAAGTCAACCTTTGGTCGAAAATAGACCATTTGCCAAATATCGTCCTGATCTTCGAATAAGGAATCGAAAGTATCTTCCAAAAACGCATCCCAGTCGATGTCTTTTACCTCGGTACGGCGGAACCCAGCATCAAATTGGTTATAGAATGTGTATTCGTAACTGATGGTGATAATGCGTCTTGTACGGATGTTAAATAATGCAGCCGGGTTGCCTCCCATATGTCGGGCAATATTGTTTTCGAAATATAGATTCCCTTTGTTACGGACCAAGTGAGCATCAATATTTGAGATTTTCTTTAGATGAGGACGAGTATATCGACTGCTGAGTGCAGACTGTTTGACTCCGTATAAAACAATGTCGAACCGACCTGGGTGTAAGTCGCGATTTCGAGGAGGCATATTGAATGTTTTTTTTAGCGGTAAATTCGAACGTATTGATGATTTTATAGGAAGATAAGAAAGTATCGAGGAGCCAAGAGGCTGTATGTATTCAGACCAAACACTGGAGATTTTAGGATGGTGACGAGGAAAGGACGAGAACCCAGGCTCATATTCTTGGGGGGCTATAGCACTAGCTGGTTGTACCTACTGGCGCCAGCTACAGCGCTGCAGCGGCCGTTAACGAATATCATTATACAATATCGAGACATTTAACGAGAAATTTCTCCGGTATCCTACTACTACGTATACACTGGTCTACGAGCGCTACGACGTAGATATGTAAGGCGGCTAATATACTATATGAGGGTTTATCGGCAACTGGTGATATGCTACTGCGCGTATCATAAAAATAGATCTATATAGCTAGACGAAACAACTGCTGTGTTCGCGGCCCTTATTGGGAAGTTGATCGTATAGGACCCGCGTGAATAATAGCTGGAATACGTATCTAGAGGAAACTGAAAAAAACACTGTATTAAAGAGAAATGGAGATAGTTCCAAAGGATATTCAGAAACACCTCGACCGACAGCCGATGTCGACGACATAAGAGCTCGAGATATATATATCGCGAGCGGAATATCCGTAGACATTTAGAAATACCACAAAAACAACACAGACCCTGTGCCACATATGTACATACATTATATTACTTGTATATTCAGCCGTCGCTGTGCCATAATAAATCTTGTTCAGGCCAGGGGTAATTAATTCCGTCGAGCACACGTTGTGAGATGACTGGCCAGCTGGTATATTAGTTGGGTTTTCTTATATACATGCGGTGGGGTGTATCCTTGCTACCTTTACTACTGCTTGGTACCAAACCGGCCTTATATATTATCAATTCTTGATTGATCATAATTTGATTGTTTCCTAATTGATACCAAAGCTTGTGATTTTTTAGCTGGAGCCTGAAGCCAAAAACCGAAAGCCTTAGTATCATACTGTCTGTATAGTATGTATAACTGCTTCGAGGCCGAAATTCGCCGATATTTAAATCCTTGAGTATTTACCAGGTAAACAAGCTTCAGTCGTCAATGTAAGCACCGACTAAGTATTCCAAGAAAACCTTATTTAGTTGTCCGGGAACAAGGGGTTGTGTATACGAGGGGCGGCAGGGCTATACTACTTTCGTATCGTTCTAGATTAAACGTCCGGCCTTGCGCCCTGTAGATTTAAGATTGGATTTTGATCCTGAAGATGGGAATTTTCCCTCGACACGATGGCAAATGGCTTCAGCTGGCGCGTCAGCATTTGTAAAATGGCGCCAATAAAGTGCCAGTATTTACTATGTAGAATCCCCCTTTTTTCGAATCTGATTCCCTCAAAATTCTTTGATTTCGCCCTATCCTTTTTGAAGTTATCTTGTAAATTCGATCTTCAATCTTCATACCAGAATTGAAGAACAACACATTCATTTAAAACTGCCCCTTTCTCAAAATGACACGCTCCTTTTTAAACAACGCGGTTTTTGTTTATTCTCTCCTTGCATTTTATACAGACCCTGCGCATTCGTCATTCCACAACCGTCATGCTCATATGCGACGTAACGGCGCACTGACCAAACGGTCTGGAGTGCCTTCCTATGATGGCTGGTCACTTTCATGGTCGGATGACTTTACAGGCCCCGCAAACACCCTACCATCCAGTTCAAATTGGCTTTGGGATCTTGGTACTTCCTATCCGGGAGGACCATCCAATTGGGGCACTGGGGAAATCCAAACATACGTGAAATCTACAAGTAACTCTTACCTCGACGGTGATGGGAATTTGAATATCGTTCCCCTCAAAAGCTCTTCGGGACAATGGACTTCGGCCCGTATGGAATCCGTGGGGACATACCGGTGCGTTCCTGGCAGAAAACTTCTTATTGAAGCGAGTATAAAGTTGCCAAATACGCCCAATTTATCCCAATGGGGTATCTGGCCAGCGTTCTGGACCATGGGGGCGGCTTTTAGAAAAAATGGTTACACCGGATGGCCGTATACTGGAGAGCTAGATGTTATGGAGGCTGTGAACGGACAAGGGACCGGGTATAACACTGTTCATTGCGGTGTATACCCTGGCGGTGTGTGTAACGAACCTAATGGGATAGGGTTTACTTCGCCATTTACCAAAGGCGAATTCCATACTTTCAGTTTATTGATTGATCGAACTGCTGGCACATGGCAAAATGAGTTTATCAGCTGGCAAAGGGACGGTGTCGAAAAGTTCAGAGTTTGGGGATCCCGGGTTGGAGATGAATATGTTAGTCTTTTTTCCTGCCATTTCGAAAATTCTCGCGTTTCTAGTGATAGGTTAGCTAACGTTGGCTGTAGACATGGGGCAACTTGACGCATCTGCCAATGTTCATCCTTCTCGACGTCGCAATTGGAGGGGCTCTGCCCAATGCAATCGCTGGGTTCTGGACCCCGACTGAGAATACGATTGGAGGACTTGACAGCGCCATGATTATCGATTATGTTGCTGTCTATAACTCTTTGGGTAATACTACCTCATTCAGCATCTCCTCTACCACCACGACTCAAACTTCTACTTCAAGCACAACCAGCAGAGTAACAAGTCAGAGTAGCAGCGTCCCCACGACAACAAGAACAAGCACATCTGTAGTCAAAACTACCACCAAAACAACTACTACCACTGCGAAAACCACGCCAAAGACAACTGCAAAGACCACCGCAAAGACAACAGCGAAGACAACCGCAAAGACCACTGCTAAGACAACAGCCAAAACCACTGCAAAGACAACGGCCAAAACTAGTGCAAAGACCACTGCAAAGACCACTGCAAAGACAACAGCTAAAACCACTGCGAAAACGACCGCAAAGACCACCGCCAAAACCACTGCCAAAACCACTGCCAAAACCACTGCCAAAACAACTGCCAAAACAACTGCCAAAACAACTGCTAAAACAACCACTAAAACAACTGCTAAAACAACTGCCAAGACTACTGCAAAGGCCGCCGCAAAGACAACACCGAAGACAACTGCTAGAACGACAGCAAAAACGACTACAAGGAAGGCGTGAGGACCACGTGATATCGCCAATATTGTCCAATAATCACCGGCCTGAACTAAACTATTCGGGCTCCTACTCGAGATGTGGGCGCATCTAACACCATTAATTATAATATATATTTATTATCTTTGTCAACAACCCCATTCGATTGTGTATATCTGCGCATATCAGGTGTTTTGAATCAATGTCTTCTTGTTTGATTATATCGGTGGCGCCGTGACAATGTTCATTTTTAGGGCTTGGAACTCCGGATAATATCCGGCTAAATTATATTGATCAAAGTTTTATGTAAGATTATGATAGTAAAATTTGGCTGACCAGACAAATTGGAGCGTTGTTGTTTTTGCTTACCGCCGTTTTGTATATACTCATAGCTTTGGTAATATATAAATGTAGAATTCTCGCGTGTGTGCGACTGTCATTCGTTAGATCGTCCCGTCTTTTGTGTCACGCCTCTGATCATGGGGACGATGCTGACTACCTGGGTATGCATGTCGGGTGACATGTACAGTGTAGATAGTATACTAGCATCGATTGGTACCATGATTTGATGTACGTGATATGATAGCAACAGGGCAGACCTAAGTTTGATAGGTCCATATACAGTATGTCAAAGAAAATCATTTGAACTCCTATGGCCCTGTCCGCCCTGGGCCCGAAAATACCAGGATCTTTGAGGTACATACGTCGAGCAGAAAAGTTGGATCCTTAATTACTATGCTCTTTGTCATCAAAGAGTTTATGTTGGGGCCACCTCACTGGTGCTTCGTAGGTTGGTTTAGAATTCACTCACAACTGCGAGGCTACTAGTTTATAGCCTGAATAAAAGGCCACACTTCTCACCCCATTCATCTGAGCCCGGACCACCCTACGAACCCGCCTGCAAGTCAGCCTAGAAACTAGCCTAGCGTGCAGACTACCAATCTATAAACTCAAAATTATCTAGTAAGCCTGCAGCTGTAGGCCAAGTCAGTCCGTCAATTGCTAGCTTGTGAACCGTCAGCCTGTAAACCACTAACGTCGCAAGCTATCTGTCAATCACCAATCTGTCAATCACCAATCTGTAAATTATTAACTTGTGAATCGGTCTGTAAACCAGGCTATGGATATATAAAATCGATATCGCGCAAAATAGACAGAGTATATGAGAACACAAAGCAAATTGTTTACAAGTAAGCATGATAATAATTGTGAATGTTAACAAACCTTGGGATCCAATGTTCGAAAATTTCTGTTCAATATATCTAAAAGTTTAAAAGTATTCTGACACCCTTTGAACGCCATGGAGAACACAGCAGGGGTAGATACGAGGTCTTATCAGCATCTGCTGCGCTAATTCCGACATACCGACCTTACGGCTGAGCGCAGGCCCATTTATCCATATGCAAACTCTATAATTCTCGGACGAGACAAGCTCTCGGAGACGCCGCCAAGCGTATGCTGGAATCGAATCCTGCATTTTGAAAAGAGCCGCAGCCCTACATGGTGTCCACAATGTTGACGTACGTTACCAAAGACGCAAAAACTTTGGATATCAATTCGAATCTCAAAAAATTTCCGAGTAAATTTCCGCAAGTACTTAATCAGCAGATGTCGCTTTTATCGTCCCAGAATTGATTCGGCAGCAGAAAATACCACAAATTCAACACATATACGGATCTCTTTTTAGGTCAGATCTCGATATCTCACCACAAACCTCAACAATTAATTGAACAACCAAATCAATTATTATATTTATCAGCAAACTTTTAAACTGATACCGACAGAAAATTTCGGCATGAATTATCTTCTACTACCCCTTCTCGTCCTTCCTTCCGTCCTCGGTGGTTGTGCACGCTTTTCTACCACCGAACGTTGGACCATAAGAGGAAGATATGGGAACGATGGTGGTTACCCTGCCGGTTACAAATTTCTCGAAGATGCGCCTGTAATCCAAGCTACGGACTTTTTTACTTGCAACCAACAAACTATCATCCAAACGCGGCCATGTGCTGGAAATATCTCTCTTTGCGGCTTGGAACCGCAAGGATTGGCGTCAGTCACTGCGCGATTCAGCGTCACGCCTGTAAACAATAACGAAGATGTTCTCAGGTCATTTTTCGGGCTCGTTAGTGGAGCGGTAGAGGCTAATGGGCGCGACGAGTCATATCCGAACAGAAAACCACCACGATACCAAGCGTGTGGTGAAGTTGGGGGATCCGGTCGAACGTACTGCCTTGCGGTTGGTGATCAGGGATGGATTAGATATTCCGCACGGTATCTGTGTGTCAATGGAACTGCAGAGGAGTGCACGGATGGACCGTTTGAGAGCGGGACAAAGTTGGTAGTCTGTGGAGTTGACGGGGAGTTCCCGAATGGGGACCTTAGCTTTGAATCAAATCGCACAGCAGAAACTGCCCCGAACTATATGGCCAGTGATATGAATCCAGCCCTCAATAGTAGTTTGACATGTGGAGCTTCAATGTCTGAACTCAAGGGATGGTCATTTGGGTTTATGGGTTTGGCAGTAATTGCAGGGTTTATTTTGTAGATATATATGAGAGAGTGGGGTTGTCATTTGTAACCTGACTGTAATAGCATAGATGACTATCGCGATATCGACGCACAGTATTTTCATTCTTTTTTTGAGTTCAATAGTTTGATTAAAATACTTGTATCGACGCTAAAAGAAAATAAAGCGAAGGGGACAATGTTGGGTACAAAGAATATCGGAAAAAATATAGAACGCCTGTGTACAAAAAGTGGTGCACAGGAGTCTAGAAAAAAGCGGGTAGAGGTATAAGAGACGAAAAGTGGATATAGGAAGTGCGGATGAGGGTGGTTCGTGTTAGGGGTCGTAGTGGATAGAAATTAAATATGTATTTTCAATAGGAATAAGCAGCCATCAACGTCAAATATTCTTCTCCGGAAAATTGCTTCAAAACCAAAACTTTGCCACAATACACTAGCATGTTTAATTTCTTCTGCCAGTGCGAGCGGCAGAGCCTTGCATCTGCTCGAGTTCCATCTCCAAAGATTTGATGCTATTTGTAGACATAAAAAGTTAGTATACAACGGAAATGTCACGTGCTTGGGGGCTAAAACGTACGCGGCATGTGTAGCTTCCAAGTCCTTGTTGAGGCGATCACGCTCGGAGATCAACTTCTGCTCCCATTGTCTGAATCTCTGTTCTTCGATCTTGACCTGCTCGGTGAAACGCTTCCTAAGAGCCTCTTCCTCCTCTTTGAACTTAGGATTGTCGAGTTTTCTAGGCTTGGTCTCGCCAAACTTGCGGGTTTCCATTTGCTGGGCACGGTAAACCTCGTAGTGCTGCTCCTCGGTGGTGTGGATAAGATCCAGCATGTGGGTTCGGATCAAGATGCTTCGGAGCTTCTTGAAGTCACAGTGATCTTCGTTCTCGACTTCGGCGACACCCCAGCTGTACTGTCGTCCCTTTACGACACGGCCATCAGGGGTCTTCACATCCTTCTCACTGCCAATGACGGCGAATGGCATAGCAGCCTATGGGTCGGTGTTAGTACGCGTAAAACCAAACACATACCAATCAAAACGTACCATCAAGCTGCGGGCGTGCTGGGCGGCGGCCTCATCATCTTCTTCCACTGGTGGCTGGTAGATCTTGATACCCTGCGCTTCAATTACGCTGCGAATTCTCTCCTTGAATCGCTGGAGGTCGGCGGGTGACAGCGTATCAGCCTTGGCGACGACTGGGATCAAGTTGACACGAGTACATAGTCTCTTCATAACCTCAATATCCAATGGCTTCAAAGTGTGACCAGTTGGACGGATGAAGTATAAGCAGGCATGAACACGGAGGTCGATCTTGTCGGTTCTGCGCGGCTGTTGCTCTTGCAACATATAGGATTCATGCTGGTCATCCAAAAATTCGATGATTGGCATCCAGGAGTCGCGGTTGTTAACATAGTCTCCGAATCCAGGGGTGTCGATGACAGTAAGGCGAACTAGAATGGCTTGTTAGATTGCAATATAGAATTACATGAATCGAAGCGGTTTACGCACCTTTGAAGAACTTCTCCTCTAGCTCAGCCTTGGTGATTTCGATCTCGACAGTCTTATCGACCTGTTTTGTGACATCATATTAAACTGGCGCTCAAGAAGAGGTACATTGTCTATTAATTCCGTACCTGCTTGGTGTGTCTCTTCTTATGGTCGGCATAGTTCTTGATTGTGGTCGAGAACAATGTGTTGATGAATGTAGTCTTGCCTGTTCGAGGGGTTTATTGATAAGCTACGATGTCCTAGAACTGAGCATTCCCGAAGCTCAAAACGAACCTAATCCGGATTCACCAGCGACCTGAAACAGCCATCTGTCAGTAAGGAATCGGCGGAGCATATAAAGTGGGATGAAGATAGCCTACCATAATCGTGAAAGCAGCTCCGCGCTTGGCCACGATCTTGTGCCTGTCCACAGTTATCTCGAGTTAACCAATTGCTTTTAAACCTTCAATCGCACGATCTCGATTATGAATCATGCCGCGTACCTTTGGTTTGGCAACTATAAAGAGGCAGGTTAGCGATCATGGATTCTATTTAACGCGTCCTGAAGCCGAAAAAAGGAGCTACTCACGTTAGCGATACCGATGAGGTTCGCGGATTCCGATGTAGCAGGAGCCATTGTGATGTGAAGGTAAGCTAAAGGAGAGTGATACTATAATCCTCGACAAAGGCGATTGTGATAAGCTCAGGGCCGTTGGAGATATGGTTCGGACGCGATAGAGGCTGGCGAGGAGATGGTGATGGGAAGGTCGAGAGGGTAAACTGGGGCAGGATCGTTTCAGGAGAAGGTGGATTGGTGTTGGTGCCAAAATTTGGGTGGAAAGGGGAAGGCACTTTAACTCTGCTTCAGTTCAACGACCTCGCCTAACAAATTCCCAGGAACGACTCTCGCTAACAAAGCTCAGACGAGTTAGACTGCTTGGCCAATAATATCCAATATCAGATGAACCAGACCTCTTTTCCAGCTCTAATTAATGTACTAACTTCTAATTATCGAATTTGGGGGTCGAATACATGTCTCGGCGTTCGTGGTTTTGGTGATGGGACATTAAGAGTTACGTTCAACTGATACCGAACAACGGCGTTCGGTTGATCAGATAGCATCATGCTCGCTTTGGCCAGCCGCGAGCGAATTTTCGCACTTAGCTGTCTAAAAGTCAAGTTGATATTAATTTCTGGCAAGTACGATTTATATTCCGTTACCGGGCCCCTATATACTATTAATCCGTCATGTTCCTGTATTTTCTAACAAAGCACTTGCTCGTACCAACTAGATCTATGAGACGAAGTTTTCTATTCTATGCACCGAACTATGAAGAAACCACCCTACAAGCCAGGGGCGAAATCACTTGATGTCCCTTGCCTTACATAATTAAGTTGCTTAAATTGGAGCTTCGAACCAGAGATCAAGGCTTCTTTCCCCAATGGCCAAGGGCGTGCATTAATTTTCGACCCCAAAATAAGGGTGTGCCCTATTGTTGCACAGACCATTCTCGTTCTTTCTGGCATTTTGAGGTTGATGGCTGTTCAGGCGGCTAAGCCTAGACATAGGGATCGATGGTTCAACATTCATGTTCCCAGAAGACCCAAAGTATGACGATGTGATTTTTGGGAGTGCAAATTATTTACTTCCCTTCCCCTCGAATCCATGCCGGAAACAGCACAATTTCAACTGCCAAGGCTTTATCACGCTCAGTCATGGTTCTTCGGTTTTCTAGGTGGTGTTTTATGGTGTATGCGTAGAACAAAGGCTATACACATAACGCCTAGTATTCGATTCCGACCACAGGTTCTCGTCCTCACTTCGCTGCAAACTCGGGGGTACTATTATTCACCGATCTTTCTGTGGGACTGTACCATCCTCAAATCCAATCGAAACGGTGGCTAGGAATTAATGCAACTATGCCATGCACAGAATAATATCGATTTTTCTATGGCGTGTAAGGCGTGATGGCGTTAGTATGTGGCACAGTCCTGGGTACAGCGTCAAGGGAAACAATTCGATTCGTTACAGCACGCAATGATAAAGTGCTATACGAACCCCCCCTCCCAGTGCTGTTAAGGATTTAAAGCAAGAGCAAGTGTTCGAAAAATTGACGTGGCCAGGAAACGCGCAGCAAGGCTGATTATGTTACCGGATTCAGGCATCATTTCCCCCAACTATAAATGCAAGCTAACCCCAGAGTTTAATCTGAGTCAAACGATCCAACTGTCATCCTATTGCTCAATAGATCAATCTCATAAACGATTATTCGGCCGGCTCGTCCAAAACTCAAAAATAATTAAAACATCTACCTAAACATTCACGAGATATCTCGCACCTACCCAGCTTAATTATGAGATCAATGTCTGATCAGATTCCCATCACGGATGCCAACCTTCTCAAGAAGCTTAGGGATACCATCGACAATGGGCTTCGTGATATAAGATCGCAAACTGATGAAGATTCCATTGACTGGAAAGCTAAGTTGAAGTACGGATCCTGCATAGGATATTTCTACGATCCCGGAGAAGCTAGCTAATGCAAACCCCATCAAGAATTAGGGAACTTTTGGACGAGATTTACAATCTCTGCAGTGAAAATTGGAATCTTCTGAGGTTCGTTGCTTACGCTGTAGCCGCTGTAGGCGCAGCACTCGTAATCCCGATAATACTCCAGATTGCAGGGTTCAGTCTGCTTGGTCCTGTCGCAGGTAGCTTCGCAGCAGCGTGGCAGGCATCTGTCGGTAATGTCGTTGCGGGTAGCTTGTTTGCTTTCCTTCAAAGCATCAGCATGGCCCCTGCCACGGCGATGACAACAGGTGCATTAATCACTTTTGGGGTGTTCTTGTGGGTTGAGCTGAAAAAGGAGCCCGATGCTCCAGCTAAACCTGGACCTGACGATGGTGATGATGGGGCTCCCGGTGATGGAACCCCTCCGGGAAATGCTCAAAAAAGTGGGGCAGGGCGAAGATTGCTAAATCCTTTGCGCTCAGTATATGATGGTTATCGAGTCGCTCGATACGGCTTCAGCGGCAAGACTCGATTCAGAGGTTAATATATCGATATGACCCGTATCGATTTTGCAAATGTAAACAACTGGTGCCCCTGACAAATAGTATCGAGTGAAAGAAGCCTGCAAAACTCATGTAATCTAGCATTCATGGATGTGGAACTGTTCTTACAATTGAAATTTTACATAACTCTCCCGCAAGTCTAATCATAAAGTATTAAACGTGAATCCGCGCGAGTCGTAAATGATTATTTGTGTTGATGTTGTGGTCGTTTTTAGTCATCGAGACGAGACCTCTTTCGGCTGTCGCAAAAAGCCCAAAACTTTTAAAGTTGCGGCTCCAAACGAAACCTTCAACTTCATCTTCACCCCAGTCCAAGTCTCGATCTTAGGATGATGCAAATATAGCACACCATGAAGACCGACTTTAATGTAAGTGCCTTCCTACTTTTAACTCACATGCTCTATGGAGATGTGATAAAGTATCAATGCTAACTTCGAGGCCGAGCTGAATAGTTTTCAAACTTGCTGGGCACAGTCTACTGCAAAGGCAATCTCGTCTTCACCCCAGATGGCACCTCCCTGCTATCGCCCGTCGGAAATCGAGTGACCTGTTTCGACCTTGCGAAGTACGTTTTGGTATTGATTGTAAAAGCTTTCAATCGTGCTTGTGCTGACTAGGATTATCGAATTTGATAGTAACAAATCATACACCTTTCCATTCGCCCACCGCAAGAATGTCGCCCGTATAGCTCTCTCCCCACAAGCCACCCTACTCCTCTCAGTTGACGAAGACGGTCGTGCGATTCTTACAAATTTCATTCGTCGAACCGCCCTCTATAACTTCAACTTTAAATCCAAAGTCCACGACCTTCAATTCGCGCCTGACGGAAGACATTTCGCTGTCGCGGCGGGTCGAAACATCGAAGTATGGAAGACGCCAGAGTTTTCCGAGGATAGAGAGTTTGCACCGTTCGTTAGGCATAGAGTGTATACCGGTCATTTTGATGACGCGAATAGTATTACATGGTCGTCAGATTCAAGGTTTTTCTTGACAGCGTCGAAGGATCTGACGTCGAGGATATGGTCTTTGAACCCTACGGAAGGTTTTGTACCCACTACGTTGGGTGGCCACAAGGAGTCCGTTATCGGCACCTACTTCTCGGCAGACCAAGAAACAATCTACTCTGTTAGCAAAGATGGCGCCGTATTCACGTGGAAATACACTGTTCCTAGGAGGAATGTCATGGAACTTGAGGACGATCCTGAAGAAGCACCCCAGGACCCCTCTCAGGAACGCTGGCGGATAGTCAAGAAGCGCTTCTTCATGCAAGGCTCTGCTACAGTCAAATGCGCCACCTATCATGCTCCATCAAACCTCTTGATCGTAGGCTTCTCGACAGGTCTCTTCAGTCTCTACGAAATGCCGGAATTCAACCTCATCCATACGCTCTCCATCTCCCAGAAGGAAATTGACCATGTCTCCATAAATCCCTCAGGCGACTGGCTCGCCTTTGCCGCCTCAAAACTCGGCCAACTTCTTGTCTGGGAATGGCAATCAGAATCCTATATATTGAAGCAACAAGGCCATTACGATTCCATAAATTCTCTCCTCTATACCCCCTCGGGGCAGCATATAATCACCACTGCCGACGATGGTAAAATTAAAGTATGGGACACAATATCTGGCTTCTGCATCGTCACATTCACCGAACATACCTCCGGAGTTACTGCCTGTGCATTCGCAAAACGAGGGAATGTTCTCTTCACGGCATCACTTGACGGTTCAATCCGTGCATGGGATTTAATCCGTTACCGAAACTTTCGAACTTTCACAGCCCCATCTCGTCTACAGTTCTCTTCGCTGGCAATTGACCCAAGTGGTGAAGTCGTCTGTGCTGGCTCATTGGACTCCTTCGATATCCACCTCTGGTCCGTCCAAACAGGCCAACTTTTAGATTCCCTCTCTGGTCACGAAGGTCCTGTGTCTTCTCTCGCCTTTGCAGCAGATGGGAACACATTGGTCAGCGGCAGCTGGGACCACACAATTCGCATCTGGAGCATCTTCGGCCGCACACAACTTTCTGAACCACTGAATCTTCATTCAGACGTCTTAGCTGTCGCCTTTCGTCCTGATGGCAAACAAATAGCGGCCTGCAGTCTTGACGGTGAACTCAGTTTTTGGGCTGTAGATGATGCCGTTCAAGTCAGCCATGTAGACGGTAAACGCGATGTCTCCGGCGGTCGCAGAGTCGGTGATCGCAGAACTGCGGCTAGCAGCCCTGGTGGAAAGAACTTCAATACGGTTTGCTATAGTGCTGATGGAACATGTGTTCTTGCAGGCGGGAATAGCAAGTACATCGTTCTGTACGACGTCGATACTGGCTCTCTACTTAAAAAATTCAGTGTCTCGATTAACCTTTCAATTGACGGAACTCAGGAGATGTTAAATTCAAAGAACATGACAGAAGCTGGACCGATCGATTTAATCGACGACCAAGGCGAAGCCTCGGACTTGGAAGATAGAATCGATAAATCGTTACCCGGTGCATCAAGGGGTGATGCATCAGTCAGAAAAGTTCGGCCGCAGATCAGAGTTACTTCCGTATCCTTCTCGCCAACAGGCAGAGGGTTTGCGGCAGCGAGTACGGAGGGGTTGGTTATCTACTCATTGGATAACTACTATACCTTCGACCCATTCGATTTAGAAATTGATATCACACCAACCACGATTTTGGGGACTCTAAGACGGAAGGATTATCTCAAAGCCCTTGTGATGGCGTTTAGGCTTAATGAGAAATACTTGATTCATCAGGTATACGAGGGTATTCCTGTAGCGGATATAAAACTGGTGGTCAAGGAATTGCCAGTGGTATACCTATCGCGATTACTAGGCTTCATAGCAAAGATCTCAGAAGAGAGTCCACATCTGGAGTTCCACCTATTGTGGTTTGAAGCAGTATTGGGACTACATGGAAGAGTCTTACGGGCTCAACAAGGCAAATACGGTAGTGAATTGAGGATGGTACAGAAGTGTGTGGTGGCGATACAGACAGAATTGGCGAGATTGTGAGTTTCTTTCCTACTATATTATTTATTAGGCAAGAAAATTAGATACTAACTGTGGTTTATAGGGCCGACGAGAATATATATACCCTCGACTATCTCCTATCCACCCCCAAAACGTCCGCAAAGCAGCAACAGGACAAAACAAAACCCAAGCTGCTAATGGCCCCTGAGGATGTGGATAGCGAAGGTAGTAATAATGGCGATATCCAAATGAATGGAGAGTCGCCAGGAGGGGGTGCTGGCTGGGAAGGATTCAGCGACAGCGACGACTAGCCTCAGGGGGCTTTTGCGATCAGCTCAAGGGATGAATTCATCATGATGTACGATAGAGTTATAAGTACGGAGTAGACATTTTGGTGTAAAATTCTGTATCTATAGATGGTGTAATCTGGAGATAAATTCAAAAGCATTTTTGGGTATCAGATTAAGCGGCGATTATGAGAACTGACTGATGTGGGCGAGAAATTTACATTAAATTATCGGTTTACAAGAAGGCGAATGCCTCCGTACGACTCGCGATAGGGACATATATAGTCATGAACGGACACATCATGCTTCATTTGTGGACCTCACCCGGGCCCCTCCTCCCTCCTAACAAAAACGCCGTATGCAATGCCAGCCCCCCCAACTCTAAATAAACATTTTTTTTAAAAAAAACAAAAAAACAAAACAAAACAAAACAAACAAAAACAAAAAAAACACTCACTATCTAACCGGTAACTTCATGAGAAGAGGCGGGTTAGCGAGTACACCTGCGGGTCGGAGGAGGAATATCCCCTTCGTCACCGGGTTCGCGTACTCGGTTCCGTGGGTCCCGTACCGGGCTCGGGGACCCACTCCCCACCTCTTCCCATATCTCCGTTTTCCAGGGTTCGTCCACCAGTACTTCGAAGTCCCCCTCAATTCTCGACCGAGCCGACTTATCGAGCATGAAGTTTCCATCGGACCCCATGTGGATAGGCCATTCAGTTTGGCGTCTCCACAGGGCGTCCACCCTCATGCTCTGCAGCAGGTCGAGAGTGAGGGGGTCGTCGAAGATACTGGGTTTGACCCGCTGGGATTGAACCCCCCTGAGCTGGTGGAAGAGTCCGGCCTGTATCCTATGGTAGTCTTTGGAGGCCCCCCTGAAGCTGTTCAGGGAGAACCCCCACAGCACAGCATTTAGCTGTGCTTCCCCCATCCCCCGCTTCCCCCACTCGTCCTTCAAAGTATTGTACTTAGCGTTGGCCCTTTTGCTCCAAAAGGCCATTTGCTGCTCGGCGGGAAGGCATCGGGAAGGACGATCCTTAGTCACTTGCATGTGACTGTCATAAGATGTTACGAAATCCTTATGTAGTAGCCGATTAAACGGCTCTCTGTCGAACTGTTGGTGGCTAAGCAGGCCACTCCGACAATCGAGAGTGGCTCTGCTCTCCGGGAGGACGGGATCTGGTACGCACGGCTTTATGGACGGCTTGGTCTCTAACGAATCTATTGGTTTGATGCATTTCTTCTCGTTGGGGCCCACTATTGGGGCCCCGGCTACTAGTTCGTTATTAACCTCGCCACCACCTCCGTTAGGCGCCCCCGCCTAGGGCAGCGCCTTGGCTTTTGCCGCCGTTTGCTGCTTCTCCCTCTCCTTCTTCCTATTCTTCTTGCTCTCTAGCTCGTGCCACTCTCCCTCAATGTGTTTGAGGCTATATTGAAACAGAAGGTCAGTTCCCGTCCAGAAGCTAGTAGGGGCTCATATTTTCTAATTAAACTTACGCAGTGGTTCTCTCCATCTTCGGCTCGCCAGCCGTGAAGTATGGATCCTGCAGTATATCTTCGGCCTTTGGCCGCTTCTTTGGGTCGTAAGTGAAAATACGCTGAGCCAAGGCAAGGGCATCAGCGGGAACAAAGCTACGAAATCTAAGTCAGCAAGGCCATAAGTAGTGGAGTGCTAATTGGGTTATAACATACCTTCCAAATCTCTTCTCAAAACACGGCTCGTATTTCTGCTCCGGCCTGAGCATGGAATACCACGCCATTTTCTTCCAGTCAGGCCAGATTGACGGACTAGGCGTACCTAGGATGCTCCAGATGTAGTCGAGCTGTGTAATCTCATTTGTTCCGGTAAAGATCGCTTTCCGGGTAAAAAGTTCCATGAAGACGCAACCACCACTCCAAACATCGGGCCCGGTTGTATATTCTGTTTCGCCCAACAAGATCTCCACGGGACGGTACCACAAAGTGATGATGCGGTTCGTAAAGTGCTGCTCGATTTTCAATCTCTCATACATCTTATCGTACTGTCGAGCCAAGCCGAAATCCGCAATTTTGAGTTGGCCTTCTGAATTCACTAGGATGTTCGAACTCTTGATATCTCTATGGAGGATCCCGGCGCGATGGATGTGAGCAAGTCCGCTGAAAAACTGGTGAGCGAGATCCTTGATATTGGCATAAGAGAGGCGGAATGTGGGGTGGTTCAAAATCCCAGTAAGGTCATGGTCCATGTATTCAAATATCATGTAAAATCCGTCTATAATCTGTTAGAAGCCTGGAGAAACAGCTAGTGGTAAACATCTGTACTTACTCGACTCGACCATGTTATCAAGTAGGTGGATGATTTTATCATTATCCGTTCCTTTGCTCAGCCGTTGAAGAATCTTGATTTCTCTGGCAGCGGTAATGGGAAACTGGGCATCGGGCGTTAGGTAGATAAACAAAAGGTGGTATAATAAAATCACATAAACTTACGCCATCTTTCTCCGATGTCATGCGAACTCTCTTAAGAGCAACCAACTCCTTGCTCATCCAATTTTGAGCTTTGAAAACTTGGCCGTATGTTCCTTCACCAACCAAGCCGATGCGTTCAAAAGGTGTTTTACGTGAGATAATAACGCGTGGAACAGGAGGAGCCGGCTTAGCAGGAGCCTTTGCTGGTGGTGCTTCCTGGCGAGATGTAGTGGACGCAACAGCGCCTTTCCTCTGTGCAACTGGTACTGAGTTGGATGATTTCCCGAGGCGACGGGGGATCCCGAATTCCTGACTACGCGGCCCAGTGGGCATCTTCCCTTTCCCGCCCGCACTTCCCATACTAAAGCGGACCTTACCCTTCGAGGCGTCGATTGGTGCAGGCTTTGGTGGTTCAAGTATCGATAGTTCGCTCCTGGGGCCCCTCGGGGCATTTGGTGGAGGCATCAAAGCAGCATCTCGTTCGGCTCGAGTATCTATAGGTGGGGGCGGAGGGGGAGGGGAAGGTGGTGGCGGAGGATATTCTTCCGGTCGCTCCTTGGGACTTGGAGGTCTTTGGTCCATAGTACCCGCATCCTCATGAGAATTTAGTATATCATTGCCCATACCCTTGTAGGGATCTGGGGTATGTTGTTGGGAGCCGAGCTCTCGTTCAGGCGACCCGGCACTAGAGGCAGACTCAAACTCTTCTTGGGCTCTAGGTCCAGTTGGAATGGCATTCGGGCCAGTCATCATCGGTCTAGGAGAAGCTGATCGTCTAAAACGGGGCTCTTCTGTCGTATATGAATCGGCGGCACGGCGCTGCTTGCGTCTACGGCCGCGGGCGTTAGTAACTGGACCTGGGCCAGAGGGCGGTGGGCCGCGACGGTCGATCTCTTTATCGCGAGAGCCTTTAGGAAACGGCGGGCGTCCTTGCTTTGGTCCTTCCCTTACCCTTGGATCTCTGGGTAGTGATTTCTCGGCAAGATGCCGTCGCTTGGAATACGGAGACAGTGAGCGGGTTCGAGCACGAGGAATATATCCAATCTCGGAGGCTATCTCAAGCCTTGAAGAAGTGGACTCAGCAGGAGGATGGTCATTAGCTGGAGCTTTAGGAGCGGGATTGCGGTTAGAGCTTTCAGAGAGTGAAGGCCGTTTGGCAAGAGATGACATAACATCGTCTGATGACTGCGTAGATCCTCGTCGCCGAGCTGGAGAAGCACTACCTATCGAGTTCGGCGAGTGATCGCGGCGTCTTGGAGAACGACGTCGGCGTGGCCTCTTCTCACCCTTGCCCTTGTAAGGTGGAGGAGAACGACTGCGATCCCTAGGATGAACTTTAGAAAATCGTTCAGGCGACCGATGTCGGGAGCCTCGAGGAGCAAAGTCGTTATCTCGGGAGCGTGAACGGCGGCGGCGATCAGAATCTCGGGCTCTAAGGTCATCTAAATCTCGTTTACCTCTTCTATCTGGCGAATCTTTTCGCGGGCGACGGATAATGTCTTCTGGTGACCGATGCCTGGACCTGGATCTGGATCTCTTCGATCTATGTCGGTGGCTGGGTCCTCGAGGGTCAGGTGAATGTCGTCTTGGTGATCTCGAACGTCCCTCACGTCGAGACCTCTTAGCGGCTCTGCTAGGAGAGGGACTTCTGATCCTTTTTGGCGATTTTCCACGGGGGTCAGTTTTGTGAGCCGTATCGGGCCTTTCTCTGCTAGGACGGCGCGGGGACGCTGACCGGCGACGTGGAGAAGCTGAACGTCTGCGATCCCGGCTGCGATCTCGACGGTCACGGCCTCTGTCACGATCATCTCGCGAAGACTCGCCCGGGATATATGTATCAACGGCTATTTTCCGCTTTCGAGAGCCCGGATGGCGGGGAGGTGAGCGTCTGCGCTCTCGGCTGGGAGACCTGCTTCGGTTTCGAGGCTTTGTGCGCTCGGGTCTCTCTTCAGTAGATGTTGGAGGCTTACCCGCCGTCCCAGGGCGATATGAATCATGGGAGCCTTTGTTTTTGGTCATTGTGGATGCAACAAGGATAGGAAGGTAGTCAAATGTTTCGTGAGATTGAGCTGGTGTATGAGTATCAGGAGGACGAAGTTGCTAGAGCAATGACAACAATTGATATTCGACACAGAGAGTATGAATGATAAAGGATGAAGAGCGAAAGCGGTTAAAGGAGTAATGATATGAATGATGGAAGGATGTTCAAGAGAAGATAAAATGCAAAGTGGTAGCTGAGTGGTCAATTGCAGATGGAAGGGAGAGAAAGAGGAGAAAAAAACTGTTGCTGAGGGTGGTTGTTGTGGGTTGCGGAAAGGTCCTGCAGCTTTGCAACGGATAGTTCCAGCACACCGAGACGAAAGACGAACAAGAAACAGAGAAACAGAATTATCAGATATAAGGCTCGTTCGTATCTGAGGAATGATAGCAGGAGGTGATGACGATGGATGGAAGGTGATGATGATGATGAAGTGGTTGATGGTCGAGGGTTGGTGATGTTGTGTGAGGTGATGAGGTGAGGTGAGGTGAGGTGAAGAGGAGAGGAAGAAAGAAAGAAAGAGGAGGAGAGTTGCAGGAGAAGTCGTTGAGAGGAAGAAGCAGAAGCACAAGAGGAAGAAGATCTAAAATGCTTCGTCGCCAACGATGACGACGGCCAAAAATCTCAGCCTTCCTGTTCTCCTTCTACTTCCCGTTCTCCTTCGTCTTCTCTATGCCTACAATCCCTTCCGGTTTCCTTCTTCACGAGATGTTCCTCCACTCCGCAAGTATCCGGCCAACTTCGAGTCGTAAACGAGGCACTATGCAAAGAATATTGTCGCTACACCGGCGGTTCAAGTAATAAGTCGCAATCAATGCAGATGTCGGTTTCTGTCGGTGATACTGTCAAACAGCAGACGTCCTGTGAGTCCTTCACGACGACAAACGTCACTGTGGCCCAGAATTCCGTCTACACAACACCCGCGACGTCGACGAGGGCATCGTCAAGCCGAAAGAGAGATTCCAGAGGTCGAAACCAAAAGCCAAGTCCTACAAAATGATACACCAAATGATACGAGGGGAGTTGTCCAGTGTTTATGAGATAATCCAACCTCACACCAAAATAAAGCCGGTGGTGGCGATTATGGGAGGCCTGGCGGTGGATAGGTGGAATATAAGGCCCTAAAATACACACCCAAGCTAAAGGATAGCTGTCAGTTAAACCTACGAGACTTGGCCTTATGTTGCTTCCGTATGCTACCCGAGCATATGGCACTTTTAACGGAGGGGAAACCAGTCATACCAGGCCGAAACTGAATGAACCAATGTCAAGGTTGACCTGATCGATCGAACGACCGCGACCAAAAGCCTTCTCTCGCGCGACAAAAAGATACCTCAAGGTATCCTAGACAATACTGTTGGTAGCGGGTCCTTCTGTGGAATGCAGCAGTATAATCGTTGTTCCAGACCCAATCCTGAGTTCCGAGGGTACAAAGATCCGAATCCGAGTCGGGAGGGCGAAAGTGTCGATGTTGAGTCGCGGGTTTTCTGGCCAGAGAAATTCGAATTCCAGAATTTTGTTTGACCGGTTTGATTCGCAGGACTCCTTTTCGGGCTTGGTCCCGGGGGGCCATCACCACCCATGTTCCAGCCCGGTTTCCAGTTTCGGGGGTCGTTAGGCGGCTTCGCTTGTTCTCCGGGGTACAGCCGTTCAAATGTTGTTCTTGTTCCTGCGGCTTCTCTCTTCCGAATTGGATATCCACCCAGCCATTGGAAGCATCTGCGGCTGGTTAGGGCGAGAGATGCATATCTCGATCGGCTCCATTTTCCAGCCAAAAATGCAGGTGCTTCGTGGCTCCCCGGGTACTGCTCGCCGAACCGAGAGGTTCGGTCTGCAGCCGCCGAGTCCCTTCTGTCATAGCGGGACAGTATCCCACCAGACGAATGGGACGAGCTTTACGACATGTATCACGACTATGGCTACTATCTACAGGATGTCGACCTGAAATAACAAGATATACAACTATCCACCGCGAGTCGAAAACACCATGGACACGTGTTTTGCGGGATTAGATGGCCTGGGATGTTAAATGTCAGGCCAATGAAAGACTTGGTCACCGGTCACCCCGCCCATTAGGACATAACCAGGGTTGATGTTGATCCGAAAGCAATTCAGGATGGGAGAGTATTTTGAACTGTCCGCATAGGCCTAAAAGCCGGTGCAATACACCTCTTCATGCGTCGATATGAACGAGTCTGGCCCTTTATCAGTGGCCTTGATCCACAGGCTTATTCATAGAGCGCCCATAGATCCCCACATAGATAGATAAACTGCGTCCAACATGGCACACCAAACATGTCGGATCCTACGCCATCGGGATGGCATTGCATGTTGTCATTGAACGAGGTATAAAAACCAAGTCTTCTGGGCCTTCCGTAGCGAGCTGGATGAGATTGTTTGCATTTCCAGCCGCCTCAGTGGTGTAACTCGGAAGTTTTGTGTGATCGCATCATCATATCCTCCGCAGCTCAGCTAAGAGCAGTCCCTTAAATGATCTTTCGGTCATTGGTACAAATGGCATCCTGCCATTCCGGTAGTTTGATGAAGCGTTAAAATGGCCCTAGATTAGCCGGGTCGCGATTCGATGGGGCAGGCATTTCGTTGGAGCCTCCGACTTCCGATGCGATGCAGGGCTGGTCCCGCGGTGAAGCCTTCCACAGCCATCCCAACCCTCCGTAAAAACCCCACAGCTTCGTCCTCCGCGCCAGAGAAAAAGTATCCCAAGTCGCCAGTCCTCATCGTCCAAACTAGATCCGAACCCGCTGCTGCCGTGCAAGCTGATAGATAATCCTGGGTTTGTACAGAAGACAAGAAAAGAGGGACAGAAAAAAAAAACCAAGGAAACCAACTTCCTTTCGCTGGTTGCAATTTTGCAGGCCCTCGCGTCTTGGCATTTCCCTTCTGGCGGCGCCAATTGCAAACCCAACCTTCAAACGAAACATCAAAAAATTTCAGACCACTTTGCGAAATCCAACATTTCCAATCTACAACCATCCACAAAAATGTCGATACCAGCAACTAAGAAGCGGAAGCTCGAGGGCGCTGCTACCTCTAGCGCAAAGTTAACAAAGTCAATTCCTTTAAAATCAAGTTTAAAAGCTTCCGCCTCAAAACCGAATCCTACAAAAAAGGACCGACAACCAGCTCCAGCATCATCTGACGAAGAAGACGAAGAAGAAATTTCAAACAACGAAGATTCTGGGGATGAAGATGAAGAATTCTCAGATGACAACGATGGCGACGTCTCCGACGCAAATAACCATTCTGATTCCTCTTCTTATGACCTCTCCGACGACGAAGGCGGGAACGGAGAAACCGACGAATTCCCCTCTGAACTCGTCGAATCCAAAAAAAGAAAGCGAAACGATCCCACAACCTTCGCAACTTCCATGTCCAAGATTCTCTCCTCTCACTTAACGACACAAGCTCGTAAAGACCCTATTCTTATCCGTTCCAAGAAGGCCGCCCACGATATCTCTGATCAAAAACTCGAGGCGAAGGCGAAGCGACTTATCTCGCAGCAAAAACGTGAAGCTTTGGAGAAAGGAAGAGTGAAGGATATCATTCCAAAAGACGACGCTACAGGCGAGGAAGTCAAAAACGTTCTAGAAAAGGAGAAGGCACTAAGAAAGATTGCACAGAGGGGTGTAATTAAGCTGTTTAACGCAGTGAGAGCAGCACAGGTCAAAGGCGAGGAGGCAAGGAAAGATGGCAAGCTCAAGGGGACACTTGGTATCGATACCAAAAACAAGAATGGTATGTCTAAACTCCCACGGCAGCTATTGGAGCGGGTTCTAATGAAACACTACAGTTACCGAAATCTCGAAAGAAAGCTTCTTAGATATGATCTCGAAATCGAAGGAGAAGTGAGTGAGTCCGGATAGTGGTAGATTTATGGTTTTTCTTTTACGAAGCGATTACCCGAGTGAAGATGGATACGAATCCTATATACATTACCCGAAAGGGGTTTGTGATGCAATGCCTTTTATATACCCCAATGATAACTCCTGGCTTGGTAGACCGTGTGAATAGATGCACTCTACCTTTGGAATATAATATGATACAAATGGTCAATCTCCGACCATACTCCCGCTGTTGTTGACCTGCGATCCTACTAAGTTGGCCAAAATGCCTTGATTCATGTGTAGATGCCATTACTTGAAATCGCTCGCCTGTAGATTCCTTGTCATGGCCGGCAGCTTGACCTTCAATCCATCGATGTCTTTCTTCATCTTCACCTGACACCCCAGTCTCGACCTATCAACTCGCCTTCATTAGTAATCACCCTTCAAATCTCCGAGAGAGAAAAAAACAATGAGAAAAAGGATCAACTTACGTCTCCGTCAATCCAAATGCCAAATCTAACATATCATTCTCATCATCATCCGGCTCCTCCAACAGATCATACATCTCCTGATCCTCCACAATAACATGACAAGTACTACACGCACAACTCCCTCCACAAGCTCCCTCCATCTCTAAATCGTGTGCTTGTCCGATATCCAGCAGATTATCCCCCTCTGCAACCTCAAAGGTAAACTCATTCCCTTCTTTTGTAACAAACGTAACCTTAAGTTCTTCACCGGGTTTTGGATGAGTGAGGTGTCCGTGGGACAAATAGGAAGTAGTAGAAAATTGTCTAAGATATATCGAAGATTGGAAGGGTAGTCTGGGACGAAGAGTTCGAGTGGTGAAGGTTCTGTTATGTGCGCCGGGTTGGACCGGTGATCTTGTCGGTATCGGCCGTGGACATCGTGTAACTATGCTATCACCGGCGTGGAAGAGTCGATTACTACACTGAGACTGTAGATTCCGGAGTATTGAAGAACCACGAGGCGGAGGCATTGTGATTAAACCCTCTTTTGAGCTGGCCCCTTTAAATTGCTAAGGAGCTCAAAAAAAAGAACCGGGTTTCTGAGGATGAGGATGATGAAGTAACGAGCGAATAAGAAAGCTGGGGAATGTAAGGAATCGAAGGGAAATCGAAAGAATTTAGAAACTGGGAAATATCAAAATTCCAACCTCGAAATCTGTGTTGGACCGGCGATAACAAGCTTAAGCGACCCGGTCGGCGATAATTTGTCACCCACCACGTTCCAGACACGGCCCGACCTTCTAATGTTAATTAACGTCAGCCCAGAATTTAGTCTCGAACCGAACTAACCTTCAATGAGAATTCTAACAACCTCAGCTCCAACTAACCCTGTCAAACGGCTGTCGTGCATAAGCCACCGACACATAACAGCCATTGCGAGGATGTTGTTCGCACACGAGCGTATGAGTACCTAGTATCCATGACTCCGATCAATAGTACCTCAATTAGGTACTATGTTCCGTCAAAGTTCCCTGCTCAGCTTGTGAGTGCTGTACGCGATGTGTATGCGTGTATGATGGTTACTTAAGTATATAAAGCGTGTTCGAGGCGCCCCACCCGCCAAACCACTCCCACAGCTTCATTTTCAAATTCATCTACCATTGAGTTTACAGCTATGGCATTAATTTACTCTCTTCCAACGGAAATACTCCTTCAAATATTTACTGACGAGGCAATCACAAATGCCGACCTCACCCGCTGCGCATCGACCTGCAAGCTATTCAATGGCATCACATCGCAATGCAAGATCAATTACATATTCGAAGTAGACAGCCCGTCACATTCCGCTTGGAAACTCATCCAACATCTTTTGCTATACCCCAAAACCGGTGAACGATTTCAAAGTATCACCGTCACATGGCATCGACGAGTACCTCGCCACCCCAAAACCTGGGCCCTTAAATGGAACTGGAAAAAGGGAGAAGAGGAAGAACTTGACTGTCTCTGCAAGGAATGGGATTTATGGGATATGTCGGGAGATATATGTGCTGGTTGGAACTCAGAGGCATTGATTCCTCTCTTGTTATGTTTCACGACGAAGCTTGAGTCTTTAGACTACGATGGAACAGTTCTACCAATAATGCACCCGAGCCCTACTGCTCACGAAGGGATACGGATACATGAGTACTGCGAGGGCCAGGGCTATTGGTGGCAACCGAAAGGCGATCATGATAACGGCTTCGATTGGTTTGATGAATGCTGGGGTACTAGAGACAAAGGTGTCTCGTGGTTTTATTCAGTCCTTAATCGGAAAACTCCACTACCAGGCCTATCTCATCTTAGGAAATTCACCCACGGAGGTTGTATAGATGATGATCACTGGCCGGGCGAATATCTTTCACAAATCATGTTACTTCCTCGGCTCGAAGAAGTGGTTGTCGTTTCCAAACCTGCAAAAATTGGCCATTTCTACTCTGACACACCTAAGCTTAAGTTCCCTCCTGGCAAGACATCTTCAATTAGCAGACTCGAGCTCATCGACTGTACTTTCTTTGAAGGGGAAGTTGAAGCTCTTGCTAAGTTTACGGGCAGCCTGACGAGTCTCAACCATACTCTGTGTGGGTTTCGGAGGAAGGAAATCGTAGATTGGTTCCTGCAAGCGAACAGTTCTCTGACACAGGATCGAATAACTAGTATTTTTACCCCCCGCCCAGAGTATGAGAAGGATCTTGGGCCGGTTGATAAAGACAAGTACTATAAATTTAGGCAGGACTACTCAGATACCGATGCTTACAATGAGTCTGTTGGCTCGTCGTCATCGGAAGAGGAGTGGTAGGGTGGGATACAATTTGAGATTTAAATTCAAGATACTTCTGATTGCAGCCGTTTCTACCTACTTACTGGTCTGGAGGCAAGACGGGTGCGAGTTCACCTACTTACTAAGTACTTGCTTGAGTAGTTATAGTATGAACGTTATAACTTCCACATGAATAATATGGATAACCATGTATTATCATTCCCGTCAATCATCTCAACAAATTAGCTTGTAGCGACTCAATACTCAAAATAATCGAGTAAGTACTAGCTAGAAGTTAATTAGTACTTAGGTTATAATGTTACATGTTTAACGTTATGACGTCTGACGAGACAAACGGCAACAGCCGAACCCTATCAGAAGAGCCCAAAGTGCAGATACCAGCTGGCGCTGCAGCGCTATCAGCCTCCATCACGAATCGAATCCAACATTGCATAGAGGATAAAAAAGAAGTATTTAAGCTACCCCAGTACCCCATATAATAACCCCTTAAATCATAAACTCTTTTAGTCAGCCACCCGCGCAGAATCCACAAAACCAGCGACACCATGGCATCAATAACCTCCCTCCCTCCCGAAACCCTTCTCCAAATCTTCAAAGACGATAGCCTAACCCCCACCGACCTAGCCCATTGCGCGCAAACATGCCTTAAATTTCGCGATCTCGCTTGTTTACCCGATTACAAGATTGATTACGTATTCAGAGTAGACCACCCTTCCCATTCAGGTTGGAGACTTATTCGATGTATTTTACTCAACCCGGCGCTTGGAGAAAGAATCCAAAGCCTTCGACTCGAATGGCATCGTCGTCGACGTCGAGAAAGAGATACTTGGACTCTTAAATGGGACTGGACGGAAGATGAATTAACCAAAATCTCGGAGATTTGTAAGAAATGGAATTTAAATCCATCTTTATACCGAGCTATCGAAATCGGTTTAAACTCCGAGGCACTTCTTCCGTTGTTATTCTGCCTCACCACGAAGCTGGAGTCATTGGACGTTGGTGATGTGGGTCATGACATGATTTCAGACGAATACGGTCATACAGTCTACGATGCAATCCGAATATACACCCACTGCATGGGATCACCACCTCCCGATAGTTCGCAACCATCTCCACTAGCTACCGACAAAGTAAGCCTTACAAAGTGGTTCGAAAGCGGAGGAGCAGAATACGAACCCAGAGGCCGTCTTTGCGAACCACTCTCCAGTATCCCATGGATATATACAACCTTCACACCAGGTTCATGGCTACCGGGACTATCCAACATCAAAGAATTCTCCCATGGAGGTTCGAACAGTATCGCTTTGAGATATAGACCCAACTATCTTAACGACTGGCCTAACACGAATATACCAACGATCCTCCAGCTACCGAATTTAGAATCCCTCAAGCTTTCTCACATAAACGCATTGATGGGGACACCCATATGCGATGGTCCAAAACCAGTGCATAAGCTCAAAAGGCTAGAGATCTTTCACTATAGGTTCTACAGAACCGACTTTGAAATTGTTGCGCGTCTCACGGGTGGTTCTTTGGAAAATGTGGTGTGTATCTTGTCGGACGAAAACTTCACTCCGTGGGATATGCCCCCCGATCAAAAGATCGCGGTAATAACCGACTATTTTGAGGAAAATAGCAAGGACACATTGGCTAGGGATAAAATATCTGTTGTTAGGAGTTTTAAAGGATTCTTTGATGATTTTGAGTTCAAGGGTAGGGAGAATATGCTTTTGTTAAGTGAAGTACACAGAAGTAGTCCTGATGAATATGGTAATATTTATCTTTTTGAGGCGAGCGACCAAGAGAGAGAGGAGTATTTTGAAGATGAGATTTCGGAGGATAGTTAGGATAGTTAGGACGGTGAGGACGAAAGCGAAAGATGAATTCGAAAGAAACACCTATCATGCATCATTCCAGAATCTCGAGGTTTCCATATGAAACATCTACCTATATACTACCATTAATTTATTCCTCCCCGATAATCATACAACCTTCTACAGTTAATTGACGAGGCGAATTTCCCTTCAACGTTCTGAAGTGAATTCTAATATATTTTATTGTTTCATAATGTATATTATATAACTGCGACTACCTCCATGGACGCTTATGCAAGGCTGAACTGCCTTACAACTAACTAGGCCTGACTCATATAAGCCATAAGCCACACCCAAAGATACTAAAAGTCCATTATACTTACTCACAGGACCTACATACGGGTGCATGCAAGAAGACCAGGCAAGTTATAAATTAAATATAAGTATCTTACACATCTCCTGTATATCTAGATATCCAATCCCAAACAATAATTATAGCTAAAGAGTGCCCGTAGAGTTTACTGTGTAACATAACCATGGCCTCGCTAACAACGCTCCCCACCGAACTGCTCACCCAAATCCTCACCGACCAAACCCTCACCACCATCGACATCTCCAACTGCGCCCTCACCAGCCGAAGACTCTACAACCTCACAGCCGACCGAAAGACCAAATACAGTTTCCACATCGATCACCGTTCCCAATCAACCTGGAAACTAATCTCCTGCATCCTCTCAAACCCCAGAATCGGCCATCGTATCCACAGAATAATAGTCACATGGCACCGCCGAAACCCGCACAAACCAAAATCATGGACTCCGCAGTGGTTATGGAAGTCTCAGGAACTAGAACAGATCAAATCCATCTGCGAAAAACATGGAGTGGAGTTTTTATACCCTGTTATCGAAGATGGGTTTAATTCCGAAGCTTTGTTACCTTTTTTACTCTGTTTGACACCGAATCTGCAATCCTTGGATTTCGGCGCAATAGTTCCGAGTATGATATACGGCGGTACATACTCAGCCGAAACAGCAGTTCGAATATTCAAGGCCTGTGAGAGGAAATATACGGGACAAAATTATAAAGTCCGACATAACAATAAGGATAAAAGAGTCTATTTTGATAGTCGATGGGGTTCTTCCTACAGACGGAACATCCTATGGACTTATTCGGCTCTAAACCTACCTGAGCCCAACTGTATCCCAGGCTTGTCGAATCTAAGACATTTCCGACACGGTCCCAGCGGTATCTGGCGGAGGAGATGCCCTGGATGGCCGGCAGAATATATAGCAAAAATCCTATTACTCCCCAATCTCGAAACCGCCTCGTTCCATGGAGCCGTCGCATTCGACCCTACAAAATCTGGATGTGCCTATAAACCGCTTTCTGCCACTTTAGAATTTACAGCTGGGAAGAAATCATCGGTCAAGGAGCTAGAAATCATCAATTGCGACCTGGAGCGTAGTGACTATTCAACACTCGCGGAGCTTACGGGGTCTCTAGAGGTTCTCAGTGGTTCTATTCTTGAATATTACCACTGGTGGCGGCGGTCGGGGAATAAGCTCGCGCACATGATTAATACTTTCAAAAAAAGCAATCCGAGGACTCTTTCTGCAAATAACATATCTGTTAAACGATCTAATCACCGGGATTTGGCATTCAAATCGGCGCCGGATGTTTATTTTCCCTTCCGGGCACAAGATGAACGGGAAGATATGGAAGAGATGGCTCAAAGGTTCAAGGAGGAAGAAGAAGGACGAGAGTACTCGGAAAGTCTAATATGGAAAGATGACGATGACGAAGACGAAAACCAAGAGGAAGAGTATGACGAATATATCTGCGATCATGAATCCGAGTGCGGTTGTGATTACTATTTCTATAATACCGAGTATGGTGGAGAAGATGACGATCCGTATTGGACTGATCTCGAGGTAGATGATGATGTGGTCCTACGGACGAGGGATATCAAGGGAAGCAAGCAAAGAAGTCACTTTGTAAAAGTTACTTGAGTATTTACTATCTTTCATATATCATTTTCAAGCGGTATCATGCATGGCGTTTAATCTGAACTGGAACGGTCTTCGATTTGAAAATTTATTAGCGTTCTGTTAGCATTCTGTATTTAAATAGTCTTATAAGTATAGCATATATAGGCAATATACCCTCCAAATACAATGTATAACTATCTCGTCCTGAGCATCCAATAAGAAGCTCAAATAACCCCTGCACATGCTGCATTCCAATGTCTCAAAAACGTTAATCAAAGAAAAACACCAAATCACATGATCGTCTATAGACACACATATATACCACACTCCAGAACCCTTCAAAAGAAGTACCCAGTAACATACCATATCTAAAAATCAAAAATTTAAACAAAAAGATGACAACCCCGCACACCCCCCGCGGAGCCCTAATCGCAATCGAAGGCCTCGACCGCGCCGGAAAATCAACCCAATGCGACCTCCTCCTCAAACGTCTCCTCTCATCTGGTATCCCCGCAAAACTCCAGAAATTCCCTGGTTAGTACCCTACCTATTTATCTACTTACCTAAGTACCTATAATACTTATATAACCGCTAATGTATAAAAAAAAACAAAAAAAAAGACAGAACAACCCCAATAGGCACAATGATAAACTCCTACCTAACCTCCACCTCCAACCTGGACGACCAAGCAATCCACCTCCTCTTCTCCGCAAACCGCTGGGAAGCCCGCGATCACCTCCTCTCATCCCTAAACTCCGGTACAACCCTCCTCCTCGATCGTTACATCTACTCCGGCATCGTCTTCTCCGCAGCAAAACCTCCAACTCCGGTTCAAAACCCAAACCCGCTGTCTATATCTTGGTGTAAATCCCCAGATATCGGTCTGCCCAGACCGGATATTATCATTTTCTTGAATATTAGTCAGGAGGATGCTGAGAAGAGGGCCGGGTTTGGAGATGAGAGGTATGAGAAGAGGGAGTTGCAGGATAAAGTTAGAAGGTTATTTGAAGAGCTAAGGGGGGAAGGGAGTAATGATAAAGATGATTGGTGGGTTGTCGATGCCGGTGGGACGGTGGAAGAGGTGGCGGACGAAGTGTGGAAGGGGGTATTGGAGGGTTTGAAGAGAGTTAAAGAAGGCAATGGGGAGGTCAGGAGTATCGAGTAGACACTAACCATGCACCAGAATCTTCAAAACTTCGAGGTCACAAATTGTTAACAAACAAACTATTAGAAATACCAAATTATAGACGGTAAAAAGGTATACCGAGATTATAGAAACCCCTGGGAGGTATGTATAAAATAAAGTAGTAATGGGAAGACGTCATGTACCGGCGTCTTCCCTCTCGTTGACTGGTTTTTGATATATTAGATACACCCCCCGATTGAATTTTTCTTTTTGAGCCCTCCAGTAAAACGCACGATCCGTAACTTGTTTTTAAAAGGTACGCCGCCAAATGGTATGAGCCGACAAAAATAAAGAAAAATAAAAAGTCGAAAAAAATCCCACTATCTCCACGCCATCTTCGTTGTAATCTCTATACCCTCGAAAATCTCTTTCAATCCCCGTCTTTGTGACCCGAGTGACGTCCACAAACACCCCCTCCCCAAAAAAAGATCGCCCAAAAGGCGAATGCATACAACAGAAGGTTCCTCCCGATGTTCGAGCACCAAGTCATCCTTCTTTTCCAAGAAGGAAGGTCCCCCAGGCCTTCCCGACCGATTTGCAAACAAAAGCAAACACTAAGTTAGAAGGGAAGGCGTAAAAAGGGAAAAGCAAATCGTAAAAAGTGGAAGAAGAAAGGGGGTTGCTGAGAATAACGGAAGGAAACTAACAAAGATCAGTAACTCCGATTTTTGTATGAAGAGCGACTATGATACACGAGACATGAACGGAAAAAAAAAAAAAGACGAAAACGCAGCAGTGCGGCTTCAAAGGCTTAAGCCCCCCCGAATATCGAATCTGGAAAATAAAGGAAGAGGAAAGAAGAAGAAGTTCGTAAAATAAAATAATCAAGGGGAAATCGCTTCAAAGAACAGGAAAAAGAAGACGGCGGGCAATGGATATAGACAAGAAAGAAAAAGTCGAAAAAAAATGGTGGCAACTGTCGAGTGATCGGCGGTCCAATTGTTTCGGTTCCTCTACGTGGGAAAACTCGATCTGGGTTCTATCGTGGGGAGGACATTCAAAAAGGAGATTCGTGATAATAACGTGTCTTCGAAAAATGATTAAATGGACCTACTGCTAGGCCCGTTTATAAGCGATTACCAGGCTTAACTGAAGAAGCGGATCTCTAATCACGCTTGTCAGTTTGCTGATTCTGCTGTTGGTTATTGTTGTTGTTATTATTGTTATTGTAGTGATGATTGTTATAGTGCTGCTTGTTTTGTTGACGGTCCTGCTTGTTGTACTGGCCTTGGTTTCGTTGGGTTTGAGTGTGGTTCTGGTTCTGGTTCTGTCCTTGGTTTTGATTGCGTTCGTTGGCGATTGATTCATCGTGAGTCTTGAACAAGATGGCCGTTTCCGTTGGGCAGTTGATGACACGCTTGATATTTTCGCTGTAATTATACATTAGTAAGTAATCGCGAAAAGCCACCGATGAGGGGTTTTTTATTTATTTTAATATATGGTAATATGTAGGGAGAGAACATACCGGACTTTGAGAGTGATGGCGGTATCGGTTTTGGTCCAAACACTCAAAACATCTTCCGCATTGCGGATACTGAGAACAGCACCGCAGATATCTTCACCAACCTCCCCGAATTGGTCACCAATGATAGCCAAGACAAGGTCCTCCCAATAACGGGTGCTGACACCTTTCTTAAGACGAATGATCCACTTGCCGCCCTTGCGATTCTCGTGATCCTCCCAGACGGGTCTGATACCTTGTTTGAAAAGGTGGTAGTCGGAAACGTGTGGAAGGCTTCGAGGTTTACGAAGGTGAGAGTAGATCATCCAAAACTCTTCGACAGTGGAGAAAGCAGCGATCTTCTGGGTCGACTTCTCATAGTCTTGGAATTTGGTGCCGGGAGCTCGATACCAGACGACCCAGGTGTGGCGCAAGGGTGACCTCGTGATTTCGACAGGAGCCTTCTTCTGGGTTGCAGCAGCGGCAGCGGATGCAAAGGTTGGGCCGTTGATACCAGGAGTCACAGCCGCGGAAGCCGTAGGGGTGGGTCCCAGGATTTCCTTTGGTGCACCGGCCGCAGCTATCGGATCACCGGCAGGCGGCTTGGTGGGAGTTTTCACAGAGGAACCGAAGGATGCAAAGGCTCCCGAGCCCAGACTGAAAGCGGTACTTGGGGATGCGAGTGTGTTGAAAGAGCCGCCAGCGCTCAATGGAGCCACGGCACTGAGCGGGTCGAAGCGGGCATTGCCATCCCTGCTGGCGGCCCCTCCTCTCCCTCTCCCCGAGCCAAACCCTCGGGCGGACTGAGGACCGTTATTCTCGTTACTACCGTCGGTATTAGATAATGGCAGAGAAAGCTTTCCAGGACTGTAAGATGACAGTTAATTAGTTTTTTTTTTTTTTGTTGCTTCGTTGGGAATTTCCTGTAAGAGGTTGATGTGTAGAATGACTTACGTTGGTCGACGGCCCCATAGTGTAGAAGAAGTCATTGGCTTAGATTAACAGGGAATAGAGATATCGAAAGCTCTTTTTTTTATGTTTTGTTCAAACAGCAGCAGGCGAGTGCGAAAACAGACAGAAACCCGGACAAACCCCTAATGAATGCTTAAGAACAAAAAAGATGAAGAGATCAAAAAAAGGACGTAAGAAGTTAATTCTGAATCCAAGGAAACTCGTAGCAAGAATCGTGAGCCAAACTTAGTTCCAGTTTGCGAAACCACTGAAGAGACAAGTGGTTTTTTTTGGTTTTTTTCAGAGCAGGATATCCGGGGTGAAGATCCACAATGGGAGAACCAAAACAAAATGTATGCAGGCCGACGTATTAAAAGGAAGTTCGGGTATATTTCGGAGGGGATGGGGGTTTACAAGAACTAGAAAGAGAGAAAGAAGGGAAAAAAAAGTGAGTAGGAATAACACGCTCGATCTAGGAATTGCCTGGGATGATGGGAGATGGACAGAAGAGGGAAGAGTTTGTGTAATTGTATTGATTGATTGATTGATTGATATCGAGTGCAGATGGAGAACAGAGAAGTTTTTCGGTGATAGCGGGGAGTTAGTATGGATGGGATAGATGGCCAAGTCGGTTAAGATGGAACGACGATTGCAGGTGGTTGATTTTTTCTCTCTTTCCTTTCTAAAAAGGCTTGTTTGACAGATGGCAAGCAGGCGGTCGAGGGGGAGCCCCGGTCGGATTGGGAGATCTTAAGGGAAGAGGAGTAGGGAAATATCTGTCGGCGTGATCGATGGCGGCGGTAGTGGTAGTGGTGGTAGTGGTGGTGGTGGTGGTGGTGGGCGACAGTCGGCAGGCACTGTGCATGCAGCGAGCGTCAAATGGTGCAGTAGGGACCTACCCAGACAGATGGGAGGGGAGAGAAGACCGGGGGAGCTCCAGTAGGAGACGATATCGATAGTTTGGACGATGCAGGAGAGATATAGATATGTTATCTGATGATGTGAGTGGATGGAGGATTAGTATTTTGCGGGGGGTGTGTGTGTGGAGGGAGAGTTCAGTGAGGGTGCACTGGGTTTTTTTTCCCTATATAGCGACAGAGGAAGGAATACCAGAGAAGCGGGATTATGAATTAAAAGGTGTGTGCTTGTGTGAGGAAATATATGTACAATAGCACAGAGAATAATGGAGAAGAATTTAAAAAAGGCAATTCGAAAGAATATCGATAGTCAAGTTGGATGAAGTATGATTGGAGTGGATAGAGATGATGTTGATTGTAGAGCAGTGATGGTGGTGGTGATGGTGATGGTGATGGTGATGGTGGTTGGATGGGTTGATGATGAATGATGTTGACGATGTTAAATTGAAATTGAAATGGGGAAGAAGAATTGCAGTGGAAAAGGAAAGAAGAGTTTAAAAGAAACTGTGTTGTCGTTGTTGTTGTTCTGCGTGCACCTCGACAGCCATCACACCAAAATATATCCTAGAGCTGTTTCTTATTAATGTAATGTAATATATTATAAAAGCTGATGTAATTGATGATAATAGTATTTCTCCTTCTCCATGTAGAAGGTAATTCATATAAAGCATATTTAAAGTCATTGCTTTATTGTGGTAGTGGTGGTAGTAGCAGCAGTATACATTGTATGGGAATTGCCGGGGTATAAATTAAAAACCCTTTCGCTTCTTCTTGTTAAAACTTCTTCTCTTTTACAAACTTCAAGACACCCAAACTACTCAAATCATCGCCTGCTCGGATTTCGTATCTACGGAAGCACTACTCCCACTCGGCTGGCGATTCCGATGTTTTATATTTTAACATATGGTGTCGAGATGAATTAAAACTGTAGAAACCATCCTTAAAACCGTTGCTACGAGTGTCGCGGTCTATTTTGATCTGCAGACGCCATGAAGTCGGTGACGACCTGAAGTGATGGACATATCTTATCTCTGATGCCTCATACTTTATATCTTACATCTTATACCTTATACCTCATACCTTCTATTATATATTATATATTTCAATACTTATATAAGTACTTTGTATCTGATCGTTATATCCGTGTGTATTCTATCAAAGTCGCGGTCAGTTGCAATGGAAATCTTTATTAAATTTTTATTTCTATATCAAAAAGGTGAGCATTGTCCACTGCACCCGCCATTCCTATTACAATCTCTCCACCTGCCAGATTAATGCCAGACACGCAGACAGTCAGACAGGCAGAGGTAGACAAAGAGATCGAGAGTAGTATGGTATTATAATTATCTGATGAAAATGCTTATTCGTTATGGTAAACCGATTCAGCCTGGCCCCGATCCGATAAGAAAGGGCGCGTGTGGTCGAACCTGACGTTACAATGGCCCAAATTCTCTGATTCCGATATAACCTATTACTCTTGAATTGAATTACTTAAAATATGATACTTTCTGTTCTATCATATTGCATGTTATTCTTCTGCTGCATGGAACCAGCTGCTAATTAATATAATCCAATTGGATTTTTATCTTATCTTCAGGGTTTATCATATTATATCAGAGGGTATCAGGTCGTAGACTTCTGATGGCTGTACATCTTACATACATCTTACATACATCTCACATCTCACATCTCACATTCATACATGTATACGTACTCTACAATACATACTCTATTCCAATACTATCAATGATAGATACCAATGCTGTCAAGTTAAAGCTGAAGATTAAAGAGAGAGGGACACCCCACCATGTGAATGGAATTAATATTATAATCTCTACCGGTACCGGCGTGCCCCCAGCGCTGCAGCTGGTATAAATTCGTCATTTCTAACCAATCCGACCTGCAGCTCTCCTCTTCTCGTCCAATCAATCCGAAATTTCTAGAAGTCGATACCTTCAAATACTTCTTTGAGAAAACTCCGTTATTTCTTTTTCGGGCTCTGCAGCTGCACCATATCACATGAACTGCAGCCAACAGTGCACAGCGTTTGGTTTATCAGATCCTATCGACCCCACAGCTCAGATCGATAGTATCGTCGACTCGGACCGGACCCACAACATTACGTTTTTCCCGTTTAGACTTCCTTCGATTCATAACCAGTAGTCATTCGGCGATATAATTCATCAGTCTGTGAAGTTCTTACTTAAGTAGCTCCCTAAAGTAGTGTTTACTTGTTAGTAGTATTTATTTAGCTCGGTATCCTTACAATTCAGCTGTCGGCTTTTCCCCAAACCCAATTGATTCGATTGATATCAAACAAACACCCCTCCAGCTGGTCCAACTTCTTCTTCTTCTTCCCCTCCAACTTCTCCAGACTTCTTCCCTTCAACTTCCTAAATTCTACAATCCAAGCATCAACAATGCAGGAGAAGATCACAGACAAAATTAAGGCTCTTCCCAAAGATGCCACTTACTTCTCCCTCGAATTCTTCCCTCCAAAAACTCCTGCGGTATGTCATTTTCCCTTTCATACTCTCTTATCTTCTTTTTGCTACAATCGTTTTTTTGTTAAGAAACATAACTAAAACCTTGGAACTTCTCTAAAAAAAAAAAGGGTCTACAAAATCTCCATGCCCGTCTCGATCGTATGGCCAAAGGCCTCCGTCCCCTCTTTGTCAACGTAACATGGGGTGCCGGTGGCTCAACAGCCACCAAATCCCTCGAACTCGCCTCCCTCTGCCAGTCCCACGGTCTGACTACCGTCCTCCACCTCACCTGCACGAACATGTCAAAATCCGTCCTGGACGATGCTCTCGAAAATGCAAAACTTATGGGTATCCGTAACGTTCTAGCCCTCCGTGGTGATGAACCGCGACAACACGAATACCTCGATGTAACAGAACAAGTCCGTAACGGTAGTGGAGAGAACGAATTCGTGTATGCCATTGATCTGGTCAGGTACATTAGAAAACAGTACGGAGAGTACTTTGCCATCGGAGTGGCTGCGTATCCGGAGGGTTATGCGGAAACTGCATACCCTGTTGCACAAGATACTGCCAGGGATTTACCGTATCTAAGGGAAAAGACGGCTGCTGGTGCGGATTTCATCATGACCCAGTTCTTTTACGACGTTGAGGCCTACATTTCCTTCGAAAAAGTTTTAAGAAACGATGAAAGTGGAGTCTTCAAGGATATTCCGATAATACCTGGTTTGATGCCGGTACAATCTTACCAAATCTTCAGAAGGACGACAAAACTGTGTAGTGTGAAGGTTCCAGGTACCATATCGAGTAGAATCGAATCTGTCAAAGCGGACGACGAGATGGTTAAGGAACACGGGATACAAGTTCTTACAGAGATGATCGGGAAGATTAGAAGTTCTACGGAATCTGATGGGGGTTTGCCACGAGGGTTTCACTTTTATACACTAAATTTGGAGAAAGCGGTGGCTTTCATCGTGGAAAGGTGTAACCTGATACCCGAAATACCAACCTCGAATGAAATGGCCGTAGAAGATGAGGACGACGAAGGGCCTGGATTGTTGACAGTGAACGGTGGAGGCGCTTCTATCCCGAGAAGGAGTCGTAGAACGAGTTCTATCATCTCGGACCCGCACAACCGTGTCATCGTCGACACCGTCTCCTCTGCCAGAAGTGAACTTCAGGCCGAAGCCGGAGAGGCCGGTGTCCCCAAGATCCTCGACCCGGGTAGCCAAGAAGGCAACCTCGCGATCTCTGAAGGTGAAGGTTCACTAGGCCGCGAAGCCACATGGGATGACTTCCCTAACGGACGTTGGGGAGATGCAAGATCACCCGGTTCGTGGTCATATTTTTCATTACCCCATCTAAAAAAAACGTTCATACATTGCTGATATTTACACCGTATTTTCCAGCTTTCGGCGAAATAGACGGCTACGGCGTCTCCCTACATCGTACTCCGACCGAGGCGCTCAAACTATGGGGGAAGCCCACATCTACGAAGGATATTTCGGACTTGTTCGTCAAGAACTCTAAAGGTGAATTGGAGGCAATGCCGTGGAGCGAGGATATTTTAAACCCCGAATCTTTCTTGATTACGGAGGAATTGGTGAAGATGAATGCGAAGGGTTGGTGGACGGTTGCCAGTCAGCCGGCGGTGAATAGCGCTAAGAGCGACCACCCGACGTTCGGATGGGGTCCGAAGAATGGATTTGTGTTCCAGAAGGCATTTGTGGAGTTTTTTATCCTAGACGAGGAGTGGACGGAGTTAAAGAAAAAGTTGGAGAATGAGGGTAAAGAGGACGTATCGTTTTATGCGGGAAATAAGGCGGTAAGACTTGCCCTCTTTTTAAGAACTGAGAAGTGGTAAATCATGAAAGCTAATATATGACAGGGCGACTTCCAAACCAACTTGGCTTCGGATTCGTCGTTGAATGCTGTTACATGGGGTGCATTCCCCGGAAAGGAAATCATCACACCGACGATAATCGAAGAGGTTTCGTTCCGCGCTTGGAGGGTATTGTTCCCCCGTCGTTCTCCCCGATTTAAAGAACTATATCTAACAGCTGGGTACAGGACGAGGCATTCGACATCTGGAGCGAGTGGCAGAGGATATACCCTCTATCCTCGGCGACGTCAAAACTACTTGGCGAACTTAAGAATAAATTATGGTTGGTAACCATCATACATCATGACTTTGTCAATGCGGATGGATTGTGGAAGGATATTCTGGGATTATAGATCCAGGGTTAAGAGTAGAATATTTGTGAAGTCAAGGAGTTTTTCTTTTTTCTAAATACTTTTTTTTCCTTTTCTTTTCTTTGCCTTTTGTGAAGCTGGGCATTGCATTTAAAGGCGTTTACAAATTGATTCGGAGTGCACGTGCGCATGTACTTATTCTTCTTGGATAATTGATAATTGATTATTATAACCATACTGGTGGAGATTTTCTTCCTTCCTTCCTTCCTTCCTTTCTTCCTTTATATTTCTCGGTGTATGAAATGTGTGTGTATGTATGTACATCGGTTTGTGATGTAAGGCGACACTACTTGTGTAGTTTCTAGTCGCACATGCAGCTGTTGAACAGCAAGCTAAAAAAAAAAGTATCCTTCTAGGTACCCCCGAAGGCGCCACTGTTGATGATATTATAAAAGTATGAGCGATCCCTCACGAATGCAACGTTGATAATGATTATCTCGCAACGACAGGACAACCTTTATCCCAAAGTCGATCAAAAGAGCAAAGATTCTATCCCACAACCTCTTTCTTTCTTTAATTCCCCTTCGCAGAAAGAAATTCAAAGAGAAAGAAAGAGAGAGAGAAAGAAAACCCATCAAAACTTAACATCAAAACTCGTCCCACACCCACAACTACTCGTCGCCGCCGGATTATCCACAATCTTAAACTGACTTCCAATCAAAGCACTCTCATAATCGACTTTACTCCCATTCAACAACTCCAAACTCGGTAGATCCATCACCACTTTCGCCCCATTACTCTCTTCTTCGAATATCGTGTCTTCCTCAGGGTCGATCTTATCCGTCAACGACATCGTATATTGAAATCCATGACATCCGCCGGATTCGACCAGAACTCGTAGGGCGGATGTAGTCGGTGATGGTTCTTTGCTGAGGATCTGAGAGAGTCGGGTTGAGGCTGCTGGGGTTATTGAGATGGTGAGGGGGTTGCCGGAGGAGTCGGTTTGTGGGTTGTGGATTTGGAGGGGTCGGTGGGGTGTTGTGTGGAAGGAGTGGGTTGATATTGATATTGGTATTGGTATTAGTGCCGGTGGACGGTGGGTATGGCACCGGCTTAGGAGCCGTCTGGTGAGGAAAGATGCCATTTTGATTCTTTCTTTCTTTCTTTTTTGTTATGGTTTTATCTGTTTTTATTTTAGGCAGATGAACTCTGCAGCTGGGAGACGGGGGTTATCTCATGGTTGTGATGGTGATTGTATGTAAGTACTTTGGTGATGGTGTAGTTGAGTATACTTACTAGTTAGAGCTTGTTATAGTTGAAGAATGTTAAATGGTTGGTTGGTTTATAAGCAAAATGGCGTCGTCTCGAGCCGCGGTTCGGCCGGTTAGCTTTGAGATCTCATCGAGTCTCATGCACCTAATATTAATTAACCTGCAGCACGATAAGCTACCTTCTTAGTAGATATTTAAGCTATAAACCCTGCGTCATCCCCCTTCTTCTTCTTCTGAGCTTATTCTCTTGTCGTCTTTTTTTTCTTTCTCTTTCTCTGTCCCAATTGCTAAAATTCCATATCATACCTCAAACATTTCTCTTCTAGCTTAAAAAAAAAAAAGAAAAAAATTACTATATTTCGATAGTAGCCAAGAGCTAAAAAAGCTAGTAACAAAAATGGCCGACGAGGGATTCCTTACCAGAAAGTTTGGCGAAGGCGTTGAGGTAGGTGCTCCCACAAAAATACCACACAATCAACACACTTTATATATTATCCAATCATCCTCAACTTCAACTTAATCCTTTGATTGATACTTCTATACAACAGAACTACTACTCCGGCTCACCCCTCAACCGCCTCGCCTTCCTCCGCACAAACCACTCTTACCTCTCCACCGCCCTCCAACATCCATCCACCCGTTTCCTCCTCCTCAACAACCTCGACCCTCTAGCATCCACCCCTTCCACCCTCGCCTTCGTCTCCTACTCCGACATCTCCCCTCTAATCTCAAACCCATACTCCACCAGCGAAAAAGAAGTCCTAGAATCCTTCACCAGCACCATCGACCACCCAGTCCTAATCTTTCTCGGAATCGACGAATCCGCTTCACAAGAACATAAAATCCCAACCCCAGACGGTAAATACTCCGGCCAAGCATATTTCTCACTGGATATAACACCGTACCCTCACATTAGTTATTCATCGACCGCGAGTTCCTTGTTGGATAGTATTAAGCAGAATTATCCGCTTCATGAGTTTAAAACTGCAAGGAAGGATTTGAATTTGGGAAACGAACATGCGGCGATTTATGCGTCGGCTAGGACTTTGACGAATTGGAATGTTACGGCGCCGTTTTGTGCCGGTTGTGGGCAGAAGACTTTGAGTGTTAATGCGGGGACGAAGAGGGCTTGTCCGCCGAAGGATGGGGGCGTGGAGACTAGGAAGTGTCCTAGTCGGGAGGGGGTTCATAATATTAATGTACTTTTCATACCTCTTATCCTTCTCTACCCTTTCTTCTTCTTCTTTGTGTTCTTTTTTTTTTTTTTGGAGGGGACTTTATTCTGATAGAAAATAACTTGATAGTTCCCACGGACGGATCCAACGGTGATTATGGCTGTTATCAGCTCCGACGGGACCAAAATCCTATTAGGAAGACAAAAGAAATGGCCAAAATAGTAAGTTCACCCCCCCCCCAAATCAAACAAAGGGAAAAAACTATTACTAAATCGTTACAAAAAAAAACCAGCTGGCACTCAACCCTCGCCGGCTTCCTCGAACCCGGCGAATCAATCGAAGAAGCCGTCCGTCGAGAAGTATGGGAAGAATCCGGCGTCACCGTCGGCCGCGTAGTAATCCACTCTTCCCAACCATGGCCCTTCCCCGCAAGTCTAATGATCGGAGCCATCGGTGAGGCTTTACCCGGGAAAGAAGAAATCTATCTAGGTAACGACCCGGAATTGGAAGGAGCGAAATGGTTCGAGTTCGAGGAAGTTAAGGAGGCTTTGGGGTTTACTAGTGGACTTTATGAGGGTACCCCTGAGGGGTATAAAGAAGGGGCGTTGAGGTTGCCGCCGAAGACTGCTATTGCTAATCAGTTGATTAGGGCGGTGGTGTTGGGGGAGATACATTTGGCTAAGATATGATTGAGAGGGGGATTATTGTTGGAGCCGGTCGGTTTTTATTGCATTTGTGAGATATTTTTATAGACTACCTTTTTTTTCTCCCTGAATATATTAGATCGTAGTTTTATATTTGCGGGTAGATGGATATTTTAGTATCTAGAACATAATCCCAACCACCCGTGATCATGCATACACAAATACTCATACTCACTCACTCACTCATCTATCTGAACCCAAGTCTTCCCGGAATCCGAAATTTCGTGATTACTCTTCCGTCGAAACCGACATAAAGATACCACAGTACGCGTACCCACAAATGCGATCCGCTGCTCATCCTCATGAAGGATATTAACAGTCTTCAACCCCAAAAGCCGTCCTTCCGAAGTCCGTCGATTGAGTCCCTCTTCCAACACCCAGGGGTTCCCATAAGGTCCCATCGTGACCACGGACGGGGGTGGTATTTCCGCAAACCTAAGAGTGGGAATTTCGGGGATTACTTCTGGCCATGAAGTATTATACTCTTCGCGTGTAGATCTTGAGATGTACTTCGATTTTGTTAGTTTGAAGGATTCTAGATTTGGGAATTGGGTCGGGACGGTGGAAGGGATGTGGTTGAAATTTGTGACGTCGGTGAGGTGGAGTGATTTGATGGTTGGGAAGGAGTAGATGGGCTGGTTTTTTGATATTTCTTCTTCTCCTTCTCCTTCTTCTCCTCCTTCGAATTTTGTTTCTTCGTTTCGTAATTGGATTTCTTCGATTACATTTTCGATGGAGAGGGTGGTTAACTCCTTACACCGTATTAACGGAAGAAGAAACAACAGTTCGCACGTATCCCTCTTAGAAGCTCTAGTCGAGAACTTAAACGATCTCAACTTCTTCGGGAATTGAATTTCCGTCGTAACCAGCTCCTTGAATTCCTCGTCAGATATCGGAGGTCCCAAGAGTTTTTGAACGTCGGGTGGAAATCGTGATCGTTCGTAATTGTCTCCAGTTCCTCCAGCTGCTGTTTCGACTATTTTCAAACCCCCATCGACGTCGTCCAGATCTAGATCTATCCCGCGAATACCATAAAGCCCCCTGATATCCAAATCCGACAGCCTACAATTCAAAGGTAAACCCGGATAATCATGAAAAGCAATAAACCCCCCCCAATCAAGAGAAATCGACGTCAGACTCTCATACATCGGTAACAAGGTCCTCAGCAGCCGAAATATTGCGACGTATAAACGTCTTTCGATCGATCCGGATATTTTGATTTTAATCACCAGACCGGTGGTGTTTGAAAACCGAAATATTGCAGGGAAGCAAATAATCATATCGTTGAAATCTTCCATGTCGAATGTTATGGATCTTTTTATAAAATCGATACGTACGTCGTATATATATATATATATATATATATATATACACCAAATATTTTATTAGATCGATACATTGATACAAGTCTCGTATACATGCCGATAAAGAAAAGGAAGACTCATATAAGGAAGACTTATATAAGGGGAAGAAACATACCGAACATAATGCCTTACAGGCGCCAACCACCGTCCCTCGTCGAACGGTCCAATCATCGATGCCACCGATCTATCATCACGATCATACCCTCTTATCACAACCCCACGAAACCTCAGAGGAAATGTAATTAAATAGCACGATTTAGACAATTTCGCAAATTTCGATAGTTCATCATCTTCTAAAAACCATAAAATCGAATCACATATCTCCGTTGGGAGGGAAAAGAATTGTTGCATTTTTTTTTTGAGATATATATATATATATATATACTTAAGTATAAGTATACGTGATGGTGCTCGAGGTAATATAATACTTTTTCAACAGATGAATGACTAGAATAACCGCGAACCTGGGGCTGCTACCGAAGGGGCTCCAATTTATAAATTCTCCGGAAGATGCACATATACAAAAGCGCATGCGCAATTGAGCTGTTTAGAATCCAACCATTGGAGCCTTGAGTAAGTAGTTAGGTTAGGTGCTTCAAACTAGCTTAAATTTTGGTGCAGAGTGGTTCAGCTACCTACTTACTCAGTCAGTGCACTACGTATCATACATGCACGCCAGAAAACCACAAATCTAGGCAGAAAGAGGGAGTCAATTACGCAAAAGTCAATCTTCGAAGTCCTTCCTCAACTCCAAGTAGGAACAATTCTACTATAAAATACTTATATAGTAGTCTCAAGAAGGATGCAAAATACGATGCAGACAATCCCCTTAAGAGACTCGCCATATGCCCTTTTTTTTGTTGTTAAACTAAAAACAAAAAAAAATAAAATAAACCCTCTATCAAAACTTCAAATAGGAGATAGAGATACAGAGTAAAAATCAACGCCTTGCCCGCCCCTCGAAGCTCAAATATTATTTCAAGTAAGCCGAATTTGCAAATTTGCAAATGCATGATAATGGACTCCCATCCAAACAGGCAAACGATCTAATTCCACATGCCGTTATACAAGGCAAAATGCAGCAATGGTAGCAGCAACAGTAACAGTATTAAAACATTAAAAACTCCCCGTCCGGACGCCATTAACCCACTCCCCACCCTCGTATGATTTTTTTGTTGATAAGAATCGAGAAGAAAAAAAATGAACAAAATTATGCTCCATGAGAATAGAAAAAAACAAAAAAAAAGGTTATTGTATACCCGACCCTTCCACATATCCTTAATGGAAGGATTGGTAGGATTGGTGATGTGGTCTACTTTGCCGACGCTTCCCCGTGCTCCACCGCTTCCGCCACCAGGCTCTTCTTCGCCATGGCTTCTGGATACCCGCAAACATTGATCAAATAATCTAGTCTAAACTTCGATTAGCCAAAAGAAACCCTATACAAATGGTGTTTTTGTATGCACTCACTTAGCCTCGTAAACATGTGTCAATTTCACATCCGTGTATTTCTGTTCCACACTCCTCATAACTTCCTCTCTCTTCCTCTTATTGACCGTCTTGACCCTCAGCTGGAACACAGCACTAACTGGCCTGTGGTCCGAAGTGTGCACTTCATGTCTCCTGTAATCGGTCTGTCGGATTCTACCCAACCCTCGATAAAGGATTCGATCGCACCAACTTGGCATCCGCTTTTTTTCCGATGTATCGTAGGTATCAGTCCCCACATCATATTTGTATGTCGGCGGGAACGTAATCGGAGCTTCGTTGAAGGATCTGAGGCGGAATCCAGGGTTCCTCTTTCGTTCCATGAGGAGCTGGTCCCGTTCCAAAAGTTTCTCATAATCATCGTGTTTGATGGTATTGATAACGCTATCGCGGTGTTGATGGTCAATACGGTAGTTAAGATCGCCATTGAGAACACAAATTTCGTGGTCAAGGATACGGCTGCCATCGCCGCCGCCAACGAAGCAGTAAGCCCGGATGCTGGCATCTGTTTCCACAGAAAGGTTGTTTGCTTCCAAAATATCTGCGATATCATTGTTACGACTTCGAGTTCCCGATTGACCAGCCGCAAGATGGCAGTTGACAAAGCAGAGCGAGCTATCATCGAGAAAGAACCGGGTTACGAGAGCTCCCTTGTTGCCGTGAATACCCCCAAGTCCGGTCTTGACAGTGCAGGCTCCGAAGTTTCGGATGTTCAGACGCTCCTCAGCTTTCACAAAGATACAAGTGAACAGGCCAACCATGTTGGCAGAGTGCAACAATTGGTATTTGACTTCACCCTGCATAAATTTGTCGATGCAGTCGCCTAAGTATTCCTGCCAGACTCGGTATTGACGGCTCATATGCTCTTGAACGCCGGCGTTGAGGTGCTTTTCAGACTTCTTACCCTTGAAGAGAGATTCTAGAGGAGAGTTAGTCGTGATCCTAGTAATTATCGGGTGCGGTACATACTGGCTGTAAGCTTCTTGTTCTCGAGGTCGACGAGCTCTTGGAAGCCAAAGACAATAACATCAGGATCGCTATCGCACGAACTCAGAACATTGGCAATGAACTTGTCGTCATCACGGTAGCTTCTAAGATCGTACGGCTTAGAAGCTCCAGCATTCCATGAACATGTCAGTAATTTAAGTTGCCTAAAGTCGCAGAAGTCGATATCGCGCCTTTGCATCTCGTCCTCTATACAAAAAAAAACCCACACATATTAGCAACTGCCCAAAATTTTCATAAGACCCGTAACTCACCCAGCCAATCATCCTCCATCATCCCGTCCCACACTTTAATTACCATTTCTGAGCTTAACGATGCGACCTGTAGTCGATTAATCTTCCAGATGCTGCTTCGGTCGACAATCAATTCCGTCACCGGTTTTTCATGTGCTTTCCAATCTTTGATAACTTTCCAAGGCTTCGAAGTCACATCGTACACATAAATCATCCCGGTCTGATACCCCGCCCACAAGTAATCTCCAACTCCAGACATCGTATTGATCTTATAAAGACTCACACTGACCACCTCTAAGCAGGTCAGGGTCTTCTTGGAGTATATCGATACTTTCCCGTCGTTGTGCCCGAAGAATACCATATCCGGTGCCGAGTTCACCAGTGCTCCCGAAGTAATTTCTCCAACGTGTTTTGTTTGAGTAATCGGCCTATCAACTAGATGGAAGCCAACTCCAGGATCGGCGCTAGGCTGGTAAACCATCACGTCTTTTCCAGTTGCGAGCCATAGTTGTGAGCCGGAGACCAGAGAATAGCTGTGTCCAGACTTAACCCTAAATGTCCTCGGTGAACCTCTCAGATTCGGTTCTCTCGTTACAGGATCTGGCGGCCAGACTTGCAATTTGCCACTGTCGTCTAAACTCCACAATTCATAGCCATGCCGATGAATCTTTACGATCTCGCGTTTGGTGTGGGCGCTGGAGCGGGTTTCCACGAGTCTGTGGGATCGAATATCAATTTCCATCAACTCACCAAATTGGTTACCTAGCCAGAGGACTGAGCCTTCGTTGTTGATGTCGGCCGAGGGCTTGAAGGAAATGGCTGTGATGCGAGTGGTTTCACCGTGGTTGAGGGCCATGATTTGCTCACCAGTTCGAACATTCCAGACGGTGGTGACATGAGAAGTGGTGCAGATGTATTGTCCACAGACGTCGAATAGCTTGACCTCATTTTTGCAGTAGATTTGAGATGGGCCTGTTTTGAATACAGGGCGACGGCGATTGGCGCTAGTCGAGTCAGGATATTCATTATTGTCGGACGATGGGGCACCGGGGTCTGAATCGTCGTCGTCATCTCTGGTGTACGTTGTTGTGGCAGTCCTGGTTGTCATGGTAGTCGTGGTCGAGCTGATTGATGCACTTCTGGTGGATGCCAGGGAAGAAGGATGGTGCATGGAGGCAACATCCATCGAGTGGCTGTGGATGTGACTAGTTGAAGCTCGGGCTGGGCTAGAGGACTTGAGATTCGACTGTATACGCTTCGGAGGTGGCGGCATCTTAAGAAGCTCGTTGGGGTCAACGTTCGGAGAAGCGATCAGCGATGGCTTTGGTGGGGACGAGCTACGGCCCCTGTTGGCCATGGGCCTTCCGATGTCCATAGAAGGGCGAGGTGGGAGTGAAGGTCGGAACTCTGTAGGTCCAACATCTTCTGACCGGGATCTCTCCTGGGATAATGAAGCTCTTGGTAAATCTCTTGCTGACGGCTGTGGGGGTGCGAATGAAGGTTTCGGAGCTGTCGGCCTTGTCACCGGAGGTGGAGGCGGTGGAGGCGGTTTCGTGCGCTTTTCGGTGGACGGTGCGGGGGGTGGGTTCGAGAATGGCGAGTAGCCTTCGAATTGCTTAGACAGCCGGCTCGTAGAAATGGGAATTGGTACGTCTGCCGTAACCTCATCGTCACTAGGGGGAGAACTAAATGGCGACAACCGCTCCTCTTCGCTACAAACTGACGTTGCCTTGCTCCGAGTCCCATTCGTCTTGACTGATAACCTCGCTGGCGGCGGCGGTGGCGGTGGTGGCGCTGACGTAGCCTGTCTTGCTTCTTGAACAGGTTCGGTGGTCGACCGACTCAGCAGTGATTCTCGAGATCTAGCAGGTCTTGGAGGTGGTATCGGAGCCAAAGGTTCACTGGTGGAACCGTTCCTTCTAGCATTCAAAGCACTGGGTGTCGGATAATCTCGCAGAGCTTGCATCGTCTGGCTCAACGGAGCCTTCTTTTGTGATATGCTGAATTCCGGACCTGCAGCCTCCTGTGTGAAATACCCATCTGGTTTCGCAGCTAACGATTTCGGCCGGGGTGCTACCGGTGGAGGAGGAGTTCTAGACGGAGAAGGATTTTTGGAGCCTCGAGGAGAGGGAACCGGCGGTACACCGGGTGCGCCATGGGTCAAGGGTTGCTTGGGGGGTGATTTCGGCGATTCAACTGTTACGGTGGGTGGGGCAGTAGATTTTAAACCAGCAATTGACAGGGGACGAGCTTTGGGAACGGGAGCCTTGAGGGTAGTGTCCGGTCTTGAGGGAACAGGCGGCTTTTCGGAGTCTCTACGGATATCTACTGAAGGTCGGCCGGTCCTCGTCTCTTGAGCAGCCTGGTCAAACCTCGAACGTAATGGAGTTTCGACAGGAGTTGAAGCACCGGAATCTCGAGCTAGAGGAGTAGTAGGGCTGGAGGTAGACGGGCTATTCACTTTTATGGATTCGAAGCGGGAGCGCAAGCTTGATACGGACTTCTAAAGGATATAGGACAGTCATGGATGGTCAGCAAATCTCACCTAGGCAGCTAGTCGAAAGGAAAAGAGAGAAGAAGAAGAAAAGGATTCAGCCGTACCTGAGGTGAATCGTCCATGATGGCAGTGAACGAGGGTAGAACAGTAACATCTACGGGGAAAGAGAAAGGGAAAAAAAGAGCGTCGTTGGGGTATGAATTCTTGAGATGTATGAGTTTAAGAAAGATGTTGAGGTTTGGGGGAGTTTGTCGGATTGAGGTAGAGTGAATGTAATGTGTCTGTGGGGAGAGTTGATAGGAGAGGTTATGCTACGGTTTTTGCAGAGCAGACCAGCTGATTATTCCGCGAGAAAGATCGATAAACCACAATCAAATAAAATAAAACGAACGAAGGATAGATGAAGAAGGATAAAAACAGCGAATTCGAAGCTTTAAAGGCCGGAGATATTATCGGGCGACAGGGCAGACAGGGAAAGAATGTGTGGGTGTGCGTGTCCAATGTAAAGGGGAATCCGTGACCAGGAGAAGCAGGCGGTAAGCTAAAATTGCAGGAAAGTGATGATCGGAGCATGCAGGAATTTGAATTTGAATTCGGTTCAAAAGACGAGCATGAGCGATGGAAGAATGAAGAAGCCTTTTAGTTCTTTATTATGTTAAAATCATCGGGTCAAAGGATTTCTATTTTATATGTATACTTACTTAAGTACTTAAGTATATAAAGGAGATGACGAGTGCAACTGACGATAATAAATGTGGCGTCCTATATTATATTAATATCCAAGGCCCCCGGTCGAGTCTAATCTATCCGATCCACCGCACGTCGGAATCCTCACATTGCAAGTATTTAATTAATATAATATTACCGGTGGAATTTCATGAGGAGATGTCCATTCTGGAAGGAGAATATATAGTATACAGGGGGAGAGTATGAGTATAGACGGTGACAATTGAATATCGAAGCTTCAATTCAGTGAACGTGTCTATTAATATACTTGATATCGAATGCCAGTCGGGGTTAAACTGTAATATCCGAGTGCCCTCGACCCGCTTGGAAGTGTATACAGAGCAGATCTGCAGAGTTAAGTTATGTCTGTACATAGTAGACTGAATTTGGGTGACAGGTGACTGCGCCTTCTCTCTGTCGCGGCCTGCCCGAAAGAGCACGCGCGACCATCCGGTTTCTCGTTCAGGTGCAGCACACCGCAGCGCAGCGCAGCGCGGTGCAGTGTCGGCTGCATCTTATTTTTTATTTTTTATTTTTTATTTTTTATTTTTTCTTCTTCTGTTGGATATTGGTCGGTCAACACAACCAAATTCTCCCACTCTTGACTCTACACTCGAGAGCTCTGTCTCCACCACCACCCTTCTATCGATATCGGTATCGATACCTTTATCATATCAATTGACCCCCCTCCCCCGCTACTTAATTACCTACTTAGGTAGTACTTATATCATCAATTGCGGAGAGAACCAACTACCAGTCGCAATCAAGCGTGTATCCTCATAGTATATAATGGGGTCGTTCACCCAACCACTGTCACGCAGCCACCGGTAGCATATCGCCATATATCATACACCCTGCCCCTCAATACCTATCCACTAAATTCTAGATATTTACGGATTGGTGCATTCGGGGTAGCACCCGCGCTGTGCTGCCTACTTCGACATGGCCAGCTCCAGCATCAGTATCAGGGCTCTCACCTACAAATTCCCTCTCCGGAAACTTCAGCCTGTCCATGTACTATCACTACCCTCCACCCGTCTCTTCACTACTGCCTCTCCACCCGCTCCTCAGTCTACCTTTGAACCTGCTGGTGACCCTTCACCCAGTCGTCCTCATCCTGGTCCTGGTCCTGGTCCTGGTCCTTCTGCTAAAAAGAAGCCACGTCCCAAAAGGAAACCAGAATTTGCTCCTTCGGTCGATAGGGAGCAGATAGGAGATGATAATACTTTCCCACGAGGCCCTAGGTTCACTGGTTTGCGCTCTAAAAGCTCTAAATGGGACAAACATTCCAAGGGCCTGCCTGAGAAAACTTCTGAAACCCCTCCCGCTGAGGACGAGGACTGGTCCCTAGCAATTGATGAAGTGGTCGGTGCGTTTCCTGACGACGATCCGAAGTCCCAGGCATCGGGAGCAAAGCTTCAGTCACAAGAAACCGAACCTAAGCCGAAAAAAACTAAACCCAAACAATTGAAAGCAAAACCTCGGTCGCAGGAAGCAGAGCTTGAATCGCAGGTCGCACATCCCGAATTGCGGCAAAATGAACCTGAGCTACGGGAACTGGAGACGAAAGATGGCGAGCTGAAAAAACCGTCGAAGGATAAGAAAAAGAAGAAGAAGAAACAGAAAAATGCCGAGGATAAAACAAATACGAAGGAAGCTGCTCCATCGGATCAGGCAGAGAACTCGGTCAACAAAGATCCCGCTGGAATTCAATATTCGAATAATCTTGCTCCTATCTCATCAATCCTCGACTTCGGACTCCCAAATCAAATCGAAAAAGACCCCCTCGTCGCTTCCGTCACTAATTCCATCTTGGGCAAAGAAACACAGAACCAGAAACAACATCAAAAACCCGAGAAGAAAACCTCGGACCCTGATAACGAGCTTAGTCTGGACGATTTGTTCCGACGGTTTGAGACCTTCGCGGAACATTCCACGAGCGTGGAACCACTCGAGAAGAAAAACTTCGACACCAAGGGCGACCGGTTGGCGAAAGCAACGACTGACAGAAAACAGAAGCATATGCAACTTGATCAGGTGTGGGAACGTAACGAGCAAGCCTTTATAGAAGGGGTGCCAGAAGGAGGAAAGGGATATAAAGAATCAATTGAGCCGGCGGAAGAGAACGTAGCAAAAGCAGAAGATCTAGCCGCTACAGAACGGGAGGGCGTGGTAACAGAGGCCGAAAGGAAGACAGACGAGGAAGCAAACGAGGCTAAAGCCAAAGAAACAGCAGTCGACCGTCTTACAAACTGGTTAGACCGACTTGAGGTACGTCGGGCGGAACAGAAGACCAAGTGGGAGGAAGCACGGCCTCAAGAAGAATCGCTGCTGAAGGACGGAGCACGGTCGAAGGAGGAGTTAGATACCTGGTCGTCCGAAGGCCGAGAACTTAACACATCGATCATCTTCACTCAGAGTGTACAAGACCCATCCGAAGCGGACTTGGTTTGGTATAATCAGGATAACTACACACCCACCCGAAGATACACACGGCCATCATCTTCTGAGCGTGAAACTGTTCTTGGCAGGCGAATAGGAGACCCATACCAATTACTATCCGCTCTATCAAATGGACGTAACGAATATCACTATTCTCTCGAAAATCTTAGACTGATGAGGCAAGGTATGGAAGTCGCCGGTCTGCACGAACGCCTACGCCGGACGAAGTTACCATTCCAGTTCCCAGCCATCAAGTACGAGGATATCGAAAACATCTTCCGTCCAAAGCTACCAGTGGGAGCCGAAACAGCATATGAACCCTTCCCGCTCATCGTACCGCAGGAATCTGCCGTTGAAGTCCCGTTCTTATGGCGTATTATAGAAGAAAACTCCAAATATCTAGCTTTATATGGCGACGTCCAGAGTTGCCAAGGTTACCATCCGTCGCCCTCTCAATATTTTCACAACTTCATTCTCAACTTCTACGGCTACTTGAAGCCCACATCGATCATCACCGACGCAAACTATCGACAACCCTACTCGAGGCAGCAAACCATCCTCAGTTTTATGGGCATCCCTACTATGGTACTACTCACCGTCCCCAACCAACCGAACGCGGAGCCCATCGAAACCCGGAACCTTCTCGCTCAACTAATCGCAGAAACATTTTCATGTCATTACTACAACCGCGAGATCATGCAAGCTCAAGCCCCCATAATCGGTCTTCTACATCATGATGCCCGACTGTGGGTGGTTCTGTACGACCCTGTAGCCGACATCCCATATATTTCCAAAGCGATCAATGCGAATTTAGACATTCCAGCATCACATGATATACCAAAACCACTGAGATATCTATCTCTGTTCGTCAGTGACGCTTTTACTTGTGCCGCTATTAACGGTATTGAAGCAATGCGACACCGGGAGCGTCAAGAAGGGGAAACGGATACAGCAGCGGATTGGCGTGAGGCTTCCGAAGGGATGTGGAATGCCCTGGAAAGCAGACGGATGACATATATACATTTTCCGACTGAAGAAATTCCTGTAAAGGCTTATGTTAAGATGATAAAGGATATGGATAAGGCTCGTCAAGGGTCAATGGCGGCTTTGCAGTCAATTCCACCTCAATACCGGATTTCGATAGGAGAATCGTTAGATCGGTGGTGGATGAAGACCTCGAGACCGAGCTGGCATGATCTGACGGAATCGCTTCCAAAACCGTATAAAAAGCCAGTCAATAAGAGATATCAAAAGCAAGATGGACCTCCATCTAAAAAACCAGATAATCCGGAACCCAAACAGCCTGATATGGGAGGGTACGAGTATTTGATGGGGGGAAGAAATAAAGGGCCAGGTTTTTAGTCCTGCACTGTATAAGTACTAAGTGGTTTGGTATGTATATAATTGATCATTCGCATTGTATATATACTACTTTCATTGTGTTTTTTTTCGAGCTTCGCAGATGTCATAGGTGGATGAAGATACCTATTTGGATGTCTCGTGGTATCTGTACTATATCAGTATCTACTTAAGTAAGTAGTTTACCCACTTCGTTTCATGTCTATTTAGGCAACTTTGGGCGAAATTTACGATAATATCAACATCATGATATCAGGCTCGTAGTATCAACTATCCCAAATAGCCACAGATCTGCATCAATCGGATATTAATATTATGCTAGTGCAAAGTATACTTCGGCAATACACATCCGAAGGCAGATCCGTCTTGTTTCTATTATAACCATTGCAATCATTCAGGTACGCTGTGATATAAGATGTCTTGCAATATGCTTTTTCAAAGAACAAAAGCCAGAGAAGAAGAAAAAAATGTTTAAAATCGGAACGCTGTAGACTTCACGATAACTTTTGTTTGGATTGATGGCGGTTTTAAACGGGAAGAGTATCAATACATTTGAGATCATTAGGCTAGGTGAGATAAATGTCTAGGCTGAGAAGTATACTTTTGGGCAGTTTAAGCTAGTACCGTGACACTAAGGTTGTAGTGGTGTGTGGTATTTTTGGCAGGCTATTGCGGTTCGAAACGTGTTGTACTGTATACACAGGTCGATACATTGCATCGTACGTATACGTGATCATGAGAACGATGCATGGTCCAAAGTAAGGGAAATTGTTTAACTTCGGCAGAACGGCAAACAAGTTAAGTGGCTGTGTCGCTTTATCTCTTTTTTTTTTTTTTTCTTTCCCTCCCCAAATGTATGAGGTTTCTTCAAATCTCCGGTTCCTGACGGAGTAGATACCAAAAATCGTCGTGCCGCACCGTGCCTTAAGATGTTTTCTTTACAAGACAAATACAAAGATCCGAGAAACCGTAGCCCATGCATGCGCAGATGTTCCAACTTAGACGTTTATAATTAATAAACGAAACAGATAAAACGAGCACCCCTCCCTTAACCCCCCTTATTACCTTTTTTATATCTTTTCTCAACATCTCGAGAAAACTTAGGAGTTCCGATAGCGCTACGTACAACAACCTTAACTAGCTAGCTGCGGCCGAGGCGTTTTCCCATGACATGCACGTCTGCCATGCCGCATTTATTCCCAGATATGGTAATTATATGCGTTAACCAGTTAGAACGTTTTATCGCAAATTACCCAAGGGAGGGCAATGTTAATCCTGTTTCGGTATCATCCGAAAAGACGGCTAGACTGGATATGGAAAAAGACGGAGGTCCTGTGGCAGGGCTTTTGCCTACAGATATGTAGCTTGGTACCTTTTTGTTTCAAACCGAGTTTGGGAGAGAGACTAGACGACTTCATACAAGAAACCCGCCTAGTGCGCTGTTTAACCACCAAAAATACCAGCAGCTAAAGACTAAAATTATAGTTACAAGGAATTGAGCTGGCTGGCTGGTTGGCTGGCTGGCTCAGCTGGACGATGAGGCATCCATGGGTCCATGTACATACGTCGTTTTTTCTTGCGGCAGGAATAGAGCAAATCTAAACTAAGATGTTTCAATGGTAGAAATGTTTATATGGTGAATTATATTGGCTTCCGCAAGAAGTTGTGGATATATAAATCCTGACATCTTCGCTTCTCCTCTGTCTCGATCATCAAGCAAGCCTTCGATCTTTCAGCTCATCAACATCAAGCACTTTCCTTTTGTATTCAATCTTTTCTTCATTGGCCCCGGTGGTCCCTTTTTCTTCTTCTTATTATTATTATTGCATTCTCTACGATCTTGACGATCTTTGATTTCTAAAGCTTCAAACTTTTTACCCGTTAATTCCATTCTAACCTCACCCTTTCGGATTTTTATACCCATTACCACCTTTCCCTCCAAAAAAAAAGATGCATTCCAAAATCCTAATCTCCGCTTTCATCTCTGCCCTAATCCCCTCCATCTCTGCCCACTCCGTCATCACCGTCGCCGTAGGAAACGAAGGCGGCCCCGTCGGCGCAGGTCTAGGAATGGACCCTTCAATCCCACGCACAGGAACCAGCGGCGACCCATTCCAACAAGACTCCACAGTCTTCGGCGGCCAAAGGAACATCCAATCCGCCAAAGGCTGCGGCCGCACGCCCCGCGGTGGACCCAATAAAGTCCAAGAACAAGTTCTAGCAATGGCCAAAGCCGGAAAAATCCCCCAAGTCCGTCAAGGTGGAGAAATCCGTTTCACTCTACACCAAGTCAACGCTGACGGTGCGGGTCCTTTTATCTGTATGATTGATACCACGGGTACCGGAGATAGCTTTGTGGCTATGGAGGTTTCTCAACAGGTCGCTGGTGCTGGTGGTGTTAACCCTGCTCGTGAGGCTTCTACGAACGCCCTTTTTGCTAGGTTTGGTGCGACTACTACTTGTACTGGTGAAGCCGATGGTGTTAAAAACATCTGCATGGTTAGATGCCAGAACGCGGCTGGTAACGGACCGTTCGGAGGGTGCGTGCCAGTACAAATTGTTCAGACCGTCGGTGCTCCAGAGAATACTGCGAAGCCGGTGCCTCCTGCTGAGAATACTGCGACGCCGTTGCCTCCTGCTGAGAATGCGCAGGGCGGCAATGCGGGAAACAACAATGGCGGAAATAATAACAATGGTAACAATAACGGGAATAACAATAACCAGAACGGTAATAACGGGAATAATAATAACGGCAATGGGAACAATAACGGTGGAAATAACAACAATAATAACGGCGGCAATGGCGGTAACGTTAATAACGGAAACAACAATGGCAATAACAATAACAATAACAATGGCAATGGCAATGGCAACAATAACAATGGGAATAATAATGGGAATAACAATAACGGGAATAACAATGGGAATAACAATGGCGGAAACAATGGCAATAATAACGGCGGAAACTTCAACAATGGCAATGGAAATGGCAATGGAAATAATAACGGTAATAACAACGGTGGGAACTTCAACAACGGCAATGGCAACAATGGCAACAACAACGGCGGAAACAATGGCAATAACAACGGCGGGAACAATGGAAACAACAACGGTGGAAACAATGGCAATAAAAACGGTGGAAACAACGGCAATAACAACGGTGGAAACTTCAACAATGGCAATGGAAACAATGGAAATAACAATGGGAACAATAACGGCGGAAACTTCAATAACAACAATGGAAACAACGGTGGAAATGGTGGAAACTTCAATAACAACAACGGTAATGGCAATGGCAATGGCAATGGAAACTTCAACAATAACAATGGAAATGGAAATGGAAATGGAACCGGAAACAACGGAAACGGTAATGGAAATAACGGCAACAAAGCCAAGCGATCCGAAATTACCTACATCCGCAGACGCTGGTTCCAGTAGGAATCTTCACTACCATATTCTCTCAACCATTCACTCAACCATTTCATAACGACTACTACTTTATGCTTTTATATTTCTAAATCCCCTTCTGCTCTGCATTATTCACGAATATCTCGTTTTTGATATTATTATTGTTATCTTTCGATTCCCCTGTTCTTTCGTCTTGTTTCCTTTTATTTTAGCTTTTTTTGATGTCTTTATGTATGCATAGCTAGCATAGCGAAACCGGAGTTTTTATTTTCTTTCGAAAGAAGAAGATGCATGATACTTAGAGCGAAATTCAATGGCTTGATCAACTTTCATATACTCTTCTCAATCATAGCTCGTAAATTGTGACTTCACTACAAGATACCAACGTCAGATACACAGGTGTAATTATATGATACTTCAACACAGTAACCGAAAACGAACTACTAAACTGATAAGTTTGCGTTGAATTCGTTGTATTTTCTGTGTAACCATTTTGATTGGTCAACGACATTCCATCCCGATTAAGAAGGTGTTGTTGATCAAACACTTTCAACGCCATATATCTTCGCCACAGGGCAGAGCTTGGTATTCTAAAATTCCATACAGCTTAGCAATTATACCCCAAGCTACTCCATAAAAGCGGTCTAGATTACCCCGGCAAGCATCCTTTCGACATTTTCGGTTTTTTCCAATCTTCCCGAACGTCTTTACCTTTATAACCTTCTTATTATATCACGATTATCATAGCTTCATCATGTGGTTTGTTTACACACACCCCTCCCCCAGGATTTCATATATATAATATTTGCTGCGTAGGATAGTAACTAACATCCCCCCGTCTTTCTTCAAAATAGTAAACATATTCTAAACGCCCAAGTCTCCATCCGCTCGCCCTGCTGTACTTCCACCCCTTCCATACACTTTCAGTTCCTCAAATAAAGAAAAAAAAAAATATACTTACACTTTATCGAATAATTTTTTTTGTTTTTAAAAAAAAAGGCCGAAAATGGTTCGACTGTCCAGACTGCCACGCCGAATCCGAGACACATCCGCTACTAAAGTCTGCAGAGATAACATTAATCTGTAAGAAGTGTAAAAAGGCGTTTAGGAAGGACTCGAAGGAGTTCGAGGAGGCGGACGAGTATTGTCCGCATTGCGATAATCATTATGTACTGGAGGCGAAGACGCCGAGGGCGGCGTTGAGGGTGGAGAGTGAGGATGTTAGGATGGATAGTCGGTTAGTGTCCCTTCTTATTCCTTTTTTTCTCCCATTGGTTTGGGAAAGGGTGGCTACGGGGTGGGGAAAGTATATGGAGGGGCTAATGTGAATATGTGGGGAAATAGATTCATTAAGGATGATAGATTGAAGGATTTTGATGACAGTGAACTGTTCGATGTAGCTGAGACGGCGGATAGGTTAGGTTAACGAGTTTGTGGCATATATATATATATGCATCTCATTTGGGGTTTTGTCTTTTACGATTTCTATGAGGTTTTTAAGCGGTTCATATAGGCGTTCCTTTCTTCCTCTTGTGGGTCTTTCATGTGCTTCATTCCAGGAGAAAGCATCCTTGGTATTCTTCATAGATTATCTATCTATCTCATGATATCGATCCACGAGTGGTCCTTTATATTATGGAAGATGCTGAAAGAACTACGATCCCGTAACACCGCCGCTTGGTGTGCTAGTACCTGTAGCAGCGGACGCGGATGCACCACCCCGTCCTCCCTTCTTCTTGGCTGCCTCGGCGGCCTTTTCGGCCTCAATATCCTTAACGTAGCTTTCTATCTTTTCGGCTTCTAGGTACTGTTGTGGAAGTTAGCGTAATGTTGGTATAATGGTGTCGTGTCTGTGGATAGCTTATGGACTAACCTCAATCTTCTTACCCGGTGCCATGATCGCGATTTCGATGTTCTTGGCACCGGTTTGTACTACCTCTAGTAGTGACTTGACTGTAAGCTTGATCGTCTCTTCGCGGTCCATTTCCTCCTTGAAGTTCCTTTCCAGGAACTCTCGTACGGTCTTGCTCGATCGTCCGATAGCATTCGCTTTCCTATTCTGCTAGTTAGCGATTCCATTCCAACATATAGCTCTTTATATACCAATAAGAAGGAGCATACCAAGCTGAATAGATACCCGAAGGCTCAGTCTGATATAACCTCGGCGTCTCATCCTTCGGATCAAATCCAATAATCAAAGTACTGATTCCAAACGGTCTAACACCTCCGCTCTGCGTATACTTCTGCTGCACACCGGCGACATATTTGGTAATATACTCAATAGTAACCGGATCCTCGACCGTCAACCTGTGGGATTGAGCTTCAACACGGGCTTTATCGATGAGGATTCTTGCGTCGGCGTTTAGACCGGCGAAGGCGAGACAGACGTGTTGGTCTACCAGGCCGATTTTGGATGGAGTAATGCGGGTGTCTTGGAGTTTTACGGCGGAACGCTTTTCGCAACCGAGGACGGCGATGGATTTTCCTTTTACACCGACGGCGCAGGTACCTATTTTTTTATGAAGTTGTAGAGAGAGATGGTTAGATTCCAGGCCTTTTGGAGGGTATTTTGTGTATGGTGGGGGTGTGTGTGTGACGCGTAATGGGTGTACCTCTTTTGACGGCTTCAAGAGCATATTCGACTTGGAAGACGTGACCGTCGGGACTAGATTACCGAAGGTTAGATTGTGCGAAAAGTAAAGTATCGATATGGTATGAGGTAGAGGAGGTACCTGAAGACTAAAGCTTGATGTTAGCTAGATGCGAGGATAGCTTGTGAGAGCTTTACATACCCGAAAGAGCACGATCGTAAGAACCGGCCATGATGAAGAAGATGTGGAGATGAAGACGACTGGTACGGGGGTAATTGCAGAAGCTATAAGAGTCGAGAAAGATGATGGATGATGGATGGATGGACGGGGTCGTTCTCAGAAGATATAAAGTGGGAGTAGTAATGGAGGGCTGCGTAATGAGGAGCGTCGTGGGGACCAAGGACAAGCTTCACATAGGTAACTACCCAAGAAGTAGCTTATGTGTTGGGGTGTTGGTTGCAGACGACGTGTTTGTCCGCCAAGACCCGCCAATATTGCGTCTACAGCGTCTATCTGAGAGACAGAGTTCAAGCGCGGTTGTTCATTCTTAAGTTTCGGATTACATAATCAAGTTCAATGGGCGACATGGTTCATGTACCTTGCATTATAACGGACTGGGGAAGGCTGGCGAACTAAGTAAAGAAGTATCTAGCTTCCCGGCTGCCCCCACTCCTCTTCCCGAAGCCATTTGCGAGATCGGATCAAGATCAAGTTGAGCCGGGCTGAGCGGACATGATCAGGTCCTTTCTTTCTATCATTAACTGATACTATTATACCATACACATTCCAGACGGCTGTCAAAAACCTCAACAGCTGTAATAATTAGGTTTCATTTCCTGCTAAAATGCAGTCTCTCAGTCGCGCGACACTGAGGACGCTGGTGCGCTCTAAGACAGCAAGAGCGACTTATTCTTCGAGAACGACTTCGGGCAAGGTTCTATCTAGTAAAATATCACCATTAAATGCAGCTGTTACTCCGACTTCCCGGACATTTAGTACCCAGTTCGCAAGGTACTCTGCTGCGTCAAAAGAAGTTAAATTCACAGCCGACAAGTAAGTATCCAATTCTTCGAAATCATGTCCCATGCGGAAACTGATTTATATTTTGTTCTAGCTATCCAAACGTCCAAAGAGACCCTCGATTCTCTAAAGTCAGTGTCTACCTCGTCTCTATTTCAAAGGCTACAATCCTGACAATACCCCGCCCCAGTTAACCCGCGAAGACGTCGACCACTTCAAATCCATCCTTAGCTCCCAGTCATCTATAATTGATGCTCAAGACGACGCATCCGAACTAGAAGGCTTCAACACCGATTGGGTTCGCAAATACCGTGGCCAGTCACAATTAGTTCTGAAACCCAAGTCGGCAGAGGAAGTCAGCAAAATTCTAAAGTACTGCAATGACCGGAATCTTGCTGTTGTACCACAGGGTGGGAATACTGGACTCGTTGGTATGTCCGTTCCATAAAAGATTTTTATCTTGGGAAAGCTGAACTAAGGCGAACCAAGGCGGCTCCGTCCCCGTGTTTGACGAGATTGTTATCAGTCTTGCCGCCATGAATTCAATCCGCAGCTTCGACGAAGTCTCTGGTGTTCTCGTCTGTGACGCAGGGGTTATCTTAGAATCGGCGGATTCCTACCTGCGTGAAAGGAACCATATTTTCCCATTAGATCTCGGTGCGAAGGGTTCCTGTCATGTAGGAGGCAACGTGGCCACGAACGCCGGTGGACTACGACTCCTAAGATATGGAAGCCTTCACGGGACGGTTTTGGGTGTAGAAGCTGTTTTGCCTGATGGCACAATCCTCCACGACCTCCAGACTTTGAGAAAAAACAATACGGGATTCGATCTTAAACAAATCTTCATCGGATCCGAAGGTACCGTTGGAATCATCACTGGAATCTCAATTCTCTGCCCCAGGAGATCAAACGCCGTCAACACCGCTTACTTTGGACTCAACTCCTTTGATCACGTTAAAAGAGCATTTACAAAAGCTAAGACCGACCTCGGGGAGATTCTATCCGCATTCGAACTCATGGACGGATTGACTCAAGATCTTTTCCACAAAACAACCGGAAAACCATACCCACTATCAGAGCGTTACCCATTCCACGTATTAATCGAAACCAGTGGTTCCAATGGCGAGCACGACTCCGCTAAACTCGAGGCATTTCTGGAAGAAGTCATGGGTGAAGAAATTGTTGCGGATGGAACTGTAGCCCAGGATGAAACGCAGGCCCAGAGTTTATGGAGATGGAGAGAAGGGTTGCCAGAATCATGCGCGCATTGGGGTGGAACATATAAATACGATGTTTCGATCCCGCTAAACGACTTTTATACTTTAATTGAAGATTGTCGGAAACTATTTGATGAAGCTGGACTAGTGGGTGGTACGGAGGATGATTCTAAGCCTGTGATTGGAGTTGTGGGATGGGGCCATATGGGAGATTCGAATTTACATTTGAACGTTCCCGTCAGGTGGTATGATAAGAAATTTGAAAAGTTACTGGAGCCATGGGTTTATGAGTGGATTCAGAAGAGAAATGGTAGCATTAGCGCAGAGCATGGTTTGGGATTCGCAAAACGTGATTTTGTGCAGTACAGTAGGGATGAGACAGCTTTGGAGATTATGAGGCGGGTGAAGAATACCTTCGACCCTAAGGGGATTATGAATCCGTGAGTACTCCCATTTTTTACTCAATGTTTGCAGTTAATTTAAACAGATGCTAACAAGGTGATAGGTACAAATACATCCCTACAAACTAATTAAGATGTTGAGTATAAAAAGCATAGTTTGTATATTCATATCATCTATCAAAAGCTGCATCTTGAGTCGATCTGATATAAGCCTACTCAGTCCTCCAAATAACCACCGTCCCATCAACCCCAGCAGTAACCATCTCCCTCCTCCCATCATGTACCGCAATAGTACTGATAACTTTCCCAGCATGCGCCGTCTCCTTAACCACATTCTTCCCCTCCAAAATATCCCAAGCCCAAACCGTCCCATCCTCACTCCCACTAACCACATAGCTATCCACCATAGCAAACGTACTTGAAATCCTATACTCTTTATTCTTATGCCCCTTGTAACTCATCAAACACCCTCCACTAGTTCTATCCATCAACCGAATCGTTTCATCCAAGCTAGAAACCAACACCGCATTCCCATCCAGCGTTTCCGTAACACTCGTGATCGGATGTCCAATAACGTCCACATAAATCTGCCCCATCCTCAAATCATACCGTCTCAACTTCCCATCCACACAAGCCGTAATAACCTCTCCATCCCCAACCGTCAAAGAAGTAATACTATCCTTCGCCTCATCCCAAACCATCACCGGTTTACTCGCATTACTCTTCGTATCCCAACATCTAACCGTCGAATCAAAACTTCCCGTAACAAGAATACTAGCATCTTGATTAAACCCACATGTATTGATTCTAGCGTAATGACCCGTAAACCGTCGCAGGGTTTTTGCGGTGGCAACGTCCCAGAGGAAAGCGGTTTTATCACCGCCTACGGATGCGAAGCGGGAGTTGTCGGGGGAGACGGCTAGACTGAGGATTTCGTAGCCATGGGCGTCGTAGGTTTGGATGTGACTGGTGGTGGAGGAGTTGAAGAGGTGGATTTTACGGTCTTGACCGCCGGTTAGGATCTGTTTTCGTTCTCGGTATTATATTAGTAACGATGGTTTGGATAAAGAGGGGAGGGGGGGTATTGAGGACGTACGTATTGACCGGCGCCGGAGCTGTAAGTTACGCAGTGGACGGGCCCTAGGGAGGAAGGTTAGCATTTCTTTGAATGAACTTGGAGGATGGCTTGTCATTGGAGATATGAACATACCAACATGACGGGAGATGGTAGCCGCTTGGTGGCTTGGAAAGAGGACCATTAGGGCGCTACATTAAGGGATGTGCGATCTGCAAATTCAAGGATTTGGAGGTGTCGACATCGAAGTAGGTATTCTTAGGTCCGAAGCGCGATGTTTGGAGGTTAGTCCATGCACATGGACTGGGATGGGAATGACTCGCGGCGCGCTTTTTCTTATGTCCCAACTCCAACACGATTTCTTGGTCACTTGGTCACTTTAACTTCTAATTATATACTTAAGTAGCTTGCTCTAGTGGATAGAAAGAAAGATCATGGTTTTGGCGGGCTGGAAGGACTGTACTGGTCATCCAATTTGGTGCATACATTATAATGAGGTTTTTCGATGAAGCTGCTATAATATATATTATACAAAGAAAAGACAAGTACAAGAAAGAAAAGCATTCAAAGCGCCAATAAACCCCTAGAATGATGATAACCGCTACATTAAAAGAACGTGAGCCAAGAAAAAGCATTTCAGTCTTCCTCGTCAGATTCGACACGAGCCCTCTTCGTATCCTTATGTCTGTCTGAGAATTCCAAGCCATGTTTCTTCTGCTGTCCAGCCTTGACATCCGCCAAGAATGCATCGACATTGAAGGGGTCTACGCCCGAGGACGTATCTTTCTCAAACTGCACCGGCCCTTCTCTGGCTTCTTGGTCTGCAGCCCCCTTGAAGACTCCACGGCCTAATACATCGAATCTCTTCTCCTTCGAGAATCGCTCCATATCACCATCGCCTTCGTCGTCATCTTGATGACCTGCGGAGGGTCGGTAGATGCTTCTTGAAATCTCAGCTGCTGCGAACAGTGGCTTATCGTAATGCTGGTCTTCGTTGAACTCAGCCCCCATGCCCAACCCGCTGCTCTGGTTGAATAACCGGGCGTCAAACATCGATTCCGCAGATTGTGTGGGCTTCGAAACAAGTCCCAATGCCATCTTCTCGCCGATATCACGATTCTGCTCTCGGGCTAACATCTGTACACGGCGTTCCGTACCCATTCGTTTCATTCTTAGCTCTCGTTCCGCTTCCTTACGTCTTTCCCTTCTCATCTCTTCTCGTTCCTTGATAGCCTTTTCTTCATCGGATTCCGACCCTCTAGAACTCGATCTTCTCCGTCTGGGGGTCCGACTTCTACTCCTGCTATCCGAGCGTTCGGAACCAGACGGTGACCTCGACGAACGATCAGCGATCCTTCCTCTCGCGGTAGCCCTATGCTCATCCCTAGCTTGTTGCGCCAACTTTCTCAATTGCTCCTCCTTTGCCATTTTCTCCTTCTCTGCGAGCTTCTGCTGCATCGTCGAACGCAACTTAACTTCCTCTCTAGCATGCCTATCTGCAATGAACAATGCTTCCGAAAATTGCGCAAATTTATCGTTGATAGTAACATCCTGTAATCCTCTACCGTCTGCTGCCAACCGTTTATCCAGTGGAACCGTATAACCCTTTGGATTCTTCCAATTCGAGATCGGTGGTGGGATAGTCCAAGCCTCTTGATCCGCTGCCGTTAATTTTCTAGGCGGGGAATGCATAATCGGTGGCGGTGGTGACGGTGGCCCTCTTGGGATCTTCTTATGTTTAAACTTTGGCGGTTCCATTGGATCCTGCTGTTTTTCTACAATCTTTATGATCCTATCATTCTTCTTCCCTGTCTCTCCCATCTGATTTGCAGGCGTATACCTCACAAACGTCGGCTCCGGCCTATTCGTCCCCTTGATATTCTTCGGCTTCTGCGCTGCCACCGCTCCGGCAACAAGTTTCGCAAGTGCTGCCCTAGTCTTCTCGGTTTGCTCCGCAACTTCCTCTTCAGATGGTCTTTCCAACGAGATTTCACCAACATCGGCACGTTGTCGGAGGGGGATAAGGTCTTTAAACGACGCGTGAACAATTCGCTTGTCGTTATGACCCTGCTTCGCTATCGCGTCGTATTTTACAATCCCCCGTTCGTCGACTTCGAGGGCTAAAGCGTTATTACGGGATTTGGAGGCGGTGGCTTTTCGGCCCATTTCGAGGGGGTATTGGGCTATGGGGATTTCGGGGAAGGCGCCACCGTCGCCGTAGTCTTCGACGGATTTGGGTCGCCATGAAGCGCGTTGGCCATATGGAGGTGGTCCCGCACGCTATAAAAAGGACGGGAGAAAAATTAGCTTCCATCAGAATGAATGGAGAAGGGGGGAATAAGGGAGGTATTACCTTCAATACGAGCTGTGATTCGGCGCTGTTGGCGCCGACGATTCTAGGGCCAGCTGGTTTTTTGGGACCAGCATCATTGGTCGAAGATTGTTTGGGTGCTGGGAGAGCGGAAAGGAGGGATTTTGTTAGGGTCGCCATCGTGGGAGTATTCGGTCGGGAAGCCGATGGTTGGTGGTGATGATGGGGTGAAGTTGAAGATGAGTGAGTGATGGTGAGGATCAGAATGGACAATTTTCGAGACAGAAGCCATGCAAAGGCGAGAAAGGTCTTGGCGGTCGGCAACACAAATCCTGTCACACGAGGACATCTAAATTAGACTCGATACCTCGATATCTCCAGACATCTCCATGTTTCACTACCGGGAAAGGGGTTCTTGATGGATTCATTCGGAGAGAAATGGTAATTAATTTAGATTTGTATTGGCTTCGGTGATGGTAGTAAACACTCTCCCCGTATAGTACAGAACCAATTGAGAAAGAGGAAGAAGAAAAAGATATGTATCCAAAGAAACTGCCACAACATGAACGAAAAACCCGCTAACATTCACTAACAAGACAACCCCCAATAATAGTAATAGTAATAGTAACGTCGTATCAATTATAGGAAAAGGAAGATGAATTTCCTTTGGAGCTCCATTATTGTCATATCCCGTCTAAGTTCCTGCGTTCAACCAGTCTCTCTAGGTTATTACCAAGTTTATTGATTTGTAATATCGTATCAACCCCATATGAAGCCAAACTATGAAGTTTCAGGCTCCCGGCCCAGTATTCCGCATATACTCTGCTTAGAGGAAGTCCCAACCCTAGTCTTAGATTGGGTGGTCGATGAGAAAGCGGTGCGAGTGAGGTTCCCCTCCGTCGTTTACCATTCTTGTCGATAACCTCCCCTGCGCTTGTGTGGAATAATTCCTGAAGTGTGGCGGACATTGTCGGGACGAGAGAGATGTTTTGAAGCTGCTTTTGTCGGCGAGGTCCCTTGCTAAACGACCAAATATGCGGGAAGATATCTTGGGGGATGCCACCACCTTGATCTGAGATCCTGAAGATTACGAACTGCTGGGTTTGGCAGATTAAGACATTTATGGGAGGTAATTTTGTTTTGGGATCGCTGCCGTGACGTTCAATGGTCGCTTGAATGGAGTTTCTGAGAAGTTCGCCAATGATGTATTCTAAATGACTGGGAATATATGGGAAAGTGGCTTCGGGGTGTCCTTCGATTATGATCTCTGGAACCGGTGTATCAGGTCCGTTGGCTTGTCGAGAGAGATCTTGACAGAGCTTCCCACATTTTTCAACGACCTCTCGGGCATTGCATTTCAGGAAGACTTCGCCAACAAAGTCGACACCGTTAGTGTGGTCTACACCATTGCCTTCGCTATGAGGGTAGAAGAAAGGGGAGTTGAAGGTTTCGGTGAGAGCAACGTGCTGTTCGGCGATAGTTCGACGGGATATTCTCTACAAAAAAAAACTCAAAATGTTAATTGATATTCCCGATAACCAATATCCTGTTTACGAGTTCAGGTGGTTCTTCTTACACTCTTGAGCATGGTCTTCAGAAAGTTGTCTAATTCGGCAGCTGGTACGAAATCACGACACTCCAGAACACCAATAGCGAGGTCTGGTATGACGGAGAGGTTGTTGTTCAGCATTTTTTTGATAAGCTGACAGAATTTGTCGTTTTCCTCGGAAGATTTGATCTCCGAAGTCTTCCTCAGCTGTTCGAACGATTCATAGTATGTCTCGTAGACCTTTGAGATGTTGGGATTGGTTACGACGACATAAGGCAGTCGCTGCATATCACGGATCCGGTGGGCCAGCCGGGTTGGTAATTCGGTCCTGACATAGTTTGCCGAGTCGAGAAGACGCTCGAGAGTAAGGTTACGACCGAAGAAGGTAAGCTGACGGAGGGAGATGGGACGAGCTTCACGGGCGACGTGTTCTTCGAGAGCAGAAGAAGGGCGCCATGGTTGGTGGGTTGATATTGAACGTTTTGAGACAAGACGGAGGAGGAGGAGGGGAGAGCGAGAATATGCGGGTGCGAGAGAGGAGGGCCTCGTCAACCGGGACAGCGAGAAAGCAACGGCTTTGGACATCGAGAGAGTCTATCCTCCATGGACGATGATGAAGGTTTCCTTTTTGAAGATATTATATTTTTTATTTTTATTTTTATTATTTTTGTTTTTCAAATTTGTAATTTTTACGAGGGGAGGAAAGTAGAGAAGCTTGTGACAAGTCGGGGGGGTTGTCCTTTTTGTTTTACCTAATAATGGCAATCAACTGGATTCGATTAGCTTGGTTAGTATAGTGACCATAGTATGGATATCACATGGGGAAAAAAAAAAAAAAAAAAAAAGGATACATACAGCGGGTTATGAAGAGGAAGCCGGAGAGTCATAGCCATGTCTAGATGGGTCGTCTTGGTGAGGCATTAACGAGTATTCTGTTAAGGACAGGAACAGAAGGTGAGAGTGTGGGGTAATTGTAGTTAGCTGCAGTCTTATAGCGACTGTCCGGTCCGCTAGTGGAAGGGAGTCGGCCTAAAATCGGCGACACCCTGTAAACGTACAAGCAAGTACATATGTAAGTACCTTAGTCTAGAATACTATATTTTCCGGGGTAGCAGGGCTTGTTTACAGACGTGCTGAAGCTCCGAACCGAATATATAAGTACTTAAGTAGGTATATAAAGTATATAGTATACACTTAGTCTCGAGATTGCATTAAGATTCATCCATACAGACCGATGCACGCATGCGCATGCATGGCATATAAGTAACGTATTGATTCATTCTAACCAGGGCGCACAGGGAAAGATTCTAACGACCGAGTTAAGTATACGCATCTCCATTGCGCCACAGAACATGGACCTATTGGCTACCAAGGTACCTAGGTAGTATGTAAGTAGGTGGTATGTAGGTAGTAGTTCCATCCTCAGCCGCCGCGACATCCGGCCTCGGAACAAACTAATATAAGTACTACGTAAGTAGCTAGTACGGAGCTAGAGCTTCGTGTGGGTCGCGTCTGCAATACGAGACTACGTACGGTCACTCGATCTTTAAGCAACCAATCGAAGATTAAATGTCCAATAAACTATCAATATAAGTCAGTCAGGATCTGATATCAATAAAAGAGAAAGCGGAAGGGCGGAGGGTGAATTAAAAAAAAGAAGACAAAGAACCAAAGGAGAGTGCCTTATACTTACACCAACAAAGCCTCCTGCCCATTTGACAAGTTTCCATTGCCCTAACGCTTCTTCTACAATCTTATTGTCCTAGAACCGCAACATTATTAGCTTCGAAGATAGTCGGATAACAAGACACATGGTAAAGGGAGGAACTGAATGTATACCTACTCAATATTTTGTTGTTTGGCCTGAGTCTTTGGGGGTTGAGATAAAGAGAGGAAGGATTCTAGATCTGTTTCCTTCACTTGAATACAGTTTCGGCGAACAGTGTTTTTACTTGGTCAAGTTTGGACGGGTGGCCGAGAGAATATATAAATACTACTAGTATTAATTAATACATGCAGTGTTTTACACCAGAAGATCAGACACTATGCTCATGCATATCTAATTACCTAGGTATATATAAGAAGTATACTATCAGGGTCAAGAAGCGCTAGCCGCGAGTACGTTCGAACTCAAGATACCTTATACTAAGTAAGTAATTATAATGAACGCTGTAGATACCATGATACATGTGCATACTATTATAAGACGCATGTTCATGCACTTCGGCATACATTTAAACTTATTTAAAATCAGGCAAGGCGATTATTGGGCCATCGGTGAAAACTGGCGATCCAAAACAATTTCCAGTCGCATAAGCTAGTCTATAGATACCAATGTTTATAAGCAAAGTAAGTATATGATAGGTTAGCCGCTAGCTATAACTAGCCGAGGGGGTTTAGTATAAGACGACATCGATATCGAGACCGGTGCAGGTGAACCAGGCGGCCTGTCAAGAGACCGCCCCGTACTACATCTATAGATCTACTAGTATACTAGATTTCTCTACCCAAGTACTTTACTTACATCAAAGTATGTATATGTATAGGTAAGTAAGTACTTATATATTATAGTAGGTAAAAGTAAGTATTGCGGGTATGCTCGCTTGAGCAGCTGGCCGGCGTAACGTGACGAATATCGGCAGCATGCGTGCATGTTTGCTTGTTACAAACTATCTGGCATCGTATCTACAAAGTATAACTATAATTAATCCTTACGAATCATAAAAGGATTTCTTTGAATGTATTAGAAATAGGAATGGGAATAGGAACAGAGGTAGGATTGTATATTATCTGTTAACATAATCTGAGTTTACTAAGTACTTGAGTAAAGAATTAAGAATTAGTGGTGTTGGTCATCTTCAACCCAACCAAAAGATCTGGTCCTCATCACTGGTACCATCACCATCCGCCACCATTCATCATTCACCATTCATCAACATCACCAGTTCAACAATCCTCAGCTTCAGCTTCAACTTCAACTTGAACCTCTCCCTCCCTCTCTCATACCTAGTACTTACCTACTTAGGCATACTTACTACTTACTAAGGCCTCTGGTCGTACAATATACCCACCAAAAGCTTCAAAAGAAAGCTGAGTTCTAGCTTTGACCCACCCATCCACCCACCAACCCACCAACCCACCAACTGTCCCCGTCACCGTCACCGTCACCGCCACCGTCCGTTACCGTTACCGTCTTGTTTGCCCAACCAGGCAACGCGAAAGCGACCACGAAACCTTGAAACGCACTTAACACTCTGACTCCAACCAAATCGGCCCAGCCCAGCCCAGCCCATCAACCAGACCAAACCACCACCACGTCCAGCCCGCTCCACCAGCTTACCCCGGCAAAAGCTGGGAGCTTCGGTACTGCAACCTTTTTCCCCCATCATCATCATCCTCCTCCTTCTCTCCCTCCCTCCCTCCTCCTCCCTCCTCCTCCTCTTCATCATCCTTCTTCTGCTGTCTCGTGGACCATCTTCACTACCGTCTTGATATATAATTATATATTATATCCTTCCTCCGGTCCCTGTTCTTACCAACCTGTCGCTGACGTCTTTACCTGCCGACTCCCGAAAATTTAGAGATAGATCGTACTACTTAGATAGCATCCGTCCCCCACCTGCTAGCTTCAAAAATAACACACCCCACCCGCCTGTACCCACCGAAACCTCTACACGCGCATCATGGACGAGGTACTCTCCTGACACGTCTTTTTTGTATATTCCAGCACCTTTTGCTAACATGGTTTCGGATGTTAGTCCATTGAGGATCACGACATGCTTTTAGATGCCGAACTAGACGACAAGGATCACAAGGATGTTACCCTCATAGACGCCCCTGCTGAGGCCGACAAGCTGGAGCCTGAGGAGAAGGAACCTCCAATACGTGCTGACGACCGTGAGTCTGATCTAACCTGCTCGCAGTCGTCCTCCCTCTAGACTCGTTCCTAACGCTTCTTTTTTTTGGTCTTTGATAGACGCCAAGATACTTGAGAGGCACCTACCGAAACTCCCCGACCTTGAAACCCTCGCTGAGGGGCATTTCACTTGGGAGGTTGATAGTTGGTCCACTTTACCTAAACGTCTAACAGGGCCTACGTTCACCGTCGGCGACACTCCATGGTTCGTATTTCTCTCTCTTTCTCTCTTTCTCTTTTTCTCCCTCTCTCTTATCTTTTCCGTCCCTCCATCACTCCATCTTTCTTTCCTACTAGATACTAACACGCGATCTGCAGGAGGATACTCTTCTTTCCCCACGGTAATAATGCGGATTATGCATCCCTATACTTAGAGCACGGTTTCGAGGAGAAACCACCAGAAGATTGGTACCGCTGCGTCCAGTTCGCCCTTGTTCTGTGGAATCCAAATGATCCCACCATATACTTCCCACATCGTATGCATCTCAAGGATCTGAAGAGCCCTTGTTACGTAAGCCGCTGACAATATCGAATTATAGATGCCCACCATCGATTCCACATCGATGAGGCTGATTGGGGTTTCACACGATTCTACGAGCTCAGAAAGCTTCGCGCGAAGGAAACAGACAAGGATCGGCCCATGATAGAAGATGATAAGGCGAACATCACAGCATATGTTCGTATTGTCAAAGACCCGACAGGCGTCCTCTGGCACAACTTCGTCAAGTACGCGTGAATTTCCTCTTCTCCTCTCGCGAATACTTTTATTTAGGACTTCGGGCTAAGACAGGTTATAGTTACGATTCGAAGAAAGAGACGGGTTATGTTGGGTTGAAAAATCAAGGTGCAACATGCTACCTCAACTCGTTAATCCAGTCACTATACTTCACAAAGGCTTTCCGAAAGGTATCTCTTCCGAATTCCTTCCCGAATTCCTTTCTTGTCTTTTTCTTCTAATCTGTCGTCGTTAGTCCGTCTACCAAATCCCTACCGAGAATGAGAAGACCGACAACAGCGCCCTGACGCTACAGAGACTTTTCTACCTCTTAGAAACCTCCACCGACGCCCTCGGAACCAACGAACTCACCAAGTCTTTTGGATGGGAAACTAAGCACATTTTCGAACAGCAGGATGTTCAAGAATTATGTAGAGTTCTCATGGAGAAGCTTGAGGAGAAGATGAAGGGTTCCGAAGCGGAAAACGCACTCGCTAAGATGTTTGTTGGGAAAACTAAGACTTATATCTCATGCATTGACGTCGAATACGAGTCGTCGAGGATAGAGGAATACTGGGACATTCAGTTGACTGTGCGCGGGAAGAAGAATCTCGACGAATCATTCCGAGACTATATCGCCTACGAAACTCTAGAAGGGGAAAACAAGTATTTCGCTGAGGGGCATGGACTGCAGGACGCGAAGAAGGGCGTCATATTCGAATCATTCCCGCCTGTGTTGCATGTCCACCTAAAACGATTTGACTATGACTTCATGAGGGATGCTATCACAAAGGTATACTTACGCTCCACTCCACAATCGAAAGGTGTATGGCTCACCCGTACCAGGTCAACGATTTATACGAATTCCCAGAAGAGTTCGACGCATCTCCATATTTATCGCCCGATGCTGACAAATCCGAACCGTACGACTATGTACTACATGGGTAAGTTTTTCGACTTCGGGGACGGGAGGAGACTTTCCAAACAACAAATCTAACCCCTCGATAGGGTCCTGGTGCATAGTGGAGATTTTAATGCCGGCCATTACTACGCATTCATCAAGCCCGAGGCTGGTGGTCGGTGGTTCAAATTCGACGATGACAGAGTAACACCAGCGACCTTGAAGGAGGTTTTGGATGACAATTTCGGTGGCGAATTCCCAGCATCACAGCTTCTCGGCCCCTTAAGAAACCCATATACTAGGACTATGAACCTTAAGCGTTCGATGAGTGCCTACATGTTGGTATACATTCGGAAAACTCGTATGGACGATATTCTTCCTAAAGAGGACTTCGCGGCTCCTTCTCACCTACGTAGGTTCTTTCCCGTATAAACAAGGGCTGAGTACAAGAAAAGGTACTAACATTTTCTTTTAGAAAAACGTTTGGACGAGGAGAAGGCAGCACGGGAACAGAGGCGGAAGGAGCGAGAGGAATCCCATCTATACATGGTCGCCAAGGTGATTACAAATGAGCAGTTCAAGTCGCACCAGGGATTCGACCTAGCAGCATGGGAGCATCAGGCCGCGACTCTGCCGAATGCTCCCAAGCACCACCGGGTTCTCAAGACCTCCACTGTTAGATCATTCGTGACTGCACTCGCGAGTGATTTGAAACACCCAGCTGAAAAGTTAAGGCTGTGGGTAATGGTTAACAGGCAGAATAAGACAGTCCGCCCTGATCACCCACTGTCCAATCTAGACATGAGTATGTTATCTTATCTTCATTTATTCCCGGAGGCATAAACTAATTATTCTACCCCCTCTATAGCTATGGAGGAGGCCGGGGGTAAATATGGAATGAAGGGGTTGGACTTCAGATTATGGTGCGAAATAGCCTCTGGCCCAGATTACGCCAAGATAAACTGGATCGAGAACTATACCTACAATTCTGACGTCCAATCAATTTTGTTCCTCAAACACTTTGACCCAGAAACTCAGACGCTGAAGGGAGTCGGTCATGTCTATATGAAGAAGAACGATAAAGTCTCGGAACTGTACGGCGCGATCCAGAACGAGATGGGATGGCCGTCAAGTACCCAGGTTAAACTTTGGGAAGAAATCAAGCCTTCAATGATCGAGCCCATGAAGCCAAAGCAGACTTTTGCCCAGGCTGAAATCCAAGACGGTGACATAATATGTTTCCAGAAGCATCTGCCTGAGAAAGAGTAAGTAAACGCTGTCTATTGGCAAGTTGCGGCGGAATGCTAACGACAGAACTAGTCTTGCTGATAAGATACCGGTGGGGGGCTACGTCGACGCCAAGGAATTCTACGACTTCCTCTTGAACCGAGTCGTTCTTCACCTACTCCCAAAGCGTGGTCTTGCCGAAAAAGGAAACTTTGATTTGGAGGTCAATAGGAGGATTAATTACGATCAGGTATGCACCAACCCGTGGCTGAAAACCGACTATCCTCTGGCTAAATTGATCCTCTTTCTAGCTCGCCAACAGGGTTGCCGACCACCTCAGTGTTCCGCCCACACATCTACGTTTCACAACAGTAGCAGCTCATAGTGGACTGCCAAAGACGATTATCAAGAGGGGCAATAATTCGCTCTCACTAGCACAAATGATGCAGTCCTCCTATATGCAACAGGTTTCGCAAGATGCATTATACTATGAAATTCTTGATATGAGCCTCACAGAGCTAGAAACAAAGAAGTTAGTGAAGCTGAACTGGATTTCAGAAGGCATCACTAAAGAAGTAAGATATATAAACCTATCTCCTTTCCCCTCTCTCTTTCCCTATGCATATGATAGGAAAACTAACAATTTGGTTTAGGAACCCTTGGAAATCCTGGTCCCTAAGAATGGAGTTGTTTCGGATGTTCTGGAAGGTGTAGCCCAGAAAGTAAATGTGCCCGAAGAAGATGTTGAGAAAGTACACTTCTGGCAGGCACATGGTAGCAAGCACCACAAGGATCTAGCCCTTGACCATAGCGTCGTCGGAATACAAGACTTTATCACTCTATATGGTGAAGTTACTCCGGAAGAGGCCATAGTTGCAGACCCTGCTACAGAGCAGCTCGTTCAGTGCTTCAGCTACTCTAAGGAGCCAAGCAAGGCTCACGGTATACCGTTCAAGTTTGTCGTCAAAGAGGTATGAAGCTGCGTTTAATATACAGAGTTTTCAGAATAGGCAAAAACTAACCTAATCACCATAGGGCGAAATATTCTCCGAGACTAAACTACGGTTACAGAAACGTACAGGACTGAAGGGAAAGAATTTCGAAAAGATCAGGTTTTCAGTTGTCAAGCGATCATCGTATTCTAAGCCAACATACCTAAATGATGGTAAGTTTTCTATCCGTTCGGCAATGTATCACGATAGCGAACGCAGCTAATTTACATTTCCTTCCCCCTTTCACCAAAAAACAGAGGACATATTGTCAGATCAAATATCCGATGTCAATGACGACCTATTAGGTCTTGACCATCCAGACAAAACACCGCGAGGCGGACTATTCGGCAGGCAAGAACAGTCAATATTTATTCGCTAGCGTTGTTTAATCCTTTTTCATGGGAGGGGTTCCTGTAATCGGTCGTTTTGATATTTCTTCTTTTGTGGTTATCTGCCTTGGGTATCATTGGGATTCCTTTAAAACAAAAGATAGCGATAAGAGAATTATTCAGCCTTTTCATTTTTGTTTCCGGAGGGCGGCACCTTACCCTTGCTTTTCCTCACCCTTTGTTATCTTTACTGTTCCTATATCCTCCTACGCCGGTATGGGAAAAATTACTTTTGTCTTCCACTTTTCTTCGATGGCGGTAGCTTTACTCCCTCTTCTTTTACGCTCTTGTTTATAGCTGAAGAGTGTGAGAGATAGATAATCCCTTTTGTTTTCTTCTCCCGCGGAATATAGCCGGAGGCTGGAAGGGGGATATAGGGAAAGAAGATAAACGAAAGGCCTACTGGTGTATATCACAAGATCACAAGACTTCTGTATCAAAATCAAATAGATATTTAGATACTTAGCTAGGACTATAGGTGGTACGATAGAGCTATGGTGCAGAAGATATACCAAGATGCTGGGTCTACGTGGGCCTGACGTTGTCTCGTCCCCAGACAGCTCAACCGTGCGACGCACTTAGCGCTATATATAGCCGTTAAGGTAATCTATCAGGTTTTAAGCTCGTAAAACTTTGTTCAAGAAGACATACTCGTTCAATTCGCTATCCTGTGGCGTTTTATTCTTATTCTTATTTGTATTTTATTTTATTTTTGTGAAAGTGTTAACAACTTTGCCAGACACATTTCAAAAAGTCAAAGATTATATGTCAAAATGCTCGATAAAAAGCTATAGTGGAGTCTATACGGTAGACCGAGGGCTTTTAATGTATAAAAACGGTGGGTTGTACTTAAAGGAATAAAACCATGACACATCTTAGATACTCCAATTTCTTCAAATTTGATCGGACTTGTTCAAACGTATCCTATAAAAATAGTGATTAGAAGTTAGTAAACCGGTCCCGATAACCTGATACTTAATCAAGAAATATATATAGATATAAAAAGAGATAGAAGAACAAGGAAGTGATGTAAAGTCCATACCCTTTCTAGCACCCTGGAAAAAGAACCTAACGATGAAAACCTGCAAACAGCTCATAGTGACCATCATAAGACTCTCGATGAGCGAGAAGTTCATTATTCTGGTGTCGGTAGATTTGACGGTAGAGAAGTTACGGTTTTCACGGGTACGGAAGTATTTTTGGTTTCGGGAGATGGTGGAGAGTTGGCCGGAGAGCTTGAAGATCGATTCCTCGAGGTTGGTGGTTTGCTCTGGGGTTGTTCCTGGACGGGTGGGGAGTTCGGCACGTTGTTCGTGTTCGACCTAAGGATTTGGGGGTTAGTTTATTGGTTATATTTGAATATGCGGTGATGAGGATGGGGGGTTATGTACAGCGATCTCGTAATCCACGAGCTTTTCGGCAAAAGTCGACATATCGTTGGAGAAGCAGAAGGAGTATTCTCCCAATTCATTTGCGGTGAAAACAAAGTCTCCTTGACGCTCCTTGGTGCCGTCGAGGACGATTACATCGTTGGGGGCTTTGACCGTGTAGTCTACATCGAAGGAACCACCGGCTTGAACCTAGTTCCCATATATCTCATGTTAGTTATATTTTCCGGAGGGGATTCGAAATTTTGGAAGAAGGAAAAAGAGATATAGAATAGAGGAAAGCGTACGGCGAAGTAAAAAGCGATTTTGACGCCCTTTTTGTCGTTATGGATGAAGACGCAGTGTTCTTCGTTTGCGGCGAGCTTGTAGGTTAATGCTGTCGCGGATGCTGGACGGGTTAGGTATATGAGGGAGAGCAGAGTGGCGAGGAGGTATGTATGTAGTGGTGCCATTGTTGTAGTATTGTCGGGCAATTGGTGCGCCGGGGGGGAAAGGGGGAGGGGGGATGGTTGGGGTCGTGTGGATGTAGATGTGGATGTTTTGAGGTTTTGGAGATAGGTAGCATTGAGCTGCCACGGGTTGGACAGGACAGGATGACAGGGGTGGTAGGGAGTGGCTTCGGTGGTCTTTTAGGTAATGTATGACAACGCAGAAAATGCAACAAAGTGCCAGTTCTTTATAATGTTATATAATGTTAAAGATATAAAATATAAATTGGAAGTTGATAGGATGGTATCGGTTGCATTGGAGGAGCTAAGGCTTAAAGAAAATTAAATTTATAATATTCTAGCTGAGAAGTGGAACCCTCATCCTAAAGGTCTTAATTAAAAGAAGCTACCACTAAAGGAGGATGAATGTAAGTATCTAGATGTCTATGCTGTCTTGCTATTGTGCATGTGGTTTGTATATTCACGATGTACATACACTGAGAGGATGGTTATCTGTACTAATAGGGGGTAGTATGCTATCAATATGATACTCATTGGATTTGCATGGACCCTTTAGACGGATCATATAGGCGATCAAATTTAAGCCATTTTGCGAGAAGAAACAATATAAATATCGAATGAAAGGGATATATATCCGGATGTGGCCACATCGTATATATATCAGATAACGGGTAAATATAGGATTCGGTCCCACTAGAAATGAGCTAACCCTAGTTGACCTAGAGGTTTTCACTGCGCCCTATGTTTCCGAACACTAAGGCGGGCAATCAAGAAAGCAGCAAGCAATCGATCGTAAAGCTAATATTATAATGCAACTCTGCGGTAACACATAAGTATCTTAACTTTGATTAATTATATAATGATAGGCCGCCGAATATATATAGTGAAACTGTTTGCAACTATCCTGTCCAAGAAGTCAACTTTAGTGTTACTTGGTCTCTTAACTTGTATGTAATATGCGCTACACACGGTCAAGGGCTACCGAACAAGGGGGTTCATAACCGAAACTTGGGGATTGGGAAATGCGAGCCATGCATGCGCATGACATGCACATGGAGGGTTTTATATCTGGCTGTAACATCAAACATACTATAATCCAGGGCAGCAATATTAATATCAAGCAAATCCAAGTCCAAATCCAAATCCTCCAATCTGGTTTGAATTCAATATGATGAGTATCAACTCCATATTATCCGGACTATTGAATCCAAAATCTTAGTAGACCAAGGGGTTTATCTCCATCGTGTTCTCCTTTCCAACTGCAGTCTTTGTGGCAGCACTGTCCGGCTCCCGGTTGAGGCTCTGGGCTGGGCTAACATGATATTTTGTTTGCGTTGTGTTCTATTACCAATTAAATTGACTTGACTTCCTTCTTGAACCTCCAAACCACCATCTCATTTCCAACCTCAGATCCTGCTATTTCCCTACCACTACTGCCACTAATCCCGATCATCAACCTCGATTACTACCTTACCAAACCACCTGGATCGAAAAAGCCATAGCCGTTCGTCCATCGTTCTGTTCTAGAGACATCTACTCCTTTTCCATCCGCTCGTCGGCTTCCGAAGACATACATACGCACGCTCCAAACCAACGGCTCGTTTGCAAACTTTCAACCCTCAGGCGCGTTTGCAACGGAATTTGACCACAAAAGCACACACACCCACACACATATCGCACGCTTGCGCTTATTGCTTCAATATCGCAGGGAAATCCTCGGAACATATAAACCCTTCTTATTTCACCAAATCCTTATCTCTCACATTCTCGCTCTCATATTTCCCAACTTGAGCCTTTTCATCTGGCGGCAAGAGTTGTTCACCACCATCAAACAACAATATATTCTCGACGAACCGCAAACTAAAAGGAACAAACGAAACGTTTCTGGGATATCTTTAATGATCCATTGACATCACTATCATGCGATTCTTCTACAATACGCTAAAGCCTCTGATATCAACAACGAATAGATGATTATAGAAGCAATTAACAAGGTTCGCGAGACTTTCTCTGGGTTAAAGGATAGCCTCGGGAAAGTCACCAGCATGCCTCTCAATGGAGATAAAGTCTTTGCTGAAGAAGCAGCTGGTTCTTCTACACGACAGGCTGAAGAAAGGAAAAAGTCGTCTTCATCACCAATTAGACAAACAACAGGGGTAGTAGGAAGCTATGGACAAGGATTCCATCGGTCAGGGTAAGACATCCCCTTCCCCAATCATCTCGGTGCTACCTTAGGACCATCAATTAATCTCAGCAAATCTAGTAACCCGAAAGCCGCACAGAAAATAATTGTACGTGAACAGTGTCAAGGCTAGGTGGTATCTTCTTGATCCTCTGCTAACGATTTCGTCTAGCCTGGCGGCGTACGACCACGGAACAACTTGAATAGTTCGAGGGCATTAGTTGCTGCGACTCATTCGCAACAAGAATACTCTCAACCAAGAAAGCGCCCCAGGCCAGATAAACCACAACTTCGCTACACTGGAGAGGGCAAAGGAAACCCGAGATCTAGCCCATCGCTTGAATTCCCCAAGGGCACCGACGAAACGATAGCTGGTAGCAACGGCGAACCGATGAATGGGCATGTCTTGCACTCACCCAAAGCAAGACGAGGACCCCGGGGCCACGCTATCTTATCGCCATTGCTGTTTCAACCTGAAAGACAAACCGACCACCACGACGAAGTTCTCTTGGCTAAAAGATCTGAAGATGTGAAGTGGGTGAGGAAAAGGCAAGTAGAGAGGGATATTTCAAACGCCGAAGGCCCAAGGGCTATGAAGAAAAGGGCTGTGGAAGATGACTATAGCCCATGGAGGAATCCGAGTCCGTCTGACCCTCAACCTACGCCATTTGTGAGAGGGCCTAGGCATGCGGCTTCATCTCCTATCCCCGTTGGTTCAGGACGGCCCCATAAACCCGAATCCACAAAACCGGGGAATTCCCTTCCTGTTAAGTCGGTGTGGCGTGGCGCAACCCGCATCAGGGACGGCCCTCCATTTTCGGAGCTTGGGATTCGGGTTAAGGATAAGGGGTTCTCTGTCGTCACAGCCTCTGAAAAATACCCGGATTTCAGCTCTGTATATGAAAACATAGAGCACGCTGCGGTAAGGGTTTTGGTACACTAATAGAGAGATTTTACCAATAATGGTTCTAACAATTCTTAGTATCTTGATGATGATAGTAACATAGAGTTCCGCAACTTCGTTTTCCTCAAATTGAAAAATCGAGAGAATGGTATGCAAAACGTCCACCCCGCTCTTTCTTTTGCAGAAAGATATCGACTAACAAATCACTAGGTCTAGCTGGTGGGATTTTGATGGAATTCCGAGCACTTCCTGACCCGGTAAATCCTGGCCAGAAATCTGACCTTGCACGATTTCGAACACAGCTAGAACAGAAAGGAGTCAAGATGGAACCGAAAAACCAGTACGTAAAGCTTACTTTTCTATGACTAAAAAGTTGAAAATCTACTTACATACCCTTTAGTCTGTTTATGCGGAAGCGTATGGAAGACACTAAAGCGTATCAATACACCCAACTGGCACCGGAGGTCTCGGGGAGCCCGTGGGGGGATTCGGGACTCCCGAATCGGATCCGCCCAATCGAACCGAAGCCACAGCCACGAGAAGTAGAACGGCCAAGAACGCGCTCGAACCAAATACCCCTAGACGAACACGATTCGCGAGCTCAGGACCTTGAGCAGCCAGGGACCGGGACTGGGAGACCCATACGCAAAAGCACTAGAACTGCCTACAAGAAAGAAGTTGTTGAAATACCAAAGCCAAAGCCAGCACCATTTCCCCCTCAGACGTGGAATCAAACTTTGACATTTCCTTTCGAGACACAAGGACCTTCAGAGTTGCTTGATGCTTCGAGCCTTCGAACTCTTAATCATGATGAATTTCTGAACGATGAAATTATCAACTTCCACCTCGCCACCGTCAAGGCGCGGCTCGCCAAAGAAAACCCGGAACTTGCACGCAAGGTCTACATTGCTAACACCTACTTGTTTTCTGCTTTCAGTACGAAGACGGAAAGTGGGCAATTCAACTATGAAAAGGTGAAGAGATGGACGAAGAACGCAAATCTATTTCAGAAAGATCTCATCTTTATCCCAATCAATGAAAAGTATCACTGGTTTGTCGCTGTCGTCTGCAATCTGCCCGCCGCGCTTGCAGCTGCACAGGCCAGGGAAAGGAAAGCCGTTATGGCCGACGAACTCGTTGCTATAGAGCCGGCACAGAAGCCGAAAACAGCGCTTAAAAATCGCCCTGTCCCGGCGGAGCAATGTACAGTCGCTATTCTCGATTCCATGGTTGGGTATCACACAGCTACCTTGAAGGCTGTCAAGACCTATCTAATATCCGAAGCAAAAGAAAAACAGAAGGTCACACTAGACCTGGAGGACTTTATCGGGCTGATGCCCCGAAAATTGCCAGGACAGGATAACTTTTCAGACTGCGGACTCTTCATGCTCCATTACATCGAGAAGTGGCTCAGTGAGCCAACTAGAATCAAGGAGAAACTCTATGAGAGGGATTTTGGGAGTGAAGAGGACGCGAGGAAGCTATGGAGCATATCAGAGGTTGGGAAGAAGAGGGAGAGAATGTGGAAGTTGTATGTGAAGCTCAACGAGGAGTACGAGAAATTCCTGAAAAAGGAGGCATTCGACGAATTCCCTGAAATCGTCGATGCTCCAACAGCCCGGGACAAAGGGCTGGAAGAGGAGATGGACAGACCGACCAGCTCCCCCCGAATGACCCAAGATTTAGGGGTGACGGGGGCGACAAAAACTGTCGAAAGGTCCAATTCTCCGGCGAAGAGAAAGTCGGACGGGCGAGATGAAGCCGATCGTCCTCCGAAGAGGGCGAAATCAGGTAGCCCGGTGGTTGTTGTGGAACAACCCCGGGTCACCGCTGCGCCTGGACTTAGGCCTAGAATAGCGTCGCCTGAGATTCCCTCGAGCGACGATGTGCCGTGTGTCTTGGAGGTCCCAGAAACGCAAGATCTGGACCTCCAACGAAGAGCAAAAGCTCTTGAAAACTCTGACACACCTCTAATTGCGGCCAATGGCCTTATCTCGCCTCCTTTTCCTGGGAACCCGATGCGGGTGACCTATGAGATGTCCGAGCGAATCGAACAAATGGGTAATTTTAGCCCCCCCTCCGCAAAAAGACGCCCGCCCATGACTACAAGCCCCCAGCCAGATAGCATAGATACTCCATCATACGTCGCTGCTGCATCGTTTGGCGATCTGTCAATCGATAGCAGCATGGACTATCAAGTCGAATCTGGTGGAGTTAGCCCCACTAAGGGCGATACTATCATGGGTGACGCACATCCTCGTAAACCAATCGAAGAGATCGAAGAAACCGAGGACGAAAGCCTCGGTGAGCTCGCATACAATGGGGGACGAAAGAAGGGCAAGTCTGTGCATGAGTTGGAAAATGATCGGATAATGGACACACCATCATCCCAGAATCATAGGGAGGATTCAAACTCTCCTAAGCACAAGGAGCAAAATACCCCTAGGAGAGGTACAGAACATGATCCAATTTGCATCGACAGCCAGTCATCACCCAAGCGAATTAGTCCTAGGACAAAGACCGCCAAAACTTTGAGGCCGTGATATTAGATATCATAGTAATGCGGTTGCGTTCAGCGAAATACTCCTATTGCTTGCGCTGCGTTTTTTTAACGGCATTTACAATGGTGTTCTTATCTTCAACTCTAAGGCGTGTCCCTTATGAATTCTACTATTATCGGAGGTTTCTGTTTTCACATATATCCTTGAATTGCACTTTAGCCCGGCGTTTTCCTGTTTACTTTTTTCTTGATCTGCTTTCTACACCATCCGTTTTAGCATACTCGTCGTTTCCCGCCTCTTACGATTAGAGCATTTTTAGCGGTGTTATATTATGAGGAATGAAGGGTGGGGTAACGGTCGATTATCATTATGTTATTTTGACCTTCCCTGTGTGGCCTTAGCAGTGGGCTACGGGGCTTTCCTATCCATGTAGCATATATCCTTCTTTTTTCCCTTTCCCGTTTCGATAGAGGGTATGTGTAGATACAAACTCTCGCCTTCTATCAATCGACCACATAAGGTCGTTGCTATATAGATATATATACCATTACGTTTTTCCCTTAATTAATCGATCGAGGTGATATCTTAAGTTCTCGAGAAGCCGGCTTTTGGATGCTATGATGTGGAGGTGGCGATTGGTTTTTGCCTCCCCCGATTGGATTTCCTGGGAGGCTAATTGATGATTTTCCTTTCGATGAGATTATAAATTAAAGACGGGAAAAAAAGAAGAGGAAAATGAGATTAATTAGCGCTCATTTCCGCCCGTTGCCATCATAGTTGTCGAGGAAATCTAAGAATTTGGGGTGAAATAAATGGTTTTGATGGAGAAGTACATGATGGGGTGGCGTTTACCTACAGTTGGAGAACCGTAATCACTGGCAGCTGGATCAACATTGATTCCATCGTGGCAAGGTTTGAGATTTGGGTCAACTATACAAATGGCGGAAACAGAAAATGGAAAGGATTTTGAACATGAGTTCATGAAATTCAAAGGCTAAGATTTCTGGGGAAAGGGGATGAGTTCATCCTTGAGTAATGTTTGAAATTCTTGTCTTCCCGTGTATATATATTTATATCGTTGGTTTCGAACAGTTGTTTTTTGGGGGGTTGGTGACATGACAGGACTATTACGGTATGATCAGTGGGTGGATTTTTGCCCCCCGAAAGATCTGAGGACTAAGGGCGATTGACGCCATGCATGATCCTGGTATTACGGCAGTTAAGCATATATTCAAGAAAAAAGAAGAAGAAGAAGAACAAATTAACAATAAGCAAAATAAGGGAATTGCACTTCAGTATTTAGATTAGTACACTTCTGCAAAATTGCTACTTGTATTTCTAGCCAATTAGAGTGTCAGTTCACTAGTACTAGATACCTATACACTCGATGGCAAGCGCGTCTAATATATGCATGAATTACATTAAGAAGCAGAGATTTAGGCGGATTTAAACGCCTTGCATTATACTATAGCACCTACGGGCTTATAATTGTATAACGATATTTAATTATTTTGTGGGTTGATACTCTAATTGATATAATTGCTACACGATCTTGATGCATGGGGTTATGTAATCGAGCATTGGATAGCGGATGATTCGCCAAAAGATGCAAAAATACCTCAGACTTATTGAGAAGACAAGACAGCAATCGATCGACTGGAAAACACCGTTACTTTCGCATTCGGAGAAGCTCGGGTGTAGTAATAATAATAATGATGAACTTGCTCTGCTTCTTCTTTCGAAACCAGATGGAAAGTAGGCTAATTGTTGCGTTGGCTGTTGTAATCTCAACCTCACAAAAACAATAAAACAGTCCTCCTGCGAACGGAAAAGACGTCATACGACATGGAAGGATAGCGCCACAAGCACCCCGCCCGGAGCTCAAGCTAAGGTAGCTGCCGCCTGCCGCCTGAAGTTGGCGATGTTCTTTTCAGAAGTAAGTATCCGAAATCCTTTCAGGTCTAATCCTAATGCCTTGGTATGTAACATGCATGCGGATATGCCAGCAGATGTATATCCGGATTACCAAGATGCAGCAAAGCACACGAGCAGGCTTGCGTGATGAAACGAATAAGAAACTTGGAAGAACCCGCTGCATTTTCTCCTGAACCTAGCAGGGCTGGAGATCTTGCTTTTCCCTTTTTCTTTTTCTTTTTCTTTTTACCCCGACCTCGGCGTGGGGAAGGGAATAAAAAACATGGGAAATTCCAGAATGCCCATGGGCGATAGTAGACAATTGCGATTTGCCCATGGTCGATTTTGAACATCATCAACAAAGGACTCGAAAATCATGGCCTTTTTTCGCTCGCGGGTCTGACTTCAAAAGATAGTAATACCAGGGAAGCGCTATAGGGATGTCGCTGCGATCTCGAGCTTAAGGCAAGAGGCGAACCTATCCCTAAGCATCGACATGGTTTGATTCGAACATTTCGACGTCCCGAATCCTGGTCAGGACCCTGAATCTCCTCATGCATATCCTGACGAAAGGGCTGGCAGGGGGTCTTCCAACCAAGGAATCCACCACGCTAGCTGGGGAGCCGCCTTTCTTTGAACTCGCCAAGGGGGGTATGACGGCATATGGGGCAAACAGTGCAGCTCCCGCCCATTTGCAACAAGATGCTTAAGCTGCACAATGTTGGATCCGTCGAACTAACTATCTGCGAAACGTCGTTTCCGATTTCCTTGGACCTTGTCGAGGCCAGATGCGAAAACGAAAATCCACAACTCCCCTTACCTTCTCTTTCGCATTACACACTGGGTAATTAAGTTAAGAAATTGCTTATCATCAAAAAGACTTTGCTACTGGGGACTGACCTCACAGATTACGGCATTGTGAACCAGGATGTGTGATTTTAGTGACGACAATGCGGCCAAAAGCTTGAATTTCTCTCCACCATCTCTACATGCTACAGTTATTGCTTTCCCAACGTCGGGTCTTGGGAATGTTATTATCATGCACAACAACAACCTTTTGAACATCATCATAAATGCTGATGGGATGACCAACTACCATCGGTAAGGATCAGAGGTTATTCGAAATGACAGCACCGTGTCTAGACTATTACTATATGCAGGCTTCCGACTAGGACCCTGTCCCTGCTCTGTATGACAGACGAAATAGAAACAAGGCGTCCACCTGTCTCTGCGACTGCACAAAACGTATCAAGTCCTCATTCCTTAAAAAAAAACCACTGTGGCGTCGACTCTTAGCTAGCTACCTAGCTAGCTCTAATGCTCTAATATGCCAGCCGTCATCATGGCCTCATCGGTCTAACCATGATGCCGCTTTTTTATTTCTTTTTCTGGACGACATCAGGGTGGCAGGTCTGCATATGCCGCCCCCTGCAAGTCTTACGAGCCGACAACAAGACATTAACCACCCCGTCGTTGAAAGATTGGCTTGTCCTCTGATCTTCACGAGAAGAAAGATCGACAACCTGACCCCGGACGAAATGAGCCGTCTCCTTCAGACGTAATAGCCTAACGGTGGGCCAGCTTGGAAAACTTTTAGGCCGTGCGGGGGAATGGAAAGGGAAGAAGCGTACTAACGAATAACGAATCCCTCTTCCCGCCCTTTTCCCTCTCCAAAGGAATACCTCTGCGGAAATACTTAGTCAAGTTGGAAAAGAGAAGCAAAATAAAATAAAAAAATAAATAAAGCCAGGTTTGGGCTTGAAGATCACAGTGACAATCCAATATAAGTCCACTCACAGTTAAAGTTTTGGAAGAGCTTAAAATCGCCTCCACTCTGACGAACTGGACTTTTGCTTTTGGGCACCCTTTCTTCCTCTCTTTTTCCCTTCTCAACAACTGGGAATCTTGTGGCCCGTGTCTGATATCATATTTCCCTCGAATCGTCGTCTTGTTCCAGTCTGATTGCCCGCCCTTATATTCCAGCTGCACCCTTTTAATAAGCTAGCAGATGTGGATATAAGAAATCGACGAAACGACTTCCATCCCTCCTCAGTATTTTCCCCTAGCGTATAGATTCAAGTATAACGGTATTTTCCAACTTTTCGATTCAAATCCTTAAACGGCATTCACAAGATCATCGTCCCACCTCCCAAGAAACCTTTTCTCAACATCATTTCATTCTCTCCCTCCTCTATTCTTTTCCACCCAAGGTCATATATATGATTCTAGGGACCTACCTCAAGAAGCTTCGACTGAGAAGAAGATCGAAAAATAATTCCAACCCTTCATTCCCACAAATCCCTACTATCCATCTAACTCTTCCCACTCCGTACACTGAAGGGGCTCAAAGTTCGACAGTATCAGACAAAATGGCTTTCTCAAGAACCGCATCTTCATCAACAACAGAATATACAAACGGGTATCATACACCTACATCACCACCGGCTTACACAGATCACTCAGTACATAGCCATCATGGTCATGATCACGATTCATCAGCTTCAAGACAAGAGTACGCCAGGATACTTTACGAACATACAATGAAGCAAATGGAGAGGTTTGCACAAGACGCACAATCTCGGGGAACATTATCAATGGATCATTATCCATACCAGCAGAGAGCTGCTGCGATAAATTGAACATAAAAGAGAAAAGAAATAAAATAAATATCTTGAAACTTTTATCTATTGCTTGAAAAAATATGGCTATAATTAGCTATCTGAATGGAAGCAAAATTTAGTTATTCCTCCTTTTTCTCCCTCTCTCTCCTCCCATCTCTACTTCAATGAGTTAGCCACCACCCATCCGATTGTTTGTATAAATTTCTAAATATGACCTTACTACCACCACCACCGTGCACTACCACTGCCATTCAGAAATTCCTGTTCCTACCTCACCAAATTCTAATGCCGAATATTTCCCAAAGTCCGTCGTGCCCAACCCATTACTCGGGGGACTACACCTTCCTCGCTTCTCTAACGATTACCATGAACTTCACACGTTTTCCTATCTAATTAACTACCATTAATCCTTCCAAACGACTTAGCGGCTGTGTTTCCTTTTTATCTCGGACCCACTAGGCTGTTGTATGCTCGAAACAGAGATCAGCCAGGATCATGACCAGGACCAGGACAAAAACCTTGAATCGATCTCTGTCGTCATCGCCAACTAAGCCAGCCTGATCTTGTGAATCGACTTTTATGCAGGAGATACTTTTCAGCGCTCCTCCTATTCTCCTTTCTCTCTCCCTATTCCTTATGGTTACAACCTATGTCGATAACTATTTATATGCTTTTTATTCATTTATTTTTTATTTTTTTGTTTAAAAAGAAATCTTGTTCGCGTATATTCAGCTCTGGTTATATTTTAGCTTACTTTTGGTTTTGCAATTGCACGAAAATACCCTTTTAACCTCGTCTTTCGCTATACTATTGGGTATGTAGGTTTTTTCTTCTTTTTCCTTTGCTTAACTTCGTTTGAGGTTGGTATACGGGAGACTAGGCGTGGTCTTTTCTTCTTCTTTCTTTTTATCTTTAATCCTCTCCCTTTTTTCTTTTTTTCTTTCGCCGTTTGAATTACCACTTGAAACTCGGATTATATTTCTTTCATATGTATGAATCTGAATTTGAGAAGCCTTTTTTTTTTTTCCAATTTTTTCCAATTTTTTTGGAACGGGAACATATAGGGAATTGGGGGGAAAACGAAAAAAAGCCAATGTGTGTACTAGTTTCTCTTTAGCCGAACATGCTAGTCAGTCACTTTCATAGACTTATTGAATACGAGACTATATATTTTGTCTAACCATTAATTATAAAAGCTTGATCAGTCGAGTCCCCATGCTTACTTCTAGTTAATGAGTAGACACTGCGTCTAATCAAGCTCAACCTGTAAAAGAGAAAGCATGGTTTGTGAGACAGAGAATGTATACATGGAACTACAAATCCAGATATAGGCTATCATAAAGCTATTCCATTTCGTAAATATATATACGCTCGCACAGTAGCCCACGTTATTTACATGTGTAGTTGGATCAATTGGTGCTATGATCTTCGAGATCATAGAAGCCTGGGTATGAATAGTGCTCGTGTAAAGTACTTAAAACAGTAGCTAGCTAAAGGGGGAAATTCGTAGTGTAAACCCGTAGGTACAAAAGTGTGAAAATAGATTAGAGCGCCACCAGTTTATTAACTCCAAGAAATGGAAAAAAAAAAAAAGAGGAAGAAAAAGAAGGGGCTGTTGTTGAAAAGTTGAACCACCGAATGCTTCACACATAAAGAATATTCAGAGAAGGGTTAGAAGAGGGACTCCTACTGTCGACTAGAGGTCAGGGTTTTTCGAAATGGAACAGACGACTATGCATTCATTTCTTTCTTTTTCAGTTGTAGCAGCTTGTCTCCGGTGACTAGCCCTCTAGGCGCTTTCACTGTTACGTAGACTGCGGTGGGTGGTCATAGACGGGCTCCCAGGACGGGTAGGGACGGGACTAGATTGAGCACCTCGAGGGGGGATGCTTGACGACCTCGTTTGTACACCACGCGTCCTCTCGACTCGCTTTCTCTCGACTTCCAATGAGATAATCTGCTTGGTAGCTCTTTCTAGCTTCGCAGTTAATTCGCTGATTCGATGTTGGTATTTTGCACGCTCACGGTCCATATTCGCCTTTTTCAGCTGAACCTTGACGGCATCAGCTTTGCGTGTGAGATCCTCCACTTGTTCTTCGAGCTGATTCTTCTCAGCTATGAGGAGATTGGTTCCTTGTGAAGCCTTTTGGTAATGCTCCCGAAGAAAATCTGCCTCCTTTGCAGCAGCTTGTCGCTTATGTTCAAGACCATTGATCCGGCTGTTAAGCTCCATGTTCTGGATCATCATTTTCACTCGTTCGGATTCACCCTCTTCAGAGTCCTTCAATGCTTCTCGAAAACGTTTCAGTTCTTCACGGGCCTGATCACGTTCTCGGATCGCTTGTTCCAGTGTTGTTTGTGACTTATCCCTCTGTTCAGTCAAAGCCTCGATCTGGGTTTCCTGCCACCGGATTGTTTGCTTCAACCCAATCACTTTATCACGTTGTTCTTGATAGTCGATTTCACGGTTTGAGATATGTTGCTCAAATTCGTCTGACCGAACCTTACTCTCCCATAATGCTGCCTGATATTCACGGAGGAGTGAAACTACCTCATCCTTGCTCTGTTTATTGGTTCAAAAAGCATTAGCCAAAAGCAAAGGGGCCAATATAGAAACCAATGAAACCTACCAAGCGGTTTAATATCTCTTCTTCGCTCTCTTCATCTTCATCGGACTGATCTTCTTGTATTGCATCAACCCTTAAGACTGGCTCTTGGTTTACTGCTACAACACCCTCATCAGGCGCCCCTAATGCTGCTGATTCTTCGACCGACTTAGCTGCCTCTTTTTGGATAGTTTCTGTAGCGTGGGTGGTTGCACCTGAAATATCCGCTGATGGGACAACGTTTGATATAACCTCAGACCCTTCAGTCGGTAGGGCATCAATATCATTTCCTAACTCTCTAGAAAAATTATCGGAATCAGGCATCGGGTTATCCTCGCTGCGCCCCAAAAATGTCTGTTCCACCTCAATTCTAGGCCTCTTATGTGTGGCACCCGCGGTGCTAGATGTAGCACTCTGGGACTGTTAAGTAAATATATGTTAGTAGTTTGAACTAGGAAGTGAAGGGAGGAGTAAGGGAAAGAAAGTGAATTGAATTGAGCTGGGTAAACTTACGAGTATCCTCTTCCTGGCAGGACTAGTGCTCAAGGATTCGCCCCGTGCTACAGGTGTCCCTCTCTCAATATTTTGCGATTTCAGAGGTAAAGATGGAAGGAGGTTATCTTTTGTGGCCACCAGCTCATCAAGCCAGTCGAAGATGTCGACACTAGGGAGAGTTTCCAAAGGACCCTGGGAATTCTCTGGCAGGACACCTGCTTGTTCACGCAATAGAATCGCGGCATATAAAACCGGATTAAGGTAGTCGCTAATCATGTCGCGGGTTGAAGATTTAGAGGAACTAGGGAGATATTGACAAATATGAGCGACAGTGTTTATTGGTACTAAATGAAGAATTGGTGCTTGTGCGGATGGGCCTATGTTTCGAAGCTGCTGGATATGCGGATTGGTCGAATTGAAAGACGAGTCTACGGCGACGACGAGATTGACGGAGGGCTAATGAATAGGAGTCAGAGGTGCTAGTTATACTTGATAGATAAAGCATTATTACCATGGAAATCCCTGTGGCCATATCACAGGATGGCACTAGAAAGAGGCGGAGTATTTGAGCATCTGGGGTTGGGGTAATAACATCTGCTCCGTTTTCTGCACTGAAACGGGTGAACTGGTAACCCGCAGATCTGAGGAACAAATCGGCAGAATCCTATTAGAAGGTTAGCCATTAATCCACAAGTTTAGTAATTAGAACTTTAATACCATAAACATTCCAGCCTCTAGGACAAGAGCAACGGAATAAGACTGCCTCCGGAGCTTTCCCAAAAGTTCATATAAGAACTCAAATTTAGATGACTGCCAGCAAGACCACTTCACGAACCTAGGCCCTTGAAGTTTTTCTGTAAAACCTGGATTGTATGAGAGTTGCGAATGGCTAGAAATTCGGTCAAGATCATGAACGATTCTCTCAATAGTTCCTGGGCTAACATCTCCGCTTTGATTCTGGGTGTTATTAATCCCGTAGAAAGCCTCGATTTCCCGATATCTGTCCGTGATGGTTTCTTTGTACATGAGTGTTTGGCTTACTGTAAGTGGAATTGCTAGGAATATCTCATTCGAGGCTGAGCGGGGTGTTTCTTGCAGTAAATGAAGCGCTTGTGATGCAGCAAAATATTCATCATCGATGAGTGGGGCTCCGGGAGCAGGTGTCTTCCCTAGAGCAACAGTAGCTTCGAGACCTAGTGGCGTGTGGGTTTGCGCATCTTGACGACCAATGAGAGGTTCTGATGACGATGTTGATGAGGGTAACAGACCAGAGGATTTTGTGGATACAACTTGTTTTTGAGGGCTTGGACGGTGCTCTGGTGCAACAGCGATATCAACCACCTTGAGAAGTGGGGATATTGGACCTGCAGACATAGCTTCCTTGTTTGAGGGTATATTGGACTGCCCTTGGGGATCTTCGGAAACAGAGTGATAGAGCGGTGCGCCACTTTCTACGATGCCGCCAGGCGAAGGGTGCTCGTTCTCCTCAGAAGTTTTCTGGTTGGGCCTTTGCGATTGCAAGTAGCCCAATACCGTCACAGGAGTGGGCCGAGCACTCGCGGGTATTGGGCCACAAGGAGTCGACGAAGCAGAGCGGCCGCCTTGAAGAGGGTCCTCTGTTTGGATCGATACCCCAGGTGATAAAGCTCCTGGTGAGGGATGCAATAGTTCAGGGTTAAGACTAGCTGGCAAAGGTTCGCAGGATTCCAGGCTGCGAAGTTGTGGTGAATTGCTAAGTCCGGCAGCTTCACTTTGTCCCTGATCGTGCGACGGGGTGTTTTCCAGCTGCGCCATCGCGAGCACTTGATTTTAGCACTGAACCGCAATATTTTGTGGAATAGCAAAAAGCGAACATACCTGAGCTGGCTGCACTGGAGGCTCTAAATCCGAATCCACGATGTCTTCGGGACGCGATTCTACAGCTTCCTGTAGAATTCGGATGGTATTATGTCTGTGTGATGCAAGTGGTTCGAATGGATGTTCTGGAGCTGTTGCTAACTCCAGAGCACCATCGATACTACTTTCAGGGAAACTAGTAGGGGTTACAAACGAATCTTTATCAGTAACAGAAGCGCTTTGCTGTGTGCGGCGTGGTATGTTGGTCGCAGTTAAAGGTTTAAGGTTGGTGGGAGGTGTTTGTGACTGGAAAGGTCGATCTGGGCGAGAGAAGGACGAAGCCTCACCCGCAACACTTTTCCCAGCCAGCACACCCGGCCGTGGTGATTCGATAGACATAACTTTCAATACCTCCCCAGAATTTTTCCCATCATCATCAAGTATCTGGGGTTCTTCACTATCAGGGAAGCTTTGGAAAGATGGCGTTACGCCAACTTTTCCTAGACTTAATTGTGCTGATGGTAAAGAAGTGCGCAAGCTTTGTTGGGATTCCTTTGAGCTCTGACTTTGAGCCTGGAGGTCGCGGACATCTTGAGAGAACACTCTATTTGAAGAATCTGGAATAGTCTCAAATGCATCTTCAAGGTCAGGTCGAGGGGATGAAGAGTTAGAAACAGCTTCCGCTGGGGCAATCTCTTGAACTGACAGTAATTGTTCAGTGGGGGGAGGAATGGCTGTTGGTATACGTTGCAGAGGAGTCTCGGGCACTAGTCGCTGTTCCGCTGGGGTTAGGTGGATTGGCGTCGCCCCAGAAGACTGTGAGTCCGGTATTTCCCTTCTGTCCCTAATAGAGCTTTGTGTGTGGGCTACTTGTATCTGAGCTTCTTCGGAGCGTCCAAAGACAGTTATCTCTTCCAATCTTCCTTCTGAGTCCTCTGAGTCCTCTATTTCCTCTACGTCACCGTGTTCCTCTCCAAAACTAGATATGCTTAGAGTAGGCTGTGCTCTCTCGTCTCCTTTGCCATTTGGTGTAGATGATGGTCCGGGGAAGGAGGAATAGAGTGAACAATCAACCTGGGGTCGGAGCGGAATCTCGACTGCCACAAGCTTCTCAGATGAGGTCCGCGAATCTTCGTCGTTCACATTGACTTGAGACACGTTCCCGCCGCTTTGGCTTGACTCCACGATTCTCCGTCGACGGGACTTAGTCGCCCGAGGTTCAAGGTTATCTTCAGAAGTTTCCCCAATGCCGACCCCGGGCTCTTCCTCCTCCTCATCATTTGGGGCTGGATTTAGTGGAACCGCTTCCCCTGTCCCCTCTTCTTCCGAAGAGGTTATCACAATAGGATCTTGGATCGTAAGTTTTCGTCTTTTTTTGCCATTCTGGTACCGCTCGATATCTTCTTTAGATATCCGGACGGGCTTAGACACATTGGCTTCGACCTGAGGAGCAGGGTCGGGACTGGACGAGGCCCTCCCTCTCTTTTTTTTGGCCTTTCGCGCCTCCCATTCTTCTACGAGTGCAGCTGTAACCCAATGACATGGTTTCTACTCAGGTATTAGCGCAAGCTTATTTGTGCACATGGAGATACCAAATAAAGTCCAAGAATTATAAACTCACCCATTCCTGTGGCCATGGTTCACCCGTTTCTTTATTAATACCTTCCCATTCCACTCGGTATTCCTTTTTACGTTTCCTGCGCCGTTCTGCAGTAATCCGTTTTACTTCCCACCAAAGACCATCACCTTCACTAGACTGGGTTGCTGCTGGTGATTCCTTTTCTTTTGTATCGGATACATTTTTATATCCAACGGGCGACCTGTCACGCAGTTCGTGTGGTTCTGTGTTGGTGTTGGCCGTGGTGGACACCCGGTTAGGCCGGTAGGGTGCCTGGCTCTGCGGCACGGTGGTTTTACGCGCCATCAGGTCTTGTGGGAGGTAGGTGCTTATGCAGGGTGAAAGAGGATTCTCGCATCCGGTCCTGGGTGTCCTAGCCTGGTAACGTAGCTATAGGATGCTTAGGGGTGAGAAGAAAGGATGAAGTCGCTAGCTACCTGGAGATGATGAAATGATGATGGAATGATATTTCAACAGTGGAGCTTAAGCCACTTGACTTGCCGAAGCGTTAGGAAATTTACATCTCCATTTAAGGTATCCTAACCAAAACTAAGGGGAGTTCTACTACCTTTTTTGCTCGCTGGCTGCCCAGACGATGGGGAAATTTGGCCTCGCCAAACAACAACAGAGCCAACAGCGGTACCAACGCAGCTGCAGACCGAACCGTGGACCTGAGCCAGTGCACTGGAGGGTGACCGGGAAGAGGTTTAATTTATAAAGGGGACAAGGAGATTTGGTGGGGATTAATTTAGTCGATGAGAGTTTAATGTTTAATTTGTGTTAAGTGACAGGGTGTCGAATCGATGGAAGGTATCGAAGTTTCCCTCTAGATCTTTGTGTGCACGACCAGGTCAACAACGGCGGTAGAGGTGCAGTCAAAGGGTAGCTATAGTTTAGATCTATAAAGCTTTTTGCAGACATTTGATAGAGGATTACAGCAAAAAAAACTATATGGTTGTATACATAGTAACTTGTATTTCTAATATATCTACTAGTTATAAGAAGCGCTTTAGTATGTCTTTACATAACCGGTTGTTCGTCTATATCTCTTTATCACCTTCATAATGAAATCCCAACTCCTCTAGAGTCTTAACTATCCGCCCTTCTGACTTCGCCACCAAGAAAGCTGCTTTGATTTTAGGAGTATTCTTACGAATCCACCTTTCCTTTCCTCCCCATTTGGTTGGTTGGTACAATGCCCTTTTACCATCTGACTCCTTCTCCTCACTCCATTCGTTCAATATGTCCATATAATCCGCGTCTTGTGGAAATGTTAGAAAATGGAAATGTCTGTCTCCGGGCTTTTGTTCCAAAAGATCTTTCTCCCATTTACTCATAGACTCTTCCGAAGGTAGACCCAAGCGCCCAGAATATACACCGGCAACGACAGCTGCTTGGGTTTCTACAAACGGAAAGGGTATGACTTTGGTGGGCAGTCCAACAATTGATAGCGTCGGCTGTGGAATATAAAATAAATGTTGATATAGCCGATGAATATAGAATCCATCCGTTATCATCCGTTCAGAAGGTTTAGCTGACTCTTCTAGAAACGGTAAAGAGTGTAGGTAACCTCTAGATTCACATAGTATATTTATGTAAGCACTGAGCCAGATTAGATATTCCAAGTCAGGACTAAAGAAATCAGCAACTTACGTGCAAAACAATATCACGTCTATGTTTTTCTCAACGGTCCCGTCAGAGAATACAACGGTTCTATCATCAGGCACAAAGCGCTCGATAGTGGGAACGATCTTAATCTTTTCAGGAGCTAAAAGAGGGAAATCCTTGTATGCACCTTTACTCCTGCAAGACTGATACAATGGAATCTGCGAGACCTCGGAAATTTGTGATGCAATATCAATCCCGCTAGCGGAATTCCCGACCACGATGACTCTCTAATGGGCTGTTAGAATCCTCGCGAATTATCATCGATTATACGGGAAGTAAGGGGGACTAGGTATTACCTTTCCCTTATATCCGTCCGCAACTCGAAAGTACTTCGAGTGCAATATTGAACCTGGATATCTTCGCTCGAACTCCTCAATTCCATCTATCGGTGGTATATAAGGAACATTGTAATGTCCTGTCGCAATAATCACTGCATCGAATACTTTCTTCTCAGTCTCTGCAGATACCACATCTTGCGTTTCGATCTCCCACTGTAACCCATCCTTCCTAACGAGCTTCACAACCCTCCGATTGAATTCCGTGTAGTTTTCAAGGCCTTTGGAGAATTCTTGGACATATAGTTTTGTATCCTCGTGTCCTGGGAAAAGTTGTAACCTTTCGTCAAACGGTGTTTTGTTGAACACCATGAGATCCTTTGGAATATTGGTTTCCAGTTCGTTGTATACCGGGCTCATAAACACCGGCTTTTCAGAGCCATGTGAATCTGGAACCGGTTCATCGTCGAGATTCGGGTCTTCTTGGGGAATATGTTCAAGACGTGATTTCGTCTCCGGAGTGTAATTCCAGACCCCGCCAAAACTAGACCGCTGTTCGAAAATCGCGGGAGTTAGGCCTTCCGATAGAAGGCATTTGGCGGCTACTACTCCGGATGGGCCGCCTCCTAGAATTGCTACTCTGCGGATCTTCGGAAGCATCCTGAACAGAACCATGGGCGGAGTGCAGCGGATTAGAAATTGGGATATTCCATATGGGTGTGCGTTGCTAAGATAATTTCCAACAAACCTGATTGCGTGCTGTATACATAATATTTCGGCGACAGAAACCGGGCCTGGTGGATCCTTGGTTGGATACAAGCTACTAGAGGCCCAATTAAACTAGTCTCAAGGTTGGCTATTTGTTTTAGCTGGTTGCAGAAATCTCAAAATACAGCCTAAATTAAGTAGTGCGTTAATATTATAATACAATTTTATTAATTTAGCTTTAGCGCAATCATCGAACCACTAGCCACTGACGGTAGAATATACTGTTTAATTGTGAACTATACTATATCAACAAAAATATTATGTAGAGCTTGCAGCAGGCGGCTATATGATGTGTATATTACACTCAAATCCGCGAGTACTTGGGAATGATGAAATCTCTAGAGTAAAACGTTCCTCAAACTCCTTTACTGATATCTTGAGTGTAGGAAGTGTCGAGGAGGTGGAGTACGGCACCTCGTGTTCTCCGGTGGAAAAAACACCGCAGAGGGAATGCGACGATATTTCCAAAGTACCTGTTCTTCTCCATCTTCCTCCTCTTCAAAATCTGGGTCTGGAACCATATTAATGGTATTATGATCCACGAAATGGAAGAATCTAGAAGTCCATTTCGGAGAGTCGTCATCTAAACAGCATTAAGTCAGACACACATGAATATTCCTCAAATGACGAGTGATGATTTTAACTACCATCGGCTTTCAGACTAATATCGCAGTCAATTTCACGGTTAGAATAGAGCAACAGTTGGTTTTCGATATCTTCAGCTCGAAATACTGGAGAGCCGGCTGGCGGGCCCGCCCAAGTTCTCGTGATTTTTGTTGCCATTATCTCTTCTGGCTCAGGTTGCTGGAACAGGTGGAGTTCGTATGCTCCGGAAGGGGATATACCTAGAAAAATATGTATTTATAAAATATTAGCCACAATATATCTCTACTTCGGGGAACGTTAACAGTTCAAGGTTGGCAAGATGAATGAATCCTTACAAGCCCAAATTCCTTGATAAGGACGAGTTTCAGATGGCTCAATATATTCCTTCTTGATTGCTGAGTAGGTCAGTGTGTCGTTTTCAAATTCCAGCATGAAGGAGTTTGTAGGGTATTCAATTATTTTCCGTTCGAGGATTTTGCCGCGGCGCTCTACTCTTTCTGAAGATGGTATAGATGGTGGTGGCCAACGTAACCCTACACCCACAAGACTATACAATGGAGTTTCAAGTGACCATGCCTTTGAGACCTTCTGGATGAGCCCTTGGCCAGAAATGGCGAAGCAAGGCGTTTTTGCCAATGCGGTAATTAGTTCATCATAGGCTGTGTTATATTTAATCTCAACTTCATGCATTGCGACTTCGAGGAAATGCCCGAAAGAGAGTCTTTCTTTGATCCGCTTAGGAACAAATAATTCACCGTCAGCGCGGTCCCCTATCCAAACCTGCTCATCCCATTTCAAGATATTTTGAATAATACGTTGAGATTGAGGTACATGAGCGAGAGTTTGTAAATTATTCCGGACGGGGGTTTCGGGAAACTCCTCTGGGGGCCCAATAATGAAAGTCGCCATCTTGCTTTTATTGAGCGTGAGCTTTTCATGAAAACTTTTCTCTTGGACCACCCGGACGCTACCTATATGACGGCATACAATAGCCTCATCACCGCGGGGTACTAGATAGGCAGCTGTAGATGCAATAGGCTTGTTATCCTCAATAGTCGCTACTAGAAGCGCAACCATGGGGGTCAATTCCAAAATAAGGCAGTTGTGCCATTCTTCTTCAAGTGCGGCATCGATTTTGAATGAAACAGAGGGGTGCGTAGAGAATGGAATAATCCGACGTTGAAGAACGTCTTCCTTCGTAACTCTTCGATACCACGTGTACATCGATAGTTTAATCGCGCCATTCCGGATAAGACACTGATGGTATCTTCCGTGGGAGTCACTGGGCGGAGAGGCTGGCATATCATAAAGAAATTTTGGGCACCAAGACCATGCCCCCGTTTCCGTAATTGGTGTTTTTTCGTGGACTAGACTCACAGGGTTGATGTACTTGAGTTTTTGGCAGATTTTTTGGGTAATAGCAGCAGCGCTTTCACCGTACTGAACTTCTACACCCGCGAGCAGCCCGGCAATAATCATACGATCTCGGGACCAGGATGTACTTCGAGGTTGTAGAACCGCTAGAAGATCACTGACATTTTGGATGATGTCTTTATTCTCAGAGGACTCTAGGTCACCTGTAATTTGATTAGGTTGGCGTAGGCGGCGAATGATCGTAGATGCAATCCAGTGACCGCGGGAGCAGCGGCTTGGGTCTTGTGCAAGTACCTCTTCATCGAGGTCCTTGAGTATTGGTTCGTAAGTCGTACTTCCCGGTTTCTTGAATATCACCTTGATCCTCCGTGACATGATACACTCGAGTGCCGTCCAGCCACGAGTAAACCATGGTGAAAGGATAACTGCAAGGCATGGAGTTCCATCATCGGCCCATTCAAAGTTGGCTAGATATCTGTCGTGAAGAACAGTGAATTGGGCATTGGAGTAATTGTTGTGCATCTCGTTAATGGCTTTGCTCCGGAGCTTAGGGTCAGTTGGAATTGAGATAGTATCCCACCAAATTCCTTTACACTCAAGGGCTCTTGCAATTCTAGCGAAATATTCAAATAAGCAGGCATTTACTCTCCCGGCTGGTTCTAGCCCGATGCCAGTACCATCCGCCCAAACATGGGAGATCGCGATATATTTCCGCTCCTGGAGAACTCTGAATGGCGCATCGATAGACCAAGTAGTACCGCCCCCAGATTCTATCGATACTTTCAGGAGAGCTGGATCGAAATGAATTTTTGTCGTTCTACAATCTGCATCTGTTTCGGGGCATTGGTGAAGTTGAGTAACCCTTGTTGCATCTAGTGAATTGAAGTCGCACTGCTCCGGAGTACAATTTTCATGGCCAGGGTGCCGAAGCTTTGCATATCGCTCACCAATTGCCAGGTTGATTAGGGAAGGGATATCTTGTTCTGCCCTTTCACTGATAAGAGTAATGTTCCATAGTCTGTTTAGACAGATGTTACCGGACGCCTTCTTGGTTGCATCTGCAATTGCTTTAGCTGCTACTTTGATGGGTATAATGGCTTTCTTCCATCTTTCACCGAAGATGTCCGGATTATGTCCAAAGTATATTTGGACAGTGACGGCCCAATAGATGATTTCACAGACCGGGAAGACGTCTATCGTATCCGTTTGGGTAAAATCATCATTGGTGAGATAAGTGCCTGTGACCTGGATTGTATTATCCCTCCACGTGCTGTCTAAAATCCAATAGAAACAGTTGATAGCACTGGCAAAATTTTTGAAGGCGCGAGTGTCTCTATCTGCTAGAGGCACAGACCGCTGACACGAGATGATCTGGAGGATCCGTTCTCGAAACGGGTTCCACGTGCTTTCTGGAACAACGTTCAGCCTTTTTAAATTCTCTAGGTTCCTGACGCACTCGGTATTTTTGCATGCGTAGATTTTGAAGATTTTGCAAATAGCTGCGAGATGGTTTAGTATCGGCCACTTGCTCTGCTTATCAGTCGTCCTTGAGACTTCGGACCAGATGTGTTGGTCGAGATGATATCGATTATAACACTGGCTGCCATCGTCATTTGGAGGCAGTTGGGCTAGCAGTGGTTCTACTAGATCGAGACCGGCGAGTACGAAGTTTGGAGATTCCCAAAGTTTATAATCAAGTTGGGTCACCTAATTTGGAGGTACAAGGTGAGGGGTTAGATCCAGGCCCGTGATCATGGATACCTGCATAATGCCTAAGCTTGAAGAGCAACAAACCATCTTTTGTGTTCTTATCTCGGTATCTGCAATGTTTATCTGACAGAACTTGTGAATAGATTAAGATCGAGACCTGACCAATATCGACACATAAAGGAACTGAAGCTGAGAGGAGAAATATAAGCTCTAGGATCCCACTAAGGCTCCACTTGCCGAAAAGAGACTGAGATACTGTATATCAAAAAAATTCTATTGTTATAACCACGCACCAGATGCATGCCGCAATTGGTTCTGTCCGACCTACCCAAGACGCATTCCTTAACTGTTACAGGGTTCTCGCAGCAGCAGCAGAGGCGTAAAACTAAAGATGCCTAGTTCTCCCAGCGTTGACTTTGCATCTGAGCGCTCGGGGTCCCCTACTTTACTACAGGGTCCTCATCCTCCGGCCATACCATACCTGTGACTTCTTTCCCATCATGCTTCACCATCCAGCGACGGTTTGAAACGGGCTCCGGAAGGTCTCCGAGTTGCTCTAGAGCTCCTATAACCCGCTGTGACGCCCTTCCCCAGCATGCGAAAAAGGCCTCAATTCTTTTTAAGAGGGCCGAAACCGTCAAAACGAAACTTGGGTTCTGTGGCGTGCCACTACGATGTTTGACCGATGCTGTGAATCCATTGGTGTCGAAGTACTTTTTAGCGAGACCTACACCAGCAATCGCAAGAATCCTCTTTCGATTTGCTTCTTCGAGGAGGGATTGCCAAAAACCAACGAATATTGGGCGCGAGTTAGAATCCACTTTGACATCCTCCTGGAGATTGACGCCGGGGAGCTTGGCCCCTTCTATCTGCTGAGCTAGAGCTTGGATGTTATGCTCTTCGGATAGCGTAGGATATCCGGCGCTCGGGAACCTGTCCATAAGAACACCGGATTCTAAAAATTCTGTTATCATATTCTCATAGACTTCTATCGTCAGAATAAGCCTCCTTTCGGAAGCCAGGGCGTTTTCGATATCTTCGAATCCATATTCTCGGAGAAATGTTCCCTGATCCAGCCCTGTTTCCGCGGCGTCTGCTGCATTGTCTATCGCCGTTTGGAACCCCCTCAGTGCAACCTTTAAGGTGGTGGTGGAATAATATAAGGAAGTTGGGATATCAGGATCAAGGGCAATGAGGTCGTTTGGACCTCCGACGGCGCAATGAGCTTGCCTACCGACCTTAAAAACACCGATTTCCAAAAGAATTTTCTGCAAAGCTTGCACGTTCTCTTGAAGATATAGATCCCAGTCCCATGTTGAGATTCTTAATTCTTCAGCATTGATACAAACAGGTGTTTGCAAGATGATGTAGGCAAGGCAGATAAGCAGCCCATTGCTGTAAGTAAAAGGATTCTTCATAACAAAGAATTTTTACAGATTCCTTTGAATGTTGTACCGCATCGAATCCAAGTACAGACGATAGGTCTGGACAAAGAAATACCATAGTCTTTCTCAAATGGACGCGCACTGGTGTCTCTCTGAAAGCATAGCTCCCTCATCTGGAACATTGCTTCTTCACTCAAAATATGGAGGTGTATTTCAAAATATATGTTTGTTCCTGTAAAAAGAGCAATAAGTACTATGTTAGACCTTTGCTTCGCTGTTTAAAATGTGTATGTTTAATGGTCATATCGATATCAATCACATTTAGATATGGTCAAACCGTCTTAACCTGGAAATTAGGATTATCCAATGTTTCTAAAGGAACTTACCTAGTAATTCTTTTGAAGATTGATTGTCGAGATGCAGGCCTTCACACAATCCCGTTGAGGCGCGGTTAGCAATTCTCATCCAGACTTGGATTGGGGGCAGGTTGTTGTCATGGGAAGGTTATGATGTCGTGCAGTCGCGTTGCCCAAGCCTGTGATACCCACGCGCCTTCTACACACTCTCCAGCTCTACTAGAATATTTCCAAACACAACGTGCAACCATCATTCATGCAAACAACATCAACAACAACTATCTCCGTTAAAGGTCCCATAGACCTCCGGTGACAACATATGCAGGATGGATGTCATTCCAGGCCTCGTCGAACTTAATCCTATATCTCTCGCTTCGCTAGAACCATCCGTCAACTCCAAAAGCGAAATAACAGCAACCGTTGCCTCTCTATGGCCTTATAGTAGTTCCGCACTTAAACTTACTGCGATTATAGTGGAACCGGACTATAAAAAGCGTGAGAATCGAGGAGAGCTGAAAGTTTCGTTTCATGGATATGCCGCCGAAAGTCTCAAGACACTTGCCATTGGAAATGTGGTGAAGATATCATTAGAGGGAGCTACCTGGGAAGAACTACCTGACCCTGAAGAAAGGGATGTGCCCTGGCAATTAAAGTGGGAGAGGCGACTCCGGGTTAGAGTAAGAGGAAATCCATATCCCAATAGTTTATATTGCCTCTAATAAGGTGTGATAGGTTTTTAAGGACACCTCTGCCGCGGCGCCGAAGATCGAGGTTGATAAGACTTTTGATCAAGCCCATAGGTCCGGTATCTTTGATAGGATAGCTGCTGCGGAGGCTATTATTAGTGAATCCCAACGGGAACAAAATGAAGACGCAGGATTTGAGGACCGAACACCTCTAAAACATTCCCAGCTGCCAACATCATGGTCTACCTCGTTCCGGGATAGCACTGGAGGGGACTCCCAGACACCACTCAATATATTTGCGCAAGGGCGCCGTCGCCTATTCTCACTTGGAAGCGATGATGAGGAAGATGATATCGATGCGGAACGTACAAGGAAAAGACCAAGGCTGTTCGAACCCCACAAGGGCTTTCGTTATGTATCAGACTCGGTCGTGGATACGGCAGAGAAAACAGAAGAGCCTCAGGTTGTGAAGCGAACTGAGGATCATTTTTTTGACGAGAACAGCTTCAGAGAGAGCTTTGCAGGGAGGGAGTCAATACCAACACCAAGACTTTACGTTCGCCTGGATGACTCTAGAAACGTAGCAGTTGAGAGCCAGTCCCAGAGATCAACGCTAGGAGATAAACCGCGAGGCTCTAAACTATATGTCCGACCTGACGACTCGCAGGCCGAGGATGAGTCTGGATCATCGACGCAGCCTGTGACGCCCCAGACCGCGGAAGAGCAGAAATCTAGGCGGCGAACAGCAGATATGGACGATGAGATTTTTAAAATCATATTTGGCCAGGAGCCTGAACCCCCAGCAGCTCCACAACAGCTCGATGAAGAAGAGGTTTTCAGTCGTTCTTTGACCGCGTTCACAAGTCAGCAGGCATTCTCGACACAGGTCCCTCTAACGCTACAAGACGGGTCGAAAGACCACGCCCCAGTTGAAACCCTAGTTGAAAGGTCTACAACCCCCCCATTTCCGCCACAAGAGTTTAGTGCTACCCCACCAACAACGGAGAGATCATTTACGCCTCCATTGCCTGAGACCTTGCGCCCACTCGAGCTGGACTCACAACCGATGAGTAGCTTCACACTCGATGCTTCACAAGCTTCTCGTCCGATAACTGATGAGATGCCTCCACCAACTTTACAACAACAACGCCCTGTTCCACGCCTTAATACTCTATTCTCAGATCGTCTTGACCCTCTTACCCCGGTGTTGAAGCCGACGGCTTCCCCGGCGCTGCCGCTTCCTTCTCCCTTTCCTAGTTCTGCATTAGAAAGGGGATCAGTTTCTTTTTTCCCAAGCAGACTTTCACAAAGCTTTACAGGTTCAACTGAGAATACTCAAATCAAAAGTGAAGATGAAGAGTTGGGAGCACCCGCTACTGTATTAGAGATGGCTTCGGCGGCTGTCGGAAATTTGGAAAAAGCGGCGCAAACAAAACAAGAGGACGACTCACAAAATGATAATCTAACAACATCAACCCGAGAACCAGGAGGTGGCCATATTGTTGAAAAGACGGTAGAAGTAGCTCGGGAAACAATTACCGTGGTTGAGCACGCATCCTCCCTTGTTGATCCGGAAAGTCCGCGACAGCCTGAGGTGGGGAAATCTAGAGATATTGGGATCAAGACCAGTCAACCCGCCATCAAAACCTCTCACCCGGAAATCATCGAAATATTAGATTCCAGTGATGAAGACTCTGAGGAACAGGAGGAAGAGGAGGAGGAAGAGGAGGAGGAAAGCGACGAGGAGGAAGATGGTGATGAAGAAGAGGAAGAGGAGTACGAGGAGGAGTACGAAGAGGAGTACGAAGAGGAGTATGAAGAGAAGTACGAAGGTGCAGAAAAGCGAAGAAGATCGCAAGAACGTTACGAGGAGGCGCTTGCAGCGCAGAACGATGAAGATGATTATGTTGAGGACGATGAGTATCCACATGAAGAAGAATTGGTTAGAATGCGAACGGATGAGGATGAAAATGAAGATGGGGGCGAGGATATGGATGGGCACGGGGACGAGGACGATATGGGTGAGTTTCCCGGTCACTTTGGCTCCCTTGTGAGCCTTGAGCTATCCTTATAAAGGGAGAATTCCTGTGTTACAATTGTTGACTGGAATCATAGAGTATAAATATCATCAAGCCACACCTTCACCTGATATAGAAGAACGAGAATCTCCGTTTGTATCCGATGATGATGAGCCACCCGGGGGATATAGACCGCCAAAAGTGGGAGAATCCCTAATATCCAGTCTTAGTCCAATTTCTTACATCTCACACAGAACAGCTGGAACTGAATTAGCGATCCTACCTCCTTCGATGCGCCAGCGGAAAAACTCCGCGATCCTGGGGTCCACGTTATCTACTTCGCAAAATATCACTTCTTCAAAGTCACAAATCTCGACGAACTCAACTTCAAGCCACCTACCACCGCCTATCACACAAAACATAACTCGACTATCCCTATCACCGGAACCATACGTCCCCGAATCATCATCCTCATCTCCACCACAACCTAGTACGCCGAAGCAGACGAAGCCAATCAATATTCGGACGCCGACCCTCGAAGATAATGGCTTCGAGCTCATAGAGAGTCCAGTAGATCGCAAAGTTCACCTGCCCACCAGCATTGAGGGCAGCGCTTCAAGCCATCTCAGGAAGAAAAGAGCGCTCCCATGGTTAACACCGCAGATAGCGCCAAAAGATACGCATCATACAGGTGCTATCGGGCCCAATACAGTTCCCCATAAATTTCGAACCCCCTCCTCTGATACTAAAATAGCCATCGAAGAAATGGTTAAAATGGCAAAGAAACTACGCGGCCAAGATTCGGCGAGAAAGCCAATTCTGAAGCCAAAGTTAGATATAAACCCTGAGGCTATCAGGAGATTCAGAGAATACAACGCCACCTGCGGGGTTTCGGGTGGTGTCATTACTCCGCTATCTGAATTTGTCCCCGTTCAAAAACTACTTAAAATCGAATGGGAGAAGACGGTGGACCTCCTTGCCGTCAACCTTCGAGAAGGGGAAGTCACGCAGTATGAAAAAAAGCCAAAATTCTTCGAGCTTAAGTTATGGGTGATTGATCCATCATGTGGTAACGGCAAGCCAGTACCGATAATATTAACTCGACCGTATCAAGAAGCGCTCCCAAAAACCTCCAAACCTGGGGACGTTGTTTTACTCAGAAATATAACAATTAAAAGTCGGGATAACCAACGATGTGGATTCTCCGGGATGGCCTCCGGCTGGAAACTCTGGCGACCTAGTAGGGCGCCGGATGGGCAACAGCAAATGTTAGCAATACCCCATGACGGACCTAACGCAGAGTGTGGCGCAGAGGAGATCGTGTATGTCAACCGTTTGTGGGAATGGTGGCGGGGCATTGATGTGGATATTAGGGTGTATTTGATCAACAAAAGGGAACGGTGAACAAGGGAAAGCGAGGAGACAAATACATGCATGATATGATATGGGCCTGTTAATGCATTATAATGATTGTAATATTTCACTACAACCACCGTTCGTTCCTTGTATATATTTAGCATAATAGCCCCTAGTCTATCGATATCGCTGTTTTGATGGTTAGGCCTGGCCTGGGACTGTCCGAGTCGGTTTTCGCACTTCGGATGCTGCCGCGCCGATGTACCGACAATTAAGATCAAGCACGCGGATATTAGCCAGCCAAGCTAGGCCCACCAAGAAAGAGGAAAAAAAAAAAAGAGGATGCGATACCGAAGGCAGCAAGCGTCCTTCCAGAAGCAGGATGCCCGGTATCGGACCAATCACAAACTATGAGCCCCGGCTTTATCAGACCACCAAAAGCAAGCCAAGAGAAAGGTTTTTATCAGATTGATCAGAACCCAGAGATTAGATCTTTCTTCCCTCTCTTTCCCACCCATTCCCACTTTATTCCCGCCCTACAAATCAGACTGCGAGGATATTTTCCGCCTGCCTGCAGCCCGCCCAAACGAACAGGTATGTTTTTTTTTATCAGCCAGCCCAGGTATAGACAATATGATGAATGAAAGACACTAAAGAATGTGATATTCTGGGGATGTAGCTGGGACGAATATACCCACCAAATCGAACCCACCTTTTCTTCCTGTCAGAAGACAAGAATTAGCTGGCCCCAGTGCCCTTTAGCAACAGCGGTTTAATGCGCATGCAGACTCTGCGAAGATGGCGGGCGGCATAGCCTCGGGTCAAGGTACAAAATCCAACACTGACAACGCACAATTCCACCCTTGTTTCCGAGAATTATTTTCATGCTCGAAAATACCGCTTTGCTATCTATCTGGTCCGTCAGCGTCAGCATCTTTTGCCACAACGTATCTGTCTGACAGAGAGATATATTATCATGTCCACGTCATTTCCGTTGATGCATATACGGCAATAGATTGCATGCGCGTGACCATACAGAAAATATACAGGTACTAATACGGTAGCCTTGGGTAGTCCTCTCCCCATCTCCCTCCACAGGGGGCACTCCGACCCCGACTCAATCCTTAGCCCCTCGACCGACAACCATTGCAATTGCGCCCAAGGCCATGTCAGAAGAGTCGCAGCCTCAGTTCATACCAACTAGTACCAATGGAGTGACACAGAAGGATTGGGTCATCCCTCCCAGGCCGAAGGTACTTTAACTTCCCCGCACTTAAGTGAATACCTTTTCCGACTCGGTACTAACATATCTACGATTCCAGCCCGGCCGGAAGCCAGCAACTGACACCCCGCCCTCTGTATGCCCCTTCTCTATATCCCTTACATGTACCGATCCCGAGCTCTAATTCAACGTCTATAGAAACGCAAAGCCCAAAACCGAGCGGCCCAAAGAGCTTTCCGTGAGCGTCGCGCCGCCCGTCTCACAGAACTCGAAGAACAGATCAAAACCAAAGATGATGTTAAAGACTGCGTCCTTATGGAGCAAGTCTCCAAAATTACTGTCGAAAATAACGTTCTCCGGGCGACCGTCGCAGAACTTCGCCGTGATATAGAGGCTCTACAACGTCGTGATGCCGAACGGATCGGATTGTCGACTCCGACTCATACAAGCCATGGAAGTTTCAGCAGTACCTCCACGGCTCCAAGTTTCGCCCAAGCATTCGCCGGCTGTGCAGTCAGCCAAATTGCTAGTCCAGCACCTAGCCCACGATCCGAAGCCGTCCCATGCTTCGAGGAAGCATTCGGTCGAAAATGCTGTGGGGGTACCTCATGCCGCAACAACCTCGACACAGTCTCCACCCTCTCACCAGTACCATTATCCCGTCGGGAATCTCAACATCTCGAAATGGAAATCGATTTCACAAATATGTTTAGCAGCAGTCGACGGAACAATAACAACAACACAGTCAGTCTTAGAGATAGTAGCCATACAAGAGAGAGCACCACCACACCATCAGTAGCCACTTCTCCTGCCCCACTGTCTACCCTCTCCAACCACCCAGACGAATCATGCGGCTTCTGTTCCGAAGGTACGGCTTGCGTATGCGCGGAGATGAAATCAATGGAGCGGGAAACAGAACGCCTCCGACAACAGAACATCGCAAGAGAAGCCTTCATGCGACTAAGTAATAGCAGCAGAACGCTCCCAGATCCGACATCCTCTTCTGGAAAACCGGCAGGATGTACAGGGGAGCCTGGCAGCTGCGCCCAATGCCAAACTGATCCAATGAGTACTTTATTCTGCAGGACGTTGGCAACGAAGAAAAAATCATTTCCCTCAAGTAGGCAGGGTAGTTCCACACCGCGGTCGGACGATAAACCGAGCTTTGTATGCTGCGGTGGTACCGCTTGCGGGAAGAATCCCGGAACTTCATCCCCCCTCGCTAGAAGTAATGACGACCTAGATACAGAGATGAAGGATTCCCCTTCTGTAGGCGTCGTCGAGCCCCGGGGGACATACATTCCATGCAGTGATGCATATCTAAGTAAGCTTCTTTCAAAGAAAATCATCCCCCCCGTCCCTTTATTAAACTCTGATGATCAGGTCTTTCCCGCCACAAACGCTTTATGGATGCCGACCTCGGAACCGTCGTGAAGAAACTAAACACTAGCGGACTTGGAGTTGAAGTTTCTAGTGTTAAACAAGTATTAGAGTATCTCGAAGCACTCGAGTCATTCCAGAATAATGACTCGAGGAAAGGGAGCATAGATGGCGGCCCATGATTGTAAGCTACGGGGTAGAAAACGAATGACGATAGATAAAAAGAGGAGTATTGAGGGGTCTGTATACTTAACTGGATTTTGCTATTTTTCTGGAAAGGCTTCCTTTTTTTTTATGCCTTCCCTTATATACCAAAAAAATGGCGGTGAATTATGGCTTTTGTTTTCTTATTAACGGTAGCGGCACCTAAAAACATAACTTAATAGTGATGGAATATACAAGTCCATCCGGGAGATGGGATATTGTTTTGGATGTGTATATAATACTAAAATACGCAATAGCTTCTTCAATTACAAAATATATATCTAAAATAAAAGTACCTTGGAGTACATGTCATCGCTCCCGCCACAATGGTATAGTCGGCACGTGCTCGGAAGTATATGAAATATGATTACAACATCCTAAGTCGGGCATAAGATTCGTATATATATGCAGAAACATGTCCGAGAACCATACCCGCATTATTGTCGCAACATTGCAGGAAGATCAATTGCAAATGCATGGTTAAGGAAGGAGCAGGGGTAATAAGATGAGAGCAAAATGATTCAATCGTGCTGAAACAGGGTGTATCCAAACAAAATCAAGAACGCTGACTTAGGTATCGAGAATGCGCAATATAAAAATAAAATGTGTACAGATGAATCGAAGACCTCCCTTAGCATCAAGTATCAAAAAACCCAAACGCCACCCATCATGCATCAAAACATAGGCCTCGTCTAATCAAAGACCGTCATAATCATACGCTTAGGCATCAGGTCACACACAATGCCACTCTGCAAAAACACACCACCTAGCGCTTCTATCAGCTAGAATCAATCCCCTCCAAGGTCCGCGCTCCGAAACCTTGATCGACTGTTCAAAGATCTGACCGTGCTCGCTGCCCAAACTATCGGCTCTCCGCCCGATCTTCATTATCTTTCCGGTAGGCGTTTGAATCGCCAGTTTAGCCCCCTTAAAAGTCGTCATTTCTGAATGCGTCAGCACTGTGGATGAGTGCTGTCGGATGGCGAATACATAAGTATTCTCGAACGCCAACCGCAGGTTCTGCGGTTGAACGATATACAAATCGTGCCTTTGGGCATGAGGAGTCGGATGACGGGTCACGAAGTTGTACGTTGGATTAGATCCCGTATGGAAAATCGGTAAAGAGAAAGCCATTGGGTGAGGATTGTCCTTTATCGAATGCTAATAATGAAACATTAGTAAGCAAATACAATAGACCTTGCGATTTCCGAATTGGGATGAAAAACTTACCATCAGGCCCCTGGGTCCTGCGTAGACCTTGAGGATCCCATGCCCTTCATCTCCAGGTAGAACCGCTTTTACTCGATACGTCTTCTGAATATTGCCTAATGGGCCCTCCCAGGCAACCTGTGCCAAAGCCCCCTTTTTTACAATATCTCCGCTTTCAAAGACATCGCCATCTGCATCGATGGCGAATCCCTTCGCCTCCACTTCTGCTATACACTCCACGTCTATAGGAACCTGAAAGTCTATCTGGACAATTTCAAGATCTTCTACCCGAAGAAGTGAAGTATCGAAATTGATCAGTTGTATTCCGTTTCTGAAAAACCCAGCGCTCGCACAGGGTAAGGCCATTAGGACAGAATGCGGCATTGGTGGGACTAAGTGCTGATGTTGTGGCGTCAGCGGAATATGCGTGAAACACGCGTGTAGCGGCCTCATCAAAAAGTAGTGAGAATCGGCCATGTTGTTTGGTGCAGAGCTATACAGTCCTCTCTTTGGATGCGTCGGGCTAGCGAGAGAAGCATCAATTATCCTCCACTCGTTGTCAATAACGATTGCATTCCAAAAGTGGTTCGCACGTGGAACAGCATCAACAGTTTCTGCCGTTTCACCTGGAACCTTGAGGTATCCTCTGATGATTTCACAGCCAATTCCAACTGAGTGACACATCTGCATGAACATGATAGTCACTTCTTCTGTTGTCGCCTTGAGGCTTTGGATCACACGCCGGCAATCCTTGTTGTAGTCAATATTACCCGGAGAGTCATGCCCTAGGCCCGTTGGGCGTTCCCAAGCCAATTTCTCTGCGACCCACGTAAACATTGCTCTCAACCTTTGTACATCTGACCTATGGGGTCTACATATATGAGAGTTGGCTAATATCGCGGGTGTGGTGCCCGACGGGAGAGATCCGATGAAACGTGCCGCTTTATCAACTTGTGTCATATTGACACCTGTAAAATCAGCAGGAAGTTCCACAATGCCACCGTCCAACGCTTCATCTCCTTCACACTCCTCTTCCATAAACTCAATTGGCCTCAGGGTAAACTGATCCATCATCTCTTGTTTTTCTTGTCTCTCTAATCTCTCATTGTGAGATATGGTGTTCGAACGGGCTACGTCCCTACGCACCTGAACCCAATCCTGTGATTGAGATGCTATAGAGATATTTCCACCGGCGATACCAGTCATCCCGAGAGTTCCGTATCCAGAGTCAGACTCAGGCGTTGGTGAAGCTGCCATCGATCTAGCAGTAGCAGTCGACGCCTTGGCTGTTGCTAGAATCTTCTTGAAGAATCCCCCTTTCTTTTTCATCGGGTTTGCATTTAGTGTGGATAGCCCACCAAGCCCCCCATTTCCAGAGTTTATATTATTCCCCCATGTCTGCGCCCTTGGTACGGATTGAGGGTTCACATTCGCGGAATGAAAAACTATACCGCTATTCGTTACCATTTGCGACTCCATCGGCGATAATGCTGAAAATGGACCTGGTTGTTGCGGTGCAAGCTGATGGGAAAGCGGATGTGGTCCATTTTCTGGTATCCCCATCGCTGCACGCTGTTTATGTCTGATAAAGCTTCCTGCACTTGTCGCACTAAATCCTCCAGCGCTCATCCCACTCATGATGCTAGCGCTAGTAGCGGCCGTAGAGTTACTTGTCGTGGAGAACACCGCGGACGAGCTATTTGACTGCAGGGTACTTTGTCGAGACAGATTCGGTTGCCTATCAAAATCCCAGACGGATCTTCGCTTTGGATTTGCGTTCATGTTCACGTCTGATTTTTGTGATGACCCGGGTCGTGCAGTCATCATCACAGAGTTGGGCCGTCCCATATTTTGCTGTTGTTTGAGCTGCCTAATCTGATCGAAAGTCTCATCAGTTGAGCTGTAGTACGATGAAGAACCTTGATCTATAAGGCTGGCCTCCATTCGCTCTACAAAGTTTGATATGCCGTGATTACGCTGCGGGTTGGCGCTGATTTCGATGCCATCAAAGCTTCCAAATCCTCTACGTGTATCACCCCGGAATCCCTGCGAAGTATGAGATCTGATTGCAGTGGCTGAAGATCCGCTTAGATTGTCATAGTCATCCGGGCTAAACGGGATTGGGGACTTCTTCCCACTGTCAACTACACTCATTTCCTCTAAGCTCGACATAACATCGTCCATGGCGCTTCGCAGCGGACTCGGTGTGTGTGCCAGCCTATTAGGCGAAGGTTGAGGGGTTGGACCTCTAGACGGAATCGGAGATCTAGCTCCATTCATCTGCTGGAAAGAGGGGGCTGGTGAGGCAGCCCTCTGGTAATAAGTGCTAGAGTGAGCAGGTGGAGGTGGTGGGGGGGTCTCTTGGTTGTAACCAGAAGGTGTGACAGGCCTTCCTGGTGACGGTGACACGGCCCCAAATTGGGCCGGAGACTTTGCTCTCTGTGGCATATGGAACGGAGAAGGGGACGGGCCTTGACCCGTGGGGTTTTGGTAAGGATTCGGAGTCCCAGATCGGGATATGGGAGGATTGGGAGACACGGGTCTATGTTGGTTCATTTGAGTATTCGGAGTTGCGGGACGGGCGGCTTGTTGATATCCGTGGTTTTGTTGGTATGGGTTTGGAGAAAGTGCACGGCTACCGGATAGCGGCCTAGGAGAGACGGCCCTGAATTGATTATTATGACTCCTTGGTGACACCGCTCCATGTTGTTGGTATGGATTTGGAGACACCCCACGATTCTGCGCATACGGGTTCGGAGAGACTACCTGGTTTCGAGCATACGGATTCGGGGAAGCGGCACGATTCTGGGCATATGGGTTCGGTGAGGCTGCTCTATTCTGATGTTGCTGGTAGGGATTCGGAGATGCACCTCGATTTTGTTGGTAAGGATTCGGAGATGCACCTCGATTTTGCTGATACGGATTCGGAGATGCGCCTCGATTCTGTTGATATGGGTTGGGAGATGCGCCTCGATTCTGTTGATATGGATTGGGAGAGGCTCCTATTTGTTGTTGATAGGGATTTGGAGAAGCTCCTCTTTGCTGTTGATAGGGATTTGGAGAAGCTCCCCTCTGTTGCTGCTGCTGCTGATATGGGTTGGGAGAAGCACCTCTATTCCCATACGCATCGGCATTGCTATGATAGGAAGCCTGTGAACTTGGTCTCTGGTTTGAATAATCATATTGCGGCTGCTGCTTGACAGGCGATGCGACAGGTGTAACAGGACGATTATCTGTGACAAGCTCAACGAAATTACTCGGGAAGAGACCAATTTGGCGGCGGTCCCTCTTCAGTCTTCCCATCCACCATGCACCGTCACCAGCATTGAGGCATTCGATGAGATCGCCCTCGACGAAACCTAGATCCCGTTTTGTCTGCATACATATAGGAAACGATTAGCGATGCATGATTAGTGATGTAAGCAGGGCATGGGTGCAAAGTTCCGTCATACCTCTCCACCCCATGAATAGACAGCTCTGACCCAGCACGGAAACTGTGTCGGCAGCGTTTGAGGCTGAACCCCGGGCATTATATCGTCGATTGGGTTTCCTGCAGCAGCGATATCGGAAGCATAAACCTAAAATTAATCAAGATGATGCTGATGTAATCAACTTGATCGTAACGAAACGGACAAAGGTAAAGATCGAGAAGGTCGAACGCAAGGATAAGCCTATCCAGGAAATAACTCTCTTTCGGAATGGATGGAAAAGGTCAATTGATGCCTCTTATCGAAGGATATATTGATTATGATGATTCGTAACCGATTCTGCCTCGTGGTCGTCGTTGTCGCATTAACGAAGCATCAATGTAATCAGCGTCTGTGTCGGCGCAAGGTACGGTATGGTCTGTCCGCGGAGGCACTGTGTAAGGGAGGGAGGCAGTCCAAAGAGGGACCCAGCCGGGATGACGATAAAAGATAGATAGATATAGACAAGATGAGATGAGGCCGGTGTTGATAATGAAGTCAACAAGACGTCGCTATACTCGAATCGGGGCTGGTAACCAACGTGTGAAGCTGAGTGACAGACCCCACGACCCACAACAAACCGCGGTGTTGCGGGTCTCCACAGCAACCTCGGCCCCTGCCAAATCGGGCCAACGCCGCACTGGCTGCCGCATGCGGCTGGTCACACAAGCAAAATCAACCTCCAGGATCTCTCATCCTTGCATTGACCCGTTTCTCACATCAATGCATCGTCGTCCAGTAACAGTAACTAGGAGGTATCAGATCCCATTGCATGCTAAAAAAATTCATTTCCGATCCCGTCGGCTCATCTGTCCTGTCTCTGTATCATCTCGGCTTCGGGTTCTCTGCCAAAACGGAACGAGCGGGTCAGCCTAAGCCTAAGCCATGCTTCTGTGCATCTCAAACCCGACAGCATTTCTACACGGGTTATTTTTGGTCGCGTGTGGTTTGGGTTTGCTGTCGACTGGGTGACATCGCATTCCAGAGAAGTTTCCCGAGCTAAATCCTTTAGCTTCTCCCGAGCGAAGCCGCAACCACTAAGCATCCGCCGTTTCCTCTCATTGTTCTGAGTAATTATATCCTCTGGTCTAGCTGATACCCATTTCCTGCATGAGATCAACTTGTGTCATAGCCCAGGCTCATCTGAGCTGGGGCGATTATTCATGAATTCTAAGATAAGCATCGATCGAAGCCAAGCCAAGCAGTCCTTAGTCAAGATGAATTCATATGAATAAATTTCAACATTCCGGAGCACAAGCTACCAGGGTGCCTTGTACAGCCTAGAAACCTTCTCGAAACGAGCTCGAGCTTATGCAATTTGTCCCTTTCTATAATCTTCTTCTGCTGCCGGTTTACCGTCTTACTCAGGCCTGCAGCTGCTGAAGCTCTAGGTCCCCAGTAACTCTTCGATGCGGCATATAGTTGGGCTCTGATATAGCAAGATCGCTGGCATCCACAAAAATTGGCACGCGATACCCAGCTCATGCTTTTTCTTTGACGCAAAATTTAATGCGAAATGAGTGGCATTACAGCTGTCATGAGCGGTCAGGCTACAGCCGTCAGAAAACTTTCCCATTCAGTAATTTCTCCGATCTTGTCAACCCGCGCCCGTCTGTACCATGGCTTTCCTCCCGCCCGTCGTAATCTCGCCTGGTTTGTACACCGATACCACCCCAACCGCTATCATACTCCAAAAATTAGATAAAGCCAGGTGTTTGGGACGATCGCTTAGGCGGAGTAATCATAAACGGTTTTAGGGCTGCGTTCCGATGATTAGAGTGGCAACAAAAGCCCCGATTGTCCCTAAAATATAGCTTGTCCGAGTGGGTCTTTATACTATTAAAAAATTTTAAAACCGATGTTCTGTGTCAAAAGGGACAACCCGCCCAAAAAAAAAAGGGATCCCAAATGTGGGGATTTCTCGAATTGAATAAGCACAGATGGTAGTCTGGATGATGACCATGTGCACGCATGAAGTAGTATGCAAAAAAAATTGGAGTAGCACAGGAAGGGTAAAAACGTGTGCATGGTCTGGCCTGTTCCTGACTCTCGGTGACGTTCCTGACGCTTGATTGGGTGCCAAGTACCAACTAACCTGTCGAACACCCATACTAAGACGAAAACGAGGAATGCGATGCGATGGATGATTAATGTGATGGCAGTGTTTTACCAGCGTATCGTCTACGAGGGACAAGTTGACTAAACATGGATTAGCCTTGTCTGACACAAGCTTTTCGAAACGTACGACCGAATATGGTATCTCTCTGGACAGATGCAAGCGATCCCATGGATCACACCGTTGGACAGGAGCAGTTCTTTCAGTTGGGTCCATCTGAAACCATACTGTCTCTTCGATGCTGGTTTACGTAGGCTGCATGCACATTTGTATGCATGATATCGAGAGACCCGTCGGCCAATTGGAGGAACCTAGCTATTTAGTAAGTTGTGGACCGATAAGCACAATGGCGGAGCTAAGCAGACAATGCAAGGAAGCCGAATCAAATCGAAGCTTGCGACGATAAGGCCGGTCACCGGATCACAGATACTGTGTATGGCCGTGACCAGTGCGGTGTGGACCAGGCCATCCATGGTCAGTAGCAATTTTATTCTCCCGGACATGGAGCCATTGATATCATAGGCCCACAAATTTCTTTTCTTCCCGAACGATCGAAAAAGTAAAGCTCCGACTTCTTTTTTTCCAGAAGTTCCAGCTTCACGTTAGCTTTCCCTCTTTCTTTTTTTTTCTCCTTCTTTCTTTGCTTCTGTACTGGCCCGGGGGGCGGCGCGAAATGAGCGGAAGGAACAGTACCGTACTGCCCTGAGTCAAAAGTCCAAAGTTAAATCCCCTGGTGGTGGTTGTGGTTGTGGTGGTGCTTGCCTTGCCTTTGCCAGACTCCGATCACCCACGGCCGCAATATAAAGCTCCTAGCTTTTCGCTCCCTTTTTCCCTCCCATCGATCCCATATCCTCACTACCCACCCACCACTAGACCAATATATAATACATCCAGCTTCACAGCCATAAGTGCGACTTTTGTATAACTATCACCACCTCTCCATATAAACTCCAAAGTAGAGATATAAAATTTACAAACTCATTCCAACATAAAGTTACAACACAATTGAAACGACAACTATGACTAACATGGAAGAAGAAACCTTTACCTGCTTTTTCTACGGTAAATATTAGAACTCTCCTTCATATGCATGAAATTTTGGAATATTTGTATTAATAGATCGTAGGAACACTCATGGCCTTCCCAATCCTTAGCCGGGTTATCTATGGTACTCAGCACCCGGATCCATGGCAGCGGGACCGCTTGCGTATCCGTCCAGCAATTTTGCACGACCATTGTCGCCACCGCGTCAAGAATGTAGATTACCCCGGTGTAGTTGCCCAAACTGGCAGTTCCGTCCGTGGTACAGTCGTTGAGGGTCTTTCCAAAATGGATATTGATCGCCTGGACGCATTTGAGGGTCATGAGTATGAGAGAAGACAGGTCAAAGTTTCACTTTTGGCCGATGAGAGAGCCTTAGATATCAGTCACTCCGGAAGGGAGACTGGTGAGACTTTTATGGCAGGAACTTACATTTGGACGGAAGGCACTCAATACCTTGAGGATGCTGAATGGGATTTTGACCATTTTGTCAAGCAGAAGTTGAGAAACTGGGTTGGGGATGCAAAGAATTTTGAGTTTCAAGGTTAGTTTCCTTATTATCACATAGTCCGTTCTGCCATGGGGGGGCATAAGCAAGAACAGACAATCTTGTTGTTTTGTCTCGATTGATATTTTGCGACTTCCTTTTGTCATTTTTGAAGTTATGAAGTCCCTTTTTTATGCTTTACTGCCTTGTTACGCGATCTTGTATTTGCGAGCAACAGTGTTATAAAAATGCATGCATCTTCAAGAATTCCAAGAGGGGCAAAAACTTTCGAGAGAAACTTTTGCTTCCCTAGATCTCGGCCCTCAACAATAGAGAATTACGGCTCACTTCTCAGGTTTCTTACAGAGTTTGGTACGGCCGACCCAATGGGTGGTCGTTGGTGGGCACGACCAGATGAGGTAGATGCAGCCGCTGGATCCACTGCCGCTACCACGGGGTCAGATCCACCAAAAAATCTCGAAGAGTGAGGCTATTTATGCTGTCCATATGAAGGTTACGTTATGGCCCGCCGAAGGACGCATATCTGCCGCATCACCCGACGAATTCCTACTGGATCCCGGACCCCGAATGTTATCAATCCGCAAATTTTTTCTTCGTTCATGACAAGATATCCTCCGTTTTACGGGCCATTATGATCAGGTGTTCTTCGGGCTCTCATTTTCTTTCCGGTATGGCATTTTCACAACAAGGATAGATTTGGCAATCGCATAGTTCTTAGGTAGTTTCGGGTTTTCTTTGGTTTTTTTTCTTTCTTCCTCGGATTCGTTATCCTTATTCCCTTCGCTGCATATTCTGGTGGAATATATTTCCATAGTCGCGGCCCCGGTTTAGTATAGACATCACTGTTTTCCAATCTTGTTTCAGATGCATTTCGTCCTGCTTTTTCCGTAGCCTGTTGCTCTTCAATACCAAATAGACCACTATATATCTTTCTAGCTAGTTCAGTCCCCTTGCATGCGTCTCGATCCCCGGCTTTGATTTTCCATTTTCAGTTGTTTTTTTGTATTCTAGAAGCATTGAATTTATAAATTTAACTGCATGCGACGTAGCCCAGTATGTTTGAGTGCCTCAATCGCTTCTCTATACTCCATTGGGTGCCCGCCTGTTCGACTATATCAAGCCAATTGCTGCTGTCGCGCGAATCCAAACGGGCACTATAAATTTACCGTGCCATGATAACCTAACATGCATCCGTCAAGCTAATATTATAATTCACTAAAGATCGGACGAAATTTATGCTGGGTTCCGCCGTAATTCAATCTTGATTAATTGGATACTATACTTAACTAGAGCCAACCTAGGTTTCAATTTCTGGTCAAGTGACATTGGACTTGACAGAAGTAGCACGCGGAACAAACCGAAGTTGCCGGACCGCCAATGATACTTACTTCCTTACTTAGCTACGACGGTTTTAAACTACATCGTACCATCCTTACAATGCCACAACGTCATAACAACCAGGTTGTTCTTCGTATTATATTAGCCTAGCTAGTCGGACTCTTCCGAGCGCGAGCTCAGGGTGACAAGTGACCATATCATATCATATCATATCATCATATCATACCGTCTGAAAAAACCTCCTGTCCATTCAATGAACTCCAACGAATGAAAGCGCAAACAGGCTGAATCTCGAGACCACTGCATAACTCCCTCGGCCTTCCTATTTCTATATCTTTTAGCAAATAAGTTGCTAAGCTTGGTGTTTGGGGGCTGAAAAGAGAGCTCGACTTCGAAGCCTGAACTGACATGTTTCTCGGGTATTTCTGCTTCGCGGTGTGGACCTATCGGGGCTTCACCCAGCCGACTAGCCTACCCAGCTAGCGCCAGCTCGCAGCTGCCTTACAAGGTGCTTAACACTTAACATAGACTCGGGGGGCCGGCGCCCACGACATGAGTCGGACTTATGCTCACCGGCGGCATCGGGATTTGGTAAGATCGCGGTCAGCGAAGTGACATTGCTTCTGAAAATTTAAAAGATAAAATCAAATATATTAGACATTTAAATTGGTCGAAAGTCTTCGAATAGGACAGTGTTAACGTTTAAATAAGTGAGTATTATAGGTACCTATATTTACTTAAGTATGAACAACATTGATTTTAAATACCAATTGTGTATTAATTTATATTATATGCGGCCTCAAATGGTTTTTTTATTTACTTATAAAATTTGACTGGTATGTATATAGATAAAAATCTATACGTGATACCCTGCCCTGGAAGCATTCTAGAATTCTATAAAATCGGACGCCGGAACTATAGGATCGGGTTTGGGATAGGTCCGGTTGCCGCTTGTCTCGTACCTCGTACCTCCATACGGTTACAGGACGGATATCTTGCATGATATCGATATCTCTTGTTTACCCTGCGAACACACCTATGTACGGTTAAATCTTGCAGGCCGGCTCGTAACTGGCAGATATATCATGTTGAATAGTAATAGTAATTACCAGTACCACGATGTAGAAGAAAAAGCGAACGGTGCCCCAACCGGCCATAGTATACTTACTTGCCATGCATGGCGCAGCTGTTGTGGTTTTGGTGTTGCTTAAGGCCACCCTGACTGGACCTGCCCTGCACCACTCTGCCCATTCAACCCACCCACCCACCGTCAATTGCAAGCCAAAGCATCATGACCGCGCGCTCCAAACCCACACTTCTTCTCGCCACCTCCACATCCGACTCCGACCCTGAGGATGACTTCTCATCCCTTCCGTTCCCACAGCCTCTTCCCCGATCTGCCTTCATAACCACTGATTTCTCTGCATCAAGCTACCTTGCAAGCTTACACCGGCACCAAACACTCGAAGACCTTCGCGCTGAGCTACGAACAAGGTCGAAAGATCTGGAACGGGAGCTTGTAGAGCTTGTAAATCGCGATTATGCCGACTTTGTAGGTTTGGGAAGTAGCCTGAGGGGTGGTGAGGGTAAAGTTAACGACCTGAAGCTTGGAGTAATGGGCTTTGCAAGGGAGATTGAGGGCGTTAAAGAGAAGGTTGTGAAGGTTTCAAATGAGATGGAGAAAGATATGGTGGTTAAGAAAGAGATCGCGAGAAAAAAGGTCGGGTTCCTACTTCTAATAATCCGACTAAATTGAATACTTGGCGCCGAATACTGTAGCTAACATCGCCACAGGCTCTTGCTCGAAATCTATTAACCTTTGACTCCCGTCTCTCACAACTCGAATCTCTTCTACTATTAAAAGGCCAGCATGAAGCCGATGATCATATTCTAACCTTAGATCTTGATGAAACCTCAAACTCCTCACTTACTTCCTTACCACGGCTGCAGAAGCTAGTCACGTCATATTTGTACCTCAAACATGTGCTCTCGAAGGTCCCCCCCACTCATCCGTTTGTAAAGGCGCAAGGGAAAAGACTGAGACAAGCGAAGCAGACGCTCTCAGATGATCTCTCGAGAGCATTGAAGGAATGCAGAGCGGAACTGAAAGGCGAAGAGCAAGGCGAAGATGAGAGGAAGGAGCTCGAGGGTCGATTAGTAGAGATACTAAAGCTCTGGAGCGAAGTAGGAGAGGCAAGGGACGCTGTCAAGTCATTAAAGGGGAGAAAGTGAACATCCTTTATGCTTTATGAACCTTCAGCTGATATTTGATGGAAGCGGATCCATTTTTCTGTAATATGTACAATCTCTGATACCCAAGATAATATAGACACTATATAGCATGTAATGATACAAAACGGCATCTCTACAAAGTTGCTGCCGCTGGCGCCTCTTCTGCAGCCGCTGCCCCTTCAACTACCTCTGGCGTGATTTCAAGGTCCTCTTCCCGTCCAATATTCCTGAACTCACCGCTTAAGCTGAATGCAGGACTGTGTGTACTACTCAAAACAACTTCGTTGATCCTCTTGTCGAAGTCTTCAATCCTGGCCAAATCCTTGGCCAATTGATCCATAAACACCTTGATATTATCTCTCAATTCGTCAGGTGAAAACCCTAGCTGCCCGATCGCAATTCTAACGACACCCTGACGTTCACGGTAATCAGACGCACCAATCATGGCGGAAATGATGGCCGCTGGGTTGGTGACTACTGTACCAGTACGAGGTGAAGGCATCATACCTCTGGGACCCAAGACACGGCCCAAGCCGGTTTTTTGAAATTCCTGGAAGACATCACTGGCGCAGATAACACGATCGAAGTTGATTACTCCTTCCTTGATCTAATTCGTTGTTGGATCATAATCAGCACATGGTAGATAAATTAGAACCAGTAAATCCTACCTGCTCCCAGACATCCTTTGTTCCTACGACCACTGCACCCGCCTCTCTGGCAGCGTCGGCCTTCTTTCCGTCTGCAAAGACACAGATCCTGATATCCGTATTTACTGCCTTTGGCAGCTGTATTCTACTCTTGACTGCGGGTCCGTTTTTCTGAGTATATATCTTCACTGCAAGATCATATTTCGCCTGTCGCACGTCATTTCCGACTTCAAAGGCGCGAATATAACGCATGACATCGGTGAGCGCGTATTTTGGAAGCTCGGCATGGTTCCAGATTTTGAAATGGGTTTTCGGCTTCTTCTTCTTGACCTGCTTAAGTTTCGAAGACTTGAGTTTGGCGCGGTTGACGGCGCCACCACCGGCTGGGAGGGAAGATGTCGTCGAAAAAGCAGAAGTAGCTATCAATGATGGAACGGTCGATATTGCAGGGAGCAACCGGTGGATATCAGAGGTCGGTCGAAGGAGACGTGGGGCCCCGCCGACGAGTGTAGAGGGCCTTGTGAGGCAAGCGCGGCATATCGATATTGAGGATGCCATTGTGAAGGAATTGCGGCCAATTGACCGCCTGCAGACTGATGTTCGCTCTATTCACTAGTTGGTGTATTTGACAGACTATAAGTTGTGCATTTTCGGGATGATGGTGGCCGGTGGGTCGTATGTGGTTTTACGCAATGAGGATGTTGTGGCTGTGTTGATTTTGAGGTTGAGATTTTTCTTAAATTCGGCTGGTAGCACCGTTGAGCCTCATATGTGGCTAGTGCGCAACATCCTCATAGAATCCACACGAATATTTCTAACTTCAGAGCTTGAGTCTGATCCTAACCTAGCTGTTTAGATAAATATATGATCCTGCCGTCTATATGGGCTTAAAATCTGGTCTTTTGATAAGAAGCCGGCTGTGCTCCCCAATGAATATCATACTAACTCAAGAGTGACTGTTGCTCGATGTTGGGTTTTCTGCGTTGCCTGGTTCAGCGATGATCCCAAAGTAGCAATAATATTTCGACAAACGCAACCGCAACACAACCCGCCACGGTTGCTGCACAGTATCCAGTCTGCGACAGCTTGCCACTACTGAGCCACTACAACTTCATCTTGATCACTCGTTACCGGCTCATAGCTCAGCTCTTTTATTCATACGACCGCCAACCCACCTCCTCGATTCCATATCCTTCTGCTGCTTAGCCCATATACTGAAGACGAAACTCTCCCGCCATGGTTCTCGCCGATTTAGGGCGGCGGATCAATTCCGCCGTTCAGGACCTCACACGCTCAAATCTAGTCGATGAGAAGGTTAGGACTCTGTCGAATTTATTACATCATGCCTTCCAAGCCAATCCTAACTTTAATCTTCACCGTGTTACTTAGGCTTTCGATAGCATGATCAAAGAGATTGGCAACGCCCTCGTCGAAGCTGATGTCAACGTGAAACTCGTCGCCAACCTACGTAAATCCATCCGACAAACCGTAAACTTCAAAGATCTCGGCCAGGGCGTCAACAAGAAGAGGATAATCCAAAAAGCGGTCTTCGATGAATTATGTAGACTGGTGGACTCGCATTCGGAACCTTACAAGCCGAAGAAAGGAAAGACGAATGTTATCATGTTTGTGGGGTTACAAGGTTCCGGAAAGACGACGACATGTACAAAACTGGCAAGATGGTATAATGCACGAGGGTTTAAGGCTTGCTTAGTGTGTGCCGATACGTTCAGAGCCGGTGCCTTTGATCAGCTGAAACAGAATGCAACCAAGGCCAAAGTACCATATTACGGATCGTACACAGAGACAGATCCTGTAAAAGTGGCGAAGGCTGGTGTGGACAAGTTCAAGAAAGAGCGATTCGAGATTATCATAGTAGATACTTCTGGAAGACATCGCCAAGAAACAGAACTGTTCGCGGAAATGGTGCAGATACAAGAGGCTGTGAGACCGGATCAAACTATCATGGTGCTGGACGCGAGTATTGGACAGCAGGCAGAGGCACAGAGTAAGGCGTTCAAAGAGAGTGCAGATTTCGGAGCCATCGTTATTACAAAAACGGATGGTAACGCCGCAGGTGGTGGTGCTATATCTGCGTGAGTACTTGCAGATGCTGCCAAAATAATATCACCAATGCTAATCGTAGTACAGCGTCGCTGCAACAAAAACACCGATTGTATTCATTGGTACCGGTGAGCATATACTAGACATGGAAAAGTTCGAGCCCCAGAGGTATATCTCGAAATTGCTAGGCATGGGTGATATGCAAGGCTTGGTAGAACATGTTCAGTCGTTAAAATTGGATCAAAAAGATACAATGAAGCATATTGCTGAGGGTCTATTCAGTATGCCTTCCATTTCCCCTTTCTTCAAATATCGCACTATACTAATCAACTTGAAACAGCCGTACGTGATCTCCGAGATCAATTAAACAATATCATGAAAATGGGCCCGCTCTCAAAAATGGCAGGCATGATCCCCGGTTTATCAAACCTGATGGGCGATGTTGGAGACGAGGAAGGAAGCATGAAATTGAAGCGGATGATGTACATCATGGACAGCATGACAACAAAAGAGCTGGATTCGGACGGGAAGGTGTTTGTGCAGCAACCTGAACGCATGACGAGAATCGCGCGTGGATCTGGTACATCGGTCAGAGAAGTAGAGGATGTTTTAACACAGCACAAGATGATGGCACAGATGGCAAAGAAGATGAAGGGGGGCATGAAGGCAATGCAACAAGGAGGCATGGGAAGAGGAGCACCGAATCCTCAGCAACTCGCTGCGATGCAAAAGAGGATGCAAGCTATGGGAGCCGGTGGGGCGGGGCCGGGGGGTATGGATATGGCATCTATGATGCGGGCACTAGGTGGTGGTGCCGGAGGTGCCGGAGGCATGGATATGAACAAGATGATGTCACAAATGGCATCGATGTTCGGAGGCGGTGGGCCTCGACGTTAGTTTACTTCTATGTAGCGGCATAATTGATACCACAGTACCATAATAGAGCCAATGTGCTCTACAGGCTAGCATTTATCTCTACAGATTTAGGTACCCCATGGAGTTTCAAGACTCGATATTCGCAACCACGCCATCTGCAGTCTCCCCTTTCTCCACCACCCCTGCCTCTTTTAGTATTTCAATCACATTCTCCACCATTCCTAAATCTACCTTTCTCACATCGTCTACAAACTTCACACCCTTCCTCCACTCCCTCGCATCTTCGTCGCTGTACTCCAAATTACTTGTAATCCACTTGGTACTTTCCTCCACATTCTCCCTGAAATGCGCAATCCCTCTATTCACTCCATCCAAAAACGCGCTTAACCTAGCATCGTTGACTTGTAGCAGAGAGTCGTGTGCGGTAATTAACCAAGACGGCCAAGGTGTATAAATCTCTCCAATCCGCTTGATCTCTTCAGAATCATAAAACTTCTTTGATGTAAAATGTTCCCACATGAAGACATCAGCCGTCCCATCGTTAACCGCATCCCTCAAATTCTTAAAATTATCCAAAACCACAAAGTCAAACGGTTCCTTTTGTCCGGTAGGCGGGATCCAGCCTTTTTGTCTAGCAAGAACAAAGCTCATTATGTAACTCCCGCTGCCAATTCGACTGACACCGACTTTTCCACCGTCCTTTAGACCTTCTACTGTTGTATCCCGGGATGCGCCGGCGGATATCGCCCAACAGAGTGGTGAATCGACATATTGTCCGATAACTTTGTACCAATCTGCTTTCATTGATCCCTTAATCCCTGCGATCCAACCTTCCGTTAGACCGATCGCTACGTCGATGTCGTGAGATCTGAGGGATTGGATCATATGGCCGGTCCCCGATGGGAACGGGTGGAAAGTCACATTGAGATCTTGATAATATGAATGGATTTGTGCAAGGTGAAGCGGTGTTGAGAAGTGCTCTGTAGCAAAATAAAAGTTAATGTCATTGATGCGCTGAAAATGGAAATGATTGGTTTAATTTACCAGGGACGTAGCCCACGCGAAGAGGTTCTGATGATGATACCATGTTGAATTGAAAATGGGAAAGTTTTAATATTTCTATGCGACTAGTTATAGGTAAATTTCGGAATAGGAACTACAAGTAGGATCGAAACTATCTCGCAGCGCAAAGGTGGGATATTGGTTGGTTTTAAGATGGAGGGGCATTTCTTAGCGCTTTTTAGCTCGGATAATAGCTGCCGAAAACAGAATCGCCCAGAAAGAAAACATATCGCTAATATGTGAACCATGCATGCATAAGTATATACAGTGAGATTTCAATTTACAAACTACCACCCCCCGCCTCTGTTGTTCCACCCTCCACGACCTTGATAGCCTCCGCGGCCATACTGCTGGTTACCATATCCATGATTCCCGCCTGGTGGGGGCGGGGGCGGGGGTTGATTGTTATACATGTTCCCCTGTCCCTGGTTGCCCCATTGGTTAAAGTTATTTTGCGTTCCCGGGGCCGGCATCTTGTTGAGCTGCATATTCATACCCCAGGGTTGCGGGGCCATAGGTTGAGGCATAGCCGACTGAAAGAACTGTGCCATCTCTGGTGGCATAGGCATTGCGACCGGGAATTGTTGATTGAAAGGGAACTGTGGCGGGACATTCATCGCTTGCTCAAAATGTGGCTGTTGTATTGGCTGTGGGGGGTGTGGGGGATGTGGGGGTGGAGGCGGGGGAGGCAGTTGATGTTTTTCTTTCGTAGGAACCGTGTTTTCAAGCTTGGGCGAATAAGGTAGGGAAGAACCAGAAGAGTTTAGTCTTCGCCTTGTGTGAGATCGGGAGCGGCTTCGGGAGCGGGTGTACGAGCGTGAGTAACTTCTTCTCCGTCTTCTTGACGACCGGTAGCGAGATCTCGACCTCGACCTTGATCTCGAGCGGGTTTGATACCTGCTACGGCTTCCGCTTTCGCTTCTGCTGTGCCCATCCCTGCTCCTACTCCTGCTTCGGCTGTCGTTTCTGCTCCTAGACCTGCTTCTGGTCCGGCTCAAACTTCTGCTATAGCTTCTATCCCTCCCACGTTCCCTCGAGCCATCTTTCTGTTTCCCAAGCTCCCCCTTCTGTCTCTTCGTCATCTGAATTGCAAAACCCCGTGACCAGCCGTAATATCCTTCCTCCTTATTTCTCGCATCCATAGGGTCGTCCAAGAAATCTTCGTCTTGTGTATCCGACGGCTTGATGATATCCATCCCCAATTCATCAACGTCTGAGAGCACTCTCATATCTCCACCGTACCACATTTTATCGACGCTCTTGATAAATACATCCATTGCTTCTGATAGCTGTTTCGACGGAGGTCCAGATTTCATCGCGATCGGCTTTACTGAGCGGGTGCTGATCGGTGTTGGCGAGTTCGGGCGCATCAACGGTAGCATAGTAGTCGCTGGAAGATCATGGTACGGGGCTGTCGGGTCTCCGTGTAATGCCGGCAGCAAAACCTGTTGTTCCTTTGACTTGACATCCTTGCTATCTGAAATTGCTTCTTGAGGTTCTGTCGATTCTAGGAATGACTTGCCGATTTCATCTTTCCAGCTCGATATCTTATCCTCGGGGAAATAACCTTTCGTTGACCATATTGACAAGAGATTCTCCAACCGCGCTCGCTGCTTTTTTCTGGTCGGGTCCTGAGCAAGTCCGAAGAGATCCTTCAGGAACTGTTCGACGCCCTTTCCGAACGGCACCGAGGGACTTGAGTAGAATGTTGTATGGTGAATAGTATCATTTAGCAGGTACAGGATGTATAGCCGCCGTCTTCGACTGCTAGGTGTCATTCCATCGGCGGACTGTGACTTCAACGAGGACGATAGGGCGACCAGATATTTTCCAAATGCCGTGACTCTATGGCTCGACTGAACCAAGTGTTCTAGAAGCCAGTGCTTGCAGGTCTATTCATATATGTATCCAAAAAAAGATCCATCAATATAAGTAAACAGCTTTTCCAATTTATAGATAGAATCTGTAATTTTGAATGGGTCCCATATTGGAGCCGTCCAGGAAGCAGAAGGAGGAGGGGTTTTGACGGCCATTCGGGAGTAGGATAGAAAGATTGCATCCACGAAAGACTGAGTTCACGTTTGAAACGGTACCTTGATATTCTCGGGCGTGCAAATGGTGAGGCATTTGTCAAGGAGGCTGTGGAGACGCGCGATCTCATCGCCAGGAATGGGAGTAGGGTCTGCGCGTAGAAGAGAGGCGGACAAAGCCGCCTTCGCGATCGCAGTGCCATGACTAGCTGCCATGTCGGAAGTTTGGGCGATGTGCCTGATCGATGGGATTATCGTCGCTGATATTGGGTAGTTTGATGGAGTCGTGCAGATGAGAGAGGTTCGAAGATGAGCGGTTGGTTGCTTGGATAGATCTGGGGAATTAGGAAAGTCGGGCCTTTGTTGGTGGGCAAAAATTGCAACAAAAGCAACACAAATATAGCAACAATCCATCTGCGTGTGATCATGATTATGATTGATGATCTGCTGTAGGATCACACAGTTTTCAGCAGTTCCTTTCTAATGCATTATACTTTATATATATACATCAAAGCGATGAACTATATAATCAGCGGATACATATTCTTTTCATTCTTCTTTAAGCTTCAAGTTAGCTACCTAATAATTATAAGCTCGAAGTAATGGTTACTAAAAATACACCCCCACCCCCGCGCGAGCGACCTCGAGGTCTTGTACAAACTCCAGATACTGTACCTAGTACCGCTAGAAGCGGAAGCGGAAGCACGAAAGGATCAAATCGACTCAAGAATTATGCCTCGACACCCTCTCTCAGCGTACATGAAGATAAGGGAACGAAGCCTCTTAGTTCTCCTCCTAGAAGCCATAAGACCACCAACGCTAGGCAGGGTAGTGGGGCCAAAGAATCAATCATCTATAGACCCCCATCCTCTCTAGCAGCCCATAGATCCAGGTCACAGAGCCCTACAGCGTCTCGTGTCCGGGCTCCAAACACACAGTACGTACAGTGCCTTTTATATCGCCATTCATGTGACAGACGCGTTTACTTACTTCTTCTTTTTTTGGAACTAGACAGCAGAGAGCTGCAGCAGCCACGGCCGATAGGCAGGCTAGGCAAACAACTTTGTTCCTTAATATCACCACCGCTCCACCCCCAGCAAGGTCTCCACTCGGGACTATAAATACTAGTAATCTATCGCAAATAAAGAATACATACTGGGAGGTTGACGAAAGTCGGCAAGAGCCAACGAGGCTAGGGCAGCTGGAACATTTTGACTACCCTTCCGGTTCGAATCCCCTCCCTCGGCTTGAATTTGAGATAGCGGACGAAAATCGAAGAAATTCTCTATCACCAAAGCAGATCGACCCTCTAGATTTTTCTTCTAGTCCTCCCCCGAAGTTAGACCTACAGAATGATGATGATCTCTCGGATGAAGGTCTCTCGGACGATGGGTCCTGGAACGGGAACTCGTTTCTCCGATATGCGAAAAATATTCTTGAAGAAGTAAAGGATGACAGTGATGGCGTACCTGTGTTTTGGTCCCCCAAAGGTGAAGATACTCACCTTGATCCGGCTATTCACAACGACCTAGATCTTCCTCTTGATGCGGATATTTCTCTCGGTGCAAAACCTATAAATTCAGAGCTCGGTAAGGATAAACTAATCCATCAAGCTAGAAGAGAAAAACTTATACCTACAGCGATTTTAGAAAGCCAGTCCCTTGAACAGGAACAACCTAGGGTTAGTCCTGAGCCCCCTACAAAATCCGTAAGTCCAGCCCCTTACAGAAAAAATTGTGATAGACCAGGAGCTTTAAAGAGCTAATACCTAGCTTTTATAGGAGTTTCCTTACCAGCTAGATACCGCAACCGACCCCGAAACCATACCATTTCTCACAGAACATGATGCCTTGAAACTTCATGGAACAATCAATTTTGATAGCGCTCCTCAATGGTACCATATCACCCAGCTCCACGAAGTATATAAAAGACGCTTTGTCGAGTTCGATTGGGTGGCCCCAGAAGATTGGGACGCGTGGTTCGCTCCTGCTATCTCCGATAAACCAATCATACTCAAACAACAGTGGAAAAACTGTAATACAACCGACAGCCAGATCCTTCGGGATATCTATTGTGCTTTCTACGTAGCCCTCCGCAACGTTCTCGCTGTTGTCAACGATATTGTATTGGCGGGAAATAACTCAACTGTTTCTGGGTGGATGGAAGTCTGCGTCTCCCCTGTCACGCTTCTCGAGGAAATGAGGGCTGTTCTATGGTGGAACGAAGAGACCATTAATGTTTTACGGCTGGAGTATGGCCTCGATCTTCTTCACTTTATCGACACCCAGTATGAACTCAAATCTAGGTCTGATCTACAAAAGCCGACTATTGATCTAACACATGATCAAAGCGGCCATGGTTATTTCCTGACCTGTAAGAGAACAACAGATGGGCGGTACAAGCTCCAGATTTCTCCACCACATATTCGGACTCAGTGGTCTATCAAACAAGGTGACAGTGGAGTTGAATGTATAGTGAAGCCGACTGTTTGGCATCCTCACTTTCTATTTTCCACTACGGCAGTTACGCCCCGTTTTTCCATCGGTCAAGATTTTCATTGGCTCGAATGGGATAAGAAGCATTTCTACTTCAGCGGAATCTTACCAGACGACTATAAACCCCATAAGGACCCATCAGGTCACTTGTGCATCGGCCTCGATATTACGGTGGAATTCACCCAATACTTTATGGGGAAGAGGCCAGAGGGGTCACATCTATTCTATCTCCAGGAAACTTTTACTGCACGTTCATATGGGATTCTTCCAATAAAACCCGCGGCCCCTCCAGCAGCCGCTCCGATGGTATACTCGCCAAACCCACTACAACTCATTTGGGGCTCCCATAAACTCGGATTCGACAGACGACACAGCAGGTTTGTAATGGAAAAAGCTCAAGAATACGAAAACCAAATTTATCAATCCCAAGTCAGTGAAGATGCTAAGGCTTTTGCTACGCATGGATTGTTCCCATGGGACCCAAAGGAACCCTCAATTCAGTCATGGGGAGGAGTTACCTGGTGCAGTTTCTTGGAGCAGCAAAGAGCCCGGGCTGAATATCTAAGAAAGGACCCTAGAGGACGAATGGAGGTGATTCGGGACTTACGCAAAGGGCCAAGACTGGGTCCTCTGGGTTCGAAATATAAACACCACGGAGAGGATGTTGATGAAGATTTAGAAGAGATGAGGCGGATGTACGAGAATTTGATACACGAGGCACATGCTATCGTCTGGTTGCATACCTTGTATAGGGAGCATGTTCAGGATAGATTGGAAGACGAATCGTTGGAGATGGAGAAAGTTGGACTTCGTAATCGCGAAGCTCTAGGACTTTACCCCAACCTATAAAAAGGGTAAGGTGGTCTCCGGTGAGCAAACACTTTAGTAACTACTAGTAACTATAGTTTGGATTGGGTTAGTTTATTTGTCCTTCGAAGGGTTTTCTTGTTTTTTTATTGGGCCTAGGTGGTACTTTTCTTTCATTTGTTTGTGCTATCATACGTGGGTTTGAAGGATACTTTTGATTAAAAAGGAAATGACAATTGGAAACCGACTTAATTTCCTGAGGTGGCTTTCGAAAAGATTGAAGTGCTCCATGTCTTAATCTTAAATTCACTTCTCTATAGTAAGGCCTTTGGGATGCCTTCCTAGTGGCCAATATATTGTTCTTGAACTATCACACAACAATATTAATTTAATTACCTCGAAGCTGAAGATTTGTTGAAGTTGTTGCATTTTGTAGGCTGGCATTTTATACCAAATTGGAACCCATATGCCCATGCATCCAATGCTTTGAGATAATTACTTAGAAGTTACAGATATCATGCGAATTCTGTTTCTGGATATTTTTGGTCATGCAAGACACGACCGTATAAATGTGAACTGTTGTGCCACCATCATTCCTAATTCGATTAGTTCGCCTGTTGTGGGGCTCCACCCTGGTCCCCGGATCCCATGCACATGCGATGCCTGCCCTTGTGACGTCAGCTGGCTGGGCCTGACTTGTAACTTAACTTCTGCGCCGCCGAAAGCAAAAAACAGAAGAATTTAAAATGGCAAATGGGTTCCTTCTTCTTCTTCTTCTTTTTGCCCGTATGACGATAGCGTCTAATTAGAGATCGAGGTTGGGGAAGAGAGAACGCGTAATCGGAAGAATTTAGGTCGAAACCCACATTCCTTTCCGCGCTTGCAGAGGAATCGCTTATATAAAACATCCCTTCTGTCGTCGTCATAACATACCTTTATCTTTACCTCTCTCTCTCTCTCTCTAACTCTGCGAGACTTCTATCGTTAAGCACCAAGCATATCACAAACTACGCTTTAGTTAGCTTAGACCTCTTATAGACCATAATATCTTCCTATCGACCACAGATCGACGAACAAAAACTAGACAAAATGGGTGTTATCTCTACCGTCTTCCTCATCCTCATCACCATCCTCTGTAAGCAAAAAACAAAAACCCAATACCCCTCTGACTAAGCCGACGAAGTACTTGTTTCTATCTGATACTAATCTTTCCTTTCATAGTCCCTCCAATCGGTGTTTGGGCTGTTGCCGGCTGTGGCGCAGATTTCTTAATCAGTAAGAACTCCCCCCCTTCAAAACCTATACATAATTTATATACCTTATACACCCCCCACCTGCTTCGAGCTTGTTACTAACAGATCAATACTTTAGACATCTGCCTCACAATCCTCGGTTACCTACCCGGTCATGTACACGCTTTCTACATAATATACGTCTATTACGAACGTAAAGAAGCCGCTATTGCAGGTGTGATTCCACAACGGGATGCACCGGGGGTTTACTCGCACAGAGTCAACACCGGAGGTGTTAGAGGGTATGGGACATTACAGGAGCAAACTGGACCTCAGAGAGTCTAAAGTTTGAAATGTCCCCCCCCCTACACTTTCTTTTACTTCTTCTAGAGGAGTCGCATGAAACATACGGCCTAGCAGAAAGTTTACTATTATAGGGACAGAATAGTAAACGTTATATCGATAGATAGCCAAGTTTTTTTAATATATCGACCTCTGATTTAATTTTTGGGATCGAGGGTGTTTTTTTTCTTTCTTCTCTCGTCTTATTCTGGCTTTTGGCGAAACTCGGGGTATTCATATTCATCACTCAAGGGAAGGTCATTTCATTTTCTCTCTCTTGTTCCTTCAGTTGCATTTTTCGATAACGAATTCAGGCGTACTGTTCATTTCATTTCATTCCGTGCATAACATTTCTGGTTTTTGAATTCGGGGGAGGGCCTGCATCGCAATACCTGTATTCAGTGTCCTTTATGTCAAGTATTTTATATACACCGAGCCATAGAGGTATACACATGCTAAACCCAACATATCATTGGACACGAGAGCACCTTTAGTTGGATTCTATAGTAAGCCAGGCCTCATCAATGCATTGTTCACCCAGTCCTCTTGCGAAACCGAACCACCGACAGAATTGATTAGGCACTAGTTTATGAGCTTTCGAAACTTCTAGCGTCTTTATAATTTAATAGATATGCCATTTAGTCTTCTAGTATCATCTATAAATGACATGCATCAATTAATACAAGCCCAAATTTCGTGATTATATATCCAAATTTATAAATTATAAACCTACCGCCCCCCTACTTAGCTTGGTCAGCCAGCATACCTACGAGTCGCTCATATACTTTCTCATACATCACAGAACACAGTGTTAATAATGAAATAACAGTATCTTGCATTCATCTTCCACCCTTCACGGGTCCTAAGCTACCCTCCTCGAAAACATACATGCAAGATATAACAGGCTTAAGGAAATATCGACAGCACACCCTAGGTTCTCTTCTTTTAACGCCGAAATATGCTCCGCCACGCTATGCAACATATAAAAGGAAGGAAACGGTTCGATCACTGACAAGACATGGTGTTATACATGAATCCATATCCTGTCAGCAGAAGAATCGTTCCTAAACAAACGCCTCTTTATTATGCTTCCCCACACCATGAACACCGGATATGCCCACGCTTAAAAGAAGAAAAAGAAAAAGAAAATAGTAATAAGGAAAAAGAAAAGGAAACGCAGTAAAAACACTGATCATAACGCCGTTATATTTTTCATGTTGAACCGCCGCGATATGCGCCAGTACTCCGAAGAACATACCGCATAATTCATAGTAAAAGCAAATTCGCACGAATCTAAGCCTGTTCCAGGGAGCCCAGGAACAGACTAAGAAATATTGATTATTATTGCTTTTGTCTTCCATTTTTATGGCTGCCGTGTTGAAATCTCTCTTTGATCATTGTCATTCCTAGCATCTCCTCGACTTAGTTGGAGATTTGTTGGCCAAGGGAGGAAGAAGAGACATTTCTCGGCCTAAAAAGAAGGAACGCCCCCATGTGGTGGGCGAAATTGTCCCTGCGCGTGGAACTGTGGTGGTAGTGGACCACCTTGCATCCCTTGATCTTGAAACATTGGCCCTCCGAATTGTTGCTGCATCTGCGGGTGTTGGGCATATTCCTGGAACCCGCGATTTGGATGAGACTGGTCCATGTGGTTTAAACGGGGAGGCGAAGCGGGTTGGTGGTGATGCCCTTGCGGGGGCGAATAACGGTGTGGTGGGGGATACATAAATCCTCCTTGCGGATGGGGGCCCATGCTCGGGCCGTTGTTACCGGTGTTAGCCCATTGAGGTGGGTGAGGATACATGCCAGTTGGGCCACCTCCAAAAAACTGAGGAGGGTACCCGTTGTTATCCCCAGGGTACCCGTATTGGCCGTTATACATTGCTGGGTCGTAAAAGGGCATCTGTCCCATTTGTTGCATACGCGTACTGATGTGACCCTGAAATAGATGGGACATATCAGGGATTGGGGCGAACGGTGCAAAACCTGGTTGACACTGTGGTTGTGGACATGGGTCTTCACAGATCATCGTGGGAGGGTGCAGCCCTGGTGGTGAATGGGAACTAAAATTTGGAACAACCTGTGGGTTGTATTGCTCATTGTAGTGGCCGTGGAATCCTTGGGCGTGTTCTGCGCCACGGGGATATTTTGAGTGAGGTGGGGAAGTCATCCCTCCACTGCTATGACCCTGTCGCTGGGCTGGGTCAGCAATGCCCTGGTTTCCAGCGTAGTTGCGGGGATGCTTAGGGGGGCCGCTATAAGGATTCTTTGACTGCTGGCTCGGCCCACTTCGTCGACTGCTCGCATTGTCGCCATAGTAAGCACTTTGGTCATCAGTATCCAGAACTGGAATGCTCTGGACTGTGTTGATTGGTGTATTTTGTATGGCCTCGAGGGGCGGGCACATTGAGATAGTGAGTACCTCTGCATGAGTTGGGGCTGAGATATCAGTCGGCGTAACTTTTGGGACATCATTGGGAGTTTCCACAGAAGTATCAGCCAAATGAGGCGGCTGCACTTGAGCTGGGTGGGAAGCTTCTTTAGCTTCTTCTTTGGCCTCATCCTTGGGAATAGCTTCTTGCAGATCTTGAGGCTCCTCGGATATTGTCGTGATTTCTTTGCTCTCTTCAGCCTGAGTCTTTTGATCCTCAGCTAATGCTGGCTTGTTTTCATTCATATCAGAGGGTGTGATATCTATAATTGATACCTTTCGTGACGGTGCAGGAGCAACAATATTGCTCGCTTCAGCCTCGGTGTTTTGATCGCCCTGTTTTGTTGCAGTTTCCTCGTTCTTGGTTGTCGGGGATGGCTCGCGAGTGCTATTGCGAGACTCGACATACTTATCAACGGCTTCCATAACTTCTGTAGCTCGGATAGTCGAAGGGATTTTTGGGCCAAACTTCTCCTTCAGAGCCTCAGAGAATTCCTCCTGGCTGACACGAGAGCCCGAAGAACTAGTCGAGTTCCGGGTGTCTGATCGAGCGAGACCTTCTTTTTCGTCGTCTGATTTTTTTTCATTGGCCTTGAGGGCTTCAAGGATACCGTCGCCAATTACTTTTCTCTCGCTATCACTCAATCGCCTACGCGCAGGGATCGGAGACTGACGACAGTCTGGAGGACCACGCTGTACAGTATTGTTGGAATCGGCGCCGTTAGAATCACTTGTCTGCAGACCTTTCAAAACAAGCTTTAGTCGGTCATCCTGATGACTGTGTTAGCTCTCCGTACTAATTTTTTGATTGTCCGCTATTATGGGAGCTTACCTTCGTCTCCTTAAGTTGAATAGTCGCAGTTGGAGCAGTTGGGGAGCCATTTGAAGTGACGGCATTCTCTGGCCTCTCGACAGAGACGATGGCGGGGTCCTTGGAGAAGTTAGACTAAGTCGATAACAAAGAGATATATATTGGAAAACATACAAGTTTCATGGCTTCTTCTGGGGTGAGTCTTCGGCCAATAGACTTGCCTCTTGATCCATTCATTTCCGCCTCCTATGTTCCAAAATTAGCCATGAACAAAACTTAGGGGCTTAGCAATTAACTTACCAGAATTTCTCGGAGCTCATTGGGGTCAATGGTAGCGCTGCTTACTTCTTCTGGATCGGCCTTCTTTGCGTCCTGTACGGTTTTCAAGTTGTTAGCAAGGATTGGATTCTCTAAATTCTCTAAACTCGCCAGTGGCTTACCTCAACCTTATCCTTTTCTTTCTGGGAAGTTATAGCAGTAACTTCAAGAGGCGATTGCTTTAGGGATTGAACTTCTGCAGTTTTTTCAAGGGGAATAACAGTCTCGACCGAATGATTCTCAACCCTCTCCAAAGCAGGTGCGTCCTTTGCAGCCTCGGGTTGCTAGACGTCGTTAGCTTTACCTAATTGTTGTATTTTGGGGGGTACGCAACCTACCTTGACATTTCCATCCGCCGACTTTTCAACCGGGGTGTCGATCGTAGCGTCGCCGTCTGTCTGAGGCACGGATGGCTTATCGTTTATTCTTTCTTCACGTTGAACCGCCTTTTCTGGGGTTTTGGCTCTGTCACTCATCTTCTGTATGAGTGGATCTGGTGGGGATTTTTCGCTTTGCTCAGTGCTCCCTTGGTCGTAAAACTTTGCGAGACGAGAATGACGGTGGTCACTAGTCTCTGCGAAGGACACAAAAAGGCGCTTACGGCCAACAATTTGGAGATTAAGCTCCTCCTTCGCCTTCAAGGCGGCTTCTGGTGTCGTAAACTTCACAAACCCGAATCCTTTAATAAGACCGTTGGAGTAGGCTGGCAAAGAAATAGAGACAACCTCGCCGAACTTTTTGCAGTACTCCTCGAGATGCTCTGGTTTGGAGATAACATCATCATCGATGTTTTTGATGAAGATGTTCGACGGATCCTCGGGATTCTTAGTCTCTGGTACCGTCACGGGCAACGTGGGTGGTTCAGCTGGGGCTATCCCGACAGCTTGGAAGTGTTGGGCCTGGTGCGCATGATGAATGTTCAACGGATGAACATTCTCAGAGATATGGCCCGCATATTGGTATCCGGCCTGGCGATAGTGGCCAGATGAGATGATGAGGGGCCTTCCATGGATATCGGAGTGGCTAGTAGGAATTGTCATGGAAGTTTCGCCCGAAATTTTGAAAACACTCGCGGTGTCATTAGAAGCTGAACTATGCTTACTATTTGGGGAGTCGCCCACAATGATGTTCCTTTGTGCATCGAAGCGATGAGGATATTCATGGCCACCAGGGTAGGAGATGTGGCCTCCGTGCATGGGATGCATCCCAGCTTGGTTAACAAGTGGGGGCGAATGATATTGCCCTTGGATTCCATGAGCAGGCATTTGTTGCCCGTATGGCAAGGGTGGAGATACAACCCCAGAGCCATAATGAGCCTGACCAACCATATGATGATTCACAGCTTGAGGGTATTGTGGTTGGAATGGCTGAGGATAAGCCATCATTTGAGGATCATAGAACTGTTGCTCGGGTGGATAGTTCTGGTGGATTTGTCCTTGAAACTGAGGCTGATAGCCGTTGCCATGATGCTGAAATTGCCCACGCTGGTTAAAGCGTCCCATACCATTGTTAGGTGGATACCGGCCACCTCTGTTTCCATTAGGGAAACGTTTGGGCCCTTCGAAAGGGCGCTGCTCATGACGATGGAAGTTTTGAGGGCCAGGATTTGTTGGGCGGAACGGTGGAGCGTTATTGCGACGAGCCACGTTGAATGGCTCAAAGGTAATCTTGACGGCACACCCGTTCCAGACTTGACCGTTTTCCTTGTTGTGAAACTAACATCTTCTATCAGCCGTTGATTCTTAATTATTAGAGAACCGTGGGGGGAGGGGGGTTCAATACCTCTTCAGCAACACTAGAAGAGTCAAAATTGATGGTCCCAAAACGACGACCGTCACGATCCTTATACTCAAAGATATGAGCATTGATAACGCGTCCAAAGGAACTTCCACGCTCCATCAAGTCCTGGACTTGGAAGGTTTCCGGAAGACCGTAGATTGTGCAAGTTGAACTCGACGCACGAGTACCTCGATTGGGGCCAGGGAAAGGACCTTTGTTCTCGAACTGAGAACCGTTCGATTGCTTTCTATTGTGCATTGGTCCCTGAGCCTGACCGCGAACAGATGGAGGACGATCTGGGAGAGCTCCAGGGCCATTTGGAATACCAGCACGAAAGTCACCACTAGTGCGGGGTGGCCCTTGGTTTCGATGCTCTCTTGGGCGACGAGCGTTGAGACTCCTAAAAGCAATATTAGTAGATATACCGGCTATACATACACGGACTTCGATTAGATCCGATACTTATACTTACAATCGAGTATCACCAACGAACATCCACCCTGCATCTAGGGCACGGGCAACGGAATCTTCGTGTTCAAATGTTAAGAACCCGAAGCACGGAGCGTATTCATAGGCCTTTTCGTGGTGCCTGTTGACCTTAAAAAACTCCTTGACAGGGCCTAAATAGAGGACGATTAGAACGACATTGTTGTAATAAAGGATAGTCACCGAGAAACCGAAAGGGAATACTTACCAAACTGCGTGGCAGCTTGCTTGACGACATCCTCGGGCATCATTGGAGGAATGCCTGCGATGTGGATCATGAGTCGCTCGTTCTGCGGCTCACGATCAGGGAATCTTCTCCCTCCCATTGGTTTGGGTGGAAGTCCTTCGTTGGATTGTTGCTGCATCTTGAAGGTCGAAATGCGAGCTGCGAGCTTAACAATATCTACTGCCTTTGTTAGAGACGTTGATTATGATGGACGAAGACTTGAGATGACAATATGGGTGGAGAAAGGATGGGTTGAAGGGGATTGGTTTGAACTATCTTCGCGTCTGGTGTAGATATCTAGACCTCGGCGATGATTGCTCGTGGTCAAGAATTACAAAAAGACGTTACAACGATAGAAGCAACACCAGGAGAGTTCCAAAGAGGCCACGAGCAGCAACCTGATGAAGCAACCTGGTGAAGCAACCTGGTGAAACGAACAGAGATGGGTCGCGAGAAGAAAGGAAGAGGAAGGAGAGGCAGAAGAAAGAAGCGGAAAAAGATGACGGAAGAAACAACAGAGGAATACAACCAGGCAAGCAAGCAGGTAGGTGGGTAGATGGGTGAGAGGGACAATGGTGACGCAGCTAAGTAGCTAGGGATGTAGCTTAGCCATGAAGAACTTACGAGTGTTTTTGTTGATTGTCAGAGTTACGTAGTTGAGATGAATCGAGAGAAGCTGAAGCAACGAAGAAGAAGTCAGCAGGACCGTTGGAAATGACGATGATACAAGGAATACGTTGCTAGAGCAGAAGGAGAGACGGGGAGAAGGGGAGAAGGGGGATTTAGACCTCGAGGGATTGTCAGGGAGGAACTTGGTGACGGAACGTCAATTAGCTTTTGTTTGATGAAGTTGTCGATGGTTGTTGTCGATGGGAGGAAGGTTAGGATGGGATCTGCTCTGATCTGATCTGATCTGAGGAAAAGAAGAACGGGATCAAGAAGGAAGAGATGAGATGGAGTGTAGGTTGCGATGGGGAATAGCAAGACGATGAATGGGAGAGTACGAGTTAGCTTAGGGGTGTATGATGTTAGGGAAACGGAGATGAAGGGGACGGATGAGAGAATGGCGATTGGATGTTAGCTAGATTGATTTATGAAATAATTAAAATAAAGAATATTGATTGAGCTACAGACGGTCTTCCTCAACACACTCCATTCAGACAACCTCCCCCCCCCCCCCCCTCTAACCCCCTTCCCCTCGACAACCCCAGTCCCGTCAATGTGCAACACATCCTATTCATCCACGCTATCTCCTTGTATCGACAGAGTAGTCCAGAGACTACTGCCAGGCCCTCAAGTTCGCCAATTGAGCCTATCTCATCCCCTCCTTCTGATAGTCCCGTGCCGTGGACTCTACGCCTAGCAACAGGTGACAGATATCTTACCGAAACAGGGCATCCAATCTTCTCTCGGATACCTAGACAATCATATCGTATAGAAATAATTCAAACACTGACTTTTTCTCAAATAGTCCCTTTCGCTTTCACATACAACACCCAATACGCCTCCATTACACTACACTACAACATCAGCCTTCAAGAAACTATTCTACGAGTCACGCGTGTTGCCATAGACAGAAGTACAAATTTAGTCGAGTCTTACCCGTCTGACATCCGAAAACACTGAGGCTAAGAAGCCTATGTTCGTCTATTTTATTTAAAGACAATTCTCTACTATAGTAACTGTCTTCTTACCCAGCAGTTTTAAACCCTTAAAACCCCAATATTGAGGTTACGAGGCTACATAAAGCCGTCATCCACAACACAAACAATATGTTGCATTTTGAACATCCCATCATCCTTACCTGTTGTGGCGAATTGCCTTTTACGGCGAAGCGAGATCCAAAGCCTGTCCGGCATGGCTAGCAGCAGCTCTCACGTGGGCTGTGGTATCTGATTTTGGCAATGGGTGGCATCCTTCTCTCGTTTCTGGCTGAATCTTTTTTCGGGCACCATCGTATCTAAGCTTCTTAAAGCTAACACTGGTACATGATGTATACGAGATTAGAATATGCTGAAGATTGGCTATCATAGGCCTCTTGGCCCCATAAACCTTGCTGTCATGGATGGTATATCCCTTCAATTGATCAAGGGCGATATGAAGTATGTCATGAACTCAAGCCCCTGTCTTTCATCCTACATTCGAAAACTTTGAGGTTCCAGATATAACAGCTGCCTACAAAGAGCCCCGTACCAGGATCTCCCCTCCAGCCTACTCCTCGCTCTTTGACCTGATGTCGCACTCTCCGCATTCTTGTGTAACCCACCATCCCGATGGAAATTCAACGTCCGTGTCCAAATTTTGTCGGTCTCATGCGACCAGTTAAACCAGTTAAATACCTGATTCTACCATTTCAAAATATATCCAGCTAGCCAGGATAACCCCCCCTAGCTATCTTATTCTTGGCGATTTATATATTGGAAACGACGAGGAATTCCTACTTACCTTCAAACTATTCTCATGACGTCAAGATAGCGTTGTGCGACCGAAATGCATGAGGTATTCACCATGAGCTCCTCGAAAAAAAAAAAGAGCCTGTGCGCTAGGCACAACTGAAACAGCATAGAAATCGGAGTGCCTATATTCTAAGCTTTTCTAGATATAGCCTCTGGAGAACTCCGCAAAGTAGGAAGTAATGCCGGATCCCCAAAATCGGCGCGTAAATTTTCTTCTTCTAACATCTTATCCTAGGGAATTTCGTAAATGCAATCGTGTTATACGTCTATTTGTCTGTAAGGGCGCTCATTACTGTTCGACCTGGTGCATCTGCTGCACAATATTAGCAATTTACCATAAACGTGCAGAAAACCACATAGCTACGTGCATATATTCGCAGTCGGTCGGGCGATTTCGGAGCCAAAGAATTGTCAAAAAGAATACGGTTCCAATAGCCAATTGAATTCTTTGATGTTGAAAAAAAAAAAAACTCTCGTTGATTAAGCTCGTGTGTCTTGGCTGGTTGAATTTCACCCAACAGCTCGACTGTGTAACCTCGAAATGTCAACCATGGCTAGGTGTAGTCTTGTTTATATTATATTGGGCCAGATGCGTAATGTCAGGTTAGGGCTTTAGCGCCAGCGCAGAGTGCTCCGCAGTTAGTCTCGGAAAATTGGTCAATGGCTTTTGCATGAACAAGCTTTACGGTGTTTTTTTATCTGCATTATCAATCGGGGCGAATCCCGACAATAGATACGGAATGTCACATTAGAGATCATATGACCTTCTCAAACTATCTTAGCACTACATCTCTTATTCGAATTCATGGCCACGCTATACTGTAGCAACTGCAGCCGTGCACCGCATACGAAGGGACCACAGGGGAGAAAGGAATATCATACGCAAGCCAACAACATAAAGAAATAAGCTCCACAGAATAGGGCGGGATACCCGCCCCCACGTATACCTACGGATATTCGAGGGAAGTTCTTTGACGGCTAAGCTAGGTTGCCGTTCTCAAGGGTCGATGTCCATAATAGGAACATGGGATATCGCGATATAATATTGTACCAATATTGATATCAAATTCTCTCACCAAAGAAAAAAAAAACATACGAATTTAAGCCACAAGTTTTTGCGCTAAGCTATTCGGCGTTCGGCAACAAAAAGAACTTCTCGAATTATCGCCTGAAACTCAGCGTATCGACAATGGACACCCCAACTCGTTACTAGTTAGCGTGGGCTTTAGCTTTGATGAAACCAGGATACAGCAGGAAGGTGAAAAACCTAGGTACCAGTCCAGCTGGTACGCTGGTGCACGGTGTTTAAAAAAAAAAAAAAAAAAAGTACGCAATCAGCACCCTGCTCTATCGTGATAATCACACAAAATCCCCAAGAGATCTCATCAGAGTATGTCGACACCAAATCTCTCTTCGATGAATGTCATTTCGTCACATCACATAACCCAGCTCGCACGATCTAAGACACATGCTAGTTAAAATTATAAGCTCATCCCGACACGGGAGTTGGCAGTTGGAAGAGAAAAGGGCGCACTTAAGGGGATCTGATTTCGAAGGGCTGTGCGAAGGGATGCAAGTCACTTGTGATCGAAGCTGTACAGTTGTGGAGAACACCCACAGGAAATGCGAAGGCCCCCACTTCGGGGCACTTCGTTTCGCAAGCCATTAAATGTGCACCCCGGCCAATATCCGAGTCGCAGTTTTGCCCACATGGATCTTATTTACCCATAAGCAAAAGTACCGAATTTGTCGACGATGCAATAAAATGGGGTATTTTGAGGCATGAAATGTTATCCCAACGTGCTTGTCCACTTAGCTCGAGCTTCTCGACCCGGCGAGGTTCTCTGTGCCCCCACGAATTGAAGCGAGAATACCCGTTCACCGCCATACTTGGCTACTGATGATAGCTTGGATGGCCCATAGAATGGCTACCCGTGAAGCCCGCTCCATGAATACGGAAGGCAAGGTGTCTTTAGCGCCTTTCTGGTGCTAAAACAAATTTCTTCGGATGGAATTTTTTAGTTTGCGAGAAGCTTATCAAAGACTTGTTATCAAGGTTATCGCTTAGGTTAGTCCCTGGAGGTTAGTTGGCCTGCGAAGGAAAAAAAAGTCTTGATAAAGGAATAAAATGCTATCAAATTCCGCAACATGCGAGCTCGGAGCGCTTGCGAACGGAAGAGTCATACAATTTTTCAGTATATCTTGCCCTGCTCTTCAATTGATGAGAGACTCGCATGTTCAAAATTGATCAGATCAATTCATACATACCTTACATACACAACATCAGCTTCGGACGTACGTGTGGTGGCCAGTGGGAACTTCCTGGTACGTATACAAGTCAACTTGATATGCAGATACAACCCTAATTTATTTAATCCATGGCACATGCACTTTCGACACATTTGTTTCCCTTTCTCCCTCGTGTTTTCTTTGATTTCTCCACAGTGTACTTCGTACATACGTTTCCGCTCGCAAAGTCGGTGAGCCGTGAGCCGTCAGTGTTGGTTGGCATTTGAGAACAAGAAGTGACACCAACAGGACCTGCATATCTCGTGCATATCCGCAAGAGAAACTTGAATGTTGCAAAGATGAGGGTTTCAGGGCCGTTTGCAACGTTTGATGGAAGTCGAACTATCATCACCATCATGATCATCATAGTTTTATCTATGCATTTTCCATGCCTGACGTTTCTACCTTTTTGGTTCGAACCCTCGTACTGCAGAATTTCGGGGTATATTTTTTTGTTCTCTTTCGATACGAAAAGGACCCAGCTGGCCGGGGTTAAAGTAACGCCCAGAAGCACAGACGTATCTTGACAAAAAAGGGCTGCGCCAGGTTACTTTTCAACCACGCTGCTGGTAAAAGACACCCCCAATTCTGTCCGGTGGACAGCCCTCGTTACGACAACATCCTTATATTATTCTTTTCTTTTCTTTTCTTCTTTTCTTCTTTTCTTTTCTCTCCCTTGTGCGATCCAAGATTCCAGTCGTCTTCGGTGCCGTGCTTCTGAGATTTCCCCACCTTTCCCAAATGGAAAAGGCGGAGAACAGCTGGACATGGCTGTTCGTTTTTCAACGTTCAGAACCTGAACGAAACGAAAGGGTGTGGGATGTCCATTGCATTGCCATCCAACTGTTCCCCAAAAACAGACAAGACCCGTTTTCCCTCTCACGAGCCTGGGCTAGGCTACAAGGAGCTGCTTCGACTATCGAAGCCGGTTGGCCTGCATGATGTCTCTGCAGCAGGATACCCACAGACACATGGCCTTCGTTGAGACTAAGGATAGGAAAGACCATTAACATACGCTCGTTCGTTTTAGCGCCAAAAAGCCAATGATCTTCTGACAACCTTTTCCCCAGATCAAGACTGACCGACCATAAGAGACCCCCAAAAACAGCAGAGTCTCTTTTTTTTTTTCCCTCCCTCTGTGGTGACCCAATCGTAAAGGAACGAGTCTTGCAAAATTCGATTAAGTAATTCTTCCTGATTATACCTTCCCATCCTTTCCCCAGATTTTTCTTCTTCCCCATTTATCGTTTATTTTTTATTATTATTTCTTCCTGCACGAACAAACATCCTTTCTGTTTCGTTCTGTTGTTGATCTTTTGCTGACTTCTTGCATTTCGTGGGGAAGACACTTTCGAAACCAAGCCAAGTACCCTGTTGAACGGAATTTCTTATTATCGGACGGGCATCCCAGAACGCCGAGATTATACTGGCCGCTTTCCGTCCGCCGTCTCACTGAGTGGAAAGATCCGAAGAGTCTTAGAAGAGGGTGTTACTTTGCTGCATCATAGTGAGATAAACGGGGTAAATCGACGGGGTAGCCTGCTAGTTCGAATTCTGAGAGTTAGAACAGAACAGAACGGTCGAAAGCTGGGCTGAGAAGCGGTTAGCTTTCTTTGCCTGAGCTGTCGCTGGCTGTTACGCTGTTTGGCTGTTTAGCGAACGGGAACATCCTTTCCAACGAGGTCAACACGTTCTCCACTCCACTCGATTCGACCCCCCATTGCATTGCATTGATATCTCTTTTTCAAATCTCTGACAGCAAACACCACAAATTGTTCTTTTTTAAAAATAAAAAAAAAAAACAATATCAATAACCCTCTTTATTTGCCTTCGGATCTCTTTGACTTTTTGTGCAAGGCGGTAGCGCGCGAGCCAGTGGTATCGGCGTATTGGTTTGAATATGTCGATCCGGTTCTTTGTTAGTAGGCCACTGCTTTGATTTGTCCGATTGCTTCCCCATACTCCACTCTTCTATACTTGACATATATTACCCTTCCTTGATCCCGTCTTGGGTTCTTCTCCCCTGCACGGACTATACGTAGTATACTATACTATACTATACTGTCCTTGTCCTTGTCCTTGTCCTTGTCCTTGATCCTTTTACCCCCACTTACGCCTGCTTTCCTCAATCAGCCCCGTTCTATTTTATTTTATTTTATTTTATTTTGTTTTACTTTACTTTTCATTCCTATATTTCATCTTCATCTTTCGAAAACTTCACTTCTTTAGAAGGCAAAAAAACAAAAAAAAACCATCATCCTACCGTTATAATATGCCTTCTTCTTCTTCCCCAAATCGTCTGTCTGAATTATACCAATGGAGTTCACGAAGCGACAGGGGCAGCATGTCCGGTTCCTCAAACGATGGAGGCTCTCAACCCATCCCAATGAGTAGACCTCCCATGTCCCTCCGAAAGCTCTCGTTAAGATCCGTTCATGGGACCATCTATGAAACCACTCCACCCGCTTCTCCGTCCTCCTTCAACTCCATTTCTGCAGGCGCAGGATCCACCACATCTTCGGATGTTGAATGGAGAGCAAAGCGTATGAACGGCAGCGTCAATTCCACCTTTTCCAGTGTCAGCGACAGTACGGATAGCTTACGAACTACTGTGCGGTTCTCACAGGATTGTCGACTTAGCCTTATTCACATCCCACGCGAATTATATCCGCACTTCTTGCAACCGATTTTGAAACTAGTGCTGCCTCCTCAGGATTCAAGGAAAGACGAAAATGGACACCTGCCGGCCGTCGACGAAGAGGATAGGTATTACTCGATGACAGAGAGTGGGTATCAACCGAGTAACGGAAGTTCGGATGTTGGACAAGTATTCGTCAACGTTTCGATAACACCGGTCGAGTGCTCTATTGTATGTGCACATGATACCGCCCAGGAATTATTTCAACCTCTACTGGATGCCTTGGAGCCAGAACGCAGAGAAACCGTCGTAATATCTGAGGACGATTATGTAGTCATCCAAGTTGACGGGGAAGGATTCGACGCAGGCCAAAGAGTTCTCGAATTGACTAGCCCATTAGCCATGGCTGGAGTGTAAGTTACTAAAATCGATCATGCTGACCGCTAGAATAGTCACTAACCCCTTCCCAGATCGATTTTCTTCATAACAACATACTTTTCAGATTATATCCTCGTCCCAGCCCGTAATCGTTCTAATGTAACAAAGGCTCTCCAACGACGAGGATTTGCATTTGAGAAGCATATCGACGCCTATGTCACCCATCACCGTGCTCCAAGCGAATCACAACCGCCTACCCCTCCACCATCCATCACCATCCCAGAACTTCAGGAGCGTACATTTAACTCGCTCAAGCAGCACAATATAAGTCCACAAGTTAGTCGAGGCTCCGAGCTTCTCCTCTGCGCAGGCCGTCGGAGTACCAGTCTGACACCTGACGAAACAATGCATCTTGGGCTTGTGCAATGTTTGATTAATAAACCGGATTTCCTGTCTGTTACCCTAACAGATACAGAGCCACCATCTTTTCTCCTAGAAAGGCATATGCTCCGACTTTTCGGCCCCGAAGATACTTTATTGGGCAATAAGCACGAAATTCTAATTCCGATTGTCCTGGACCTCCGAGACTTACCAGTTGAATCAACTGGTATAGTATGTGGTGTTGCAGGCCGTCTGTGTGGAGATACTGGTGGATTCTTGGAGCGAGCCGATCCAGTCGAAATGTCGTACCTTAGTACGGCCCGGGCTGGCACAGTCATGGTGGCTGAAGATAACATCGATAGGGCAATGTCAGCCCTCCAGTTCTAGTCTACATATACGACTCTCCTCCCACATCACCACCACCTCTCTTTTCCTTATTCTTCTTCTTCTTCTTCTTTTTCTTTTCTTCATCTTAATCTTCATCTTCATCTTCATCTTTGTTTCGTCAGAGTCTTCATGGGTAATGTACATCATAGCATAAAAAGTAGCATATCTGTTTCCGCAAAGTTTCCTTTAATGTCTATTTCCTTCAATCTGATCAGACACCATATTTCTTCTAACTTCTTCACTCTGCGAAAACCCATTCGGCAATTGTTTATCTTTACTTCCTTTGTCTCGCAAAAAAAACAGCATCATCTCTACCAAAAAACGAACATTGAAATTCCGCTCACCTCAGGCGTTTGTCTCCTCATTTTCTCCGGCCCTCATCGACATAATTTTCCTATTCTTGTAAAAATGTCTTATTACTCATACGATCATTGCATTATCTTGTTCAAACTCTTTTTAGTTTTCAGCGCGCATCCCCAATGATGTATATTTGTAGGTCACGTCAGAGACCTCAGGTTCGAGGATAGGGTGTGCATTATTGAGCGTCAATTTTCTGCATACGGAGGCTTTGTCTGATACCGGTTTATCTACCAAATCACAACTATTGCATCTTGATACCCCGCTTACTTGTCTTTTCCCGATTTTCTGCGTGATAACTATGCAGATATCAACCAATCCAGTCTAGATGCGAGTGTAGTACTTGCTATATATTATAGCTAGAATTCGATATACCTCATAGGTACACAGTTCAACAAGCGGTCTGACCGTTTGCTACAAGAATTTACTGATCTCCACGCCTAGCACAAGGTTGCTCTAAGCCTACATAGAACTAGGTTAAATGCTTAATTCATTGATTTGAATATATGAACCTGAGATAATCAAATTTAAATTTAAAATTTTTTTCAAAATAAAAGTCCAAAGTCTGAAAGATTTGATATCCAAATATATGTAATATAATATGCTGGATGGCGTATCAACACAATGTGGCGTTAAACATACACCAGTCGCGTGTAACTATCCGCCACGATATCCTCGAAATTGTGGCTCACCCAGCAGCTCCCCAAAAGGACAAGTCGACAAGCTCACGATACACCAACTCGCTCCAGCCCATCTCGAGAGTCGAGTCGGACTACACCACCCTTCATACATCCCCGTCTCTTCCTCTCCCCCCCTTCTATACCCCCCCTCCTATCCAAAAGCCGTCAAAATGCATAGCTCGTAAGTTTCCTCCAAAAACCGCTTTCTTATCGTTCAATTCCAAACACTAACCAATTTGTATAATATCACTCTAGTCTCGTCCGTCTCCAACAAGTCTTCGGCTTCCTCACGACCGTCAGTTTCATACTGGCCAGCATAATCGCGCTGACATCGTATACTTACCCCATGAACCCGACGGCGTCGATAAAGATTAATGATGTTGCTGTGTACGTTTAATCGATCTCATATCAACAACTATCAATTGCTGTCCTCAAAGGGAGGAGGAGGAACTCGAACTGATCGTGGATATAACACTCTAGTGTCAAGCGACGTTCCGGCGGATACTACTCAACAAGACAGAACGAATATGCGAATGTTAAATTTGATTTGAATGCCGGTATGTCCTTTCTTTCCCCCCCCCCCTCCCCTCTCTCTCTCTTTTTTTTTCTTTCTATCCCCGTTCCGAAATATCTACAAAGGACTGTCCTAATATAGGTACACATATAAATTTAGACTTCGAATCCCTCTACAATTGGAACACAAAGCAAATATTCGTCTGGATCTCTGCAACATACGGCGGCGATAGATACGTAAGTCTCCGCCGATAAACCCTTTCCAATTCTTGAAATCGATCGATTAACTCGTAATAACAGCCGACAAACGAAGCCGTAATCTGGGACAAAATCATCCCCGCCGCCGCCCCTTCTAAGAAACTTACCTTGAAAAATATTAAAGCAAAATACAACATTCACGATATCACTGGTGAATATGCTCACAGGAATGCTACATTGAAGTTATCATGGAACGTACAACCTCATGTTGGTGTCCTTATGTGGGGTGGCGTCGGGGAAAGCATAACGAAGAGCTTCGTGTTCCCTAGTGAGAAGGCCAGAAATGCTGTATAAAAGTACAAAAAAATTACGATGGTTGTAGTTAAAATCTTGCAATAATATTCTCTAAGTATTTACATTTAGCTTTGCAAACTGATTACGAAAAATATGAAAGTTGAGTCCTGACTGTACTCAAACTTACGCAGAGACATGATTTGGAAACCTACTAGGGTGGTTGTCGGCCCAACCATTATGCGAGTCTACAGGTCAAGGATCTTTTCACCGGAATTTTCTCTAATGCGAAGTAGCTTCTTCAATTTCAGAACAGTATATACTTAATATATATATGCCATGGGTGTCTATTTCTTGAGTCTGTGATTGCGCTTCAGGGTTCAAGGCCACTTTCAGAAATACCATGGTCTTGTCCCTGCATGCTAGAATACAGGATATGGGTTGAATAGCGAAAAGAAATTTACAGGGAAGCGATGTATGCATGAATCCTTCCTTAGGAAATCGAACCCAGATATAAAAATCAATCTGGGACAAAGTCCCAACAATGTCTAAACGACTGCGCCGAGTCATAATCAGTTCAAAAAAGCTATCTAGCCCTAATGCATGCATAGCTGATTTGGCCCCTTATATGGTTATATGGCGGGTGTTGCTATAGAATTCGGAAGAAGAAGAAAGAGGGTATGCTGAACGAAAAATATCGTAAGCCTGAATCGTAATAATAAGGAAGAAAGTATTGTGAAATGGGAGCGTTGTATAAATAATGCTCTTTAATAAAATCGTCGGCGACGATGATAGTGGTGTTCATTGCCTTGATTGTAGGCGTTAACGCGAGGATAGAAAACTTGGGGGTTGTGTGCGTTGACACGACGATCGGTGCGCATGTTAACGTTATAGTCAACTTGTGAATTGGTATAAGGGTCGTAGAGGCGATTATTCTGCTGTCGATAAATTTGTGTGTGGTGAGGTGGCTGCTGATAGTTCCGGGTAGCGTTATGAGCCTGGGCGTTGCTGGGATGGACATTGTGGTTGGGAGCTGATTGGATGTCACGGTTATGACGCTGAGGTCTGTTAAAAGTGATGTACTGGATGTTGTGAACATTTGAAGCAATGGATTGGTGCGGGTTGACCTGCGGGGCAACCTGTTGTGCCTGCATAGCCATGGTCTGCTGCCAGGTCTACTGTTCAGCTGCTGGTTGTGCAGGGACAGCCCTACCTCGACCACCACGCCCGCGCCCGCGCCCTCGAGAGTTGTTAAGGTTTGGGGGAGGGGGAACGGCGTGGTGCCCTTCAGAAGCTTGCTGTTGTTGCTGTTGTTGGGGACGAGCTGGTTGGTGTTCTGGTCCATTATGTGGCCGCCGTTGAAGAATGACTGGCTGGCCGTTTTGAAAACCGCCTCTGTTGAAAGCTTGAGGTTGGGTGGGTGGCCCACCACCATTAGCGTTATAATTTCCACGATTTGGACCTCCTCTTCCCCGGGGGTTCTGGTTTCCGCGATATGAACCTGGTCCGTGCGTGACATTGGTCCCACGTCCGTTTTGCCCACCATTGATATTCCCTCGCCCATTACCTCCGCCATTGGCATTTCCACGACCGCCGACAGCACCGCTGAAGGATCCCCGCAAAGGAGGGGGGGCGCTCGCGGGAACGAATTGAGTTCCATTAACATCCTGAGGAGGTCCATTTGGAGTAGCAACTTGAGCACTAGCCTTAGATATTGCGACAACCTGGCGTGATGTAAGATTTAAAACCGACGAATAGGGGACTGTCATTCCGCGGAATGGACTACATCGGTCTCCCAATGTACTTCCGCTCATGAAAGAAACGTCGAAGACGACGTCTAATAGTGTGGTTCGGGCTGTTTTTGTAATCCCGACAACGGTTCCCTTGGTGGCGATCGGTACCTTTCCCGAGTCTTGAACGTAAACGATCCGGTCTCCAAGGTCAAATCTCTGGTCGTGAAGACGATGCTCTGCATCTGATGGTTTTAGGAGAGCCTTTCGAGGGACACCACGGACCTGCTTAGCTTCCGGGTTCCCGAGTAGCTCGACATACTTATCAGCCTCCCCTTCGATAATTCTGCACGAATCAGCATCTAATTGCTGTGCCTCCAGTGGCACCTTCTCAAAGCTCTTAGCCTCTATTTCCTTCAACCATAACTGGATCTCCTTAATTTTTGCTTTCGCGGTACCCGCCGGATAGAAATCTTCGGCCGAGTAATTATCGGCAGTCGGCCTGCGTTCGATTCCGTGGAAAAACTCAGGGAACTTTTGCATGTATTCGCTAATCAATGCCACCGCCTTGCTGCTGAACTCCCATCCGGATCCTGTCTTTCGAGAATATCCGAGAACTTTGAGTTTTTTGGCCTCAAATTTGAGGTTCAAACCAAGATTCTGGCGTGTATCATCCACCTGCACTTGAAAGCTAGATGTAATTTTGCTCAGAACAAGACTGGTGAGCCCCAGATTCTTAGCCACCGCATAGGACGGCTTATAGTCCGACATCGTGTTAATAAGGAAAGCAACTCGGTTTCCGAAATCTGGTTCCTTGGTCCTCTAGAGAAATCATTAGTAATTATTAACGCGGACACAAGAATTGTCAAACCTACCAAAATAGAGATCCAAATATCTGCCCGATCATCGCGGTGGCCAGTAACTTCAAGAGGGCGTCCATAATTATAGTCACCCAAAAAGAAGCACCGAGATCCGAGGGGAAACTCAGTCGCGATATCAACAGCAGCTCTCTCGACAAATCTCTCATCTTCGGAGACCCTTCCTGAATCCACGATAGTTTGCAACGCGTAATCGGTGTCTTGCCCGATAATATTCTCAAATTCCTTGACCATGGCCCCTTCATCGGTTCTGCGAAGCCCCTTGAGATGGTTGACGTGAACTACGATGTCGACACTTCCGACGATCATACCCATCCTCTTGCTGTAATTATTTTCGATACGATCAGCTTTAGTTCGCCACAAGTCTCGCCCCTTGTCATTATGAGAATTCTTTTGAACGCGGCCTTGGGCGTCGAGAGTATAGACGAATAGTTCGTCCGATACAGCAAATACTTGTGCTTCTCCCAAAAAGGGATAACCGACGTGAACCCGCTGATTTATTTTGGATTGCGCTATGGATTCGACCGTGCCGGGTTTTGGTGGGTGGATGAGAGTGATGACCATGCTCTCGTTCTTGCTATCCTGTTGGAACACATTCACACTATGATAAAGGAGCTGCCCCGTATGTTCCAAAGATTTCAAGCTGGGAAATCCAGCCAAGGCATTGCGGCCCAGTCGAACACCTTCACACAAACCCTGTATGAGGTTCAAGCCCCCATCGAGAGTCGGGAGCTCGAATTCATTCATGACGCAATGGCAATGACACACATCTGGGAAGATACCTGGCATAGATGAAGCGTAAAGGGAGTCGACTGATTCTGAGTACGTAAACTTCAGAGTTATTCCAAAACCGTTCCTGCTGATTTCATCTTTGGTCAACAAGTGCTCCCTCGTCCTCATCGCAGCAAGTAGACGATCCTCTTGAATGAAGGGGATTTTCACAACGGCTTCCCAATCCTGCTTCTTCCCGTTCATATCAAGCTCAAAATCGCGAGGATAAAAATCTAGGATCGGAGAGTCTGGGCTCGTCATAAGGACCTAGAGGCTATTAGTTTTTAAACTTTGATGTTGATTAAATTACAAACTTACATGGTATGGTTCAGGAACAATTTTTTTGCTTCGGTCCGGAAGCACACCCATGAGCTGTTCAAACGGGCGAAAAGGTGACCCCAGGCGGAAGTTTAAATTCGCACCGAGACCTTTCTTCACATCTATTTGGAAAGTTAGGAGCATTCAGAAGTAAAACGGGTTCTGAAGCACATACCAGAAATTTTTGGAGCGTAATGGTAGCGGAAGAACCAGCCCCATGAGGCGACCCCGCGATAGTAGTAAAAGAGGACCCATTGAATACCCTCGATATAATTTTCAGCTAACCCCCTCATTTCTTCCGTGTCGTCCAAACCAAATCCGAATTTCGCCTACGTCCGTCCCATCAGCAATTGGAAACCTGGACTTATTGGGATAAAACTCTTAACATACCTTGTAGTAACCATCTCTCCACGCTCTAAATTTCTCTTGATAGAGACGCTCCATTTCAGCCTTAGCCTCATCGGCACTAATATCAACGATAGAAGCCTTTTCAAAGGCCTTGAAAACACGATCCAGGGCCGCGCGGCCCTCTTCGTCCTCAAATTCCTCGTCTCCATCGAGGGAAGGATAAAATGATAGACGAGCAAACTTTTCGACATTCTCATCGGTGATAGTGATATACTGGAGACGGAGGCTCTGGGCGAGGTCTTCCACAAATTTCCTGTCAGCAGCATTGAGGCCCTTGATATCAAGGTATTTATCGATCTCCCCCTTTTTCCGGTTCTCGATAAATTCTCGAACCAGTTTATATAACCCCTTCTGATTTGTTGTCATAACAACTTTGCCATGTTTTTTAGGCTTCGCAGCTGCCTCTAGGTCCTTCATCTGTTTTCCTCTTAACCAACTAGCATCAGCGGTTTCCGTTTCGAAGACCTTGTATTCGAATTCTTCCATTTCGTCAAGGACTAAGCCCAACGTTTCAAGGTTTACCTGACCATGGTCGTTAATGTAGCCTTTGGCCTTGGTTAAAACCTTCTTGTAAATTTTGAACATGAGGGATAATGCACCCTCATTAATATGTAAACCGGGGAGATGAGGCAAAAAGTCATTCCCCACGAAGAAAGCGAGCAAAACAAAATCATCAAGAACCCGTTCAAAGTCATAAGGAACTGACAGCAGTCCAGGTTCTTTGAGTTCCTGGAACTCAAGTTCTAGATACTCACGCACGATACTAAGGTGCATGAGGTAGAAGTTCTGGTGCTCGAGTTCCTTGGATTTCTTCTGGTTATTACGGCCAAAAGTAACCTCCTCTCGAAGGAGGCAGAAGTGTGGATCGTGGCTGAGCAAGCCGAGCATGATAAGGTCAGCATCTAGACCATAGAGACAGTGTCTGAGATTAGGATTGTATCCAGGCTGAGCTTTCGTCAGCCGGATGTATTCCATAATCTTGTGTTCACCTTCACCGGGAACCTCATGGCCGGAAAGGATGATTTCCAAGCCTTGCCACTCCGCATCATCAGAAACCTTCTTGTTGATAAAGTATTTCAACTGCTCCGAGAGTTTCGCCATAAAACCTGTACCTGGCGTGATGCAATTGCTATCGAAGGGGTCTTCCTTGGGCATTTCCACGCCGTCCTTGACCGCCTTTTGATATGCCTTCTCGTTGTCTAGTGCTGTCCTAAATCGGCGAGCTCTCTGCTGGTTCATCTTGGCACGAGGGGCGACGCCGTCGATGGCCATGAAAAAGGTCTTTTTGGGTTTGATTTTACCGAACAAATGTTCGATATAGTTGAAGATCGCTATGAACATCTTCTCTTCTGTCATTCGGAACGTTGGACTGTCCGAGTCCTTGTGTGTGCAGTTATGGATGATACCGTTCATATCGAGATATAAAGCGTCGAACTCGGGTATTCTGTTCTCAGCAATGAGTTGTGAGATAGCAGGATATCTATACAGCTCAAAACGTTAACTTCATGACACGTTGGAGAGGACGATGAGCTAGCCGCCACCTACCGTTCCGACATCCATCGGAAGAATTTGGGGACACCCATGGTGATTGTGATTAGAAAATGAAATTAAGTCGTTGGAATCCGACGATGAAGCGTCCCGAGGGAAAGAAGAATTTGTAGATGAGTTATCTTCGGAAGTTTGAAACAAGGTCAGCCGACAGTCAATAGCAGCCACCTTGCTGTTAGGGAGGCGGCAAGAAGTACCGGGGAGGTCTGAAGTCATCCAAGCTCTAAAAAACAGACTTAAATGAATCGAGAGAAGCGTACCTGTGTGAGCGATGGTTATCGTGAATGTTGGCTGATGAAATAAGAGGAAGGAGGATGAGAGATGGGACAGGGTTGGTTGGTTAAGACAGGTTGGTTGATAAGTCAAGTTGGAGAGAACTGATTCATAGCTCCCGCAGTTTGTTGTTCGGGCCTGGTTTCGTGGTCTTGGCGATTGGATTCCCAAGTTGTGTGTTTGCCCCGCCATTCAGCCCAATTCAGTCCCGTGTGTTGCCAAGACTTTGCCATGTGTTGTCCCAGAGTCCCCCTGTGTTGGGCCCTGCGTTGCCATTCTCCGCCTGTGTTGGGTCCCGTGTTGGACCCCGTGTTGCCCTGTGCCACGCTATGCAGCCTCTCTGCGCGCCTTTCGCTTCCGAACGCGTGCTTTGACTTCAACCTTGAGACCTGTCGCTCTTCCATACATTCTCCACATCATCTACCAAAAAAGACTCGCCATCAACGTTGTCGCATCCCTCTCTCTATAACATCTAATCCATCCTGACCCCGGTTCAACCTACTGCTCCTTTGTATTCCTTCTACGAAAATAGTTTTTCACCATGCCTCGCTCTGAAGATGAAGACCTCATGGACGACGACGACGGTTCGTTCCCCTACTTCAATATCTACGGCGCTGATTGCTAACAGTATCTATAGTCGAAGTAGAACCAGCTAGTGCTGAAGAACAGATCGTCACCGAAAAATTGATCAACGAGGGTACTTTATCATCAAGCTAACCAGTTCGTCCTATATCATGGGAATCTGGACTGCCCTATGGTTCCGCGGGTGGCTAATCTCCAGATGCAAACGCTAGAATACAAGACATGGAAGAAGAATGCTCCTTTCCTCTACGATATAATTATGAGGTACTCCCGAGTATCCCTCAATCATTTGTTGGATTAAATAAGCTAATTGATATTATATAGCACTGCTCTTGAGTGGCCGACTCTTACGACACAATGGTTTCCTGACAAGCAAGAGTACGTCTCCTATATATCATCTCCCGGACAGTCCACGGCCTAATATCTACTGTTACACAGACACGACGGCAAAAATTACTGTACCCATAGGTTGCTTATTGGTACTCACACGTCCGGCGAGCGGGCGAACTACCTACAAATTGCCGATGTCCAGCTCCCAAAACCGATGGGTGACATCGACCCTAAGGATTACGATGAAACCCGAGAGGAAATTGGAGGCTATACCGGTAGCGACGAGGCTAGATTCGCGATCAAACAGCGAATTCTCCATGAAGGCGAAGTCAACAAGGCTCGATACATGCCCCAAAAGCCCGACGTTATCGCAACCATGTCGGTTTCTGGCAATGTCTACGTTTTCGACAGAACCAAACATGAGCTCGAGAGTATCAAGTTTAAGCCACAGATACAATTGCAAGGTCATGAAAAGGAAGGTTACGGCCTGGACTGGAGCCCTAAAATCGAGGGACACCTGCTCACTGGATCCGAAGATAAGACCATATGCCAGTGGGATATCACCTCATACTCCCGCGGCAACACCACGATTCGGCCTGTCAAGACTTACAATCTCCATCAATCTATTGTCAACGATGTCCGCTGGCACCCAACCCATTCAACTTTATTCGGATCAGTATCTGACGACCGTACATTAAAAGTTACTGACACTCGTACCGGCACAGCAGGCCACAGCGTTGTCGCTCACACAGACGCCGTGAACAGTCTTGCCTTCCATCCAGTAAGCCAATATACTATTGCTACAGGTTCAGCCGATAAAACAGTCGCCCTGTGGGACCTGCGAAACTTCAAGCATCAACTCCACGCACTCGATGGTCATCAAGGAGACGTCCTAAACTTGCAATGGCATCCACAAGATGAGCCGATTTTGGCCAGCAGCAGTACCGATCGCAGAATAATCTTCTGGGATCTTACTAAAATTGGAGAAGAGCAAACCCCCGAGGACCAGGAAGATGGACCACCTGAGTTGTATGTTCTTCCCTTCACACCATTCATGATAATTGTGGGATTAGATACTAACCCTTCTTATAATTCAGGTTATTCATGCACGGTGGTCACACAAATCGTGTCTCGGATTTTGCCTGGAACCCCCATGACCCATGGGTTATGGCTTCCGCCGCCGAGGACAATCTACTCCAGATCTGGCGGGTGGCTGGTGCTATCGTTGGCAAGGATGATGAAGAGATTCCCGAGGAGGAATTGATGTGAAAAGACTTTTTTTTTTTATTTGCTCGCTTGAGGGATCTTGATCGTGATCTACGCTAATGATTGTGGGCATGTGGATGAAGAAGTGGATATTTTAGAGGAGAACCCTGTACTACTAGCCTTTTTTTAAACTCTTCGATGGCGTTAATTCCATGCTTTCATGTTCTCACCGCGTGCACCACCTAAGTAGCTATAGAGCCAACTTTCCCATTTCCTTGGGATTCTTAGAGTCTCAGTAATCTCGATAATCCGATCTCAGTACTGCAGTGTGATACAATTTCTCACTAAAAGCACCCGAGTATTTGAATCGGTAGCTTAATTAACGTATAACCTTGCATGATCAGCTGAGGGATAACTGTGGTCTACTTGAACGAGCTTACAGTACCTGATACACATAATTTGCCTCGAAGCCTACAATTGGACAATCGATAAGAAACAAAATATTTTGGGGCTAGTATTCTAGAGAACAGGTAGCAGAGTCCTCCATCTTCATCTATGTAGCGTGCCGGAGTTAAGCTAGCTAGTAATACAATATTTTCGAGGCCTCCAACCACATGGCATTAGTTGGAGGTAGCCACACCTGAACGTTCCATGTGTCCGCAATTTCAAACAGTAGATCCATACCCCCCTAAACAATACCCACAAGTGCATATGCCATAACCCCATCCGAACAACCATTCAAAATAAAGGAGAAAACACAATCTAAAAATCTAGGTCCACTTCTGAACAACAACTGCATTTAACAGCCCCGCATCCTTCAAAACTTGATCCATCTCTTTGAGCTCCTTCGGTGGGAACGTTGTCTGCAGAACGTAGTTCCTTGATCGACTAGCGGTATTAGAAGCATTCACAAAGGCGTAGATATCCCCAACTGTATGCGTATGGTTAAACCTGCTGACAAGCCTTGTTCCATCTCCAAGTCTGATCTGTACGCTCGTCGTGGGCGCCGAAGAATCGACGGTAACTGTCTGAGGAGCTGGTTGGGCTGGGGCTGTAACAGCAGCAGGAGTTGAAGAAGAGGCGGGGGCGCTATCGAAGCCTGGTGTCGGGGCGCCTAGCCTTTGCCCAGCTCCACCGAATGGTACAAACTTCTTTTTGGGTTGGACGTAATCCTCATCCATCTTTCTGTGGACGTTTACGTCAGTCGGTTGACCTGGTAGGACGCCCATAAGATGGAGGGGCGCGCGGCCAGCTTCGATTCCCCGAAGAGTTTCCTGGTGCGCTGGGTCGTCATAGCGCAGAAGAGGTCCGTCCTCAACAGAAAACCCGTCACGCCAGAAATAGAGATTTCTAGTGACTTTGGGGGGTGGTCTTAGAGTATCAGCAATAGGGTCTTCAACCACCTGAGATGGGGCATCGTCGGATCCAAGGGTCATGCCACGCCCAGTAAAGCGAGAGGGTGGAGCTTCATCTTCGTCGTCATCATCTGGCTGCTGTTGGCGAGCCCTACTTCCCCTGGGACCATAAAATGTTAGTAATAGATCTAAATGTATGGAGGGCCCGTTTGCGTACTCTTGGGCTTGCTTAAGAATGTTCCTAACACTGTCGAGGCCGCGTTGCCCCGGTTTATTTGGATTTTCGACTGCGAGACCACTAAACCGAACGGTTAATCATTTTATACTGACAAGTCGATCTAGTAGCCAACTTACGATTTTTCTCCACCAGCAAACATATCTTGGCCACCCTCCTCATCACTGTCATCCCCCGGGCTGCCCCCACGACCTGGCGCTGTTGAGCGGCCGATATCCCCCAACGTCATCATTCTGTGGCCTTTGTTAGCTCTACCGAGTCATCTTTTTCTGGTTCCATTAATGACATACCCTCGTCTTCTTGGTGGCTGGACTGCAGGCTGAATGGCTCTTTCTGCCGGCTCACCAACAGATGATCCACCTAAAGTTCTCCCAAGCCCGGCAGAAGCTCCGGTAGGTGGTGGTGTAGCTTTACGTAGTGCCTGTGGAGCTTCCCAGTCATCTTCCTCCATGTCTTCGGCTTGTGCAGCGGCAGGTCTCGGTCTCGGTGCACCGGCATCTTCTGGAGCGGCGTAAAAGAGATCTAAAGCTTCCTTAAAACAGAGCAGAGTTAAAGCCTTATAATATTTAAAGGGGATTTGAGATATGCATAATTACTTGAAGCTGCCAGTTCGAAGACTCAAGAATTGCCCTTGCCTAGATTAAGAAAGTTAGCTTGGTTTCAAAGCTACCGTAGATAAAGACGAACATTTTCTGGTGGTGCCTGTGTCAGTTCAACAAACTGAGCAACGATCTCGTCACGATCTGCCATATTTTCGGTGTGATGGGGAGATATTTCCGTTGTGATGGCGGGGTAGCGGGGTCTAGAACGGTTCAGCCGAGCGAGTTCAACCACAGTATGCCGCAGCTAGCTTCAGACGGAGGGTAGATGTATTCTGGAGAGTATTCCTTCTGGTATCTGGGTAGTTGGATGATCTACTACGGAGATAATGATGTGGATGGTGTCTAAGTCGCGATGCTTTACTTCCGTGGTTAGAAAGCTGAGGTTGAAGATGTGGGAGGTATTTGAGTAAGTTGGTTGTGACGCGTAGAAACAAGCAGCTAGGCGGGTAACCAGAACTACCAGGTTGATGGGTGGTATCTGCAACACCCGGCTGCGTTGCCTCGTCGGCATCCACCCAAATATCGAACCTCACCTCCACAAGCCCACTCCTCCTCTCCCAGACTTCTCCCTTCTTCAGAACTCCATCTTGAACCCCTGGTTGTCAATTCTATCTAGATCCAAACATGTCGACTAACCAGCCGCCCCAAACCGCCTCCCTCTCCTCCTCCGCCGTGCTCTCTGCTCCATCCGACCCGGAGTCCACTAATCCTAATACAACAAGCTCTCCATCCACGGACTCAGCACCATTAATCCTTTATAATCCTCCTACATTTGTGTCTATTATCCGGTCGGCAGCTATCAATCTTTTCCTACCTTTTGTAAACGGCTTGATGTTGGGTTTCGGTGAGCTATTTGCTCATGAGATTGCCTTCAGGCTTGGCTGGAGCGGAACTAATGTAATATGCTCTTCAATAATCCCTAATCCGCATAGCTGAAGCAGAATAAAAAAGCTAACTTAAACATTCAAACAGGTGTTTCCTCTTGCTCGGAGATCCCGGTCACATATCGCCGCTCCAGGTGTTGAGGTTGTTGAGAACTCATTCGAGAAACGGAGGAGAGGGGGCGCGGACCTACGGGACCTGACAAGTTTAGAGTGATTGCTTTGGTAACGACACCGGTACACGCTACGGCTATATGGGAGCGGGAAGACATTGTGAATATTAGACAAGGCAGAATGCTTGAATCACATATAATGCCAGGGGACAATCATAAAAGGTATATGGCTACCGAGGCGGAAGCATCATAGTATGTACCTGTCATTTGAACACTATAAGGTATATGTACATAAAAATACTATCCATATTTTTTTTTGTTTTTTTCTCTTCCACCATGATCATAAGAAGAAAGAGAAAGGCATTGTAGCATATTCGATACTGACAGTCGGCAACGTCATTCGACAGAGCGGGGAGAACCGCATCTCGTCCCTCGTGACAAAAACAATATAGCAATAAGCGAATTATAAACCATAAATTGTAGAAACCCATTTCTTTTCCCAAGAACACCCGAAGAAGAAAACATTAAAGAAAGTGTAAAGAGGGTGAAGGTTGTATCAAGAAAGTAAAATCCATGCGCAAGAAACCTGGAATCAATATCGACAAAACGAACCAAAAAGGCGAGTGTTGGCTAACCTAGGATTTCACCGCCTTCAATCCTTCTTCTTACCAGAAGCCCACAGCCAACTGCCCCAACCGCCGTTCTTAGTATCGTCGTCATCCTTGCTCTCTGGGGCAACAGCGGGAGAAACCTTAGTCTCGGCTGGGTGGGCCTCGCTTTGTTTCTTGTGCTCTTCAATTGCGCGAATAACAGGATGATTATCGCTGTTTCCATTTCGGCGGCTTGGAGGATCGAAACGACGGATGGTCCCCAGCAGAGAACTAAGTCCCGCTGCATTTTCCTCGGTGTACTCTTCCCTCTCTAATGTCCCGTCTGAATATCTTCTCTCACGGACTTTCTTCAACCTCGTGATACCATCTGCTTCCGTCCTTGCAGTTGTGGACATTGACTCTGAAATCAACACTCTGTTATCCGTGCTTGGCTTGTCCTTGCTCGTCAATCCTGCAAAAAAGTCATGTAACTCCAACTCTGTCTTTGGCTCTCGCTCCTCTTCCGTTTTCTCTGTTGAATTGGAGTTAGGGAAGCGCACACCCTCCAATAGTTTGTCCACAGTGCCTTCTCGCTCCGTATTCTCCTTGATGATTTCGTCTAGATCCTGTCGTTTCTCTACCAATTGTTGCATGCGCTTTGAAACTTTCTTTCTTTCTTCGTGCATCAACTTTTGGAATTCCTCAAACGAAGGATCGCCTTCTCGTTCCCTCTTCTCCTTGACAATCTTGTCTAGATCTTGTTGTTTCTCTACCAATTGTTGCATACGAAGGGCCGCTTTGTTTCTCTCCTCATGTATCAACTTTTGAAATTCCTCAAATGGTGGATTACCTTCCTGGTCCATATTTTCTTTGATCATCTTGTCTAGCTCTTGTCGCTTCTCCGCCAACTGTTGCATGCGCTCTTTGGCCGCCTTATTTCTTTCCTCATGCATTAACTTTTGAAATTCCTCAAACGAAGGGTTATCTTCCCGCTTGTCGTTCCAAATATCGTTTTTTACCCTGTTCATGACCTTCCCTTTAACGTCGAACCGACTCGAGTCCGAGCTTTCGTATATCTTCTGAATCCAAGGAGCCATCATCATCTTAAAAATTTGCCCCAAAGGATTTTCTTGTAGAGGGAAAATTGGGGCTATAGTCGATTGAGTAGTTGTCTTCCAGCCGCCAACGACTTCCGGAGGTGGTTGTTCCCGTTCATTGTAGCGCCCATCAGGAAGAAACTCGTCAAAAAAACTTGTAAATAAAGGGTGCTTTCGTTGTGCTCCGTACATATCTTCGCCGAATAATTCTTTCAAAATCGATGACTGTTGTTGACCCGTCTGTCGTGTGACCGAAAATTTTGGTTCCCCGCCGTTGATCTGAGTTCCTTTGACTATCACTGCTTCCGGGGCTACCCCATCCCTCAATCTCGAAGCCCTTGCTTCTTTCACCCTAGCTTCCATATCAAGTAATCTTTCAAAGTCGTTTTGGAAAATACCATAATCCGTCCGTTGTTTAGCCGTCGAAATTTCCTTTTGCCGATCCATTTCCTCGTCGATAAGCTTTTCAAGCTGTGAAATATGGCCACTAAGGTTACGATCTAATAAGTCGATAGCTCGTAACCCTATGTTAAACAAGGGTTCTGGGAGCAATACCTCTGGCGGCATTGGTATATTTGGGAGAGTGATTGTGAGAATGATTTCGTCATCACGGTCCTTGTTCGAAGAAGTGTCGGATGATGAAGGCGAGGAGGGATTCTGTCCGGAACCACCGGAACCACCTCCAAATCCAGATACGCCGGATCCACTGCTTCCTCCCCCATTATTTTTCCCATCACCACCGTCGCGATCGCTGCTAGTCCTCGGCTCGTCTCCTCCATTACCACCTTCTCGCCGGTTCATATTCTCGAACTTATTTCGTTCCGTTTCTTCTCTGATCCAATTCGAACTCTGGGGTGTTTGTAGAATGCTCGGGATGCCGAATACAGAGTGTAAGGCGGCGGAGATGTGCTCGTCGGCGAATCGGCGAACGGAGGCGATGAAGTCTTCCTGTTGGCGGGGTTGAGAAGCGGAGGGGTTATTGGTAGAGTCTGGGGATTTCGTGGACTTGTCGTCGGACATGACGGTGACAGAAAACGAAAAAAAAGGTAGCTATTGACACATGTGAGTCCTGTTAGAAGGGTAGAGTCGTCGTCGTCGTCGTCCGTCAAAGATGCTTGTAATTCCAGTGAAGTCTATTGATTCCTTGATTCTTTGATTCTCCGAATTGTTTGGGTTGGTAGTTGAAGATGGGAAGTGGGTGGTAGGCAAAAGGAAGGTTAAATGGAGTGGTTTGTTGGGGGGCAAAGCAGAGCAGAGCAAAGCAAGGTTGGTTCTAAGCTAAGCGGCATTGGCCGTTGGCCTAATCAATTGATGTCACGAACACCCGTCCTCTCGACGAGAACACAGCTAGAACGCGACATCTCTACATCATCGACCAACATCGCTCTTCTCGCCAGATCAAGATATTTGGAAGAGTAGCAGCAGGAGCAGGAGCAATGTCGACACCAGCAGGCTCTCCGCCAGCTAGTGGCTCGCTTTCCATGCCCTCGCAAAACAAGCGTCGCATCTCTTCGAATCCTTCTACTCCGGGCGCGTCAACTCCAGGTGGTCCTTCATCTAAGAAATCAAAGGTCTCTGGGACTCCTTCGCTGTCACGAAAATCGTCCATTGCAGCTGCAGCTTCTAAATCCCACCCATTGCGACAAACATCATTCCCTCCCGAGAATGCCGATGCGGCTTCACGACGTCGGAGAAGTGCTAGTGTAACTTCAAATGCAACTACGAGCTTCACTCGAGGGAATAGCGTTGATAGAGTGCTAGTTCCACCGCCGGGGAATGGGAAAGATGACGCTGCCGCTGGAAAGGCAGGGGAAGATGATGGCGATGGGAGCGACGAAGATATCGGCGACGAACTATTGACTATCATGAGGGTCGGGGATATGGAAGATCTGGAACAGCAAAAAGAAGAAGAGCAAAAACGTCTAAAGTACCGTACCACCGGCTCCTTTTATTACAATTTAAACAAATAATCGCAAGTCTACTAACAAGGAATAACAGTGTTCTCATGGACAACTTCGACGAAGATCAGATGGCCCGTTACGAAGCATACCGCCGTGGAACCCTACAAAAATCTGCCGTCAAGAAAGTAGCCAACCTTGTACTCGGCCAGTCTATTAGCGCTAATGTTGCATCCGCTATCGGTGGCTTCTCAAAGATATTTGCCGGAGAGATGGTCGAGCGAGCGAAGGAAATCCAAAAGGCATGGGGAGACGACAAACCCGGTGCACCTTTGCTCCCAGAGCATATCAGAGAGGCAGCCCGGCGGTGGAGACTGGAAAATGGGAAAACGGCAGGGGACCATGTTGCAGCTATGGAAAATGGGAATAGGAGGAATGTCGTCGGCGGGATGGGTGGGAAGCTGTTCAAGTGATGACGATTCCTCTTATCGACGAACGACACTCTATAATTCATTACATGAACACACATTCACCCATTCACACACCGCTTCCCTCCCTCCCTTCTTACTTACTAGGTACCTACTCATGCATTGCGATGGCGTTAACTCGGTGGGAGGCGCTTGGGATATTGATAGACGGATCTGTTGCTTACTATTCTTGACTGCGATCCTATGTACATCGCTTTACCTGCATCCCAGACTATTTGCAAAAATTGATGTTTCCCACATGGAAGGGCTCTTTTCTTACAATCAACCAACTTGATATTATCATCCTTGTCGTCCTTGTGCATATTATCTGGGGCTTACGGCCGTTCGGCTGTCGCGAAATCAAGTACGCATGCGAGCTAAAACCTCAAACCTTCAAGCGAGCCGAAGCAAAATTTTGACCGCAAACTCCACCGCCATTCCCTCGACCACCAAACCACCCAACAACCATGCTGTCTAGAATTGTCCGTCGGCCATTATCGACACGGCTTCCCCGGACATCAATAAGAGCGGATTCCGGACTGCTATCGAGTCCTAGGCAGGTACTTCACTCTATTCAGTCGGTTGTGCAGAGCCTCATGGCATCCCGCCTATTATACTAACACGAACATCCATCGGTCCAGTTCTCACAGCTGCCGTCTGCCAGACATTCCACATCACGATGGACCCCATCAAGGCCGAGTGCTCTAGCTTCGCGTTCCTCGATTGCTATTAAAGCATCTACAATCCCTTCAATTCGCTTTGCATCCACCGATGCCGCCGCTCCTTCGACGAGCACCCCACCACCCAACATTGACCTCTCCAATTTCGCCCAAGAAGCCGAAACTCATTCTACTTCCTTCGTCGACCGTTTCCTCCCTGCCATCCCTTCGGTCCATGGAGTCACAGACCATCCGCCCGACACAATTGGTTATCTCTACGCCCTTGGTTTGGATAATGGCTGGGGCCCCACTACGGTCATGCAAAATGCCCTTGAAGCCCTCCACGTCTACACGGGCGCCCCCTGGTGGGCCGCTGCGGTCCTGGCGACCATCACTCTGCGTGCTATCTTCCTCCCTATCTTCATCAGTGTCTCCGATAATACCGCCCGAATGAAGGAACTCCAGCCCCTCCTACTCCCTTACATGGAACGTCAAAGAAATGCGATCAAAAACTCGGATCTTCAAACACAGCAACAGATAAGGACCGAAATCATGGGTCTTTACAAACGCGCTGGCGTGTCCCCGTTCAAATCGTTGTCCAATCTTGTACAGATTCCATTCCAGTTCGGATCTTTCATGATCCTAAGACAGATGGCATACCTCCCTGTTCCCGGCTTGGAGCATAGCGGCATCCTATGGTTTCAGGATCTGACCAGCGCGGATCCATTTTTCTTACTACCAGCATTATCTAGCGGTTTCCTTTACTTAAGTATGAAATTCGGTGCAGCCGATATGCCTAGCCAACAAGTTGGCAATATGATGAAATATATCAGGATTGGTCTACCACTATTCAGTTTGGGTATTACATGCACTATGCCATCTGTAAGATTTCCTACCCCTTACGTTATCGTACCGACCCTAGTGTCCGATAAACTAACACAAGTGCTAACCTTTCTTTTGTTTTGTTTTTAAAAATAGCTCCTAACCCTCTACTTCCTCACCGCCTCCTTCCTCGGTTTCATCCAAGCCCTAATCATCCGTTCCGAAAAAACCAGAGCCTGGCTAGGGATTTACCCTCTAAATAGGCCAGAAATTGCAAAACCACTCGTCAAATCAAATCTCTCCCCGGAAGCTCTCGCGAGGATCAAAGCTGATGAGACTATCGTTAAAACCGAAAAGGATCGGCGGATGAGAGAGTCAAAGGGCGGGATGCTCGCCACGGCGATGGGAACAAAGGGCGGGCTCATGGATGGTGTTAGGGAGCAGATGAAGAATAGCTCGGAAGAGAAAAAGCATAAAGAGTATGAGAGAAGAGCAAAAGAGGAAGACGAGTACAGGAAGGTTATGGGCAGGAGGTAGCCCGTAGTTTAGCTGCACCTAAAATTTGTATATTTACACTAAATTCGCAAATCGTATACCGTATATGATACTGCGATGCTACGAAGTAGCAAAATTCCAGGGATATGTATAAATTATAAGATTTGGAGTTAAAAATAAACCAATAGATAATCAGGAACACCCACGCTGCGCTAAAGATCTCAGCCTCAGAACGAACTAAATATAAGGATATGCACAGCTATAAAATCAGCCAAAAGTGAGTACAGTCCCGAATCCAGACGGTGTAAGCGCCAGGTAAGTAATATATCTAATACATCCAAGAAATGAAACTAGGAAATCGAATATCGAACATCATTTCAACATATAACTCATATCGGGTAATAAATTGATGATTTCATTGAACACGGAATCTTCGTCTTTCTTCCCAACGATAGGCGACATAGTCACACTTCCCCTCGACACATGTTTCGATGTTCCAGTCGGCGGTAACTGGGCTCCTATATTTCCCATGGAGGCGGTAGGTCTATGGCCCATTCCCTTGACACCAAGCCCCTTTACGGAAGGCGGCTTCGTCTCAGCAGCTTTAGGAGTAGCATCTTCAAAAGCCCCAAAATCCATGTCTCCCCATTCGGATGCTAGCGGGGATGATATGTTTGGCTGTGGTGAGGCGGTTGGCCTTGGAGGAGCAGGTTGAACAAACTGCTGCGTTGGAAATATCGGTGTCGAATACCGTTTGTTCGCCGTCTCATCTTTCTTTACGCTTAGGGAGTTCATAGAGCTTATAGAAGAAATCGACCCGTTCCGAGCCATTGAAGAGTTTTGGTACGCCACCTCTGGCGAGTCCTTAACCGCCGGCGGGTGTGTAGCTATAGTTGGAGTTGAAACCCGGCTCGGAACAAGGGTATTTGGCGAAAAGAGGGAAGCAGCACCCGGGGAAGGAGTCCCAGGTATTATTGGCATATTATTGATTTTTTGGATAGATATAGGGGAAGGAATCCGTTTTGTCGGTGGCGGTTTCGGAGTTGGTAGAATATCTTGGGGGTTGGCACTCGTAATATTCTCTTCGGATGGGGCCCCAAACATATCTAATGTCCATGACCGACGGCGAACAGTTGGTGGCGGCTCAGCGGAGACGGAAAGCTTTGGCGTCTCTGATGTTGGCCATTCCACCGCCTTTTTATCAGTAGACGGAGTTGATACCATCTCACCCCAATCGTCAAAATCATCGTCTGCGATAGCTGATTCATTATTTGTGCGCGTGATGATAGGCGGCGAGAGAATTGGAAGCGCAGGTTGTTTCACTGGAACTTTCCCACTAGACTTGCTCGACAACGGTGGAAGAGAAGGGCGGCCCATAGGGGTTTTTGGGGTCCTAGGAGGAGCTGGTTGGGGCGCTGCCTGAGCCTGCTTAGGAGCATCAAATATATCAAATGAACCCCATGGATCAGTAGCAGCTTGTTGCGCCAAAACTATCGGAGCAGCCGGGGTCGTTGCCTTAGAGGTTTTAGCCATTATCAGGTCGAATTCATTCGACTTCGTCGCAATGTCTAAAGAACTTCGAACGGGTGGTTCAGAAATTATGTTAATAGGCTGCGCTGGTGCCGAAACATGATGAGGTTGCGATGTTGGATTAGAAAGTATCGTTGACTCAGGAGCTGCGAATGTGGGTGGTGCAGCTTGTGGGATTTGTGGCGCAGCCTGAACATATGAGGGGGCCGTATGAATCAATTGGGGGGCTGCTCGTGGGGGTGGAGGAGCAGCTTGCAATTCTGGGCCTTCGAAATCGCCAAAGTCATCGTCAAATGAAGTGTCAGCTGGAGCTTCTGTTGGCTTAGGTGGCGAACTCTCGAAAACTGATAGATCCATACTCGGCGGATCTGTATGGGCGGCCTTTAGTGATACAGAAGCACGAGCTGGCGGTGCTCTCATTTCAGCAATCGACAGCTCCCCAAATAAACTCTTTGGGCCAGGCTCAATGAACATAGACATTGGCCTGTTCGTTGATGGAGTCTGTTTGGGACGTGGGATGTCCACGGAACTACTTGCTGTATGCTTCGGAGCTGTAGTTTGTCTCGGAGATGATATAGGCGGAAATGGTGAATTGCCAACCGGACTACTGACTCCAGGAGGGCTCGCTAGCTTTGGGGAAGCAGCAGATGCCTTCGAATTCGTCGAAGGGCTCCCGCTTGACCAACCGAAAGTCTGATTCTGAGGGCTCTGCGCAGAGCTCCAACCAAAACTTGGTGACCGAGGCGAGGTAGGTGAAGTAACACCCATTGACATCCGCTTCGCCGGCTCAAAACGAGATTTAGGAGGCTGAAAGCCCGGCTTAGTAGGGCTCATCGCACTAGAACGCGGTGAAGTAGAATTCCAATCGAACATTCCGGCGCCGCTTGCGTTTCTTCCCAACATTGTCCTTCCGCCTATGCGGTCTTCGGATATCCACCGTTTGACAATCTCGTGGACTTTTTTCTGGGTTTCGGACCCAGTCCACCTAACCCTTAGTACATCTTCGCCTTGGATGCTATTACGAGCTGACTCCTTTCTGATGAGCTTGTACCACGTCTTCCGCCTTAGAACCACAAAGTTAGCGATGCCTTCTGGACATGAGCAACCAGTTAATCTACTTACTGCGACGTCGTGGAAATTATTCCCGAGATATCAGAGGTAGGAAGCTTGAGGGAATTGGGTTTGTAAAGAGCGTCTAGTGCGCCAAGATTTCCAATGGCGAAGTTATCAATGTCGATATTTCTTATATCGAATGGTGCCAGCACTAGTACACTAGATACTGGGGCTTCCACGTCAATGGATGTTGTCGTGTCTTCGGCTTCAAAATCCCCAAAGTCGGATCCCATCGATATCGGCGAAGTAGATCGAGAGGGTACCGTTTCAGGTACCGTCAGACTTAGTTTTTCCGGTTCCACAGGTACAGGAGGGGATAGTTTTTCCGTCCCTTGTGTATCCAGGTCAACTTGACCTTCGCGCGTGGCCCCGTCGGTTTGTGCTTCCGCGGGTACTTCCGTTGGTTTCTCCATTGGCTCTTCCGTTGGTTCTTCCGTTGGTTCCGTAGCACGCGCAGTCGGTGAAGGGGGACCAGTGCCTGGACCAGTACCTGGAGCAGGCTGGGCCTCGATATTAAAGGTTTCCGCATTATTTTCTTCTGGAATCTTGTGCTCTTCTGATTCCGGCGGGTTCGTCTCAGGCTTCCCCCAGTCGTCCGGCTTGTTCCAAACATTCGAAGCATCTGAAGGGGCCAGGCTTTCCTCCGATTTTGCCCATTCGTTCTTGTACGTCCAATTGGCCCCGCCAGGCTTTAGTCTGTCCTCATCGTGGTCTGGCGGATGGATCACTGCAATTCCGTTCCCGTTCCCGTTCCCATTCGCCCCAGAACCCGTTCCCTCCACTTTCCACCCATCGCCGCCGCGTATATCCGCATGCTGCGTATGTGAGGCATCATGGTCGTCAAACCCCCAACCATTGGTGAAAGTCTCCTTATTCTCTTTAAAAGGGGTGAATCCATTGACAACCCCACCCCCCAAGCCGACTTCGCCTCCATTCGTCGTCACCCCTTTCTGGCCCTTGGATATTGCAGGTACCGACGATTGAAAATCGGCGAAGTCGTCGTCATCGTTTGTAGTTTCAGCCCAAGGAGAGCTTGTTGCCCAATCGTCCATCGATCAAACGCGAGGTGTGCAGAGAGCTGCTTGCGCGACCCATCGAGGTCGAATTCAGTTTCAGGGTTTGGCGATTGCTTTGGGAAAATGCTGGGGTGAGCTTTGCATTTAGCTGTTTCGGCTTCCAGGGAAGCTGTGGCGCCAGAGCTTGGACGACACACAACACAAACAATGGCTATTATCTACCACTGCGTACCAGCTGCAACAAGGAAACAAGTTAGGGTACTTGGGGAAGTAGGGAAATACTTCCTAAGTAAATTGCTTAGGTAAGTAAGTAAGTAAGTAAGTAAGTACTCACTCATAATGGTACTTAAGTAAGTAGATACTGTCAAATGGAGAAACCCCGCTGTCATCCACCCCCCCAAATTTTGATAGTTACGAGGTAGAACGGAAAGTGAAAATGACTCCTTAGGTAACCTACCTAGTATTCTTAGTTCTTTATGAATGCCATCGTTTGCTCACATTTTGTATCAAACAAACAAAACAAAAAAAAAAGTACCTGCCGAACAAGGCAAGCACCGACGAAACCAAAGCAAAAAAATTGCAAAAGAAATACGCGAATTCACCCACTGCAAGACTCGAACTTGCAGCCTCCTGATGGAACCTCTCGGATAGAAGTCAGGTGCGCTAACCATTGCGCCAAGTGGGCGACTGTTGAAAAGCATTCTTTGGTTTCGAGTATATGACGCTACTAACATGCCTTCCAGGAGCGAAAAGACCGAATGTGTTGCACGATGCGTATGATGTGCGGACAACATGGGTGCAACTCGGTGTCGTAACCAGCGGGCAATTGGGTATGGGGCTGCCTATTGTAGATTTAATCTCGACTATAACAGATACCTGTATCATGGCCAGGGTACCGCTGAGATATCTGCTAATGCTTCGGTAATCAATAATATCAATGCTTGCAATTGCTTTCCAACAGGAAATGCAGATACTGTGCAGTCCACCCTCAAGTTTTCAATCGACTTGAATGAACTGAGGCAGTTAACTTCAAGCTCGCAAGGTTCCTCATGTACCCAGATAAGCTTATTTCTGAAACGAAGCTCAGCCTGAGGGATATTCTGGAGACAATGTAGCACCGATCACGACATCAATTCCTGATCGACGTAAACATCGGTGTAGCTCTGGCCCCTGGCGTTATAGCTTTTCTCGGATATTATAGTTGTCTTTTTTCCAATTAACATCCAGGAGCCTGTCGGGGGGGTCACTCACTCCCACTATCCAGGCGGCTCAGATACTCAACGGTCAATCAGGGAACCGGTAGCACCTGACTAAAATTTCCTAGCTCTATTCCTTGAGTGATATAAAAAAATTTGCACTTGGATGGATGTTTGATAAGATCAAACAGCTCCCGATATCGTGGATATTCCACACACCTACACAAACGCACGCTGCACTGCACTGCATCCTCGCAGGCGGGTCCGGAATGTGCCAGGGCTTGCATTCTTTGATGCACAAGGGTGAGCTTAAAATCTATGCAAAGACTCTGATTGGCACTTGTGTGAGAAACCCCAGAGGTTTCGACACCGGCATCGCTGTCATTCGTTTGATTCCTGAGCTCTGGAAGCTGCATGATTGCCAGCCCTTTACATGTGTGCAACCTGAAATCAGAAGCCAACAAGTTAGCTAGAAGCCATCCGCTGTTTTCCCCTTCGATTTGCAGTTTGCATTGCGCGCATAAAAAGTGTGACGAGCTGCACAGTTTAAGAGGGATATTGCGGAGAAGTCTATCTAAAGCAACAGGCAAGGGAGGACGGAGATGATGTCTTGTCCTACCTCACAGTATGCACGACGAAGGAGCTAGAGCTTTGCATACATACAACATACAATACCTATACATACAACCTCCTCCGCAGCTTGTCCCTACAAGACAAGGTTGTATACAGTCCAAGCCAAGTAAGTAAGTAAGTAAGTAAGTACACTTGATCAGTGGCCTTAGCTTGCTGACGAACATTCGATTTTTTTTATTTTTTTTGGTTGACTGGCCCCGGACAAGACTCGGTCCCTCGGCAAAAGGCAGAATTTTCCAAGCGACCAGGTACCAGATTTGCCTTGTTTGGACGGCGCCGATTTTGCCAACTGTGTGAGTCTTGTGGATTTCGTATGTAGAAGGGCTGTACTGTGACCATGCGTCACCGCCCGTGGATGTCTGAGATGAAAAAAAAAAAAAAGAACTTGTTCCTTTTTTTATCCTGTCTTTCTGGAAGTCAAAGAGCGTTAGTGTGTGTCCACCATGGTTATAATTCCTTCTCACTGCCATCTGGAAAAATACCGCATATAAAACTTTTTCCCGCACAAATCCAAGCTGTCATTTGGCCCCATTCCAGTCCGCGGTTCACTGCATCTGTTGTCTCAATCCATATCCTTTCGTCTTTCAAGTTGTAACGTTAACGTTGTTGGTTGGAGTGAGAAGAGATAAAAAAATAGAAATAAAAAATTAAAAAAGGAGCGGCTGGACTAGCGAGCTGTCTCGAACTTAAATCTGCCAGATCTCTTTTTCTTTCTTTCTTCCTTTCTTCCTTCCTTTCTGTTACTTCATCCTTTCCTCTAGTGAATAATTCACTGCTTCAATTATATTCGATCGTCCGTGATTCTGCTCAAGTAGCTTTTCTTTGGATTTGTGTAGGTGCCCCTCTATTCCTTATCGACACTCGACCTGTTGCCAGATTGAGTTTTCCAACAGCAAAAACACACACACACACATACGCATATACACACACCCTGGATCAAATCAGATCAGATCAAATATACTGACGACTCTCGAATATTAATTGTAGACCCAAAGAAAGCTCTCCCAATTCATAAAAGTATAAAACAATAAATCTGCTCTCAGTATCTGACCCGTAAAACGGTCGGCTCTGTCAGCTTCAGTTCTGGCGAACTTACTCCATCTCTGATTCCCAAAGGCTGTAAAGCCGCAAAACCACAACCAACGAGTCTTCAATCCATCGGACTGGGACTCGTGAACAACCACAACAGATTGTAAAGCGTCCGCCTCATATGAGCCCGAAGGACCTACTGCGATACCTCTCCAAGCCCGCTAAGTATGTCAATTGGTTGAATTCTGTTGCTGAAGAAGGAAGATATTTAAGTGCTTAACGGGTCCTAACAATGCATGCGATGAATTCAGGCCCAGATAACACCCGTCCAAGGACATAAACCATCACAGCAACCTTTCTTCTGAACATCAAAATTTTATTCTAAACAGAACGAGGACCTCCTCGTCTGCTCTTGACCGGTATCGCTTTCCCACGATATCGGCTTCTTGACGGCGAGGACGGGGCAGCCTAATCGCCAACATTCTTTGCTGAACAACCTTCCCCTCACCTCCCTTCCGGGGTAGATACCGCATTATCTATCCTCAGGGTTATCCCTTCATCTTCACCTTCGTCTTCACCCTCACCTTTACCTTCATCTTCACATTCATATTCGTTTCCCCCCACCTGCTAGCTACCGTTGGAACATCAAACCAACAGCCTTTCTACTTGCGATCTTTCTCACCCGTTTAAAAACTTAAATCACTCACCACTTCTACGAGAATGGTTCAATTCAACCCAGCCGATTACCACAATGAGTCAACTCACTTGTCAATCAATCATGAGGCGACTATTGGTCTAGATTCCACCAATGCCTTTGAAGGTATATTGCAACATCATTTTCGTGTTGAGATGTGGTAGAAAATACCTCTACGGAAGAGAAATAGCGTAGCTAACATGAGTCGTCAACACTAGGCCCAGAAAAGCTCCTAGAGGTTTGGTTCGCAGCCTCGCCAAATGACCTACCATCCACCTGTGCTCCTGGTGGCCTCAAAAATGTCCACGAACAGCGATGGAAGGATATGCTTGATCTTGTCAAATGCAAGGTCTTGTCGGTCGTCACATCTGAAGACGTTGATGCCTATCTCCTCAGCGAGAGCAGCATGTTCGTTTTCCCACACAAGCTGATCCTTAAAACTTGTGGCACCACGACTTTATTGCAAGGGCTTCCCGATATCCTCGAGATTGCTGCTCTCGACGCCGGGTTTGCATACACTCCTTCTAGAACCGGTAAACGAGCTGCAGCTACTACCTACAGAGTGTTCTACTCCCGTAAGGCCTTCATGTTCCCTACCAAGCAACTCCATCCCCACAGGAGCTGGAACGATGAGATCGCTTGCCTCGACACCATGTTCATCAAGGGAAGCGCTTATATGATTGGCAAGATGAACGGAGAACATTGGTACTTGTATACTACGTCTCCAAACCAAGAGTTGACTCCTCCGGCATCACCAATCGAGGTTGAGCATAGCTCCAACGGCACCGAGACAAAGATGATGTACTTTCCAAACAGTATCAGAGGAGAGGATGAAACTTTGGAGGTTCTCATGACAGACCTCGACCCAATCAAAGCCAAACAGTTCTATCTAGACAACGCGAGTGCGGTCGCGCATAAACAATTCTTTGGGACGAACGGCTGCACCACCAACGGGTACGTCGCTGAGAGATACGGACCACTGTCCTCTCGTCTCGGAGACTCTGACAGCTCTGATTCCGAGACTGAATTGGAATGCCCAGCGGAGTTGACGACGGAGGGCCATGCCCTGGGAACCGTCGTTGCAGAAGCGTGTGGATTAGTTGATGTCTATCCGAAAGCTAAATTTCCAGAAGCCCGGATCGACTCGTACCTTTTCACCCCCTGCGGTTTCTCTGCCAATGCAGTCATCCCCACCGAGACAGATACCCATTACTGGACTGTCCACGTTACCCCGGAGCCACACTGCTCCTATGCCTCATTCGAGACCAACGTCCCTGGAAACCAAACAGGTCGTGAGACCGTAGACGTTATCCAGCACGTCGTTGACATCTTCAAACCGGGCAAGTTCTCAGTCACATTGTTTGAAGCCCGTCCTTTGTTCGATCCTCGATTCCAAGATGTCGCTACCCTCAAGCGTTCCAACAGAATGGATAAAATCAAGGGCTACAGACGCATCGACAGAATCGTCCACGACCTAGAGGGCTACGACCTCGTATTTAGGTACTACGAGCGTGAAGATTGGAACGGTCCATTGGGGAAAAACATCGGCTACCATGAGTTCTAATTCGAAACGACGGGATATATTCGGGAGCTAGATAGAAGCCACCCTCCTTTGTCTCCACTTTTTTTTCTTCGCTCCTCCAAACTATCTCCAATGGTGGTATTTGTATCCCTTCGGATTACGTTTTATACACAATTGCTTTTCTTTCTTTCCCCTCCTTTCAACCCTACTTATACCACATGTACAAAGAGCATACACCCTTTAAGTACGTCTATCAGTACAGCTGTACATGTTTATTACGTGGAACAATTTGTTCTCTGTTATTATCAGCCGAGAGTAAGCTTAATCCAAACTTCAATCATCGACGACCCATAATCTACCTAGTTAAATATCGAAAAGCGGTAATCATTCCCGTAGTTTACCATACTAGACGTCGATTTCGTGTTAGCGTCAAACTTAGAAATACATAAGGAGTAGTTAGTAATGAAATTCTGCTTAGTGTGTGCACAAACGGCACCAAGGATGGAAGGACGGAAGTTCGAGAGGCGAGCAAGTTAGCAATACTCTTGGAAACCTTATAGTTACGGGTCTTGATGCCTCAAAGGGAGAAATGAACCTTATATCATGGAATACAAGTCAATATGCATGGAATGCGACATCGGTAATTCTCATTCAGTCCCTGCAGCCTCCAACCGACTGTTAACGAGCTAGCGCCGCTGTTCTCCGCAATTGCGCCTTAGCGCCTGTAGCTAGACCACCGGCTAAGGCAGTTTTCGCCCGAAAGAACCGTTAACTTGGGTTAGCTAAGGAAAAAAATCTTTTCGGACTGGGACCAAATGCGGGTATTCCGGATGAGCGAATGGGATGTTGTGGTTGCTCATCATGTTGCGGTTTCGCAGGGTCTTGTTGATGGCCAGAAGTTAACAGAGCAGAGCTATGAACAATTAACAGTCGCAGGCTGTTCCCTTTCGACTATCACTTCGATACTTCTTTCCCAGAATCCTGTAGACCTTCCTTCCATCGCCATTTGATTCCTATTAATATTCTTAAGGTCCTAAGTCCCCGAATCTGTCACTACAATTTAAATAAGAAATCCAGTTGCATGCGACCGATGCATTAATAGAGTATCCATTGCCTCCGTATATCTCGACCTCGAGCTTATAAATATTCGCCCCTCGCCCCCAAAAGGATTTCGTTCTAGGCTCAATTCACAATTCATACCTATCTTAATACCATCTATCACATTAACCGCTTCTTCCCGTCTTTTAAATACTCTTTGGTGTCCCTGATTCACTCTGTTTGAAAACAAAAACCTTCTCTTCGGAAAAAAAAAAAGTCTGTTCGGTTGATGGACCATACAGCCTACCAACAAACAGACTTCGCCGCTCAACCTATAAGGTCACTCGCGAACCTCAATACACCTTCCACCCCTCAATCTTTAAGCAGAATGACCCAAAACGACGTTATGTCCTCTGCGACAGCCCCAGAGCAGCAGCAGGAAGCTTCGGCGCTCCCACTTCCGCCACCACACCTCGAGACAAACCCGCTGTTCAGGTCGATAGCTGCAAGCACATCGGTTTATCCACATTTGCATCCCCGTCCACTGCAGGATGCTCCGGTGGATATTAAAAACGCTATTGTTCCGGTGCAGCCCCAGACCAGGTTCCAACTTAACGGTCATGAGCCTACAAAGACGCTAGATACCTACGGAGCACACACTCCTGCTGTTTCGAGACCTGAAAGTCCTTTCCGTCTGGCTACACCAGTGGATTATGACGGATTGAGTTGGCCGAGTATGTTACACAAGATTCCGTGAATTGTGCTGAAATTTTAAGATTATCTTACTAACTAGGGTATGTTAGGTACCGGAACTAGAGCGAGGTTGGACGAATCTGAGGAAGAGAAGGCTGCTAGGGTCAAGAAGATGGCTGGAGCGTATGTTTTGAAGCCTATTTGTAGTTGAAGCTCTGGACCCATGCTAACATTCAGTGTAGTATCCAGACCCTCCTTGAGTGTATCGGCGAGGACCCATCGAGAGAAGGCCTACTTGCGACCCCGGAGCGATACGCCAAAGCTATGCTTTTTTTCACTAAGGGATACGAAGAGAACCTCCGCGATGTTGTCAACAATGCCGTTTTTACAGAAGATGCAGACGAACTAGGTACAATTCCAATTTAGAACTAGTAACCATGGCTATCGGCGCTTTCTAACAAGTTTTTTTTGAATAGTCATTGTTAAGGATATTGAGATTTACAGCCTGTGCGAACACCATCTTGTCCCATTCACTGGAAAGGTATGTCAGATCCACTCATAGTCAGAAAAATAAGGGGCAAAAGGAAATAATAACACTAATACCATCGATTCTTTCAGATGCACATCGGCTACATCCCCAATAACCAAGTTATCGGTCTCTCCAAGCTCGCCCGTATCGCAGAAATGTACTCCCGTAGACTTCAAGTCCAGGAGCGTCTTACCAAACAAGTTGCTCTTGCTATTTCAGAAATTCTGAAGCCCCAGGGCGTGGCTGTCGTCATGGAGAGCACGCACATGTGTATGGTTATGCGAGGCGTTCAGAAGTCTGGCGCTGTCACAACCACCAGCTGCATGCTTGGAAAGATGAGGCAGGCTGCTAAGACAAGAGAGGAATTCTTGAACCTAATCAAGAGGTAAACGCTTAATTGCGTCTCTCATATCCTTTAGTATAGTTTATGATCTTGGTAGGTATGGTTTCGTTATATATTGGCAACGGTGCTGAACCGTTTGAAGTGCCACTCGGCGTATAATTTTTTCCGGCGAATTTTTTTTTTTTATGATTGGTTCTCCATCTTGATGCTCTTGCAAAGCCGGTTTCAACATTGGGCGGTAACTTTTGGTTTATTTTTAACATATATTCATTGCATCCTTTTTGACTTTCACGGAGCTGGGGGGGATACAATGTTACATTGCTCATATTCAACATTATAGAAAAAAAGGGAGCATGCAAGAACCTACGAGGGGAATATGGGAGGATTCACAGTATCTTATGTATAACACGGCTTCGCCGCCAATTTCCAATTTCCAATTTCCTTACCTTCTTAATGATGGAAAAAAGGGGGGTTCTTGGACTATCTTTCTTGTCCTGTTTCTGGGATCTCATTTTTCTTTTCTTTATCTTTTTCGGTTCTGATTGAGCACCTAGTACATGTGCACGGCCCTCTTTCAACATTGTACCGATGTATTCTATATACTTTTAGTGGGGTGGGGTGCGGGAAGGAGTTGGAACAGCTGAAAGGTGCAGATGGGAAGGGTTCTGGGAAGGCGTTCACCACGCCTATATAAGTACTTAAGTACTTAAGTACCTATTTCAATGGACAATTGTGTACCTAGACCTTTATTTCATGGTGTCCCAGTACACTTTATATTGTACATTTGGTTTTTGGTTTTATAGATCCGGATTTTTGAAATTTGAAGTGACTTATACCTCTTGCATACTTCGGGTACAATGATAGTTACCCAATTACCAGACTACGAATAGCTTAAAAATCGTCCACAAAAGCATTCTTGATCAAGAAGTCGATAGAGATAACACACAATCAATAGTTAGTTACTCTATAACTACTTAAGTAGTTGGAATCGAATTTGAATACTCATGAAGACGGGATAACTGTGCATAGATATATCATGGAAGATCTATAAATTGATCTTAAATCCACTACTATAACTACAATTCGTTAAACTTACGAACCCACAAACCCACCAGCGGTTTCTTATATTCAGCTATTAAGAGATCGATCGGTTTAACTGCACTTTCTAACTCAAAATACCAAATATATGTTCTCTCGAAGATTCAAATTCACGTTGAACGTTCACCTGTGCTGTTGCAATTGTGCTGGGCCCACCAATCCCAATGTGGTAATTGTTCAATTCTCATTGCATGTTCAACAATACATATAATTGTTAATTGATTCTGACACGTTTGGGACGCTTCTCATGACATTCATGAAAGTATCTGTGAATTAAAATGAAGAAGCGCAAAAAAAAATGAGGGGGAGGTTCTCCCTCTCCTCTTTTTTTGGTCTCTTCTTGTTTTCTTCGTCCTTCTATATCCCGTACTCTTCGTAGACATCTTCGAAAGCCCTTCTTTCTATCTCAGCATCAATTACCCAAACCGCCTCGATAGACTGCTACCCAAAAAATGCAACAAGAACAACACACCACTCTTAACACGCCCGCGAACACGATGGAGAAAAGACGAGCAACTCTCGATGAACTCAAAGAGTACAATTTATCCGGTGTCCCTATTATCCCAAGTTCTACTTCGCACCGGTACCATTCTCATAACCGTGGGAATTACAAGTACAAAGATGAAATCGATGAAGACCTCGAAAGGGGATTGGCCGAAATCGAGCTTAGTGTCGATGATTCCGTTCATCAGGGACATAGCATCAACAATCGCAATCGCAATCGAATGCCTAGAAAAATAACCATTCTCTCAAGGCCTTCCGAAAAGCCTCAAAATAGTGCTAATTCAGTCAATATCTCAAATTCTACCACCGGCAAAGTTCAGGATACCAAATACCAGAGATCCAATAATACCTATACTCCACGCTACCAAGGTTACGAGAACACGGACTTCAACAACCTTTCTAAGACTCAACAGCGAAAGCTGCGTGATCATGACAGATTGGCTCGTGTTCAACAGCGAATTAATTCCAATCAAGCGTACAAGGACCAAAAACTACATTCAACGAATGCCAGCTTGAAAGAAGACGTTCAAAATCCCGAAAGTCCGACCCCATGTATTGGTTCTAGCACCCCTACTCCCTTGAACTCCAAGAACTCCGATCGGCTTTCGAGTACCTGCGGTTCTAAACCCGTCCCTAAGTTCACGATTATGCAGCGACCCCCCCGTCCTGCTAAAACTCCTTCTTCAGTCCCCCCTCTGGTTCCTCTCTCAGTCGACGCATGGTTGGACCAGCAAAGCACTTCAGGCCCCTGGAACCCGCTCAGACTGGATACTAAACTCAATCCACGAGGTAATCGAGAGCTACGTCGTGAACACTTTCAACAAATCCAGTTGGAGACTGATGCCCACCTTGCGCAATTGAGTGGGTATCAAGAAAAATTGGAAACGTCAATCAAAGAAGACTAGTGGTCTGTCTAAGTAGGTTAGTGGCTTCGGCTCTCAACTAAGGCCGTGTGGCTTTGAATGATTTCTTAGTTACTAACAATCAACCAATATTCTTTCTTTTCCGGGTTCTAGAATACGTTTTACCAAAATAGGGCCCGAGGCGCCGGAAAGAAACCTTGTTTATTCAATTTGATTTGATTTCATCATTTGCTGTTGATACTAGCCCCTCTAGCGTCTACAAACCCATTTAAACTTCAACTTCCAATAGCTTACTTCATAAATGCTAATATTAGTGCAGTACCCTAAATTAGTCTTGTGTTATCCCAAATCTATTCTCACACCTGCTAACCGAGACTACTCCATTTCTATTTCGATCTAAGAAACAATAGGAATCGAGATCTTAGCCTAGAGGTGGCAGACCAAACGGCATAAATAGCCTCAAATTACTGAGCAAGAATTACTTTCTTCATTTTGGCCCTTTTTCTCTTGGTTTTCTTTTTGTTTTTGAGAAAAAATGATAAAATAAAGAGATCACGATTTCGTTTGGGATTTAGTACTAAGTAGGGATCGCTATTAAGATTCATCAGCGTCATAAAAGTAGGACAAGAGTATGAACATGAACGTAGGTTAGGTCCGATAGTGGAAACAGACGACAAGTAGGGAAGCAAGAAAGTGCGCATGCGTGCAGAAAGTCATTAATGCAAAAAGCCGATTCCATGTGTCCCCTCTAAAACAATAAGAAAAACCCGGAAACAGTACTGCCCCGCTTTTGCAACCATGTAAAACGAGTTCGGTATGTCTAAAAGGCTAAAGGGAGAAAATCATTGTGCAAGAGACGCAAGCGATTAAAAGAATAAAGAAACTTGGTGGTGGAAAGGAAAGAGAAGAAAACAAGACATCACACCCAAAATTTGAGCGAGAATGCTGAAGTAGAGGTCAAGCAAGCCTACTACAACTTGGAGGCGCTCCACGGGAGAGAGAGCTTGGAAGTGAGCCAGTTCCACATCTGAAATCGTTGTTAGTATCGGCAAGCAAGAATAGGAAGGGGTTTGCGAATTGTAACTTACGCCAGGGTCGGTCTCCTCGACCTCAGTAGGGACGGCAGTAGGATCATACATCTTTCCTTTAATGTATTCAATCAGAGTGTCATCATCCATTCCAACAATCTCAGGATTGCGCGCAAGATGCTAATATACAAGTCAGTAAGTTTTGAATTAAAAGTGTTTCCGTATGGCTTATGTACTTACGTTACGTTCAGCGGCGCGAACGACGCCAAGAGCAACTCTGGCGCTAACATCCCGAATTCGATTAATCCTCGGGTAGATGAGGCCATCATCACGCTCTTCCTTTGTTAAGGATGTAGCAAGGTATTCGGCAGAGGCGTAGATCATGTCTTGGTTGATCAAGCTGGCCTGGGAAATGATAGTTCCCATTCCGATGCCTGGGAAAACATACATGTTGTTTCCTTGACCAGGTTCGTAAAGCTTGCCGTCTTTGCCTTCATATGTAGGGAAGGGGCTGCCAGAAGCGAACAAAACCTTCTCGTTTGTATACTTCATAGCTTCCTCAAACGTACATTCGGACTTGGATACAGGGTTAGAAAGCGGGAAGATGATCGGGCGCTCGCTGTAGCTAGCCATCTTCTTGATGATGCCCTCGGTGAAAGCCCCACCGATGGTAGAAAGACCCATCAAGATAGTAGGCTTGACATAGTCAAGAACATCCTCAAGAGTCTTGTACTGCTGTCCGTTGTTGTCGCTGCGAGAGAAAATGAGTTTATGCTCTTGGAGCTTGTCACCACGATCATTGGTAACGAGACCCTTGGAGTCAACAAGGTAAAAGAGCTTTCTCGCCTCATCTTCGGAGAGATTGCCCTCCTTCTTGAACATTTCCATGATTTGGCGGGCAACACCAACACCGGCCGACCCAGCACCGAGAAAGACCAAGCGTTGGTCCTTTGGAGCAATTCCAGTATCACGGACACCATTGATGACACCAGCAAGAACGACAGCGCCTGTTCCCTGAATGTCATCGTTAAAACATGTGTACATGTTTTGGTACTTGGCAAGGGATGGGAAGGGGTTCTTGAAGTCCTCAAACTGGATGATGATGCTAGGCCAGCGAGCCTTCAAAGCAGCCATCATCTCATCCAAAAACTTCATCATGTCCTTCTCACCAAGACGTTTCATCCTGGTTCCGAGATACAACTCGTCGTTAAGGAGTCGCTCATTATCGGTACCCTACCGCGAATATTAGTCTTGGTACGTCTTTACTTGACTATGTGTACTTGTCTATAGGGGGAACGTACCAAGTCAATGACAATAGGTAAGGTCTTTGTTGGATGAATACCAGCGCAAGCGGTGTACAAGGCGAGCTTGCCAATGGAGATTCCTATACCTCCAACGCCCAAGTCACCAAGTCCAAGGATACTAATAATAAGTGTTAGAGCATGTATGCTGTATGCACATGAAGGCAAGGGACCAAGCATACCGAGAGCCATCGGTGACGACACAGATGTCGACCTCCTTCTCTGGCCAGTTCTTGATGGTCTCAGCAAGGTTGCCACGCTCCTTCCACGGAAGATAAAGACCTAGTCAAGAGAATCAGCAAGGTCCGTCACCATAGTATTAAAATTAAAAAGGCACAGGTGCGAGTCAACAAAAGCTAAAGCAAAGGGCAGTGTGCGTGTTGGTGGGTAGCAATGTGTTGAGACATGTTTGACAAGGTGAGGTCGGGCCGAGCTGATCAGCCACGGCTGGGGTCTTGAGAGTCCGTGTAACAACCACCAACCTCAGGCATCTGGGATCGGGATGCCGAGAAATTAGCTGGAGCGGGGGAGCTCACCTTCAGGTTCGGAGAAAATGTGGCTCCAGTTTTCGCAAGCGTCGCCAACCTTTTAGGATATCTGTTAGCAAATCGGGTGCACACTTTTTTACGATAGCCTGAATCGGAATGTATGCACTTACGACGGGTGTGTAGACAAGGGGAGTAATATCCTGCAGAGTACCCGAGACTAAATTAGCCTTCCCGTTCGAATCTGTGGTACGGCTTCCATTTTTCCGAGTATTCGGTAAGGGAGCATATGCGGGTTCATCCCGATACCCTTGCCGAGAGCCAGATTTAAAAAGATCCGACGCCCTCCTTTCTGGTTCGGCCCTCGGTCTTTTCCTCACCCAATTCTTTTTTTTGGTTTCACGGAACGGCTCAAAAAAAAAAAAGCGGTTATCGACAGGGAACTCTGGTTTTTACTATACCTTCATATGCCCTATGAGGAGACGGTAGAAGAGGTTGAAGTTGGAGTTGCGAAGATGCGACAAATAGACATACTTGTCGAGTCCGGATTTCTTAGATTCCAGAGCTTTCAAGCATCTTTTGATCTGGATATCGTAGGTCTCGACGACTAAAAGACAAGCCGTCTTAGATTTACTTCGGAAAGGTCTCTTTTGGCAGCCTCAAAAACTCGACCTACCTGGGGGGACGAGGCCACTGATATGAAGGTGTTCCCTCAACTCAGGTTCATACGAAGTATCGAAACGGGTCGACATGCTGTAGGGTCGAGAAAGTCAGTTTCACCAAGCTCTCATCTATCTTCTTTCTGGCTGGCAGGCAATAGGCTCCAAAACACACACAAACCGAAAGGGATGATGATGATAGTGGAAGGGACTTACGTGATGGGGTTCTTAGGAACAGTGTTCTGTGGCAAGGAAGCAGTGACCTTCTTCTGATGTTCTTGAGAAGGATTCTACACACAAGCGTCAAATAATTATCAGTTGACGAAATCCCAACAAAATCTAGCTGTCAATTGAATAAACAGCATAGGATATCGGGTCCTTACACGAGCAATACCTTCAATAGCGTCGGCACTACTGTACTTGATGAGATCTTGAGTGGAAGGACTTCTGCTGAGAGCAGCTGGAAGGGTAAGACCGAGAGGCATTTTCGCGAATGGTCTGGCGGACGGGTACTATTTAAAAATTTTTCGTTGAGATGCGATTCGTCCGAAGGAACTGGTTATTCTGAGGAGCTTGTGAGTCGTACTGTAAGGAGAGACTAGAAACTAGGAAAGGCCGAAGGGTTCGATTGCGAACTGTTCCGAAGGTCCAAGGTATGTACCTGCTTACCTTTTGAGAGTAAAAAAAAATAAAAAAATAAAAAAAGCCCGCGTGGAAAGTCTTCAATCCTTGCAAGGGTGTTTCGGAAGACAAAAGTGACTAAAACCTATGAGATATCAATGGCGAAATGGGACTTTGGTCAGCGATTGCTTTTTCTTGATACTTGGAATGTGATATTTGTCTGTCTCTCTGCCCGTCTGGGGGTCAAGCTAGATCTCCGACGCTGGCAGGATGAATTCCGAAAATTTCAAAGGGTGGAAGGAAAGAAGGAAGGGTCGAGCAGGGTATTGAACCTTGCTTTGGCACGACTATGGAGCTGGTGCTCGTGCTTTGAATGAGATATTAACGGTTGGCGTCTTGGTATTCAAGGACGTCACGCTAACAGCAGACGTACCGAAGCTAGCTAGCTACGGAGCAGCAAACAGCGGTACAAAAAAAGGTACGAGCGGGAAAGTTTGGAATGCGGATAAAATCGATCAAGAACTTTGAGGTTTTATGGACCGGAAGACTTAAGGTCTTGAGGCCAAAGAGTGCTTTTTAAAACCTCGTGGATTTGGAGGATGGTGAAGATGATGAGGGTTGATGAACTGACTGGGGGAGAGATGAGGGAGATCGAAAGTTCAGCTGGGAAAAGAAAGAAAAGCAGAGAAAAGAAAAGACAAGACAGAACAGGAAAAGAAAACAAAAGAAAAGAAAGCAAATGTCAGCAAGCCAGCAAGTTTACCTAACTGAACTACTTCTCACTTAAGTTAAGTAACTAGCAAGAATTGCTATGTAAGGTTAACGAAGTCAGTTAAGTTACCCCACCTGTCCTGCTCTGTTCTGTCCTGTGCTGTCTTCTCGATGCCGACTTGTTCGTTAACGTTCGTTCTGTTCTGCTCTCCGTTCATATTATTCACTACCAGGCACTTACTCGCCGTCGTCCCACAGCACCCCGAAAGGACCCTTTCTTTCTTTCGCTCTTCTTTCTTCCTTCTTTCTTTCTTTCTTTTTTCTTTTTTTCCGCAAGTCATCATCGTATGGACTTACATCCATACATACTTACTTACTTACTTACTTACTTACATACTTACATATTTACATACATCAGCATCAGCAGCATCATCGTTTTCAGCTCGAGGCTTACTGCATTACATGTACTTACATATGTAATGTAAGTCAAGATACCTACAATTGCAAAGAAGGCTAAGGCCAAACGGCAGCTGCAAACTGCACCCCAAAGTCTGGTTAGGCCAATTACCTTTCCCGGGCGCTTTACAGCCGATACCTGCATGGGATTGGCATAGCATAGCATAGACGAGCTGGTCCATTGCAACTGGTTTGTCAAAAACAGACGCAGTTGGACTTTTGCGTGCCTCGATCCGTCTGACCGTCACACTTCGTCTCAATTCTTATGTAACAGAATACGATGGGGTTCCCAAGCTTGCAGCTCAACGTTGAGATCAAGCTGGTCCAGGCCGAACTTGTGACGAAGTTACCTGGAATTTTACCTTTTGGCCTCGCCGTCCTGCCGATGCCTTTCCCCCCCGATTCATTCTCTAGTTGGCTGCTTTGCTTTGCTTTCTTTTTGCCCACCGCCGTTCTCCGTTCTGACATACAAAAAGATGGATGCTACATGTAATGTTGAAACTGGAACCTCGTGTCGAGAGCCTGACAATCGGACCTTCATTACGTACCCACTCTTTGTCTTCAGTGCCTACGCCCTATTCAAGTCCAAATCCAAATCCGAATTAGAATTGCAATTCGAATTCATGCGTGGGTATACCGGTAAAGTACCCCAAATGCTCAATTGTTTCAATCGCCCCCGAAGCAACTTGAAACTTTAGCTTCGCCGAATCCATGTCTTAACATCTTCAAATTGTCTTTTCGCTTACATCGCCATCCTCCAGTCATTCGTTCACCCCCATGAAGATACCCCGAAAACGTGCCTGATCCCTTCCCTTACTTTCTGGCTATTCTAGAAAACGCGGGAATTTCTCTTAATTGCTTCGAGATATTAATCTCGTAGCGGAAAAATTAATAAATTTCCAAAATATCAAAAAAAATTGAAAAAATTTTCATCCCATTTCAGCTCCACAATAACGTGTCCCTGACAGTTGCGAAATAATCCCTCCCCGGCGTCCTGAACTTCGAAGGAGGCTATCCTACCGGCGTCCACAAAAAAAATTCAAAAGCCACCTATAGTAGACAGAATTCTGCCCGCCGATATACAATTTGTCCAAATTGCATGCATAGAATATATCCGAGTCTTCGGTTAATCGGGTATCTGCAGCTACTGCAATAGGAGAACTGATTGATCACTCCTGATAACCGGGCAATCTCTTGGTCCTGCACTTTTCACATGTACAGAATGCATCCGTTTGTCCTACATTCCAGATAATCGATGTGGTAATGGTATCGATGCGAATGGGCACTTTCCCTTTTCCATATGTAAAACAACATACATTCTTACACGTCTACAAGCCCTAGTCGCCCGATAATCGGACTGGTTGAATGACTCAACCGATTTTTATTCTTTACCTTGGTTAAGTCAGTACGTTCATCATTAATTTCGAGCGAGGGTTACACATGAAGAATCAATCAACCGTTGGGTTTTGATACAGGTCCATGTCGACCGGGCCTCGACAAATTCACGAGATCCTGCGCAGACCAGCTAGCCATCGGAAGAACTCGGGACCATAATCACCACCACCACTACCACCACCGCATTTTGTGGCGATGGGAAACCTGGCTAAGCCTGCTTCATACAAGATGATGGGAAAAAGCAATGCCTGCGTTTTTTTTTTTGTTAAATAACATCGTATTACAGTCGCCATCCAATCTAGTGGTATGTATTCTTACTTTTGCTGTCATGCCGGTGAACACTTTTCTTCTCTTCGCCATTTAAATGTTTCGGAAAAATCGCGCAAAGAGATAGGTCGGAACTTCTAACTTTTGGGCCCATTTCTGATGGCTTTGGTTCCCGTAAACTAGGTAGCCACTAGTGAGTACCAGGGTGGGGGCTAACCTCAAATGAAGCAAGAAGTCTGCCGACATTATCATGCATGCGGCGCAGGTATGAAAGTCTTACAGTGTTGCATCGACAGCCTGATGGCCGTGGGGATCTCTTTTTTATTTTTATTTATTTTTTTCCATTCTAAATTCTGATACCCCCAAAATTCTACAAGGCGTAGAGCTTCCAAATGCGAAATATTAACCGAGTACTAGTTTAAGGGACCGATGCTAGCATACTGCCAAAATTAAAGAAATGATGCTTTGAACCACAGTCAACAACCTGCTGCTCAAGTTCAAAGCTATTGTCTCGTAAACCAGAAGGGTAAGATCTGTGAAGCGAAGAAATGTTGTATATACAAAGAATAAATGGTGGTAAGTAAACTTAAGCTTGAAGACGCTGTAGCCACAATATACGCCGGCTTGGAATTTCCATACTCGAAATAAAGTAAATACCCCCCCGCTTGATACTTAATAGATTGACAAAAAAAGTAAAATAAAAGCCCGCTTGATCTCCAAAGATTTGTCTAACCGAGGTAGACATATATATTATGAAATGTAATGGAGAATGAGAGTATATGTGAAGCCCGGGGAAAGAAAAGAAAAAGTACAGTGAATCTATTCCCACCCGGTGTGTTTTCTTTGTCAAGAGGTTTTTTAGAAAAAGATTGAAAATAAAAAAAAAGAGATCTGAAAATCCATTGGATGATGTTCAAGCTTTTATCCAAAAGAGAAAACTTATAAGGAAACTCGTTCAAACCGTAAACCGCTCGAGGATATATTAAATGGGTAAGGAAATAGTGGTAGAAATAGAACCGATGACATCAGAAGATGTCCTAAAGCAGCTATACGGGCGATTAGTAATCTTTGTGGGTGCCTGTTGAGTGTGATTTACAAAACACTAACCTCGTTACTCCAGCCTTCTTGCTGCGCCAACTGGTCTATAATCTTCTTTTTTATATCCGAGAGCTTGTTTCCAACGCTCTGCGACCACTCCTCTTGAACGATCTTAACCTTTTCCTCCCAATTCTTTGTTTGTTTCACCTCCTCCTCTTTCTTCTGTCTTTCAACCTGCCAAACAGCTCTCTGCTCCTCTTCCCCAGCCATGACCCTCTTGCTATCTCCTAACGCCCATTTGGTGTTCGTCCAAAGCAGCGTGATATCCACAGAAAAGTTCAATAGCCGCATTTGCGCTTGTGCATGCTGGTATATAGAATTTCCCACGTAGTCTAGTTTCTTTTTTAGGTATAGCAATGGGAACTGTGCGTAATTGGAGTTTGAGTAGAACTCCTCGTCCGGAATAATTGGCCTGAAATTCGAAAGGTCCGTGGGAATCTTCTCGAGGAGTTCCGTGAGGGTAGGCGCAACGTCCCAGAAATTTGAAACTTCACTTTCTACCCCAATAATGACGTCCTGCTCGACTTTATCAAGGAAGGATTTTGCCCTTTCTACTGCGTCCTTATCTGCCGTCACCTGGGTCTGTTTTGCGGCATCCGAGAAAAACTCCTCTGCTTCCTTGATTCCCTCCGTATCCCCTTCATTGAGAAATGGTGCGATTGTAACCTCCTTATATCGGCTGTCTCTATCGGCAATCAATGTATTGATTTCCCCGTAGAGAAGTTCTCGAGTCTCGAAAATACTTCTCATGATGTTCAGCTTTTCCAAAAGCTCTGGACCTTCCCTGATACTGATGTTCGCTTTGGCGGAGGAAGAGATATCGGTTTGAATCGTTTCCATAAGAGCGGTTGCTTTATCGATCCTATCCATCATCTCCGTATGGCTTGGGGTCACAACTTCCCTCTGGAATCTGTCAAATTCCTTCTGCAATTCATCGGCTTTAAGATCTCCTTCTCTTCGTTCAAACTCTGCATTGAGCCTATCCATCTCTTCGTATGTAACCCTGCCTTCATTAAAAAGTCTCTGGATGTAATCTTGGTGTGCCACCTTCCTAGCTCGAGCATCCGCGGCGCATTCGTCTTGAACTCGGGGAACAGATGTTGTGAAGTCAAATTTGAGCTTATGGATGACCCTTAAGTCCTTCAAGTCGGTGATGGCCTTCCGCGTCTTCTGTAAACTTGGATGCGAGTTTTCGCTCGCCGGAAATTGTCGAGGGTATGGTGGGACGATGGACAGTAGGGGTTGAATATCAAGGAGGAGCGGTTCAACAGTGGGCGAAATCCTATCCAGCTTCTCAAGTGTATCCACCGCAGCGTTTTCAAACCAACTCGCTCTCTTTGGCTCCCTTGGAGTGGTAGGATTCGATCTTGACCGCCGACTCTCTAGGTATTCACCAGCGCGGGCCTTTTGTTCCTTGATAGTTTGCCTTCGTTTTAATGAACCGCCGCCACTGCTAGGGCCTGATGCAAACTGGTTCATCACTCGTTTTTCATACTCTCGTCTTTCGAACTCCGCGACTTGTTCTTCCGGTGTCATATATTGTGGATCGTCAGATGGGAAGAGGGATAACCCCGGTCCAAGGACACCCAATGCATTGTTGTAAACCTCGCCTCTGATTCGGGCCTCTTCTAACACATAGTCGACGAAAACATTCAATCTCTTCTCGTCCGTTGCTGCTGATGCCTCTGTAAGGATCATATCGGTATGGCGCTCTATTGCTTCATGGTAAAACGGAGGAAGGTCTAGATCTTCTGGTTCGTCCTCAGGGAAAACCCTTGCGGCCGACGACCCCGCCTTCGATTCTGGCATTGGCCCTGAGTGCATCGGCGGAGTAATAGCTTGTATCTTCTGACTATTTGTTTGTCCATTTATGCTAGCCAGCTTTTCTTCCACTTTCTGCGATTCCGGCGAAAACGGTGGGGTCTGTGTGACGTGGAACCGAGATTCGGTCGGTGGTGCGCTCGAAGGCGTAGCCTTGCTGAATATAACTTCCTTCTGCTCCGTCCAATTTGTTGTCGATATTCTTTTTGATTTCAAGTCGTCATGCGGTCCATCCTCTTCAGCAATAGATGCAAACGGTGGAACTTGCTGAGAGCTTATACGGGGGCGACCCGGTGTTACGGGGGTCCTTGGGGTTGTCGGGGCAGCTGCTGCCACAAACCCAGGGCTTGGTTCGACACCACTGTTTCTCTGTGATTCTCCATCCGCTGTACTTTCGTATTCGCTTTCGTCGTCGGGTATCACAAATCGCACATCTTTAGGGGTTGTGGTCCTGAGTCCACCTGACGCTAGATCGCCAGAAGATTTTTGAGATCTCATAATAGACTGTGGTTGAATGCTTGCAGAACCTGGGAACCCAGAACTATGTGGTGTAGTACCAGAGTTCGGTGGGGAGTTTCTACGAAAGGGTAATGTTCCAGCACTGTATGGGGCAGAAGGGGGGGGGCTTGTCATCCCACGTTCGCTGACTGTATCAGACATGCCATCGTCCCTCGGGACGCCCTTGCCTTTCTCCCGTTTTTTCCCAAGAGGAGCTGGCTGAAGTATGATTTTGTTTGGGGGTGGGCGGCTGGGAGGAGGGGGAAGAGGCCCTCCAGTTGGTAGCTGGCTCTGTCCTGTGGTTGGAGTTTGGGTAGGAGGAGCAGCACTATTAGAGCTAGTCGGCTGAGTTTTAGGGGCACTGGTTGGTACACTGTCCATTGTCTGCCGCCTTGTCGCTGTGGTTAAAGGAGGCGGGCCGCTTGGGGGAGGCGGTATTGAGGGTGGTGGTGGAGGAATCGGCATTGTAGACCGCCTGCTCGGAACTGGATTTTCAATCGTATTGGTTGCAGCGGGGGGCGGAGCTCGCCGTAATGGCAGCGAATCACGCTCTCGTGCGGACCCTGTGGGGAGATACGGCTGGGATGGCGGGGATGTGGGTTCCAAGTCATCTGGAGATCTCGCGGGAGCAGAGCTCTGGACGGCTACAGGACGCTGAGAGGGGGGGGCTGTTGTAAAACCTTGCTGGGGTTGGATAGTTGAATGCCTCTGGGGGGCATATTGCACATTTTGTGAAGGTTGCGCTGGTATTTGTTGAGCTGGGGGTTGCACTACCTGGTGATTATAAGCTGCTGGTTGACTGGTGACTCTCCTTTGGTCTTGAACAGGATATGTTGAAGCGGGCGCCTGTGCTTGTGGTGGCGGTGCCTGTTGTTGCTGCTGCTGCTGCTGCTGCTGCTGCTGCTGTTGCTGTTGCTGTTGCTGTTGCTGCTGTTGTGTAGGCGGAGGCTGAGACGGAGGCCCCATTTGTCTCGGGTTCGACGTATTTAGCGGTGATTGAGAATGTGGTTGATACGAATTGCTAGGTGTAATTGGCGTATACATATTATTTTGAACATTCACTATGTAGGTTCTTGTTAGTATCAACATTTTAGTAGAAGAGAATCGGGATGGGGAACAAATTACCTGGAACTTGCAAATTGGGGGGCTGCATTTGTCGATTGAAAGGGCGCTGTGGGGGGGAATACGGAGGCGGTGCTATTGTGCGTCAAGTTAGCTTTCAGTTTCAATCGTATGGTGCCCACCAGGGATATGCTTCAATATAAAATTATGAACAGGCATCATTCTTGACATCACGACTTCGAGCTTGGATACGAAGAGGGAGCTGCCGCAGCGTTACTTTTAAAACTGCACTGGGATTTAAACCAACTAACCTTCTTGTTGATTTTCCTGATCTAGCGCCGCACTTCTATTCACGCCGCCAATTACACCTTGAAGATTCGCATAAGGAACATATCCTCCAGCTCCAACAACCGGCTGCGGGGTCATTCGACCGGGTGGCCCAACTGGGTGCGCGGGTATATAAACATTAGGATTATAACCAGAGTGGGCTTGTTGAGAATTGACTGGGGGCGAGGGAGGAGTTTGATTCGGATGATATGCTGCTGGGTTGTAGCCTGCAGGATTGTACTGCATGGTTTGCCGTTGACCGGCCTGAGGGCGCGGTACATAGCTGTTTGGTGGTGGGTAATACTGCGGTGTAGACATATCTGCGACTGACATATGACACCTTGAGGACGACGTAGGCTCGACTACTTCGTTGAATTTCAGTACGCCCGCCTTGGAAGGGGTGGTACTATCGAGTTGAACTGTGGTCGAAGTATGCTTCTACTGCACCTCTATCAAAGCAAGGTATTGAAAAGCATGCCAAGACAAAAGTATATCGAATTCGGCGGGCGTTTGGTGATGTTTTCGTGGTGTCGCTTGACTATCGAAGCGGTTGGAATTATGTTGCCGCTCCGTAACTGCCCGAAAACCCAGGCCTTGATGCTCCCTGGAACAATCTAAAAGGTCTTCGACGCCTTTAAAGAGATGGTTGAGGTATCAGTTCCACGACTACGGCCGACGGGAACCTGATTTGTTCGAGGACGTCGAGAGATATCCACAGACTTTCAAGATGTCCCGCAATTCCCCGGCGATCAGAACTCGAAGTCCACCTGCTATTCGAGAGGCAAAGTTCAAGTTCCTATCAAGTGGCTTGTCTAGATTTCAGCGAAGAGAACCTATCGAGAAACCAACATTCAAGGAGTAAGCAAACATGCAACGCCAAAAGAGGGGACATAAAAGAAAAGAAAAAGGATGCTAGTCGGAGCGGGAAACACACTTCCAAAAGAAATCTCGATCGCTGGTCCCAAGCAAGAAAACCTGACCCACGCACACAACAGAATGCAGGTGCTGACGAAGGAAGGGAAGGGAATCGCTTTGCTTGGGAAAGCGGTGAAGAAGTGAGATATTGTCAACGACAAGAGGCCCAAGAAGATGGGAAGGCATGCTGGAGAAAAGAAAGAGGGACGTTTAGGTTGACCAGCTAGAGGCGTTGGCACCACCAATAGTTGACGAGCCCGCAGCCAATCGTTGACTCCACCCAAAGGCTCCCGGTCTCTGGGGACCTCTGGCTTGGTCTTCGAGGGTCTGATTGGTCAGATGAAGAGGTACCTGTTAACAGTCCCTCTCCCGTCCATCTGTGTTCCAATCCTTTTTCATTTTTTTTCGGGGGGTGGGGCTGCGACCACATCTGGGAATACCAGGGGTCTGGTTGTCCCCACCCACAGGCCATATGGAGCACACAGAGCAACCGACCGTTTTGAGGATTCATATCTGTCGTGCCGTCGAATAATGGTATTTTCTGCAAACCATGATATGCTTTTGGTAAGGTAAGCATATAAGTGGCCTGCAGCGTAAGTCGAATAAAAGCTGAGAACCATCCTCGAAACGGCATCCCGACGTCGTGGAGCATAATGCTTGTGCACTCGTGCCGCGTCGTGCTATTGGCCTAAAGACCTGAGAACTTTGCTTCACGGCCTATCGACATTAAGCTTCTTGTCGCTATCATAAAGAAAAAGTCATTCCATGCAGGTCCTATGCACGTTAGCGCCCAGCATGGATTCCCCAACTATCGTGGAAAGTTCTGAGCGACGTGCTCGCCGGTGGCCGTGTGTATTGGCTCGCCTGTACCTTCACACATGCGGTATTCTGCATGTTCCTCAGGCCGGGAATCCTTGGGCGACATGGTTATTTTTAGGTGCGCCACACCTGTAGTGGATGGGCACCTGTTACGTGAGTCCAGTGCTTTAGATGCATGTCGTTTCTCTGCAAGAAACAATGGCTGTGTACCGGCTTGTCATCTTCCGCGATCGCGGATATTCTCTTTGAGGCCGCGGCTCTATACATCTGCTTAACAAAATACTCGTTCAAATTCTGTCGACAATAAATGGAATCAAACCGATGAGAAGACATACATACCAACTAGCTTGTTGGGCATCCGCCTGTAAGCTTCTATAAATAGGGCAGAACATGCAGCATGACTTTTTCGGTAAGATCTGGGCGGTTAGGCAGGTCCAGCTGCTCCTTGCGTTCGATTGGCTGGCTAGAAAACGTGGTAGAGTACGACTTGCAGGGGACGGCGCCTAAAAGATCTCTGCAAGCTTGAAAACCAACACACAGTAATATTTTGACAGGACGGAAGTTGTATGAGCCGGCCCCAGTCTTCGGCCCAGCGCTGTTGGAAGTGCCCTCATGCTCTGTGGGTGGTCGTGGAACCAATTGGCCAAATCGAATGACATGTCTACGACGACGACACCAACTTTACTATTGCAGAATTCCCAATGCCTTGGGTCGCTTCTGCGGGAATATTGTAACAATCGAAATTAAAGTCCCATATGATGCACCTGGCGGTTCGGACCGCCGCCAAAAGCTTGATACAGAGTCGAAAAGTGGCTCTGTCTCCTGGTAACTTGTTCTTCTGTGATTATCACGATTGTATAATGTATATAAAATGTACAACTGAATTACTTGAAATATAGACATTTACCAAGTCACTGGAAAGCTGGACTCGGAAGAAGCGCTCAAGGAAAAAGAATAAAAAAATACACCCATCCACTGTATCGAAAATGCGGCTGTAGGCCGCATCTAGAAAAATAAGAAGTTTTTTTGTTTTTTTGTACAGAGCCGAAAATGAGAAATGGTTAAGCAAACGAAGCCACCGCTTTGGACTCGCTTCCTGGCGCTAATTTGGCTGCGGAACATCTCGCCATTGTCGGAGAGCTATCGATAAACGTTAGTGCAATCATATACAAGTAAACGCAAACACATAAAAATACTGACCTTCTCGAAATGACATCTGTGAAATAGAAATCTTGGATAACCCTCTTGAGAGGCTCGCCAAGGGCCTTGGTTCCTTTGTTTGCCTCTACAAGAGATGTTTTAACTCCCAACCCTGCAATCTCCTTGCTGGGACCCTCTAGAACGTCGTAGACAACGAGAGTCGGGCTTATTTCTGACATCCTCTCTCTCAATGATGGCAGATCCTCGTATTCTAGTGGCTTTTGTAGGAATTCACTAACGGCTCGAACAATTTTCCAGTCCTCTCTAGCTGCGCCGGGTAATGAAGTGGCCGCCCTCGTGATTTGGGTCCGTCCTTCTGTATTGACGTAGGTAGCGTTCTTTTCCGTGTATGCTGCTCCAGGTAGCACTACATCGGCGTATTGGGCTCCGGTATCTCCGTGGTGTCCTTGGTAGACAACGAAAGCACCAGGGGGGATGTCCTGCGATGTGACTTCATCCGCACCGAGAAGGTATATGAATTTTGGGATCGACTTAGACTGTGAGGACGAGTGGGGTACGAATCCAATATCATAAGCAGCGCCCCGCCCCGCCGCTCGCTGAAGAATATTGTATCCGTTCCATTCGGGTGTCAGGAAAGTAGCAGCGTTTTTGTCCACGAAAGCACCAACTGTTTCATATATGGACTTCGCATCGAGGTGCTCTGTAATAGCGCTACCAACAATGATCATAGGGCGCTGAGCAGCGGCAAGCTTCTTTCCAAAAGGTCCAGTGAGGGCCTTCTTGAGTTGAGCAGCAGTTTGGCCGAGGTGTTCATATTCGAATGTGCTTTCGAAGTTTTCGCCGACCAGCCCAATTTCAAGATCGGAATAGAGCCACCTCTTGCGAATTCGAGCGTTTAGAACGGCCGCCTCAAGTCTAGTGTTGGTTCCAACCAAGAGAATGGCATCCGCCTCATCAATCCCTTGGATGGTGGAGTTGAAAAGATAGTTGGACCGAATATCGACACCGTGGGCAGGAGGGAGATGGCCTTGTGGTTGATCGACAGAGAGTTGTTCGGATCCAAGGGAGTTGAACAAGTCTTTGAGCGCAACCATAGACTCCGCATCCGTCAAATGCCCGGCAATAGCCTTCATCTCCTCCCCGTTGGGCTGAATCTTTTCATAGGCGGAAGCAATCTCAGCAAGAGCCTGCTCCCAAGTTGCCGGGTAGAACTTGTTCTCTCTCTTAATCAACGGCGTGGTGAGTCTTTGGGTTTTTAAACCATCACAAGCGAATCTGGTCTTGTCGTCAATCCATTCGATGTTGATATCCTCATTCAGTCGGGGTAAAACTCTCATAACTTCCAACCCTCTCGTGTCGACACGGATTGCCGAACCCATTGCGTTATGGACATCGATGGTTTCAGTGTTCTTTAGCTCCCATGGGCGGGCCCTAAAAGCATAAGGCTTGGAAGTAAGGGCGCCGACTGGGCAAAGGTCGATAACATTGCCGGAAAGTTCGGAATTCAGGTTCCTTTCGAGATAAGTACCAATTTGGAGGTCATTGCCACGACCAGTTGAACCAAACTCTGGTGCACCAGCGACATCGTTCGCGAATCTGACACATCTCGTACAATGAATGCAGCGGTTCATAGAAGTCTGTATGGTTAGATATATGTTTTATATTAAACCTCCCCAGTGATCTTACCTTGACGAGAGGTCCAATGTTTTTATCTTCGACACCACGTTTGCCTCCAACTTCGTGAAATCGCCCCCTGTCAGCTCCATATCTCATGGACTGGTCTTGAAGGTCGCACTCTCCTCCCTGATCGCAAATTGCTGAACCATATATATAATTAGCAGGCTTGACTAACATGTGTGAGTTGGGCGGAACATACGGCAATCAAGCGGGTGATTCTATGTTGGGGTTAGCATAAAGTTACTGTAGCACGATTATAGGGCATACATACCGCTAGTAAGAATTCCATGATACCCTCTCGAGCCTTGTGGACGAGCGGAGTGTTGGTTTTCACAACCATGCCCGGCTGTTGTATCTATCAGCATACCGTCCACGGTAATCCTAGAGGAAACCTATACAACATACTGTCACAGGCCATGCACAGCTTGCAACTGGCTTCGGTGACCTCTCGACTTCTACGAGGCACATTCTGCAATTACCAGCTATTGACAGTCTCTCATGATAGCAGTATCTAAGAGCCTCCGTTTATCAGCCATTGCTAACCACACCGTTTCAACAACCTAGCCATCAGAATTGGCCGTACCTCGGTACCGTAACGCCGACCTTCTCGCAGGCTTGAATCAGCGCAGACCCGGCGGGGACGCTAACTTTGATTCCATCTATATACCACAGATATGTCAATCAAACAGCCACACCAAGGCCCCGGGAGCTAAAACAATTGATTCTCTCACCAATGGTAATCTCAACATCCTGGGTCGCGCTTCGACGTGGCGTGGCGGAGAATGCTCTGACGTTGTTTAGGTGGGACCTGGCCGTCCGCCGAAGGGTTTGTCGAAGCATGGTTGTGAGGCCTCCGGCAGCCAGCGACTGTATATCAGTTCTACCGATAGTGGAGTGTCCGAGGACAGCGAACAATCGATGCGGGGTGGTCGTGGGAGTGCGAAGACAGGTAGTGGGAGTGGTGAAGTCTATGATGTCGTCCAGCCAAATTAAGTCCGCAGTCAACAGTTTAGCGGCAGGTTTCCAAATCCATGCAACCTGATTGGCCAACACATCACGACACAATAACTTGCGGGCATTTTTAAGGTATATCGGTAAGCAGTACTTCATAGATACTAACTTGGATATAGATAAACAATAGGTCATCGCTTTCTTTCTTTCTTTCTTTCTTTCCCTTTTCTTTTACTTTCTTTATTATATATATACAATCGTTGATATTACATATTACGGGTGTAAATGAGGTTGCTAGATTTCAATCAATATACGCCGTATATAAGAACCAGTCTCGCAATTGCTAAATATGACCAATGCGGGGCATGCCCATAGGCCCGGTGCCCGGTATTGGACTGGTATTCAAAAGCGGAACAGATAGTAGAACCATCTAGTAGGTTTCCGATATCATATATACATAGAAGCCGGTGACTTCTTCTCGTCTGTATTTACAGATGGTCCCGGAAGACCCGTTCAAGGAGGCAGCGCTGCAACTGCAAAGCATCCCTAAAACATCGGTTTGATTCGAGTCATACGTTTCTCGCAGGCCAATTGCCGATAACCAATATTTTTTTATTATTTTTATTTTTTCGTTCAAGAGTCCATTTACTTCCGCTTGGACTTCTTCTTCCCGGCTGTTCTCTCTCGTCCCAACTTGTACTTCTTGGGTTTGCCCTTTCCTCGTAATTTATGACTAGAATCGACATGTCAGAACAACATCCCATCTCTTCGATACTTTCTCAGTACTTTCAGACCACATACCTTTCGACGGATTCCAATCTTATCTCTTCCTTCTCATCGGACATGGACAGGTCTGGGAAGGCTCGCTTGAACTGTTTAATCGAGAATTGTTCCTTAGGGTAATACTGAAGAAGGGTGGGACCCTTTAACCGCTCTCGCAGAATCTTGTTTCCGGTACGCTCTCCAGTGGGATTGAAGTGAGTATTGAAAAGCCTACATGACACACGCATGAGGTCTAGGATTCGGGCTCGCGGGGTCGCCATCGCGATTTGACAGGGTGGTGGAGTGGCGTCTGGCGCATGCGGTAGTGTTCATAGACGAGGCTTTAAATGAGCAGCTGTGGACTCCGGTGAGGTTGAATTTGATGCCAAGCCTTTGTCTGCAGTTTCCAACTTGCGTGTTGTGTTGTGTTGTGTTGTGCTGTGTTGTTGTCGGGCGAGACCCCGTCGCTTCTTTGTTTGTTTCGAACGGGCTTCACCTCAGCGAACAGTGGCGGCGATGCAATGCAGAACTCACGTTCGAAGTTCGAGCTTGAGGCAGGTACTTAACTCGCGAATACTTCGCAAATACTTATTTTAATTTGCCTTCAAGTCGATACCACTGCTTCTACCGCGGCTGTCGCTGAGCTACGCTCCGGATGGTAGGCCATCAGAGCCTCACAGGCTCTCGGATTCCGCCAACATTATAACAGAACGACGAGACTAAATGCATCCTAGGTATTTGGTCTGGATAAAAGATAAATACTTCATCCAACCCGATGAATCCTACTCCAAGAAAAGACGACAAGCGTCCTCTCATCCGCACATCGAGCCAGTCGCCTCATATTCAACGACCTGTAGAACACTCATTGAGGTTTCAATCCCCGGTGCCCCAGGTGCCAAACTCAAATCAGGCTTCAGCTTCAAGCTCCAGGTTTTCATCACCATCCGGCCAGAGCACAAGTACAACTCGCATTCACAATCCTCCTCCAATTGCAAGCCCGCTGCCTAAAGAGTTCAGGGATAGATGGCGGGTTGTAAACACGTCTTCCAGCTCTAGCGTCTCTAGTTCAGACAGAACAGCTAGTATCGGAAGCTCCTCGCTGTATTCTTCGCCGTCTCTCAAACGCAAGTATCAAGCGGTATCGACAACAGGGAATTCGAATAATATATCGCGGGTTTGGTCTGCTGTTAGTACCTCGCATGCACAACCTGCACCTATCGCGCCTGGACCAGGATCAGCAAATCGTATTGCTTCAAACCTACCACAGCTCCCCATTCGTCGCGAACTCACAACAAAATCACCTTCCGCGCCTATACCGCCTTCGCCAGCACCATCATTGGTACCAAAGGCTATTTCGACCCCATGCCAGCTTACGATCAATTCAAAAGACACGGTCTATCCATCTAGAACCCATTTAAATACTCAGTTGGCAACATCCCCGAGAGCTACGCATCAAACTCCTCCTAGATCCCAGGAGCCGAATACATTTCAGCCGAAAAAATCGAAACGAAGTGATAGTCGATCTGTCTCTAACAAACATCGTAATGGATTGGTAGATGGCGCCTTGGAGCCTTCGTCGCTCGAAAGCAAAAACAAAGACGCAATGCCACTTTGGCCTTTACCGCAAGATGAATACCAAGCTGAGGTTCCAGCCGTGCCTGAAGACACATCAGCACAACGACTATACCCTGAAAAAGTAGAACCCTCAGGTCTGACAGAACGAAGATACTCTGAAGACGAACCACAAGCCAAAGACGGCCATAGTGATTACGAAAGCGATTTTTTTGAAGATTACGACCCCTTTGACGATGTACCTGAACTACGTGAAGCTCTGGGGAAAAGAGACAGGACGAGGATTGAGAGTCGGCCCCTAATCTCTAGTAATCCTCAGTACAATCCACCCAAGGAGTTCTTTAAAATTAAGCCTAGTGAATCTCGACTGCCCTACTTATCTTCCAATACAAGGTCGTACTTCCGAGACGGAAACATTCCCTACCTTGATTCAATGAGTAAGTGTACAATCAATATGGTCAGGTCTCTTGTTCTAACATAGAAATAGTTGATCGTCAGCTCCATGTACCATTCTCTGAACAGGAAGCAAGAACGGTCTGGCATACGGCATATGTCATATGCCCTAGTCTTGCAAAGGAACTTTTTTTTTTCGAGGAAAAATTCTCTGTTGGGGTTGGAATTAAAGCTTTGGCAGCATTCTTGGAATCCTCAGAATTCTCTCGCAGTGAAAAGCATGAGACTCTTGTGTCCATTGCGTCGGAAGCCACCTTAGACCTCCCGAGGAGAAAAGAGGAGGATGTGCAACGGTATTTGATAGAGGCTATTCAGGCACGTAATCCTACATCTCGGTCGCAGGATATTGTGATTGTGTCCAAGGATAGGCCTGATAGTGGAACGTCGTGGTCATCACTCATTCTTGCCCGCCAGTGTACAGAGGGGATGTGGACCCGAAGGCATCTCACGAGTCATGCGCATGTTCAATCTATCGGGTCTCGGAAAGCCCTCCGGTTCCTACGACCTTTTCGGACCTTTACTGAAGGATCGAGTGATGTCGTAGATTGTGCGTGGGATTCTAGTGGTCGGAATTTCGCATTGGCATGCACTACTTACAATGACATGTACAACAGGGTTGGGAACCTCATGCTTGGGAGTGTCGATGGTCCCATCAAGTTTCTATGTGGGCACAAGACTCGAAGGCCCCCTAATCAAGGAAACACCGCAATCCTCGATCCCTACTTGCATAGTACTGTGTCTTCTGTAGACTTTTCCGGCGACCTGCTCTTCTCTAGTGGTTTTGACAACACCGTCAAAATATGGGATAAGAATAACAAACTATTACAGCGGTCCCTTCTTTTCGGCTCCCCTGTGGTACGCATGAAGATGAGTGGGCTTTTTCAAAATACTGGCACTGTTTGTCTTCAAGATGGCGGTGTCGTTATATTTCGGTCCTGCTTGCACTCTGGCGACGAACCTGACTCTCGCCATGTTATATCTGCCCGACATGACTTTCTAGAACCAGCATCTGTTTTGTGGGTCAACGGAACAGCAAGACGCAAGGGCTGGGTTTTCGTAGGATATGAGAATAAAGAGAGTGACAAACGCCAGCCTAATGCGTCTCTAGGGGATTTGAGACTCTTCGATGCCAAACATGGGCAGGAAGTTCAAGAAATCAGACCAGGCTCAACGAGACAATTCGATATCAATTTAGATGACAGTGGTTCATTCCTTATTACCGGTTCAATTGTAAGTGCAGCTAGGAGGCCGACTCCAGATACGCACTCCTTTGTTCGGGTGTATGATATAGAACAATCTCCCCGCAAGATGCTAGAGTTCAGCTGCCAGCATAAGGATATTAACAAGGTTACAATGAGGTATGTTAGAACCCCATAGAACGCGATTTTTTTCTCTCCTTCTTCCTCATTGAGACAACATCCTAATCTATATTTTGGTTCTCTGTAGTCCTTGCAGAAGATATGTAACTTCATCTGGGACGAATGGTAAAAGCTATCTCTGGGATATTAGAAGAGGAGGAGACCCTCTCCATGAGCTTGGACACGGCGGTATGTTCTGTGAAACCAATCCTCGGTCAGGTTATGCATGACTAATAGTATCCGTGTACTAGAATCGAGAACACCACTTAGCCCGGATAGAGATCGCGAAGAGGTGGACACTGGCGTCACTTTTGCTTCTTGGGTAGCAGATGGGGGCCTATTCATAACGGGAAGTTCGGATGGCATTGTCAAAGTATGGGATCCCGCGAGAGCTGACCCATTCTTGTACAACTTGGCTACTTTCGACGATCCCGTGATGACCGGCGCTTTCTCCCCAGATGGCGATTGTTTGATGATTGGCGAGACGACTGGCAAAGCAACTTTATTATCATATATGGGGCGACACGGTCCGCCAGAACCATTTGTGCAGGATAGGACTATGCTCGCACCCATTGCCTCCGAAGGTTAAGACAGCCAGAGGCGTCGGAAGTGCCAAGAACATTCTAAAATACGGCTACCTTGTCGCCCTCGTGAGCGAGGATGGGTGGCAGTAAAAGATGACGTTTTTGATTTGATCCCAATGTACAGACCCTTTTGGTGTGTAGGGACGCTTTCGTTCCTTCGTTCCTTTTTTTTTTTTGGATAATACCCCCACTGCTCCTGCTTCTTGTCTACTTTTGGGGATATTATTCGGCTTGCGAGCTTGCTGCATATAGTCTATGGCGTTTAAATACAGGTTTCTTGGGTGGGGAAATGGTTGATTCGCTTCCTTCTTTCGGTGCATAAAATCTCCTAATGGTTTACTATATTAATCATAATAGTACCTTCTGAACGGCTTGTGCTCCGGCTGTGCTGCCGAGTATGCTGTGGTCTGACTAAACCCAACAGCAACCACACCTATCAGACTACCTAGTTCTTGCCCTAACAGCTACATATGATTGCACGGTCAGTCGAAGGCCAAAAGCAAATCAATAGGAGTTCAGGGGAAAATAATAAAAAGAAGAAGAAGAAGGAGAAAGGGTATGTACAAGCAATCCCGCTTGGCTGAATACCTCGGACAATGAGCCTAAATAGATCGACCTTCTAGAATTAATGCAGCGCCAGTAATATTTTCGAAACCAAGCTACTCTGTAGGAGTCGAGCTCAAGGGGGACATCTCAAGAACCTGCAATCTCAGTCGCAAAAGACCCCTTCTACCTTAAATTATAAGTGAATCCATTCTTCACAAAATAAATATCTTCCCTGCTGCTTCAAACGCCTAGGAAGTTTTATATATCTCAACATCAAGCCGTCTTGTGAAGTCTTGGGACAGCATCTACGGACTGGGCGATCGCAGCGTCGAGGCTTGGGAGAAGATACCATGATATCGAGGAACATCATGAATACCACTAACCAACATGCTGTGGAGTAGCAATACGCTGTGGGAATACGGTCCGGCAGACGATGCTGAAACACACAGACCATGCATTCGAAGAGTGCCAATGCTGCTTCCAAGCCCGGCAGGTTCACAGCTTAGTATCGCGACTGTCCAATGGCTGTAAACGCCAAGAGCCGCCCGCATTTCCAACAAGGGCAACACACACCCAGGAAAGACACCCTGACAGGGGATATTCCCTGGCCTGGTCCCATCTTTTCTGAAATCGAATCCGAAAATCGAGGTCCTGCGGCTAACATATTGCACTCCCCAGGAACGAATGTATCATCCGATATATCCAAAGTACCATTTACCGTGTTTCGCTCTTGGCTGTTGCATTGGCGCGAGGCAGTCAAACCATGGGAGGCACGACATTCCCTGCCAGTCCTATAGCAGATTGGCCACTCGATTCAAGTATCGCTGAACATACACAGTAATATAATATACTTTTTTTTCTTTCGCACTTATAGTAGTGGGCACGTTTTCAAACGCGATATAAGACTTGGTAGGCGGGACAAGACTATATTGTTCCGATGCAAGAAACAACCTGGATACACCCTGCTACTCGAGATCTGGTGACCGGCCGGTCAGCCTTCCTCCTCGAAGCATGATATTCGTGAAACGACAGGACCGAAGATTTGCGTAGCCTGTGCTATACTTGGAGATATTATACCTTCTAATCTATTAGCAAGGCATATGATAACTTTTACCGGGGTAGCTCACCTTTGACAGTAAGAAAGCTAGGAAGAAGGGGGGTATATATAGGCCTTCCTGCAGCCATCTCCATATCCACATTCTCTTCACCCTCCACTCCACCATTACCTAGCGTTTCACCATATTGCTCAAATTTGCTCGTTGGATTGTTGAACGATCCCCTTTAACCGTAATATTACTTTTTGACGATATATCTTATCAAGTTCTTTTTTTTCTCTCGCAAATATGAAGGGTATCGCTAGAGTCGCTGCTGCCGCAGCCCTTACATCCATGGTCGCTGGTCACGCCATCTTCGCTGTAAGACCTCTATTTAGTTTATATTGACTTGAGTATATGTGATTTTCAAAATTTCTAAGAAATGAACTGTGAATGTATAGGAATTCGAAGTCAACGGTGTCAGCGCCGGAAAGGAGAATGGTTTGAGACTACCAACCTACGACGGCCCAATTGAGGACGTCACCAGCGCAGCTGTTGCCTGCAACGGTGGACCAAATCCTCTCGTCAAGTTCTCCCCCAACGTCATCAACGTCCCAGCCGGCGCCGAAATCACCGCCAGATATATCCACACCCTTGACACCGACTGGCGTACCGGTTTGATCATCGATGCTTCCCACAAGGGACCCATCATGGTCTACCTCTCCAAGGTTTCCAACGCCGCTACCGCTCCCATCCCATCGTCCGGTTGGTTCAAGATCCACGAGGAGGGTTACAACTCGGCCACCGGAAAGTGGGCCGTCGACCGTTTGATCGCTGATCGCGGTTACAAGTTCACAATCCCAACTTGTATCGCTCCAGGAAACTACCTTATGCGAGTTGAGCTCATCGCTCTCCACGCTGCTGGAAGCTACCCAGGTGCCCAGCTCTACATGGAGTGTGCCCAGATTAACATCACCGGTGGTGGTTCTTTGAGCCCTGCTACCGTTAACTTCCCCGGTGCTTACGCCGGTACCGACCCTGGTATCAAGTTCAACCTCTATACCAGCCCAATTAACTACACCATCCCTGGACCCCGTCCAGTTACCTGCGGTGGAACCCAACCAACCACTGCTGCCACCACCGCCAGGACCACCACTACTGGTGCTGCCACCACCCGTACTACTACTCCTGCCACCACCACTTCTCGTGCTGCCACTACAACCAGCGCTAGCACCGGTGGTCAACAAGCCGCTTGGGGACAGGTAAGCTAATATCCCAAAAACAACTGCCTTTGATGAATTACTGAACACTAACGAATCTTTTAATAATAGTGTGGCGGTATTGGCTGGACTGGTCCAACTTCGTGTGTCTCCGGATACACATGCAAGGAACTCAACGCTTACTACTCCCAGTGCCAGTAAATTAATTCATTCGGTTGAATCTAATAAGGGTACTCTTTCTAGTGCTTTGAAGGTGCCTCTTCCTTTGTACATATATACCAAAATTCTTTTTTCATTTTCTTTGGAATGTATATATTCAATACCATATCGGGGTGCATTTTTAGGAGGGATCACAAACATAAATATACCAATAAGTAGTACTGGTTTATGTTCACTTTTCTCAATCGCCTACTAAGCTATCTATCTAAACGTTGCACTTTAAAATTGGCGCTTTATATCCCCCGCTATTAATTAAGTTAGCCAGTAACCTACTTAAGTATATATGTGAACTGTTGCATTCTGAGACATCAGGTGTTGGTGATGTTTATGTGTGATGATTGGTATTGATGTCTTTGCCCAACAGGGGCGTATACGAATCTAGATATCTGGGCGGATATTCTGTACCTGGAATGGTACTTCGACTTACATTTTATCTACTTTTGCCTCTTCTACTTGTACTTTATAAAATTAACGTGAATGATTTCAGGAGTTAATTGCAAGATTATTCGTGGATAGCCTCTCATAGTCCTCCTGAGATTCCGTAATTTAACAATACAAATTAGCACACAGTGCGTATGTCCAAATATCCGCCAAAATAACCAGAATATGAAAAGAAAAATCAAGCATCCAAAACGCCATGCTTTTCCTTCAAACGCCCCTGCCCAAAAATGTCAAAAATCCATCCACCGAGTATTAATACAAAAACAAGTAATCCATTAAAAGGAAAAGTAAGTAAATCGTGATTGAGGGTCCGCCTCGCCGATAGAGAGAGAGCATTAAAGATTATTGTATGTTTGGTACATACTCACCATCGGCCTCCATTATTTTGATAAGGCCTGTATTATTTTTTCAGAGGAATAACATAGGAGGGGGAGGGAAGCTAGGGGAGTTCGCTTCGCATACCAACCCCGGAGTCGGAAGAAGATGGAATTCCGCTAGATTGTGGGTTCTCTTCATACCATTTCTGTTTGGCACGTTTGACTTCTTTTAGAGCGGTTCCTTCGTCGAGGGCATTCATAGCAGCCCGGATGCTTGCATCTCTAAATTTCAAACGAATTAGTTTCTTAACCCACTAGCAGCCGGATATTTCCAATTCACTCACGTTTTGTTAGATCCCCATCCTTTCCCGAGAATTTTATTGGTAATCCCCCATCCAGTGAAGTAGATTGTGAAGTGGTATCCGCCCTGGTTACCGCCACCGCCGCCTTCCCATTCATATCTAATGTCGACGTTTCTACCGCCCACCATACTTGAGATTTGGTTTTTGGCAGCTTTGTTAAGTGGCTTCTCTTTGGTGAACTGCTCTGCAGCTTCCTTCATTTTCGGTTCCATCAAATCCTTGAGCCACTCATCAACGACCTCTGGGCCGCTGTCGAGAAGTAGGCCACCAATGTAGGCTTCAAACAAATCGGCGAGAGTCTTAGAGCGGTTAACCAATTCAGAATGTTTACCTTCGCCGGTAATCAAGTGTTTCTCTAATTTGTACATCACACACCACTCGTGAATGTTCTTATTACCCACAATGCTGGAGCGTATGTTTGTCATTGCGCCTTCGCGGGAATTTGGGAACCGGGAAAAGATGTAGCGGGTAACGATAGCACCCAGATAACTGTCACCGAGGAACTCGAGACGTTCATTGTGGAGGCCAGCTTCGCCGATCATAGTGGAGGCGCCGTCGACAATGGATTTGTGAGAAAAGACTTGCTTGCGGATGTCATCATTCTTGATTGGGGGAAGCTCTGGTGGCCAGATTTTGGCACGTTTGGCTGTTTCGACGGGATGGCTTGAAAACGGGACTGGTGGAATAGAGCTGGTGGTGGATACAGAACGAACGCTACTCGCTCCTGACACCTTTCTCGAAGTGGGTCCGCTGGGTTCGTGGCTGCCAGAACGCATTCGTGGCTTGATTTGTTCTAGGGTCAAGCCGCTGGTAGTTTGGATAACTCTGGAAGGGGCTACGCTTGGGTCCGGCGAGGAGGCTCGAGCCTTGACCAGCCATGGGAGTGTGCCTTCGAGTTCCATGGCTTTCATAGTTTTGACGAAGCTAGAGCGCTCCCTTCCGAGAGTTCTATCGAGTAATGGAAAAGACTTTTCTGGATCTGCATCGACGATGGCGAGGAGGCCTGCTAGCGCAGCGTTGAAGGTATTGAAAGTCTGGCTAAGCCTGCTGGTGGAAGCATTGAATGAAACCTCGCCAACATCTGCACCAGTGTCAGATAGCTCCCCATCTGAAAGAATATCGTTGAGAGCATATTCTCTCTGGGATCGGTGTCGCTTGCCTGGACGGTCGAAGACTTCACGCTGATCAAAGCCGTGAGTCTGACCCTGCGTTCACGAACAGAGAAGTTAGTACAAATGCATAAGAGTATCGCTGAAAAAGGATTGACTTACTTCTTGGTGACTACGATGCCTTCGGTGGGCTCCTTGCAGGGGATGGCGGACGGGAACGGGTGACTCGCCCGAAGTGTACTCGACGTAGCCGCCATAGAGAACTCGAGGATCATGAGTAGTCTGCGTATGGGGATGGTGATGATGAGACGGTGGGGGACGATTATGGGGATTGCCCGATGATGCATGAGAAGGACGAGAGAGTTGAGGGGCTGTTGGATGCTGTCTGTGAATGGTAGGATGAGCACGGTGGGGATTTTTATTTTGATTCTGGTTCTGATTGGAGGGAGCTGGTGGAGCAGCCTCAGGGTGCTTTCGCTTTCGCTCTCTGTCGCCGTTCGTCATGGTGAACGTATGTCTCTATCTCTGGATATTGTAGTGAAGCCAATGGGAGCAGGAATAGTAGCGATGATGATGATAGTGATGATAAGGATAAGAAACGTGAGTGATGGTTGGTGGTGGTGGGGTGTAGTGGAGCTGGGGCCGAGGCCGAGGCTGAGGCAGAGGAAGTGAAATTTATCAGGATGGTATGGTTTGTTTACTTTCACCCGACAACTGACGTCTGACCGACAGTCTCGACAACTGAGCCGACAGGGCAACTGACTGGCAACCGACAACCTTGCAGGTAAACAAAGGCTCTTTCCCTATCAACTCAACTGTGCTGCAACTCAGCATCTATTATTACCTCCGGGCATAATATCGATAAACAAAAAAACGACGATGTCTTCAAACCGGTACGTAGCAGCTAGTACGTAGATTCGTGGATTCGTAGACTGTACAATATAATACTCTTGAATTGAATTGGAGCAAATGCAGGAGAATTTTGCGACGCCCGTTCATTGGTAGTTCGCTTCTGTCGGCCTAAACTAAGTCCAGCTTGGTCTGGTTTGACACAACGTAATAATACCTAGCACTTAGTACTTCGAAGGTAACTGACTTAGCTCCACCTCTCAACACCACTCTCACCACCACCACCCTCACCAACATCATCAACTTCAACAACCGCGATGATGACCTCAATACCACTCTTCCGGCTCACAAGCCTCCTTCTCCTCCTCTTTCCGGTCCTCATCCATGCAGTAAATGTCATCGGAAGTATCAAACCGAACAATGTCCTCCAATCCCTTACGCTCCTCCCTCCATCCATGACCGTATCTCTATCTGGTGCCAACCTTGCCGACTCCCGTACATCCCACATCTACTCCAACGGCGCCTTCAAATTCCAAGATGTAAAACCCGGTTCCTACCTACTCGAGGTCAACTGTAGAACCCACTTGTTCCCTTCGTTGCGTGTGGATGTTAGCACCGATGGTCTGGTGGAAGTGTACGGCACCTTCAGAGGTAACGAATGGGACAACAAAGGGGAGAGGAAACCCCATCCGATCGTTAGTCGCTCTTCCCCTCATGACCATAGAATGTAGTTTAGTGGACGGGTACTAATACGTTGTCTGGATCTTGTAACAGGACATTTCTCCAGTTAAGGGTTCGGACTTTTATATAGTCCGCGAGGGATTCAATCCCATGAAACTCCTTAGCAATCCTATGATCCTTATTGCTATTGTGGCCATCGGAGGAATGACCCTGATGCCAAAGATGGTTGAGAATAGTATGACACCTCCCATCTCGCCTACCAAAGAGACCGGCTAACCACGATAAACCACAGTGGACCCTGAAACCCGCGCCGAATTTGAGAAGCAACAGCAAAACTCCGTGCTTTCCGGCGCCCAGAATAACCCCCTCCAAAGCTTCGATATGGCCGGCTACCTAGCCGGTTCTTCCAGCAAAACCCAGCCAAAATCTGGTAATGGGTCAAAAAGGAAGTAAACCAGGATATAACATACTTATGTATTGAGTACACTATTGGGAACCCCCCTTTAGAGACAGTAGAATAATAATTTAGTTCAACCGGTGTACTCGAAAATGAAAGGTTAATGTAAATGATGTCAATCTTCTCCCCCCAAATCCCCACCTAGTACCGGATCCTCAACCTCCAACCCTGCAGTTTTCTTAACTTTCTCCTCGATTCCTTCCTCCCCTCCCCTCCCATAGCACATATCCCATTCTTCTCCACCGACAGGATAGGCACCGATCATCGTAAACCCTTCCCCGGCACCCCACCCTCTCCCCCCAATATCCTTTAGCAAACGATGTGCCACTCCAGCAGGCATAAACATCGCATCGCCAGTATTTGCTGTGATTGTAACAGCGTCTGGATTATCATCACCACCGATCAAAATCTTCGCGGCACCGGAAATCACAGCCAGAGCTTCGTGGGTGGTGCTGTGGAAATGTGAGTCTGTGTACATGGTGTACCGCCATGATGGTGTCCAGGAATTTATGCGTAGAACCTAAATTTCACCTTCTTACTATGGGTTCTGGTAAAGAAGAGAAAGGGAGGGCGGGTATATATTGTATTATACGTGTATACTTACATCCTCGATCTTGTCTGCGTCAGTTGGCTTTGGGAAAGCGTACTTGTAGTGTATGACCGGGATGCCGTGCAGGGAAGTATTTGGAACATGTGCATAACGGGGGATCTGATACTTCTCGATGGTGATATTGCAACGTGCATTCGCCATTTTAAATTCGAACTTAGTCATACAGTTATAAACCCCTTGTTGAGAACGTTGAAGGAAGGCAGATGCAATATATGCTTCTTGGGGAATTGCATCATGCATGTTGGGTTTTGATACAATGACGTCGCCCGCGCGCTCTCTCCATACCACCAAATTGCAGGTGATCTAGGTTATTCTAGCAGCATCTTGATCATCGTACATGTCTCTCAGACATTATAGCATTAAAGGGTAAGGAGTATATACAATCTTAAAACTCAGAACTCCTAGGAACGATGCAGGTACGGTAACAAATTGACACACAGACCTAAAAACCCTTCATCCAGCTGACGAAATTAACCCCTCAGCAAATGTGTCTGAGCTTTGGGTTTTCCATTTCACGGTAGAGAGAAGGGACCGAAAGAGAGAAGGAAAAAAAAAGATAATTAGAGTAAAAATCGGAGCGAAGTATAAACTGCACCCATATGTCATGAGCGCGGGCCATTTTAGAATCTAAACTTGCTTTCCTTCTTCTTCCTTGCGTTGTCTTCTTCGCGCTTTTGTCGTTTCCGGCTTTCAGAGGCGATGAGGTCCGAAAGATCTTCCTGGAATCCTTGTTTATCACGCCGCTGTTGTTCCATCTCTCGCTCGTATTTAGCTTTGACGGCCTCTTTGCTAAGACCGTCGTCCGCCTCGAGCGTGGATGCATCAATGGAAACTTCGATATCGCCGGGTTTCTTGCGCTACACGACAATCTGTTAGCATGCGCATTCCTCAAAATCCGGTAGACGAAATAATCTGAAAAACTAACCTTCCTATCCTCTTGACCAAGCACAGGCATCTGGCCGGACTTGATATCATAGGCATGTTGTCCACCAAACAAGCCCCGCGATTTAATCTCTTGCTCTGGTAGGACGGAGTAAAGCGACTTGGGTCCTTCATCCTCGTCCCTATCCGGCCTTGCCTTCCGTAGATCAAGATGCTCGGGCGCGTCGAATTCGCTCGGTACGGAGCTAATCATTCCTGACGGCGTGGCCATGCCCGATGGTGTCTGCAATCCAGCACCAACGTCGTCCTCGTCCTCGTCCTCGTCCTCTTCATCTTCATCTTCATCCTCATCCTCTTCTTCTGACTCAACCTCCTGAAGTTCACCCCAAATAGTCCTATCCGCCGGTTCTTGGTTCTCGGCGGACTCCTGTGGCTGTAGGACACCGAAAACATCGCCATACAAAGGCCTGTTGAACTCGTCGACAGGGGGTTTCCCCCAACCTCCTGGGTGAAATCCCCATGCTGCACCAGCTGGGATCGGTGCGTTTAATCCTGGAACTTTGAGAGATGGGTAACTCGGCGGTGGGCCGACTCTCTGCATGTTGATAAGCCATGGAGGTGGTGCATTTGGCGGCATGTTCAAAGCTTCCTTCAATTCGTCCGATAATTCGCCAGGTCTGCGGTCTTTCAGATTCGTTTCCATCTCCTTTCCTTCGTAGTATACTTCTCCGTACATGGTCAGCGGGGGTTTGACTTGGAATCTGAAAAAGGCATCATGCAGCTTCTGATAGTCAATATCCAACTTTCCCATCTTCGGCTGAACACGCTCTCTCTGTTTCTGCTTTAGCGAGCGTTCGTCTTCCTTAGTGTTATCTCTCATTTCCATGATTCCGGTGGCTTTGATGAAGGCAGGGAGATCGAATGGCGGCTTCTCGACACCACGCTTGGAAGAAAGGTATTCCCGCTTTAGGGACCAATGGCTGGGCACTGGGACGCAATTACGGTATGACTTGAGGTGGACTAGTAGTCTAGGGTCGGAGGATGATGTGTCAGTCCATTCTACGATTTCGGGTCTTTTGACTAGCGTCTATAGAAGATAAAAGTATTACAGTTAGCATATTGCTCCCTTTCCGTGGGGTGTGTGTAGTAAAATAAGACAGGAAAGGTACCTTGAGTTCAGCGACACTGAGTTTATCCCGAGCCTTTCTAGCCTTCTTGCTCAGTTTGGCTTCGACGTCGACCTGTTCGGCTTCTTCGTCTGGGATATCGTCCTCGTCGTAGAAGACCTCGCCCTTCCTATCTTCGACATTTTCCTTATCGTCCTATCATATTACTTAGCAAATGCACCATCCGATTCAATATGGACAAAAGGGTACGGCGACACATACCCCGGCGGAGAACTTCTGCATGATCCTCTTGTAATCGGCAAAGACAGCGTCATCTTGATCGAGATTCAGATCGCTAAGGTCAAAGTTAGGTGTGACTTCAGGAACAAGCGATAACTGGACTTGTTGCTGCTTCTGACCAGGTGCAAGAGCGAAAGAACTAGAGGATGTGATGGTGGCTGTGGAAGCGACCTACACGACGAAGGTTTAGTTTTTATCAGCTTCTCTTAAGAAAACCCACCTGTCATGCGACAGGAAAAAACGCGAGGGATTTTGGGCATACAGATTCGGTATCAGAATCGGCGACATTGGAAGGGTTCTGTTTCCTCGCGATTTCCTTCTTATGCTTCTTTCTCTCGCGTTTTAACTGGTTTTTGGTCAACTTGCGAGGTTTACCATCGATGATCGAGGACGCGGTGGCAGCAGACCCATTCGCGATGGGAGTCGATGATGCTGACACCGACTCTGGAAGAGCGGCCGTGCCGTTGATAACCTCGGTCATCGTGGGTCGAAGCGACCTTGTGTGTATGTGTGTATCCTATCGTAGAGAGACAGCCGATGTTGAATTGATGATGACGACGATGATGATGATATCGTGGCGTGGGGGTTAATTGATTGATGGGTGGAAGTTCGGTCTGAGCCTTCAAATGGTTATTTTTGTCTTCTTCGATGGTTAAAAACGAAAACAAACTAAACCACGGAAAGGTGCCTTGCAGCCGAAGCCAATTAATTAACTTCCATCCATTCATCTTCGCACGATTTCATATACCCTATTCTATTAAATTCTATTCTGTTTTATTCTAATCCATCCAACCTCCCGTCCTTCGTTCCCGATCCTTCAATAGTAAATACTTATACATAAGTACTTGTATATAGTGTATATATAATCAGGCGACTGTGGCGGTATATAGAAAGACACTATCGATTTCAGGTTAACGTTCTGACCGAAAACTGCGACCCAGTTCGCGAATGCAACATCGATTTCGCTTTCAATCCAACTTAAATTGACCGATCCACCAGCCTCAAACCCAACCTCCTCCTCCTCCGGCCCTTTTGACGTCTCCAGATCTCACGGACTTTCACTCGTACTTCTCTTCTCTTCTCTTCTCTTCTTTTTTCGTTCTTCTCCTATTCGTGCTGTTACGTCTGGTATAATACAGTACGATACGATACCGAGTATACGTATACTCGACACACCAGCCAATAGTTTAACCCCTTACCAAACCCAGGCCCACCACCACCACCATCATCACCACCCCCACGAACAGCCAGAGCCCCTCCTCCTCCTCAACCTCACCATAATCGCCCTTCACCCGCTCGAACTCTACTCGTTCGGCCTCCCAACAGGCCATGCGATCACCGCAAAGTGCATCGTCTGGCAAATCCGTTGCTTTCAACTTCCCTGCCCAACCTGGAAGCAGCGACACCAATGGCCACATATTACCCAATGGAAACTCATCTTCAGCTCGAGAGATCTCCCCCAACAATCGCAAACTACACACCCGCACAAATTCGATATCCCAGGTCATCAAAAATGTCAGGAAACGGAGTGGTTCTACCGCTGAGATAGTTGAGAATCTCAAAGCTCCGATATCGTACAAACTAGTGGTACGTTCCACCGAGAACATGAAACTCCCCTGTTGCAATCGAAGCTCTCCTACAACTCCAATGAATTCAAATTCAAATTCAATATGGATATCTGTTAACTTTTTTCTTCTTCTCCCTATTGGTTGTTCTCTCTCTAGGCAATTTGTGTTTGTTGGTACGGCTCTTAGTCCTTCAGCTTCTTCTTCTTCTTCTTTTCTTTTCTTGTTCTTCTTCCTCTTCTTCTTCTAGTCCTCCCCGGTCCTTAAATCGGTCATACTGAGTCCGTCCGTCTAGGTACTTTTCGTCGGCACTGACCAATACTTCGTCGAAATCAATCTTAAATGCTTTTAGGCAGCCTGTCACCTTGACAATCGTCCAATTCGCATTCGTCACGGGATGGTGTCTTCTGTTATCGCTCGTCGGTCATTGGCTGCCAGGGGCCGTCATCCCGGGAATCCAAGGTGGCCTCAAATGGCCGACAAGGGATATTATCAGAACCACAGCACCCCTGGCACTTTTCCAGGTTGGCGGGCATATCACTTCCAGCTTTGCGACAAGTCGAATCCCCGTATCGCTCGTCCACACTATCAAGGTGATCACCGATACACAGTTCACATAAATCCAAGAACGACCCTGAAGCTGACTGATCCGGATACCTAGGGCTTAACTCCTCTTTTCACGGTCTTCGCCTATAGGATATTCTATAAAGTCAACTATCCTCGTGATGTCTACATCTCCCTTATCCCTTTGACCGTTGGCGTCATGCTTGCCTGTTCCTTTGAATTCCGTGGGAATTTCATCGGGATCATCAGCGCTCTCGCCGGTACCATCATATTTGTTACCCAGAACATTGTTTCAAAGAAGATTTTCAACAATTCCGCGCGAACGGATTGGGATCGAACTCAGGGTGTCAAATTAGACAAACTTAATTTGCTTGCCTATTCCTCAGGACTAGCACTTATGCTGACCACTCCGTTGTGGCTGTCGTCCGAAGGATTCTCGTTAATTCGCAAGTATTATGCAAACGAGAAGCTAATCCTTGAAGGCCCGAACAAGCTCAGCGGGATGGCATTGTTCTGGGAATTTGTTTTCAACGGAACCTCCCATTTCGGACAGAACATCATCGCATTTACAATTTTGAGCATGGTCGAGCCAGTTACATACTCAGTCGCCAGTTTGATCAAGAGGATTTTTGTGATTGTAATGGCTATAATTTGGTTTGGCAATATGCCGACGAGGATCCAGGGATTTGGTATTTTATTAACGTATGTGCCTAAAGATCTCCCCCAAAGTATACGGCGGCCTGCTAACTGACATGCGGATACAGTTTCCTCGGTCTTTATCTATATGACAAAGCCAAAGATCTCGACCGTCGAGAAAAAGCTAAGATCGATCCACGGCCGTCGCTTTTGCCATTGTCCGTAGACGGAAAGTCTAGAACATCACCTGTCCCGCCACCTTATGGCTCACAACACAGCAGCGCTGTGAACACACCCATCAACGGTGGAGCTTACCATCCCAGAAGAGGCAGCGTAAGCAATGGATCAGCGAATACTAGCTCCGCTGTGGCAGAAAAGAAGGCCGCAGCGGTGAATGGGTATTCGGGATTAGGCAGTGTGAATGAAAATGGGGGACTGCTGCCGGGGACGAAGCAAGAGAGTACATGGAAGCCGAATGAAGTTTGGGCAAATGGAGCTACGGCGAAGACGAATGGGATTGCAACATAGATACGGGGGGTTTCTTTTCAATAAGGTTGCTTTGGAGGATTCCTCTCCCTTGGGAGGTCCCAAGCTATCATTAATGATAATAATGTCATAGACTTTTCTTTTCTAACTGGGCTTGGGTGTTGTCTCCCGTCAGATATTCATGCATGGATGTTACTTTCGCTATGGTTTTATTCAAAGGGATTTATTAGAGAGAGAGGCGAGGTGTTAAAAGTCGACTGGGTTATTTTTTTTAGTTTCACTTTTTATGTGTATACTTAGGTCATGATCATACCAGTCTGGCGGATTTTTTTATTTTTTTTTACATTTTTTCGAGGGAATGGATCGGGGGGTTCTTGATTTTCACTTTGATGTATTTGGTTTTTATGAGGGAAAGACGAACAACCTGAAAAACGACCCAAAAGCTTGCTCCTCGCCTTAGATCGAAATTCAGATTACATTAACCTTTTCCCGGGATATTAGTATACTTGGTAGTCTCGTCTGGCCCCGAAGCTATCGATTTCTAGGATATATGTAATTGCCATCTTGGGAAGTATTCCCAGGGAACATGGCAGATAAGATCCTGAATTACCGGGAAGTTTGTATTCGAAATAAAACAGCAGCTGTCTTTCTTTTTATTTTTTTTGTCAATCAATTAATCTCCAGACTCCATATTCATTTGCAGCTTTCCAGGGTATTCGAAACAACAATACAATGAATGTCTTGAGGGAACGCCAGTGCAAAGGGGTTTTTTATTTTATTTTAATTTTTTGTCATTATTTTCTCGGGAAAAGGAATCTCCTAACCAACTCCCCCCACGAAGGCACATTTGCAATGTTGACTCTCTGAGCTTTCCAATAACCTTTGTCCTAGAATCGAAAGGTTGCAACCTTGAAGTTAAGCTCTGATTTTACCTCCTCCAAAGGCGGTGACCTGTATTTGCGAGATGAGTTTGTTAGGGATAGAGTGATTCTATTGGATTAACATGATAGAATGGGGAAGCTTACCGGACCGTCTTGTTCAATGGTAGGCTTCCATTCGGCTTGAATCTGAGCGTAACCCTCAAGACCTTGGAATGCTTTCCTATTTTTACCTTTGTGTTAGCTGATTCTTTCTTTCTTTATTTTATTTTTTTAAAAAAAAATATTTAAAAAAAATAGCTATAACTAGCGCTAGGATATGTAGAGTGCTTACACGGCGGCTTCAGTAGCCTTGATGACGAAACCCCTAATATCAAATGAAATCAATGGTTAGATACCAAAATGGTGTTTGGAATGAAACACATGGAGTATATCAGCGAGGGGGGTTAAAAATTACTCTATGATAGCTATATGCATGTGCACCGGGAGTAGTTAGCGCCAAAGCCCCGCTAATGTTGTGCTACCTGCTACGAGATAAAGGTAATAGAATGAGAGGACGGGAAGACGTACAGAATTCGTGAGTGATTTCGGCTCCAGCCTCTTTGAGGTTCTTAACAGTAAAGTCGATGATTGATTTCGGAGTGCCATCCTTGAAGCTGACGACCCAGTCGACCTGGCCTTCTTTGCCGGTGAAGATGGCGGCAGCTGAGACAAAGGTGACGAAGAGGCAGATGAGGAAGGAGAGGAATTTGAACTGCATTTTGACGGGTTTGGTATTTCACGTTATGGTTTTCTATGTCTGATTTTGTCGGAGGTTAGATGGTTTGGCGATTGTGGTGATGATGATGATGATGATGGTGGTGGTGATGGTGACGATGATGGTGTAATTCGAGGCGAGAGAGGCAGTTCTTGTTCTTGTTCTTATATGGCGGTTCTGTTACAACTTCCCGGTCCGGTGGAATATTGGCCAGTTCAGCCCGCAGCAAGAAGACTATGTTTAAGGCTACTTGGTTCTGCTCTGTTTCATACTAAGTTACTCAAGTAAGTAATATAGCTCCTTGAAGTTAGGAAGTAACAGGTATTATAAGTCACAGTATTGTGGTGCCATGCAAATGACGCCGCCCTGCATTATAATACACAGACTATCAGAATGCACAGACATCATGATACCACATATACAGATGCACACCATTTGCATAATCGAGTACCGAGTACCGAGTACGTGTACCAAATATCATTCTCCCGATGAGGAGTCCTGGTACCATACCATCCCGATGAAATGGTGAAGCTCGGGCTTGTAATTATAATTGTAACAGGGCAGCTTACATAGCTTCGCTGGCTGCAAGGTCCGATGCGAGACGGTCTTGGCGGGCAGGGTTTTTGTTCCTCTCAAATCCTGATCCCAGTCAGCGCGTCGTCTGGTGCACTCCATCACCATATATCACCATATCACCATATCAACCTCCCTCGACCCTTCCTCTCAATTCCACCCCGGCTACCACTCCTCTTTATCGACTTCTCAGGAGGTTAGATAACCACTTCCTACCGCCTACCTTCTAAGAGGTACCTCGTACTCTGCTGCCTCTCCCCATCTGACAATACTCTACTCATCTTCTCTCTTTCTCTCACCGCCACAACGAACAAAAAAAAGGTTACTGTTCGCGGTCAACTCCCGCCATCAAACAATCTTTGACCAACTATCCATCCGTCCATCCGTCCATCCAGCAATTGTGTACGAGTGACCAAACAGATAGGCAACCCCAAAACCACCCTGCTGCTGGGCAATCATCCCAGGCCCATCTGCAACAATGAACCGGTACGCTCCGAGTTACCGTGACGATCGAAGAGACCGAGACCGAGACCGAGATAGAGACAGAGACAGAAGGTCGCCTTCCAGGGAAAGACGGTACAGATCACCATCTCCGAGACATCGTCCAAGTAGTCGCTCTCCATCCATCAGAAGACCCAGGTCTCCGTCTCCGAGGAGAGGAATTGATTCTTACACGCCTGGCGGCGGTAGCGGTGGTTTTGGTCGCAGGAGGCCTAGTCGTTCACCTCCACCGCCTCTAAGAGCTGACTGCTATGTACCCTCTCCGGTCGGTGGTGGCGGCGGCGGCGGCGGCGGCAGCTGGCGACCTGGGGATCGTTCACCCCCGTTGAGGTCGCGACGAAGATCGAGGAGTCCATTGTTTGGAAGACCGAGATCGAGGTCTCGAAGAAGATTTAGCAGGTCCAGGAGCCCTATCAGACGACTGAGGTCCAGAACACCTCCTCTTCATCTTCGACGCCCTCGGTCTCCAAGGCTCCGGTCGCCTTCCCCCCGACACGCACGACGATATCGGTCTCCCAGTCCCAGAGGAGCCCGTTCACCAGGCTACAGGAGAGTGTCTAGGTCTCCTGAGAAGACAAGCAGGACCCCCCTGGCTAATGCAAAGCCGCTGGGGGAACAGTCCAAGAGACCCGACAAAGATGCTCCAGCATCCCCTCCTCGCTCCGAAAGGAGGCCTCCGCCCCCAACATCCGGTCACACATCTACAACCATACCGCCGGCATCTACATCTACGGCTACGATTACCGCTACAGCCGCACCGACTTCATTATCGTCATCGGCTCGACCAGCAAGGCCAGCTCGATCACCGTCACCTCGTCCATCCCGCCAACAAGCTGCTCCATCTACTTCTGCACCTACACCGCGTCCTCTTTCGCCGTCTCTCAAAGCTCCATCTAGACCTCGTTCACCGTTTCTTAAAACTGCTACAAGACGAACATCACCGGAACGTGCTACACTGATCAGATCGAAACCGGATTCTCCCTTGTCCCGTACCCCCCGCTACCGTTCACCACCACCCAGATCTCCACGCGACCGTTCTCCCATGTCTAGCAATCGGATACGTGATATACCACCCCGCGGGCCTAGGGACGGCACTCCCAAACGTCCACTTTCCCCTGCAAGAGCTCAACATCCATCTCTTGATGACCACAGAGACAGGGATAGCCGAGATACAAGACCAGTTCGTGGACACAGCCCTATACGCAACCCCGCTGCGAGGATTAGAACTCCTCCCCGTGGACCTGCGGCCGATCGAAGAGGGCACAGTCCTCCCCGTCAGCCACGAGCTTTGCCACCCCGTGATAGAAGCCCAATGCAAATTGATTCCAAAGATGTCGCTTCCAGAGACACTCCATCACGCCCAAACGACCACCAGGTTAAAACACCCATCACCCCGCTCGGCCCGAGAGCAGGACCCCGCGGTCCAGCACTGTCCACTACCACACCCGCTCCATCAGGCGCAACAGATAGCAGCTTTGCCCCTCCAACCGGACCTAAGAATATGGTTGTTCCCACCGGGCCGCGCGCGGGAGGCTATCACCATCATACGCCGTACCGTGGCGGATACCATGGGAACTCAACCTCCCACCCTCCACCTCCACCCCGTCAACCACAACAACCCCCACCACTTATCGTCGGGCCGCCAATCATCAAAGGTGGACAGCTCCTTCCTCCTATTAATGCTGAAGCGTCGGAGAGGCTACACCGATTGCGCATCGACCAAGTCAAACTGGACGAGGAAGTCCGAGTTGCCAGTGATAAACTTCGAAAGAGTTTGATTGAGTGGGACAAGGGAGAATTAGAGCTCCAAATTGTATCGACAAGGTTAGATATTTGGGAGAAAGCAGCAGAGGAGGGATATGTCGAGGACCCTGATCTTGAAGGGTATTCGAATGGGACCCACGATAAATGACTGACCAGCCGACTACATGTATTCTAATTCTATACCCCATATTGCTCTCTGAATGACTTTTTTTT